GCCGTCGAGGGACATGTCGAAGAACAAGCATGACCAATGCGTAACTTTCTAACATAGAAGTTTATTGCCAGGATCTGGCCTTCAAATTCCGAAGTCTGATACATATGGTGCCCGCCGATTGCGCGAAAAAAATGGCGTATATCTCATGTAGCATAACATATATGTATCCATAGCCGTGCACATCCTATGCTGCCCCCCAACTTCTCATTTAGAACACAAGCTGATGAGCGAATTGACCCTTCGAAAGACCCCAGCTGGCTTTGAGGTATTTAGCGAGGTTCTCGGTCTTCTTGATCGCACTGATCAACGCCTTGTCCACCTCCTTCTGCTCTGCGGTTCTCGTTGCGGGAAGGGGCTCCTTAGCTTTAGGCTTGCCCTCTTCGAAAAACTCCTCCTCTGCTGAGTGCGAGCCCTTCACGACGACTTTGGTAAAGTAGGCGTCGTTGATCTTTTCCTCAACCTTGGACAGCATGTCAGGGTTATTTCACAAAAAAGCGAAACAATTCACACCTTGACCTCGGAAAGATCGACCTTGGTTGAAGTGGCAATAACGTAGGCCTGGTTAACGCGTCGCAGGGGAACACCGTTAATCTTGAAGGGTCCAGTCACAAGTAGCAGCCCGCTCTCCAGCTGCTTCAGGAAAACCACCCTCTTCCCCCTGTAACGGCCCGCCAACAAGATCAGGATGGTTCCGGGAGTAATGGAAGAGCGAATGGAGGCGGGTTTGGGAGATTTACGGCTCTTCTTGGGTTGGCGTACGTCCTCAGCTGGGTAGTAACGAGGTGCTTTTACTGTAGGGACAAGACGTTTGCCGTTGTTTTTGTCACCTCCAACGGACTTTTCGACGTGAGCGGCAGAGGCTTCTGTTGCGGGGTTTTCTGATTTTTTGAGTCCCTTGTAGAGACCACGTTTAGCGGCGACCTGAGAACGGGAGAGGCGACCGATGCCGGGGACGAGTTCTTTGCTTCTGGCCATTCTGAAAAGACATGAATTAGAGACCGCCATACAGCGAGCAAGCTGTACACACCTTTTCTTGAGGTCGTCGAGGCCGATGCCGGTAATCTTGTTGCAAGTCTGGATTTAGACGAAATGGGTGGCTTGGAAGCTACACAGTACCTACGGCTATTGCCGAAAGATAAGATTTGATAAGATAATAAAACGGAATCTCGTCGTATCATAACATGCCCCCGCAGGATCATCACTCAACGGCGTCCAACGATCCTCAGTCACCAAGCAAAGATGCTCAGTTGCCAGACGACCGTGTCGTCGTTTGGTTCGACATCGACAACACCCTCTATTCAGCTAGTGCAAAAATCTCACAGGCGATGGGCACTCGAATTCATGGTCAGACTCTACGCGGCATTGCTCTCCCTCGATTTCTGACCAGCTCGACAACATCAAGCCTATTTCGTCAGCCTGGGACTCGACCATGACGAGGCATCCGAACTCCACCTTAGGTATTACACCCTGTATGGCCTTGCTCTCCGTGGCTTGACTCGGCACCATGACGTCGGTAACGTAAGATCGTCAGGCGGAGGAAATCACCATTCTCATTCCTCTATGACTAGATCCCCTGGACTTTGATCGCAAATGCGATGGATCGCTTCCACTCGAAGAGATGATCAAATATGACCCTACCCTCCGTAAACTGTTCGAGGACATTGATCGAACGAAAGCTCGTGTTTGGGCTTTGACAAATGCCTTTCGTCCAGTTGGTCATCTGCTACTGTACCCTCCCTTGCAACTTATTCAATTTTGATAGCATGCGGAACGTGTCCTTCGCATCCTCAAACTGGATGACCTGGTGGAAGGCATCGTCTACTGTGACTATCGAGTGAAAGACTTCGTTTGTAAACCCGAACCCGAGTATTATCAAATGGTACGTCAATCCCCCCCCCCCCCCGCGCATCGTGGCTTCGCATCGACGCGACAATCTTCAGGCGTTGAGGCGAGTAGGCATATCGGACCCGTCGAAGTGTTACTTTGTTGATGACAATCGAAGCAATATCGATTCTGCACGAGCCGAGGGATGGGCGAAATGTGTTCATTTTTGCGAGAAAGGTTTGGAAGGCATGGAGGGCGGAAAGATCAAACAGATCGACAACGAGAGGGAACCTGGGGCAGTCGACAACGATGTCATTGACATCGCATCGTTGGAAGAGCTGAGGAATGTTTGGCCAGAAATCTTCTCAAACCTTTCCTGACCTGCTGCGACTGGATCTTTAACATATATCCTTTGCCACCTAGAAGTGATGTATACCAGATGTATACTAGTGTAGAATTCAGTGGTTTTTGATTCCACCCTCCTTTTCCACAGCTTTCCACCTTACTAACGTAGACGATCCACGACATGGAATATAAGCCCAAGTTCAGCCAGCCTTTCACTCTCCAAGAAGCAAGCGCATTGGACGTCGCTATCATATCTGAAGGTTGGACCCTCATATCGCTTTCCATTGTCACAAGATTCGAGAAGCCACCCATCACATAGAGATAGCTAGGCTCCAAAACTCCCTCAAGCATCTTCGAGAGACGCAAAAAAATCTTTCTTCCGATCCGGATGCCATAGACGATGAAATTTCGCTGGCTCTTGAGGAAAACAAAGTTGTTATGTACGTACCCCGCCAGCCTGCCTCACATTGTAAATTGACTCTCCAACAAAATAGTGGGTCACAAGAAGAGCGCATCTCAATTTTGAGAATGGCACTGGCGAAGAAGGGGGTTCTCGCTGGTAGCCATTATGATCTGCCCGTCCAAGACGTCATTGGCAATCAGGAGGTGAATTCGAACCCAACAAATCAAGGTCAGGGAGTATATTTGTAAATGGGTCAATGTCAGTCTGCTGTGTTTTCCCTGGCCAGCCGGGTCGTAGCCAATAGCAGGACAAGGTACCTATAGATCTGGCAGTCTCGCGTACCCACCTACATAAATGTGCTCAATTTATCTCGTTCGTGGTTAACGACGACGGTTGGTCGATGAATCATCATACGTGGCCTCGCAAGATGCAACTTCATGAGTCCTCGAACCATATATATGCATGCAATGTGACGACGGCGGATATATGAATATATGAGAAAGGAAGAAAATATAGCTATAGTACGTAATGAAGGTCCTTAAAAAGTCGATTGGAGTGGGTGGTAAAGTAATACTGAACAAGCAGGACATATGCCAAAGCAATAGAGATGCTTGTAGGGATGTGGTAGGAGTAGGGTCATTAGCAAACGAGTGTGATTGTGTGAGCCTGGTGGGCGTGGTCAGCGCATAAAAATGATGCTGGATGTTTGCCTGCATAAAAAGTGGCCATCGGGACTTCCCTGCAACATGAAGGGGTGATATGAATGTATTATTGATGCGGCTTCCAAATTCCGTTGATAGTTTCAAGAGATGAGGGTATGCCTCCGGCCATGAGCATCCACCATCCCATTCCCTGTTCCCTGCGACATCCCTTGAAAACCGACATGTGTCAACGGAGACATAGGCATCATCGTGGGCAATTGCCCAGTCCGTGAAGGGAGCGCCGTCCAAGGATTGAGCGGTTGAATGTACTGGTGGCCTTGGTGTAACTGAGGATACGAAAATGAGGGCGTTGGCTGTGGTCGGCCTGAGGTGTTATGACCCGAAGGTGTGTTAGGTGGCCGAGATTCTCCATGTTTGCTTTGTGATGACCGGCGTGGCGATGAAGGGGTTGAGGCAAAAGATTGGTGGTCGGACTGAGCAGATGATGCTGATTGGCGACGTGGTAATTGGCTTGCGCGTTGTGTGCTAGAGTTTGATGTTCCGCGTCTCGATTTTGACGAGTCGGAGGGAGCTGGGGACCCAGGCTGGCGCGAGTAACTGTGTTTCATGAAGGGTGCTGCAGGAGGCAGAAGCGGCATGTCGTTGACATAGTCGGGGACTTGAGGAACAGGAGGTATGCTCTGGCTACTCCCCGACCACGCCTGATAAGCTCTGGAGGAACTTCCTGGTGCCACCGCCACCACTGAATTCCGTCTGCTTCCTCCACTGTGTCGGGCCTCATCTGAGGATGATTGCGTGTGTGCGGAATAGGTTGAGGGCGGACGCGACCGAGGTCTGTGACCACTCAAAGATGCAGGTGAGTGCCCTGGCTGCGAACTCCCTGAGGAGGAATCATACATATTTTGATTCCTCGAGGTCGAGATAGTAATGAGGCCAGGATCCGAGGCCTCTCTCCGCGGGTGTGCGTCATATGTGGACTTTGAGGAGTAACTTCCCGAGTCCCGCGGCCTATTACGTTCCGAGTCTTTTCTGGAAGTAGAAGAAGGCGAGGGAACCAATAAACTGCTGGAGCTGTTGGATTGGGATGATAAGCCTCCAGCTCTTTGAAACTCTCTTCTCATGCGACTAGCAGCCACCTCTTCTGCAAACAGCCGCCGCTCCCTTTCCCCTTTTTCCCTCTCTTTTGCAAGTCGCAGCCGGTCTCTCTCTAATGCTTCCTCTTCCAACCGACGTCTTTCCTCCTCCTCTTCCCGTGCTCGTTTGAGTTGCTCTCTGCGCAGGAACTTGGCTTTCCCTTCTTGTTTTTTCTTCATGCGTACAATATGAAGTGGAATTCCGTCATCACTGTCGTCTTCTACAAACCTGACCACTCGTTTAACAGTGGAAGCGGAAATTGACGGAGCTTTTCTTTTCGGTTGCACAGTTTCCTCGGAAGGAACCAATTCTTTGGTCGCTACGGGGGGGTTATGCTCGTTACGCAGAGGTGAAGGAGTAGCTATGTAAGAGTTTCGTGTGTGAGTGGGCGCTGCGGTCCAAGTTAACGAACATAATTCAGAGCAACAGCAGTGCACCTACCAGTGGGAAGCGGTGAATCTGAAACGGAAGCTGATGGAGGCAGTTCAGCAGGCGAGGACCATGGCGCATCTAGAGGTGTTTCTTGTCGGGGAGCCTGATCGAAATCTGGATCAACTAGCACATCCAAATACTCGGAGTACTCGAGAGAGGCAATCGCCAAAGAAGATCCTGAAATTGCTCGGCACTTGACGTCGTTACCTTCGGGTACAAAAACAACAAATCGATCCTCGAAGCATGGGCGGGATATCCATTGACGGAGGCCAGGGCTTGAGCGAAATATTCTTGTCGTTCTTTCAGGATACGACGTGTCGAATGTCAAAGTTCTCTGAACTGAAACTTCGGACGAAGGCGGACGAGAATTGAAATAATGGAGAAATAATTCCTCTGATGGAAGGATGAAGGAAGAGTCCTCCAACCGTGTGAGAAGCCGTTTCTTCATCATGACAGCAATCATGGGTAACCGTCGAGGAAGGACTTTAGGCTGATTGGATGAACGAGGATAGATGGGCCCAAGGGAGTGCTGGACAAAAGGAGAGATTGGCAGTGGCGGGGCAAGACTATTTTTGGTCAAGACGACAAGATTCTTGCGTGCCAACGCTGGAGATGGAGGTGTTCGATGGGTGACAGGGACTTGGTCAGGAAAAGAAATTGAATCTGATGCTGACGGTATGAGACTCTCGTCAGCCGCAGCGATGCGCTTTGACGCACGGTTGCCCAACGGCGGCAACTGGAGGGAGGGAGTGATTGAAGGCTTCCATTGAGGCAAATCCCTGTTTCGCTCCTTTCCCTTCCTATCGGCATGTCTCGAAACTGAAGACCGTTTCCCCCCTATCCAAGATTTCCAGGAAGATTTCACAGAGGTAGAAGGAAAGACAAGATGGGCATCGTCGTCTGGTGTCTGGATACTGGCTGTAGTGGACCCACTAGAAGAGGCAGATGAGTGAGGGGGATCACTGGCTGCGCTGAGGGGGGGTGTGGAAAAAGTAGAAGAGGGACTCCGAGAGGAGAAGATCTGATTGGTATTCTCCTGTACGGGGGAGTCGGACTTGTCGCGTTTTGAAACAAATACGGAGGTGAAGCGACGCATTGTGAGAAGGCCTCAAATGAACATGAAAACAAGACTGCAAGCAAGGTCAATGAGAACTGAGAAGTTGTGCCAGTGGATGGACGCACGAGCGATGAGAGTGGAGGCGAACAAGACTTTGAATTAAAAGAGATGGAAAGAAGAGAGAAACGAGGTCAGGATTGGACTCGAGCGATGATAACTCGAGAGTCAAGGACCTGGTAACTTGACGGCACAAGGAAAAAGGAGGTTCATGTCACGTGTTATATTATTATTCTCTTCCACCACCTTGTAACTCCTCGCTCATGTTGTTCAATCACTCCACCTAAATATTCCGCTTCAACACCAACCCATCTCGCTCCACGATCCAGTACAATCCTATATTCTTCTGGCAACGTCCCCAATACATCTCGCGAATTCCATACCGCATGTTCTTCTCCGGGCCGCAAAACCTCAAAGTCCTCATCCACCGCCACAGCCGCGTTAAGGGCTCCTCGTGTTCGGTCATATCCAGCTTCCATCGTCATTTGGCCCCCATGACCTTCCTTCAAAGGAAAGTAATCACGCAATGTCCTGTCGTCATCCTCTGTTAATTATCAGCATCGGCATCTGTAAATTGAAATTCATGGATGTAATACCACCAGGCACCAACAGTGCTTTTTCACAAAATAAAAGGTAGTCATCTAGCATCGTTTCGCTCAATTCGCCGATTTGCCTGTCCAGATACATGAGGTTCATGTCACTCATCTTCAATGTTGTTACCTACATTGCATTCCGTGAATCAAACAGCTTTCCCTTGGACTTGTCTTCTGCAATATCCATTTCACGTAAAACCCTCAAATATTCGTCAACGCAAGGCAGTGCGCAAGCTGGATCCTCCTCATCCTTCGGAGATCTATATCAAACAACATATGTGACAAGTTAGAGCAACGTGTCAGATTCATAAGTTACAGAACTACCTCGGTCTCCCATCCAAGCCGTACACCATTTTAAGAACCACAATGCAGGCAGCCATCAAACCCACCTCGGGGGGTATGTTGTCAAACTGATGATGAAGCGGATCGTGTTTTTTCATGCGCGGCAATCCGGCCGCAAGCGAGGAATGGAGTGTCAGGGGTATTGACAGGATGCTCGCCAGCCGTTTCGTCAGAACGTATAAAGTGGCTATGTCCAATTAGAAGAGATGACGCTCAACAGTATGTGTGGAACGCACGAGTACCGCCCATGGCTTTGACAACACGCCACAGGATAGATCCAGCGTTTGCCTCAGGCGTGAACAGCCCATAAGACAAATGCAAACGTTTGCAAAGTCGAGACGCGAGGCGATGGACATAAACAGATTTTGGGGCGTGCTGACGGGTAGATCCTTAGACAGAAACCAATATGCGATGGAAGAATGCACTTGCAAAGGGAGATAAGGCTTGTATATGATGTTTGGTGAGATGAGATGTCATGTCCGAAGGTAAAAGCCGGACGGGGTCCAGGTACGGCAATTCGTAAGACTCGATAACTCTTGACCGCTCAGGTGAGTTACGACGCAGAACTTCAAGTCCGAAATCCGCTCACTTCAGAAAGTCTCGGTATAAAACTGGGATTCGGAGAATCCAGGAAGCCACAACCAATACGGCGATTGTACTTGTAGGCCCTTCATACGCACGCCTCGCTCTATGTTTCTCGGTTTCCTTCGTTACGCGCAATTGATTTTCTTGCCCCGAATCCTCCGACGAAGAGACTTCAGAGTTTTCTCGCATTAGGTCTTCCAAGTCAGAATCCTCATCCTTTTCGGAATCCTGGTAATCCGCAGTTTGGTCAAGCTTCTCTCCAGGTAGACCTTCCGATTCTGGCTTCAGTTCAGGCAAGTTTGTTATCGTCGTCTCCTCAACGTCGTCTTCAGCACCATCCCTATTCCCCTGCGCAAATATGTAAGGTTCTGGCGGCGGAGGATTCGGAAGTAAACTGAGGTGCAGAGCCCAAATATCCCGGCAAATCACCTAGATGATGAGTACGGTTAATATAATGATGTTTCCAAAGAGTTACGTCGTGCCTCATACTCCGGAGGAAGCTTCCACAGATGTGTCAGTGCGACTATCTGCTTTCGCAATAATAGCTGCTGACACAGAAAGAGATGATATCGGCCTCGTGCTCCATGGTAAACTAGGGGGACAAGGTAAATCAAACCTCTGCGTATGACACGAATAGAAATAATGACGTTTCGGGTCAGCGTTGCTCTTTGATTGCCTTTTTTTCCGCCCGCTTTTGAGCGCTCTTTTTTTCATGGCATGAGGGCCCATCTCCTCCATCTCCGTCGTTTCATTTCTGTAGTTCTTCCGATGTTGTCATCTTTGAGAACAAGGTTGCGGTATACCTACTTACTTGAAGAATGTGTCCCTCACTGCACGCGATTAAACCACTGGAGGGTTCTTTGTGCCACTGCTTTGAACCACATGTAGGGCAGCGTCGCCTGGGAGCCATGAAGTCGAGAGATCAAAATATGTTACACAGCCACACAGAGGTCTGCCAGCGATAGTGATTCCGAGCTTCTTTTCAACCTAGTTTTGACCCCGACGCGTTCGCCAGCTTCAAAATGAAGCTGTTCTCTTTTTTCTTTGTTCTACTAGCCGTTCTGGCAACGACGGTCACTGCGTATGTACCTCCAAAAGTATTCAAGCTCTTAATTGACTAACCTCTTCCTTGGTTAGTTGGGAAAACGTGAGCGCTCAGGCTTTTTCAATCCAAGAGCCAATACTGAGAACTCTTTTATTCCGAAATACAGGAGGACCATGAAATTTTTGATTTGGTGACTGAGCTCGAAGCCGCCGAGGGAAGAGGAACGACGTTTTATTCATGGTTGGAGGTTCCTTCGACCGCATCGACCACAGAGATCGCAAAGGCCTACCGGAAAAAAAGCATGCAGCTTCAGTAGGTCGTGTCTTCCCAGGAAAGCTTCGCCGTTCACGAATGCCATAGTCCGGATAAAAACCCAGGCGTCGAGGGTATCCATGAGCGCTTTGCGCGCCTTGGCGTCATCTCTACGATTTTGAGGAACAAGGAGAGTCGCGAGCGGTATGTGCATTTGTTCCTTGCATGGCTCCCTAAAAGATGAAACGTATATTTCTAGTTATGACTTTTTCTATAAAAACGGAGTGCCCAAATGGAGGGGTACTGGCTATTATTATTCGCGTTTTAGGCCTGGTCTCGGGGTGCGAAACGACCTTTTTTCCTTCAAGTTTTACGTGCTGATAGTCTTCTACTCTAGTCCGTATTCGTTTTCTTGACTATCTTGACGTCTGGGCTGCACTATATAATCCAATGTATCAATTACAAGAGAGACCTGGAAAGAATACAGGTCATCATCTCCAAGGCAAAGGCAGCTGCTTGGGGCCCAAAGTTGGTTCCGATCAATGGAAGTAGAAAGGTTGGACCCAATGATTAATCTGGCATTTTCCCCTCATACCTATCTTATATGTCAGGTCAAGGTTAATTTGGGTGAATCTCGCGATGACGATGGACGTGTAGAAACCAAATGGATTGACGTGGTCGTTGATGAAACACATGTGTATCTCGTCAGTGATATTTCTACTGGCTTACACCCTTTTTGACGTGTATGTCCACAGCTGGATCCCTCTGGCGAACAGCATCTTATCGATTCCTCCACTGCCGTTCGACCAGCTATCACGAGAACATGGTTCATCGGTTCATTGTTGTCACTCTTTCATACATTTGTTGGAAACAAGTCGAAGGGATCGAATGAGCGGTCTGAAGCTGATGTGGACAGTGGCGAAGCGTCTTCAACGACAGATTCAGAGGCTCAAGCAAGCGGTAGAGAGGACGCCAAGTCGTCGCGCGTGCCTACGGTGAAAGCTGGCGGTAAAAGAAGGAAGGTGGTGAGACAGAGATGATGAATGCAGTTTGAGAGGCAGTCGAGAAGTCTGTTCATCCTCTTCGTTGCAGCACTTTGTGTGGTATGGTTTACCTCCTTATTATTTGTTGAGTCTTGGTGATGAGACGAGTCGAAGGGCTTGCAGTAATCTTTTCTACGGGATGTCCTATCAGAGACCTTGGCCATTTCCGGCTTCGTTGGACGTCAAACATATGAAAGGAAACGTTTGTTCACGATCGGAGACGTGTGATGGCATCAGTAAAGTTTCAACCATCAAAGTTGTTCAACTTCAGTACTTCTGTTCCCAACCTATACACAAAACTATGTCTTTTTAACGGCTTCTGAACATTTTGTTGCCTCTCAATCGACTGGTTTAAACTCTCTGGGGAATTCGAATGGCTACGAAACATGGGGGCCGCCTACCGGGCAGTGACGGAGGCGAAGAGAACGACGACGAGCGTGGGGCAGAAGATGACTGTTGGTCTCCTGATATTTCAATGTTACAGAGCTTGAAACGTTCTCCTTCTAGCTGAGGTTCATCGCGAATTTGGCAGAGAGGACTTTGGTGAATCTGAGATGTCGTCGCAGGTAAGTGATCCTGGTCTAAGGAGGTCTTTTGATCGCATTCAATTGTACAGCACACCAGCTACTCTCGTTTTGGAGAGGAGGATATCTCTGACCTTATCCTTGCTTTTCCGCGTAAATGCCCTCTCGCCCTAATCGCGTCTTTCTTACGCTCCTCCAGTTGCAACTCAGCCTACTACTACTGAGGATAACCCACCACCATCCGCGACACCGTCTGCTGTAAGTTTAGGGAAACGAAAAGCGGATGATTCTTCTGCAGAGTCAATATTCCCCAGTTCTCAAGCTTCGAAATTTCCAAGATTGAATTCAGCTGCAGAGAAGACGGACCCCCCTGGACCAGTGCTTCCAGCGGACGAAGAAAATCCTTTTTTGGATACATGGCGACCTGCTGCCCCACCACCAGACAACATCAATTCCCCTATTGTTCTCGTGAGTGATTACAAGCAACTGTAGGGCCCACGCTCAAGAATAGGCAGTCTCCACCTTCACCTTTGCAGACATTTTTCAATGCAAAAAAATTACCATACGGGGTGCAATATGAGACTGCTCGTCTGGTTAGTCTTGGCACAATGTCGTATGACGACGTTTCTATCGGCGTTGTCGATGAGATTGCAAAGTTATCGACTAACGCTGAGGCTGCTCCCCTTGCAGCCAAGAAATTTCTCACGTTCGACTATGACGGGGGTGAAGGTGGGATAATCCTGTTGGTTAAATGATTTCCCCAATGACATCTGATGCCTTTATTATAGGGCACACTGATTGGGCTGCTTTCTTTGCCAAGGAATCCGCTTGCAAGGTAAGCCCAAAATACTTTTACGTAGCCCAATCAGTTGCTTAGCTTTCTTCTCGCAGAACCCTTGGGGTGAATTGGATAAAGAGGAGGAGGCACTTCAACGAAACCCGTATGGTGGATTGGGCTTCGATGAAGAGGGCAATCATCTGTCGTGGCACGGCGGCCAAGTTCATTTTCGTGGCACACTCAAGGATGTTTCCCCAAAGGGCAGTAAACAGATCGCATACAAGGTGGTGCTTGAGAGAGCAGAGCTCGGATCATCGGATCAATTTGCTCGACGATTTGGCAGCAAGAACTTTTTCCGACTCAAACTCTCAAAAGCTGTATCCAACAGGGATGGCGAAGAATTATTACACTTTCTATGTCGACCGCTTGTCCTTTGCAGTGGTGTCTTTAGGGCTTTCTTTGCGAAAGAAAACAACGTATTTTTCGTAAAGACAAACGAGCATTGGAACGGTCGTGCGTTAACATCTGAGACCACCCCAGGAGTCTTGTGTTTTATTGACTTCTTGGATTGGCATAATTCAATGGAGAAAAATTCCTCTCAGGTAAGTGGTTTCAATCCGGCTGCAATATTGCTAACACAATGATTTTGGTTTTAGACGATGGCGAAGTGGGCCTCTCGCTTTGCTTTGGGCCTCTCAAACTCAGTTCCTGGCTGGAAATTACAATTGTCACAAATTCGCTTTGAAGACGATATTAGTATGCCTTTCAATTGGAGCGTAGATACTTGTCACTTATTTTACTTGCCAGCCAACCTCAAGACTGGATCTAACATGACCGATGGCGCTGGAAGTATTAACAGATATTGCCTCCGAGAATTGCGGCACCGTTATGACTGGGAAGAAAAACCGACTGCAATCCAAGTCCGTCTCTTCGGAGCGAAGGTGAAGGCGACCAGAGGTGTTCATTGTTTTTGCTCACAACATTTTAGGGTTTGTTAGTTGAAAATACCGATACCACTGAGAGTCCCTCTGTGATTCTAACACCCTCCCAAATGAAAATCCAATATCCCACTCACCTTGACCCCGATCCCGCCCATCTCATCATCGATTTACTTCGTTCATCTCATTCCAAAGCACCTTGTCGTCTATCCGTCGAAACGATAATTAATCTAGCGGAAAACGGGGTTCCAAAGTCAGCATTTTTGGAGCTTCTTCGGCAAGGTTTGATAGAACTTGTTGAACCTCTCTTGGATTGGGAAAGCCCAATGGCAATGCGCAAGTTGTGGTGTAATGTCAGAAAGTTGGGAGGGATTATGGCTGCCCGTAGAGCACGTGAGGACGCTGGTCTTGCTCGTGTGAAAGGGTACTCCGAATGGGAGGCGGAGGAGGTCGAAGCTGATGACGAGGATGGCTTCAAGCAGCTTGATTCTGTCAAACAGGGATCATCTGCATGGTGGAATGATGAAATAAGCGGGTGTCCATCCTCCTTGGAGGAAACAGTCATGTACTTGATCGACGCTGGGTTCACCCCACAAACCTGCCCCGTCTTGCGCAGCAAACTCGAGAAAATCGTTAAAAGCAGTGTTAAAAACTACATTAAGGCATATCGCATCGATGTCCCAATGTCAGCTTCTGCATTTCTCGTGCCAGGTGATTAATTTTTGAAATCCTTGCGATACCGGCTCATCTTCATCTTTCAGATATCCTTGGTGTGCTGAAACCTGGTGAGATATTCTATAAAAGCTCAAGACGCAATCTGCGGCAGACAGATGGGACGGAGACGGATATAATGTTAGGCGATGTTCTGATTACGCGGCACCCTTGTAAACTCCCTACCGATATACAAAAAGTACGGGCGTCTTCCCAATTTATGTTCGTAAAGCACTTATATAGCCCCCAGTGGAAAGCCGTGGACCGGCCTGAACTTCACCATCTTACTGATGTAATTGTTTTACCAACAACGGGTGACCGAAGAGCCGCTGACCTGTTGAGCGGAGGTATTATCCACGTTTTCGTTCACTAATATTGGTCATTAATTTCAAATTAGGTGATTACGACGGAGACAAAGGCCTCATCACAAACCAGCCCGAGTTAGTTATCCCATTTATCAACGCCCCACTGCACTTTTCGGAACCTCCCTCGAATATGCAAAAATACTTTGTACGGGAAAATGAAGCCGTTCCCGCTTTCTTGGAACGAACCTCAGTGCTATCTGATGATGCCAAAATTCATGAACGACAGCAGTACCTCCTGGGTGCCATTCGTGATACGTCGGTCGTCGGGAAATACTCGAATTTCCACGAAGCTGCAATTTACACACTTGGCTACACACATCCAGAGACTATCCGTCTCGCATACATGTGAGCCCCATTCCTTGCTGCTATTTTCTAAAATTTGACAGCAGTGCTTAGGTTTTGCATGACTCTCGATGGTGCCAAGACTGGTATGACGGTTCTGCCACAAGTTCTGAAAGACGACACCAGAAAATATCAAAAACGTCCCCCGACTTGGAAAGAGACAGAAGAAGATCGCGAGCGCCATGTGATGCACGGCAAGAACGAGACGAATTTGAAGCGTCCCTCGTCCCTCGGCCGCTTTATTATGGATGATTTACACTCTCAAGCTGAAGCGGAAGGGAATGTGTGGCTTGCCCGAATTGAGAAGAAGTTCGAAATCAAAAATCGGATCAAAGTTGATGATGACCTGACGGCACCTTGGCTGAAATTTTTACAAAGGAGCAAACGCTGGATATCAGAGGAGAATAACACTCTGTTGAGCGGAGAATTGGAACAAATTCGGAAACATGTCGAGGCTATCTACTTGGAGCATCGAGCAGAACTCAATGCATCACCTCGCAAGCAGACAAACCAATATTCCCCGAAAAAGGACAAGGCTTCCTTCACTGACTTGCCTATCGAGGTACGCCAGGACAAGTTTCGCGCCCTGTCGAGGAAGTTTGCTTCCTTTCCACGGCCTGACACATTTCTGGCCTTGAGCGAGTGGGACATTGCGGCAGCTAGGGCTTCCTATGCTTACTGGTACGATCACGAGCAGAGAAAACAATCCATTAGCAATAATTGGACTCGCTTCCCTTGGGACGTCGCCATGCGTGAGCTCTGTACTATTAAAGCCCGTGCAGGTGGTCGACACAAAGCTGTTGCTGGAGAATTCTACGACCATTTCAACATGAAACATCCACGAACGCACCATACCTAGCCCACCAAAATTCTATATACCCCTCTTTTACCTTATTATTTCGATACCCGTCTTGGATTTCAGATCAGCACTCGACGATCTCTACATTACCCAGCACAAGTTCGTAGAGCTGTTGATTTTTGTATATAGAACTATCTCTTTCTCTCCTGCATCACAAAATCTCAATGACCGAGAACGACTAGCTCGAGTTCTTCAACGTCCAGGACGGCATCCAGGACGACGACATCAACTATTATAAGTCTGCAAGTTGCAAATATGACAAGGCATTTATGTTGGCTGCAAGGCGTTTAATGGTTGTTGATCAATCCTGCCACGGGTCGCGATCAAGCCTCCCTGACATGCTTGCACCCATCGAATTTACTACATAGCTATTCTGTACATATCGCAACAAGATTTGGTTGGTTTTCGGTTTTGCGTATGACGTAACGTAACGTACGTAAGTAGGTTGCTGTATCGTTCGGCCAAGCAGCATCTTTGGAAATCACGATGATCAACTACATTCTCCTCGTCTCTCGGCAAGGCTAGTCTACCTGTGCATCGCAGTGAGAACTTGTGTAATGGTCTACTCTCTCAGGCAAAGTTCGTCTGGCAAAATGGTTCTCGACGATGTCGCCCAAAGCCAAGGCAAAGATAGTGAAGGACGTAACTCAGCTGGTGTTGGCTCGCCGGACGAGAATGTGTAATTTTTTGGAGTACAAAGGTGCGGCTCGAAGGCATTGAGACGCTAAATGATGATACACATATATAGACAGATACCAAGGTTGTATACCGACGATATGCGTCACTATTTTTTGTTACTGGGATTGGATCAGGCGACAATGAGCTTGTGACACTGGAAATCATCCACCGATACGTGGAGGTCCTTGACCGATACTTTGGAAATGTAAGCTGGTGCATTGCTTTTTGTTGTGCGGGCATTGATGATCGCGTTGGTAGGTTTGCGAACTTGACCTGTGCGTAGTAGAACAACGTGAACCAAGACATGGGGCTGATGTATAGACCACCAGTATATTCAACTTCCAGAAGGCCTACGCAGTCTGTTTCATTTTTATTTTTCTCCATGTACCTGATGTTTACTATTTTCGCATTAGATCCTTGATGAACTCATCATAGCGGGGGAATTGCAAGAGTCGTCGAAGAAATCGGTACTTCGCGTAGTATGTATCAACGCTTTACATGTTGCGAAGGTTGACGATGGGGATCTTAGGTGACGCAGTCGGATAGCGTCGAAGAGCAAGAGAACGCAGAAGACACGATGGCTCGACTCGGATCACGCAGCGGTTAGAATTTCTTTATCTTTATGATTTGACAACTTGGTAGAACATTTTGTAATCTTAATCTCTCTTGCTTCAAGGTCCGATGATGTAGCACTCTGGGAGGAAGATGGGCAGGCCGAAAGCCGGAGTGGCAACAGGTTATCAGGCATTCGTAGAGACACAAGGATCAGGTGGCGGAGGAACTAATACAATCTGGTGAAATGGCACATGACAAAAAGTGAGATAGCAGTGTGGAGATAGCATCGAGATCGGATTGATGTTATTGTCGGCCGAGTTATGTTGGATGGTGGATTGGCACTGGACTGCATTGGACTGGACTGGACTGTATTGGATTGGCATGTCAAGGCACTACAGGCACTTTTAGCGAACACACAGCATACATTCCATCTACATCTTATCGTCCAATCACAAGCTTCTGTTTGATAAATAAACACGAGTCAATAAAGCTTCTGTTACCTCTAAAAAGTGATCGGCGCATCTTTGGGGATCGTATTCTTCTTTCCACTCCCATTTCCTTCATCCCATGGCTTCGTATCAATATAACAACCAGCTCCTTGCTCCTTTCCTCGCCCTCCCTCAAGGCGAAAAGGTTCAGGCTGAATGTACGACAATCTTCTCCTTTTTTCTCTCTTCTTTTCTCACTCACCCCCCTCAGACGTCTGGGTCGATGGTGATGGTGGTCTTCGTTCAAAGACTACCGTATGTTGTTTCTGCATGTCCACGCCCATTCCCCCTTAATCGTGTCTGTTCAGACCGTTAGCAAGAAGGTTACGGACATTGGTCAACTCCGTATTTGGGATTTCGATGGTTCTTCCACAAACCAAGCTCCGGGTCATGACTCAGATGTATACCTTCGTCCCGCTGCGATCTTCAAAGACCCTTTCCGTGGCGGTGACAACATCCTAGTCCTCGCGGAAACCTATAACAATGATGGCACCCCGAACAGGACCAATTACCGTCACCATGCTGCCAAGGTCATGGAGCAGGCCAAGGATGAGGTGCCCTGGTTCGGTCTTGAACAGGAGTACACTCTTTTTGACGCAGACGGCTCTCCCTACGGTTGGCCCAAGGGTGGTTTCCCCGGCCCACAAGGTCCTTACTACTGTGGTGCTGGTATGTTCAAACTTTGTTTGGATCGATCAACAAATTCTAATCTACATTCTTGCAGGAACCGGCAAAGTCTTCGCCCGTGATCTCATCGAAGCCCATTATCGCGCTTGTCTCTACTCCGGCATCAACATCAGCGGAATCAATGCCGAGGTTATGCCGTCTCAGTGGGAATTCCAAGTTGGCCCCTGTGAAGGCATTTCCATGGGTGACCACCTCTGGATGGCTCGCTATCTCCTCACCCGCATTGCTGAGCAGTGGGGCGTCAAGGTTTCCTTCCACCCCAAACCTCTCCAGGGCGATTGGAACGGTGCTGGTTGCCACACAAACTACAGCACAAAGTCAATGCGTGAGCCCGGAGGCATGAAGGCAATCGAAGCCGCTATTGAGAAGCTGAGCAAACGACACGACGAACACATTGCTGTCTACGGAGAGGACAATGATTTGCGCCTGACAGGTCGTCACGAGACAGGTCATATTGGCGCATTTAGCTCGGGCGTTGCCAATCGTGGTGCCTCAATTCGCGTGCCACGACACGTCGCAGCCCAAGGGTACGGTTATCTGGAAGACAGACGCCCAGCTTCCAACATTGGTGTGTATTAATGTGATAGCGAAGACCGTCATTGCTGATATACGTCTTTTAGACCCTTACCGTGTCACGAGCATCATGGTGGAGACGACCCTCCTTGACGCTTGAACTTCTTTGTACCAATCGCTTGTTTCCCCCCCCTTATTTTTGTAGACTATGGAAATGTGGAGAAGAAGAAAAAGAAAGAAGGTCACGGAATGTAGTCATTACCCCAGATCACGGACTAGAGACGAGCATACGTACTGGCCATGAGTTTATAATAATAATATTCAATGCAGGAAGTCAAAACGGTGTGAAGGCTTTTCCTCACAACAATGCAAGAATCTTCTCTTTCCTTTTCTCCTATATCCTCTGAGGAGGCTGGCTATTTCAAGCTGCTGGAGCTCACTCCAGAGTTGGTTACCCTCATAGAAGAAGCAACCATCCAGCATTCAGATGGACCTAGGTACATACAGCAGGCCGTCTCCAGACGCCAAGGCACTCATCGTCTAGCCTAGTCTTGTTGTGAAGGGCCAACCGGGCGAAGATGCCGTCATATGCACAGTCGATAAGACGTATTCTATGCGGACCGTTGGCCTGTCCAATTCGGTGCTGGTCGTTACACCTCCGCAAGACGCATTCGCTTCCAAGTTCACTGACAACGGAGTCGTCATCCGCGACCAACTAAATGAAATAATCGAGCTCGCACCTATTGTCCCAAAATTACACAAGCTGTCAACCTTGTTACGCGGTAGGGAATATGATGAAGAGCATGACGAGGATGCGAGTTCGGTGCGGTTCCGTGTGCTTCCCGAGCATGATGATCACTCAGATCAACTTCCCACAAGACACCGAGCTTCACATATCAGGATGCGAGAGAGCTCATCCAAGCCAGTGATGCAGAACTGAATAAAGGTTTAAGGGAAAGACGGATACTCCATATAAACGGTGCTCGTCCTTTTTTCCTATCAAATCAAGTATTTACAGCTTCTCCAGGCGACTTGCGCCCCATTTCTTTGACGTATCTCAATCAACTACTGGAACTTGTCCTCAACCTGCTTGTGTCCTTGTCACAGCCGGATACAGGCGCATCTGTGGAAGACATATCTTCGGCCCTCGCTAATGACCATGACGTTCCACGAGTCGTCTCTACACAAGTGATGTCCTGGTTTGGCGACATCCACCAAGGCAAGTGGAAAATTGACGTCGATTGCGTGATCAGGGAGGTCGGTCTTGGGATATTAAGAAACCACAAGGTGATTTTACCTCTCCATCCTATTGACGAAATGGTGCCCAGCGAAGTACTTTGAGTAGCACGAACCCGTTGCCGGGGATATTTTTGTTGCACAATGGAGGTCTCTCGTCGGCGACTCCTTTGAGCATGCGGTTTCGTTGCCTTTGCTTGCCGTGAGTTACTTTGGCATTTATATTGACTGTCAAGCGCATTTATCGTCACTACAACAGGGAAACTATCTCGTTTCCACGATGCACGACACACAATATTTGACATACTTCCCCGCATCCCTATTACCCATCGACCCAGCTGCACGCTTTTCGCATCTTTTCCTGACTCGTCCCCGATGGAAAGGCGATGAAATTTCGCCTTTCCTGTCTGATATTGCCGTCAATAACAAAGAGCGAGACAAGCTTCTCCTCAAGCATTGTCGAGCTGTAACCGACTCTGAAGGTGTATGGTACACAGCACGAGCTCAGTACAATGGATGAATGGATCTGTCGTATTAAAAATATATACATCAACAAAGTCCCTTTGCTAAAATGTACAAGGCTATATGAAATATAGGGTGCATGATCAATAGTATCGTCAAAAGTTCGGAAAAGCCCTCAGGTTTTGGTTGGCCGTGGACGTATTTTGAGCGGTTTCCCGAGACTACGCACAGGTTCTGGCCGATACTCCTCATCCACCTCGCTGTAATCCACCTTCCTCTTCTTCCTCCCCTTTCCACTCGACGAACTTCCACCGAATATCCCCGAGCTGGTAGGGTTCACAGCCAAGTCGCCGACGTGCTTCCACATAGCTTTGCCGACCACCGAATTGTTCCGAATGTCTTTGAATTCTGAGCGAACACTTTTGCGGAGGATATGAATGGCCTTTGCCCGATCTTCCAATGACGCACCGCGTAATGTATACAGCAAGACACCTTTTCAAGCCCTGTCAGGCAGATGTGACCACACCCATAGTCAAAATTCTTACCAACGAACAGAAACTCTACTGGTGCCACACGTTGCTGAATCTTAGTGAATCCCTCATTTAGCTCCTTCCTATGTGCAATCAACCAAAAGTCTTTCAGCACCCGTTCAATATCGTCTTTGAATTGCTGCCCAGGTTCATCGACACGAGACAACCACTTCTCGACCTTTTGCGCAGTGGGGAGCAACTGCTGCTTGGGAATACCGTCACAGCAATACACCATATGGGCAATGTTTTGGTAGTCCCGACCACGTTTGGTGTCCCATTGAAGAACGTGTGAAAGGCCGCCATCGACGGTAACATGCCGTGCTTCAAGTTCCCCAATCCATCTGGAGTAAAATTAAAAATCGGATATAAAGGTGACAAGTTCTGAACTTACTGTGCCCATGGCGAAGAGATAGCCTGCAGTTTTTCTGAAAGAATCAAGTTGATAAAAGTATTACAATGCATATAACCAACTTACCTGCCGCAGTTAGAGTCATGCCGAGCTGTACTCTCTGGAAAATCTCTCGTTCAGTGCCAGGAGCTAAGTTACGATACGTGACTGAAAAATGACATGTCGAACAGATTGATACAGCCAAATCAACAAAATGCTCACCACACGTAATCCGCTTCTTTGAAAATTCTTCCTTCCAAAAGTCAGGAACTTCAAGACGCTGACCCTTGGACGACTCTGACGTGGTATACCAAAAGTTTTTCTTCGTTTTGGTGTCTCTATCTGATTGGGGTCCGTAAGACATGCCTCAAGGTTTAGCTAGAGAAAGCGCACGAGGGATCTAAATGTGGGTCAGTCAAAAGAATCTAGACGTTCATAAACAGCAAAGACGTGCTTGTCCATCAAAAAACTTTTGTATTGAAGTCAAACGCTAAAGTGAGCGTTAAATGAGTGACCAGAAAAGGCATGGGTAATCCTCGCGGCAGTACACACCTGCTTCCCATCTACACAGATAAAAACGTCTTCATCGTCTTCGTCTTTTTGCACAGCAAACACGACAGGAGGTACGTAGAAATTTCGAAAAATGGAGTCTATGAGACCGATTTGCTTAGTCTCTGGCCATACGACCTCTTCATAGTGAAGTAATAAATGTGAAGTTGGCGGTCAAGACGAGCAACACCGGCGTACCTCGTTGATATGAAGGATTGAGATCAATCATTCCCTCATGTATCAGAGCTTCAAGAAGAACAAGTCAGAATGTGACAGAACAGCAAGGATAAGAGGCGCCAGACTATGAAGTTGCCGGGTGGTGAAGATCTGGGGGAGGGGCTCTTTAAGAGGATTCCTAATAGCAAAAACGTTGGGATCTTCTTCCGTTTCTGAAAAGAATTCTTCTTCAAGCTCGTCGATTTCAGCTGATGTTGGAGTTTTGGGTGGAGGTGAAGAGTCCATGTTTTATGCAATGTTTACCATCAACTTGTCGCGTCGACCTTGCTGTGACGTTATTGCTTCTCGAAGGTAATGCCAAATAGCATCCAACTACTTACATAAGTGCAGCGTGGCAGCGAGGCTCACTTACGACCATGTCCACCAATATCAACGATGGAAACATCAAAATTTCTTTGCCTCAATTTTTAAAGATCCTCACTGGGAATAACCTCCCTATGCAGAAAGCAATCGCCGTGGCTGCTAAAGTGTTCGCCCGTCGCCACCCCATGCACCAAACGAGTACTTACTCCACTCCAGATACAAAGAATACAACACCCCCGCTATGCTTGGACAACTCAGTGATTATAAGCTCAAGGTAGTAGGAATCGACGATAAAGATGACCGAAAGCTCGTCATGGGTGCAATCCGCAAGGCTGGACTCAAAGGCTCACTTCTGAAGCAGAAGAAGGAATCATCCTCAACGCTAGTCTCCCCCATTGCAGGTCCTTCGGCTGTTCAAAATATCGTATGCTAAATTCAAGTTACAAAATCGTTTTTGAATGTTGCCATTCTACAGATAACCCCCCCAAAGCGGAAAAGAAAACGTACAAGTACCGACCATAATGAATTTTTTCTCGATAGCCAAGCGGACGAGGCTGCCAATCTTGGTAGCTTAGAATTTAACGAGATCCTAGATGAGGATGTAAGCTTTGTGAATCGGGGCATTGGATCTCATTGTTGATGGTGTTATGATAGGTGCTGAGAATCAAGTCTACGGTGGTGAATCGCGCACCAATAATGACTGCGTGGGCCACCCTCGTAGCAGAACGTATGCACTTCAAACGGGAAGAGGCGCTTAGTATCGGTATCTCTATAACTACTTGTCTGCTTCACTGCTACCATGATTTTTTCATCTAGCTTCCGTTTACACTGAAATTAATGCCATCTCCAAAGGGATATCGCTCGGTATCTATGACAAAGGCAAGGGAAAATGTCTGGAAGTCCCAACTGAAGGGTCACAGCCATATGTAGAACTAATGGGAAGAAGGTTCAGTGTCTTCCTACTCGTCAATGTTCCGAAGATCTCAACGAGCGTTGTGCTGTTCATCTTCTCAGAGTGTATGTTCATTGCCATGGGTCGTGGATTACGCTTAAATATAATGTTACAGACCACTATACCATACCCAGTCGGGCGAATGGCGGGCTCTCTCTAACGGCTCGCCCGTCCCACCGAGTACCGCGTTCTCCTACATATCTCGATCCTTTCGACAAACCACCGCTTCCATTGTTGGTGCACTGAGACTGCTGTCGGAGAGCTACGAACCACAGGAGTTGAATTCAAAAGCGTGGTCACTATACATGGAATTCAGGCCTTCCGTAGACAAGTGGGGGGAACGATCCGACGTTTCGTGTGCAAAAATTTTAGACCTTCGCAAGAAAGGAAAACTTTTGGCATCGGACAAGGCAGTTAATGAGCCTTCTGGAGCCGGGATGAGGAACGAAAGTGTTATCGAGCCACCGGAAGGCCACGCGGACGGGCCACGACGCAAGAGACCCAGAGAGTTGACACTCGAAGAGTATGAGGTGGCTCTTGACCAAGATTCAACTTTCGACAATGTAGATCTCAGCTTCAATACTACAATTCCGTAATCATGGATACGGTTGAATATCATCACAGAATGGCATTGCTACTGATGCAGAGAATCGAAAATGAGCTGTTTTGGATAGACTCTTATCTAGTTCCTGTCCACGGGAAGACTCTATACTCCGTAATACAATGTCAGGAATCGACGTAAAGACATAAGCTTTAGAGCTTTTGGATGATGGCGGCGGTAAAGTCAGAGGTAGTTGCAGATCCTTCAAAGCCTTGTTTATAACGACTGAAATGACGCGAGAAATCGTGTAACTCACCACCCATGTCAGCAGTCCTAACTTTTCCCTCGTTGATCACATTGAAGGTAGCGCTTGCAATGCTGTTCGCGATGGGATCAAGGCTGAAGGCACAATTCAATCACGGAAGGGAAAAGGAGGAGCCTTATACATACCCTAGATGCCTGAGCATCATCGTTGCGCTCAAGACCATGGCCGTAGGATTTGCACGATTCGTGCCCATGATATCGCTGGCGACATGACGGCAACCGGGTTCAAACAAAGCATATTCCTTGGAGTATATGAGTGAAGAAACTACTTAAATTTTTGATAAAGGACCTACACGGCCAACATTGCAACCTGGAACAATTCCTGGTCCACCAACAAGAGCGGCACCGATATTGGAAACAATGGCGCCATACAAATTGGGCATCACCATAACATCAAACTGCCCAGGGCGGGCAACAAGCTGCATCGAGCTGACACCACGGGGTAAGCACGACAAGGGCAGGATGAAATCGCAGACGTTACGTGTTGTCAACAATCATGTCGTTAAATTCGATCCCAGAAGACTTATACTCTTCCGCAACCCGTCGGAAAGTATTTAAGAAGAGGCCATCACCGAGTTTCATGATGTTGGCTTTGTGGACACATGTCACTTTCTGAAATGGTCATAAAGCCATTGTTTGGAGATGCAAAATGCAAAGGAATACCTTGCGATTGTTCTTCAGGGCGAAGTCAAAGGCAAATCGCGAGATACGTTCCGCTTTTGCCCGTGTCGAGACCTTTAAACTCTCGACAACGCCCGGATAACTCTGGTGTTCCAGCCCAGAATATTCACCCTCGGTATTTTCACGGATGATGGCAAAGTCGACGTTTGCGTGCCTAGTTGGAAAGCCTGGCAATGACTTGCAGAGGACTACTGAAGCATAAATGTCGAGTTGTTGGCGCATGGCGACATTCCATGAAATGTGACCTGACTGAGAGATGGGGGTAAAGAGAATGCCTAAGGTCGAAATAAGATTGAGACAAGTGTCCCCCAATGCAAGCCCAAACGCACCCTTGAGACCCACTCTGTTTCGCTTCAGACTCTCCATGGCTTGCTTAAAGAGGGCCTCTCCAGCGGATGACATTCCAAGAACATCGTATTGTTCCCACTCGATGGGCGCATTGACATACTCAAAGATCTCCTTGACAGAGTCTGTAATTTCTGCACCGATTCCGTCACCTGGAATTAGCGTAACCTGAAGTGGTGGAGTGAGCGGAGTGCGATGGTGGAGAGACGAGTGACGTACGGTATATACGCCGCCATACTTGGTGGTAGGCTGTTTGGACGAAGAAAAATAAGAGAGAGAAACGAACAGACGCGGTGAGCATGGCATACCCTGTGAAGGACCTTTGGGAAACCTGCCGAGAGGGTTGTGACGGTTCTCTAAAGAGAGCGATAAGAATATATATGATTAATTCAGATAAAACGCACCAAGGGGGAGCTGACTGGGCGAGCGACGGCCGAAAGCGCGTTGCGGAACATCACAAAAGTTTAGAAAAAAGAGAAAGAACGGAATCGCGAACGGTGGCTGCCGATGTCATCACGTGCAAACTGCTAACTATTAGCCTCAAACATTCCTTCTGTCTCTCTCGCCTTTGGTTTTCTTCACTCCTTCGTGTCTCTCTTTTACGTCTTCCACTCTATGCTACATGATATCTCAGAAACTCCTATACCGCCGCGAGCCCGCGATCTTTCCTTCTACTTCGTCCTCTTTTTTATGGTCATCCCACTGTGGTCCTCCGTGCCGCTCTCATGGGCCTTCGTGATTCACTCCCTCTTTTTCAAGAACTCGGGCGCCCACTCCTTTTTCAGTCGCGCTCTGTTTGCAATTGCTGCCTGTGAGGTTCGACCATTGATATTTACTGCAATCCTTGCAACTAATTTATTTGAAGGTCGGCTTTAGCATACGCTACCTCTGCCTCGTATGGCGTGTATCGGGGCGGAGTCCTCCTGGACCCGGTGACGCTGCTGAAGTTAAAACCGCATTCATTCGACTCCTAAAGACTGGTCTCGCCAACCTCCCCGAAGACGGCGGGGATCAAGAATCACTCGTTGTCGAAAGACCTGGCAGTCCTGAAGAAGCAATCATCCAGCTGGAACGCCATGATCCTCGTGCAATTGATTTCCGTCACTCCTTGCGAACCTGGTTCCGCAAGGTGCCTTGGTCAACGATAAAGTTGCGTAACCTCGAAAAATGGGTATATTGGTCCATATTCAATTCGGAGTTGCCGCCTCCAGAGGAGGTTCCTCATGCCCATCGTGAGATAGTTGCAGAGGCACTCGAATTGCTCCAGAAGCGCCTTGGTTGCAAGCTTGAGGAAGGTGAAAATCGCCACATACGACCTATGCGTTTGACGATAGACCGCGTCAATATCCTTTGGCGCCCCTTGACATTCTACGCTATTGTTAGAATTGTCAACTTGGGTATTCGGAGTTTGTATAAGACAAAATGGAGCGCTCGCTATGCATCTTTCGATGGTTTAGAGTCAGTGTGATCCATTTTTCCAGGTCTTATTGGTTGCTGAAAGAAAAGGCCTTAGATATCTACTTCGCATACCGGAACAATGGGATCCCGATTCATCTCATCGACCTCTGGTTTTTGTTCATGGTCTTGGCCTGGGGCTTCTTCAATACCACGGGCTTCTTTCCCACCTTTTCGAATCCATCTCTGACCGGCCAATTTTAATCCTCTTGCAGCCTCAGATTAGCCAGGACTTTTTTCATCCTCACTTCTTGAAGCCGCTAAATAGGCAGCAAATGGCTGGCAAGCTATCCCGGTTACTCCACAAACTAGGGTGGGTACATCTCAATTCAAATGGACTGGTAGAGTCGTCTAGCGACAGCGAAGAAGAGCGGCAGGTTGAGAAATCTTTAATACCCAAGACGTGCAAAGGCGTGACTATGATTAGCCATTCTAAGTAACTCTTTTTCTTTCTTCTCTCAACTCCCTGCCAATAATGGACTACAACAGCGGGTCATACACTCACGCATGGATGTTAAAAGAGCATCCCAAATTGGTCACTCGTTCTTGTTTTGTTGATCCTGTGACGTTCTGCTCATGGGAAGGAGGTGCGTACACCGACCCCACACGCTAATAAAATATCTTTCATCTATTCTTACTTAGACGTTTGCTACAACTTCCTCTACAGAACTTCCAAGACGGTACGTCTGCTAATTGACCTTTTGGGCATATTGTTGAGTCTGCTGAGCAGGGTATCGAACTGCTGATGCGATACTTTGTGGGCACTGAACTTGGCGTTACCAACCTTCTTCAGCGACATTTCGATTGGGTATCTAATTCTCTCTGGTTTGAAGAAATTCCTAACGGTCGGGATCCGTCAAAAACTTTGTTTCTTCTCGGCGGGCAAGATGATATTATCCACGCTGAGGTCTGAATCTTGTGCATTGCTTTGTTTCCGTTGCTCAAAGTTTATCTCGCAGCGCGTAAAACGCTATCTCATGTCGCACGGGGTCCAGAAAAACTTACTTTATGACCCCAATGGTAGGCATGGGCACGCCATTCTCAAGGGCCGACCAGGACATACCGAACTCTTGCGATGGCTTCGGGAGACACCATAACTTAGATTATAGACGCTAAATTGTATTTAAGGGAAACGAACCATTCTAGATATTTACATATATTATTTTTCAATAAGTGGGACAGGTTGGTCCATAGTAAGGTCATCCTGGATCTTTTTACCAGCAAAAAGCTCAAGAGCATTTCCGTACATTACTGCATTGAGTTTGTCTCTGTCGTCGCGATAATGTTCTTCTAGGTTTCTTGTGTACCAACTGGCCATATCTGTGCTAACCGCTGCAAAACCAAAAACTCGTCAAGTATAGTATCATTAAAACGGGGTTCACATGCCAGGAAAGTCAGTCCCAAAGAGTAAATTCTCCCTGGGAATAAACCCATCCATGGCTTGCAAGTTGGTGGTATACGCGCTCAACGCCGTTTCGTAGTAAAAGCTCCTAAAATCCTCTACAATCTCTTCTGGCGTCAAAGTGCACCCCATGTGTCGGGAAAGGATAGCGACGCGGGCAGCCAGGAAGGGTGTGCTTCCCCCAAGATGGGCGAGAATGACCTTGACGTTGGGGTATTTCCGTTTACGACCAGTGACGACGAGATGGGCTGCAGCTTTGAAGGTTTCGTTTGGGACCTTGCGGCATATGTAGAATTTCAAAGCAACACCAATTATAAGACTTGTTGCAGACCTCTGTGATCGGAACCCCAAGAAGGGCATGGGGACAAGGCGTGGAGGATGGTACTTGCGCTCCATGCAGGAATACCACCGCTTTGCGTCGGTCAAGTTCGGCCCATAGGGAATCATATGTTTCGTCGCCAATGTACTCTGGAAAAAAGCGATTTCAGGAGACGTTTTATCGACCTTGAAAACTCAACGACTTGCGCAAATGCCTTCCCCTTGAGAAGAGGATAGGGCGAACCCGTCAGCGTTCAGTTCATCAAGGGCGTACGAAACCTCTGCCAGAACTCCTAGCTTCGTGCATTAGCTATCTTGTGAGAAGCGAGAAAGGTAATGCACACCAGTAAGGTCGTCGAGGAATGGCAATGTAGCAAAGAATCCAAACCTCTGAGGATGTGCCTTGCAAATATCAGAGGCGTATATGTTTCGTTCTCTTGCTTTGGTTCGGTTTTCTGAGCTCACGGTTCCAGTGGTAAGCGCAGGCAATGAGAGAATGGCGTAATCTATCCCAGATTCATCCATCGATTTGAGACTCAAGGCCGGAGTCCATGGTAAGTTTTCCGCTGGTGTTAACCAGCCAACGTCTTTGTTGGTCTTTTCTTTCTGAAGATCCGAGGGAAAGAAATGATGATGTACATCGATGCGACGCATTGTTGGCCACTCGATATGTGCCTCACGGTAGAGATTGACCTAGTTGCTTAGCATATAAGCAAACCAAGGACCCGCGGGAACGAAGTGGAAGCTGCTTCAGGTGAGTGTGATACCATTCGGGGAATTTTACGCCATATCGGGTTGTACTCAATCAAGAAGTGAGATTTCTATTCATTTCTAAATGGCGCGCACTCTGCTGAATCCCAACTCACAAACTGCCCACTGAATGACTTGGGAGCCGAGAGTGCCAGAGCCGCAATGACGTGCCCACATTCTTCGGGTTTAACGAGTTTCCCTTCAGCGTGAGCTTTTACGAAAAATTCGTAATTGGCTTCTGTCATCGAGACCGCCCCCATTGCCCTGAGAGTTGTTTGCATCTGGATATAAAAAATGAGAGGAAAATCAGCGGTCACAGAGAAAAATATCATTTACATTAGTGTCAACCATTCCGGGTCTGACGGCGACGGAAACCACGTTCGGTTCCTCTTCCGCAAGGGTCCTTGCGTACATTTAGAACACTGCGACACAAACTGATAAGTATGCAATTACCTGCACAACGAATTCATCGCGGCCTTCCCTGCGTTATAGGGACCCCAACCAGCTGTACCCTTTTGTGCTGCGCCAGAACTTACAAAAACGACTTTCCCGCCTGTTTTGCTCCTGCGCAGAGATGGAATGGCTGCATTCACCGCGGTGACGAGGGAGAAAAAATTTACGTCGAAATGTTTCTTCCAGGAGGATAGCGGAGTATCGTCTGCAATGCGACACAAAGGATCGAGTGTACCTGCACTCAAAATGAGACCGTCGAACCCCTGGTAGTGATTTGCAGCGTGTTGCAAGGTTTCCGTTAAAGCCTTCTCATCGGTCCTACGGATCGACCGCGGACATGAGACAAGGTGTGATTGAGCGAAAACTCTTGGACTGACACATCACACTCTAAAATCAAAAGAGCATCCGACTTGAGCTCGAGTAACTGTGGGGTCGTGGACCTGGAGATCGCGACGACGTTTGCATGAAATTTTTTTAGCAGAATGGTTGTGACGGCGAGACCTATTCCTCTGCTGAGTGGTTAATACGGGCGTTGAGACTACGAGACGGGGTCGAACTTGGATGCACCAGTGACGACGACGACAGGATTCATGGCAAGGCGAATTAAATTTTTTAATGGACGGATCAAATTAATTCTCAATTGCGATTTGATACTTAGCATAAACTCAGGTCCCCAACTTTTCTCTTCATCCACCATGGTCTCCCGTCTGGCCCTCTCTCGTATTGCCCCCGTTCTTTCCAATGCCAGGCCATCGTCTTCAGCAACTGCTCGTCGAGCTCTCCGTGCTGCACGTGGCTACGCAACAGCGGACAATGACAATCATGTAAGTCACGTCACCCATGTCCCCAGTTCTCTGACACTACTGGACCAGATGATCGTCCGTGACGCCCTCAACGTAGCAATGGATGAGGAAATGGCTCGAGATGAATCTGTGTTTATTCTGGGTGAAGAGGTTGCTCGGTACAACGGTGCCTACAAGGTAGCTGTCGTTTCCGTCTCCCTCGAACATTTCGTTGATTATTATATCAGGTAACAAAAGGGCTCATGGACAAGTTTGGCGAAAAGCGAGTCGTCGACACTCCTATTACAGAGATGGGCTTTGCTGGGCTGGCTGTCGGAGCCGCAATGCAGGGTCTTCGACCAATGTACGCTCTCCATGTACACCCGAACTTTCCCATTCATTGAACGCAACTTAAGATGCGAGTTCATGACCTTCAACTTTGCTATGCAAGCAATTGATCAAATTGTCAACTCGGCCGGTAAAACATACTACATGTCTGGTGGCAATGTCCCATGCCCAGTCGTGTTCCGCGGTCCCAATGGTGCTGCTGCCGGTGTTGGTGCACAACACTCCCAGGATTACGCAGCTTGGTATGGTTCAATTCCCGGATTGAAGGTTGTCAGTCCCTGGAGTTCTGAAGATTGCAAAGGACTACTCAAGGCAGGAAACTTCTTTCTGACCCACTCTTCTTCCGTAATCATTTACCCTGTTCTAGTCGGCAATTCGAGACCCCAACCCTGTCGTCTTCCTCGAAAACGAAATGATGTACGGTGTCTCCTTCCCTATGTCTCAAGAAGCAATGTCGGACAACTTCCTCATCCCCATCGGAAAGTGCAAAGTTGAACGTGAGGGAAGCGACGTTACCATTGTCGCTCACAGCAAGATGGTTACACACAGTCTGGAGGCTGCTGACGCCCTTGCTAAGGAGGGTGTCAAAGCTGAAGTTATCAACCTGAGGAGCATTCGACCTCTTGATATCGACACCATCATCAAATCTGTCAAGAAAACTAACCGGTATGTGGGAACATTTCCGCCCCATATATCAATAATCCAACATGAATAGATTGGTTATCGTTGAGGGCGGCTTCCCCGCCTTTGGCGTTGGTAGTGAAATCTGTGCCCAGATTGTGGAAAGTGAGGCATTTGACTATCTCGATGCGCCAGTCGAGAGGGTCACTGGTGCTGACGTCCCCACGCCCGTACGTGAATTTAAACGTTGTAGAAATCTGATTACTAATAGACGTTAGTATGCTACCAACCTCGAGGCACTTGCCTTCCCGGATACACCCGTCATCGTCAAGGTCGCAAAACGTGCACTGTACCGCACGAACTAAGGTTTACTCGTTGGATTTGGCAGTTTTTTCTAGACATTCATTTACTGCGCTTACCGCCCCCTAGATACTCTAATAAACGGCGTATACCACCCACTGATATTGTGGATTTATGAGCGTTGTTCGCGCAGCCTTATACGAACTGCATTTGCGTGTGCCTGCAAACCCTCACAGTCTGCCAACGTTGCAACCACTGGGCCGAGGTTGCCAAGTCCTTCCGCCGTAATCTCTTGAGAGGTTATGTGCTTCTGGAATGACATAGTGTTGACGCCACTGAATTGGCGCGCATAACCATTGGTTGGTAAGGTGTGATTCGTGCCCGAGGCATAGTCACCGCAGCTTTCAAGCGTCAATCTTACGCAAAGAAAAAGTCAGAATTCAACACACCTTTCTGGCGTATATGGCCCCACGAAGACACTGCCAGCATTGTCAATCTGGGAGACTTTTTGGCTTGCATTGTCCAGATGCAGGATGAGGTGTTCAGGTGCATAGTCATTTGAGAAAGCAATAGCTTCCCCAGCAGTGGCAACCTTCAGGATGATGCTCTTCGCGATCGACTGGCGAACAATATCCACTCTGGATAAAGCGCGCGCTTGCACGTCCACTTCCCTTTCGATTGCCGCCAAATGGTCGGGAAGTAAATCCACAGCTACCAGAACAACTTGAGAGTCGACACCATGCTCGGCCTGTGACAGCAGATCTGCCGCAACAAATGCGGGATTTGCAGTATAGTCAGCGATGACCTTGATAAGGTTTCAGCAAACCCTATAATCAATTACATAAAAAACTACTCACTAGAACTTCTGAAGGTCCAGCAGGCATATCGATTGAGACAAGAGCATCTGTGTCATTCTGCACCAACATTTTTGCTGCGGTGACCCATTGGTTTCCAGGACCAAATATTTTGTCCACCTTTGGAGCAGTCGCAGTTCCATATGCCATGGCGGCCACAGCTTGAGCTCCGCCAGCTTTCAAAATAGCTGACGCGCCGACCAGGTGAGCAACGTAGACAACTTCTGGCGAAATGCTGCCGTCAGTTCTCGGAGGTGTCGCAAGGACGATGTTCTTGCATCCTGCAACCTGCGCAGGAATACCAAGCATAAGAGCTGTCGAAGGAAGGATGGCGGTACCTCCAGGAACATATAACCCGACTCGAGCAATGGGACGTGCGAACCGCGAGCATGTAACACCTGGCATAGTCTCTACGACTAGTGGCGTGTCCATCTGAGCACTGTGGAACTTGTGGATGTTCGCGTATGCAGTATCGATCGCGTTTCGTACATCCGCTTCCACCTGCATAGTTTCTGGTGCGAACGGGGCGAAGACAACGGTGGAAGTGAGTTGAGCTTTGTCAAATTTTGCGGTGAATTCGAGAAGGGCTTCGTCTCCTCGAGCACGAACTTCCTCGACGATCGGTTTGACTTTCCCGATCATCTCATCCGACTTCAAAACAGGTCTCCGGAGCAATTGTGTGTATTCTTGTGAGGACAGAGACGAGAGATCGAAGGTACGCATACGAATTGTTCCCGATGCAGGTGCCGCGCTGGGGAGTGGGTAAGTTACTACAACAGAGTCTTGCTGTTTCTTAGTTGACCATTGAGGTTTCGCGTTGCCAGGTCTCCGAGTAACCTTTTTCGCCTTTTTATCCAGTGACCGTTCAATATCTGCGATGCCCACTCCTGCCGCGACGCACTTGGCTAACGCAAAGTAGAAAAGGTCAGCAGCTTCGAACGAGACATCCTCTTTTGACTCTGCCTTGCAGAGCTCATCCGCTTCTTCCATAATTTTGGACCGTAGCAGCCCAGGATCGCTAAAAAGGCGTTTGGTATAAGATCCGTCTGGTGCGCTGTCAAAACGGGATTGAAGAACGCTCTCAAGTGCGGGAAGCCCAGTCGCCTTGCCGAAGCAGGACTGTCGATTAAGATGGCAAAATCCAAGACCGTGTTGCACGACACGGAACTCAAGACTGTCCGAATCGCAATCAACGCGAATCTGGACCACTCTTTGGGTTGCGCCAGAAGTTTCCCCTTTCCGCCATAACCCATGCTTGCGAGATTGATACACACCCTTCCCCGTTATGATGCTCTCCTTGACCGATTCAGGAGAGGAGTAAACCAGACCAAGAGTGTGTCCTGTCTCGTTTGAGACGATAGTCGGGAAGAGGCGATCGGGTCTATCTGACTGTAACGGTGCAAGGAAAGCATCGGCAACGTTGATCTTGGTGTTAGATGTGGCGTCCAAGGTAAGCTGTGTGTCGGGTAGGACCAGAATGGCCCCCATCGCCGATAGCTGTCGGAGGATGGAAAGTGTAGGGATCTCTTCCGAGGTAGATAGAATATAAGTAGTGGAGCCCGCAAAAAAATTGGATATGGATGAAACTAAATCTAGATCAACGTTCTGGGTTTTCAGCAACACGCCAGAAACGGCTTTTCGAACTTTGTCCGAGATGGCGCTGATGTTGGTCCCATCGAGTAGAACGATGAGACGATCAGGGGGAATGACACCGATAAGTTCCTGGGCGATGGAAAGGTTGACTATGAGCTTCTCTATGCCCTCGTCCAACCAGGCTGCGATGGCCTCCAAGTCCAGAGGGACATCTGAGTCGAGAAGGAGATAGCAATGATCTGGGGGTGAAGGGAGTGGACCAGAAGAATTTGAAGATACGACGACGGGGCCTATGCGATTGAGGGCCTGAAAAAGAGCGTCGTTCTCCTCGGTGAGAAGTGGCAGGAAGATGGACATTGTTTAAAGTAAAAAATCAAACTGCAAACATTTAATCTTATCTTTAATATCTTATCTTATCTTTTAACTTTATGACGTCACACTGATGTCACGGTCATCATAGTCCACTTCTTAAACACTTACCTTCAACCGATCCTTACACAACGTACAACCATGTTCTTGAATATTCCCAACATCTTCCTCGCTGTCCCTCGAAACCCCGTCACTGCTCTCGGGCTTCCCCTAGCTCTGGGCTTTCTGGTCGGCTCTCCACCTTCATCAAAACCAATCAATAGCAACTGGTATCATGTAAGACATTTCGAAGACTACTGTTCATAACTTCTCAGCAATGCTCTAGAATTTGAACGCGCCCCCTGGGCGTCCACCTCGCGAGGTCTTTCCTTTTGTCTGGACTTTGCTATATCTATGTGCGCACTACTTAAGCTCGACCTGGTATCCATCCTAACCAGTTATCCATCCAGCTATGGGGTATGCCTCCCATGTGGCCGTTAAAGCGTTAGACGACAGCACATCCGTCGCTGATAGGTGCGCATCTGACGTACTACGCCTTCTTTCATCAAGCCTCATAAAACCCCACTGGCATAGGGATGATCTTTCCCTTGGAATAACATTGTATTACGCCCAGCTTGGATTGAACTGCATTTGGAGTCCCATTTTCTTTGAAGGTCATAAGGTTTGTTTCCCCTTTGACTTGTTAAGAGACCCTTTGTTGCATCCTGATCGATTGAGTAGCCGGGTGTTGCTTTGGTGGACAGTCTTTTATTGACCGGAACAACCTGGTATATGACTGTACGCCCTGCTTCATTCAAGCAAATCAAAAAGCAATCTGATTTTTATGCAGAGAGTACTTGACCGCCCCACCAGTGCGACCACCACTTATTTTTTGCTTCCTTATTGTGCATGGTTGGCGTATGCGACGTACCTCAATGCTGGGATGTGGTGGTTGAATCGGGGAGGTTCCTTGGGGGACGACCAAAAGCCTGAGGAATGATATCACTCCTTTTAAGTACGATGAGAGTTTTACAGCAGAAACACAGTATGTGGTAAGAGATCAATGTTACAGAATACAGTAAGTAGCAGGAATTGAATTGGAGACATTGATCGTGAGTTTAAATGCTTACTGGATGTCGATGAGATATTTTCTAAACTATGAAGGTAAGAAAACTCACAGAGAAATACATCAGAGTGCTTTGAGTTTTGTGCAGGGGCTTGAAATCACGGCGGAAGTTATCGAGAGAGTTGTTGGCGTCTACTTGCGTTGCGGAATCAGAAAAGTCGATACTGCCAGCAGGATCGTAGTGATTTTTTGCTCGGGAGCAAACAATATCGGCGTCTGCGGTTCCTTTGAGACCAAAATCATTTGAATAAAAACAAGAGCTCACAATAAACCGGCGCCGGAATAGAAACAGAGCGCGTCGAGCGAGCATAAACATGGCACAAGGCGAACGAGAGAGACTGGAGGGAATCCGGCGACAAGTTGTTTTCCTAAAAATCATTGCATCAAAGTCAAAATTCGGAAAGCAGTGAGGTGCTTGTCTTACATCATATAATACCTAGACGGGTGCAAGATTATGCATCAGTATTGTGGAGACAGGGAAATGACGCACCGAATAATGAGCGGGGCGGCTAGTCCCTAAAAGACCTCCATGGCTTTGGAGGTAGAAGTCGAACTCGGTCGGATGCGCAACCGCTCGATCGACCACTGTTCCGGCAGGGCAGTTGCCGCTCCGGTCTCCGTCACGTTCGTTCTGAGGGAAGAAGCTGGCAGCAAAGGGACGTGTAGTCAGAGTCGGCAGTATGACCAGGGTGCAAAGTAACCATACCGGACGTGGTGTCTCTTTCCAACGACGATGATCGTGATCTTGGGGTTAATGCCGAGTTCTTCGCAAGCCTCTGAGGGCTGATTTAGATCGAGTATAGTTACATTCGCCAGACGTACTCTTGAGCAGAGGTAACTCTACAACGGAAGAATTACCATGGTCAGCTGTAGACGAGGAGGAGAGACAAAAGATCGCACCTTGTTCCAACACCTGTTTAAACTGCCCCTCAGAGACGCCATCTACGTCACAATTCGAGTTCCCAGACATAATAGCGAAGGAGGGATTGACATACCACGATAGAAAATGATGCGTTTGGGTGCGAGACTGTTTGCTCCTTTCTTTTCTACGGCTCCTCTGTACTTCATGTACATGCTTAAAACATGCTATAATTTAAACAAAGTTGTGAGTGCGCTCAAGTTGCGTAAAGGTACCGAGGACTGACTTTGCTCATCGCCTGCAATTCTTCAATCATCTCCTGGCGAGAGGTTTGTACCCGAGAGTCTCAAGTATAATATTAGTTTTTCGCCATGTATCATCCCGGAGGGCACCAAAACCGACCTGCAATATACTTGGCGGTGTCGGAGTCGACATTTGCAACGAGAGCGGTGAAAGACGGACGTCCATCAGAACCAGGTGCAGGGTGGATCACATCCGCACCTTCACCAAAGTTAAGTCAGACGGTGTGATACATGAGAGTAAATCGCACCCATGACAATCGTTGGTTGATGTGGATCGGTTAGAACAGAGACCGACGAAGGATCGGGAATCGTATTGATCCCTCCAAGCTTAACGTTAATTCTGGGCTTGGAGCTTAGTGTATGCGATTGGGAGATTGAGGAAGGGTTCTCACTTGAGGCTGATGTTCGCATAGTACTGCGGCTTGGCACGGAAACACTTGGAACTTTTCATGCATTGAGTTGCGACTCCCATCTAGGCGAGTTGAGGATCGTTCATCAAGATCGGTAAAAAGCCATACCGTGATGTCGCCGAAGCTGGGGTATCAATGGGTTTTCATATTTTAGTGGAGATTAAAAGATAGGACATACTGCTTGACGGCGGTGTAGATGTCGTTTCCGCCCTCCGGCAGCACGACGACGATCAAATTTGGGGGCAGTTTGTACTTGGCCGCACATTGTGCTCCTGCTGAGCGTAGCTGGTTAGCGATCGCACCCTGACCATTCTCCCAAAATATAAGGTTCGTAGGTGTCATTGTTATACCTGCAGCAAAGGTAAGGATGGGAAATTGGGGACATTTTGGAATACTTACCAACTTCGCGACATCTCAAGACTAAGCCGTTTATCATTTCCTGCGCCGCAGACTCTCCGAAACGGTTTTGTGTTTCATAGATAACCACAACCCATCTGTCAATTTGCACAGGTTTAAAGAAACGCTTATCGACCCTTGAAGATGGTGAGTGATGATTCTCAGAAAAAGGAAGATGAACGCAACATATTCCAAGCACCGTTATTCGGGACCTTGCTCATGACCAAGGTGAGTATGGAAAGGTTGAAGATTCTATGAGGTTGCGTACAATTGTAAGCTGTTTGCTGCCCGTCCCATATTTCAAAGTTGGCGGTTTCAACACCCTGGCCTTGACTCGAAGGGGCCCAGCTGCAGCGTCGACATGCATTCCAAATTGACGAACATATTCGGATTGTCCATACGCCAGAACCTAATAAGGTGTGATTATGTATGAGAAAGAGCAGTGATGCGGAGGCTTACAGCAAGACCATTTCGGATACTATCTAAACGGTCCTTGGGTTTTTTGGTCGCGAAATCCAGAACGTCCTTCGTCTTTTCAGGCGGAACTTGCTTTCGCATGATCTGACCAGGCGGTACGGTACATAGTTCCAGCGGGATCAATGCTCCTGATCCGACCTGTTGTTTTGAGTTTGAATATATATCCAAAAAAAGGGAGGAAAACTAACCTCAACGCAGACAACTTCTGGGAACCTGAGGACACAGTTTTGATGCGTCTTGAAGTAGTCTGCAACCGTCATCGTGCCTCCTTCTCTCATAGTAAACCTCAGGGCGTTTGCGCCTGCGGTGCTGAGCTTCTTTACGACCCGTGGAGTCTGGTTAACGGCGCCGCCTGATCCTGGAAGGGTGGTGATGACACGAATTCCCGAAATAAACCTTTGAAGTCGGAGTCTTTCACGATCGGGAAGGCCATGTGATGGAGCGAGGATGTTGGGGTCTTTATCTCTTTTCCCGATGTATTCAAGGCAAAGATTGAGAAGAGGGCCGGCCTTGTACATGGTGCCCGTGGAGATGTCAACATTGATAAGCATCTGACCACAAGCAGGTCGAACGGACTGGAAATATCCTCGCCAGAGTTGCAAACCAGAACCAATATCTTTCGTTTCGCGATCCGTAAAAAAAGAACGCACGTTGAATGGGTAGTTCATCGTGGGTTCCATACGAATCACGACGTTTAATGCCTGAAAAAACGTATAAGAAAGCTGAAAAGCAAGAATCAGTGTATATGACACATACGGTAATGGCAGTCAGCACGCTGTTGTCATGGGACTGATTGCCCGCAATAAAGCGCTGTAGGACTCTGAGTAAAAGGGGGTGAGGGTCGTACACCGTGGAGACTGAAGTAAACGTACTCGGGATTGATCTCAGCGACCTTGGTCAACTTGATCTTGAAGACCTTAGGCCCCTTGCCCTTGCTACCAGTTTCGCCCCTTTCGCTGAAGCTGACATCGAACTAAATAAAATAAAATCGGACAATCTCCACCGAAAGAATAGGTCGTGGAAAGTACCTCCTGGGAACTAGAGCCGCCAAAAGGTAGCTCGCGGATGGCAAACATGTTCTTTCGACCATCGTAAACTGCACGCGGAGTGAAGATCTGTGGTGCGACCTGGGTTTGTAGAGTTTTGATAAGTGCCATGTTGAGACGTGCAGGCAACGTCTTCTCGGAAGGGGATATAACTATGAAAGGGTCAGCAAACTAAACAAACAAGCTACAAATGAGAACTTGCCAACTAAAGCAGCGGAAACGACGCAAGTTAATAGGTGTATTTGGTATGAGTTAATTGAAGCGCTGACCATCGTAATGGTGAATGACCCCTTCGGGGATGGTAGTCACAAAGGAATTAACGTAGATATCCAAAGGACGCCCTCCAGTGCCAAAGTCTGGTCGCTTGACACCGACTGTGGTGATGTGGTCGCCAGATGTGGGTAATCCAATTTGAACGGCAGTCTCTCGAGAGGCTGCACCACCGCGACCACCACGAGCAGGACCACCAGCACCGCGACCACGACCAGGAGCAGCACGGGGAGGCATTGGAAATAAGTAGAAAAGAGAAGAATAGCAAAGCAAGGTGTATTGTGGTCCCTGTAAACGCGTCGGGGTTTATTATACATAAACGCTATCACTATCGATGAAGACATCAGGAACATAGTAAGAGCCAGGATAGAAGAATTATCAAGTGACCGAAATTAAAGTGACATTGACAGTCACAGCACGTGTATTTTTTTCTCTTTGTGACCGAAATTGAATTTAGAAATGTTTTTGATACTTTCTCTTCTCTCCCTGGAATTAACGAGGTCATGGGCGAACCGCACACCTGGGGCTTTCCAGGTGTTTCAAGTGGCAGAGCAGAGTCGAGCGATCCTCTCTCTCTCACGACCACCCTAACCCATCGCCTCGAGGTACTTAGCTAAGTTAGCTTAGTTCTCTGTTGGTTCTCTGCCACTTATTACCACATCTGAACCCTGCATTTGCCTACCGGTATCCCCTCCCAGCCTCCGTCTCCGGCACTTTCGCCATCCACACCACCGCCCCTAGTTCGTTGAGCTCTCTTCTCTCACTTGATTATAAACACAGTTTAGCTGCATGAAAGCTGAGTTGGGGAAGGACAAACTCATCTAGAATCTGTACTAGCAACCAAAGGACCCGAGGAGAGGAGGGTTCTTTAAATACGGTTAACTTCATCTTCATCAAGATGCGCTGTCTATACTCATTCTTCCAATGCAGGTTATGTTGCCTGTCTTGCCTTTTGTCCATCCATGAGGAAGACGCTTACATCCGTCCTCCGCAGCGTGGGCTGCATCAGGTACTGTCATCGGTAAACTACGTACATTTTGTCGATTTGTCTCACTCAATTTCATCATCCCTGCCCAACATAAAAGGCGAAGGCTTCCTCTTTCAAAAACTAATTCTCTTCAAGGTGCCAACTACGATCATAGGGATCCACAGAGTTCGATGCCTTCGACAAGACATGCACCTTCAGAAAAAATAGCGGTACCTTTGGTAGATTATTTGCCCTCCATGGCGTGTTTTGCCGGAATGGTGTCCTGTGGCTCATGGTGTGGGATAACTTGGCAAAGAGCTTCCTGGTGGCATCATATGGGTCAACTTGTGGAAGAGCAGCGCTGTGGGCTTCGATCTTTTGTTCTTGAATCAGTTACCCAATATTTTTATTCTTTTTGTTGGCGAAAAAATTACGAAAAAACTGTCTGGGCATATCCCTCAACATGAGCACTTTGAGCATTTCTAGCCGACCGTAACATCGCCTACTCATACACTTGGGACTTTGCTGTCCTGGCGTGTCTTACACGGTCTTCAGTCTCCAGATGAACCAAATGGACAGTGTTGGCTCGTCCAAGAGTCATCAACAACCAAAGTTGGCTCACTCACATATACCCCGACTTGGGTCCAAACCTCTACACTGGCCACACCCACACAGTTTATCGGAGTTCCGGAAAGCGGAAGGCAGGGACAATCGGAAGCGACGACTACACGAACTGTGGCGAAATCTACCGCCTTCGGTAGGGGCCTCTTCCCAACTAACGGAACTCGCAGACACCAGAGGTCCCTTAACTCTCAAGAAGGCAGAGTCCTTGAAAGCAATCTATGACGATGAGCTATTGTGCCGCTGCATGTCTGAATCACAGTCACATATCGGGTGGAAGGAATTCAAAGAGTACGCCGACGCAAAAGAAACTGGTAAGTTTATTTCCGTATTGATGTTGCTCAGTTGGAGATATTTTCCATTTAGAGTTGTGGCACATTTTTCACGATGAACTCGACCTAGATGGAAACGGTCGGCTGGACATGGACGAACTTGACAGTGCTTTGAAGAATTCTGGTGAGCAGGATAGATCAAAGAGCTTTGGCTTGTGAGTTTAACCTGGTTTTACAGGAATGGAGTTAACTCCATCGATGCTCTCAGAATTTATGACCTCTCTATCATCGAAAACTTCCTCGGATCATATCACCTTTGATGAATTCCGCGACTTTTTGATTCTCTTACCGCGAAGAGCTTCGCCAAGTGAGATTTACCGCTACTTCCAAGTCAGGAAGTTCATGGGCGATGATGGCCATGGGCCTGCCCAAATTAGCATGGAAGGTCTGTCGATATTGCGGCCTTTTTTCCCCCGGTTTTTGTTAAAAAGGCATCTCTCAAAGGTGACGTTTATATAAGTGGGGAAGATAATCTACCAGATGGCGGCGCCCGCAAGGTTTCAAGTATGGGTGCGTTGGGCGTTGGTCTACCTCAGCTTGCGAAAAGCAAGCCCGAGGTAGCTACTTCTTATGATATCAAGGGCAGCGAGGAGGAAGAAGAAGAAGAGGAAGAGGAGGAGGAGGAAGAGGAGGATGCAGAGGAGGAGGAACGACATTTTCTAGAAGGGCACACTGCTCTCAAATTCCTGCTGGCTGGTGGTGTCGCCGGTGCTGGTGCGTTTCTTTGCACGGCCCATGGATAATATCTCAGATTTTGCAACTAGTGTCCCGCACATGTACGGCACCGTTCGACCGACTCAAAATATTTCTCATAACACGACCCCCCGAGCTCGGCGGTGCCCCCGTTGATCCTCGAGCGGAAGTGACGGGAGTTAGGGTGATCGGTACTGCTGTCGCTCGAATCTATGGAGAAGGCGGTGTGCTCGCTTTCTGGACAGGTAATAGTCTTTCTGTCGCGAAAATCTTCCCAGAATCTGCCATCAAGTTTTTTGCCTATGAGTCTTCTGTTAGTTGCCATTGTTCATCTCCATGGATCGCTCCTCACATTTGTGCTACAGAAACGTGCCTTTGCAAAGTACTGGGACGAAGTTGACGATTCTCGAGACATTAGTGGTGTCAGCCGATTTCTTTCTGGCGGCATTGGCGGACTCAGCAGTCAACTAAGTATGCAAGTACATCTGTTCTTGCTACGCCATAATGATGTCTTCTTCAGGTATTTATCCGATTGAAACACTCAAGGTGCTTGTCAATTTGCTGCTCCAGGATTGTCTGTATATGAATGCTTGTTCAGACACAAATGATGAGCAGCACGGGACAGCACAAGCGTACACTTTTAAACGCTGCTCGCCATGTCTGGGGCCTTGGCGGTATGCGTGCGTTCTATCGAGGACTCTCCGTGCGTGAGATCAATGCTTTTCGGTTCTAAAAATGCCCGCTCATTGTGCGCAGATTGGCCTGGTTGGGGTTTTCCCGTATGTCCCAGTCTCTATGCTGCAGTGTTTAGCACTGAATAATTTTCCAATAGCTATTCTGCCATCGACATGAGTACATTTGAGGCACTAAAACTTGCCTATCAGCGATCAACGGGAAAAGACGAACCAGGCGTCATGGCTTTACTGGCTTTTGGCAGTATATCGGGAAGTGTTGGCGCGACGAGTGTATACCCCCTAAATTTCGTGCGAACGCGACTCCAGGCCTCTGGTTCTTCAGGACATCCACAGCGTTATACAGGTGTGTGGGATGTCACGGTCAGAACTTGGGAAAGTGGTGGATGGAAAGGCTTCTATCGTGGGCTGTTTCCAACATTAGCCAAGGTTAGCCCAGCTTGGCTTGATGGGAGTCCTGAAACTTATGACTGCAGGTTGTTCCTGCGGTTTCTATATCGTATGTTGTGTACGAGCACACTAAACGAAAGTAGGTCATCCATTTGTCATATACTTTTGGTTATTCACGATTCACAGACTTGGAGTATGAAAGTATATCTTATCAGAATTGCATAATGTTTAGAGTCTACAATCATCTATGTATCTATCATCTCGCATTTTCAAGTCATTCAACGTTGTCAGATTCATTCTAGGAGCCTTTCGCGAAACATCGGGTCATCTTTCAGAAGGACATGTAGTGCGGTGTAATCTACAAATTGACCACGTTTAGAATCAAAGCAGGTAGTTAGCATTAATGAAATAAAATGTGCTTCTCTCTACATTAGGTCTTAATGCAGCGGCGGAAGAGTGGGGATGAGTCGTTAAGATCATGAAAATGATGGTAGAAATGCGAATGTGTATATGTGCCAAGGAGTATTAAATGACGTGGAAAAGAAGCGGTAGTGTTGTCGTGAAGCCGAGACGATAAGGATAGGTCGGAGTCGTAAAGGCTTTGGCGTCACAAAAGGCCCGGAGTTGATGATACAACACGATTAGGGGTTGGGCCCAATAAATAAAGATGAGGTTGTGTGCATCGCGTCGTTTCGTAATCCAATGATGTGGGAAGTCGATAGAGAACCCTTGAAAAAATCACGAAGGAAGGTCCTCTAACCTTCTCTTTTCTTGAACAAGCGTCTGAAGTTGGTCTTCCTTTTGTTGTCGTTCAGGCGTACGTGAGCGAGAGGGCAATCGAATCTTTGTTCTCCACTCTTGCACCCATATCCATTTTGGTTGTCGAGCCGACGACGGGTCGTCAGATGATGCGGAAGGGGATATCATGGCTCGGAGATGATCCCGACCGAGAATGGGGGCAAGCGACAAAAAGGAGAGGAAGACAAGTTTGAAAATGATTTCAGGTGTTGTCAGGAGCGATGAGATGGTTTGCGGCGTGGGTGACGGAGTTGAAGCAACAGTTTGTAGAATGTCCCCTATCTGACGTCATTGAAATATGTAAGTAGTTGCTTTCTCCAAATAAAGTGTGGAGTACCTGGCACGTAACTGCTGTCCAGGGAAGGCAGCCAATGAAAGTGCCCAAGATGCAATCTCTTAGAGATACTCCGCAAACACCACACGCAATATTAATGCCAGACCATGGTACGACACCAATGAGACGCAGAACGGAGAGACGGACCCAGGCCGCAGTTTTTGGTTTTGTTTGATTACTGGGATGCGACTCGGCACCCAGAGCACTACGGGTCATGTCCAGTGCTCGAGGAAACATGTGCATCAAGAAGGGAGCGAGGGGAGTCGACAGGAGTGTAGCACATGCTGAACCAATTGTGGTGAGCGCAGTGAGCATGATTGTCGCAAATGCGGGGGAGAATAGAGCTCCGCCCAGGACATTCTGGGGAAAAAAAGATCAAGGTCAAAAATAATAATCAGATAGCTGGGGGGATACGCACCCATAAGACACTGCCCGGAATAGACCACGCATGTTTCCAAATTGCAGAAATGGCCATGACTGCCAAGACGTGGGAGAGAGGACCTGGACCACTCCGAGAGTAACCATGCAGGTCCCTGCCTAGTTGAGCAACATCGGCGATCGTGTGCGGCCACGACATGGATATTGGAAGAGTTGATAGGCAAAATAAAACAAACAGGGTGGAAAGTGGAAAAAGAATGATGACGATTAATATTGGAGCGTGAACCTGGGCGCGAAATCAGATGAATAAAATAAAATCAAAAGAGAAAAAAAAGAGAGAAAAATAATCACGGTTGGGAAGGCATCAAAGGTATGGGATTGAGACTTTTCTTCAGGTAGAGATATGGAAAAAGAATCCTGTTGGGCGTCGGCTGAGACTGGAAGAACAAAGTGGTCTGAGCTTGAACGAGGAGAGGATGGGGTAGACCAGGATGACGAGTGCTTGGTTGGAAGGTGTAACCACTGAAGAAAGCGAGAAGCAAGGAGAACAAGCATGGAAGGGGGGGGAACACTGGTTGATATGGGATCAAGGATTGGGGAAGAGTCGGAGGCTGGTAAGTCTTGGACGGTCAGTAGACACGAGGTAGAACGACGACGACCGAGAGTAGCAAGAGAGCAATGGGACCGGAGATTTGTAGACGACACACGGTGAGGAGGGGGAGGAGGAGGGAGAAAAGGGGATAGAGGAGTATTAGAGGACATAGTGGAGACTCTACTTGAGAGTTGTAACCGTTGGAACCAGGTTACTTGTGTCAGCATAGCGTAATCAGCGTTCATTCCATAGCCGTAACCACGTAAGCATATATGACATATCGGCACACAGCGGCACACTAAGTAAATGACCTAATGTCCTGCCCTCCTGCTCTCTTGGATAACCGTGGACAGTTCCTCCAATTTGCGTTTGGAACGAAGAAGCGTTCCGAGCTACAGCAATTCAATTTTAAGTATAAAATCAATCAGTAATTCACCCACTCTTTTCTTCGTCAACTTCCTGGCTTTCTTGTCCTGCAAACACTTCTCTTAGCCTCCACTATTCCACCAGTATAAAATATTATCACACCTTTGAGTTCCTCAACAACTCCATTACCCGCCTCTCATACGCAGAGAATCCAGCAACCTCTCGGATCACAGACCGTACAAACTTGGTCTTGGTCGACTGCACGCCTTTGCGCTGGCTGGGGCGGACAGCTTTCGGGATGGGTGTCGTGGGATGGCCATGGTTAGGACCGTAACGGAGATCTGAAAATATAACCGGTTATCCCTTCTGAAGTTGTAGCACGACGACCAACTCACTGCTGCGAACCATTTTTTCTTGAAGAGATCTTGACGTGATGCGTTCAAGCGACTTGTGCCTTCAGTAGAACGACAGGGTCACGTGTGAGATTTGTGGCTGGTCCTGTATAGTTCCTATCTTTGATCTTCTCACGCCTCTATGATAACTTGATCTAATCTTATCCGATTGAACAGAGATACATAAGTATCAAACTTGCGCCGTCCCCGCCCATACTACCTCCGATCTTGGAGCCCACTGCCTCACCATCTTCACTCTCCCGGGGGAAGTAATCAATCCGGCTCGTTTCTCCTCTGTACATGCCGTCGATGTCGGTGATGTGCGCGCTGAGAGAATTGGTGTTGCTGGTCTAAGGACAACCCCAGAGGTATGACGACGTCCGTGATGCTGTTGCCCTTGCGTCGGGAAACTCCCTCCCTCCTCTTCTTCCTCCTCTTCTTCCTCCTCGTCGTCATCACCTTCTACCGCATCCTTTGTAGACCTGTTAGTGACCACCAATGTAACGAAAGATTTGAATTTACAGGATCAAAATCTTCCATCTGCCTGTCTTCGTCATCGTCTTCCTCGTCATCGTCATACTCATCATCCTCATCAATCCATCGCCCTCGCCAATCAACCATATCCAGCTCGGAGGGGCTCTCGGGCCGGAGGCGCAACCAATGCATTCGAGGACCGCTTTTTGCCCTCTCACTAACCTTGAAACCGTATATTCTGGGTACGTAGACATAGCCTGCGGCTCGCTTTTGACCACCATGTGGGTTCGGGTTAACAAAGGGAGACCCCCGGGAGCTGCTGCTACCCGATGTGCTTCTGGGGGACAGTGGAGACCCCCCAGCAGAAGGAGCTTTCCAGAATGGAGCCGGGGATAGCTCGCGATATGTTTGAAAGAAGAGATGGGAAAACGTTGTGCCGAAAAAGGCACCTGTAAAGGTGGCCGATTTCAATGTATATCAAGTAGTCGATGCGAATAGCCTTACCGTCCACACCTTGAAACCTGCTACTCGGTGGTACATAGATGTCATTACAATTGGGGCAAAAGAGCTTCACAGTATCGAGGCCTGGCACGTCCGAGCGTCCACAAGGCACGACGTTGCAGCTAACGCAATATACGCGTGGGCAAGATCCAAAAACGCCGCTTTCGTACTTCTCGGCCTAAAGCACGGAGTTGACTCTGCTATTCAACAGAGGCGAGAGGTACGCACCATTGCCTGCAGGCCTACACGCGTCAAAATAAAGCGCTGGTGTACCAGACCGTAGAGCATTTCAGCGGAAGATTCAACAATTGACACATCCGGTATTTTCGAGGCATCTTCATCTTCAAAGGCCAAAGTTCAGCCTTCCAACGTACTTTGGGACAGCCAAAGAAAAACCCACACCTGGTTCAACATCAAGTACCATTTCCATCGCTTCCTTCCAGAAGGGGACCATGGTATTCAAGCCAGTAAGGTTGAAGTCGTCCTCGATAAAGTCCTCCGTCACCTCGCAGAAGTATTCATGGCCAGGCAGCGAGCAAAACCAGCTGATCCACGTTAGTGTAGACGTCGGCGTGGAGGATGCTGAACCACGGCCCATTGTTCAGTGTCAGATTGAAGAACAAGAGCACAAAAGAGACAACATGAGATGAATTAGATTAAATACGCACTGTAGCCATCTTCTTGTTCCTCTGCTTCCTCCATGATCTCATCGCCTTCGCCGGTACCACTGACAGCATCCTCTTCCTCTAGTCCTAAATGAGGATCTGCAGCCAGTGGCTGTCTAGATGCCATGAGAGTGAGTTTGGCTTGGTTTTGCCCTTGAATGATATTTATTTAACGTCGCTGCAACCACCACTGACAGTTCCAACTCCGACCACCTTTCAAATTTCTAGCTATGCCTCTATGAATTTACATGTCACTTGTTCACTAGCACGTCCTGTCCAAATTGACGTCCCAAATATAACAAGCATAAGTCCTTGACCCATTAAACAGCTCACTATCACGTATCTGAACGCCTTCCAATCGCGTAAGGTGTGAACCTCGGCGGCGAACGTGCTGACAGTTGTCAAACAACCGCAATACCCATCGATCAAACCTTGCAAAATGGAACAAGTGTTCGCAGACGGGGGAGGCATTGTACTTTGCAGGACATGAAAGGTAGCCAGAAGTGCTGTTCCCAACGAGTTGGCAGCCAGGGTACCAACTGGGAGTGCCTTGAATCGTGAATTAAGCATTACTGAGAGGGTATAGCGCGTCAACGTTCCTGGAAAGGAAAATAAAAGGGCTGCGGTTGCTTGATGACGGAATTTATCCGCCAGTAAAAAATACGTGAGGAAAGTGGCAGCGTAAGTGAGAACTGCGGTGACACTCAGCGAATAACGATATAGTGGCTTTAAGAAGCTGGGCGACGAGAGGCGAGTTTCTAGGATAGAGGCAATATGGTAGCCGAAACTCAACGAAGCCAGCGACAACGACAAGGTGATAGCTGATACTCCGACCCCATTGATAAACTATTGGTCTTTGTATTAGGGCCTTGATCACAAGAGTCATATCACACATACGTCTTGTAATCCACCACGATGAAACTTGCCCGAGTTGATCCAAGAATTGAAGATATCCAGTTGCCAGCCAGAAAAGGTGGTCAACGAACCACAGAATCCTAAATCCTTCTTGAGTCAAGCCATGCAATTAGAACGGGGAGTGATTGCTGACCAGTGGTGAGTGCAGTATAGAGCGGTCCATAACTATGAAGTGGCTTCTAAAAAGGCGGGCAGAAATGTTGAAGGAGGTGACAAACAATTGGCCCAGTGGTTCCTTGACCCTCATTCCCATGCCCATGATCAAACACCCTACTGCCTGCACGTAGGCCAAAGGAAAAATGCTCCGACCGTCAAAGGTTGTCAAGGCCTGCAATCCGAGCCTCGAAAGCACTCCAAAGATGGAAGCCGGCATAAGGAGAACCAAAACAGGCAACGAGAAAGGTTCGTAGATCTTGGGCGGTCGAATGCCGTCTTCAAGGGTGGGGGGACGGTCCACTGTCTCGGCGATGCGTGTCTGCTGCTCGTCGTCGTCGAAATTTCCTGTTTCATTGAGCGAGTGGGAAATTTGTGAACCAGCCATTGGCGATACAGCGGTACTAGTTCAAGGTCATAAAAATAGTTGACTTTTGAAACTCACATGACATTATTGTAAGTATATAAGTATGTCAGAAAGAAGCGAAGCCCACTCCGTACAGGCGACCAGGGAAGGCATTATATCTCTCATCTGCGTACAGAATAGTCTTGGTCCTCCCCATTAGGCTGAATAGTGTGGATCGCACTTGCCAGCCTTGGTTTTCAGAGGGACCTTGATGTAAGATGAAGAAATTATTGAGGAAAAAATAAAGTCGACTAAAGGGACATAGTTGAGGGCAGGTTGATCATGTGACTACAATGTCCAGAGACAGTAGTGAGCGCCGTGCCTTACTGCGGTCTAAAGCCAACGTACCTATGACTGATCCTGAACTTTCCGGAAGTCCTAACCATTGTATTAATATTACTTGCTTTTCACCATGACCCAAATGTCTGCCATTCCAGATTTTTATTACTTCTGCTTCGCCGCTTATGAGCCCTTCTTAACGACGATAGGCTTTCTGGGCACATGCGCGTAAGTCCGTCGCCACATTGACTATGGCATTCCTGCTTCTAATTATCACCCACAGCGATCCAACCAGTGTAGGAGAGTTTATTCTCTTCCCTAAGCTTTATTGATCAGCCACAACAGGCACACAACTCACAAGCGCCTTGGCCTATAGGCGCACTCCCTTTTAATGTTCTTCCAAGAGCAACTCTTGTGACAACGTTGCAGCTGGCACATGTTTGTGCCCTCATCGGCATCATCAACTGCTTCGTTTTGACGGCTGCCCGAAAACACTTGCAGGATAATCCTGCTCTCCAGGAGAAGATTGTCTTCTCCTTGTTAACACCACTCCTTTTTGGCGACCTCTTTCATCTTATTATTACTCTCTGGGCTTTGGGTGACCAAAAGTGGGATTTTTGGAATTGGAGTCCTATGTTGTGGACAACTGTTATCCTGGGATTATCATTGATGATACCCCGCATAGCCTGGCATTTAGGTATTGCGCGGTATGTCGACAAGAGGGACGGTCTCTCACAAGAGGCCGCTACAAAGAAGTTGAAGGACCTTTCTAAGTAACCAATTCCTACTTGCCGTAAAGGAATACCAATTGCAGATACGATAATGTTACATCACGCGTTTCAATTTACATACTGGTGGGCTACAATGAATCCAAGAAAAACGGATGGAGAGTAAGGGGTCACTTCTCAGTAGGGCGCGTTCACGATGTCCGAGCGGCTGTGCAAATTGCCAGTAGATGGTGCAAGAGATTGCCGTGTTGGTTTCTTCAAGTTTCTCTTGTTGATCGCCAATACGTTATTGTTGAGGGCCACGATCTAAGGAGATAGAATTTTTAGACCACAATATTCCTCCAAGGATCACTTTACTCACGATTTGTTTATCATCCCCAAACTTGAAATTATCCTGTACGACATGATCTTCGTACTTCTTGATCTCGTATTTGTCGAGGTGGCCTTTCTTGACCTTTGCAAAGTCCCACGCAATGACGAACTGCCCCGTGGATGTAACAATTGCATTTTCCTCCTGGCCCTCGCCTTGGTTGAACCTGTAACGCATCGTTAGTTCGAAGCGAGGTACAAAGGTGTAAAATCGCACTTGGCAGGAGTGAAGGAGATTTTGTGACCCATATATGCAACATGTTCTCCTCTAAGCTGGAGGCGGCGAGGAATTGGCTTTGCCGTTGCAGGGAAGCTGCGGTCGAAACCAAGCTGTCCTTGATATCGTCCTTCACCGATCAAGGTATTGATCAATAACAGATAGGTCTCGGTAGTGGCCACAATGTATCGACCATCGGCAGTCACGTCGACACCAATAATGGGGTCACCATAAGGGGGTAATGCTGTTTTGGCGTTCTTGCCAATAGAGTCGAAGAGCCTGACATCACCTTTCTCACTCACGACGGCGACCTTTCCTGCGGCTGTGGTTGCCACACCAGAAAACTTGTTTTTACCAGCATATTGCTTGTATTGGCTGTCAACAAGTTTTGTTCCGTCAACACGGGGGTCGATGCGGAACAGTGCGTTGTGCGAAGCACCAACGAGAGTCTGTTCTCGTGTTGTGGGGGCGAATTTGTTGTCGGGGGCTATGTGATCGACACTTATGTCGTCGTGTACTTTCCACTCCTCTACGACTTTCCCTCGCTCGATGTCCATGCTATAGAGTGAATGTGGATCAGTGGGATTCATCAGAATCATTTTCGAATCTTGTTCATGTAACATAACCTAGAGTCACTTAGGATGTTTAGTACCTCAGTTAATCGGTAGGACGCACATGCTTCGGTTTGAACTCTTTTCCCTTCGTTGTGGCGATTTTGCTGATAGTGGCGTAATATTTGACCGCTTCGTCACTCGAATGTCTGAAAACTCCAATATTGTTCCCGCGAACAACATACGAACGGTCACCCTTGTAGCCGACGGTAAGCTGCGAGTTCTGGTCCCCCTTGGTTAAAGCAGGGGGCTGCTCATCCTCCTCGTCTTCTTGCTCCTCGTCACTGGGCTCTAGTGCTTGAACTTGAGTAAGACATACCCAAGTTTAGAAGAAGCCAAACCTTCATCGGGATCTAGTTCCGAAAGAACTTCATCTTCTTCATCTTCTTCATCGTCTTCTATGTCTTTCATCTCAACGTCTTCTGTCGAACTCATAATATACTTCTGTTCGTCTGGCTGCGGTCTAGATTAATAGACGTCCGATCAGCCATGACATATGACGCACCTTGGCCTTGGCCCAGGACGTCTGATGAAGAGTCTCCCACAAGCAGTGGGTAAACATTGCCAAAATGTCTGCAAAGTCCTCCTGATTGTGGAATTTGAAGAGCCAACTCCTTTGAGTATCATCATCTTCAAGGTGATTCCATGTCAATGAGAATATCTTATGAGACCACCGCTGATTCATCTCAGAGGAGATCTGGTGGTATAAAAGTACACCCGAGCTAGTCGAGGCCGTAAGCCAATATGTAAATTTGGTGTCCGTTTGCCGTGCTATTTGCGCGGTCACAATGCCTTGGTTTTCAAACATCTCTGTGTTGAAATCGTACAAGTAGAGAACAGCTTCTTGGGAAACGAGTACTTCCATGTTGGGAATATCCACAGCGACTCCGGGGCTTTGTCCTGGGCTGGATGGTGGATCATCAACCACGATAGGTTGGGACGTCGAGGGCTGTTCCGCCTTCTTTGACACCTTTCGCCTTGCATTGGGATTTGGAGTAGGAGCAGGAGGGCTATAGAGTGTTGGAATGAGCAAAACAACGGGTATGGATGAAATCAGCTCACTGCCAAACAAACTCATTAAAATCCGAATCACGGGTACCGTCCGCGCTTTTCTTGTACTTGCGCTCATACATCGCCCTATACATACACGTTTCAAAGAAAACCCTGGTAGGGTCGTTTGTCCCAGCGGCGACATATTCATAGAATTCGTCGACATCCCCGTGGAGGTCGCGCCAAATGAAGTTAGGTTCGCCATCGGTCTCTCCTGGATGAAACTCGAGCTCTTCGCTTATCAGAAAAACACGCTCTTCGTCAGCTGAATGGTCATGTGGTGCTATTAGAAGATGTGCGCGGGGAGTAGATGTCTTTGACTTACTTTCATCCTCGTCCTCCAGTAGCTCTTGGTCGCCATCTTCATACACTCGCGTGATAACAAGCTGAAAGTTGTGTTCCACAGACGGTACGCGCCGAATAGTTGCCATTGCTTCATTGTATCTGGACTAGCATCACAAAACGCCGTTGGGGAAGCGTAGATTGGCAAAACGCACATGCATTCTCTAGATGTACGAATGTTTCCTGGGCGGACAAGATAGAGTTGGCCTTGACGAAGCTTCAGATGTATTTGAAAAGGAAACCTGAGGGAGATGCAAACCTGAAGAGATCTTGACGACCTCGGCGGCATTGGGATCTTCTAATGCGTGAATCAGTAGAGATGATGGTAATCATGACGGTATTTACTGACGCCAGACTTTACCGATAACTAATGGATTATGGTTAGCTTTTAGTGCATAAATGGTTGACGTGGAAAAGGCTGACGGCTTCTGAAGATATTCATGGTTGAGGATGAAGGAAGACAAAGACTCCAACTTCGACTCCAACTTCGCGCAAGTCACGTCCTCGCTGTCACGCGACTCAATAATATGTTCAAGCTCAACTCAGTCTCCATCCCATCACGTACCCATGTGGTCCTTTCGTATAACCACACGATTTTCTTACTTGGACACCGTCTTGGCACGATGCTTGTTTATTGCACGAAAAACTGCACGCTTCTCGACCCAAGTGGAGATAAAGCCCTTGACATCCCCGGAAGGAGACTGGTACCAAGTATATCAAGTCAATGATCAATAATTCAAATAGTCTTTCTTCATCTCCAAATCATGCGCCTTGCGGGTCTCGACTTTCTCGGTTTACTGGCAGTGCTCTCCACGGTCTCTTCCGCTGGCGCTGTTGTCAAACATCCTATACCCCGTCGGGACCCTTTCGTTGACCCCAAACATGATCCATACAATCCTTTAAGATATATCGCGACCAATTCCTTGACGGCAGTTGCATTCTGTCAGTCCTTCTTTGTTCAAGATCACCTACCGGCTCACTGTAGTATCCAGCACTCGTTTTACTCGTAGGCTTGTTGCAATCGTTGTGCATGAAGAGGTGGGGCGCGAGATGGATGCTATCCATGGTGATAGGAGCCTACAGTACGTAACCTTTTTTTCTTCTCCTTTTCAATCCGAATTCAAAGTGAAATACATACTCTGAACAACAGCCTTTGCATTCGGCCTCGCAACACGATTCGGACTACATCTCCATCCTCAATCCAAGGGTCTCTATATCGTGGAATATTTGTTTGTTGTCCTATCTGTCCGATGGTTTTCTAAGCATCCTTCCCTCTCCCTGCTCACCTGATCCATCATAGCCTTGTGCATTTATTGCCTCAGACTACGTCCTACTTGGTCAGATTGCGAGGCATCTGGGAGTAGACGAGTACCTCCTTATCTCTCCCCGCCGAATCACTGTTGTCTTCATTTTGTCCGACGTTACAACTTTTCTGATACAGGTCCCATTTCACCGCCTCTCCTTCACCGCTGGCATTGTGTTAATACCAGTTTGTAGGCCATTGGTGGTGCATTATCCGCATCCGCAAACCATGTAGATCAGGCCTTGGTGGGATCTCGTGTGTGTGTCTCATCATCGAGCTTTGCACATGCAACTTAACGTGACATGCTCAGGTGTTTTTGGCCGGACTTGCCGCACAACTCGTCTCTTTTATTGTGTTCACTTGCGTCTACCTATTGTTTCTTTGGCGAGTCCGCAAACATCGTCCGGAAGTATGGTCAGTAGACAAGGATAAGGCTTGGAGTAACGATTGGCGCGCCCTCGCAGCAGCTTTATTCATCAGTTGTATTGGAATTCTGGTCAGTTTTTTTCAACTTTGTACTCATCAGACCGTTCTGATCATGCTTGGTGTAAAGATTCGTTCTGTGTTTCGTGTTGTAGAGCTTTCGGAGGGATTCCAAGGCCATCTCGCAACTTCTGAAGCGTTTTTCTATGCGCTGGATACTCTACCTCTGTTTATGGCCATCGCTATCTATATTCCCTTTTGGCCAGGCCGAATTCTTGCATCAGCACAACCAAATGAGCAAAAGGCGAGGGAGATGGAGAAAGAAGAGGTGACTCGGATTGAGTAGGTTTGGTGTTTTGCACCTTTACATACATAGACAATTGCGAACTACATAATACGATCGTGCGACGAGTTAGAAAGTCCTCCCAGAAAGGCGGCCAAACCATTCCCATCCTGAGATCTCGAATGGTCTTTCTGCCGCTCACGGTTCCTTGATAACAATTCTTGCAGACCTTGTTTCTTCCTTGAACGTGCTTTGGGTTGCAGGCTTGTGGCCTGTGTGATGGGTAATTGGTTGGACGAGGAGTGATCGGTGGGTGTAGTGGGTGGCAAATCAGGATTTGGAAGTGATTTAGAGACTTTATCTAGCGGATCCAACTGCACGCCACCGCAGGCATGGCAGAGAGTGCGGAGGAGGGATGGAGAGGTGGGCGTGTGTGAAAGGAAGCTGCGATGACTGAAGCCAGCATCAAATTGACGACCACATTTTTTACATGTGTTGAAAGTATTGTTATATGGGTGGTGGCGACGAGCACGACAAGTGTGGAGAGCAGCAAGCTCTGAAGAGACGGCGAGCAAGACAAAAGGAAGTGATTGTTGGAATTTTAGAGTTGACATACATGTGCACGTGACTATAATCAAGTTTCTATTGTACCAATGCCATTATAACCAACTGCAATTCATCATGCACCATTCAACACTCTCACCTTGCCATCATGCTCACCTCCACAAAGCCACGCTCAACACACACTCATACATTTACAACTCCCAGCTCCCACTCATCCCCACCTTCCTCCCCTCCTCGTCCCACGATGCACTGGCTGTCTCGTTCTTCCACTCAACCATCTTCCCCATCTAAAGCTACCCGTCTCTCCGAGCCAAAGGTCTTTCGTTCAATTGAAGTCCTGTCCCAATCACGTACCGGTGTCTTGGGCGCAGGTGCAACCGTCGTTCGAACTCCAGATGAGGCACTCAAAGAAACTGGCGTCAGACTCACCTATCAAGGAAAGCAGAAGAGAGCGCATCCTCGCCCGGCCAGTCCGGTCAAACAGCCAATCGCCGTCTCGCCATCGCTGGCCGATCTTTCTTCGTCCCCAAACAGCCCCCCATTGCCTCCGCTTCCTTTGTCTGTTGCCGAGGGACTCGACGTTTTCGTGGATCCACAAATTAACCATGTCCCTCTGGACTCATCCCATTCTCCACCGCCAGCTCATGTCAGGTCCCCATCATTACGCTCATCTTTGAAGGTGAAAACGTCGCACACTCCAGACCAAGTTCCACCGTTGCCTCCAAGCTTGGTTGCAACCTCACCTCCGCCCCCCTTCCGACCAATCCTTTTATCTGAAACTCCTATACTACCCATCGATCCCACCAAGGTCATCGTTACCCTTGAGACCTGCACAGTAACATATAAAACCTCGCTCGAAACTATCAACTCACGACCTTCAAATTTGTCGAAATACATATTCTCTTTACTTCCTCATCCCCCAAGTTCAACTACCTCCTCTGTGTACTCGGATGATAGTCACGACATGGCCGCCTATCGCCATCATTTGAAATCCGAAGGTGTCCTCATCCAGTCTTCGTTCAACCTCCACATCTTTCTTGATCGCTCAAGTGCCCCGTAAGCATGTTTTATTTTTGTTAAAACTCGTAAAACTGAAGTATCTGATCAATTCATGGCAGGTACGCTCATGTACTGAATTATCTTCGTTCGCCCACTGGACTTCCAGCAAGTATTCCCAGAGCAGCCCATGGACGGCTTGAAAATCTTATAGAGCTTCGAGATGAAGCCGCCTACCTCGGCCTCGACGGCCTGCACAAACTTTGCACAGATGAAATCAAGCTACGTCATGCCCCCAGGCTGCACTCTCGAGGGAGTAGTACCGGAACTACTCTGGCATCTGTACACAGCTTGCACGGCTCCGTTTACAGCCTTCATACCCCTTCAGAGCGCGTTGAGCCAGATATGGCCGCTACCTTCTCGCAGTCATCTTGCAAGAGCCCATGCGACGTCCTGCTCCCTGCAAGGTCGCCACCTACTCCTCAATCTTGGGAAGGTCCGCGCAGCTTGCCCCGACAAACACCCCCTGCTCCAGCTGGCTGGATTTAGGAGCTACTTTATCATTGCCATCACGATTGTAGTCTGTAGTTATTTTTAATAGTCACCCAAATTATTTTAGTTGCTCACAGGGCGAAATGATGACATTTAACGATACCCATACATATCATCAGTAGGGAAAAGATGGTGAAGGCATGTGGCATAAGGTTGAAGAGAAAAAGATTACAAGTACAAAGAGCTCGAGCTGACTATTTCTTTTGGTCAGCATATGGGTTGACGCTATAGACTTTGATCACAGGAGGGCTTTTGGTAAGATCAGCGGTGACAATAACCTGTTTGAAAGATAATTGGATGAGGTTCCTTTCGGAATGAGACACCACACACCGGAACGGCCATCAGTTCGCGAACATCCTGAATCTTGTGTCCTGAAGAGGAGATTCTCAAACCTTCAAATTCGGGCTTGACCTTGGCAAGGGACAAGAGACGCTGTTTAGATGTCTCCTCGGTAACCTTCGAATTGTCGTTGCGACCGAGGACGATCTCATCCTCCTCCACGTCATCTTCGTCGAATAAAGCCTTCTCATCATGAACAGAACGAGAAGCAACCTCCATCTTGAATGCATGTTGTTCTGCATTTTGCTTAACTTTCTTCAAGTGTTCATCGTCACTATTCTCTGCCAACCAACTGATGACATCCCGGTCGGACCAATAAATTTGGAGTGTGTGTGAATGTTCATCATAAACGTGATTCTATGACCATGTTAAGTTAATGGATGAATGGTTAAAAAACAAAAGGGAGACAAACGTCGATGGGCATCTGATCAACATGAACGCGTTTTTCAATGCCAAATTCGGGCACTAGGACATCGAAGGCAGCGTCCAAAACGCCAACAACTTTGGCCTGGCGGACGACAGGCCCATATCGATTAGTCAGATCGGAGATGAGTACGCATAGGAATAGGTGGGCAGATTGTTCTTGGGCCAGCACGGCAGAATCACGTTTGCTGTAAAAGGAACCCGTCAGCTTAGGTAAATTTGTTGGGGGAAATGGACTAGCATATTGCATTGTTGAGCAACTTTGGCAACTGCGTCACGGTCCATGGTAAATTTGGGTTCAGCTAGAGGAGTCAGAAATACAGTATGCACAGAGCAAACAATGTCTTTCACCTCCGCCCTGTAAGATAGACTCCAATTGACGATGAACGAGGACGTCTGCATATCGCCGAATGGGTGAAGTGAAGTGAGTGTAAAGGGGCGTGTTCAACGCATAATGGCTGTATTTGGCGATATCCAACATTCCGGCACAAAAATATTTGGCACGCTGCGTCGCTTTAAACGACAACAGCTCGAGCAACCTGCGAGCTGTTGGGTCGTCGATGGCGTCAAAGGAGCGCATCAGGGCGCCAGAAGACGACGTATCCATATTGAAACCAAGGCGCTCCGCTCGTTGCGTGAAGGTAGACTAATGCACCGTTCGTCAAAAGAAGTCAGATCATTGTTATCCTCTGCTACTTACCAGGCGTCGCTCGATGGGGGTGTCATGCCGGCGAAGCAGTGCCTGTTCAGGCAGGTGAACAGCAATATGTTGGCCAACGACAATGTTAGTCAATAGCATGAACTGCAGAAGAGCCATTAGATAACTTGCAATATAATGGCGAGAAGCCTCACCTCCTCAATCATATAGTTGGCGTCACAACGTTCATATTGGCCACAATCAACTGGTAGACCATTGTCATCCAACTTGAAGGACAAGGACAAGCTTTCAAGGCTGAGAGCACCGTTACGGAATCGCTGAGTTCGCAGCTTCTTGGCTAGACTTTGAAGAAGTTTAACATCGGATTGGATCGCGCCCCATTGATGATCTGGGCCCACGACAATACCGCCTACGTTGCTTCCGTCAATTAGGTTTTGCGCATCCTCATAGGTCAACTTGGCAGCCGATCTTTTGATTAGTCAGCAGAAAGACCTATATATAAAAAAGAGCAAACTATACCGAATGACAGTCTTGCCGAACCACTTCTTCAACACCTTCGCGTCGTTGTTCATCGTAAAAATGACAGAGAAGGCGAGTCGGTCCTGTCCAGGAACTAAACTGCAAAGCTGCTCGCTCAGTGCTGGTGGCAACATTGGGACAGACCGTTGAACTAAATAAACGCTAGTTGCCCTCTTGCGCGCGTCACGATCCAAAGCAGTGTTTGGCTTCACAAAGAAAGATACGTCAGCAATGTGGATACCAACTTCGTAAGTTCCGTCCTCCATGTGCTTGACAGAAACAGCATCATCCAGGTCTTTCGCAGTAGCAGGATCAACCGTGAATAGCCGTTCCCCACGAAGATCCTTTCGGGACAGTAACTCGTGATCGGGGAGACTAACATTTAACGTTTAAAAGAACATCACACAAAGAGTCAAAACCGTGCTCACGTCCATGGCATGGGTGGTAGACACTTCATCACGTTCTCGCTGAAATCCTCAGTCGGGAAGTTGCAGTCTTTGAGAAGCGCACTCGTCTCCACCTCGATATCACCAATGGGACCAAGTTCTTCAACTAATGTACCAAAAGGATGGAGAGAGCTTATGGGCTGGTAAATCCAAGTTAGTTGTCGTATTACTCGGCCAAGGTAGACACATACATGACGTTTGATGCACGCAACAAACAATTTGTCAACATATGCCTCGGAATTCTGAACGAAGTCGGGAGGAGCTTGTTCGGTGGGAATAGCGATGAGGGGCACACGTTTATCGGTTGGTTTGAACCAAACAATCTTGGGACGTTCAATCGGACCACGACGAGGTTCGTCACCGCGGTCACCTTCTCGTTCGCGGCGTTCGGCCTCTTGCTTTTCTTTTGTAGCAGCAGAAGAAGGCCGAAGAAGTCCCAAAGTCCCAGAAAAGAGTTGACCCGGCATCCTTTCAACCACGGCTACGACGTGTCCAGCAAACTGAGGTTTAACCTCATCGGTAACCCTTCCCGACCCTCGGTATTAATTCATACACAACATACTGGGAAATGGAACGCACTCTTCGTCCTCAAACAACATGAGCCCTTGGCCTTCGACCTCGACATCATCTTTCTTCTTGTCATCCTTGCGTCCGCTGGATTTCATGTCATAGGCAGCGTTCTCTTCCTTTTTTCGCTTTTTTTCTTCTTTCTCCTTCTTTGTCCCCCATACTTCATCGACATCCAAAAGTTCGACAGCAACAATATCGCCTTCCAAGGCACGATTGCGGTCTTTGGATCCGCATATGTAAATATCTGCATCCAAAACCTCAGTAGCTACATAAGCGTCTGAACGATTCCGCTTGTTAACCCTTAAAATGCCAACCACCAGCTTTCCAGCAGCAAGAAGAGGAGGGAGGGAAGCTTGCGGGAGGTAGGGAGCGAAAAGGGATTTGCGTTGGGGCTGATTAGATTGCTGTTGGAGTTGGGATTGAAACTGCTGTTGCTGCTGCTGAAGTAAATTGATGCCCCCGAGGCCGAGACCCATCATATTTGCGGCCATCATATTTGGGAGCATATTTGGAAAACTGAAAGACGGCATTTTGTGATGGTGACCACCAGCGGCCGCACGGAACTGCTGGAGGCTTTGAAGCTGGGCTTGAGCTTGGGCGAGATCAGCGGCGAAAGCGCCGTTGCCTTGTACGCCACCAACTCCTCCATCTGAAACGAGAAAAGCATATATCAGACTTCCCATTGTCGAGATAAAGAAACAACATACTGATTCGCCAGCTGGAATCAGCACGAGAAGCTTGACGTGAATGTCCTCCAAAGGAGGATGGAGGAGCAAAACCATCATCAAAACCTTCCTGAGGAACATAAGGGTAGCTGATGGATCCAACATTGCTTTGACTGGGAGTCTTGTTTACGACATTAACGCTGTGTCGCCTTCCATGCCCCCGGGGAACACCTTGGGCCTGGCCATCAAAACCTAGATTCACGCCAGCAATGTTGCCAAATTGCCCCATTGGATTCTGAATAGCGCCGAAATTAGCAGCACTTCCTGGGCCTATCGGAACAGTGCTTTGAACACGTCGATGTGAGGACGTGCGAGTGGGTGCAAGTCCAGGTGTTTGGAATGACAACACTTGATTTGACGCGAGTTGCTGTTGATAAAGGGCTTGTTGCTGCTGTTGCAAAACTTCAATTTGACTCTGTAGGGCGATCTATAAAAGTAATAAACTTTTTGGGGGATATCCAGTGCTGAAAAGAAATACCTGTTCGGCCATTATGCCCGTGATTTCGCCACTCTCTGCCTTGCGATGAGTTGGTTCGTGATTAGACAACTCAGAATGATACACTTGTTGTTGTTGAAGTTGCTGTTGTTGAGGAAACTGAAAGCCAACATCCTCTTCATTGATAGGGGGTCCCATGGGCCCGCTACGCCTTCGAGCTCCAAACATAAACCCAGGAGCGAGCTGAGGTCTACCAGTGGGACCGACCGATTCTATCTGCGGTTCTTGCTGCGCAGCTAGAGCTGCAAACCGAGGGGCTACAAAACTTTGAGACTGAGAGCGGGGCTGATGGCTGGGTTGTGCGTAGAAGCGCTCTTGCACTTCACCTTCCTCGAAAGACCCACTGTCCTCAACATCCTCCATCATCGCCCCCAAATGAGGAGAAAAGGAATTGAAATTGCCAGAGAGGCCAGAAGTTCCCAGCGAAACTGCTTTGCGATGTTTTTGATCAATGTTTGAAACAGGATAAGCACCAGCTCCAGGTTGAAACCCAGGAGCTTGGGAAAGAAAATTGGACTGGTTTCCAGGTAAAATGAAAGTATTGCTTGCAGCGGCAGGTAGTTGGACAGGGGAAGTGGTCTTCAGGTCTGCGATTACTCGCTGCAAGGACGAAAGTGCGTCACTAGATTCTTTGCTGTAAGTAGGGGCCGGAGAGGACGATTGCTTGACGGAGGATTGATCTTTGGAATGTGCGTTACGCCCCGTCGAGGGTTGCGCCTTTCGATGGCCTGTACCCCGACTTGCGCTTGATTGGTTCTTGTTGCGCGGTTCCGGCTTCCTCCCAGTTTCCGAGCCCTTTCGCGAGGCAGTGTCTGAACCTGATTCCACGTTGGGCGCTACGTTGTTTGCTTTCTTATTGCTACCCCTAGAGGAGGGTCGAGGACCCCCTCCTGCAGAGGTGACTCCTTTTGAATTAGAAGTAGAAGGCTGCCTCTTGGAACCACGGGCATTGCCAGAAGGAGATGGCTTCTTCTCTTCCTTCTTGGCTGCAGGTTGTGCGGTTATTTCGTCCGTCATATCGTTCGTAACGTATCTTAATGAGAAAGCAAATTACAAGATTCTAAAATCTTCTTGTGTTTTAAGTTTAGGTGTCGATAATGTCTGACGACGTCCGATACGATTATGAGAGAAGTGAAATCAGATATGCCGACTGTAACTTACCTGGAAGGTTTAGAAAGTGGTGCAAATTGAGCGGCTTTGCCCTGTGGGGCGAGTGAGGGGAAAGAATGCGCGCAGAGAGGGCTTATCGAGTGGTGGTGGTCAAAATGAAGGAGGTTGGTTGAATTGTTGTCGCTGGAACAGCTGGTCGCAGCATGTCCAATCGTGGTTCCCACGGTCTCCTGTGTGTACTGCCTCAAGTCAAACCAAACAACACATACTTATTGACAGATATTCGCGCTACATAGTTACAAGCTTGCTTGTAAGTACTCGATCAATATCCGCAATACTTGCACGAAAAGGAAATTTAGGACCTTCCCAGTTTTTGGATGATGGCGTTGGTGTACTCTTTCGTTGTTGCTTTACCGCCCAGGTCCCCTGTAATGGTCGTGCCCTCGGCAATTGTCTGGAAAGATATGATATTCTCATGTTAAACACTGAACAGATGTATGAACGCACGGATAAGGCGGCCCTCTCAATTTTCTCCGCATGATCATATAGATTCATATGCCTACAGTACCTGTCAGTCTGATGAAGGAAAAAATAACATAAATCAAGCAGACCTGAGCATCATCAGAGACGACAATAGAAGAGCGGTTGGATTTGCTAATCCTTTCCCTGCCAGCGCAATGAAATAAGGTCAGTTGAAAGGAGGTGGTAGACATGGAGACAATCGATAGGACCTGCTATGTCCGGAGCTGAACCATGCACAGCTTCAAAGATTGAGGCGTCCTTGGGTGATTATGAATAACCTTACTCAAGGTGTAAATGACTGCAACGTACTCGACCGATATTGCCAGAGGGCGTCAGGCCAAGACCGCCAATTAACCCGGCGCACATATCGGACAGTATATCGCCGTACAAGTTGGGCATTACCATCACGCGGTCTGAGTATGGTTTTGGGTTTGTAACAACCTTGTCGGTTTCATCAGAATTGGATCAGGGCCTACAAAGGGGCAAGGTGCTCACTTGAAGACAAACTCGGTCAAGAAGATCCTCGTCATATGCAACATCGGGGAATTCTTTCGCAACTTCCCTACACGCCGACAAGAACATACCATCTGACATTTTCCTGTGCCACAACGTAAGTGCAATGAGTTCATAGGAGATAAAAGCAACAAACATTATGTTAGCTTTATGAACGGCGGTCACACGCTTCCTGCCACTTGATTGTGCGTAATGGAACGCATACCGGGCAACTCGCTCAGAGGCGTCCCAAGTGATGAGCTTGATGGATTGTACGACGCCGTCAATCACCTACGAAAGATATGTTCATCTGCAGGGTTACCATCCAGAAACAACCTACTTCATGTTCAATTCCGGAGTACTCGCCTTCCGTATTTTCACGAATTAAGACTGTGTTGACATCGTCGTATGGTGTCTTGAAGCCTTTGATGGACACGCAAGGACGGACGTTGGCAAACAAATTGAATGTCCGTCTGAGAGTCAAGTTCAGTGATACGTGGCCTTTACCGACTGGAAAGATATTATGAAATGAATGGTTATATTGGAGGATGAAACTGACTCGGCGTTGCGAGAGGCCCTGTAGAGGAGTTGAGCCCTGATCACGCTTGAAAGATAGTAAACTTTACCTTTCAGCGCAACAGTATTCTTCTTAACAGAGTGGATTGCGCTGTCCGGGATAACAGTTTTCCCCCCTTTGAGAATGGGGGTGACACTGACTTCCTCCCACTGGATTGGTACCTACGCAAAGGAAAATCAGAGCATTGAAAGCAAACAGGGATATCCTCGCACATTTGCCGCGGTATAAATGTCTTTGATTGACTGGCTTATCTCAGGGCCAATTCCTTGCGAAGATTGAGCTATGGAGAAAATGGGAGGCCTGGCAACTTACCATCCCCAGGAATAAGAGTGACAGTGTATTTTCCCTGGATTATATAATGAGTTTAGAACGTCGACGCGAGTTACTGAACGTACATTGCTCTCCTTCTGTCCTGCAAACGCAGCTGTTGGCGGGCCTGAAGCGTAGCGTCTAATCGGCTGTTGCACCGTTGAACAGAAGAGTTAATGTGGATCAAGAGAAGAAAAACAAACATACGTATGTACGCTTGAGTGCGCCCTGCGCAACAGGAAAGGAACGCGACACGAACATGGTTGTAAAGTCAAAGGTTTGTTGGTGGCAAAATTGCACCGGACTCGGAACGCACAAGTTAAGGACTTTTTCGTGGAAACTCGTAGACTTTGTTTGTATTAGATAAGATCCCAGTTTGCTCGTAAACACGCATTTTTTCGCAACTTTATCATTACTTTCAACCTGAATTCATTTCTCAAGTGAGGAGAATGTTGAAATTCTTACGCGTCTCTTCACATTTTTTTCTCTTGATGCACGGTGTTGAAGCAGTCTTTCTTTGTTCAGGGTAACATCAAGACCCAATTACGTAGACAGGTTACGTAACTCATCTCTTCTTTGGCTTTGTGCACCACAGCTGTACGAATATGCAATCGATTAACCGCTTTCTATACGGACCTACGCCTGAAGAAAGAGTCCGTGCATGGCAAGTAAAGCTTCGTTCTGAATCTCGTCAACTTGATAGGGAAATGAGGCAGGTTGGAACTTAGGTCAGATGTAATCATGAGTGATAACTCACTGTTTATCAGCTTGATATTGCCACGAATAAAGCACGTCAATCGGTAAAGCAGCTAGCCAGTAAAGGAGATGTGAAATCTGCCCGCATTTTGGCGAAAGAGGTGGTACGAAGTACTAAGCAGAAGGATCGTCTGTCTGTGAGCAAAGCAAGACTTGGGTCAATCGGAACACAGCTATCACAGCAAGTGGGTACGTGATTTCCTTCATCTCCCGAATGCAACTTCCACTCATCGTTTTAATAGCGATGGTCAAAGTGACAGGATCGTTGCAGAAGTCAACAGAAATAATGAAGCTCTCCAGTGCTTTGATAAAATTTCCCCAAATCAGTCAGACGATGAGAGAAATGAGTATGGAAATGACGAAGGTTAGTAACACTTATTATGGTGCAAGTGAAGGACGATATCAACTTTGAAATCTAGGCTGGTATTATGGAAGAGATGTTAGAAGACACTTTTGATGTGGACGAGGACGAAGAGCTCGACGAAGAAGCTGACGCAGAAGTTGATAAGGTCTTATTTGAGCTCACAAATGGAAAACTGGGCCAAGCAGGGTCTGTTGGCACGGAACTTCCGGTAAGTTGTATGCTTGTCTTGGGCATGTCCATCATAAACAGCTTCAAGCCCGTACAGGACAAAGAGACGGAGGAAGAGACGGAAAGAAACATGGAAAAGTACCGCGAACAGCTTAACGGTTTGCTTAGTGGCTGATGTTTGTATTGTCGTTTGAGTCATTATTATTATAACGTGTTCATACCACATAATGGGCATTGTGTCTTCGTTGGTTGAAAGGAAAGAGACAAACGAGTTTACTCCGACCGTACAGCATCAATCCAGTCTTCTTTTTCCTCGCAGGACCATCCTTCAGTATGTTGAAATCGATAGAACCGTGGGGCCAGTGTTGAGTGACGCAAGGCAGGCGGCAAAATAAATTCGTAGATACAACGTACTTGGTACACTCTAGGCAGTACATAATCACGGACCACGTTGAATTTGATTTACTAGTGTTTCCCAATACGTCCAATCCGAGCCATCCGACCCCGTCAATAGACGAGGATCTGAATTTCCCAGGGTCGACGGACCTACCCAGCCCGTAAATTCTGCGCCCGGTCCACACCAGGACATGTCGACTGAAGATGGGTCGATCGGCGCGTTGCTGACAGTGTTAAACCAATGGTCAAGCAAGGACTGTGCTGGGGACTCGTCGTCCGCGTGTGGGCTTCCTGAAGTGGCAGGTGAATGAACATAATCTGTTTGTGAGGAGTACTGCAGGCGTTGGAATGTTGGAGATTGATTCAAAGGTCCAGCACCCGGCACGGTAGGGGATTTGGAGGACGAGTCAGTGGATGTCGGGTTGAGAATAGAAGGGAACGACTTCCAGGGTGAAGACGAGGGAGGCGATGATGAGTGCTGAGGTCCAGGCAGGAGCCGAGGTTGTTGTTCCGGTTTGTTGCTGACCGCATGATCTGTGGGACCAGTAGACGCAGCCTGCCCCAAAGCTTCAGCCTGAGATGCTTTGCTTTTGAGAAACCCGATGGTCTTCAATTCCCGATGAGTTGTCTCGTCCATTTCTGGCAAGCCCTCATGGTCTTCCATGAACGCATCCAAGATGGCGTGCATTTCCTTCGCGTGTGAACCTCGCGGTTCGAGCACGAGGTATATACCACTGATCATCGCTGTCTGAAACTCTCGATAAGCATTACCAAGTGAATTTCGCACTTCATTCGGCATTTGCTCTCGGAAGGCTTGACGGACGTCAAAATCTTTGACGGCCGACTCGAAGCAGGCTGTGCGTGATCGTGCATACCGGTCGGAATTGAGCCGCCGGAGGAGGTAGGGCCTATGCAAGCCAATTCTAATGAAGAGAATTTCTGTGATCAACAGAAAACGATGGACGGGGATATACGTCGAGGTGTCATCCAAGGAAATGTCTGGCTCGAGGGAGAAGTGGGGGGGCAGATTTGTAGTAAATTTTAATAGTTCGTCGTCTAAAGCAACGACGTCTGAATAATGGCTTCGTTCGCGTACTTGCTGGAAGTGATGGACGATACGCCCGATTATAGAGGCCAACTGATGTCGTAGAATAACAAAAGTCATCAGAGTTGGATGGGAAAGTGGATAAGGCTCGCGCCGAGAAAGCTCTGAACTTTCATCTTCGATATTCGATGGCGGTTTCGTTGAAGTATAATCATCCTGTATTGAATTCGGCCTTCCAAGAGCCATCGCATATGATCGATCTGCATGGTACAAGTACGACCTTCAAACGTAGGGTTTCTTTCGACACTCAATCAGATTATAGGACCAAAGACATACCAAATGCGTCTACGATATTCCACTTGACCGGGCGCCATTCGCTATTCACAGAGTGAAAATCTTTGAAAGGATGGAAGTTGAAAAACAAACCATAGTGGAACCATCCCTATGAAGTCCTAGGGCCTGAGCAGTTCGAACGGCGGCGCCGAGCTGACTCCAGCATTCGGTAATGCGCCGATCGAATGTCAAAAAGCGGGCACTCTATGAAATGTTTCAAACGGGGTTCATGCGATGTGACCCTTTTACCCACCAGAAGACGGGTTAAGACGATGTCAAGGGAGTCTGGTTGAACGGCAGCCGCGATAAGAAGAGATCTCCGTGCTGAATATGCGAGATAAGTCGAATACACTGAGAGCCCATCAATGGTAACTCACAAGACCAGTAATACCGAAGAGATGTCACCCTTCGAGTCCGCGCGTCGCCAACAATTTGCTCAGGCGCAAGCCTCACGGCTATTGCAAGAATCACAAAGAGCAGTGGAAGGAACCGGATATTACTAGGGCTTGTTGATTCAACCCCGTCACGACCGTTGTGACGAATCGATGCGTATGCAGCACGAAAATCGCATTCCGACACTGGATAGCGCGTCCAATTACTGTTGCTATTTATAAACGCATGAAAGTGTGACCAAAGATAAACATACATAGAATTGAAGTAATAGTCGATAAGAACGTCAGAGACTCTTGAGGGTGGAAGCTCTTGCAAAAGCTCCGAAAATTTGTGAGGGGAAACGCCACATTCTTGGACAAGCGATTTCATGTTATCCGCCGCTACTGACTCAAAACTATCCACAGATGAATCCAGCTTGAAGCCGTTGACAATTGGATCGGAGGATGACCCAGCACCACTACGAACTTTGCTGTCACGAAAGTTTTGTCCCAAAGTATCCCGATCTTTAAGATTTGAAGTGGGCATAACAGCATTTTGAAGCTGTCATAAACAGTTTTCGACAATATTTCTGAGTAAAGTAAATGTTCGACGTGCCTGCTCAAGCACGGAAGCCGGTGCTACACTGCCGGAAGCACTAATGCCGTACCACTTACCACTTTGAAACGTCCCGCCGCTAGGATCTTGCTCTTCGGTTTGAGAACGATTGTCGTCCTCTTGGCCCGAAAGAGAGCGATGGCGATCTTGCAGTAAAGTCATCTCCATTGAAGAGGAGTTGGGCGTGCTAGGAGCGCAATATTGCGGCAGGGCCATTTCAATAATGTGTTCTAGTCTTGACAGGCGAGCACTGATGTCTTGATCAGCCTTTCCAGGCGTGTAAGCCTTGCACAACTCGGGGACCTTCCGTGCCACGCACTAAAAGATCATGAGCAACGAGGCGCCAGACGAAGGAATCAACACACATGCGAGCACGGTATTTGGCGGTCACACTACTTAAAATTAGTCAATGACTGAAACCTCTAGAGCGGCGTACTTTCTGCTTTCTGCGATGGCACTCTCCACAAGAAAAGCTGGTCGATGGTGTTAGGCGGTATCTTCGAAGGAAGTCGAAGTCCACACCTCACTCGCGTGCGTTGCTTCTTCGACGACATCCCATTGAAAACATCCTCGTCACCCTTCTTCCTTTTAGTGGATGAGGGGCTCATTGAAGATGGCGTAGTTTCCATTGTTTTGACCATCAGCGACGACATGAAGCATGAGTGTGGTAGATAACAGAAAGAGAACTGATTGAGTCATCGGCCCGATGGTCATGCATGTGACTCCACAAACGCGATAACAACTGAACAGCCAGGTACATAACTGTCAACTGTCAGCTTCAAGTCTGCTCCTACTTGAATACGATTGAAGGACTAAAGACAGTCAGTTATATTTACGCATCTCACAGATGCTTCCAGGCCCATCAACATCGGGTGTCGAACCGTCTTGGAAGAGAATCAGCCTTTCGCTTGAGAGGCCGTACAAGGATGACCATGGGGAGAGTCTACCTATTTTGTTTGACATCACACCTGAAGGTGAAAGAATCTATGAACCGTCAGTTTTACTGTCAGTACATCACAATCATAAATCTAACGCCATTATAGCAAAGAAACATCGTCTGCGAGGTTAAAAGATCACCTACATAGAATCTTTGTTGAGCGTGGACTCGACTTTTTTGAGCTCACCAATGCCCAGGTCGCCGACAAAGAACCCAAAGGCACGGCAAATTTGGAGAATGGTCCGTTGGAAAGGAAGGAGTATTCTCTCCAACCCATGAATACCGAGGAACTTTACGCAATGAGGATGGAGATATTACCGCAGTTATTGTGCGTGCTGAATGATGCCTTGATACCTTCAAGGAGTTGACCCTAACCACTAGCGTTGCGTTAGGAGAGATGTCGCATGCGAAGGAACTCTTAAACTCACTTTTAACCTCATCGTCGGGTGCACAGTCTCCCTCTCAAACCTCCGCGCATCTCTCTGCCACACTAGTAAAGAAGCCCCCTCCAATAATCTCAGTCGAAGCATTCAATGCACAACTAACCGTCGGCGGCAAAGATGAAGCGTTGAGAAAAGCTTCTTTCCTTTTCAAATCAGAAGCAGATGTCATGGAGCGCAGTCGGGCGATGGGCGAAAGATATTGGGTAGATGCTCTCAGGATTAGGAGAGCAAATTGGGGTCTTATACCTGCTCCGCTTCCGCTTGGCTCTGCTACTGGAAAGGGCGCGGACAGAACATCAAAGGATTTTCTGATCTCTTACGGTTTAGAAGGATGTTTGTATTTTTTTTGGCCACTTCGAGCCTCTGACTAACAGTAAAACAGCATCACCCATCTTTAAACGCAAAGCGATTGCATCTATAGCCCACCATGATGCGTCTAACGAAGTTATATATCCACATCGCCAGCACACTCGATTACGCATATCGGTTCTGAGCACCTCCCAGCCTGGTACGCCACGCCAGGTTCGTTCTGCGACGTTGATGGACGAAAACACGCTTGATGGTTCTCTCAGAATCGCACAACAAGAAATCGTGGAACAAGAAATATTCACTCTGCTCTCCAGAGAGGCCGGAAATCTCCCCACCGCGTCTGCCCGTGTCTCAGAACGGCTGATTGCAATCGATGTCGCTCAAAGCGCGGAGCTCAGATTTGAACTCGTTGCGTTCATTCGATTGTTCTCCTGTTTTCGAATGCTGATTTCTTTTCTAAAGGTAGAGACCGCCATTGGGTCTCAGGACATAGCTGACACAACCTGTGACCTCATCTACCATGGTTTGCATATACTTCTTTTACGGCGGCACGCCTACGCCAAGCTAGAGAGGGTAGGTGCTACTGGTGTTATCCGCAACCTGAATTCACCTAGCTCACCCCCTCCGATCCTTCAACCAATCATCGATTTCCTCCAATACACGGCTTTTTGCGAACGATTAGAGAATGAGATATCTAAATCAGTCCGGGCCTTAACAGCGATGGGTGTGTCCGCTGTTTTTGTCTTTCGTCCTGTCGGAGAAACAGGCCCAGAGCTCCTGGAATTGTTATGCGAGCGAGGTCGTGAGCCAACCAGTGGTGAAGCTTTGATAAGAATCAATAGTAGGTTGGTCAATATGATTTCGTTCCTTTTCGCACTTGACCAGACCCTAGGCATACCGTGCGCTTGACCTTCACAGCTCCGTCATCTTTAACTGCGCATCTATCTCAAACCACAATCATACTTTCTTCCATACCTCAACTTTCACAAATGCTCATGGACGAAATCGAACGGAGTCTCCTTCAATGCATTTGTGATCTTGGACGGGAAAAATATGGGGGAACTTGGTTCATCGATATGAACCGGTGCGTTGCACGCTGGGAGGGCTGCATTCTGTCAGTAACAAGAATTGCATTCTTTCATCGGCTCACCCAGGGTTTGCAGAAACTTCCGCATCTTGCACGGCGTTGACTTCAAGATTGGGTGTTCCGCTTTCTGGCTTGGTACAGTGACAGGCGGACAGGGACAGTCGGAGATTTACTCTGAGAGCAATGGACCTCTAATGGCGTGGGTAGAAAGAATGATGCAAATGGCATCGCTTAGTCGCTAGCTGGCGTGTTCGCGAATTACGCCCGATTTCGGATTCAATGAACTCCCATAAGTACAACTGGCCGCTTCTTTTTGTTGATTGAACCTTCTGCTCGTTTGGCGCGTTTTCTTAAACAGCGTACTGTTGTTGGACGTCGCCGCGCTTGTGCAACGCTTGAAGGACATTGGAAGGACAGCAAAAAGTTCTTGGAGATACATTTTTAGTCAGTTCTAGTCATCTAAATTAGGACTTATCCCTGAAAAACTACAATTGTGCATATTTCTATGCATGCGCGGAGAACGCGCTTAAGGAGCGTTCAAATGCTCATACTATATCCATAACCCAACAAACGATAGGATTATTTAAGATCCCTTACTTTCGAGTTGTTGTCCAGTCGCGGTCAGCAAGTTTTTCTGTATTTCCGTTATCATTTTCTTCCTAAAACCTCAGCCAGTAAGTTATAGTTTTCGAGACAAGAACACTGTGCTTATTTAACATGAACTCTTACCAGTAGGTTGTTGGCGAGACTTTAGAACGAATACGTGAATAGTACCTTACGCAAATTACCAACCTGGGGAGCGTCAAAACTAGGTACTTTCTAGTATCAGGCTGTACCCTTGTGCTTTTCATTTGACTCCACACCAGATACAAAGTCCTACACCCCAACACACTTCATTGCTCCTTCGCATCCTTCTCCATGCGCTCTCAAGGCAGAAGTCGTCGCTCTGGAGGTAACAATGAACACGAAGATGAATCATACACCAACGCTGCACGAGGGGACGAACCACAGGACACGTATTCTCGACCTCTCCACTCATCCAACCGCACCGGAACGTACAGAACTTCTTCGACAACAGGCAGAGTACCTTACGATTCCGAAAGGGATGGGCCTTCATCGCGAGGTCGTCGGGATGACGACTGGGACCTTCCAGACGTAAACCAAGACAGATATGTGTATCCTGACCCATATCATAGGGAAAAGAGGGAGGTTTATGACGACTCCGCTTCGAGAAATTCCTCAGGCTGGCGCTCGAGTGGTGACACACAACGCAATCAGTCCCGGGGAGAATGGTCACGGCACTATGAACACAGCAGCCTGCCCACCTCATACTCTGCGCCGGCATCATCATGGAATTCGGCCGCCACTGATTCGTACAACAACAGCAGAGGCTATTACTACGATCAATGGCCTCAACGAGATGTACGGGAAACTTCAATCGACAATCGACAACAGGAGTCTTCAAATGAGAAGCCCACCGACCACGGAACACACAACTGGCGTCGCGAGCATCGTCGTGAAAAAGGTGATGGGAAGAAATTTCAGAGTGATTCTGGATGGGAAACTCGTCGTCGGGAAAAGGCCTGGGTGCACGAAGTTAGGGATGAGCCACCCCTCAACAAGGGTTCGAGGAGCGTCGAGGAGCGTTCTTGGGAGCCCGCTGCAACGTGGAAACCATCAAATCGCGTAGATCAGCCTCGAGGACAGAATGGTCATAGATACACTTACTCGAAGAGTTTGAAAGGCGGCAAGAGAGGTCAGAACGCAACAAAGCAAAGGCGTGATTGGCGCAGCGATGACGGAAACCTCAACAAGTGTGTACTTTTGCCAATGTCTAAATTGTCTCTTCTCAGTCTCTTTCGTGTTGTAGTTGGACAAAGAGAGACTCAGCTGATAGCACGAGGAGGTCCAATCTTGAAGGCTTGTCTTCGAGGAGAAAACATCCACGGTCCCCCTCCCGTTCTTGCTCTCGATCCCGATCTCCTGCACAGTCGTATCGATCACAGCGCTCCTCACGAGGCAAGTCTCGTTCGCGGTCGTTGTCTCCAGGGGTGAAACGTCAGCGACGAGACTCTAGTCCTGTCCTACACAGTCGTGCGCAAAGCAGCAGGGGAAGGGGAGATTGGACACCTGGTTATCATCTGGATAGGAATTTCTCAAGGTCGCCCACCCCACATCGTGCGGTTGCTAGTCGACAGAGGAGCGCATCGTCTGTTTCTAGCTTAAGCAGCGTGAGCAAGAGCCCTGTTGGGCGCCGACCGGTTCATCGCTTACCAGCTACTAACACAGCGGTTGGAACATCTCCGAACATTTCAGTAGGAAAACGTGGTAACAGAAACTCCCAACAAAAGAGTCAGCGTAAAGCTAAACATTCGCAGGCAAGTTTTTTTTCATTCCCAATGTCAGTTCAATTCTTTACTTCCCTCACGTAGAACGATTATCATAGGGCGTACTTGCCACATACTTCTGAGCTTGTCCAGGATTCGGACCACAACTCAATGCCTCCTCCGACCAGCTTCACACCTACCCATAACTCGTATTTACCTCACTTACCGAAAGAACCAATTGCTTCTTTGGAGCCTGTCCCGGAATCCAGAGTTGATCTTAAAAACACTCGCATCCCCAAGAATGTTGGCTTCAAACCCATCGGGAAACCAAGCTCCGCACTCAAACGCTTTTTCCCTGCTGACGACGATGACATGGACAGCGTCTGTTCGCTCTCGGCGACCTCGAAAACGCCTGACAAAGTTCTCCAGCAGCCCCCTGGTTCAAATTGGCAAGAATTCAACTATAAGGAGGGAAAACAATGGCCACTTGCAGAGCCGCTCGTGATGGAGCATCACGACGTTCAGCCCGAACCATCAATGCTCTCTCCTCCTTTCTACTCTGTTGGTCAGTTCGCGACCCACATAGGAAATGGCACAACCACCTCATCAGAAATTCCACCACTCGATGAGGAGCGGCAACTTTTGACCGTCGGCAATCGAGGTCCCCCAGCTTCGCAGCGATCCCATGCCACTCATTCTCCACATCCAGAATCCGGAGCTCCACATACATCGACAACAGTTGCTCACTCTCGTAACGAATTGTACAGCATTGTAAGTCAAGTGGGTGAAGGCACGTTTGGAAAGGTTTACAAGGCGCGAAATACGCTTACGAATGTACACGTGGCACTGAAACGTATTCGCATGGAGTCTGAAAGGGATGGCTTTCCTGTCACTGCCATGCGGGAGATTAAGCTTTTACAGTCATTGCAGCACGAGAATGTTGTGCGTTTGTACGAGATGATGGTGTCAAATGGTGAGACTTGATATGTGGTTCATGAATACACATTAATGCTTGCATAGGTTCCGTTTACATGGTGTTCGAGTACATGGACCACGACTTGACAGGAATATTGTCACAAACGCAGTTTAACTTTTCCGATGCTCATCTCAAATCACTGTGCCATCAAATGCTTGCAGGGCTTGCATACTTGCACCACAAAGGGGTCATACATCGAGATATCAAGGGCTCCAACATTTTGATCAACCACCGAGGCGAACTTAAACTCGCAGATTTTGGTCTTGCTCGATTCTACCAGAAGCGAAGGCGGACAGATTATACCAACAGGGTCATCACTCTCTGGTATCGCCCACCTGAGCTGTTATTCGGTGCTACGGTTTACGGGCCTGAGGTAGACATGTGGAGTGCTGGGTATACTCGTTTCTTTCCGCGGTTGGCTTGTGTCTGACAATGAAATGCAGATGCATCATGCTCGAGTTGTTCACCAAAAAACCCGTTTTCCAGGGGAATGATGAAATCCACCAGCTCGACGTTGTTTACAAAATTCTTGGAACTCCAAACCCTCAGCGATGGGCGGGCGTCATGGATCTTCCTTGGTACGAGCTCGTCAGGCCGCAAGATGTTATCCCGAATCGCTTTCGGGAGTTATTTCAGAAGTAAGAATACAAACTGTTTCTTTCCTTGAGCCACTTCTAAAAATATATCAAGGTGGATGTCATCAGCAGCACTTGATCTTGCGGAGCAGTTACTGACGTATGACCCCTCCCAACGAGCAACCGCTGTTCAGGCAATGGAAGCCCCTTACTTCACACAAGAGGCACCCCCTCCAGAACCTCCGGTCGGGTTTGTGAAAGGCTATTCATCTCTGTTCGTCCTCGCTGATATCTTCTTCTAGTTTGGCAACGCTGGAAGGTGAATGGCATGAGCTTGAAACGAAGCGTGAACGTGCTAAGAAACGAAGAAAAACTGAAAATTCGGCAGTGAATGCTGAAGTTTAGATCGTCATTTCAATTGTACCACAACACAACTTTTTATATTACGCCATGTTTTTGGGCACTATCGACGCCTCTCTAGTCGTGGCTTTCGTCGCGAGTAAGCCTTGCATCCTCTTCATTGGTCAGTATCAGTATCTTCCACATGTATGCATCGATGTGTTGTTGGGCTAGGATCAATAACGAGAGGTGAAGTCAAGATCTTTGTTGATGCAGATTTTGATCCTTCTTTGATTTGTAAAATTCGGAGAAGGACAACCGAATGCCCAGGAATCGACAATCCAAGTCAGGATGCACTTGCAAATGCTGCACAAGAAATTGGACCCTATCGGAGTATGTAGAGCCGTATTCATTTAAGCGACTGAGCAATCCAGGTAAGGCATCTTGCGGTTGGTTTCTGACTTGCGGGTTTCCTGTGTACACTCCCTGGTGCCAAGCTGTAAGCGGTATCAAGGAGAGAAAAAAAGGGTGGAAGCCTACGCGATCGGCGTCCATGTCCTGGTCTCGTCGTGAAGATTCCGATAAACAGTAGTTATAAAAATTATCCTGTAACGGCTCAGCTCCATTTCTGATTACTGCCAGGGAGATGCTCACGGCGGCCTCTCGGAATTGCAGGATGACCAAAAAGATCTCCTTAACCTGGAACAGGACAATGTCCTAGAGTGAATGATAAATGATCCTTTGTGTGTAGGAGGACACAATGAAAGCTTACCTCCTTCCCGGGCTTAGAATTCCAAAGTAGTACCTTTTTCGTCACACGGTCTAGATATAGCCGATGTGCCTCGATCAATGCATCCAAATCGCCTTCTTTTTTGTTCAAGAAATCGATAAGACCTTTCCAGGAGCATTCGATTACTTCAAGACGACAGTAAGCCTCAACTTGGCGAATAAAATGTATCATCTCGGCCACAACAAGACGAGTTTTATGCCATTTTGGCTCCAAGTCTGACGGCGCGTGGTCAATAGATTAAAAATGATCATCGTGGCTCATACCTGGTACTCGAAGGAAAGCGCGAGCACCCCCAATAATCCTCATCCAACTTTGATCGAGAGCCTTATCAATTCTCCTCATTTGCCACAGGTGCTTGAAAAGCTTGAGGTACTTCTCCATAGCGTCCGCGTCAAGCACGGTATCGATAGGCGCATCAACTTTGTACTCCAAAGTGAAGACGTCCCAACCTATTTCGCCGTGTGAGTACTCCAGCATTCGTGCGTCGAGACGACGTAGGACGTCCACTGGATCCTTGTGGGCGTTTGAAGATCGGATGGCGGATTCCAGAGTTGCTGTAAGATTATGCCGATACAAAGTGTTTGCAGGTCTTGCCAGGCTCGGGCTTTTAAAAGGATGAGAAGACCGTAATAATTAATTGTAGAAGTAATACCCTAATGTTTCCATTAATTGATCAGCAAAATCCCCATGGCCAAGCAGGAGGTAATTTTTGAGGGCGGAAAGATGATCAAGGAGCCTGAATTTCTCGACAAATACCTCGAATAAACGATGGCTGGCGATGCGGTACGCCGTGTCGATGGATCTTTCAAGGCCTCCGATATCATTGTACTGCAAAACTGCCGGGGAATTTATGGACAGAAATACTCATTTCGTTGAAAGCTTACGGCCACCTGTGTTGCTCATTTTTTCCCGTGTGAGAACCCAGTCGCTGTCATGACAGCTGTAACGGATGAAGTTTAAGCTCTTCCCAGTCGAGAATATCTAGAAAAGAATTGATCACGCAATCCACAATACGTCAAAGATAGTTGAAAGAACCTTTCTTCCAAAAGATTCGCCGACGAACATGGGAAGCATTTCCTTTCGGAACCGATACTTTGCCTCCCAAAGCTTGACCCCGTTTTCTCGCAGCCCCGAGAAATCGTCATCACTACCTATCCCTGTGAACCCGCCATCTCCTGAGATCTGGTTGACTCCTCCCAGTAGTGAGGAGGGGTGAACACGGGATGTAGTGCCCATGTTTGCATCCACCGCAACAAAAAATTCGGAAAACGGATCGTACAATTCCCCAGAGAAAAGCCATTTGTGTAGGGTGGCAAAAAATGGCCGAGAAACCTGTCGCGCTCAAAGATAACGAAGAAAATGCCTGCAACAACACACACCTCTTCCAATAACTTATCCGTAAACATCCTAACGAAAGGGTCACCATTATCAGTATAACTGTGGATCAAATTTACCAGTGCACCGCCATGTGTGTCTAGAGAACATTTGTAAACAACGTGCACTACATAGAATGAAAGTTCATTTACCTCGGGCACCTTCAACACATACACTCATCATCCTCATTCTGAGCCGCCACTCATTCACCCAAACGTCAAGCCTTCTTAACGAAAGCCCGGAGTTATCTCTTCCACCGTCGTGGCTCATACCAGAATCGTCCGAGACTTGTGGAGCTTTAGATATCTGCGTCTCCAGCATGGCTATCAAACGATAATATTGAGTGAGTTGTTGATGTAGGTGGTGGCAAAGGCTTTGCTCTATCGTCCCCACTCCGTTTGCACCTTCACGCTCTTGCACGAAGCGCTCAATTCTGCTGTATAGATAACCAAGTTCAGCCAACCGATGTATCAGAGCCTGAGTTGATGCAGGGATATGCCATTTCTACGGAAAGTGGTTAGGCAAGGACACAGAGGGTGATGGTACGGAGCACGGACAGCATCCTCAACAAAGAGGATCCTATTTTCTTCTTCTTTAGTCAACGAGAAGCGAACGAATTTCCCCGATATTCCCTGCAGGAGGTAAAGGGCGTCTCGGAGAAGGACTGATTCTGGCAGGTGTGAATGACCTAATTCTGACCTGGTCAGCTTTTGGGAAATTTGCGGCTGCTTGATCCGAGCTTACTCTTCTCTGAACGGTAGTCCCTCAAAAGAGTTGCTTTGGATTTAACAGTGACCATTCCCCCTTTTGAGGCGTCATTGAAGACTTGTTGAATTACAGGAGTCTTTTGATATGGCGGGGATGTTAGCAAGGGGAGTAGGATGGCTGAAGGCTGAGCAGCTGGAGAGGATGCCAAAGAGTAGAGAAACATGATTGTTTCCGGTTTCCTGGAGAGTACTGGCTGAAAGTAATTCAGAAACAGAGCCTGGCAGTTCATGCGGACCAACCTGGTTGAGAAGGCGAGAAAGTAGATTTGAGAACTTCAAAGCACTTGATCCATTTGGTGATGTTGCCAAAACTATATTCGTGTGTATAAAGGTATGACATTCGGGAGTGGAGCTACGCACGTCGACGCTTCACAAGATCTACTACCTGGCTTAAATCTGCTTCGTGCTTGTGACCGATATGGCTATGAGAAATTCAGGCAACTAGACTTGGAGATACTGCATTTACTCCCCTGTTGAGAATCTCCTGGCAATGAGAGACAATATCCTCCTTCAGGTCCTCTGCTGTCCTGGATGCAGGTATAATGCTAAGAACGAGAGAATGAAGTGCAGAAGACATGAAGATTTCGAACGCGTTTGTAAACTGATTGCTTAAATTTTAAAGTGAGGCAAGAAGGTTGAATAAATGTTGAACGTTGCACGTTTGAACTAAGAACTTCAACGTCTGCCTGCCTCTTGATTTTAAAGTCCGCCGCCACTCAGATCTTATCAGCATTATTTAAGTACAACATATATATTCATTAGCCTGAACCAACTTATGACAAAAAAAACGTTAGAGCTTGACTTCTTTCGTCCCATCCTTCCAGAATGTAAAGTAAGCTAAAAAGGGCTCATCAGTCAGAGGATAGAAACATCAGCCTAATCGACATTACGGGTGACACCATCCTCCTGTCAACAACCAAAGTTGTAAGTCCAACACTCAATGGCGAATGTGGATAAAAAAATACCCTATAATTGAGTAGCGCAACCATGCCCTCGGGATTCATGCTTTCTCCCGTGTACTGTGGCATCGGATTAAGAAGTAGCTTGATATCAAGGAACACGACCCACGAATTCAAAATCTTTGAAATTGCCAACAATCTTCTTGGCGAATGTTGCAGCACTCTTTTCAAACGCCTCGACACGTTCCGGTTTGGTCTCCGCAAGCTTGGCCTTTATAGCTTTCATGTATCCCTGGAAGGAGGATTATGAACATCTCAGGTGTTCTTTGGCGTTGACCGACTCGCCTTCAGGTACGTCAGGTACGTTTTCTTATCGAAAGATGTTTGCTGAAGTCGGAAAGAATGGACAACATTGTTGACCTGGACTGCTCCATCCGCCAACGCCTCTTCCTGCTCCTCAGCGGAGGGATTGGCACCTAGAAACGAGGAGTTCTCAGTAATAGGGTATGCTAATGAGTTGGGAGGGTTTCCACCAATGTCGACGTCGCCTTCCTTAAAGAAGATCATTTGACAATCGACTTCATAGACTATACCGTCTACTTCTTTCCTAGAATAATTGAGTAGGACCGTGAGAGTGATCTGGGATGATGCGGACACATACAAAGGGAAGGCGTCGGAGAACATTTCGTCTCCTGTGAGGATGTCTTCATAGAGCAACATGGCGAAGAAGTGGCAGACGAGGTAATAGTGTAACCTGAGTTTAACGAAAATCTTTGAAGCCAAGCATCGATTTGATTTGATCTTATCCAAAATAATCACGTGATGGGGACTAGAGTGATTTATTGAAATTTAATTTTCTCTTTTCCACTTGGAGTTCAGGCTGTCAGCCTGGCATGGAATATCAACCAGTCCTCGTCAAAACTCATCCACGTCCATCTTCCTCAAAACACAACCCAGAATCGAGGTATTGGCGTCAATTCAAACATCCTGTTTTTGTGAAGGAGTATGCGCCAATTACCTCGATTCACTTTTCTCCATCAAAACCACACAGATATGCCGTGACCGCTGCCACAAGAGTTCAAATCTACGCTCCCCGTACTCAAAGGATCACCAAGACAATCTCCCGTTTCAAGGACGTTGCTCGGAGCGCCAATATCCGTCAAGACGGCAAACTTGTCGTTGCAGGAGATGACAGCGGCTTGGTGCAAGTGGGTATCATTCGCTTACCCAGTATTTTCTCTGACTTTGCCCTTCAGGTTTTCGACATCAATTCTCGTGCAATTCTTCGAACTCTGGATGCACACAAACAACCAGTTCACTTAACTCGATTCTCTCTTTTGGCACCTACACAAGTGTTGTCTTGCTCCGATGACACGTCAGTAAAACTTTGGGATATACCCTCTCAAACGGCCATCTCAACGTTCACGGATCATACCGACTACGTTCGCTGTGGCCAGGTATCAACGTCTAATCCTCATATCGTCTTAACTGGCTCTTACGATGCCACCGTAAGGCTCTTTGACTCTCGGACGGGCCAGTGTGAGATGACCATGAGGGAACCTGAGTCAGCAGGGGACACAGTCAAAACGCCGGTTGAGCAAGTTTTAATGTTCCCTTCTGGAACCGTCGCAATCTCATCTGCGGGCCCCATCCTTCGCGCATGGGATATGGTCGCAGGAGGCCGCTGTGTAAGGGCCCTATCGAATCACCAGAAGACCATCACCGCGCTAGCGTTCAATGGATCCGCTAACCGTCTTCTGACGGGTAGTCTAGATCATATGGTCAAAGTCTACGACGTCAGCACATATCAGGTCGTTCATACTATGCGATACCCTGCCCCTATTCTCTGTTTGGCTATATCAGTGCGCATTTGTGTGGTTACATCTCATTAGTACCTGACTAGTGAAACAGCCCGACGAGACACATTTAGCCGGAGGGATGGCGGACGGCACCCTCTCAATTCGAAGACGACAGCATAAACCCGAAGAAGCGGATGTGACTTTTAACTTAACCAATTTTATAGGTTATGAAACGACGAAAACGAACGGAATTGAGCACAAACCTTCTTGGGACAACGACGAACTACGGATAGAGAGTCGGCGGATGAAGCGCCTGAAAGAGTATGACAAACTTTTGAAGGCATTCAAATACTCTGCCGCGTTGGACTCGGTTCTTCGAAAAGTAAGCTTTGTTTCACAGATATATGCTTTCTGTTTCAACGGTTTCTTTAGCAAGTTCCACCAACGATATCGTTTTCGCTTATTCATGAACTCATTCATCGAGATGGGTTAAAGGCTGCCTTGGCAGGGCGTGACGACGTTTTATTGGAACCTGTACTCAGACTCCTTCTGAAGTATGCCACTGACCCGCGCTTTGGAGACATTGTTTGCACAATCGCCAGCATTGTTATCGGTGCGTGGGCAAGCTTGGTGCATGAAGGAATAGTATTGACCATTTGTGCAGAGATGTATCGACCAGTACTAGGACAAGCCCCGCTAATCGATAGCTTGTTTCTTCGGTTACGGAAAAAAGTCATAGCAGAGATCCGGTTCCAGAATGAGTTAATTAAAACCTCGGGGACGTTGGCTATGATATTTTCCTCCACTCTGTTGGATAGCAAATTATCCAACTCCTCCATCCCATGAGTTTGGAGCCTTTTGTCCCTATGTATTTTCCTGAGAAGGTTCTAGAGCAGCTATCAAACCTTGTAATATTTCTCTTCGAGATAAATGGTGCTCTGTTTCATTTGGTCGCTCTTCATCTTGAAGATTGTCATAATACACACGCAGAGTTTCCACGATCTTATTCACAGATTGATTTTTTCGGCTCAACATGCGAATAGCGTGAAGGCGGATCTGCAGAAGTGTCAATGGATGTACTCACAAATGTAAATCTGATTTCATTACGAACCCCATCATCCTCCATGATCAGCCAGGCCAGGATATAATCCAGAGTTTGAAGCGTAAAGAGACCTCCTTCTAATCTTCGTACGTATGTTGAGTCTGCGTCCTCCGAGGAAGTGGCCTCACCGTCCTCAGAAAGCTCCTCGCGAATTTTAGCACATCATAGACATATAGATATGGGAACATACTTGTCTCTCCGCGTCAAGCTCCAAGTCAGTCATCCTGAGGCGACTTTGTGCAGCATCTCTGAGTTCTATTAGTCTGTCAACCTTTTCGTAATCTCCCTCCACAAATTTTGCTAGTAAACGGATGCGACCTCGAGAATCAGAAGCTAGATGAGTGAATAGTGATGCGATGATGCCAAGAATATGGGTAATGTCTTCGGACGCTGATGCCGAAGAGGCAGCATGCATTTTATGTTTCTTGTTCGACTGGAAGGGAATTAAGCTCGCCGATTTTGCGTCGAGAACAATACACACCTTTCCCATGAGTGCGGCGAATAGGACTTTCAAGCCAAGAGCCTCCACAAAACTTTCACACACGCCTGAGCTCGTCGTTCCCGACATGGCGTAGTCAAGAGCCTTGATGGCACGAGACTTAGACTGCATATTCTCCCTTGACTTTTTGTCACAAAAATTGAGGAGATAACCCAGTAACAAACGCACTTCATCATGAGGATCATTAAATCTGGCCCTTCCGCTGAGAGGAAGAGCTGTTTGATAGAGGGTTCGTTCAAGACTGAACATAGCGAGTCAAACAGGTTTTCCATGAACTCGGTCTCATCGGGGTCCACAGGATCCTTCCGTCTGTATTGCTGCCAACAGACGTACATAAATGGCAGCGCGAGTAGAACAAGCTAATTCTTCATACCGAAAGAACCTTTAGAAGCAATTCGACACCATTTTCCTTGCCGAAGCGTATCCGATTATCTACATTATTTTGGAGTAGAATTGAGAGTAGTTCTGCGGCATATCCTCGGGTTTCGTCGTGCGTCTTTGATTGCAGACGGTTTAACAACCACGGCAGAACATTCGTCTTGGAAACAAGTTGTAAGGCAAGATCTGGGTTGTAACCTAGAATGTTTTCAAAAACAGCTGAAATTCGGTAAGTCCTCGCTCGACAACGGAATGCTCTACAAAATACATACCCAGAACATGGAAAACTCCCTGTTTATCAGATTCTTCTGTTTCGTTCATGCGAGATAAATTATCAACCAACAGCTCTAGGATCGCGTGCTCTACCTAAAGAGCGCGTTAAGCGTACAAACTTTCAAAAAGTGATCTGACCGTACCAAACTGTCAATCAAGAGTTTTAAGGCCGCCTCAATCTCCTCCAACGCTTCATCATTCTCAAGGTCGTTGCCGACATCTTCATCGGTAAGTTCATGGATCAGTTCGACTACGTCAATGACGATGTCCACGTTCTCGTGAGCGAGGAGTCCAATGAGCAACGCCACCGCTCCGGAGCGCACTAACTCGGGGTATGCAAGTACAGGCGCCTGAGATAAGGATAACATGGATTTTATGACACTATCCAGGTCTGCCTCGGAATCAATGAATCTAAAATAAACACCGCCATAAATAATGGGACATGAAAAAATGAGGATATGCAGACCTAGAAGGATCGTTAGGATATTTTGAACGCTGTTCTTGATTTTTATTTACACAGCGCTCAAAAGTGAGCAGTGACTTTCGGACAAGGGTGATGGATAGTTCTTGCGGCTTTGCATGATTAGACGAGAAAATATCAACTGATATATCGCACTCACAACATCTTGGATACCTTCACCCGTTGAGTTATCGAATATGTTGAGAATGGTCTTCTGTTCAGACGTCAAACCTCCTCCAAAGAAACGTCCTTCGTCGTCCTCTTCCGCGAAATAGTCTGCATCTCCTCCAGGAGCAAAGCTCTCATCCGCGACCTGGTCCTGTGCATCCCGGATGGTCGCCGACTTGGCTGAATTGGTCTCCCCCTTGGCTTGGGTAGAGTAGTACCGGCTGGGATCTCCTGCAAACACGCTAGGTGTAGAGGAATCCATTTTCAGCTTCTTCAACATCTCTGGAGTGGGGTTGTCGGGAAGTTTCCTCTTGTTACCGCCTGCAGGAAGTTTTGGCACCTGATTTTGTTGAGTTGAGCTTGAATTCAGTGTTTCGAACCACTCACTTTGAATAGTTTATCAATATCCATTGTTTGGAGTACGCGGTTGAGGTTGGTGGGTACAGTTTGGACTCTATAATTGACGTTTGGGTATCACGTGACAAGTCACTCACCTGTCTACTTACAACCTGGACATGGCTGATCCCCCACCAATGGAACCCACGTTCTCTTCTTCTACAGCCAACTCTGATTTTGAGATACGTGTTGCACGCATTGCTGATCCAAATACAGGCTAGTTCATTGCGTTCGATGCGCGTCACTAGCTAAAGGGATCTTATTCTAACAGACCTTCGAACCAAGCATGCCGTCGCATGCGAAATAAAAGAGATGCTGGACACAGTTCGAGATGCCGACACAGCCAAATCACTGCCGTATCTTGTGCCGGCTCTTGTCGAATTGCTTCAAGCCGGAGAACCCGTGTCTCAAAAAGAAACTATTGAATACCAGTTTCGTCGAGTTTTGTTCGAAATCCTGAACCGCCTCCCAGTTAATGAGGCCGTACGCGTTCACTTTGATTCAGTTTTTGCCTGCATGTTGCACGTATTACGCCACGACAATGAGGAAAATGGCAGCACGGCTTGCAAAACACTGGTTGACCTTATTCGCAACTACCGCTCGCTGAAGAAAGAAGGTCTGTCGGAATTCGTCATTATTTTTCAAGAAGTGTTTGGGAACATGCGGGGACTTGTCGACCAATACCTCTCTGAAGATTCTGCTCTACTTGATGCCAACTCTGCTTTTCCTGCGATGCGGAGCTTCAAAGTGCTTGGAGAGATGGGTATGGTCATGGTCATCATGTCGCAGCTCAATCGCTCTTTAGTCCAAACGTCGATACAAGATACTACTGCATCTGCTTTTGATATGCTAGCGTTAGAATCACCAGCGCAACAGAAGGCACGCGTGGAGTACGAGGCTATGGGAGGAATATGGGCTGGGATGACCCCGTCTATCAAGAATGCGTCAACATACAGCGACCTGATTCACGCGCAAATCAAGGCACGATTTTTTTTTCATTTGTTAATTTGGCTGATGACGTGCGTCCAGATGTTGTCCTATTTGGCATATGTAATGCGCTTTACTGGTGACCAGGATGATGCATACGGAGAAACTCTTATCTTGAGTGCGTTGCGGATTCTCCAAGACTGCCCTGCTAATGGTATTGCACTCCGAAAGGTATTTATGTTTGAGACCAATTCCTTGCCCCGTTCACCAGTATTTTAGGAATTAATGGTGGTATTTCGCCACCTCATGGGAACACCTCACCGCCGTGCTTTATTCATCCATCTTGATAAACTCTTTGATGAACGTGTCCTTCTTGGCACTGGAATAGCCAGCAAAGAAATATTGCGGTGAGATTGATTATCGCTGATTGACTTTGGCCTGAGAACAAATTCATTCATAGCGCTGTGGTCTATACTGCTGTTGCAGACCTAGTCCATCATGTTAGGAATGAACTCACTTCATATCAATTAGCTCGGATCGTCCATGTCTATTCATCTCTGATGCATAATCCTGCCCTAGGCATAAATCTCCACACCCTTTTTGCGAAGATGATGTTTGGGCTTACCGATGCTATCTCGACGAAGGAGTCAAATGAAGGTGCAGCCAGGCTCATTGGAGCTATGTTTGAGACTTGTCTTGAAAGGCTCGAGGGGTTATGTACTGTGTACACAGACATCAGCGCCAATATCGAACGGGCGAAGAGTATGACAGATGTTTCTCATGTGGATTTTACTTTCATCGAAAAGGCAAGACCCGTAGGTGGCGCTGTCCATGCCATTGAAAAGCCGGAGGAGGTCATGCACGGTCAGCCCATCCACTCACAGTCCCTTCACATAATCTTACCTTCACCAGAATCCCGTCTTATCTATAGGACACTTCTGCACGGTTTCCGTGTTTGCCTTGCAGCCATTAAAAAAGCTAATGCAGGTTCACCTGATGGGACCTTGATCTTCCGTTTCTTTGAGGGTTGTATCCGTTGTATGTCTTTGTTCGATCCGGATCCCCGCATGAACGAACAAAATGATGCCATTGATTGGTTCGGGCACGCTCTCCTCGAAATCGATCCCCACACTTTCCAGGAAGTGTGGACCCACAAGATGGAGTTTTTTTTTGCATGTGCTCAAAAGCGGATCATGCTCCTGAATATTTGTCAATTCCTCTTCACCCGGGAAAATACCTCCCCCGCTCTTCTCGCCATTGTCTTGCGATTTCTCATCGACCGACTGCCATCACTTGGAGAGTACGATGATCTCACTGCTGCGGCTACAATTCGGTTGTTCAAAATGGCGTTCGGGGCGGTTGCATCACACCCTGCTACGAATGAAACCATCCTAGCTGCTCACCTCGCAAAGTTACTCATGGACTGTTTTCCTCTTGCTGCGAAAGCAACGAAACCAACGAACTATTTTCATCTTCTGAGAGCTCTTTTTCGGGCCATTGGTGTTGGTGGAGGACGTTTTGAGTTGCTTTACAGCGCAGTCCTTCCTCTTCTCCCGGACATGCTGGAAAGCTTGAATCGGCAACTCCTCGCTTCTGAAGGTCAAACGCGTGACATGATTGTTGAGCTTTGTCTCACTGTCCCGCTCCGACTCACCCACCTTCTGCCGCATCTAACTTACCTTATGCAGCCGCTGGCGTTAGCTTTGCGAGGAAGCCCCGAACTAGTTTCTCAAGGGTTGCGCACTCTCGAGCTTTGCATTGATAACTTGACGCCCGATTTTCTGGACCCTACTCTCAGTACAGTTCTCAGGGAACTGATGGAGGCATTATTCAGTCATCTTAAACCCGCCCCTGCCAACCATCATCCTGCCCATACCACTATCCGCATTTTGGGCAAACTTGGGGGGCGCAACAGACGGTTATTAACGAAAGAGCCTGCACTTAACTTTCATCATCACTCAGAGTCGGCCAAAATGGCCATTTTCTTTGGGGGGAGTTCTGAGAGAATCGATCTGGGACCGGCGGCTTCATTGGCTGCGCGGGTTGTAACAAAACAGTCCTCGATCGATCGCGTCCACGCGTACCACTTCTTGGAAAATTGTCTCTCCTTCATTTTGCATGAGGTATTCTCTCCCAGTTACACACCCAAATAAAATTTCACCTTTTCTTTTTATTTGTAGGGTATCAAAGGCCGCAATGTTGAAGAGGTATTTGTGAGCTCACTGGAGGGCGTTTTCGATGCCGTTCATATTTCGGAAATTCATGATCAGGCAGAAGCATTTGTTCGGAAGCTGGGCCATGTCATCTTTAATGCAGAAATTAATCGGTACAAGACAGGAGAACCGACTGGCAGACCTCCCTCTCCTAGTAGCCTCCTATCATGCTATCTAGATGCCTTCCCGCATGCCCTGGCCCAAGATCAAAATGAGGCTGCACACAAGACGCAGTCTGTCATTACGTCCATTATCTTGGATCTTCTCTCGATGAGCAGTCAACCAGATGTCACCTATCAGCACATCCTGTTGATATTGCATCAGATTGCCAATAGGTTCACTGCTCTTTGTTTGGATGATTCCTGGGTTCGGAAGCGTGCTGGCTGCAGCGGCATCAAGATTATGACTTGCACCCCTGACATCGGAGTGAAGTGGGTGACGGACCGTGAGGTGGACCTCATTCGCACTCTTCTACACATCCTCAAGGATCTTCCTCTCGATCTTCCTCGAAATGTCGACGATGTGGTGGATGTCCTCATCGACGTTTTAAAAATCAGTCACTCTGGTCTTAATTTCCAGGGCGAAGGCATCGCAGTGGCTCGGAGCAAGCTGATTCATTTGATGGGAATATTTTTTCCAGAATTGCAAAGCTCTAACCCCGTTGTGCGACAAGCATCGCAAAGGTGCATTGGGTTTTTGGTCAACTTTAGTGGGCGTCCAGCAGTGGAGCTCCTCATGCCTCATCGTGATCGAATGCTCGCTGGCATCTATACAAAGCCCCTCCGAGCCCTTCCATTCTCAAAGCAAATTGGTATGATTGAAGCCGTTCGCTACTGTGTTAGCTTGGACCCACCGCTTGTTGAACTCAACGATGAACTACTTCGACTTTTGCATGAGACATTGGCGTTGGCGGATGCAGAAGATGCACAACTTTCAGGGCCTCGTGTGCGGCAGGGGGGCGTTGAAATTATAAAGCTTCGAGTGGCGTGCATAAAGTTGCTCACAGCTTCGATGCCTCTGACAGATTTCTTTTCGAGGCAACCTCAGACTCGTCAAAGGTAGTGATATATTTTATCGGTGGAAACGGGACTTACTTCAAAATATTCAGAGTTACTGGTGTCTACTTTAAATCCCTCTATTCTCCTTCACCTGAAGTCAAGGACGTCGCCCACGAAGGATTGCGGATGGTCCTGACTCATCAAAGTCGGCTTCCAAAAGAGTTGCTTCAGACTGGTCTACGGCCCATTCTGATGAATTTGGCTGATCCCAAGCGCCTCTCTGTGCCTGGTTTGGAAGGTCTAGCACGGCTGTTGGAACTCCTGACAAATTATTTCAAGGTTGAAATTGGCCATAAATTGCTCGATCATTTCCGTATCGTCGCAGATCCACAAATGCTCCAGTCGTCATCAAAAGTATCGTTGCCGGAGAGCGAGGGCCTCACAAAGCTTGTGCGCCTTGCTAACATTTTTCATCTCCTTCCGTCAGCTGCAAACATATTCCTTGAAAACTTCATCAACGCCATTGTTCAAACTGAGACGCATATAAATTCCTCAACGCAGAGCTCATTTTCAGAACCCTTGGCCAAATATCTTGATCGGTATCCTATGGAAGGAATCGACTTTTTCATCCGCCAGCTTCAGTCTCCTCGTCATTTGCGTACATTAAGGAGTATATTGCAAGCAAAAATGGCACCAAATCTCCAGCGTGAATTAGCGTCCCGAACCCCGACCATCGTACATCATCTTCAAGGTGTTGACTCTGCTCAGGTCATTGCTGCTCTCAACATTCTCGACGACCTTGCTTCCTTAATCCCCACGTGGCTCGCGCAGAATGGATACGTAATCGAGGCTTTAGTCGAGTTGTGGCATTCACTAGCTGCGCCGCCTGACCTTACTACATCTGCTGTGTTGGAAATCATCCATCAACACTCAATAATCCAGGCCATCTTTATCAAAGCCCTCAAACAATCTCCCCGCATCGATCTACTTTTTGAAATCGTCTCTCTCTATAATCGTAACCTTGGAGTAGACGTCATCCAAACAACAAATTTTCTCTACCAACACGTTGCACTCAGCGAGGATGTCCTTTTTCGGCGCAATGTTTTAATGCGATTCCTCACGTGGTTCACCGACGTGTCGTATTCGTGGACTCAAAAAGCACACTTCATTCGGTATATCGTGACGCCGACTCTCCTGGCTCAAGCCACGCGCCCATCCCCAAATGGGCGACTGCTTGATACAGACTACGTGAATCGACTGCATCGGATTATCTGGCAGCCAATTATCGAGGGTGGCACTTTCTCGGACACTGATGATATGTTTAAAATTGAGCTTCTTCACCTGACAACTGTTTTGGTACACCATTATCCAGAGCTTCTCGAGGACGTGAGGAAGGACATTATGAAGTGTGCTTGGTTCTACATCACTACTAGTGATGATATCATCGTGAAGCAGACGGGTTACCTTCTAGCTGCTCGTTTTTTTGCAGCATTCCCCACCCCCCCCAAATTCATTTTGCGAGCTTGGACAGGATTGCTCCGTATCCCGCATTCGGAAGGTCGTGCTCACGTACGTCACGAAGCGTTGGCGACTCTTGCGCCTTCCCTTCCCCAGCACGATGCAGGAGAGACCGGTCATCCTCAGTGGGCAAAAACCACCCGGAGATTGTTGGCCGAGGAGGGTCTTGCACAAATGCTTGCCATATATCACCTCATCGTCAAGCAACCCGAACTGTTTTACCCCGTTCGCTCTCTGTTTGTTCCGCATATTGCCAATTCCTTGAATAAGCTTGGGATGACAGCCTCTTCAACAACAGAGTCTCGGCTGCTTTCGATTGACATCTTACAAGTTATTTTTACGTGGGAAGAGCGGGCCTCGCAGGCGGCCAAGGTTGCTGAGGTAGAAACAATGATGCCAGGGGAACAAACATGGTTAACACCTCTACCACTACGGGAGAATATGGTCAGTTATCTTGTACGCCTGGCAACTATCCCCCACGATCAACTAGCCCGAACCCCTGTTGTTCCACGGATTCTTGCTTTGCTTCAACTGATAGTTGGACCAAACGGCTGGTCAGACGTCACTGTTGGTTTGCGCTTCTTCGCTCGGGCCCTCGAGCAGGTATTTGACCTCGTTTTCCACATTTATCGCTCTACTGATTGAAGAATCATTCCAGGCTGATCTCAATAGTGATGCTCATCTCAGCCAGGCTCTTTCATCTGCAAAAGTTCTTCATGCCATCACCACGGAACGTTCCGACTCGTGGTACACGGCTAACGCAACCATTCTTCAGAAACTTATACGCAAAGGTCTGCTCACGGACGACCATGGGCTGCATGACACGCTCCATCCGATCTTCGATCAACTTATCCGGTTATACCCATTGCCTAAAGAGGACGATGATCAATCTAGCGAATTATCCGATTTTCACAATTTTATCTACAGTTCCATTGGAGATAGTTTGCGAAATTCAATCGCTCTGCGAGGCATCCTTATGATGCTCAAGTCAGTTGTGCGCACCACACCGGAACGCATTGAAACCTTCAGCCAGCTTCTTATGAAACTCCTCAGTAAACTAGCCAAAGACCACATTCACTCGACAGCGACAACTTCTGGCTATGAAAACAATGTCCGGCTCATAATGGCTATCTTAGATATTTGCCAGTTTGGAGTTGCGTTCCTCGCAGATCAAAGGCGATGGTTACTCAGCACTCTCGTCGCTTTGGTGGAAAAATCTAAGAGTCTTGTGCTTTGTCGGTACATGTTGGATCTCGCGAGAACATGGGCTATGCACAGGCAAGAAGCTTATCCCACGATGAAAGAGAAGGCCAGTCTTTTGCAAAAAATGACGCAGTACGAAACTCGGGGTGACACGCTCTTCACGCCTTATCTTGACCTTATCTACGAGATATACACGGAACCAACACTCCGGCGCAGCGACCTAACAACACGACTTGAACAATCTTTCTTACTTGGATGTCGTGCTAAGGAAGCTTCGCTACGAGAGCGTTTTATGGACTTGCTGGACATCAGTGTTCCCCGGTCGCTGTTTAGCCGCTTGACTTACATTCTGGGTGTTCAGAGTTGGGACGTACTTGCCGACCAGAATTGGATTCACGTCGCTCTGCATTTGATATTGGGCGCTGCAGATTTCGAAGGAAGTCCGACGAATGAGAGACGTCAATTACCGACAGGTCCATTCTCCTCCATCATGCGTCCTCAAAGCCATAAAATCATTCGCCCAATGCAGCGTTTACTTTGCTTAGATCCTAAAATCGGTCATGAAACCTGGGTGTCCGTTTTCCCAGCAGTTTGGTCTTGTCTTTCTCGCCGAGAACAAATCGACATCACGAATCACATGATCAACCTCCTTAGCAAGGATTATCACGTCAAGCAAGCATCAGTGCGACCAAATATTATACAAACTCTTTTAACAGGAATACAGGCATGCTCTCCTCCAATGATTTTACCACCCCATCTGGTAAAATACCTCGCGAAAACATATGGAGCATGGCATATTGGGTTGGAAATTCTTGGGGCATCGTTGGAATTGGCAAAAGATGACGAACCTATCACTCGCGACTATGTGCACGATTCGTTGGCTGAGATATACGCGGAATTAGCTGAAGAGGACATGTTTTATGGTCTGTGGCGGCGCCGCTGCCTCTTCTCAGAAACGAACATTGCTCTTGCCTTTGAGCAAAACGGCATGTGGGAGCAAGCGTCAAATGCCTATGAAGCCGCACAGAACAAAGTTAGATCAGGTGCCACTCCTTTCTCTGAAGCCGAATACTGTCTATGGGAAGATCACTGGGTGTTAGCTGCGGAGAAACTACAGCAATGGGATATCCTCTACGAGTTTGCTAAAAGTGAGGGCAATCAAGAACTGATGCTCGAGAGTGCATGGCGAACGAAAGAGTGGGCGGATCATCGGGAAAGCCTCGAGGAGCAGATCAATTTACTTCCTGAAATCCCCACGCCCCGTCGAAGAGTCTTCGAGGCCTTCATAGCGCTTCTAAAACTCCCTGCTGCCTTGGACAAAAATGTCGAATTTACGAAGCTTCTCGAGGATGCTATGCAACTTTCGCTTCGAAAATGGGTTGCCTTACCACAGCATCTGTCCGTAGGGCACATACCTCTTCTCCAACACTTTCAACAATTCGTAGAACTTCAAGAAGCCGTTCAAATTTTTGGATCTTTATCCGCAACCAACGCCCAAAATCTTGAAAAGAAATCCTCTGAGCTTAAAATGGTGCTTCAAGCCTGGCGCGAACGGCTCCCAAATGTGTATGACGATATCAACATTTGGAGTGATCTTGTTGCTTGGAGGCAGAATGTCTTCCACTCCATTAACAATGCATATATGCCCCTGATTGGCGGTCCTAACCAGGGGAACGCCGGAACTTCCAGCAGTGCCAACACCTATGGATATCGCGGCTTCCACGAAACTGCATGGATAATTAACCGCTTTGCTCATGTTGCTCGCAAACATGACCTGCTCGACGTTTGTTTTACGTCCTTGACAAAAATCTATACCTTGCCCAACATAGAAATCTCAGAAGCCTTCTTGAAGCTGAGAGAACAAGCTCGGTGCCACTACCAAAAGCCCAATGATTTACAAGCTGGTTTGGAGGTCATTAACAACACAAACCTCATGTTTTTCTCTATCGCCCAAAAAGCCGAATTCTACACTCTGAAGGGTATGTTTCACGCCAGGCTGGGTCGTAACGAGGATGCAAATCTTGCCTTTGGACAAGCCGTTCAGTTGGATATGTCGCAAGCCAAGGCCTGGGCTGAATGGGGTCGATTCAGTGACCGCATGTTCAAAGAAATACCAAATGATTTGTCCTATGCGAGTAATGCTGTTAGCTGCTACCTTCAAGCTGCAGGATTGTACAAAAATGGAAAGAGCCGCCCTTTACTTTCTCGTATCCTTTGGCTTCTTAGCGTGGATGACAATTTGTCCACCATATCGCGAGCGTTTGACACGTACAAAGGAGACGCTGCCTTTTGGTTCTGGATCACCTTAATCCCTCAATTATGCCTTTCCCTCTCCCATCGGGAATGGAAGGCGGCTCGATATGTTTTGCTCAATCTTTCCAAGCATTATCCTCAGGTAAGTTAATCTTTACTTGTTTCTGTTCTTCGTGTCCTGATACAACGAAGGCCATATTTTATCAACTCCGCACCACTCGAGAGGAAATGCAAATAATGAAAAAGGCTATGGCGGCTCGTGCAGCTCAGACACAGGCTTCTCTAGATTCGTCACGCCGCCTCAACTCAGATCAATCTATGCGAGAGGGAACCGATACACCTGTCAACGATCCAAGTACTGTTCAGCCCACAACTACGCCGTCAGACAACAACGAGCGTCCTCCATCAGTCACTGTTCATCCCAGCGCTCCCGTCGTAGCCGAACCTTCAGCTTCCTATCCCCGCCAGCCGTGGGAACATGTAGATGAAATTCTTCAGACCTTGAAGACAACATTCCCTCTCCTAATTCTCAGTCTAGAAACCATGGTTGATCAAATACAACACAAATTCAAGCTCTCACAAGAAGAGGATGTATATCGAAATGTTTGCATGTTATTGCAGGATTCCATCCAGGTGATACCTCATCTCGTGGAATTTATCTCAGCTAATTGGCCCTGTAGAATTATGTACTTCGGATGAATGGTCAAGAAGATGATGGTACCCTCAACGCGGCCACTGTTTCAACGCTTGCGCGTATGGCTTCCAATCTGACAACTATCAAGGTATGTACATCGACTATCTGAGTTCGCTTTTTACTGAGAAGAAAACAGAAAGAGTTTGAAGATGATTTCATCACGAGTAAACCCAATCATTCTGAATATATGCAACGACTTCAGCGATGGAGAGATCGATTTGAGAAAATTCTCGATGCTCGCCCTCGCCTCCAACCTTTAGCAGTCTTGAGCCACTATTTGACCGAATTCCAGTATAGCAAAGTTGATGAAATTGAAGTTCCAGGGCAATACACTGAGGTCAGAAATTTACCCTGTCCCCTTCTTTTTTCTAATGTATTTTCTCTAGGACAAAGATACAAATCAAGCCTTCATTAGAATCCAGAAATTTGCACCCAAGTTCGAGAATTGCCGGTCCACTGGTTCCTGTTGGAAACGGATCACCCTCTATGGCAATGATAATTCAAAAACCTCATTCGTTGTTCAACTTCCTTGTCATCGACAATACCGTCGCGAAGATAGGGTGATCCAGGTCCTTCGAAATTTCAACGGGTAACGTCAAAGATTTCTATCGAAATGGAGGCAATTAACAAGCCTTGTTCATCAGTGCTTTGAGTCGCAAGAAGGAAAGTCGGAAGCGCAATCTTTCGTTCCATATACCGGCATCAGTTTCTTGCAGTCCCTCCGTGCGTTTGTTCCAAACCGACTCTTCGTATGTTTCTTTCGGAGACATCTATGACCACCATTGTGAGGAGAACAGCATGCTAAAAGAGGAGCCAGTCTTGCATGTAGGAGAAAAAGTTAAAAAGGTTCTACGGGAGTTCCGCCAATCTGCAACAAGACAAGTAAGTAGTCCCAGTGGAAAGCGTTGTCATTGGTAATTTACCATGTGCTCACAGTTGACCAAGACCGAATTCATCACATTGAAAAAGGATCTCTTTGAAGAAGTAGCTATCAAGCTGGTGCCAGAAGATGTACTCACCAAAGTTCGTTGGCCAATACTTGCATCATTTTGTCATTGACACACCTTTATTTCTCAGTTCATGATGCGAACTATGTTGGGACCTTCAGAACTATGGAGGATGCGGAAGCAATTCGCTTTACAGATCGCATCGACCAGCTTCATGACATACGTCCTCTGTCTCTCGAGCCGGCAGCCAGCACGATTCCATCTCTCTCGAGCCACTGGACAGATCGCGATGTCAGAACTTTTGCCAGGTTTGTAGCTCGAGTCTCCAACTTTGCAACATTTACACCTCCGTCTAGGTGTATCTAATCAATTGCCCATCTTTGCCACGAGTGACATCGTGCCATTCCGACTAACCCCGAACATACAGAATTTCCTCGGGCCTGTGTCGACAGAGGGTATATTGACATCCAGCATTATGGCATTGGGTCGATGCCTCACCGAACCAGAGGTGTGGTTTATATACTAATGCAGGTTGTTGTCCTAACAGCGTTCTAGTTTGACCTAGAGCAGCAACTTTGCTTGTTTAGTCGTGATGAAGTTATATCGTGGATGTCGATGCGGGGTAAACCTTGGGCGGTTGACATGCTTTTTCGACAGAGTGTTGCCGCAAATATCGACGGGGTGGTCAAGCGCGCTGAAACTATGGCATGTAAGAATGAAAGGGAAAACGTAAGTTGCCTCTTGGTTTTCCTTTTAATCACTTGTTTAATGTCTTTTCATGTAGGTCCTGCAGAGCAATGGGGCGACGGCGACGGTTCCAGCAGTTCAGACTGTTACCAACCTGATATCAAGCGCCACAAATCCTTTGCAGCTTGCGAAAATGGGGGAGCTTTATCAACCATGGTTTTAATTCTTTGACTTTATGTATCTGTCGAGTACGATGTACCAATGTTGGTCACTTGGATTGGTCGCTGGGAACAAAACGGTTGTATGATATTATTTCAGGAATGACTAACGCGGATCTGGAAGGACTGCAGCTGACCTGGAGGGCTATGCTCGATTTGCTCCACGAGCATAGCCCTCCGTTTGACGGAATGACAAAATATGCCCTTCACTCTCGATCATCATCTAGTCAAATCATTAGAGTTGAGATGTCACAGAGGGGACATAACATACATCTTCCGCCATGGCATGAACGTCTGACCCTGGCCTATTATACATCATCGCATTTGCGAACATGAGAAAGATGTCCCGCTGGAACTCTAGTGAATTAGCGACAAGCCCATCTTTGACCCTGGTTTTGATTGTTTTCAAGTCCATCGGACGCTTCACGATGTCGTGGTAATCAGGAGCTTCTGAATTTTTTATGGGATTATGGAAGATGTTTCCGTTGCGGTGCTGTGATATCTGGGAATGGAGAAGACCGATAACACTCTGGAAGCGTTTCAGCGCGACTTGTTCCTCTGTGCGGGTGCCCTGCCGGATTGGGCGGGTGCGGGTATTGTGCGAGCTTGGGCCTAATAAATTGTCTAAGATATCTGTGCACGGTAGAAGCAATGATACGCACCAGATTCATCGTCATCCACCGGCTCGGAGTCTTCTCGCACTCGTTTCTTCTCACGCTGATACTCTACGGCTTCCAGGGGTGACGCCTTCCTCTTACCTGCTGTACGGTCAATGGGCATCGTTCAAAAAAAAATGACGAAATACTACCTTCACGTCGCCTAGCAGACTCTGACATTGGCGTTATGTGACGCCCTTCGACTTGTAGCATATCGATTTTCATTTCGGAGTCGATGTCCGCCTCGGAATCTACTTCGTTCGGTGAAGGCTCACTCTCAGCTGTTTGACGACGTCGTCGTGAGCTTCCCCTCGTCTGGAGGGGAGGTACAGAAGACGTTGATGACTTTCGACGGCGTGCGGAGCCTGTAAGCAATGAGTGCTGAGAGACAGGTTAATAAAGAAGATAAACATACGCCGTGCGGCTTTGGCTGGTTCCTCCTCAGAAACCGGTCCATCGAGATCTGAAAAATTAACAACTTCGCCCATTTTGGTTTCAATGATTGCGGGGGGAGACGTCGTTTTATCCTCTGACGCCGTCTCAGTCGCGTCAGTAAAAGGGGGTGGTAACTTCGTTTCTTCATGATCAGTTTCTTCCTCTTCAACCTTCGCCTCTAAAGGGACCTCTTCCTCTTCCTCTTCACCGTTCACCTCATAATCCCCCTCTTCCTCTTCTTGTCGCTGGATTAAACTTTGTTTCTCCTCTGCACAATTTCGGGTTTCAAACAAATCTGCCATCCCTGCGTCTACAGGAAGCTCTGGCGGTGCGTCGTTTACATTAAGTTGCTCACTTATCATCGTCGGGGCTGGTACGGCTTCGTGAGGTTTGTTGCTTGGTACAGCTAATGTAAGTCCCTCTGCTTCCTCCGAGCCGTCGAGGGGACTGGTTGAGTTGGTCAAAACCCTGAGTTCGGGTTCCGATGACCCATGAGTTCTTCCAGATTCATCGATTCCGTCCAATAAATGGACCTTCGGCAGTTGCGGCATTGGAGAGATAGCGCTATTGTCTTCATCCTATTCGACTATAAACTTCAAGATAAAAAATATTTCATAAATGTGTAACTCACGCGACCCGAAGACCCAGAGTCTGTGACGCCAGTTAAATCTGACCCGCCAAATATTTCATCCGTCTGTTCTACACCAGGAGCCTGGGGGGCTTTTGATAAGTGGCACCTAAGGCAAGTTTGCTCAACATACTTGCGCTTTCACAGCTTCTAAGGGGACACCTGAAAGATTGGCCTTTATTCTCTCGTCATGTAGACCAGCGCGTATGTCGTCTATTTCTGAAGCGATGGACCTGTTCCTTAATCAGCCAGTGTAGGTGTAGAACGAGCAATGTAATAACTTGAAGTTATTTTCCTCCACAGTGATAAGGTGAAGAAGCTCAGAGAAGCGAAGTTGGAAGTGTTTCCGAGCTAGAGCAAGATTCTGGGGTGCTGAGAGTATATAACGGTTGGCCAGGCTACTTTGGAATACAACGTACTTACCATGTATTCCCGCGTCCAGATCGGTGCTAGCTTCTTGCTCAAGAGGGGTAATATAAAAAGTGCTGTAACGCTCACCGCTCCAGACTTGCTTCTTTCATCATACGTTCATACACGGCCAGACACGACTAAACGTGGAAAGTGTCAAATGAGAGACAATTGGCGAAGTAAGGCGGCAGTACTTGGGCTGTGAAGAAGGATTTCGGCCTTGAAATAAGGGGATGTGATGAGAGGAGCTTTGCAATGTTTGACCAAGATTCTGAGTTTGCGCCAAGCTCCCAGACAGTCTGTGCCAGAAGAAGAGATTCTAGCTGGGTATAAGATGACTGTTGTTTGGCCTGAGCGGTTCCTCGACGCGTTGGGCGCACGCTCATTGTCGAAACGATAAATGACTGCGGCTAATATTCAAAGTCCGACTACTCAAGTAGGTTGTTGCGTCACAGCCACTTTAGTTACGGGTTGCTTTCAACCATGATCTTCCTCCCTCTTGCCCTTGCCCTCCTTTCTTTTGCCGAGGCATCCCGTATCCACAAACTCAAATTACACAAACTTCCCCCCACCACAAGTAACCCACAGTTTGAGAGTGCCTATCTTGCCGAGAAATATGGCGCAAGTGGCAGCCAGCCTCAAATGCCCTTGCTGGGCGTAGGTGGTACAGGGCGTCGTGTCGCCATGCAGAACGGAGAACCTCTCTTCTGGACACAGGATGAGCTGAAGGGTGGTCACAGCGTTCCCCTAAGCAGTTCGTAAAGTCTTCCAACCAGATTACATTCATTCACAATCGTCGTAGACTTCATGAATGCGCAGTATTTTACCGAAATCTCTATCGGAAACCCTCCTCAATCTGTATGTATGCCTCTTTTTTCTGAATCTGTTTGTTGTGCTTGATGTTTCCTTCCAATGTCAAGTTCAAGGTCATTCTGGACACTGGGTACGTAATCAGGACGAGCATAATACTTTAATACTCACCGCTACCTTGCAGTTCGAGCAATTTATGGGTTCCGAGCGTGAAATGTACCTCAATTGCATGCTTTTTACATACCAAGTATGACTCCGCCTCGTCATCCACGTTCAAAGCAAACGGCTCCGAGTTCTCCATTCATTATGGTTCAGGCTCCATGGAGGGCTTTGTCTCCAATGATCTTCTGTCAATTGGCGACATTACCATCAAAGGTCAAGACTTCGCTGAGGCGGTGAAAGAGCCCGGGCTTGCGTTTGCTTTTGGAAAGTACGTCTCAAACTTTGAGGGGTACTCCTATTTCTAAAGTATTCTCCACTGTCCAGGTTTGACGGGATATTGGGTCTTGGTTATGACACAATCTCCGTGAATCACATCATCCCTCCGTTTTACAGTATGATCAACCAAGGACTTATCGATTCCCCCGTGTTTTCGTTCCGTCTTGGTTCCTCTGAAGAGGATGGAGGCGAAGCTGTGTTTGGAGGAATTGATGAATCTGCTTACAAGGGGAAGATCACATACGTTCCAGTACGTCGTAAGGCCTACTGGGAGGTTGAACTCGAGAAAGTTTCTTTTGGCAATGACGACCTTGAACTCGAGAGCACTGGTGCTGCCATTGACACTGGTGTGTACAACTCTTTCAACAACCTTACACTATCTTAGTTTCCCACAGGAACATCCTTGATCGTTCTGCCCACTGATATCGCAGAGATGCTGAATACTCAAATCGGTGCAAAGAAATCGTGGAATGGCCAATACCAGGTTGATTGCGCCAAGGTTCCCAGCCTTCCAGAACTCTCCTTTTACTTCGGTGGCAAGCCTTATCCTCTCAAAGGAACTGATTACATTCTTGAAGTCCAAGGTACTTGTATTTCGGCCTTCACTGGAATGGACCTCAATCTTCCTGGTGGTTCGCTATGGATTATTGGTGAGCATATTGTTCTGGTTACTGCCTCCTTCTCATGCCTTATGATTGTGTTCAGGGGATGCCTTCTTGCGCAGATATTTCACCGTTTATGATCTTGGTCGAAATGCTGTTGGTTTCGCTGAAGCGGCCTAGGTTTGCGGCGTAGCATTCATCCCATTCTGGGTAATTTACGTAGTTATCGCTTTAGCTGGCATTCCCATTTCTTGTGTAAAGTTTCAATTTGTATGGAATTTGAATGATGTTGCCCAAAAAAGCCGAACGCACTGCGACGTATGATAAGCTGTCGACCTAATATACTCATGACGGCCCACTTCTCGCTACCCCCATCCGTCTCGAATGTAGAAGACAACAGGAAACGGAATCTGTCTCGAGCCTTGTTTCGTCGATTGGATAGGGTCAATGTTCTTGGAGACAGCACATCTGGCCACACAGGGCAAGTGCTGGTGACCACTCTGCTTATCAGCAGTACTGAAAGTGTTTTTCGCTCACCCTTGCGCCTAGATGTGTGAATGCCTTAAGTTGGGCACAGGAGGGGGATCTTCTTATCAGTGGAGGAGATGACACGACAATTCGAGTCTGGCGGATGGACACTTCTAACACAGAGCAAGAGTATCCATTTGTCTGCCGATCCGTCATATCTACGGGTCATCGTGCAAACATTTTCAATGCTCAAATGCTCCCCAGTTCCTCTAGAATGTACGTGTTTGCCTTAGATGTCAAGTTTAATATTTGATTTTCGACAGAGTGACAGCCGCAGGAGATGAACAAGTCCGCGTATTTGACATTGAAACAACACAGAGTGCAGCTCCGGATGGTGTTGTGACCGAATACAACTCTCGTCAATCTTGTATTCGAATTTTGCGCTGTCATGATAACCGAGTCAAGAGAATTGTCGTTGAGGAGAGTCCCGATTTGTTTCTATCCGTTGGCGAGGTCGGTAGCTTGGTTCCCTTGGGGCATGCTCACTGAATGGTGAAAATCCAGGATGGTACTGTTAGACAGCACGATATGAGGACACCCCATAACTGCCGAGATGGCACTTGTCCTGCACCCCTCACGAAAGTCAACCATGAGTTATCAACGCTGAGTCTATCACCAATCACTCCCCACCAATTTGTTGTGGCTGGCGAGGCGCCTTATGTGAGTTACACCCTCTGGATGTTTCTCTTCACTGCCTGAGAGAAATTGTACACCGTAAGGGCTATTTGTATGACCGGAGGCACGTTGGAAGAGTCTTAAAACGAGAGTGGGGCGAAGTACCCCGAGCTGGTGAAGAGGTCACGACGTGCGTACGTCGATTTGGGAGGCCTCAAGAAAGACGCGGGGAACAGAACTCAAGACGTGAGCATGTAACTGGGGCTCGCATTTCACCATCAAATGGACATGAAGTCATTCACTTGTTCGCCCCTTTCAAAGCCGCTGCTGATATGCTTATTGACAGGTGCTCCTTTGTCAGTTTTTTCCTTCTCTGAGATTAGGTATTGATTTGACGAAAACGACAGCGTACAGTGGTGATCGGGTGTATCTGTATTCCACACGGGACCAGCCTTGCAGTGATGATGATCTCGCATCACCAACCACCTCCATCATGCCAGCGAACGCAACACAACCACAGAAGATGCCGTTGGTGGTTCCTCAACCAAGTTCCTCCACGGGGTCTGCAGAGGAATCCCAAAACCAAGATATTGATCTAGAAGACGAAGATCTCGCAGCCTTCATAGAGTTTGACGATCCTCCAACGCGGGATTATCAAACGGATATTCCAGTGATCATGCCTCGATGCCAGTATGCTGGTGCGCGAAATGTGGCCACGATTAAGGACGGTGACGTTGCCTCCCTACTGATAGCTGCGGACCTTCCTAATCTAAACCTTGTAGTGAACTTTTTAGGCCCCAGAGATGAATGGGTCGTTTCAGGTTCTGATGACGGGAACTTTTTCATATGGAGCAAGGCAACGGGATCACTGCAAGGGATTTACGAAGGAGACAGCAGTGTGGTCAACGTTATTGAAGGACACCCACATTTTCCTCTGGTTGCAGTTAGTGGAATAGACACTACTGTGAAGGTGCGGATCTATTCAACAATAAGGGGAGGTCGCTAAAGCAAGGCTGGGACCTTGACGCAGCTGTTTGCTCCAACGGGCCTTCCTAGCGTATTCTCAAGAGTGGATAACGCGGACCGTATCATTGAGAGTAACGAAAGGTTGAGTAGGGCGCGCTTTGTCAGGTATAATTTTTCTTCTGTCCTTCAGGCTGCCATGGGGGGTGAGGAGGTTTCTCTTCCAGAGTGTACGAGCCAGTAAAATTGGGTTCACAATCCCGTGACATCAGCGTCACGCCCAAGCGCGCGCTAAGGACTGTGTAGCTCTTGTGTAGCCCATCTCTTTGCTCTCGTAGAACAGGTCGTGGCTTGTACATCTAGCTTTCTAATTCCAGTCATGTCCTCTGCAACTCCCCCCGATTCGCATTCACCCAGCATCTCTTCCGATGCTTTGGCCGATGCTGCGGAGCGTCGTACACGACAACTGCCTCCTCAACAAACTGCTGCTCAACTAGCAGCCGAGCACGACAGGAGGCAAAAGTTTCGAAGACTTGTAGATCCCGGCATCTTACGGCCAAATTCGAGGGACCAGGCTCTGGAATCTCTGAAAGTAAAACTAGGTTTCCCGACCTTGCTTTGCTGGTCATTGAACGTATGTACGCACTAGACATTGCTGACAATATCCGAGAACCTTCTTCGGGAGCCCCGCAATCCTAAGTTTCAACAGTTTAAGCCAACAAATCAAATCATCAAGAGAACCATAATGGATCCCAAAGGCACGCTAGAGTATGCCATTGAAGTCAGTTTGCACGCCTTTGATAAAATTCTGGACCTAAATCGTTTTCTTCTCTAGCTTGGTTTCCGACCCGAGGTAAATTTCGTCTCGTACGCTAAATGTCTTACACCCTTTTCGTGCTTCCTCAGGTGAAAAATTTCCAACCGTATTATACCTTTAACCCTCGCTTCATGGACGATCTGAAAATTGGTACCGCGATTCTCCAACATTTCGTACAGCTGGAGACGGAGAAGGAGGAGCGCGCTGCTCTAGCAAAGAAAAGCGAAAAGGCAGTTGCGGAAGCAGCTGCAGAAAAGGTGATTTCACCAGCAGATTTTGAATCAACCAACTCACCTGTATGAAAAGGTCAAATTAGCTTTTATGGACGACAGGAAGACAAAGATGCAGCGAGATGAAATTGAGAAGGAACGAAGGGCTGCTCGTGCTGCCTCCCTCGCACAGGCTGCGTTAGCACAGGAAGCGACCCCCGTGTCACCATCAACTTCGGCATCCTTGACCATGCCAGGTTCTGGTCATACACTAGACGATGGTGATCTCGTGGAAGAGGAGAATTGATGTTTAGAGTGTGCGTTTTATCTATTTAAAATGGACAGGCTGTAGGCGCTCGCTTGTCGCATTGTGCACACATGTAAATGACATATGGATGGCACATATCAAAACCGAATTTTGTAATACTGGGGCGAAAGTGCAGGGCGAGTGATTGCTGGTAAGTTCTCAGCTCATCGCGGGCCAAGAAGAGCGATGCTGCTCTCAACGTTTGTCTCGTCTGCAGCAGTTACGGTGCAACTCGGGAAAAAGAGAAAAGCTTCATGAAACAGGTAACGTAGGGAGCCTGGAGGTCGAGGGGACAAAACCCCATCGCCAGCTAACGGATGATGCAGGACAAATGCAGGACGATGACCAGCGAGCCTTGTAATCGGCTCGCGTATATAGCTCACAGTGTCGACGTAGTACTGGTTCTATAGAAGTAAGCTGGTAGTTCATGGTGGGAGTACAAGTGAATAAAGGATACCGACTGGCTTCACGCTGGCTTTTGAGTATATTTCCAAAAAAAAAAAAACTTCAATGTAACTATCATGTAGAACGTACAGATCGAAATGGGTAGACTCCAATGTCTAGAAGGCATTAGGTCAAAGTGTGATCCTCTGGATGCATGGGGGAGAGGACTTCGGAAGCACATGACTTCAAACTCATCCGTTCCTAAAACTGTCAGATGTAAAATGAGAGACAGCAGGGTCTGCCAAGTAAGATTAGTAAAAATCGATTTTTATTCAGCGGGATAACTTGCAGATGTCGAGCACTGGGTATTCGCCGGACCCGGCCAGTCGGGGCACACTGTCAGCGTTTTTTTGCGGCTCTGATCCGCGTTGCGGTGGATATGGGTCAGGATATCTGAGGGAGTCTAAGTAAGTAGACGAAAAGGGAGTTACAAATAACTGTAAAATAACCTGCAGGATATGAAGGCCAAATTTTTGGGTGGTGAAGATGTGGGATCCACTTCTGTTTCCTTTAGTGTTGAAGTAACTTGGCACGAATCATGATGTGAGTACACCGCCGGGTCTGAGGAAAACAGTCAGCACTTGGATTGGTTATCGCGGTGTAATATGCGACCAACAAAGTTCGAAGTGTGGGTAGAGAGCGGGGTCTGGAGAAAAACGGCCAAACGTGGTCAGCGTTGTCTAGAATGTGTGTTTGATATGCATCTCACATAAGTTAAATCCGGGATAATAAGATGGTTCCCCACCCACGGAGCCGCTGATCAAATTCTTCTCCAAGACGGCGGGATACAGATTAAGGTTTGGGTAGACTGTGGGATCTTATCGGAAGCCAGATGAGCAACATTTGAAAATCAATCAGCGAGTAACTTACAGAGGTCAAACACCGGATAGTGCGCAGTTTCATGGCGGATTGACGGAGGTAACCCAGGCTTGACCTCGGCCACAGCTTCGCATTCATTCAGACCACCGAGACCAGAATACAAATCAAAATAAGGGTAAACTGGGGGGTCTGAAGGAAAGGGTTAACGCTCGTCAAGAATATTAGACCGAAACTGACAGAGATGAAAGGTCGGATAACAGACAACTGGGTCACATAGATTCTCAGAATTGAATGTCGAATATTCTGTCAACTGCAAGCCCTCGGGACATTGAAGGACCTGTGACTGGTCTGCCCGTTGGGAACCTTCGCTATCATATACCCCAAGGCTCATAACCGGATATATTTCATCCAGATGGTAAGGGTAAACAGCGGGATCTTCGTATTTCGTTCAGAAGGAGGCGTGCATAACGGAACGTAGGTTCTCTTACAAAGTTCAAAATTGGGATACGCAGTCGCATTCTGTGAAACGAAAGCTCGCGTGGAGGCATTGGCTACAGGATCTATTGGCCTTATTAGCAGGTGATCATTGAGATATCGGCGATACTCACATAAGCTAAAATGAGGATAGCCATGGATCTCATTCCTCTGATACGGCCACACATGTCGCCACGGGCTTATCTTCGACGTAAAATTTACATAGTCTTCGGCATCCTCGAACCCCCGATGTCCTGCATCGGGAGTGTGTATACGATATGGTGTGACAGGGCTGGGAGGGTATGAAGGCACGCCCCAAGACGTCGCCGTCACTGGACTGATGGGACGACTGAACTCCCCGCGATCACCCAGGTGAACAGATGACGGTCCAAAAACACTTGAAGGCGCAATGGACTGGGATGGCGACGACGGTCCCCAACTCGTGCCGGTTGAAGGAGTGGCAGGACGACTAAATAGCGATCTTTCGCCCAAATCAAGAGAGGGATTTGGGCTATGAGCCTCGTGAAGGGGTGAACTCGGTGACAGAGGGCCCCAGGATATCATATTCGAGGAAGTTGAAGGAGTGGCATCCTCACGCATTCGATGGCCTAGATCTGGGGATGGCAAATGAAAAGACAGGAGAAGGGAGGAAGCGGTGTCGTCCGAAGGGCCAAATGAGGTACATGTTGAAGGTGTCAAAGCAACTGACCCCTCCAGCCGACCTGTTATGTGCACCGAAGGAACACGACTGGACAAACTTGAGATTTCAGAAGCACAACAATCAGGACCAGCGGACGTTATAGACCAAGAATAATCTTCCAGCTTAAGCTCGGTGGGCGAGGGAGTTGACGACCCTGGGATCGAAATATTATTGGGTAAGTTCTCGGGTTCGAGACTGGTATGTCCCGTCTTCGGCAGGGGCCGTGGGCTTGGTAAGGCACTTGCGCGCCATGATTTCACCCGCGTATGCAAATCGTGCATCGCAGATTTGGGTTCTTCTTGTTGGAAGATTGGGGAGAGAACGCGTGAGGTAATCGGCAGCTCATCTGGTGGTGACAAATCGGAACGAGTTGCCTTCGAATCCGACCGTGCCGACAATACATCGAACCTTTCTACAAGTGATAACTTCTTTGGGATATGACGGGTAATCGGAGCGATGGGCTGCTGCGGAGGTGTCTTTTCAGCTGCATAGTCTTGTAAGATACGAAAATCTGCTACAGTGGTCCTGCTCTCGCCAGGATAATGAACCAGTGACTGTGATGAAGACGGAATGTGGTGAACGGATTGATCTCGTAGTTCGCGCTGACGGGACGTTATCCATGTTGCATACCACCGAGCGTGCTGAAAATCGATGTCAAATTCCACCCGTCCGGCTATCGGAGGTCGACGTTCGGAGGAAGGGGTTGGTCCATCGGACAAGTAGCCCCAGAATGATTGCCATGATTCATCCAAAATGCGAGGGGTCGTCGTGATTCCGTTTTCAGTATACTGAAAATAGAGACATAAGCCGGCAGTACTTGGGAAGTTGAACTCTCGAGCGATTGCAGTGAGTTGACCATATAGCTACGATGAAGTAGGTGAGGATGTAGGCTGTCGCAATACACTGGATACTCACTGTTGGGAAAAGTGGCATTAGGATACCTTGAGAGAGACGATGGTCGGGCCCGGTGGAAAGGGTGTGACCGAGGTGGCCACGCTCCCGTGTTATCATCGCAGGGGGGATGACGACAATGAATGATTTGGGGTGTCCATGATTCGGCCCTCTGGTTTCACGAAGACCTGAGCTATTATGGTATGCAATTGATGAAACCCTTCGAAAGCGGGTCCCAGGAGATTCAGTGTTTCCACTCGTCGTCGGATGGCGTTCTGGTCTGTAGTCGAGGCCAGCAAGGTGATCATGAAGTGAAACTGAGGGGTTCTTAACTTCTGTATTTGTTTCGGGAGGAGTAAGTGGAAATGTAAATGTAGACGGCATAGCAAAGCACACAACAAAATGACGGCAGTCAGTATTTCAGCGGAGAAGGACGGAAGAAAAGCGGTGTGGTTTATGCAAGCTGTAAATGACAGTCAAGTTTGCAGTCAGAGTTGTGAATATTCTTACGGTGGGCCAGCCACGTCGCCAGGGAGACTACATAACCAGAGATCAAGTACTAGCCGCAGAGAAACATAACTTCTGTCACGTGGTTTCAATTATACACTAGCCACTACGAACGCGACTCATTACCGTCTTGCCAGAATGGAAAGCAAACTCGCCCATTTTTCCACTTTGAACCAGAAAGACAAGGGCCCTGCCTTCATTTCACTTATTCCTGAAATCCTTGCAAAAGAAAATGCTGCTGCCTCCGCCGATCTGCACACATTGGTGAACACCGTCGTCAATCAGGAAAGCGTCGGTCTCGTTGTTGGGAGGCAGGTATTAACAGAGTTGGTCAAGATTCTTGGAGACGGCACAGTAAAGGATATGGAGCTACGAAAGCGTCTCGTTGAGGATACCTTGGCGACGATTCAACCTCGCATCGTTAGTTATGAAGAGCAAGTACGACGCGATTTCACTATAAATTATCTGCATCCTTGACGTTTATTTTTGCAAGGTAAATTCTTTACGTTTCCAGCTCGCCGATCTTCTTGAAGCAGAGGAAGAATGGAGTGATGCAGCGCGCGTTTTAATGGGTATATCCTTTGACTCGGGCCAGCGGTAGATGGATTGCCCTCATCGACCGTCCTGTTGCTCATCATACATCATCAGTGCGATAGGAGATGCCGATAAACTTCGGGTCTATGTTCGGATTGTTCGTTTGTTGCTGGAGGACGAAGATTCCGTTCAAGCAGAAACTTACTACAACCGAGCTGCCCTGCTGGTGCACTCAGCAAATGATCGCGAAACTCTTCTGCAGTTCAAACTCTGTCAGGCACGGATCAGCGATTATGGGCGCAAGTTTCTGGAAGCTGCGAGTCGTTATCACGAACTCAGTTATGTCGGCGAAATCGATGAAGAGGAACGCCGGCACATGCTGTGAGTGGCGATCTAATCGTTCGTGTATGTCTCAAGTGAAATGTCATCAGAGTGGCTGCAGTTACTTGTGCAGTATTGGCACCTGCGGGGCCTAATCGCTCTCGAGTTCTGGCCTCGTTATATCGTGATGAACGAACTGTTGATCTGCCTACGTACAACATTCTCTCGAAAATGTTCCTGGACCACATTTTACGTCCGTCAGAAATCAAGGAATTCGAAAAGACTCTGAAACCCCACCAGCTGGCAAAGATCGCCATATCGTCAAATGATAGACTGGCGTCTGCGAGTCATGAGGACGGCCCATCCAACGTGAACGAGCCAGCAACAAGCACACGTACAGGCCCATCTACAGTCCTGGACCGAGCGGTAATGGAGCATAATCTTTTAGCAAGCTCAAAAATCTACAATAATATCACATTTCGGGGTTTGGGAGCTTTGTTGGACTTGACACCTGGCGCTGCAGAGACGATGGCGCGGAAAATGATCGAGCAAGGGCGGCTGCGAGGTTTCATTGACCAAGTTGATAAACTCATTTGGTTTGAAGGGAATCAAGAGGACGATGCTCAAGGAAAAGCGGGAGGTCTAGGTGACGTCGAAGAAGCAGAGGATACCGGTGCACCATTTACAAAGAGGTGGGACACCCAGATTAGGCTGACTGCCGCACATGTGAGTTTGACCTCTTTCGGATTCCAAAGTCGGTTTCAACCTTCGCCTCAGGTTGAAGCTATTGTGCAACAACTGAATGAAAAGGGGCTTGTTCCATTGGTAGCGTCTGCAGCTTGAACCATTGACGACTATGTAATGAAAACTTGTCGGCTTCCATGATACCGTGATAGGCAACTTGTCTATCCCTGAAATGAGCATCCATTGAATTTGTTCAAAACTATAGCAAAATATACATAGATATACGAATGCAATAATTAGAGCTCGTCATGCTTAGAGTCCGAAGCATCGGATGCAAGAGGCACTTGGACAACCTCCTCGGCCTCCGCGACCTTTGGCAACTCGAGCGAGTTCTTAGCGTGTTCTTCCACGAAGGCAACTAGGCTTTCATATGAACGATCACCCTCGTAATCAATGAATTCCTTGGAACCAGCTGGCTTGAATTTCAATGTAGGGAAACCCGAAATGCGGAAGGGAACGGAAAGGGGCAAGTCGTTTTCTTGTGCTTCCATCTTGGCACTGACCAAAATATTTCAGATCAAATCAAAATTCAACATTGAAGAAGGGGAGAAAACGAACATGAGAAGCCGATCCTTGATAGCGGCGTATTTCTCGCCTAAATTCTCCCATATAGGCTTGAGGCGTTTGCAGTGACCGCACCTACACGAAATTAATACTATTTGGTGAAACAAGTCGGAATTCATACCAAGAGGCGTAGAACTCAATGAATACATCCTTCTTGTCATCAAAGACAATTTCATCGAAGTTTTTACCAACAAGGGTGTATGTGTTATCATCTTGGGTCTCGGGGATTGGTGCACTCTTGAGTTCAGGTTGGAGTTTGCCTGCGAGATATTGCTCTACCCAGTCAGCAGCAGCGGCAGGTGTAACTTCTTGGGCCTGGTCAAATGGATATTTATGTTGGTGTTCAAGGTTTTGGACAACGAAGGCGGGCCATTTGGGCTCCAAAAGGTTTAGGGCTTTGGCATGGTCAGCGAACTTGAGGGCGTCAATCCAGACGAAATTGACTTTCGACTTGTATTTTTGGGCTACAGGTCTGATGGCAGCAATATGGGCGTCCTTGCCGTCGCTGGTGGGATCGAGGAAGAGGTAGGCAAGAGGTTTCCCACTACCTGCGTAAACAGCGTAATTTTCGCTGCTAACTTCATCAATAACGGGAATGGAGAGCTCCTGAATCCAATCTTCCAAGTCCTTGGAGGTGACTGAAGAGATAGGATAAGGGTACTCCGATTTGGGCTCGTCAAAGCTACGATAGACGACAATGGCGGGAGGTGTCACTCCAGCAGCGGCAATTGCATCCTGGTCAGTTGAAATGCCGAAAAGGTAGTCGTCGCGGTGAGCTTCGGCAGTGATGCTAAACTCGGGTGCCGGTGCGTCGGTCGTTGAAGTAAGATATGCAATGGCGACGACTTTATCCGCCTTTTGGAATTCAGCGTAATTTGACGAGGAGACTTCTGAAACAGCAGGAAGGGATTGTCTGTGAAGGTATGCATCAGAAACCGTGGCGCGGAGCCACAACAGTACTCACTTGACCATATAACTGATGATGCCGTCCGCCTTTCTGGGACCAGCGTACTCAGTCGCCTGACCTGACCGGTAAATCTTCAAAGTTCTGTGAATAGATAGTGAGTGCTAGGATTGAGTGTATAAGATAAGTACACCCACGGGTAACCTTGAATTCCTTTTGATTGACACAGATCAGCCTCATCGACACAGTCGACTTTAGCGAGCTTGATATTCTTTTCCTTGAGGGCCGTGGCGGCTTCCTCGTAATGGGGGGCTAAAGCCTTGCAATGACCACACCTGTGCAGCGGTGAGACGTCGCGCGTTGAAAAGAAAATAATAATAGATACCATGGTGCAAAGAACTCGACGAGTATCAGAGGCTCAGCCGCAACTGCAGCTTCAAAGTCGGCAGCCTTGAGAGAAAGAACATCAGAGGCTGCATCAGCCACGACAAAGGCAGCGAGGGACAGCAAATACGCCGCCGACGATGAAAGAGTGGATACGCGCATAGGAGAAGATCTGAGTTCAAGACAATTTCACGCTCGCTTTATATAGACGTGGCAAAAGCTCGGTATCAAATACTGACGTGTCACCTACACGACACTATTTACATAAGGTATTACTTACTTACACTAGTATGTAGTACACTACGCATACTATTTGGGTAAGTATACTTCCAGATTACTTACGACTCTGACACCGAATATGCAAAGAGCATCTTCAGTATGGTTTGTGTCTATTCAAAAAACGAATCGATAAATCCCGACAAGAAAAAGAAAAGAATCAACGAACCTGTTCTTTTTGAGATCTTGTTCCAGCTTCTTCGCTTTTCTGTGTCCAATCTCAACTGGGCGTATTGCCGTATCATCTGCCTTCTTCAGTTTGACAGGCCGATTTCCAACGTATTTGCCTTGGTAACATTAGGTGATGGTCATAGAACATTCAACGATGTCGTACCATCCATTTCCTTCCATGCTTTAAGAAAGTCTTCGGGGTCAGAGAATGCAACAAATCCATACTTGGCCTAAGCCACGACGATTCGTCAAAGATATGTTAAAGTCTGTCTGTGAGCCACTCACCTTTTGACTGAGTCGATCCCGAATAACTCGCGCCTTTTGAAATGATGTATACTTGTTGAAGGCGTTGGCCAAGACGTCGTCAGAAACATCGTTACTGAGGTCGCCCACAAATAACCGGAACCAGGCTGAAGATGATGATAAGAATCATGGGAAGCGCAGCACCGGAACTCGAAACTCACAAGGGCTCCATTCCAGCAAAGTCTGATCTTCCCAGACCTTGCCTCCCCCCTTGCGCAGAACAGTTGTTCTCTTCCCTCCCTTCGCCAGCTTTCCTCCGGCCCCACCTCGTTTGTCAATCATCGCACCGGGGACGTAGACACTTTGCTGAGCCAAAATTCCGACATCATACTCGTAGGCATTGGCGGGTACAGGAGCGCTATGGGAGGAGGATCCAGGAATTGGATATGAAGGTCCTTGATAAGGCTTATAGTAGGGATTTACTTCGTATGCAGCTTGTTGCTGTTGAGAATATTGATTCTGATAGGACTGATTCATCGTGGTGGTCAATGGTTAACGTGCTGCAGTGCTTGCTTATTACGTAATATTTCCACTTCGGGAATCTGTTCTATCTTCATTTTCTGGCATCGTCATCGTCGTCTGTCCAACCCCCTCAACACCCTCAAGGTAAGCCCTACCTTTTCGTCCTGGTATCGCCGTCCTCTGCATTTCACCGGACATCATATCTTGTGAAAAACTATTCAGACAACAATGCTGGAGTGGATGGATGCACGCCAGTGCCTTCGGATGACACTTTCTGAACTATATTTCCCATTCAGATGCCCTTCGTCAAGAAACTCAAGTCGGACGCGTACTTCTCCAGATTTCAGGTCAAGTACCGCAGGAGAAGAGAGGGCAAAACCGACTGTGAGTCTCCAACAACACTTGCTCAAACGCTTGCTTATCTGTTGTTCAGATTACGCCCGTAAACGCCTTGTGACACAGGCGAAAAACAAATAGTATGTATTAACGCTCTCAACTGGTAGACGCAACTTGAGTTTGGAGCTAGTAACGCCCCAAAATACCGCCTCGTCGTCCGTTTCACTAACCGCGACATCATCGTCCAGATCGTATATGCACGTCTTCAGGGTGATTTTGTTTTGACGGCCGCCCACTCGAGAGAACTGCCACGGTACGGAATCAACCACGGCCTCACCAACTGGTCCGCAGGTAAGCTTCGTCGCTCATCTGTCTTGGCTGATACTCACACGTTTGCTACAACAGCTTACGCTACTGGTCTGCTTTGCGCTCGTCGGGCTCTGACAAAGCTTGGACTTGCCGATAAATATGAAGGCGTCACGGAGCCCGATGGCACTCTCAAGTTAACCGAAGTTCTCGATGAGGAAGACGCACCACGGCCCTTCAAGTGTTACCTTGACGTTGGCCTCAAACGCACATCGACGGGTTCACGCGTCTTCGGTGCCATGAAGGGCGCCAGCGACGGTGGAATTTTCATCCCCCACTCCGAAAAACGCTTCCCTGGCTTTGACCCTGAGAGCAAGGAGTTGGATGCTGAAGTTCTCAAGAAGTACATCTTTGGTGGTCACGTTGCAGAATACATGGAGAGTTTGGAAGAGGAAGATGATGAAAGGTTCTTTTCTCTTTTTCAGTATCTCCATGAATTATTCTCATCGTCGTGGGTAGATTCAAGAAGCAATTTGCAACCTACTTGGCAGATGGTGTTGGTTCAGACGATATTGAAGAGATATACACAAACGCACATTCCGCTATCCGTGAGGATCCTACTTTCAAGCCCACAGATAAATCTCAAGACTGGAGATCTGAAAGCGTCAAGCACAAGGACAAGAAACTTACTCATGCCCAAAGGCAAGCCAACATCGCGGCCAAAATCGAAAAGTTCAAGGCGGGTGGAGATGCTGGGGCCGACGATGAGGAGGATTAGTGTCATTTTGCCATGTTATTTGCGCTCAGATCCCATCATTCATGTCTTCTTGAGTGATACACAAACCATTTTATCATTGCAAGAAATTCTATGCACTTTCTATGGGATGCTAATTGTAACTTCATACTTAAGTCATGTCCGACGTCGATCTAGTTCTTCCGAAGAGCTATCACTGCTCCAGCTGTTCCCCGCCCCATAATCCGCACTCGATTCACGTCTGGATCTCGTCCCATAATCACGCGAAAAAGACGAAGTAAGGCCAGTCAGCGAACTGTTTCGTAGCCTTGAAAAAAAGCTGCCTTGTGGAACGACGTGGTTGCTATCCTCTGTCTGTGATGCTGCTGTATCATGATCAACGACGGAACTTGTCCTAGGGTCCATGCTACCCGATCTGGAGTCATCTAAAAGATCTGAAGCCCACTTCCTGCGAATAGTCGAAGAGGTAAGGGGGTCAAGAGAAGAATTGTCCTCCTTGACAAAACTTCTGAGGTTGGATGTAGAAGCTCGTCCTCTTTTGAAAAACCAGCGAGACCCTCTAGCAAAGGCGGCTTCAGCATCGGTATCCACTGAAAGGGGCCGGTCAGAGCCTGTTTGAGGCGGCGATGGAGATTGATGAGGTGCTGAAAGCTCGGAGGACTGCTGTTCTAAATGTAATAATGGTGAGCGCGGTTCAAGCAGGGACCCTCTCGGAACTCTAGCTCGCGACGATCTACGAAGATCTTGTCGACCTAGCAATATTTTCTTCTCTATTTTGGCTCGATTTTCTATCATGTGGAGCTACAACACGGCAATTTGTTAGGAAAACGATCCTCCTCGCATCTAGTGCCTTTACCTTTGGCCAAGTTACTGCTTCTCCAATTCGTATCATTCGTTCTAATTCAGGTGGGTCGGGATCGCTTAGAAGGCGGAACCAATCCTGGTTAATATTACATCAAGACCTCAGTCTGTTAATTTCTAGCAAACATACCCAAAGGCGAGTTTTGGGCCAAATTCTGCACGCAGACTTTAGTTGGGAATGTAAATTGCTGACAAGGTACCCACGTCACGGCACCATCAAAACGTTGCAAAAAAACACTTGACCAGTCTTGGCCAAGTAGTTGTGGGAGCAGTTCCAGGTCCCGAATGACCTTGAAGTTCTTGGTAAGCTCATGCTTGAGCCATTGTTCGGCAGCAGACAGTAAGAAATTTCCTCTCCAGCCTATAACGTCAATACTCAAAAGAAGAAAATAGGTAAGCAGGTAACTTCATATGTACCTTTCCCCTTTCTATGAGCAACTGGTCTGCCTGCAGATCCCCTAGGTGCAAAAAAGAATAGGTGGACGTGAGGATTAACCTGCGATACTACTGGATGTGTAACTTATTTTGCCAGAATGTCAAAAATTGGATACCAAAGCGTACATAACCACGCACCGTTAAAGTATAGGTTCAATGCTTGAAGCGGGATGTCGACTCTGGCACCAACCCGTAAGCCACGCTTGGTTGAGCGGACGAGAAAGATGGATTAACCTCAGTGAACCATCTTTGAATCTGCTCCCCCAGCTCCATGGTACAACACTGCCGTCGGGGAGCTTTTCCATCAGGACAACTGGATTGAGGATTCCGGGAACAGCCGCAGAGGCCAAGAGGGCGGTCCATATCAGTGTGTCTGGCGCAGTTATGTAGTTGAGAAGCTTCGTAGGCCTTGAAACACGAAATGAGAATTTGATATTTGGATTTAGACCATGCCACACACGAATGTCGATCCGCAGGTATCACGGATATGTTGAGAATCCGGCCAGTCCTCAAGTAGGCTTCCTTGAAAGTTAAAGACCCTCGAGTGAAGAAAGCACACTATAAGTCTTGGTGAGAGGACGGTAAGACTACATCAGTAGACAACGCACCTTTCTTGCCCATCTGTTCGCCGCGTTGGTGGAATTAATCGCACGCCTTACAAAACTGAAAAGCAAATTACATACGTAACGCTGTCAAACCTCGCTCCTGTTTGCCAAAAGCGTTGAATCCAAAGATTGAATGGCTCCTCGCAAGCGGTGATTCTATTCGCCAGTTCAGGGGCCAGAAGAATCTTGAGCTCCTCATCTGTGCGAGTGCATGTCAAAGCAGCAATGAGACCGCCAGCACTTGTTCCTGTTATAACTCTAGGGAGGAGACCTGCATCAAGAAAGGCTTTGACCACGCCACAGTGATCTATTGCACCTAAACATTTCAGCGCTATATGTCATCGTTGAGGGCGAACACCCACAGTAACCAAAAGAGGCCCCTCCAGAAAGACATAGAGCGGAAACTCCTTAACACGAGTCAGAAAAGAAAGATGACGCTTGCATCGTAATGGAATTACCCAGATTTGTATTAGCACTCTTGAAAAATCGCTTTTTCTCGTCAATCGAAAGGTCGGGCGTAGTTCTGATAAACTCCAAGGCGTGTTCTAGCTCTTCAAAATAAGCTGAAAGTGAATGGCGTTGGGACTTTCAGTGGGAAAGTGAGAATGGACATACACTCAATGAGATCTTTTGTTCCCAGGAACGTCTGAGATGAGGAATGAGACATATTATAAGATTGCAAAAGGAAAGTCATGCCTCGCTGTATAACCTTCGGGACACATTGAATAAGGGATTGGCATTGATAATCCAAATGTATACCTTGCTGATTCAACAGCAGCGAAATTGGAGCGAATGCAAGTCTCCAAAACTCCAAGGCATCCTCGAGCATCATTCTTTTCTCTCAAAGTCATTAGCGATTTTTTCACCTTTTGAAAGTGAATGGAAATTTGTATTTGAGAGTAGCATATCTTACTTTTCTGACAAGCTTCCAGTCATAAAATGGATCTTCGTCAACCTTTTTCCACTCGTCAAATTGAAGATAGCTATCGAGAACTTTTGCTGCCTCTTTCCATTCCTTTTACTTGATCAGAAGAATTTACTGAATACTTTCGTGTACAAAACTCACCTCGTAATTTCGCGCACCTCGGAGTTTTTTTCTCAACAAACCCTTTTTTCCACGCCCTGATGTTTGATGACCCAGCTGATTGACAACGACGGGAACAGTGAAGGCGACGTACATGCAGAAATCCATTCTTTGGCGTTGACAACCTGTCTTATGAGAACATAAAAGCCAAATTCACCCATAATGAATAGAAATATGAAACACTATCGAAGATAACAGGTTAGTGGACGGAAGAAATACTTGAACACGCGCACACACCAGCAGTGGCCAGCGAAGGAGTAAGAAAAGCCAGTCGTGCCGTTTTTCTTGCTTATCTCTCCTTCTCCGTCTAATTCTGTGTAAAAGAAACCCTGGAATAACATTTCCAGAGAGAAACTGGCGCACCTGCTAACCTTCAAGTTGACAGGAGCGAAATCGGACAGCGCCGACACTTTTCGGATACGTAATGCAGAAGACAAAGGTGTCCCCGGAGTATTTGGTGAAGACGCATCTCCCGTAATGTGTTCAAAGAAAACTTCATCTGAATGGAGTGCGTGGGCGAATGCCTCGATATGACTGTAGGTGAATAGTTGTTGTTAGCCTCGATCAGGAGCGCAGGGTCGCTGTACGTACGACTCAACAACGTAGTCTTCTGCAAGCAGCTCCTCGAGCGTAGGTCGTTGTTGGATAGAGGAACTCGACATTGTTGAGAGGGAATTAGAGATCAAGGCTTTGTGGCCGTGTGGAGATGAGTGCGCGTGCGTGAGACGGATCAAGTACGTGACGTCAACAGATAAATATTGTGCCACGCATGTTATACATGAACTTGATGATTTACATACTTTTCCTCTGCCTTTTACCAGCTAACGCAGCACCAGTTCGAAGGGTGGAAACAACGCAACAACCTGTCTCTGGATCCGTCTATCTTGCTTTTGTACTTGCTGTCCTTCTGCTGGTCGTTTTTCTTCTTGCTATGAAACGGGGTTACATCAGGCGACGCCAAGCACAATTGGCACAAACTCGCTCACAGTTTTATTTCAGGCAGTCTCTGCCAGGTCACTCTGACGCTGGGCTTGAAACCTCTTGTCGAAAAAAAGCGGGCTTTCTTGTGGGCTTCCTGGGTTCTCCTGCGCTGGAAACAAGTTTTTTAATAACAATACCTCAAGCTGCTCATTCGGGAAGCCGTCGATCATCGTCAATCCAACTTCCAGTTGAACTGAGTCAGCTCTCGGCGCCGCAAAGTTTTGTCGCTGGTCATGACACCAACTGTTCAATGCAAGGTTTACCATCGCCGGTGCCAAATCCGAATTCAAGCTTGATCACCAATGTTGAATTGAACTCGATAGCTGTTGGGTTGCCTCGTGCTCCTGTTGAATTGCATCTCGCCACCGATAGTAACCAACACCTTAGCCCTGGCCATGCTCCGGCTAGTGACCAGCCGTCTCTTGGCTCCGCATACAATGAAGCCCCGTGTCTTCAAAACCACGGCACAATATCAAGTACCGGAACGGATATCTCACCTTCGCTTTCTCTTCCCCCAGCTTCTTTTTCCCAGCCTTCTTCCATAAAGCTTGTTGTATCAGATGTGTATGTCCTTACTCGGCTTGATTGACCAAATGACCGACATTCTAAATAGGCGGGCTCCAGCACATCTTCCACCCTGGCACTTCCCGGAGATTAAGCCAGTTTCAGATGTATCGACGTCAAGGGACTTGCCCCATGTCACCCAGTTGCCGACCGGAGGCACCACTCCGTCTCCTTCAAATCCAATTCCTGCGCCTGTTCCCCCTCTGGACATCATATACGAGCTTCCGGCGCTGCGCGCAATTACGCGGCGTAACAAGACAGTGCCCATCCCACGAGTGAGGCGAAGTCCGCCGCTTGGACCGTCACCCTTAAGGTCTATGATCCTGCTAGACACACCCGGAGAGGAAGACACCGTCGAAGGTGATGACGTCGCTCGGATTGGATGCTCTCGTGTAGGCCTTGGATCTCCATCTTTAAGTCAATCAGGAAATAGAACAAGTCTCCAGGAGCACGCCGTTAAAGCGAGCAACGATTCAGATGGCGTATTAGGTATCATCCGAGAACTTGTTTATGAAACGAACGACTGGGACCCAAGTTTGTTCGTGGACGAGAACTTCAAGACACTCATAAAACAATCTAAAAGCTTGATTTGGCAGCATAAACAAGGGCGCCCGTTACACGACCTGGAAGAATATTCTTGTCAAGCCGTTTTTTCCGGACATGCGTCTTTGTAGATTGAAGTTGACGAGGAGCTCATCCGAAGAAAAAACTGCTTCGCTCCAGGTCATTGTTAGGAAGAAGCATCTTTAATTACCCATAACTGACGGCTGGACTTTTACATTGAAGATCATGACCGCGATACATATAAATGTTTGTTAGATGTCCCCGAATTCTGCGTCGAAAGCCTCTTGAGAGATATCACCTTTGCGAACCCTCTTTGCCATCCTTTCTTCCCTTAACATCTCATTCCAATCTTCCGCACTGATCTCTTCACCACCATCTGTCGGGACTTCCCTTTCCCGTTTCAGTGTATCAGTAGTATTACCAGCTGAACCCTGTGATTTATATATGTTTTTCTTGGCCCTCTTGTCCTTTCGCCTCTCTCGTTCCACCTTTCGTTGCGTTTTATCGCTCCACGCAAGGTTTGACTTCTTCGCTTTTGGTTCAGACTGTTTTTGTTGATGTCGGTCGGCTCTCTTAACCTCAGCGAGGGCTAGCCTTTTCGTCTCTTGTGCTTGATTGGCGTACGAAAATGTTTCCCACTACCGACAAAATAATTATCTGATGTGCACGTTGGCGAAAAATCGCATACATTGACATCGGCTTCCGTCCATGCCGTGCGATCGACTTCTTTCAATTCAGGCATTTTTGGAAGGCGCAACAGTCCAAAACTCTTCGCCACACCAAGCAAGTCAAGATCTTTGAGCCTGAAGATGTAAGATGCCTCGTGCTTGGAATAAGCTCGAATAAACGAGACAAAAGCTTTTATTGCCTGAATACCAACAGTCAGTCTACCACCACAGACGATGTCATGCACCTGCCTGATCATTATTAGCCCTGTCCTTTAAAATATAACTCCGAATACGATCAAGATATAGTTGAACAGATGGGTCTTCTTCCCGTGTCACGTCCTCCAAAGGCGAAGGTGTTGCTTCATTACTACCAGTGAGATAACTCCTTTCTTTCAGGGGTATTTTACGTATGCGTAAAAAATCTGAAATGTCGTGAGACCGGCGCAATTTTCTGGAGAGAGACAAATGGATCCAACCAATATATTCCGACTCTCGTCCAACGAGTAAAACCCAAGCTCTTCCACTCTTTCCTGCTCTAGCTGTCCTGCCACATCGATGTGAAAACGCTTTAGGGTCCGTTGGCGGGTCAAACTGAATGACAACATCAACATTGGGAAGGTCCAAACCACGAGCAGCGACGTCGGTAGCAAGCAGCACAGAGGGTGACAAAGAAGTTGGTATCGCAGAAGAGAAGGCCGCCAGCGTTTTTGTTCTCACAGAGGGAGTAAGATTGCCATGTAGTGAATAGTATGTTATTGAGGGTGCGGTAAACAGAGGTAACAGCTGTATACTGATTAGTTGTTTCATGACGCCGAAATATGACGGTGGCCACCTTGAAAAAGTAATCTACACAAGCACATGTAGCAAAGTAGATGATGAAGTGAGAGGACTGCTGTTGCGATACCTCGTGTGAGATAATTCTGACGAGTTGGAGCAACTTTTCGGATGATCGACATTTGATATAATGGTTTTGCAAGCTGGAAAAAAGTAAGTAGATATTCTGCGTTTTTATGGAGGAAGACGCTGACCTTGCTGGTGTCCTCCTCTCTTCGAAAGCTTCCTTTATCTTCCTGTCCGAATCACTTCTAACTTGAACCTTTTTCGACTGAACTTTGACGACTATTCGGGCAGGATTACGAAGTCCTACACGGACCAACTCAGACAAAGCATCGGCATCTGTCATAGTGGCACTAAAGAGACCTGTACGCCTTTGCTTTGGAAGATATGTTATTATGCGCGTTATTGCGGCCTGAAAACCTAAATCGAGCAACCTCCAGCGAGAAAACATTGGCTCCTGTGGTAAAAATCGTACGCTGTACTCACCTATCAGCTTCATCTAGAACCAATACTTCTAATTCCTTGATATTCACTGAAGATCTTCCTTTCCCAAGAAGAAACTCTTCAACCCGTCCTGGGGTGCCGACTATGATATCTGCGCCAGTCAAAAAAAACCTTTCAAGGTCTTGTGCTGGCGAAGAATGATCTGAGGAAACAAGAAGGAGAGGTGGGGGATAGAATGGTTCTGTCGGTTGTCCATCGGGTTGGGAACAAGACTCCTTGGGTTGGGCGGAAAGAAACAGAGCGAAAATGGAGTGTATTTGTGTGGCCAATTCTCTTGAGTTAATAATATTAACTCGCAGCGGAAATCATGAATACGAGATGGCCGTACCGTGTTGGAGTAATAACTAGAGCTCCGATCTCGTCACGCCTAAGTTTTGTTTCTCTCCGGATCAAACGCTCGAGGATTGGTATCACAAATGCAAGGGTTTTTCCCGAACCAGTGACGGCTTCAACCACAACGTCCTTGTGCATCATGAAAAGTGGAATAGTCGAAGCTTGAACCGGTGTCATCTGCGTGTGCCCCATTGATTGAACGACATCCAGCCTGTCCAATAAAAAGTCAATAAACTGGATTTACAACGCTTCCTGGAATTCGTTTTAGATCAAACCGTTACCTACAGCCATGATGTAAGGGGAATGGAAAGAGACTTCCACGAGCCCGCGAAAGCGGTGGAAGTCGACATCTTGAGTTGAAGCAGGGTTTAATTATTTACATAAATCAAATTTAAATAAATGACCCTTCGGACTAAATTATCATCTTACTCTTTTCTGATAAATTTGCATCTCCTTGGATCATTGTACAGCCCACAAAGGCATAGAGACGCCATGCCCCACTTCTAGTTGAGCACAAGGTGACACAAGCGCTAAGGAGTCTCTGCGTTTGTAAGCCTCCTGCTAACCATTTCCCCAAAATGGGCAGTCTCAGGAAATCCTGAGACGGTGGCGCGCTGGAATGGTGGGATTGACTCCTGGTGCTCAATCCGATTGAGCACCAAGAATTTCGGTGAGCGACCGTCACACATCTACGATCGTTGAGTATAGCCCAACTATGTCATCGTAGATCCCAGTAGTTGGCGGTGATATCTATTGTCTTCTCAGCAATCACTACAAATTTGTTTCGATGAACATTGGACAACACCGAAATGGAAACCAAAAATATAGGTGTTGTAAGACGACACGCTAATAATGGGATGTTGCATCTCATGCATGAGAGGAGACTGAAAAACGTTTGAAAGTATACCTAGCATGAATTAGATTGGAGCTGGTTTCAATTTGCAGATGAACTGACCCAAGAAACGCGAGGTCTTTGCTCGCCCCTCCAGAATCGGTCTGAGAGTCTTCAGCGACTTGATCTAATTCGTCTGTCGGGAAATACGACGTGTCCGTGACAGACTGGAGTCGCGGGACGAAAGGCGCGTCGATCCGTCGGATGGACTCCCAGTCGACTCCATAAAAGAAAGGATGCTCCTTGATTTCCTCCACCGGCAGCCGTTTGTCAGCGGACGTTATTAATCTGAACACCTTTATTTATTGGACCGAATTACGTAGAATTAAGTCTGCGCACCGCCTGATTAAGTCTTCTGCCTCTCGGCTAAGATAAACATCATCGGGAAATATGAGGCAGGACTGCCATTGCATGATCTTCTGATACGTCTCGTGGGTAGACTCTGAGCAGAAGGGTGGGTATCCAACCAAACATTCGAACATGATGGCCCCAAGTGACCACCAATCGCATTCGTTACCGTACCCTTTTTGCAGGAATATTTCAGGAGCAATATAATCGGGTGTACCAACCGTGGAATATGCCTAAACATAACTCAGACAACAATGCAACGCAAGAAAAACATGAACGCACAAGTTTTCGGCGATTTGCCTTCCATGTTGCGATTTGATCTTTACTCGTCATTGTGAGATTGATCGAAGTGACCATCACACTGTTTCGAGCAGCATGAGCAGAGTGTCCAGATGTTTGAGAGTTTGCTGATTCCAACAATCGTTGATAATATTTCGAATCGTGCTGCTTATGAAAGCCCGTTGAAAGACCAAAGTCGCTGAGCTTCACATGACCATCCTTATCACTACGCCAGGAGGTATCAGGAAACATACCCTCTTAATGCATCAAAAGAGATGGCCCTTACATCAAGATATTGTCCGGTTTTATGTCCCTAAAAATACCTGTCAGACAGGTAACGATGCAGACTGGGAATGTCATTCACCGATGGATGAAGCCCAAATTATGGACAGCTTCAATGGCCAGAACACATTCAGCGAGATAAAACCGCGTGACATCTTCCGAGAAGGTGTCATATTTGATGAGCATCGTCATCAGGTCGCCTCCAGGAAGAAATTCCATGATAAGGTAGAGATGGGAGGAATCTTGAAAGGAATAATAGAGCTGAACAACCCACGGAGAATCTGACTCTGCGAGAACGTCTCGCTCAGCGCGTACGTGGGCGAGCTGGGGCTTATTTAAACCGCATCAATGGCCAACACAGATTTTCAGTGCACACCTGATCTTTCTTTAGCATTTCATCTTTCTTCAAAAGCTTCATCGCATAAATCTTCCCGGTGTCTATTTTCTGAACTAGTCGAACCTGGGACAACACTGTTACCCGTAGCCGTAGAGGTGGGAGGGATCATTCATTACTCACTTCTCCAAAGGCACCTTTTCCGATCACTTTGACTGTTTTAAAATCACTCAAGCCCAGTTTCGTTCTTCTGAGCCGCAAATAGGTTGATTCTTTCTTGCCTAGTTGCAACAGCTGCCGGTTTTTGCGCTCTTCGGACAATAGTGCCTCTCCTTGAAGACGACGTTCGAGTTCCACCCTCCTGAAAGAAACCATAAAGTTGTGAGGTAGCGGAACTGATACATGACAGCAGTGTCTTGAACCTCGCATTTCTCTCGATGGCTGAATCGACTGCAACCTTATAATAGTTCTCGAGTTTCAGTTGCGCACTCTTTGCCCGTGGTACAGCTTCTTCCGAGAAACCACCAGTGTTTCTGTCGAAGTAAACATCTTTGATTCGGTCAAGCTGTTGTGCAACAATACTCGGAGCTTGTCCACTCACAATCCGTGGGTTTGTTGGCCATTTGGGCACCGTTTTGAGAAGCTTGAGCTTTCTTCGAATACATAGCTAACCAACCCGCAAATTGAAGGGGAATGCCGAATGTGCAAGGGGCCAGACAAGGATAATATAACGCAAATTGTACAAAAATAACCAGTTACATGGTCACAACACAAAGTCCAATATAGATACGGCCTCTTTTTGCCTCGAGGCTAGGAGCCTCTGCGCAAGCCGCGGCGATGTTAATGCGCACGCATGTGATTATCTACTACTTGCCATCATGGTCCATAACAAGATTACAAGCGCTTACTGGTAATAGCCACCCCACTGATTATTATTTGTACCGTAGGACGGCATCGAATACAGAGGCTGGCTGGGGTATGTTGGATGCGGCTGGACGACTGTCTGGCGCTGGTTAGAAGAAAGCGCTGGGGTAGGAGAATACACTCCTAGAGCATTGTTGGGCTGTGGCCATTGATTATTGTTTGCTTGCTGATTGTAAGATTGCACGGGTTGCATGTTTTGCAAGCCGTGTTGACTAGGGATGGATCTAAAAAATGCAGGATTGAGACACTTATCACATATGCTTGAAAAGATGACGGACGAGTATGGCCGACGAGCCTGCGTTGCTCTTTCGGGAGTCGATAGATGCGCTGAGACAGCAGAGCTTCCAGAAGGACTCATTAGTTACGAAAGTTATTTGAGCCAACACAATGATTCCCTACTTGTAGAAGTCTTTGGGGTCAAACGTCAACGGTGGACCCGGTTGTCGGTATTGTTGTTGTGGTTGCTGCTGCTGCTGTGTTTGTACAACTGGCATTTCATTGCCCAATGTTCTTTTGCCATAAGCTACAGATGGATTTCCATAAGCTACGGATGAATGGAAATTCATCTGAGGAGGCGGAGATGGCGCGAATCTCATACTGGGCGGAGCAAAGCTTGTAGGGCGGGGCTCAGGAACGACATGCAGCGTCTGCTGCGTTGGAGGGACAGGCAGCGATTGACGGACAGGACGACCTTGTAACTGGTTATAGGTGTTCTGGATATGGGGCTGCTGCTGCTGGTGAGGAGGGGGATAGGTTTGAAATTGCATGTCTAAAGGAGACAGAGGCGTTGACTGGGGTAACACGGCTTCTGGAGTTTGGGGTGAGACCAGAGGAGACGGCTGCGTTGAGCTCCCTCCATGGTAGCTGAGAGGAACAGCATTTTCAGCTGCATGATTTCCCCAGGAAGGTGCTTCCGCTTCAAATGACGGAGGAGGAGGAGAAGACCGCTCTTCACCATCACTATGGGGTTGTGCAGGTGCCGTATAATCCCGCCCATCCACAAAGGATGAACTCGAACCTGCTGTTTGGGATGGCGGCATGTGTTCCGCGTCCGCCAGCCAACTGGGCCGTGGTTTCGTCACGGTTTCGGTTGGCCCTAGCTTGGACTTTTTGTCGATACGCAGGGGTTCGATGCTTGTGGATGACGCTTTGGATGGCTTATCATCGCTTCGCCATTGGGAAGATGCACCATTAATCACTTGATTAGATCCACTGCCTTGACCAGCAACATTCAGAGAGGCGAGAGCAGCAGCAGCCCTCTCATAAGCCGCTTCATCGAATTCCTCCCATCCTTCTTCATCGGTATAGGCTGGCTGGGGGGTATTTAGGGATATTTGTGCGACAGTGGCGACCTTTCGATCAAACTCTTGCTCAGAATAGGCGGGAGGGGGAAGGTCGCTGTCCATAGAATGTGATGTTGGGTATGATAGGGTATAATAAAATATGAGGAACTTGGTTGAAGAAAGCTGTACATGTTCGCATGTTAGGGCCCCTCCTGGGCAGCTGACGGCCGCAAGCGTGCCAGGACCGCCGCAAGGAATCGGTACGGCATTCCTTGTATTCCTTGGCGCTAGCAGCCAGGGCCGTGCCTGTGCCTCTTGCGTGCCTCAAATAATTATTGTTTTTGGTCAGTCTTCTCTAGAGTCTTCTATTGCTCTCTACACAAAATATGTACAGTTGGGCATGGATCCGATGTGAAAGCGATATATCCCCCGGAGAAAACGACATGCATCACAATTTCTACCTACCACCAACTTTTTCCGACATTTAAATAAGCATCGCGTTCAGCGAGCAACCAACGAATCACACCTCAGTCGTGTAATCTGGTATTCGTCATCTCTTGCGCGTCGTACCCCTTCACAACACACTGGTGTCAAACGTGCATCCCTCCGCGTTCCCACTTTCATAACGTTTCTGACTTGGGTGAAATTCTCGTGGCGGGGGGAAGCCTGTGACTTGGAAAGTGTGTGCACCTGCCTTTGGGGGAGGGGAGGGGACTGTAACAGACCGTTAATACTACGAGGATCGTCGACGACAAGTCCTACTTACTTCTTCGTCGTGGCGCTGGAGGTCGCTCGGATGCCGCGGCGGTAGGAATTCGTCGACTTCCAGGAGGCGGCGGGAATTTACTCGGTGGTCTAGATGGAGGAGGTGGGGTTCGGTCCGCCAAAGAGGGAGATTCTGGAGACGATAGTTCTGCTTCAGAGAGAGCTCGAACGCGAGATGGCTGAGCTGGAAGACCCGACAAGGGCGGCTTGCGTGCTGGAGGTGGAGGAGCGGATCGGGCTGGAGTCGGAGGAGTTGTACTGGAAGGGCGGCGAGGTGGTGGTGGCGGACCCCTGGGAGGCAAAGAAGGCGCAGAGGGTGCAAGCTTACTCGGCGAGTGGCCTACTTGAGGATTGTTACGAGGAGGTACTGCAGGAGGAGGTCGTGAGAGCGATGATGTTCGGAGTGGAGACTGGCCTCTAGGGGGGATGGCAGGTGGAGATGCTGGCGGGCTCGGGTTCCGCATAGGCTGCGGGGCTCGCCGGGGAGGTAATGGTGCATTAGCATTGGGTGGTGCACTTATGGTTGCTCGAGGAGGCAGACTTGGAGCAGGCCTGTTAGGAGGTGTGGGTCCTGAGGTAGAGGGTTTCGACGCAGGAGGTTTAGGAGCCGAAGGTTTCAAAGGAGCCACTGTTAAAGGCTTCGGAGGTACTGCTCTTAGAGGCGCAGAAGAAGAGCTTGATGTTGAAATGTCTGATTTCGGTATCGTTGGGGGCTTCCCTAACGTCGGAGGCTTAGCTATTCAGGATGAATTGGGTCTGCTGGCGTTGAGAGAACACAACCAACATACCAAGACTACCTTGCCCAGCTGGCTTCAGCTTGGGCATTCCGCCAGCGAACAAACCTCCCAGTTGGGGAGGTCCACCACCTCCCATAGGACCACCCATTGGCAGTCCAACCGCAGCGGAGGATGAAGCCGCCCTGCCACCCTTTGCGGTTTCAACCGAGGGTGCACTTCTGTCATTAGTCTCCGCCTTTTTCAACTTCCTCCCGGCCTGAATCTGCGCTAAAAGATCACTTGAAGCCATGCTCTGGAATGGACCGAATGGTGGATGAGGAGAGAAGAGGAATATTGATGACCTAAATAGAGTAATACACAGCTTTATTTGGCTCGTACAAATAATGAACATTTTTGCGCAGAATATCTTGAGCTTTCGTTCTATACTTCGATTCCTTCTAAATTTGTTCCCTGCGGGTCATCAGCAACAACAGTATCAAGAGGACAAGTTTTACCCACCAGTTTTGGAAGTCGGAGATAGACATCAGTACCTGCAGAGCCATCGGTTTGTCGCTATTCAAGGAAAGAGAAAGGCTAGTACGTACCCCATCCATCCAGAGAGACTAATTCCAATGATCCACCAAAGTAGCTGATCAATTTTTTTATGAGCGCCCACGGTTTAAACCCACTCGATAGTCCTCACGTTGCAAAAATATAGCTCATGGGCAAACCGATGCCGATTCGTGGTTGTGGAAGGTCTTTAGGTTCAGAATTCTCCTCACGCCCGACGGCCTGACCCTTCGAAGGTACAAGCTGCTGCCAATGGCTTACTTGTTCGTCAACTGTTGCGCGCAGTCCATGTTCACTGGCCATGCGAAGAGCACCGAGGCGAGAATCTTCTAGACGCGTTGCGTTCCGGATATGGGAGAAGGAGAATAGGTCTGAAGGATTGCTGATCTCGTTTTGGAAGCTCGAGAGCCCACCACCTAGCTCAGTGCCGTTGAAACTGGTAAAGATAGAGTGTTCGCAAATACTGACCTTGGTCTGATATTCGGAGACCAATATCGTTCTCCCCGGCGACAATTGTCACTTGTATAGAGGGAAGCACGGGGACGCCCTGGTGTTTCAAAACCGTCGATCGCATTGACTAGCAGAAGGATCAACTTCGATCGGTATTTGTGAAGATCAACTGTTATTACGTTCTTTAAGAGCTGGAAGGCAATATATCTGAGGCATTGATGAGGTCGTGGTGTAAAACATTGGGGTAAACGTACTCGAAATGCTCGCGGATATAGGCAAACTTGGCGTCGAGATGACCATCAATTTTGACCTGGGGCCAGTGTACATCCATTGCAGCCCTGCCGCCAACTTCGAGCCACATGGGCCTTTCTGTCAAGAGTTTGACGCATTTCTCAATACTTCTCTTAACCTTCAATCCCGTGAAGATGATGCCTACGTGAGGCTCTTCAGGTTCTTCGTTTTTGAGTCCGCCATACATTTCTGATAGTGCAATGTGATGCTCAGCCAGAACGCGACGGGATATTCTCGAAATAAGCATTCGACGCATGAAGGCGTCTAGCTTCTCTGGGGGTAAGTATGGAGACGAGAGAGACAATCCAAGGGATAAATTGGGAATGACAGATGCACTGTAAGGAAAGTTAGAGACAGCTTGATTAGTCGGAACTTCGATAGCAACGCAACTGTTCGTCCAGCAAGACGCTAAGAAAGTTGCAAAAATCCTCATTCTCCTTGAGCGTTGTTACAGGTGGATAGTTTCGAAATCTATGTATATTTTGTAGAGTAAGTTTGTGTATTGTAAGGCAGAAGGTTGAAAGGTTTCCTCACTTTTCAAATGCGGACCAATAGAGCTGATGTAGTCCCGTCAGCATGCTGTTCTAGTGAAGAATGGTGCCAACCTCATAAACTTTCGCCACCCCCTCCTGCGTCACAACGACGTACGGCAACGCTTGAAGGTCGCGCAATCGGTGAGCAATCCGCACTGGCAATTCGGTACGAACGTAATTGGCACTCTATGACAATTCTAAGTTTGTCCGTAATAACTGAGGTGGTGTTGAAGGTACCTTGAAGAGCCGGTCCTCATTCATTGAGCGACCAAAAAAAACCTAACAATAGCAACAGTTCGTCACCCTGTAGCGTACATCAGGAGACCGCGTACAAGTTGCCTCAAGGTAAGTGGTTTAGCCTCCTTGGAGGCGTATAATTCCAGTTGTTTATTATGGTAGAATTGCGAAGGGGTCGATTGGTGTCGAACGTTTCCAAGACTGGGGTGGGGTGACTGACGCCGTCTTCGGAACATATACGCGATCATGTTAGTCCTCGAGTGTTGCAGACGCCATAACATCCCTTGCCGAGTGGTTGGAGCTGCTCAAAATGAGCTGGACGCCGTGGGGTGTTAGAAACAAGTGGGCGTGATCGCAAGAAGGGCCGCATGTTGTCACAGGATGTGAAGATAAACTTTGTACTATTCTTCAAGTGCTACATTATACCTTCTGATCGTAAAGCACCCATTATTAAATACGCTGACCGTCGATCCCTGTTTACTCCAACCCAATCTTGTTTCTGCTCAAGAATGTCCTCGTCTCCGTACGCATAGACGTCATCTTCAAGCTTGGGCTCGGAATCTGAGACGTTGGTCCTTCCCCTTGCCTCTTCCTCCCGATCCCAAAGCACTTCTTCCCACTGGGATTCACTTATTGTCACCGCAACTGTAGTTGCGCCGCTCACGTTTGGAAGTAAAGAGGTGAGCAGGTTGGATAGAAGTTCAGATGTTCCGTCAGTGATTGGGGAGTGAAGAAGGGGTAATGGCAAATATTCGGCCTAATCGTTTTTTTTTTCTGACAATAAATTCAAAAAAAAAAAAGTGAAACAGCGTACCTCAAGGAGCATGCCCTTGACAGCACCCCCCGCGAGAACGACGTTCCCCACACGAACCAACCAGTCAGTCCCGATAGCAAATATGTGCCCTTCAATGAAGAGCTGTTGCCCAGTAGTCTGACCTCGTTGGGGCCCGGAGGAAGATTGTCGAACAGCGGCCCACCGTGCTTTAAGCTGAGTCAACAATTGTTCAAGAGCACCTGGTGGTCGTATTGTAAGAAAAGCTGTGCGATAGTGAGTTGGACCTTGAATGTACGCTGCTTCCTGCCCTGGAGGAGCTGCGGCAAGGACATCTCCTCGTGTAGGTGCCATCGGATCTTCCAAAAGGACAAAAACGTTTTCATTCATAGTGAGAGCACACATAATCCTTTCAGAGGGCACATGGAAGCCAGGGACTTGACCCAAGGTGGAACGGTATGATCGAACAGAAAGATGCCATTTGCCTTTGTACTGGCCCTACTTGGGGATAAGGAGGGCGTGGACTGGCGAGGAGAACGAACTTCATACGTTGTGGTTGAGCGTGATATTTTCTTGAACCTGTTGCAGAGAGGTGGTCGGTGCATTGACCCAACGGGCTAAACTGAGTTGAAAAAGAGTCAACGACAAAAGGTTGAAATCAGGATTGAAACACACCCAGTGAATCCCATGACAGAGTGCAGCTGTGACAACGTGACACGTGCATGTGACAAGAGCGCGTTCAATTCAATTCAATGCCTCCAAAGCGCACGTCCCCGCAGAAAAAGGCATCGCAATCCCTTCCAATCCATCTTAACCATTGTATAAACTCACAGAAACGAGCAATACTTGCCTCTATACACCATCCCCAGCCACTTGTTGAGAAGGAGCACGACACTAATGTCTTGGCAGCTCAACAGATAACTTCGCTTCTTGAAGGTTCAGTTATTCGCGGCGAGGGGAATAGTTGTCTTCTTCTTGGACCACGTGCAAGTGGAAAGTCCAAAGTACGTCGTCTATTTATTTCATCTGTCTTCCAGAAATTTATTCGATAACAGCTACTTGACAGTTGCCTCGAAAAGTTGCAAACGAAACCAATAGTCATACGTCTCTCAGGCTGGGCCCAACGTAACGACCGCCTCGCATTGCGGGAAATTGCTATCCAGCTCTCGCAGCAAACTGGTACAACTTTCCTTTCTGCAAATGATCCAACAGAGGAGGAAATCGAGAACGAGGAGGATGCTAACCCATTCCTCGATCAAGATCCAATCCAACATGCGACAGGATCAACTGCTGTTTTACCTCCAGCATCCCATCTCCCCGCTCTCATATCAGTCATCCCTACTCTAGCACACCCAACTGTCATCATTCTCGACGCGTTCGACCTATTCGCACTCCATCCACGTCAGTCTCTACTCTATTGTCTCCTGGACACCGTCCAGAGCTGTCACGCCGGACAGGGAAGAAAGGGTTTGGCAGTCATTGGTGTAACAAGCCGTGTCGATACCGTCCAGCTTTTAGAAAAGAGGGTAAAGAGCCGTTTCTCAGGAAGAACAATCCGTACGGGACCTCCGACAACGTTCACCCATTGGCTCGGCACCGTCGAAACACTCCTGCTTCCTCACGTTCGCCACGATCCCGATGACGACGTAGACAATCAGTGGAAAGACGCGTGGGCGGCCAGTATTGATCGGTTTCTCGCGGATAAAGCTGTGGAGGAAATCCTCAACGAGACTTTCAGCATAACGCGAGATTTTCGGACTCTTGTGAGACTCCTGGTATGCACCCCCCTACCTTGCTAAGCACCGCAGTGCCGTTTACACCCGACAGACAGCCCTGGTCGTACAGCTCACCCCAAGTAACCCATTCCCTTTGGCTTCCCAACTCCAATCTGCGGCGATGACCCAAAGAGCTCGACCTCGATTTCCCTTTTTGTCAAGTGAGGTTGTGGCATATATACCAAGCGCACTCTGACTGACGCGGCTCGTCAGGTCTTTCGTACCCTAGCATGTGTCTCCTGATCGCGAGCGTCCATTCCGAGACGGCAGGCCATCCGTTGTTTACCTTTGAAATGCTTCACGACTTATTCCGCGCTCAAGTTCGCTCGTCCACTTTGGCACCGGTGCAGATTAATGGAGGCAGCATCGGGATGGTCCGCTGTTCCACTGACGTGCTTTCAAGCGTGATTAATTCTTCCTCCCTCACCTTGATAAGTTGCCTGAAAGCCTTGAATCTAGGCTTTTGAGACTCTTGTCACTGCAAGAATCTTCATTTGCGCTTCCCCGACCTCATCGAACGGCGCAAAAGGGTATCTCAAATATCGGTCCGCCGTTGAACGAGATGATGTAAAGAAGGCCGTCGAAAAGGCTGGCCAGGTGAACATGAAGAAGTGGCTTACCAAGGCACAGTGATACCCCAAGGGCAAGTCAATTTCCCCAGAAAGAATCTCTGTGTTTAGTCTAAAACACCATTTCCATAGAAGTGCTGTATTGCAACCAATGTCCTATTGATACAGTATTTTGAGGAATTCATACGTTATAGCTCAAGCATTAGAACAATATGCTACAATTATTTAATAGATTGATTTATTGTCGTCATGTAGATGTCTTGGGTTTCTCTTTCAACCGCAACAGAGGTCGCATCTAGAAAGAGCGTCAGAATTGCGAGACCTACGTAGCATGCAAAAACGCACCATTTCAACAAACACGGGAAGCAGTTGCGGAATGTGATATAGCTCAGGAGGTTGCAGCGTTTCGGCAGGTGTCTTCTTCTTCGAACGTTGCTGCTGTTGTGGTGGTGGGGAGTGCTTCAAGGATGATGGCTTTGAAGAAGGAGGCATTGTTTCTGCATGGTTAAGAGTCATGGGACTCGGGGTTGGAGGTTTAGAATTCGTAAGACGAGGGCTTTTCACAGATGCCGACAAGGGAGGAACAGGTGGTGGAGTATCCTGGTTACGCTTCAAGGACAACGAGCTCAGAGAAAAGTTTTTGGAACCAATGTTTCTCAATGACATGGATCGTTTGCGCGGCACAGGGGGCGGCTGCGAGACGAGCGACGCACGGGACGACGAAGCGATGGTCATCGATCGCAATGGAGGAGTCGGTCTGACAGATTGTGTTCTCGTCGATGTTTTGCTCTTGTCAGAAATGATCTCTTCACCGCTCTCCTCACTCTCGTCGCTACTTCCAGACTCGTAGTCGCTTGATGAATATTCGTCACTGCTCTCCTCTTCATCCGTCTCCTCCGCCGCCAAATCAATGGCATCGCCTTGAACTAGTTCCCCAAAGCTGATTTCCCCGACAACCCCGTTCACAAGGGCCTGCGTGGCTTCGTCTTCTGCGTCTGCGTCGTTCTCTTGACCATTTGAGACTTGTGCTCTCCCAAATCTGCGACGAAGCTTGTCTTCATAGATGACCTTGAGCTTGTAGTGATACAACGCGACCTTGTCGACTTCCGCCAAAATGTCGGCACGCTCTTTGCCCGTGTGAGGAAGAAGAAATTCAAGGCTGATTGGTTCTCCGAGGCCTTCGCGGACCAAGGTAAGGAACAGTTCTACCCATCGCATCAGATCGTCAAAAAGCCCTTCCCCCTTGGAGTGAACTTTGTGCACGAAGTGATAAAACGATTGTTCATGTCGTTGAACCAGATCAATAAATATTTGCACTGTGCGGTGTGGATCTTGTTCGCTGGCTTTAAAACACGTAAATGGGGGAGGAGCAAGGTAAAACGGGGAAGCCTCACCTTGTTCTACTTGTTCAACCGTCTTGATCAAGTCATTGACAAAGTTTTGCAGATCGTTCAAGGAATCCGCGATACTCGCAGCACGATATACCTGCGCCAATGGGGAGTAGAAAATAGTTATAATGTCCTTTAAGAGATCTGCAGTGAACCCCTGAAAATTGGACGGACTTTAGTACACGCAGTGAAAACATACAATGTCTCTTCTCACCTCAAATATTAAGGCGATAAGTTGCTCGCGATCCCTAAGCCGTGAGTACAAGTGCGTGAGAACCTTCAAGTCCTCGAGTAACCAAGCGTCCTCGTCCTGGGGCCCGTCATCATCGTCTGAGTCGACCAGCGACTCTCTATGCTTTAGATAAACGGCATGTGCTCGATGCGCCCTAGCGAGGCGGTGCATCTGGACGCGAGAAAGGACAGGTTCTTCGGCTGATCGAAGGACTACCGTCAAGACATTCATCTTTTCCGTTGCTAGAATGAATACGTTTAATTGGACATTTTGAATTAAACATTCACGGCGTACCTGCATCCATCTTAAACATGTCTTGAATCTCGCGAGGTGCATATACAAATTGGCGGATCTTGGCACACATGATGGGGTCGTCCACTTTATCCTTTACAGCTGCGATCTCTTCCTCTAAAACTCTGACTTCTTCCGTCAAAGAACTCGTGAACATTCTGATAATCAACGTCAAGATCAAAAGTCAGTTGCGTAAATCTTCTCACATACCGTTGAAGTAGACTCCGCCCTCCAAATGGCTGGGCGAGGAAAAGATCCAGTACAGCTGTGGGGGAAAGTCAACAAATGGCAGTCGGGGTAGGAAGACGATGAAACAAACTCACTCCTTATCATACTTATTGGATTACTAATTTTCAGAGCAGTCTTGAGCATAAAATACGGCATTAACCCATGTATGCGCTTGAGGCCAGTAAATGTCTCCGAGGCATTATCGGAAGCCACAAACTGTTGAAAAATAGTAGATGCCAGACTGTTTAAGGGTCAGGCGACCAATCGACAATTGAGGGTGAACAGATCCTACGAGATTCTCGCCCACTCGGTAACGGCTCGATAGTTGGCGGGGAGATCGCGGATGTTCGGCGTCACCTTGATTGTTCCAAAAATGCGCGTCAGTCCATCTGAGAATAAAGTGAACACGGTCACACTGGATATTTCTCCAAACATACCCTTTCCCATGACGTCACCTTTGACGCTTTTCACTGCGTCTCGTAGACCCTCCACCCTGCTAGCTATCTCTTTGGCGAATCGTTTTCTGCCATCTTCCCTCACCCTATCCGCCTCTTCCCTCCTCTTGGCGTCGTCGAGCTCCTCTGGACTTAGAGTTGTTGGGCTTGAAAGAAGAAACGAACGAAGCACGGGAGATGAAGAGATGACGACGGAGGATAGAAGGGAGTGGAGATACGCTCGAAGCGTGAGGCGATTCTTTTCGCGGGCAAGACGGGATGGTGCCAGGTTCTCGTCCGACATGCTGTCACCATTCCATTTCGGCGATGCGTACTCCGGAGGGGGACTCATGGGCTGTTGAGAGGGTGCGGTGCCCATTGTTCGGTCCTTTGGTGGAGGTGGGCGGACGCTTTCGTCGGGATGCGCTTTCGCGAGCTGGGTAGACGGATATAGAGATGTCGCGTGAAAATAAAGTGATGATTTACTCACTTCTGTGGCCAATGTTTTAAAATCGCCATATCGTCGTGAAACAAATACGTCCGGGAACCTTGACCGTCTAGTCCGTACTATGAATTCCTGCAAGTGTGTGAACGGAGCGGTTGGGAATGAACATCAGAAGAATGCCGACCTCGTGCACTCTACTCCTCATGCGTCCCTTGTCAACAACCGTCCGGACGCAGGTAATGTTTACCTCGAAGTAGTCTCTTGCCTTTGCCAGCTTTGCTTGTCTTTTCTGAGCCAACATTTCGAGCCGGTCAAGATCGACTTGAGATAATCGGACAACGTCCTCATGCTCAACGAGCTTTGTGGCTCCTCCAACGAAAAGAGAAAGGTTCCGCTCCACCTTTGCGAGTAACCTCTTGCGCGTTGCCTGCTCAGCGGGACCATCATCGAGGACGGATGATGGGGAGAGATTGCGAGCCAACGCGGCTGCTACAAAGGGTTGAAGCTTTTGAGAATAAAAGTCCTTTGGAGCCGCAGCCAGAAAAGGGAAAGTGAGGACAAACTGGCGGAAAATGTAGCGAAGAAAGGGGAGATCGAGAGGGGCAGCGGTCTTTGGAGGTGGGGTGAAGGGTGGGCCAAGATAGGAGAGGGTAGAGACATCGGATGGCCCTGAAGAGGAGATTTGGTCAAGTTCGCGAGCAAACTGGAGTTGAACGAGAGACTTTTTGAGATAATGTGCGCGAAGAGGAGTAAGTTCAGTCGGAGGCTGTGGAATATCTCTAGTGGGTCGAACTGGGCGAGACGAGGGAGCAGGGGAGAGTATAGGTGAAGCAGTAGTAGCGTTGGAATCGTCTATTGGGGGCTCAGTCATGGTAGCCATAGTTTAATGTACAGCCGGTATCGGCTCTGGGTCGCAGCGCACCAAACGAACGTGACAATCTAATCTTATCTTTCACATGTCGTCATATTAACGGATTACAATAACAAACTCCCAAGTCCAACGTTTACAAAATCGTACATCCATTTGAGAACCACCTAAATGAAACCAAAAAAATGAAAGCCAATCAGCAACGAAAACAGAATCGCACCCGCCCAGCCATGGGTAACCCTGGCGTACCAATTGTCGTTTAGCTGCTCGATCCAATGCACAACCAGCAGCAGCCGAAGGCGTGTATTCCGAATAGGAAACAGTTTGGCTTTTTCGTGTTCGTCGATAGGGAGGATTAAAGCTACCCAAAAGGAGAAGATCGAAGGATCTGTTGGCATCGGGCCAATAGTGTTGCTGAGTCGTTGCACCACCCAAGGTGCGGTTCCGAGTTGGAGCCGCTCAAGAAAGGATTTGCAAATGTCCATCAAATCTTCAATAGTGGGTTGAAGAGTACTTGTTGATGGGAGGTCGGGACAATCATTGATTCTGAAATCGACCCGTGAAAAAAAAAAAAAAAAGGCATAAAGAATGGACAATGGACTTGCCTTTCGATCCTTCCCACCGTATAACCATCTAGGGTGCCTCTTTCCAAAACGCGAAACCGATATGATCCCATTGTCTCAACGTAGCTTCTGCCATCTGATAGCATTTGGACCCGCCGTATTTGGAGCATAGTTCCATAATCAATTTGCGAGTTTGGGACGCCGGATTTTGGAGACATGATCATTCCAAATTGAGGGTGTGGTGATTCCAGACAGCGTCGAAGCATTAGTCGATACCTATGGTGGAATGATAAGATGGATTTGAGCGGCGAGGAAGGGCAATTACTTTGGTTCAAAGAAATGGAGGAAAGTGGGAACGCCAGGAAAACTGAGTTGACAGACAAAAATCGGGGTGTCTAAACGAGCGTCGCGTTCCTCTTGTTGAATAATCTCGCCACGTTCAATATAGACAAGAGCGAAAGCCTTGAGGACTGGACGTGATTGAGAAGGCTGCAAACGACAACAAGTTGAAGGACGTACTGATGGAGTAAATGGTTTTATTGAGTGGATGATCTCGGAAATAAGAATAGTCAGGTTGTGGATGACGGCACACGGGACAGGCATTCTTGTGGTCAAGAGAGCGATGGAGGCATTTTGAACAAAAGGTCTTTTTAAAATTAGGGTGGGTGGAATGAGATGGAAAGAAAGGCGCACATGTTGACAAGGGGTAGTTATGGGTTGGTATAATAAAATGAGACAGATTTCACAAGTCAACTCTGCAAGCAGTTCCTTGTGGAACCCTTGAAGAATAGGGGTATCCAGAGATTCAGAAGAAGGGAGAGGTTGGTTGGCGGGGACCGTTCTACTGTGGTGGGCTTGGTTTTTAAGATGTGTAAGAAGACAGGAATCTTGGCTCATACGCCTGGGTCTCTTCCGGGGGCGATCTGATGGATCATGGGTGTCGTCGTCGTGGGGCTGAATGCGGTCGAGGTGATTCTGCGTGCGAGAGACTAAAGATAAAATATTGTTGAGGGTGACGTCTACCTTTGAATGGTGTATCGGAGAGATGGAAGGGGGAGGAGGAGGAAGTGAAATTGGTAAGGTGGTGATGACAACGGTCGAGTGAGTTGGAATGGGAGGCAAGGCCGGTAAAGCGGAAGACGAGCAACCCGAAATGGGACATGTGGTCGGAAAGGGATGAGACGAGCATAGAGAGTGGCCACAGTGAAGAGTAATTGGTGCGGCGAGAGTGAGAGAGCAAACGGGGCATTTGAGGAGAGGTAAGATGTCGGACGGTTTCATGGGAGAGAGCAAGAATTCGATACAAATCCATGGTACATACTTAGGTTCTGGGTTGTAAGCCAGTCGATCGAAGGCAACGGATCGCGTCCCATCACGTGCTATGTCATTACCTTTTCATGACACCCTCACAACTCCTCATTCCGACTTTACAGAATATCGACATTCCCCTCAATTTCGTTCTTCTTCAACATAATCTGCAGATATCAGAATATCAAATATATGCCGTAGAGAAATGGTATATATATATTCACATATGTTTTCTCCGTTGTATTCACTTCTTTTTTAGGATCGTTGAACGGAACAGACCAGTCACCGTCCTCACCGTATATACAGGTGACCCGGACCACAACGTTTGTCTCCTCTTCTTTAACTCTCCTCAATAACTCTCCCTCAGATCACCGTCACCGCTCTTGCTCCTTCTCCGTCCTTGAACTCTGCTGACGCCCAACGTGAATGGGAAAAGGCCATTCACCAGCTCCGTCGTGATGGCGCACGACCTAAACAGGCTCGTCCTTCTTTCACCCTTTTTATAGTTTCCTCATTTGCTCTTAGACTCCACATGGTCTACTCATGGTCACATCCCTCGCTCACTTTCGCTCAGACTACACCATCGTTCACATCCCTAGAGGAAACCTTCTGGCCGTAAAGGACCAGCTCTATGTCAATATCAATCTGCTTCGCATGGGATGCAGCGGGAGGAGCGCTTTGACTCTTGAAGAACCAAGGTAACCAATCCTCTCATTCTCTCCGCCAAGGCTCACCTCAACATAGCGATTCCACCAAGGACCGCTTCATCTCTGCATATCAATTGCCAGATACGACCATTACAAGATCCAGCTTTCTTCCTGCCCCCACATCATCGGAATACCTTCCTTTACCCCCTCCTCTGTCCCACCAGTCAAGTTCGGCAAGCCAACCTCCCTCTTCGCCTCCAAGGCACTTTCACTCCATTCGCCCTTCACTCCAAGAGTCTTCGTCTACTTTTTCGAAACCGTCCACCGGAATTGGTCTCGTCCGACCTAGCATTCACGTCATTTCGCCAACATCACCTAACTTAACACCGAACAGGCACAAAGACAGAGAAAAAATCAGCAAAGGCAAGACAAAAGATCGCGCAGCTTTCAACGCTACGGTCTTGGAACTCGTAAAGCTCATTCAAGCAGGACTCGCCATCTTCGGGATGTATGACGTCGCTGACCCTTCGACTTCCGCCCTCATTATCGACGGCTTGCTGTGTGATGTTACCGTGGACGGTATCCGTAAGTGGACCGCAGAAGTTGGCGAACCTTGCATTGGAGTTGAGGTTGGTCAAGTCCATTCCATTCCGGATAGTGCTAATTAATAGCAAAGCCAACGGAACGTATTGCCGACCCTCTGTTCGTATCTGCCCTGCTCAGCCTTGTACTATCCATTCGAAACAAGCTCGCCTTTCTTGGCTTCAGTCAGGTATATTTTTTTTATTTACAACCTGTATTGGTTGCATTAACTGAGGGATGCACAGATTCTACCTAAAGATCCCTTTTTGTTTCCAGTCTGCTTTTCCGTTGCCGTTCTGGCGTATGTCCAATCTATCGCTACACCTGCCGCTGTTACGAGCAACACATCCAACGCTTCACAACACGGGTATAGTCACTCCATCTCCTCAACTGCCTCATTTCTAGGGCCCCACAACGTTGTCACGCAAGCAGCCCCGCTCTCCATTGTCGCAGCCCTTTCACGCGACCTCGTCGAGAGCATATCGACCACTTACTTGGCTAAAACGCGTGTCGGAGAAGGGCGCAGGGTTCGCCGAGTATTAAAGGGCAAGCTTGACGACTTGACAAACGCTGTTTCTGGGAGTTCCAATGTCGCTGGTTTCGATAGCGAAGGGGACGACTGGCGAGGGACGCTCAGTGGGGGTGAGGGCATTCCGGATCGTATGACGGCGCAAGGCGTCGTAAGCTCTCAGAGTGGTATTGGCGCAAGCGGAGGCCAAATACTAAGTGGGATCGGGAGTCTGGCGAGTGGATTGGGGCTGGGAGGGAGCGGTGGACCACCTAGCGGTGCTGGCAGCATTATGGAAGGTACAATGGACCTTGCTTGGTTTGTGGGCGCGGCCACCGCTAAAGAATCTTTCGGGCACATGAAGAAGGGGAGGCGAAAGAGTAAGGAAAGGAAACGAGAGAGCGTGGATTTGGGTGTCGGCTATGGTGTTAGAGGGAGGGAGAAGGACACAGTTGTTGCTGGGAGTGTCAAAAGCTTATGGAGTGGACATGTGGCGGATTTAGTTCAAATTAGAGAGTGGGAGGCCGACAGGGAACGGGACGGTGGGCTTTTGAGGGCGGTCAGTGGCGGTAGTGAGAGAGATAAAGACAGATGGAAGAGATCAATCATGGGCATGGCCAGCGACGGCGATGCCGATGACCACGACAGAGACCGCGCCAAGTCAGATGGAAGGTCAACTGAGGAAGAAAGCGACGCGTTTCTCGGTGGAGGAGGTAGCTTTGGTGGTATGTGGGGAGGCCGAGTTCGGGGAAAACTTGGTTCCTGGACTGGGTATGCGTTTCTTTTATCTGCCTTTACGCGAACGCAGCTTATAAGAAATGTAGATTGAGTCGGAAGAGGGGCCAAAACTTGGACATGTCTTCGATTCCTCTTTCTGTCTCTCCTTCCAAAGTCAAGGAAACCGCGATGTTAACGCCAAAGCTAGTGATTGGAAGCACGTCTGCGAGCACTCACCAATCCTCGGAATCTGGTCCCCAGTCACCAACTTTGCCTCCAATGGTGTTCGCAGGGTGAGTTGCAAGCTGACGCGCAACGAGCTTAAGTTCTGACCTTTTTCCAGGGACTTGGAGCGATATCTAGACGAAGAAGAACTACTTAGCAGCGGACAAGTCTCGCCTCTTGGTAAGGATTTTTTTTTGTATTCTGGTTCTTTACCACAAAACCTCAAATCTCATAGGCGACTACCGACCCAACCCTTTCAATATGCTGCATGACGGTCCCTCTGTTGACAGTTCTACCACCAATTTGAACTCTTTAAATTCGCAAGAGTACGACCGCAATCTCAGCAAACTCATNCATTCAAAACGGCCATGGGCTAGGCGTTTGTCCCAACGCGGATACCGACCTGGTCAGATCCAGTCAGCGCTCGAGGTGAGGTCTTGGATGAGGAGGATGAGGGTGGCGTAGAAGATTACGAGGATGCTGAAGGCAGCGACCTTAGCGACTTTAGAAAGCCGGGCTCAAGATGGAAAGCGAGAGAAAAGGCAAGGTTCCATAGCTTGCTCAGTGTTGTGGATGGAGAGGGTGTCCTTGTAGAGGAGCCACTGCATGAGTCGTCTGAATCCGAAGAAGATGAGTTGCGCAAGAAATGGTCTTTCCATGATTCTCGACGGTGAGCCTTCTCTATGTATATTGCCTTCCTCTCTGATTTGTGAGGACACAAGGCGACGCAGTTTCCACGATTTGGAGTCGTTGCTTGCCATGCCCGTTCTTACTGCTGAACGCATGAAGATTGACGTGGAAATTGCCGGACAGGTGCTCATTATGGCTCGACGAGAGCAGCACCTGAGGAACGTCGTCGCTTGTTTAGAGGTAAACATTAGTTGTCCACGCAATTCCACCCTTGTTAAACATTTTCGTATAGGCCCTTACGAGCTCACTACTCGAAACGAATACCCGCCTGCGCGAGGGTTATGAAGCCAACCTTGAGAATCACGCTGATGTGGAGGTGCGAACCACGGTACTGGCGGACATTGACGCAGAGAACGCGAAGGCAGATAAAATCTCTCAAGCTACCAACACTCTGCGGTACGAATCGGAGCAATTCCGCGTGTCGGATCTGTGGCAGGCCGCCAGCCCATCTCGAAAGAAAGTGCTTGGCCTTCGGGAAAAGGTTTTTGGCACTGGAGGACGGCGGCTTCCTGCTGGCGTCCATGGCGCACATGGTAGGTTTAACAGGCTGCAGTGGACTATTCGTGGGGAGGAAAGGCTGGTGGACTATCTCGGCAGAACGGAGAGCGAAGCCGAGGAAGAAAGCAAGGTGGACCCACAGTCCTTGCTAATCATTCCTCCTGAAATAGAGGAGGATGAGGTGGTTGAACATCCGGGTATCAAACCGATGTGGTTGCTCAGATTCTTCACGAGCTGGGGTGCAAGATGGAGCGCCGCTCCTCTTGTCAAGGAGGTTGAGGTAAAGTCAACAAACGTCGAGGACTCTCTCGTCACTGGCAATGCAGATGTTGGAACCGCGCAGGAAAAGAGCCCTGTGGATTCAGCTGCAGTTGAGGTAGATAGTTCTTCACCATAGGGTATTTTATATATATTGTATATATATGGCAGCTACGTCGTACAAGAAATATAATAGCAACTTCACTTGCGCTGGACTTTGGCCTGCGATTTACGCAGGGAGCGCTTTCGCTCTTTTTCGAGCTCCTAGAAGAGGACGATGAAATCAGATGGTGGGTGGGAGGTGAGAATATAGATGGAGACCTTCTTCTGGTCTGCGGCGCTGAGCTTCGATAGGCGCTCCTCTTCTGCTTTTCGCTTTGCAGCTTGCTTGCTTTCCAAGGCCTTCAAACGTGTTAAGTAGTCATATAACATCAGCCGTAAATCAAAATTCACCTCTTCCCGCTTCTCCCTCTCAGATTCATCCTTAATATCCTTGTCTGACTCCTCCCTGATCTTCTTCAATTTATTTCTTGTCTCTGGTCGCAGATTGATCTTAGTCAAAACATCAACAAATTGGAAAATATCTGTCACGAAAGGAACAGTGTCGGCAATGTGATCGGAGGAGGGTACCCTCAGGCTGACAATGACATGTTTTTCTCGCTCGTTTGCGGGACGAATGACTGTCGGGCGGTCTCGTGGTTGGTCAGTAACCTGATAGGGCGTAAGTTTATGTGAAAGCCAGAACATTGGTGACGAACCGAGATTGAGCGGAAGTAGGGTAATATTTTAGGATCTTTCAACACGTCCGAAAGAGAAAATCCACCGCTAGGTTTGAGGATGTTCTCAGTGACGTCAGCGAATTCTACCAACTGTCAGCTAAACGACGCCTGAGTGGACGGAACATGGAATCGCACCAGACATGACCGAAAGGGACTGCGGAAGAGAGGGGTTCTCTGTGATCTTGGTAAATGTCTATAACACGTAAGAGAAATTTCGGAGAAGGTAATGAAGACGACGCACCAAGTCCCATCGACCGTCCTTGACAGACAGGAGTTCATCCTTCGCAACGACGGCCCATACAAAGTCATGTGGCAAAGCACCTGGCGCTAGCTTAAAGTCGAGCTGGATTTCATCCGTGGGCCGGTATTGCAAATCGACGAATGTCTTTCCTGTCTGGTATAGCCATTGGAAGAAATCGTGACGTGGCCGCAAAGTGAAGACGGTGTGGAGTGATGCGACATTGCGACGGCCAGTTGAAAAGTTAAAAAAATCGGAGCGACCGTCTATTATGAGACTGTCTTTGACCTGGGGTTTGGAGAACTGCTGTTGATAGACGGGAAGGTGGGCTGCCATCCTGCGAGATTGTCAAATATATAAACGTGACAAAGGCGGCGAATACGCGCCATTTTTTAGCCTTGTTCGAATTGGATGAGGATCCAACATAAGCAAAGAGTACATAGAACAAAAGGGCGGCTAGAAGGTAAGCTTCGTTTTTAAGAGCTAATTTAGGAAAGAAAAAAAAATCAGTGAAGATGGCAGTACAAACGACGGCGGACACGAACTAGCGGGGCGGAAGACAAAGAATTTCCAGGTCCATTGCCAGCCGTCATATTGTTCTGGAGTAATGACGGGAGGCGGAGTGAGGCCAGCAAGGAACTTTGTCAATGCAGACATGACAAGAGAAGCACCGGCAACTTCCGAGGTTGGCATTTACTCTAATACTATTCAAATACAAAACATGCTTCACTCGCACAGATGGTCCAAGTAAGCACTTGTGTACTACTTTCGCAATGCAAACATATCCTTTTGATTTTTATAGGCACCAGCTACGGACTTTTCTGCGTTCGTTCTCGACATTTTGTCACATACTACGCACCCCATAGACCAGAAAGTCTTGTGCCACTGTTTACAGCTGGCCTCCTCATTCCTCGTCACAGATCTCACCATGGACCCACAGCACGGCCTATCCACCTGGTCGTTAGGATTGTCGCGCATTGTTGACGTTGTTCTCGCTCTCCATGCGAGAGATGAGTTGGAAGTGTCCACCCTCAGCGCAGCGTCCATGGCTTGTTCAGAGTGTTGGACAACAGCTGGATCTTTCAAGGGCATGCAAGACTCCAGAGCAAAGGTCAGAGAAATCGGTAATAAACTCAAGAAACTTTTGGATACAAACAGAAGAACCTACAAAGGCTTGTCTCCCGCCCTCGCATCTAAAGCCTTCGCTCATTTCTACCCAGGTGAATTAGTATACGCGCCATGAGTGTGTTAACTTCTCATATATCATTTATGAGCCCCACTCTCGCACACAACGGCGTGGGGTTGCAAAATCCCACACATTACGCCACCTGAAGTCCGCCAGGCATTTGCTTTTATGCTAAACTTGTTCCTTTGCAGTTGCTTCTCTATACCCGCGACTAATCATACATGCTTCCAATAACAGTCACTCCAGGACAATGGAAAAGGTAGCATATTTCAAATTTTCTTTCACCATCCATGAAAATCACTACAAGGCTGCCATATTTGTCACAGGCCAGATGCTGATAAAACAAGAACGTGAGGCGAAATAATACCCAAGTGCAGATTTAAACATACTATGCTTCTGTGGCTCTTTTGTAGCCGTACTTCGCAGTATACGCGTCCATCTCCTTGGGACCTCGCGACCCATACGGATATGGAACTGGGCGAGGGCGAGGGCCTTCCAGGCCATCAATCCAGTGAAGGATGGGCGTGAAAATCTGATAATTTGTTGGCAAGTGACAAGCAAAAAAAATGTTCATCAACTAACTTTCCATGCCACATCGAGTTCGTCATGCCGGACAAAGTTGGAATGATCCCCTCTGAGGGCGTTGAGAATGAGGGCCTCATAAGCCTCTGGAATTTTTGCTTCAGTGAAACGCCTCTTATATGTGAGATCCATTTCTGTTGGAATGGCGCGGGTGTAGAGTCCGGGAGTCTTGGTGTTAAGCTTCAGATAGACGGCTTCAGAAGGCTGGATACGAATGACGAGCTCGTTGCGCGCAATGTCTTTGAAAATGCCCTGCGTCACGTCTTTGAACTGGATACGGACTTCGACTTTTGCTTCGTTGAGGGCTGTTCACAGCTTAGGACAAGCGACTTGCAAAAGATCGCTGAAAGCATACCTTTCCCTGCTTTCAGGATGAAGGGAACACCTTCCCAACGCGGGTTGTTGATCCAAAGCGTCGTCGCAGCGAAAGTCGGGCAAACCGAGTTGGGAGGGACGGTTTCATCGTCGAGATAGCCTGGTTTCCCGTTCGCAGACACATATTGACCCAAAAGTGTGTCGCTGCGCTCGATGGGAGGGATGGACCGAAGGACTTTGACCTACGAACGGGCGTGATAAGTCAACGGAGCGCACTAATTCCGCTCGATGACATCACCTTTTCATCTCGAATATCTTCCGCCGAAAATGAAACAGGTCGCTCCATAGTCAGAATACTGAGGACTTGCAGCAGATCTGCGTAATACTGTCAATCATCGGACAATGAGAAAATAATAAAGTACCGACGGTTTTGCAAAACATCGCGAATGATGCCGAATTCGTCAAAGTAACCTCCACGACCTTCTGTACCAAATGGCTCCTTGAAAGTGATCTGCACGTTGCTGATCGAGTTTTTGTCCCAGGCCGCACCCATGGCAATGTTAGCAAACCGAAGGACAAGTAGATTCTTAACCATCTCTTTGCCCAGGTAGTGATCGATACGGAATGTTTCGTCCTCTGTCCAGTATTGCTTTACGGCGCCGAGTAGTTCACGAGCAGATTGAAGATCTTTCCCAAATGGCTTCTCGATGATAATGCGGTTGACACCGCCCTTCGTGACGTAGCAATGTAGCTTGGTATTCTTCGCAACGGGAATAAAGACGCTCGGGGGGAGCGCCAGGTAAAAGATGCGGTTGCATTCTTTTGATTGGTAATGGGACTCGATTTCCTCGAGATGCTTGTTAAGTTCCTCGAAAGATTCATCGTCTTCGTACCCTCCATGGACGTACGTCAAAGACTCTTTGAAAGCCTCGATAGAGTTCGCGAGGTCGGGATTGTTGTCTGAGTTTTTGATGTAGGACGTAGCACGCTTGTGAAACTCCTCCCTGTCCATCTTTGTTCGAGCATAGCCAACTATTTTACAATCTCGGGGCAAAAAGCCTTGACGATAGAGGCCAAAGAGGGCAGGGAGGGTCTGGGGTGTGTGGTTAGGTCAGCATGGTGCAATGAAGATAAGGATGCAGACCTTTTTCTTTGCGAGATCGCCAGAAGCACCAAAGACTAAGTAGCTCGGGATGAGTAAAGGGATATAATTGGAGTGATAAATGCGCGTTACCGACGATGATTGTGTTATCTTTGAGATCGTCATGGAGTGTCTCCATAGACGGAATGGTTCCAGACATCGAGCGTTCGCGAGGCATGATGTGAGAGAATGTAAGTAGGTGTATTGACGGTGTTGTTATTCAGACTGTCGTCAGCGTTCTCAGCGATGCCCTAGGCTTGTGCTGTGGCCTGCGACGCTGTTGGTCGTGGATGCTCCTAGTAAGCCTCGCTTACGGTTTAAGAGTCCTACCCGGCCCGTTCTCCGCTCCCATATTGCCGGTCACATTGATGACTCACGCGTCACATTCTGTCATGCACCATGCTCAAAGACGATGACCCTCCCAGTCCAGACGACGTCCTCGACAAATTGCGCGATCTCGTCTCCTCCACATCCCTCCAGCATGATGCAGCCGCCCTCCAAATTAGATCCATGGCCCTCATTGGGCGTCTCAAGTCTCTGAACCGTGCCGCCAACACCGCCACTCGTAAGCGCAAAGAAGCTACGGCTGCGGCTAGGCTAGAAATGGACCAATCGCACCTGGGTCTGCAGAACCTTCTGTACGAGAAACGCCATCTTGAGAGAGAGATTGAGAAATGTAGACAGTTCGCGTAAGTCGAGTCGCCGCCAGAGAGGACATTTGACTAAGAATTGTGTTTCGCCAGTTCCATTTATCAAGACGTGCCCCTATATACTCTTGAAGAATTCCAACGTCTTGCCCCCGAAGAAGCCCGCACAGAAGAGGTCCTGTCAGATGAGCATCAACTCATGCTTAACCGATTAAGTTTCGAGCTCGCGGAACGCCAACGGTATGCCGCCTCATCACATGATATACAGGTGTAACCAACCTCACCTAGACTCGATCTCAAGAAGAAAAATCTCATGCGTGAAAAGGAAGATCTTATGAAGGAGAGCAGGGCAAAACTTTCCACAATGGACAGTGTCAAAACTCAAATTGATGTCCTCATGAAGGTCTGGTTTGTTTCCCCCACCTTGTTCCCAAAACTAACCTTTTTTTTTCGCCATCTAGACAGCTTCAGAGATACAGAAGAAGGTTGACGACTTAGTCGTACCAATACCCTCTCAAGATTCTAGCTGAGCCTTCCTAATGTATTTGGAGTTATAATTTCATAGCACAACAGTTATCATCTCATCCTAAAATGTAATACAACGCGTGACGAATGCGATCCCAACCTGAGGGCAAGCCAACAAAAATGGTAGGCGATACTGAGAAAAGATGGGGTAGTGAGTGGGGCGTCTCGGGGGTGTCGACGAGATATGTGCCAGCTCGTGTAACGAATTATGCGATGTCAATCATAATACATGGGAAGGGCGACCGAGTGGTCGGTGCCAAGATCTAGGATGCAGTCCAATGCATGTTAGATCACTCGCCTTCGCTGATGCTGCCAATGTCGCTCATTTCTTCGTCTTGACCCTCGTCGTCATTTCCGTCCGTTGCCGCGTCGGCTGCTTCCTTCGTGGCGTATCTCTGGACGTATTCTGTATTTGGCGACTTCAGAATCGGGAGTAGGAGGAGGTTTAACGATGATCTACGCACCCTTCACTTTCGATTCGTACTCTTTCGGGTGACGCATTAAAAGAGTCGCGGCCTCCCCATTGAGAGGATCGTTCGGATTGGGGTAACGCAAGAGCTGTGGCAAGAAAACTTCGAAAATGTTGATCATGTCTGTTTCTGTCGTGTGAGCACATAAAGTTGTGGACAAAGTGAACAACGTCTTTCACCAAACATTGGTGACCAAGTTTGATTGATGACATCCAGACACACAGAACCGCTTCTACCCGACATGTGGATTGATCAACAACGATTGCGAGATAGCAATACTACGTACAGCTCATCGATGTTGGGATGAAAGATCTTGTTCAAGAATCCGATACTAGGTGATTTGAAGGGGTATTGATCCGGGAGTTCAACATGAATCTTCCACACACCACCAGCGAATGGTGCTAACAAAAGGGAACACAAGGTCAGGTAGAGAACATGTTGGGTGGAAATAGGTGACTGACTTTCCGCTGGACCATAAAAGCGGACATAGAAATCCTGCATGCTGTCGTTAACGAGGGAGACCTCGTAGTCTGACATCAACCTAATGAACAAAAGTCAGCGAAAAGAACGGCGGAGATCCACAGGGAGCCTCTTGCATCTTCATCACGTCCGTTTCAATACGACGTTTGCTGGGATTGGCGTAGATTACACAACAAGATTAGATCGCATGATCTTGGCTTTGAAGGCACAGCACTTATCATAACGATTGTTCAACTATGGAGATGAGAGGAGTCGGGTGAAGCGTAATAGGGTACTCAAGCTGGGCGAATGCAAGTGCGTAATTTACCGAATTTAACATTCATTGGCTTAAATCAAGGGAAATAACTGTGCTTATGAGATTCGGAGTTACCCGGTGGTTCAATAATAGTACTCCTCCACAATACAGTACCCGACATCGCTTGAACAAGGAGAAGGCATTTCCGCTAAAGTCTGACTACCCCCAACGTTTTTGGTTGTAAAGGCGCGCCATGCGACGAGAACGGCTGTTAGAAAGAATGTAATCGGTGCTTTCCCCCGTTGATTACCTGCTCACCTATCCAGAGTAACACAAACCCTCCGATCAGGACCGCCTCTTCTTGTGTTTGGGTCAGCAACTGTCCTTCCATTCTATGGTGCATCGTAATCCTGTCGAATAATCGTCAAACTAGACACTGGTGGTGCGAGTGTAGACGTTATACATGACCACGAGCAGTGCGATAGAAACGACTGCAATAGAGGTTTGTGTCAAGTGAAAGGCATCTGAGGGCAGCAGGCCAGCTCGAATTGTCACAAAGTTTGACTAGTCAGGACGCGTACGGGAGGAAGATATCAACTTCGTCATGTAATGGCCAATAAATATTGCAAGCGCGGCTGCCTGGGTTAGTTCAATGCAATGCTCTCGAAGAGATTTCGAGTCACCTGCGCTAATGGATCTAACAGGACGATCGCGAAACAACGGCATAGCAAAGATAGATGGGAAGAAACTCTTCACGATAAAAAAATTGTCTATTTGAGGACTGCCAGAGTACATGAGGTAAATGCATGTGTGTTACACGAGGTCATATCAATTGTGGAAGGTAAAAAAGCACATAGGGGTTCTAAACGAGGTGTTTGCAGTACGTTTTTCGTAGTCGTTCCGATCATCAGGCGGACATGGGTACTTGGGTGACAGTCGCCGGTTGACCATTCATTCCTGGCTGGATGATAATAGAGTGCCCTGGGGTTTGCATAGGCACCGCCGACATGGGATATTGATAACCAGGAGCAAAACCTGCGGATGCAGGGTACTGCATCGTGCCTCCAGTACGGGTATTGTAATATCCAGGCATTTCACCGAACCAAGGTAGCTCTAATGGAAGGGTAAATTCTACGAGTCGCGGTAGAAGAGCAAAACAGACCTCGGATTGGCTCCTGCCATATGAAATGACGGCCCATTCGCTCGGCGTGGTGGACAAGTTGCATAAGAATGTAAAAGGCAATAACGAACATTGCGAACAATGCCCAGGAGAATGCCTGTGTAACTTTCATTTCGTAACAAAATCCTTGTGCAGAGGCTGCACCGATGAGTTAATTGCATGATATGAAGGCCGAGGTAGCGGACTTACTATCACCATGCTTGGCAGCTGTCCGCTGGCCCGCCAATCCATCGCATTGTACGTTGCCAATGATATCCCTTCAAAATGGATCAGCCACCACACGCAATTAAAGAAACGGTAAAATGCGCTCACGTTGACCATGCGCCCATTGCTTCAGCTTGGATTAAACACCGTCGAGAAAAAAATAGAGAAGGACGCACCCAGCCACATGGTCCCCAGAATAAAGTAAACAAGCGCTTCCGTCCGAGGTTGTGCCCATTGCAAACTTGGAAAGGATTCAGAGGAGGGGGGGGGGGGGGTCTGAGGGCAACCGCACTCACCTTAAAAGAAAGATGAAGATGGTAAGGGCGGGCACGATGAGAGCAAAAATCGTGAAGTCATCTTGCAACAAGAGTTTTCGGTTCGGGATACCACGGAATTCGTTGAAGTGCACGTACGATGAAGTTTTGGTAGGAAGATGGAGGCAAAGTTGGCAGCAAGGCCAAGAACGGTGCCTACGGCGCATTAGTTGAATTAAATCGTAACATTTTGATAAATAGGCACCTGATAACACGAAGACAACAACTGAGAGTGAAGTGGGATGAGATGGTTTGTTACTTCGGCATCGATGAAGCGCGTCGTGCAACACACGTACGGTAAAAGGCTAGTCGGTTGTTTCCAAATTTAATAGTCATCGTTTTTCGTCAGTCGCAATCGTAAGGGAACCCAGGGAGAGATAAGTATTGAAAGGGTATTGGTATCTTGTCCTCGTGGTGACGGTTATAAACCCGTCAATGTATGTATGTTGTTCATACACGCCTCAATTTAGAGTACTAAGCAAAAGTGCTAAGCTGTGTAACGCCCAATGTAAATAAACAGTACAAGCCTCCAGCCTCAAGGCTCAGGCCGAAAATAATACAAGAGATGATACAACGTGTTTCCTTCTACATATCCGGCATCGTAAAAGTCGTTACGCATCAACGTGTTCTCCGTGCAGTCCTGTAGGGGTTGTTCATACCCCCGTTCTCAAACTCGTGCGATTCGTTGCTCCGAGGTGACGTGTTTCCATTACCTCGCCTCTGGTTGTTATCGGGGGTAGCAGTTGGGTATGACTTTGGCGGAAGATTGGGATTTCTTGGGCTATGCTGGTATCTTGTAGAGTTCCCCCGTCTAGCACTCCGGACCCTATCTGGCCGCTTTTCCGTATATTCTCCGGTCGTGAGGGGAAGAAGATTGGATTTCCCCGTCCTCCCCTGTGTGGCCCGCTTCTCATTCCCATAATCATTGAACCAGGCGCACGATGTTACTGGACCATGCCACATATGTTCATCGCCATTCCTATGCCGTCTCGCGGCCAAAAACAAGAGTGTCAAGCAGGAGAAAAGAACTGTCGTAAGGTAGATTGTTAGAAAAGACATCAAGTTCAACAAAACAACGATCGCACTCAAGACGGCGTTGATCAAGGAAAATGAGTTCAAGACCCGATACATCGCCTGATACTGGTCGGTATGGACTGTGGCAAGTTAGTCTATGGTCGAATCAGCTGGTGGTGGAGCACTCACAACTCGCCGCCTCATCGCTGAGAGGTTGAGTAGCATCAGATGACGCAAAACACTCAACGTCCGCTGATTGGGACTCTGAAGTCGTCAGGTATACACCTAGCACTGAAAAAAAACGTTTAACCGTCAACCGCTGAACCTGAGGTGCGATTCAAGAGGGCCTACCAAGCCAGAAAACACCCGCCAGCCCCAAACTCGCGAGCTCAATCCTTGTTGAGATAGGATTCCTTCCCCGCAAAAACACGCTGAAAGATATACTGAAAATGAACATATGAGAAATCTGCTTCGCCTCGTGAACCTAGAGGATGACCCACAGCACCGCGAAAATAAAAAGACTGGCCGAACAAACAAAAATGGCAAAAGGGACGAAACGGGCTTTGGGGACTCAGTTAGCAGAATATCAGGCCAAGGAAAATCCTCATGTTCTCACTGAGATCGGAGGCGGCCAACACGGTCTGAAAGTGGCCTGCCATCGCAAGGCAGATGACAGTGAACAGAAGGACCGAGCCTGTAAGAAGAAATTGTATTAGCGGAAGACTGAGAAGGAGACGGTCTAGCAAACCATATATGGAGGCTCTGATTGTGTTGAACAAGGCAGACATTCGAGATCTAGGTGCAGGTTGCGTTTGGCGAGACCGAACATTGTTCGTCGAGGGCGACATGATAAGGACGAAGCAAATTAACAGCACGAGGCTAACATGAAGTAGGGCAGTCGTACGACAGGACTGGCGTGAATAACGTTTATCCTCACAGCGATGGGGCTGCGAGGGGCAGGCCAGGTCAAAACGACATGAGGCTAACCTACCACAGCCACCATCTTACCGGATCACCGGCTTCGCTATATATAACATCATTCATTCCAATCCTCGAGGACCAGTAAATTACAGATAGATTCAGCTCACTTCCCTCCGCAATTCTTCACCCAAGCTAGCATAAAATAAAAGGCACTCTGGGTTCGACAACGTAGCTGGGTTGACGATCGAAACGGGTGCACCGTTGACGATCTGGTCAAGATGTAAGTAAGACTTGCAGAAAATCGACATTTTGCAATGCACTCTGACCTTCTTCACTAGCACCTCCACGCGCTTGCCATTGAGGGTATATGGGATATCTGGCACTTGTATAATCTGCAAATTCATTGTCGGGTTCCCTCCTTCGCAACCTGAGCGCAGCACTCACACGGGTTGGAACATGCCGAGGGCTTCTCCGCTCTCGTATCGCCGCCTTGATGTTTGACTCCAAATCTAGTGATAAATGTTCATCTGCAGAGAGCTTGACGAACAGGATGACACGTTCATCGGTCCCATTGTCAATCTTCTGGCCGACAGCCAAAAAGTCGAGGAGATGCTGTGCACTTGTACTTTTTGAGAAGGCGAAGTCCAGAACATCATAGATTTCCGAAGATCCAAAACGGATTCCTCCTGGGTTTCTGGATGGGGTCAACGGCGATGACTCAGCCAGAAAATGAAACGGCGTACAATACCCCGTCCGAGCGGCCTAGCATGATCAAACCGCCTCCATTCCCAGATTTCGAACGTGTGATGATAACATGATCACCGTGATCTTCTGGGCTGAATAATTGGAAGAAAAAGCTAAGTAAGATTCTGACTCACACCAGGTACCCTTGAACTCTGCAAAATATGAGTCGTGAAAGCGCTTCTCCGCTGCGCTGACGTCACTCTCAGAGCCATAATTGGGTAATGGCCAGAAGCCGATGGGCATGCACGGGAACGGACGAAGGCAGACCAACTCCCCGGGCTCGTCAGGTGGGTTGACTGAACCAGTCGGAGTGAAGCTCTCAATGGCCATTCCTAACATGCGACACTGGATTTCTCCCCGATACACTGGAAGCGCCGTTGACATGCCAGCAAATAAGGAACAGATGTCAGTTCCCCCTGTACTAGAATTAGCATAGCCGAATAAAACCGATGATTGGCTTACCAGTAATGGAACTCAGGATGATGTTAGGTTTAATATGTTCATACACATAGTCGAAAAGCGGCGGCGCAAGGGGAGAACCAGTCGAGTAAATTTGTCGTAGCGTACCCAAATTATGACGACTCCGCGGTTGATAGCGTTTCTAGAATGCAAACCATTTGGTTTTGAAGGGCTCTGGATCAAAAGTGGAGTAATACCGAAAGCTGGTCCAGGTATTTGGCACTGGTGCCGAAGATGGTTACACCGAGGTCATCAGAAAGGCGCCAAAGCAAGCTCGCATCTCGCAAAGGGCTACCGTCGTAGAGGACGAGCGTGCAGCCAATCGTGAGACCACTGACAAGAAAGTTCCACATCATCCATCCTCTAAAATTATAGGTAAGTTGATGGAGGCAATGATTGGATGCAAAGTTGGTACAAACGTCGTCGTGTAATAGAAAAACACGTCATCAGGACAAAGATCGCCACAAATGGCAAGTTCTTTCTTGGATTGGAGGAGCATTCCACCAGCTCGATGTACGATGGGTCTGTATGATGTGTCAACTGCGAAGCGAGATACCACGACTGAGGCACAGACTTTGGGCGTCCAGTAGTTCCACTGCTGAAAAGTATCCAGAGAGGAGCATCAAATTGGAGCCTATTCCATTTGACTTCTCCGTCTGCTGTTCGACCCAGCTGAAGTTTTCTGCCTTGTTCAAGAAAATCATTCCAACCAAGCCACTCCTCTTGCCATTGACTACGATCCTCGGCGTGAGGGATGGCATGGATTATGATGACCTTGGGAGATTTCAACGCCAAACCCGAAAGCAAGGTAGAGACCTTGGGCAAATGTTGGTGAACTTTATGGTTGTACCTTGAAAATAATGCATGAGAATAAAAGAGTTGAAAGAGGAGCTTCTAATACACGACGGCATCTACAGCGAACAGGAAAGTCGGTTGAACTTGTTCCAGACTGCGTAATGTGTCAGAAAAGACTCTGAGATGGTAATGTCGCCGTACCGCTCCAGCACTCCTTCCGGTCCAAAATCTGCAGCGGCGCTAACCCAAATGCCGCCAATGGCGGTGGTTGCTAGGCAGGCAGCGACATTTTCCTGAGGGAGACATTTCAGAGAAGACAACCCAACCGAGTTAGTCAAAAAAACGCACGATACAATTGGATGAATAGGATGCGACGCGATCTCCTGGCTTGAGACCGTAATGAAGCATAGCCGATACGAGGTCGGCGACAAGCGAATACAACTTGGCATAGGTGGTAGTCCGGAGCCGGGGGACAGGGAATTCTGGAGTCGGTTCGGCTTCACAGAATAACTTGGAAACTGTTGACAAAATTATTCAAGAGGATCGCGTACTAGCTTCTATAAGGGCAGTCTTTTCGGCAGAACGACACCAGAGCATGTTTTCGGCCCAATTAACGCGAGCATCAGAGAACCTGGAAGAGTACGAAGTCAATTGTTGGGTGACGCAGCAGCGGCAAGTAGACGCACCATGGAGGGTTGTCCGAAGGGAGGGCGTCATTGTCGACGATGTGAGCACCTTTGTGGCCAGTGACACCTGTCTCGTCCCAGACTGCGGACCAGAACTTGTCTATATGCGTTGTGGACCATGTATAGAGGTCGTGGTATGTGAGCAAATTAAGACCATAGAGAGAATTAACGCGAGCGAGAAAACGAAAAGTAGCCGTTTCTTGTGGATTTTTAGGGTTGTATAAAGCGGACATAGTAGGAGACCGACAACGGGTGCGCACGTTTGAAGGGTTTCCCTGGATTATTCTATAAGTAGTAGTGGGGTTAGGCACAATCTGCAATCTGGGCTGCTTCGATCAATGATGGGGAAATAATTCTTTACAACCGAGTCAAGGACCAATACATAAGCAAAGCATCTCTTCACGTTTGTTCTCCCATTTGCCACTACCACCAGCGTCTACCTTTGCCTATAAATTACCCTTCTTCACTCTTCTACTTCAACCATGGATAAATTTCTCGCCCCCAACACGCTGGAAGCCACCGCTCATAACCATCTCATGTACTTTTTTTTCCTTTCAACGAGTCACCATTTTGCTCACTCTCGTACCACAGGGAGAATTATTTCACTTGGCAGACAGATAAACCATCCGTTGATGAAGCACTCATCTCTGGATGTGCCTCTTACCGCGCTTTCGACCGTTACCTCACTGGTGCAGATCTGTATCTCTTACCCCGTACAAGGTCCGAGTTGGAGAACATTTTGTACGCGTCTCCACTCGTTCAATACGTGCTCTCTTCCTGATATTCTCTTCTCTTTCCTAGGCGAAGATATTCGTATGACGCTATCCACAATGCCATTGCAAAAAGTCGCTCCACCCTACAGCCTGGTGGCTACAGCAGGGTGCGCCACTTGCTTCTAACAAGATTATGTCCTCTGAATTGATCACTTCAGATATGCCATCGTGCAGAAGATTCTATCCGCAATGTCCTCAACACCGGTGATAATCTCCAGATCTTACTGGCCCTGCACCACCCCACCGATGACAACGTAAATCATGACGCTGACTGCAACACGCATACCATCACAACCACTTGAACTTTTCTTGGTACCCCCCGTTCCGTTAACTTATTGTTCTTGTTCTCCGTTGTAGTTTATGTAAATAATGCCTTGTACTATTTTTCAGTCATTCATGATTCATGTTCAATCTTTATCTGAAAGTCAATCTGAGTTTTTAAATTTGGACGCCAGATGCGAATGGTCCGCAACAAACGTGCGTTTTTTTGGAGTACTCGCTTATCCTGCGCTCATCGTGGCTCAGCGCTCAATGCTCGCGCTTAAAGTGTTCCTGCTCGCCTTGAGCCTGTATATTGATTCTGCTTATCCTTCCTCGATCCAGGTTCCGTTGGACCTACATAAACATAGTATGTGTCCCGAAATGAAATAAAACCGGCGTTCTCGCTAATAGAAATAAAAGAGCCGAGAACGCTGCACGGAAGGTTTCTGCATATAACAGATATCCATCCGGATCCATACTATACACCTGGAACTTCTCAATCCAAGGCATGCCACAGGAAACGGCCAAAGAAGAAAAGCGACAAAGCTGGATACTACGGAACACCTTACTCGTCAGTGCCCGATCCTTCATGTTATTACTTCTATATGGTGTGAACTGCTGCAGAGAATGCGACGCGCCATTTAGGCTCACGAATTACACGCTTGATTTCATCGAAGAGAATTGGGCTTCTGAGATTGACTTTGTGATCTGTTCGAACCCCCTTTGCTCGTTTGATCATTCTTACTCATTTGACTGCAGGGACTGGAGATAATGCCAGGTACATACGAAACATCTCTATGATAAAATAATCTGAAAGGTTGTGCTCCAGACACGACAACGACCGGAAGATACCGCGTACTCCCAGCGAGATTTACACTTTAAACAGGTCAGTTGCTGAGAGGATGGAGAGGATTTTTTTACATCGTGGCATTCCGGTGATTCCAAGTCTGGGTGCGTTCATTTAAGCGACTCATCGACTGTTGGGTAACATTTAGTCGGCCGTCAGGTAATAATGACGTTTGGCGTATGTTGGCATGCATTCTTTTCGACTTCCAAGCCGCTTAATTGGAGCACCCAGCTCATGTACGCTGTGTCTATATCAGTACCCATCATTGTGGTATTAAACGAGATTCTTTTACGATAAGAATATCTTAACACCAGGCGAGTGTGGATTATATGCTGTTCAGTTTACACAATGCTCACGGTGATTACAACAGGTCCCAACAGCATTACGAATGAATACGCCTCGTATGTCCTGTTCTGCATGTCGCTCGGAGTTCAGCTAACTCTGCCAAGTATTTGGAGCCACTTCATCCCCTTTCCTTACCTGCAAGTCTTTCAACGAGGCGCTTACTATACCGTCGAGGTCGTCCCCGACGAATTGGCTGTCATAAGCCTTAACACGATGTATTTCTATGATTCTAACAAAGGCACGTGGATGTATGCGATGTCATGTTCTCCCGCTGATACATGCACAGTCGTTTCTGGTTGTGTATACACTGCACGGGATGATCCTGGAAATCTTCAACTTGACTGGCTTGAAGTTCAATTGAAAATGTACCGTGAACGGGGGATACAGGTAAACTTTGCTCAATAGCATTCAAGTTTCGTCATTTCACCCATGATCGTTTTGTTAGGTATGGTTATCAGGTGAGATTTGTTCCTTCCCATCATTGTCCATTTTTTTTTAACGCAAGTCATAGGCCACGTCCCCCCTTCCCCAGGCAACTACTTTTCCGAATGTGTACGTACCAAACGCTACTTGTTGCAATTCTTGTTGAGCGACGTGTGCAGTACGTTCGATACGCTGAATTGGCGCTAAGATTCCAAGACACTATTCTCGGACATTTGTATGGGGTATGTGCTTCGCTTCTTGTCTGTTCAGTGCGCTGAGTAGTTGGGTCAGCACATGAATGCCGACCACGTGCGTTTTCTGGCCCATCCTTGCCTCAACATCAAGTGATGATTCACAGTTCTTTTTTCTTGAAGCCGTCGATCTCGTACCGAAAACAAAATTCAAATTTACGAAGGGTGTCGGACTCTATGAAACGCTCCTAAATGACTTTTCCTCGCTGCCTAAATCTTCAAATATAGTCATGGATGAATACGCGGCGGTGAACGTGGCACCATCCGTAGTGCCTAATCCATACCTCCCAAGCTTTCGGATCTTTACATACAACATCTCTAAGAATGCTCAGCATGAATTGCAGGGCGCATTGAAGAAAAAGAAGCGCAAGCACGGACATGATCGAGGAGACAAGGGGAACAAAACAACCCATTGTCAAATAGAGGAGCACCAGAAGACCTGGATCTGCCATTTGAATGATCCTTGGCACTCGGATCCGGACTCCCCATCTAGGAGTAATCAACGATGGACACCCCTGGGTTTCGCCCAGGTTCACTTTTTCTTCTCCGATAAATTGCAAAAGACCGCCACTAATTAACTTTACTGCAGTACTATCTTCCAAGCATCAAAGACGCCGACAAAAGTCACCCACCGCATTTTGAGCTGGAGTATGTGACATACTCTGTCGCCAATCTGCACCCACGTAAAGGATTGGAAGATGATTTCCAATATCCAATTCCTTTGAAGCACCTGCCAACACCACTTCAGAACGCGACGACAAGCAAGAGCAAGTATGCGCCTTATGGGTTGGCTGATTTAACGATCGAGTCGTGGGTTAGACTTGCTCGTCGGTTGGGAGATAGTTCTCATGGAAAATTGCGGAAGAGGTTCCGCAAGTACATGTTTGGAGGAGGAAAGGAGGGAGAATAAATGATTGAAGATATGTGATTGATAGATTGATTTGTATTTGCAATGTGGCAAATAAATAAAAAGGGCCTGTTGTCTTGACTACTTTCGTTACTTTCTTGTAGTGATCTGGTAACCAAACTCTTTTTACTTACCTCGCCATCGCGCTCAATTATCCTTGTCGGCGGCCTTTCGTTCCGTTGTGCAGTGCTCTCATTCCCTCTATTCTACTTTTCTATACTCTTCGGCTGGCCCGTCAACTAGCTACCTGGGATCACCACTGTCTTTGCCAGGATCACTCTGCTAGCTTCCCACTCTCTTTTGTCAACAATGACCGCCGTGAATCTCCAGATTATGTCAAATACAATGCCCCTCGACTTTTTCCCTCACTCTCGCTCAAATTCTGTCTCCTCATCTTCAACTCACTCCTCCCACTCCCGCCCACAATCCTCCCAAGGTCCCATGTCCCGTATCCATTCATCGGTCCCTCCATCGGCAGAAGATTACAGACATTCCTACCTTGGCTCACTCCACACCGATTCCGTTCGTCGTTTGTTCTCTTCCTTCCAACTCTGACCCCCTGACGCCCTCTCCAATAGCCGCCAAATCATAATATCACAAATCCTGCTTTGAAGGGCCCCTTGCGTCCCAGTCACATCCGGGCCCGTGCAGCGGCATCGCCTTATCCTCGAGACACTGATAGCGTTCACTCCTCCTCCAGTGAGGCCGATGATATGTCAATGTTTCTTGGTGGTCCAGGCCCCGATTATCAGTCGATGTATGGGGGAGCACACAGCATGGCTTCTAATCCAGAAACGGTCCACACTGCGGGGGCATTTGGGAGGATGAATTTGGGATCCGATCTTGCTCTTGAGAAACTTGCTGCGAATGTACGTGCGGCCACCACGACGAGCGCATCTGACAGGGCAAAGCAAATTTTTGTTCAAGCATGGTCCGCTTCCCATCCTCTTTCGTGTGATAAATTATTTTTAACACATTCTCAGGCTCACAGCCAACTACGCTCCATACCCCGACGGCAATGTACCCCGACAAGGCTTGTACTTTTCTTATCGTAGGGTTTGTGATCAATACGGGATCCCCCACATCAATACCGCCACACTTGGCAAAGCAATCAGGCTCTGCTTCCCTACGATAAAAACAAGGCGCCTGGGCGTCAGAGGGAACAGTAAATACCATTGTGGGTCCACCATTGTTCTTTTTTCTACCATCTGCCTTGTATCTGACACGGCCCTCAGATTGTGGCATCAGGCCCGCCACAGCAGCCGAAGCCGAATGGCTACAGGATTATATCCATAAATCTAACAATAATGCCGGCCAGGCATCTATTAATGCCGCGCGACTCAATCACGAGCAGGAGTCGACGAACAGGAGCGAGGAGAGGTCGGACGATGACGATGACGAGGATTCTGAAGGAGGAGGTTCAGCTGCAGGCTCCAAGAGGAATTCCCTCACGTTGAGCGGTGATTTGAAGCATCCAGTTTTCACAGACGACATAAGCGATAGGACACCCACAGCAGCGACTTTATTGTCACAGGTCCAAGCTGCACAGCGCCCTGGCTCCTTCCCGCCTCAGGCCTCTATCCGTAGACACCCCCATCAGGAGCCTGGTCTTAATCTTCAAACGCATTCGTCACCTTTGGCCAACTCGGGACCGTACATATCCCCGCAGCAACCTCTCTCTGTTCGTCAGTTCTCACATTTTCCATCGATCGACGATGCTGTTGGCTCGACCTCGACATCTCCACATGGAGTCGCTGCACGAGAAGTCTGGGGCTGGTTCCAAGATCATCTTGATGTGCTCCTCGAAAGTGTCAGGTCCTTCCGTTTCGATCAGTTTGAGATGCACTTGCGCACGTTCTGGTCCAGCTTGACGGGACATCACCGCGAAATCGTTCATGCACCTGCCATTGCGGGTCTGATGGCGAAGGCAGACGCTATTGTTTACGATGCAAGTTTAACCTCCTTTGTTTTTAGCGGTAAACTGATGTCACTTTCATCAGGAAATTCTGGAAATCTTGCGCTCACAAATGCTCTCCCCTATTCCGGCGGTATCACTTTCTAGCCTTCGCCAGCTTGCGCTGAAAATGGAGAAAATCTTGCTTGTCGCACTTGACAATTACGGAAACACTTTTGTGGAGCCTAAAGTTGAGCTTGGCGCACGATTTGGTCATCTCGTTTGTAAGTCCTACAATCAAGTTCCCCGGATTATAGCCTTTGGTGACCTATGATGGGTGCAGTGCGATTCCTCGATATCTATCAAGTTACCCAAGCTTTAAATACGGTTCTCACTAATCAGAAGCAACTTTCCGAGATGCGCAGGTCGTGGCAAAAGGTTGATTTTGAGTCGGTCCGCAATCAGTCTGCTCTGGTTTGCAATTGCCGGCATGAGGACCTAGTACAGCTGCTTGAGGTCGAGTTTGTTTCTGTTCTCGATAGTCTTGCCAAGAGCAACGAGCCAGTTCGGGAGGTTATGACTTGGGCCGATAAATGTTGCGAGAGGTTAATGGGAGGCAGTCGTGCCAACCACGGAGGACCCGAGGAGAGGAATGTCATGAGCTCACGTAGCGTCCTCATCCGATGGGGCTATGTTACCAGCCAAGTAATGAGGGACCTTGTGAGTCATGAATCATTTATTTATGAATGTCGTGCTTAGGAATTTTGCAGACTATTCGCAGTGACCCAGCCTTTGGCGCCTTCCAAATTTTGAAGCTCTTCTTGGAGTGAGTGACTCTTTTGAACGATTTTGTCGTTCATATTCTGACGTCCCCCGCAGTGATTGGATCGCTGTCAACGTTTTAAGGAGTGTTGCGCTTTCAACAAATTCTGTTGCCGCATCCGTAGAGCCCGTGATACAACAAAACTTCTTTTCTTTGTCTCCCATGGCTGGTCAGGAGAGTTTTGGGTCAATGGAGGTCAGACCCCAGCACTTAATGGCACATACGCCGACTACCTCGAGCATGCTGGCTGCCCTCCAACACGACTCCTATACTAATGGGTCGTCCCTTGATCCTTCCTCTTCTGCCTTCAACTCGGATGCCTATGGGTCAATGTCGTACATGGATACCTCCGCAGCGCATGACGATTCTCTTCCCCCTCATCAACCAGGATTGTCGTTCCAGGATTTCGGTGGTTCTGGCAACACGTTCGATGTCTCTAGTTACACCTCTCAAGATCTGGGCGCTCTGAACGGTTCAGGCACTCCAACAACTGATCCTGACCACGATGCTGAATCTGTCAAAACGGAGCAACAAGGAGTATGAAGTCGACCTGCTCTTTGTTCGTTGTATTTTGGTTTGTTCTCTATCACCTCTTGTTTTTCAGCTGCTCGTTTTTATGTTCTCGATAACTATCCACCGTCGCCGTATATCTGTATCAACCCGACTCTTTTTTTTTTTTTTTTTGCTGATCTCTTGTCTTCCCATTCCTAATAGTGTAAAGAAGTACCCCTCTTGCGCGGTTTTATGGATCTATCATCTGCTTTATTTATATTTAACATTCTCTTTTGAAATTGATGCCTCAGATCCTGAAAATGAATGCGAATTGTCCTCCGAGATGCACAAGTTATGTGAGCATTTTATTACTATGGCAACTGTTAAAGATCCACCCTCCGCTGGTCGCCGCAAACCTAGATTGCCTGCGCCGTCTCTTCTGCTTGTTCATCTTGCACGATTTCGAGTTTATCTAGTACTTCTTCACTCGAAAAAGTGGGAACGGGAGCATCGCCTACTTGGGGGGTTGGGGCGGGTTCGGCTGGGATTTCTACACTTGCGTTGGGTGTAACGCCTTCAGATGGGTCAGAACCATCTCGAAGATCCTTGGTACCGCTCGTTAGACGCCGGATATCCGCCTCTGCTTTGGAGATGTTCTCAGCGGTAACCCTCGCTTGATTGGCCTCAAACCATGTCTTTTTCGTTTTGAGATCTTCAATGACACGGGGGACATCCACGCTTGCAGAAGGAGGCGGTATCGACAATGATAATAGGGCTGAAAGGGTAGGAAGAGGAACGTTAAGGGGGGTGTTCGCTGACGAGGAACTTGCAGCTGTAGACTCCTCCGACAATCCATTCTCCTTCGGCTGACCCTTTTTACCCTTGCCCTTGCCCTTACCTCCGACAAAGTATGCGTCTTCGGCTTTACCCTTCTTATTCAGCGCGACCAGACCCTCGGGTATCTCCTCAACTTTTCGAATGTCAAGTTTCGGCACACCTGCAACCTCAGCCTTTACGGAGAGAGAAGCAGACTTGAACGACACATGTCCGCTTGATTTCCCAGAGAAGTAGTCAATTAATGTTTGACAATCCTCAATCTGCGCCTGGAAAGCTGGAACCTGCGCTTCTTCTCGAATGCGTTCGGCAAGATCCTGTTTCTTTTGAGCTTCCTCTGCCGCCCGCTGAAGGCGAGCACGTTCTGCTCTCCTCGCACGATCCTCGTTGACTTTATTCCAATAACGATCATTGGCATCCCGGAACCGTTGAGCCGAATCACGTTTTTCATTGAAAAGATTCTTGATTTGGCTTTGCAGATTATCGCGTTCCTCGAAGAGTTTAGAGCGATCAGGATACGCTTCATCCCCCTCCCTCTTCAACTCGTCCAGCTCAGCTTTGATTGCGTCGTAGCGTTCAGATACCGCCTTCGACTCGGGGTCATCCAACTGCTTCTTCAGTTCGTCGATTGAATGACGGAGAGCATCGATGGATTCCTGCTCGGCCTGGAATCCTTCGACAGCACGTCGGTTACGCTTGCTTGAACTAATATCCTGAAGCGCACGCTTCTCTTCTGCGAGTTTCATGTTACCAGATTCGACCTGTTTTTCCAAATGCCTAAACAAACGTTCAGCCAGTCATTCATACTACAATATTTGGAACCTGCTTGATATGTGCGTCAACCTCGGCAACAGTTTTGAAGTTGATCTTGGTTTTCGCGGCTTGAAGATCTTTGATCTGCAATACTTTTTATAAATAATGTATGGACGCCTTGCGAGGTGACACACCTTCTTCTGAGCGCCGTCTTGGAGAGATTTCAACTGGTCTAGCACCTTGCCCCTCGACGTCTTATTTGCGGATTGTTTATCTCGGATGCTGTCCAATTCAGCACGAAGTGCATTTCTATGGTCGTTACCCGGACCAGACTTAGTTGTGCCGCCAATTTTGTCACGAACAGAGGTCTAGCGTGCAACATGTTTCTGAAAAGCTGCAAGCGAAAATACTGTGTAACCTACCAGCTTGATTTGCAGAGCGTCTATTTCTGCCTTAATTTTATCTTGTTCCGCGTCGTACGCCTTTTTGTCAGGTTTCCCGCCAGCTAACGTGGCCAGCGCGTCCGACACGTCTTTCTTGTCAGCAGTGGAAACAGGAGTAGCTGTTCCACTGCTGGATGCTGTCTTCGCCTTCGCAGCGCCATTGGCGGAGGGGGCAGCTTTTGACTTTGCAGCGGGCATTGTAGTTGGTGGTTCCGGGGAGGGATCAAGTAAAGGTGATCTGTCCACAATTTTCGAAAACCGTGTGAAAGCCCAGGAGACCCTTGACATCCACTCCCTTTTACTTGCATTTTATGCAAATGTATTTCTTACTTTTGCCCCGCTTTTTACCAACGGAAAAGGTTCAATAGTAATTCAAATTGAATTCAAACCCAATTTTTAAATCAGCACCCTCATATTCAGCTTCTCCACCTCCTTGTAGCACTCCTCATAGACCTCCCGGTAATCATCATCCTTATCAACCTCTTCACCCTCCTTCTGTTTGATTTTCCGTTTTTGATTGGGACACACCATTACACAACTTGTTGGCCGCTTAGTAGAACTCGCATGACCAAGTTCTTCCTTGGACGCAACAAAGATGTATGGTATCTGTGCCTCCTCGCTCAGCACAGGTAAATGGGAGATAATGTCGATTGGATTGATGTCTGCTGCAAGAATCAAGAGTCTAAGAAAAAGCAAAGCTTTCAGTAAGCACCAAACACGATAGTACCAGTAACTTACCCTTTCTCGCCCTTGCGTATCCCTTTCACCACCTCCTTCACTCCGCGCTTTACTTGCCGCGCTTTGGAAGCTGGTTCGATGGACTTGACGTTCATTTCATCCTCCAGACAAGAGTCGGGCACATACCTTTTTTTATCGTTTTGTGAAGTTTCTTGACGAGTTTCTTTTGTGCCAACGGATGCGCAAGAGGTGATAAATCTTCAAGAGGTATCACAATCTCCTCTTTATCTTTTTTTGCCTTTTTTGGTGACTGTATGAGAAATACAAAGTTAGATGTCCAGGAGAGACGGTAGTGTCAAAACGCACTCGAGTCGTTTCCACATCCAACATTTCGACGTCTTCTGGGCCCTCAACGTCTTTCCTCTTCTTCTCCCTCTTCTCTACCTTATCTTTGGCCATACGTCGTAGGCGCGATATTTAATATATGGAGTTTGTAGAGTTGTAGCAAGGAGGATTACTCGGTGATACCGTTGGGTGCAGAAGTTACAAAAATTGTGACGAGACGGTCACACACTTGAATTGACTACTTAGCACTAAAGTGACATTAGGCACAAGAAACTTCATGTTCACTGGGAGCCATGGAAGGTGCGACTGGAACATGGCCAAGTCCACGCAAAAAACTAAGGAAAACCCAAGACATACCACGTATCTCTGCATCATACCACCAATTCAGCGAGATCGTGATGTCTCTCGACTGTTGAACGTGATGCCACCAACCGACAGGCAGATATAAAACTTCCCCGGGCTTGAGAGTAACGTAGATTGGGGTAACATCCGATGGCAGCACACAAGGAAGCTGTGGGTTTGTGATGGATGCCCAGGGTACGAGGGGGACATCGGGCCCCGATGGAACGAGTTCAAGAGAAGAGGAGGGCGACCGCCGTGTGTATGATGCATGCGGATATGAGCGCTCTTCATAAATAGGGCTCAGTTGGCGATGGTATGTAGAGTCATCGTATACCTTGTAAGCACCACCCATCGGTGGGGGGGAGAAGCAAAAACTTCTTCTCTCCGCGCACCACTGCGTAGATATTTTCGTATGGATCTTCCGTTTGTTAAGAGACACTGAATGAAAAAATTTCGGAAGATAGTGACCTACCGCTATGAATGCTTGTCGTGCTTCTGCTGTTTCCCATCCAGATATTAACTGCATCGGGCCTTTTGCCTACACAATTCAATTACGGGGGACTAGCATCATAGGGGCCACCGTACCAAGGGCTTCAGTACACCAGGGAATTTCACTAGGCACGTCGGACCTGAGTGGTTCAAATTCTGAAGGAGAATTTGCGTCATCACCGCTCCGACCAAAGAAATCGCTTGAAAATAAGTTGCCGTTTTGTGACTGGAGATAACGAACTTCTCCGTCAACACCCTCTGTTGGCGAGATAACTAGATAAGAAACAAATGGAGGAACGGGTAGAGGGCGCCACTTGACCTGGCTCTTTGAGGTGTTTGATCAAGTCACCAATCGTCATCTTCTCTACAAATGGTTCGGCAAAGTAGAGTCTGTCGTCTGGCCCTCGAGAAAGAGCGTCTGCACGCCTTACGATGAAGTGTAAGGACCGATCAATGTTGAGGAACCTGAATGATCACCCGTCGGGGGTGGTTGCCACAGACACAAGACGTTCGCCCATTTGCTCATCGAGATACTGGTTGGACCAGCGTCTCAACGCAGGGATATCAAAACCTAGAGGCGTTCAAACTCAGGCAATGGGTACGTTTGATAAGAAAAATGTACCCTTGAAAACGACTGGTCTGGAAATGTGAACCAATCGCGAAAACTCGAGCGCCGTCGGGGGATGATCAAAGACTTCAATATGACCTCCGTTTAAGCCTGTGAAAAGTGCCTAGTATCTCTTTCTCAACAAAGATTGCCTAAATTATTACCCCGATATTCTTCAGAGAGTAGGCGCTGAGTGGCAGACATTGAACTCAATCCGGCACGTGCTTTGTCACTCATTGAACAACTTGAACTTCAAAAGGTACTACTTTGGTACTACCATCAAAGGCTCTCCGCGTCAGTCAAGTCGTGTCATAAATTCACTGAACGCGCTCTTTCCTCAAATACCAAAAGTTATGGTGGACAAGAAGAAAATCGCTGGGAAATCAAAGGGGAAAGCACCGGTCAGTCAAGCCACCACTAGACCCGTGTATCTCGAAGAGTGGACGCGTTGTATTAGGTGCCAACGGGTCAGAAGACTCTTTTTGAAATGTTTTCTCCCAGAAATGCTCCGCAGCCAGTATTAGGCTCATTTCCGACAAGTCTTAGTGATGAATCACCAGCAGGTGCTATACCGCCCACTGCGTACCCCGAGGGAGTTTTGCTGCCCTCTGCTCCTGTGACAGAACGGATTCTGGATAACGAGGGCGTCGAAATTTGTAAGTCCTTTATTTTATCACTGAGTGCACCGCACAACGAACATTTCAGATGGCGATTTCCATCCTTCTCCGATTCCCTTGGGAGATGCAAAATCGTCTTCGAGTTTAAGCCTATTGGAGAACAACATGGCCACAAAATTTCCATCCAGCTCGAGCCCCAGTTCATCTCCATTGCCACCCAACGGGGTACATCCTCAGCTGAACCTCAAGCTAGAGTTACCACACTCCGAAATCGTTGAAATTCTGTCAAATTCCAGTCCAATTCCATCGCCTGCCTCACCTAAGAGATGCAATTTGGCAGCCGCCACGCAAGCAAATTACCAAGACGGCTTGACCCCTCTAGGTGGAAGTCAGCACAAACCTATTGTGATCGATTCGTCTCCTATAAAGCCCGCCATCAAGCCATCAGCGACGGCTAAAATTGTACATCCTTTCTTCGGCTCTCATACCATCAAACCTCCACCCGCTTCAAAGATATCCTCGTTAAAGGGCGCGGCTACGCTGGAAGCACCATATCCGGACCGTTGCTCGCAGCATGTTAAGGGTCCACAATCACTACACGAGTCTTACGTCCGGGCCAACATACCCCGACGTCAGCTGATCCCAAAAACACAGCATGAAGAATTGAATGACTTCACATTTCTCACTTCGCCTACAGCACCGGACGCTTTGTCTTTGGAACCACTTTCTTTGTCTACATCGGCAGACAAAGAACGCGAGGATTGTCTTAGAAGTATTCCTGATGAGCATGTTGCGAATCATGCCGCCATTGGTCGGGTAGTGGATTCCGCGCGCTCAGGAGATACGCTGACCACCTCGCGCCATCCCTGGGCCGAAAAGTGGAGACCACGTTTCGCACAAGAAGTTCTTGGTAATGAGGCTTCCGCTATATATTTGCGCGATTGGTTGAGGGGTCTAGAGCTGCAACTAGAGGGCACTAAGCATACACCTGAGCAGCCTTCTTCGAAAAAAGATGGAATTCGCGGAACAACAACAGGTGCTAGAGGCCTAAAGCGTCCTTACATTGTCCGTGAAGTGGACAAAAGACAGAGGAAGAAGGCAAGGGCCAATGCCAAAGACGACGATTGGATTGTGAATACGGACGAGTCGGGTGACGAAGATGTACCGTGCAATAGAGAAGAGGACATGGACAATATATTTCTCCGAAACCAAACTCCTCCCGACTGTGCCACCACCAAGATTCTTCCGCCACGTCAAACCTTTGAGCAGCTGCACAATACGATTTTGCTTTCCGGACCCTATGGCACAGGAAAAACAGCTTGTGTTTATGCTTGTGCAGAGGAACTGGGCTGGGAGGTCTTTGAAGTCTACCCAGGAATAGGCAAACGGAATGGTGCTAATGTCGACAACCTAATCGGTGAGGTAGGAAGAAATCACTTAGTTCGCCAGATCCCGCGAAAACGGAATGAACTATTTGTGCCGCCATCACCTATAACATCAAGCGGAAATCGGAATAAGGACGAATCTCTGCTCAGACGAACGGAAGGAAGTCAAACTTTGTCAACAAACCTTCGAGACATTTTATGCCAGGTCGATGAGGAGCAGGCGGGAGACAAGACAACTGTTCGCCAATCCCTCATCTTGCTAGAGGAAGTAGACATTCTGTTCAAAGAGGATACTAATTTCTGGCCTACTCTCACACGAGTGATCAGAGAGTGCAAGCGGCCAGTGGTCTGTACATGTAATGGTGCGTTCCGCATCTTCCATCCTCTCTAAGAAACCAACTGTCATTCTTAAATTGGTCACAGACATTTCCCTCGTTCCCTTGCTTGATTTACCTCTACAAAAAGTGCTAGTTTTTGAGCCCTGCCCACCCCCGATTGCTGTATCCTATCTCCAAGGCTTGTTTTGTGCTGAAGGTTACGCCATAAACCGCGATGTGTTGCTTGGGATGTACGGCAGCGTCTATGAACCTGCTTTCGTAAGTATACATAACACGTCCGATATCGGGGTGACCGATGTTGCAACACACGATCTACGGCGGACAATCCACAGTCTTCAAGTCGTGGCCACAACAAGAGGGTTACCGCCAGAGGTCAAACCAGGCGTCGGTGAAGAAGAAGAACCGTCCCCAGAAGCTTATGAACCTGGGGGAATGCTGGCTACATATCGAGCAGCAGCGAATCATGCCGATCATATATCGTTCTTGGACAGTTTTGTTAGCCAAGAATCAGCGAAAGTACTAATTGTACGTGTTCCGACGCTACATACGACTGTGTTGGGGTATTGAAAACAGCGTGGCAACAGGCTCTCGATATTGCAGGCTCTGCACCATCTGCTGATGATGAGCTGGGGCACACGATTCTTTATGAGTCAGCAGGGTATACGAGAGGCGCTGGCGATGTGGGAATAAGCAACCGAGAAAAGGAGATGTTCTCGACTGCAACATGGCTTGCACATGGCATGTTCGCAGATGTCAAAAATAGGACGCATCAAGAGCGCGAATTATTATACGCTCGGACAAGATATCAAAAAAATATTGGCAAGGTGCTGAAGCAGTTCTGTCTGGAAGGAATCTATGCCAACGGACGTCGCTGTCTTTACACAGAGTATGGGCCATGGATACGGGCTATGGTGACGGGTGAAGACGAGCAGGAGAGGCTTTTTGAAAGCCGACAGCGGAGTGGACGGTTGACGCGAAACAGCGGGGGTTGTTATGATCGATGTGTGATTGTGAGCGAGGATGCAAGAGAGGGATTGTCGAGTAGTGTGTTTAAATCCTAAATAGTATAGCTTGTTTACATAACCCAATCAAGCGCTTTACTGCATCATTTCTTGGCTTGGTCCAAGCTGCAACAAAGTTCTTTGAGAGTCAGACAGCGTCAAAGGTTGGCGAAGAAACTGGCATTACTTGGGTATTACAGCTAATCTTGAGCTGATCTCACTCTGATGGTCAGAGTTGGGATGACAGACCAGGACGATACCATCGCAAATGGGGCAAGCAGGCATCCATCCCAACGGGACTCATCGAAATATTCCCCAGTCACCTCTCTTGCGTCGCTGGAGTATCTTCAGACTCAGCGCAGAGGCTCCATTACGGATCCATCTCTCCATGCTGCTCCTGTGAAAGTAAATACTTCTTATCGGCAACACCCAGACCCCCCTGGCTCTCCTTCTTCGGGTCCATCTTCTGCCCACCATGATTCAACCCTCAAAAGCCACATGGCTGAATCGCGTTCCTCTGACCCCCGTCCGTCCTCCCCATACGTGTTTGGAGACGCCACGTTGCCCTCTTCCGATCACAATTCACACCTACGCAAGCTATTGCATTCTCCGTCTTCGGACCACCGACCCCCCTCTTCCTTGTCTCATGATTCACAAGAACAATCTCGTAATATGTCAGGTATTGCGTTACATTCACGTCCTTTGTAACCAATGCTGACATCCCCTCAGCCTCTTCAAACTCCAAGGAACCATCTCATCTGAATGTTGACCATGATAGACATAATCCCACAAGTCGTCGAGGCGTTCGCGAACATCAATCTTTTGATTTTAACATGCGCAGACATTCAATCGCTGTCGGCCAAAACCCCATCACCCTTCCTCACCTATCGTCGACAGCACATGGGACCAAGAGAAAGATGTCTGTGGATCGAAGTGTATTTGCCCCAGTTGGTGAGGATATAGATCCTCAACTAGTTGGTCCCGGCGTACCCAGTGGAATGGATATGGACGCAGACGCGCCTGCGCCTAAACGACGCGGCTCTGCTATCGACACCCAACGAATATCCCAGCTGAGTTTAAATGATCGTCGCAACTCGGTAGATTCCCGAGCGGCGCAGTGGTTTGTGAACGAGAGACGGGACTCGGCTCCTTCCGTGTTTCCCAACGTTTCAAGCATGTCTCCCTACAACCCAGGCTTCAATCCCGGTGATTCATCGCATAGTCGCCTTCCCCAAAGTATGACTTCCTTCTCGTGGCCAGTCAATTCACAGCCTGCAGACCAAGAAACTCCATCAATGCAGAGCGACGGGGATTCTAACATGAGTTCGCGTCCTTTTGATTCAAGTACTCACATGAACATTGTCCCTTCCATGAATTATCCTCCTGATCGGCGGATGTCCGTTCCCGATACGCTTACACATTCTGGACCGACCAGAATATTGCGCTCCAGGTCCCGCCCTCCCTCACGTCAAAACACAGGCTCTGGACCTTCATCGGGGCAGGAAGACCTTGTTAGTGCTCCTTCACCCAACGCGTCTAGCAAATCTGCGAAAGATGGCGCAACTCCATATTCTCGCTCCCCTGAACTTCGTGTATCACACAAGCTCGCAGAGAGGAAGCGGCGGAAAGAGATGAAAGAGCTTTTTGACGATTTGCGGGACCAATTACCAGCTGACCGTGGCATGAAAGCAAGCAAATGGGAAATTTTGACAAAAGGTTTTTATTACAAGCCAATTCTATATAAACGTCGCTGAATCGACTCTTTTTCAGCCATCGAATTTGTTTCGCATCTGAAGCAAAGTCATCAGCACATGGTGCAAGAGGTGGAACTATTAAGACGAGAGGTGGAAACATTGCGCCAAGGAGGAATGCAGGCTTTCCCTCCTAGTGGGCCGCAATCGCACCCAGTCGCGTACGGGCAAGTCCCCCCCATGGCGGGGCAATTTCCCCACGCCCCATCGGGTGTCATGCAACAGCATCCCCCAGGTCCCCCCCATCATCCGGGACATCGCCCCGAATCTTCTCAAAACGTTTACTCTCCTGGTATCAACCATTCACCATCTCAAAATGGCAACGTTCATCGACCTGATGGAGGCGCCACTTCATGATAATGGAATGGCGGATATTTTCGGTATGTATCAATAGGGATTTTGTTTTCTTTGCTATGAACATTTCGAGTTGGGATGTAAATAATTAATTGGTTTCATGTTTGCTTGCAACTCGCGTTTTGTTTGTCCGTGTTAATTATTGGGGGCTTCGCCGGCTGCTGGAGTGGCGCGCCACTCATCCCAAACCACAAACTCGGTTATCTTGCAGTTATCCTCTCTTCTCCCTTACCTATATCCCCTACTATTCGGCTGTCTCTTCGTAATTTTTCTTGACTAGCTTATTGGCCATGGCCCCCAAAGCACAGCCGTCGCTCTCAATGCTATTCCATCCAAAGAAAGGCCCTAAACAAGAAAAATCATCAACACCGAAGCCCGTACCCTCAAATTCTCGTCCCAAATCTTTCCCGGAAGAGGACGAAGATGAGTTGAAACTTCCCGATGGGCCTTTTCAAGATTTCAGACTACTGTCTTCCGCCCTTAATGGCTGGAAATACGATGTCATGAAGTTTGACTCTCGCAAACCCGTAGAGATATCCAAGTGGACAGCGCCCATCAAATTAAACAGAAAGGACTTACGGCGTGACGAGGGAGTAACGAACGGTGCGCCAGAAGCTGTGGGGCCAATGCTTGGGCCAGATGGGAAGCCTGTAGTTGGCGCTGACGGGAAGATGGTTATGGTCGACGTTGATGGGCGGCCGATAAATAACCGAGATGACAGTTTGGGTATAGGAAAAGGCAAAGACAAAGACAAAGGAAAAGGGGTCGCAAACGGAAAGAAACGATTTCAAAAGAAGACGAGGCAGGTGTTCTATGTCCCCGAGGAGGTGAGGCAGCTGCGCCGGGAGGAAAGGTACCCATGGGTGATGGAGGATTCGTCATCGATGCACAACGAGCTTTGGATTGGCCAGATGGAGGACGCATCCAAGTCCGAGACCCATGCTTTTTTCATGCCCGCCGCAAACGACGTATTCAAGTTCGTGCCTGCCCATCGTTGGTATAAATTCCAAAAGCGACTCAAACACGATCTTCCGACGGACACTGCTAAAGTGGAGTCACTAGTATGTACAAGTGGAGGCATAACGATTAAACCCACTCATATTTCTCTGCTTCCGTGCAGTATACTCTTAGTCAGAAGCGAGACCCGCAAGCGTGGCTAGCCAGTCGGAACGGCGGAAAGGGTCCGTCCGCTGCGACTGCAGCCATGTTCAAAGCGGAAGCTAATCCTGTTGTTGCCGGCGAGGGGCAAAGTTTAGGACCAGGGGGGCGGAAATTGAAAGCGGTCGATAGCGGGATGAACGGTTTATTTGATGATGAGGATGATGGAGCTCAGAGTCGGAGAGAAAAAGAACTCGGAGAGGAAGGCGACTTGGATGAACAAGTCTACGAGGAAGACTTTGCAGATGACGAAGAGAAGATGGATTTGGATGAAAATGATGAAGAAGCAAAGGAACTGGAGGTATGTATGGTTTCCCTTTGTGCGGGGTTCCTTAACTTATGCTCATTCGATACATACAGGAACGACTCAAACGAGAGTATAAGGCTGCTAATAAGCAACGGGATACCGGGGTAGATGACTCGGACGAGAAAGAAGAACCCACGAAAAGCAAACAAGCGAAGGCGATGCAAAAGATGATCCGTAATAGAGAAGGCAATGAGGCATACGAGTCTGACGAGGACGAGAACCCGTACGCGAGTTCAGTACGTCCATCCCGTCTTCGTAAGATGTGCACAATACACTAATATTGGGGTTCCAGGAGGAGGAAGAAGAAGAAGAAGAGGAACTTCCGGTTCCAACTGGACCTGCAATCCAGCAACAACAAGCGGATTCCAGACCCAATACGCCCAAACTACATCCAAACCGCCCTAATGCAATATCCAAACCTGGTTCACGAGCTACATCCCCATCTAATTCCCCTGGACTTGGCGGCCACACTATGGTGGCCAAGCGTGCTACAAGTCCCAAGGTACCCAAGCCCAGACCTGTTGGCAGTGCTAGTGGCGGTAATAGTCCCCTTGGAAGTCGAGCAAACAGTCCTGTGGCAGGTAGCCGAGCAACTAGTCCCGCACGGTTGGATAGTATCAACGGTAACCAGAAGAAACGGAAGGCCGATGATTCTTTGAACTCGACTGTAGCCTCGCCAAACAGTGTTCCGCCGCCCAAGCCAAAGAAGCGAAAGGGACAACCACCCGGGACAGTCCCAGTCCCGGTTTCCCCGGCAGAACTGGAAATGATGCTGGTGGAATGGTTGAAAAATACGCCAAACGCCACTACACGAGATTGCATCCAGCACTTTACACCATATCTGACGGATGGTGACAAAAAGACTGGATTTTCTGCGATGGTACGCAAGGTTGCCCAATTGAAGGGAGGTGTTTTGGCATTACGTACGATCGTTACGTAACACATATTCTATTATTCGCCCAAATTTGATGGTTTGCGTTCAGGGTCAAAAATGCAGCATCAAAAATTGAGCTTCTTCTGTCCTTTCTCTTCGTCGTCTCTCGCGTGCTCAAGGCCAGGCTGCTCGTCGCGTTCCTCAGCTGCCTTGCCTTGTCTCGCCTTATTTCTTCCAATATGCTTCTCGTGTGGGCTGCTCTCCAACTTGTGGCATTGCCCATCTGTCGGGCAGTTGCCATCCCTAATCCGACGTCAGGAGCCTATAACGACCACCCTCACGATATCAATCCCCCTCTTCCTGGTCTTTGGTATCACACAGAGGATCACCCAGTTAATGCTCTGTTCAGACGCGCTACTAACGACGGTGTTACTTACGCGCCGGTTGGCTCTTCGAGTGCGTCTTTGTATTGCTGCATGTTATCCTGTTTTCATATCCCTTTTAGCCTGGTCAAGTTCATTTCCCCAGTCCTCTCCGAACCCAAGCGCGTTACCTGCCGAATGGGTTAGCGCTCTCAATGCTGCAGTCGCCGCAGGGAAAATTCCAAATATACCTCAGTCATCAAACACACCAGGGGTCAATCCTGTGTATCCCCCTGGTGTCAACCCAAGTGGTCCAGAAGTTTGCTCAGCCACGTACAAGTGCAGGAACCCCGCCGACCTTTGGGATGCTCCGACAGGTGTTTTTGCTAGTTCATTTGATGATGGCCCTCTGCCTGTGAGAGACCAATTCTGACTGATAAGCATCAATCTAACCAACTTTCCCAGCCGACTACTCAGCTTGTTCAATTTTTTAACTCTAATAACGAGACAACGACGCATTTTATGATTGGTATCAACATCATCAATAATCCGCAACAGTTCCTCGCTGCCTTCAGTAGTTCGCATGATATAGGCGTTCATACCTGGACACATCCTTACATGACTACCTTGAATAATCTCGATGTCCTTGGCCAGGTGTGTCTATTTTATTATACTAATATGCAATCTGATCGATCATCGTTAAACAGCTCGGGTGGACAATACAGCTCATTCACAATTCCACTGGTGGTCGAGTGCCGAAATACTGGAGACCCCCTTATGGTGATTCTGATAATCGGGTCAGGGCAATTGCAAAGGAGGTGAGCTTATTTTTTGGTGCACCCCCATGGGTCTTTCTGAAATGAAAAGGTATTCGGCATGGACACTGTCATTTGGAATCAAGAGTAAGCGTACTGTCAAAGGTTGGTTGAAGTTCGCATTCACCTCTCTTCTTCTCTAGCACTGGGGACTGGAGCCTTACAACGGGCGGAACGACTCCACAGGCTGTTCAATCTAGTATGCAGCGGTTCTTAACTGGTAAATTCATACCATTTATTCTTCCGAATGGCAACCGACCACCATCTAGGACCCAAATCCCCAGGACTGATGATTCTGGAGCACGAGCTCACTCCTCAATCCGTGTCTGCGTTTATTGCTGCCTATCCCCTCATCAAAGGCAACGGCTGGAGTTTACAGTCATTAGCACAGTTGTATGGTGGCCGATCCTATCAAAATGCCCAGGGCTCTTCGTCAAATGATGTTGTGCCTGCGGGGGTTCTGGTTGCACAAAATACAACAACGCTTTCAGCCAGTCGTTCAACGTTGTCGACTTCGCAAACGTTAGCATTTATTTTCCATCTTTCCGTTGGATATTAACCATATCAGTCTGTACAGTGCCACTTCTACCAGTTTCGTGGTAGCAACACCAACGCCAACCCCGGCGCACAGCTCCGCGATATCCATCCAGCACCGTCCTTACATTTGGCAGCTACCATGCCTTCTGATTGCCATTCTTGCTACTCACTCGGCGTAGACTATAACCTGACTGCGAGACCTCCCATTCATACCGGACTTTGACGATACCTTCTTATAATATCCAACTTCACAAGACAGACACAATTGGACTCTTGGCGGATTTTAATGTTTTGGACACTTTCTTCGGACACTTGCTTTCCTTGTGGATTTCGGAAGGAGCACATGACTTTACTATTTGTAGATAGGACAGCGCTACGAGATTTGCTTCATCGGACGATACCATTTACGATATTACGATATTGCTTTAAGCGTTTCCCCTGCCTATATGTACGAGCATTCGTTGTGGATGTAAAATCACTTCAAGCGTGTACTTTGTGATTGTAATAAATGTTACATTGCAAGTCATGAGTATCCTGTCATGAGTATCGTGAGTGCGTGGAGTCATAAACTAACTAGCATTACATTAATATCCTTCAGAAAGAAAACGTAAAAATATTATCGGGGCGAGGCAAGGTGGTATCAAGTTGACAGCATACTGGGCCATTTGAGCTTCAAACCTTCAAGCCACCGCAGGTAAAGGAGCTCTGATATTGGTGACCTACGGGGTGGCGAATCCGGAATCGGAGTTGCTGCTGAAGTTGGTAATATGGACGTTGACGGAGATGGCAAACCAGATATCTCCTCCTGCTCTTCAGTGACTACCAAGCCTTTGGCAGTCATCTCGCTTTTCCTGATTATCCGTTTGTGTGGGAACAAAATACGGGACGTTTGAACATGATTTTTGACAGAAGCGTTGCTTGGGGGTTAATGTGTCAGGCAACGGTATTGTAATTCGATGGAAAAACCCACTCATTGATCCCTTGCAGAATATCAAGGATAAGGGTATAAGTTAGCTCCGCGTTTGCCTCCTTGAGCTCAGCGAACCCTCTCAACAACATACTGAGGGATTCGATCTCCCGGGCGTCCATATCATCTCGAATAGCCTGCAATGTTTTATGAGATATGAATAGGAAAGTGACCAGTCCAGACCCACCGTTTGTAAGATCGGAATTACAACTTCGTCCACCATGGCCCGCCCAGCCTTGGAAGTTTCACTCACCGTGCGCCGATGGGATGACGGCGCTCGTGAAAAGGAGGAGCCATTCCCCTCTCTTTTCATACTGCCTACAAATTCCGCCGATAGGCGCAAAGACCCGACAGGGTCAACCTTCTTGATTGGCCGAATAGTGTCAACACCTGTTCCAAGATCCGCCTCCCTAACGACTGTTCCCGACCCATTCAAAGATGTTCGTTCGCTATATGATGACCGGCGCGTGCCTCGAATGGAGCCAGAATAGGCTGGAGGTGCGCCTAGAAATAGGGAATTTAGAAGAACGTAAAGAGTGGACAGATTCACGTACCAGAGGGTGGGTCGTCACCAGCTGTCGGTGGTTGAGCTTCCGTTCCTGGCAGAGGTTGAGGCTTAATGATAACCGTGGAGCGTGGAGCTGTTTCGTCCGCTGAGCTGAGAATAGGGTCACTTCCTTTGGTAGCAGCACCTGTGTCTATTGAATTACAGATTTCGCTTTGGATCTCCTCGTTATCACTTTCTGGAATCATTCTGGAAGGCATAAGGAGCTCATTGGCCGTTCCGCGGAATGCGCCCAGCGCAGCGACCGATTTGACGGTATCGAAATTCCAATCGCTGCGCATAGTGTCATTAGCGTCCCACGTGAGGGTATTCCGTACGCTGGGGTGATGGGCTTGTCCTTTTGCAGGAGTACGAGCACGATAATCTTGATACCGCTCAATGAGTTCGGTCAGGTGTGAAGTCTTCTTGGCATTGCGTATGAAACGATGTTCAAGTAGTTCATTAGCCGACGGCCGCTACATGCTAATAAGATCTACCAACAGCAAAGAAGGCAAGTAACTAACCGTCTTGGGGTCCTTTGTCAAGCATTGTGCAACAAAGTCCTTGAATGTTGCAGAAAATAAGCCTTCCAAAACTGGGGGTTTTGCTTTGGGAATCAAAAAGAGTACGCGCATAGGATGGTATTCCGCCAAGGGTGGCTCCCCCTTTGCCATTTCGATGGCCGTAATTCCTAGACTCCACAAATCCGCCTTTGCATCGTAACCTGCTTGACGGATGACCTCTGGCGCCATCCAAAAGGGTGTTCCAACAAACGTATGACGAAGGGTATTTGTCAATTGTGCAGCTACTCCAAAATCGGCTAGTTTCACTTTCCCAGAAGACGAGAGGAGGACGTTGGCTGCCTTGATGTCTCGATGAATAGTGCCTTCTGTGTGTAAATAGTCAAGACCAAGAAGCAGCTCCCGACAGATAACGGCAATATGGTCCTCCGTAAACACGCCAGGTTTCAGAAGATCTAAACAAGAGCCGCCTGCCAGATACTCCATCACGATCCAAAGCTTGTAAGAAACGACAAAGGAGCCGTAATAGCGCGTAACGTATTCCGAATCACATTGGGCAAGGCTGGCAATTTCTTGCTGGATTTCCGAAATATCGTCATCAGAATCTTCCAAGTCTACAAAACATCAAGAGATTGGTTGCCCCGAATCCAAAAAGACGAACCTATCTGCTTGATTGCAACTATTTGCTTGGTGTCGTTATGAATCGCCTTGTAGACAGTCCCAAAACTGCCTGTCCCTAATTTCTCAAGGAGTGTGTATTGACTGGCAGGATTGCTGCTGGGGACGGGGTAAGGCCCTCGAGGCGAAGGTTTCTGCTCTGCTCTTGGGGAAGTCGATGGGGAGTGGGTTAAAGACCTTGGCTGAACATATAATAATTGTGAGGATTGCGATGAGAATGGAAGTCAAGTAACTTGCCATGATAAGCCCTGCTGGCCGCTTCAATCAATGAAGGAAGGACGAAGACGACGACGACAAGACGTCGCAGGACGTCACTAAGTAAGCTTAGATAAGCCTCAAGTGCTCAAAGGTAAATGTTTCATCGCACGCCAAGCATATTACGTAATTGCCTTTTACATAAAGCATAGCACGTCAACATATCACTCAAGCCCGCACTGCGTACTTTCTGATGGGGAAATTTAAATCCTTCTTTCGCTGCTTTAGTGTCTTAAGCGATGATTCGTGCTGGAATAAAATAAACCATCAGTCAAAGTAATTATGGCCACGTCTAACCGACCGACCTTTGTCATTCGCCGTCTAATTGCGCGTGTCTTCTTTGGCCGGAGGTCAAGAGGAAGGTACTTCTTGTCCTTGTAGTATTCGCGGAGATTTTGGCGAGCCTTCTGGTTCATCACTGTCAGCACGCGTGCGATCGATTTGCGGACGGCAGAGCTGCAAAATCTTAGGTTTAAATGCGCAGAATAGAATATCCTTTTATAACGCACATCTTCGTCAGCTTGGACGCGGACCCTCCTGCAATCTTCTGTACCCGCAGAGCGAGGAGCTCATTCTTCAGCTCCAAAAGTTGTTTTGACAAGTCGTTCTTTGACCTAAACCCTCTCGATCAGCAATACGTTTCAACACTGAGGCCGCTCGCTGCCTACTTGGATTGGAGCTCGTAGGCCTTGACTTTTCCAGGCATATTGATGGTGTCTAAACAAAAAAACGTGTCATTAGCAGCCAACTCAAAGGGGAGCGACGAATAATGAACATACCTTGAGGAGAGCGTTTCTACTTTACAATCACTTCACTCAAAGGTGTGTGACCGGTTTGAAAACCTTATTTCTCATAACTATAAAGCTACTCCCACGCCATATAGCATTATGTAATCGAGAATCGCACCTGTCTCTCAGAAGGCATGCTCCTCCTACGGATTCAGTTTCTTCCAGTCTGGTCAAGTACTTCAAAACCGACATTACCGACGTTGCCAAAATTGATGGCACTGTCGAGTGGACGAAAGATACGGGAGCCGTTCTTGGTGGTGTAATCGATTGTGCAGGAGTAGGCACAGCAGCAAAAATAATCAATGCACACGGGCCTCACTTCTCGATCTTTGGAGTTTTGCTATTGACGTGAACCTCACTGGGTCGTATAACCTGTCACGTCTTGCTCTGAAACACCTCGTCAAGGTTTCTTTCAATGAAGGAAGCGATGTGGAAGGAGGTGTCGTTATATCCGTTGCAAGTGCTGCTGTTGTGTCAGATCTCCGCTCGTTAATGGCCCGACGTTGACGACCCGTCCGGAGTCCGAGGGTCAGCGAGGTCAAACGGCTTACTCTGCCACGAAAGGAGCTCTCCGGTTCATGACGCTCCCGATGGCGCGCGACCTCGCCCCACACGCGATTCGTGTTGTTATCATTGCACCTGGAGTGTTCGACTCCAGCATGACTGCCAACTTCCCGGCAAAGATGCGCCGTAGCCTTGAGAACGAGAGTATCGTATCCCAGGCGCTCCGGACAACCTATGGAGTTTGCAAGGATATCAGATAGGCATCCAGCACCATCTGAACTTCGGCTCACAAATTCTACTGTCAACGTGGACCCCAAAAGAAAGCTGATGTATATAAATTGTCGTTGCCGCGTCTTTGTTGATGGTTAATTGACCTCAGAACCTGAAAATGAACTTTTTCTCGTCCCTTTCGCTCCTACTTCAATTTCACAAGTTGTTTTGCTCCCAACCCTGCTCGGATATATCTCCTTCTCTTGGGGTACAATTTCTGTCCATCCACAACGCACCCTACGTCAAGCTTTTCATCTTATTCCAGCCAGATGTAAAGCTCTATCTTTCGTGGCCACTATGCACGTATACAGCTCTTTCAATCCCCAGGACGCATGGTACCCGCTAGGCAAAACCAATGGAAGACATATCATCATCCGTTTCTGTAATTTCTCGAGTCCGCGACCATCGGTCATCGATCAGCTCTTGTTGAGCTCATCACCTCAATCGCGAATTCGGAAAGCTTATCAGTAGACTAAATGTTTTGTGATATAATCTATAACGCTCTAGTTAAATAATCTATGCTGCCAATTATGCGAAGTCTATATCTGTGCCTAATCGTCATTCACCGACTGCCTGATGATGACTGGGAGCTATCGTTCAACAGCCAACCGAAATCCCGCTCAACAAGAGGCGTTGGGGTTTGAGTGCTTGTGAAGCTTTCGTCTGAGCCCCGTGGGGCATCAAGCATGCTACGAACCCAGGGAGGTTTTAAACTTGCTTTACAAAGAGGCCTACAGACAAAGAAAGATGGTGTTATCCATGTCCTCGTTGGGCCCGTTGATGCTCAGGAAGTGCAGAGCAAGTTGGTCATAAAGATCACTTACTCTCGAGCGAGGTCCTTGACTTGCTTTCCCTGCCTTCGGAGTCGAGCCCATTCCAAAGGCTTCACCGTAGAGGACTCGGATGCCGCCGGGACGGCGGGTGGCACTCGTGAAGGAGGAGAACGCGCAGGTTTGGGTGTATCATCGTCAATGAACTCGATAGTACTCTGTCGATTGGCGACGGGTGTCTTAATGTAATGATCGTCTTGAATATCGTTGTCATCCTTGATTTCGAGGCTGTCGACCGCAATGTCCATGAAGGACTCAACCTTTTTGATTTTACGGCCCTTCCTCATCCTGCTGGCGTCAGAGTGGTCATCTTCGGATCCGCTGGTTGAGTAGAGGTTCACTTCGGACGAAGATCCTTTCCTTGTCCTTGTTTGAGGCCTGTTCTTGAGAGCAAGTGGAGGTGAGCTCATAGGTGAGGCGCGAACACTTTGATTTCCCGTTTCACTGGCAGAGAGGGAACGATATCGGGGTGTAGGGTTAGGCCGTGAAGAGGAGTCAGTATCTGTTGAATCAGCGGCAGAGTCAACGTCGAATGGAAACTTCTTGGCCGTCGGTCGCTTTGGTCGCTGAGACTTAACATCCCCGTTGTCCATCAGAGTGGCATTGCTCGTCTTCCGCTTAGCGGTCTTTGCTTCCCTCTCTGATACGACCACTTCATCTTCCACATCAGCATTAGCCAATGCATTACCACTGCTTGAGAATTTATTGATGGGCCTCGGTCTCGGTTTGGGCTTTTGAGGCACAAACACAACATCCAAACCACTATCCTCTTCCTGTATCGTTTCCTTGGCTTTCCCTTTCCGGGTCCTCCTTCCACGACTTTCTATTCTCCTCTGATCCTGCTCCTCCTCCTCCTCGTCTTCCTCTTCCAACTCCTTCCGCCGCTTCCGAGCGCGTTCCATGACTATAAGATCACCCGCACCCATCTCGTCCTCTCTCCTCTGCCCACGGGAACCACGGCTTGGTCCTACAGCAGCCGATTCTCCGCTGTCCTCAGGAAACATCGCGACGCCATACGCAGAGCTTTCGCGTAGGATTTGCAAGGCTTCATTAGTCCCCATGTCCCCTTCAAGATTTTGGTCCTCCTTGATGAGTTTCACGGCGACTTCCGGGACCAGAACCCGTTGAATAAACTCGTTTGAGGTGAGTGGTGAGATGAGGTCTGGGTCTAGCTCCGATGGTGGGAAGAGGTTGTACAACGTTTGGTGAATGATAACTGAACCCAACTCGCCATAGCTACGGAGTAAAGTTAGGGCGGCACAAATGTCGCTGTAGGTGAATCAATGCTTACTAGCCAGGCTGCGTCTTCTCAAAGTTGGAAAACTGACCACGAACACCTGCAACGGCCCTCGAACCCTTCTGTTTCACCTCGCTCACCACATCTCTCCAAAAGACACATTTCGATCGAGGACCTCCAGTTGCCCAAAAGAATTCTCCGCCGTCATTATCATCACGGTCGTTAATCAAGGCTTGCAGGGAATCACGCATTGCCTCCACCCGGCCACCTACTTTCGCCCAGTCAATGGTCTTCGGCCACCCTTTCTGTTCAGCTTCCGGGAGAATCTGGCTCTCAAAACGATGCCGTTGGCAAACGGAGATGAAAGTTGCCAAGGGCGCTTTCCGGCCTAATGGATTGGCAGGCCGCGGATCAGGGGAGGACTTCTTGCATACTTTTGCGAGGAGACTTCTTAAGAGGGGTGTTGGAGATGCCGGCAAAGGAGTGTCGCAATAGGGACAGAGGGTTTTGGGGTCGACAAATGGGGATATGAACACTGAATAGACTGGTCAGTAGGATGTAAAGTAAAAAGAGAGCTGACTGAACATGTATCGTCGCCGTCCTCAAATGCATAATCATCAGGTGGAGAGGACAGCCTGAATCATAAGTCAATTCACATCAAACCAAGCACGGCAGCGGACTTACATGTCGTCTTCGTCATCCTTTCGCCTCTTCTTAGCGGCACCATCGCTGCGAATACCATCCGAGTTTCTCTTTACTGCTTGAGACAATTGGACACTCGGAGAACTAGTGCGCCGCAGCATTTGGGTATTCATTGGGAACGGCTCAAGTCGGGTGGCCTGGCTTTTGCGGCCATAATTTCCATCCTCGTCCTCTTCATCATCTTCGGCACTGACAACTAACGCCTTGCCCTTGCCCTTCGACGAAGCGTCAAAAGACTGAGGAGACGGCATTAAAAACGCGCTCGATGCAAACTTTTTTCCTCGGTCGTTCGATGCGAGTGGTGATGGAACAGGAAACTCAACTCGCGACTTTGGGGGAGAAAGGGGAAACTTTGCAGCCATCGTCGACGAAGGCGTAGCCCGCGGAGTACGTTGGGAGGTTGGCGAAAGAAATGGAAATTGTTCAGGAAGCCGTGTTCTCGAAGGGATGCCCGAATCCGAGTGCATAGCACGAGACTCCTCTGCCTCAGATGGTGGTGTTGCTCGTTTGACTGGAAGCGGAAGATGAGGCTTTTTCGTACTCGGAACATTCGGTTTTTTCGTTGTCTTCGGCGGGGCATCAACGGTGGTTGCTTGAGGCTTCTTAATGGGACGAGGTTTGGGTTTTTCACGAGACGGCTTATGAGATGGCGGTGGACTAAGCCGCCTGTTTGGACTTTTGTCGCCTAGTGGCCGTGAGGTCTCGCAATAGTCTAACAGTGGTTTCGTAGCTTTAGAGGCAAGCGACCGCTTTGAGAACGTCCCTGTGTCTTGCACAGCGCGGGGTTCGTTCTCTTTTAAGGGCGGAGCTTTGGAACCCGACGCTTCAGGCTGCGTTTTGCCTGTCTTGCGGAAACGCAGAGTCTTGATGGCATCCGATGTCTTTTGAGCGCGCGTCGCGTACTCATCCCCCACTGGCTCTGCTTGGACATCTTCGTCAAACTTCTGTACCGGTTTCTTTCTAGGAGAGTGAGTGTCTGACTGGGACAAGGAGTCAAGTTCGTCGGGGCTGGATGAATCCGAGTCCACCACCCGGGTACTCCGTTTTCCTTTGGAACGCGACGTGTAGGTAGTCATCGGCTTCCGTGTTCCTAAAGATGTTTGGCTGCTCCCCACCTCGAATTGGCTCCCCCCTAAATCCATGAAGGCCTTGCCATTGACCCCCGCTGTCATACTAAGGCCATGCCGCTTGGGTAACCGTACGGCTGTCGATGTTTGTAACGTTTCTGCGTTGGCTTGCAGCTCTGATTCCAGGCTTTCCATCACATAAGGTATACCAGGATAAGGAAGACCAGGACTTTGGGCCCAATTGGTGGTACACGTGACGGAGAATCGCGTCGTGTCACGCGGAACTGACACTGTGACGCAGTACTACCGTCCTCACCGATCGAGTTGTTGTGGGTTCACCAACGGGCCACGTCCTACCACGTCGTAGTTTGAGCAGATGTCAACTGTGGTCTCTGTCCTATCCAGGCTGTTCGACGCATGGTCAGCTGCTTGAACTTAGGCTGAAGAAACACCGAGATCCCGTGAGGTGGTAACTGGCAAGTCCTTCCTCGCTCCTCGGCGTTCATTCATGTTGTGCCCATGTGTCTCAGGATGCTTTTGGCTACCAGTCATTTATTTTGAAGTGGTGTCTTTCCCAGAAGCGCCTTGAACGCTGATTCTGGTGAGGAATGACCTCATACACGCAAAGTTTACTTCTTTCTTATCGATCCCCGGTGAATAGAGAAGAGAAAGAACACCAAATCGTATACGAATCCGATTACGAAAAGACGTAACTCATGTCAGGTAACGAGAGTGTAGGTTTGTACGATCGAGTAGAGGACCAAGTGGTCGTTTACACCAACAATGCCATTAGACCCCTTCACGCGTCCCCAACAATCAGTAACTATTAGACAATGTTGGCCAGTCTGCTGTTAATGGGTGCACACAATCGCAGCCTATGGCGAGTTGATCGCTTAGTAGCCATCGTTGGTGGTTCAAGGGAAGGAAGTGTATATAAACCGGCCACGGGCGTAGTTTTAGCCGGGAGATATCACACCAAGACCACCACCATGAGTTTCTGCAAGGACTGTACCAAAGGCGCGTCCTCTCCTCCTGCCTACCCCTAACAGTATTCATCCGAGTCTTTAACGTATATGCACAGGCGTCACGCATGAAGGCACCCCACAGGGCGAGTTTCACCTCCTTAGGATTGGGCTACTTACTTATCTTATCAATCAGGTAAATGGGAACTCATAGGCGGCGTGAACACCTATGTCGCAACGCCCGCCATCGACTACCCCAAAGACAAAGTCGTCCTCTTCCTGACAGATGTATTTGGCCCACAGCTCGTCAATGCCCAGTTGCTCGCTGATGATTTTGCGAGGAATGGGTTCAAGGTCTGCCTTTCTTTTTTTACTCCCCCCCCAGGTATTGATTAGTGAATTGGGGGCAGACAATCGTTCCAGATTACTTGAACGGCGATCCCATCCCCGCTGACGCTATGGCTCCCGGTGTGCGTCTTCTATAACCCGTCCGACATTCTCCGCGTACTGACACCATTACCACCAAAAGAAAACCTTCGACATCCAAAAATGGTTCGTTAACCACACACAAGCCCACACCCGACCCACCCTTAACAAGGTCATCGAGGCGCTCAAGAAGGAGGGGATCACTACGTTTGGCGCGACTGGCTACTGCTTTGGTGGTACGTCCTTGCCTAGATTCATATATGCTTCACAAGTTAAGGATAATAATGGGTGGCAGGACGATACGTGTTCGATCTAGCATTTGAGAACATCATCAGCGCGTCTGTGGTTTCTCACCCATCTCTACTCCAAATCCCCGCCGATCTCGAGGTACGTGTCTTCATCCGGTTCCTACTTATCAACCCTCAACGACCCTCCCGAACCTCGTAGAAATACTTTTCCACGTCCAAATCACCCCTCCTTATCAACTCATGCACCACCGACTCCCAATTCCCACTCGAAGCCTCCGCTCAAGCTGATGCCATCTTTGGTGAGGACAAGTTTGCACCAGGGTATAAGCGGGAGTACTTTGAGGGATTGACTCATGGGTTCGCTGTACGGGGTGATATGGCGGACCCGGTTGCCAAGAAGGCAAAGGAGGGTGCGTTTGATAGTGCTGTCAAGTGGTTTTGTGCGAAGCTTTGAGTGAATGGTTAGGAAAAAGGAAAGAGGAAAACTGTAGTATGTATGTGATATGTACAGGTGAATTTATGATGATGGTGCTTTTGCAAGGGTTTTCAAGGCCATTTTATAGCACATAAAACTTCCGATTGATTCGGCGAGACGAGTGGCTGCCTTTAGAAGCCTGCGATTCTGGGATGTATATGTTGTTCGCCATTGTTCACTGCGAAATTGCTGCGAAATGACTTCGGTGGTGTAAGGAAATCTCAGGGAAGTAGGAATCTGATCTAAGATCTACAAATTGGTTGCGAATCGTGCGATCACTTCCGACATTCCTCGACTTACATGCATCGCCGTCAGACATCGCACTCAGCACTCGACGACTACAATAAAAATCGCTATCCCTTTTCTGGTTCCTGGTATACGTCGGAGTTCAAGAAAGTAACTTTGCTAGACAGTCCTTCAACACGTTTGACGGCTTTCTCCTTCACTTGTCGCTTTGGTCTTGCAAACGGATGCAATGTGGCTCACGGAGTTGTTGTGGGTTCACCCAGGAGCCTGAGCCACGGCGTCATATTTTGACCAGATGTCCATGTCAACTGTGATCCCTGTCCTATCCAAGCTGTTCGACACATATGGCCAACTCTCCAACGGAACATCGAGACCAAATCGAGACAGAGGAATCCAATACGATGAGAACATCATTTGTTCTCCCGTGAGGTGGCAACCGCCTTGCCCTACGCTTTTGGCTTTCATCTATTTTGAAGTAACACCCTTCCCAGGCTCAAGCGCCTTCAACGCTAATTTTGGTGAGCAATGACCTCATATACACGCAAGGTTTGTTATTAAACCCCGCTTAATAGAGAAGAAAGAACGCCAAATCGTATACGAATCTGATTACGAAACGACCTAACTGATGGGTAACGGCGAGTGAAGAAGTAGAGGACCAAGTGGTCGTTTACACCAACAATGCCATCAGACCCTGCTACCCTGTAATGTATGTACTTCCTTTCCTTGAGTTATCAACAAGTGATCAACTCGCCATAGGCTGCGATTGTGTGCTCCCATCGGCAAGACCGGCCAACACTCGTGAAGGAATGGCATCCGAGGTCTAATATTAGGAACGCGTGAAGGAATGGCATCCGAGGGGATACATAAACTGTGCTGACTACCTAAGTTTCATATAAACTCGCCACGAGTAGTTTTGGCTGGAAGATATCGCACCAAGACCACCACGATGAGTTTCTGCAAGCACTGTACCAAAGGCGCGTCCTCTCCTCCCGCCTACCCCTAACAGTATTAATTTGAGTCTTTAACGTATATGTACAGGCGTCACGCATGAAGGTACCCCACAGGGCGAGTCTCATCTACTTGGGATTGGGCGACTTACTTATCTTGTCAACCAGGTAAATGGGAACTCATAGGCGGCGTGAACACCTACGTCGCAACGCCCACCATCGACTACCCCAAAGACAAAGTCGTCCTCTTCCTAGCAGATGTATTCGGCCCACAGCTCGTCAATGCCCAGCTGCTCGCTGATGATTTTGCGAGGAGTGGGTTCAAGGTCTGCCTTTCTTTTTTCCCTCTTCCGCTCCCAGGTATTGATTGGTGAATTTGGACAGACAATTGCTCCAGATTACTTGAACGGCGATCCCGTCCCCGCTGACGCTATGGATCCCGGTGTACGTACACTCCCTCCCTCCGACATTCTCAGCGGACTGACACCTTTAACCCCGAAAGAAATCCTTCGACTTTCAAAAATGGTTTGTCAACCACACAGAAGCCCACACCCGACCTCCCCTCGACAAGGTCATCAACGTGCTCAAGAAGGAGGGGGTCACTACCTTTGGCGCGACTGGGTACTGCCTTGGTGGTATGTCCTTGCCTAGGTTCATATATCTTAACGATGAATGATAATGGGTGGCAGGGCGATACGTGTTCGATCTAGCATTCGAGAACATCATCAGCGCGTCTGTGATTTCTCACCCCTCTCTACTGCAAATCCCCGCCGATCTCGAGGTGCGTGTCTTCGTCCGTTTCCTATTTATCTATCCTCAACGACCGTTGTAGAAATACTTTTCCACATCCAAAGCACCCCTCCTTATCAATTCATGCACCACCGACTCTCAATTCCCACCCGAAGCCTCCGCTCAAGCTGATGCCATTCTTGGTGAGGACAAGTTTGCGCCAGGGTATAAGAGAGAGTACTTCGAGGGAGCGATTCATGGGTTCGCTGTACGAGGTGATGTGACGGACCCGGTTGCGAAGAAGGCAAAGGAGGGTGCGTTTGATAGTGCTGTCAAGTGGTTTTCTGCAAAACTTTGAATGAGGAAAACTGTAGTATATGTGTATGCGTGATTTCATGAGATGTTGTTGCTTTTGAGAGGCCATTTTACAGTGACAAGATATTGAATTTAGCTCCCAAGTGATTCGACTGATAATACAAACATCAAGCCGCATTCGACTTTGCAAGCGAGGCAGCTGTGGCCCTTCTCCTCTTATTCCCCCTCCTAATTTCTCCAAGATCACTATCCACCTCACTCTCTTTGATACTCTGCGGCATAAAAATCACCAAACTCTTACCAAGACCACCAACGACCTGACTCTGATGCACGCCTCCTCCCTTGGGCCTCCTCCGTCCCCCAGCCGATCCAATACCCGCCCCCAACGCACCGGTAGAGGCACCCCCGTTGGGTATACTTGTTGATGTCAGTGGGAAAGGGAACGGGGAAGGAAGTTCGTCCACGGAGAGGGAGTGTGGGTTTAGGAATGGCCCTGAGGTTATGGGGAGGCATGATACATGTCCCCCTGGACCGTTGACGGTTGAGAAAGATGGAAGGGGCGTTGGTGGGGGTGATGTTCCGAGTTTGTTGCGGAGTTTGCGGGTGATGGGTGGGCGGGAGTGTGCGTCTAGCGATGCATCTGATTTATTGAACCAAGGTCGTCAGTGGGTGTATGGGGGAAGAGAGAAAGAAGAACTAACCGCCCAACGTTCCCTCTCCATCCTTCTCCTCCCTCGCCCTCCTGCGCCTCTCCTCAATCCCCTCAATCAACCGCTCCCTAACCCTCTCCCGTCCCTTCCTCCACTCTTCTTCTACCCTTTCCCTTTCCTCATCATACGCCACCTGGACACACTCCAGTGCATGCCTCTCCTCCAACTCGACCTGCGCGAGCACCGCTGATCTTTCTAGTGAGATGGGGAACAAGCGGAGTTTGTAGAGGGGGTGCGTTTCGGGTCGTGTGGAGAGTTGGATGGCCGTGCTGTGGAGTGCTGAGATGCTTTCTGTGAAGTGGCGGCCGCTGTAGGTGACGAGAAGCATTCCGTGAGGATTTGAGTTCCAGTTGGGAGTGGGGGAAGGGAAGACTCACTCATCCCTTCTATCAATCATCTCTTTACCAACTCTACCAGAAATTTCTTTTCGGCGTTTTTCTTTCTTGCCTTCGTCGCCTGTTTTCTTTCATTCATTCCGTGTATGTGTATAAACATGAACAGTGAGGCTTACCGTGTGTCCGTGAACTAGGGCCAGCGATGGGATGATGTTGATATATACTCATATCAGAGACGTCTGCGGGGTAGTTCCCCGCCCTGGACGACTTGTGTGGTACACTGTAGCTTGAAGGGACGGAGAATATGCCTGGTTGAGGAGGCATTAAGTCGTCAAGTTGGTAGACGTTGGGTGGACGTCGAGGAGACACACTGATTTAAGCACGTGGTCTAATGCTCCGATCACGTTCATCTCCAGGAAATTTAGAACAGTTCTACGATTTCGCAAACAGGAATAGACTGTGACAGATTTGTGTAGATACCGTGTGATATTTAATACTCCATAGACCTCTCAATAATTCCAGATAAGTGTTCCCTCCCGTCAGAACCTATGATATCTCCAATGCCAGGTGCTAAATCCAAAACCCGGCGCTGAGGTAGAGTGCCTTCAACAAGCCTCGATATATCGTCAGCTTTGTACCTAAATCAGAGATAAATACTTGAAATGGTCTCAAGGGCAATGAGCATACCCAACCGCCTTCAACCCGCGAGGTACGCCTAATCCATCAAGGAATCGTGCAATGGCCTCGTAAAGATAAGCACTCAGCTCAATGTCTGGGATTCTTGAGACGGAAGGGTCAGACAGGGTCGTGGAATTGAAAATCGCTAGTGCTTGACGGTGTCGGTCGGGAGACGAAGGAGCAGTGAACTGGAAGACTGGATAATGAACCATTAGTACATCGCGTTCTGGACGTTACCAAAAAATAAATTTGCCTGCAGGTCCAGTTAGCGCCACGCTGCAATCGTTCAATATTAGCTGGAAAGTCGATGTGACAGGCATATACATATATATCATTACCTGATGCCGTGGGGTATAATTGGCAAGTCCGTAACATATCCTGGATGCTTGTACTTGGGTCCCGTTTTATTCAAACCAGAGATCTGCAGGGAAATGATTCAACAAGTCAACATTTAAACATCGATGAAATACTGACCGGATAACTCATCCCATGGCACAAATGAACACCAGCATTTCCAAATCCGATCCCGGCAAATGATGATGCGAGCCTAGAAGTAATGATAACTTCGACATTTCAGCGAAATTTGGCTTTGGACATACAGCATTTGCCGACGGGCTTCATGATCATCACGGTTTTTAGCGATCCGTGGGAGATGCTTGACAGTAGTTTCAAGAGCCCATAAAGAAAATATGTCTGCAACAGGATTGCTTCCTTGATAAGCAGGTCGTAGGATGGGATTAGATGGACGTGGCGTGCGTTCCGTGTAGCTGTGTGATGAGCATTAATTTAACGTTTCAAGACTCAAATCATCAACCGACGGAATAGCAGTGTAACTCTCAAGGCTGTGGAACAGAACGTCAAGCCCTGCGCTTATGTGAACCGCCGTTGGACAGGACTCAGTATTGTAGGTATCCTAGAAAGTCATTCATCCTCCGGTTGAGGGTAAATGGAGCAAATATGTTGCCTACCACAATTCCAAGGACCGGCTTTAAGGCACGGTTAGCGATACCGGTCTTGAACGCGCGAGAAGTGATGTCTAAAATTGCTGTTCCTGTAGTTTCCGAACCAGTTCCCGCCGTCGTGGGGATAGCAATCAGGGGACGGAGCTTCTCGGTAATAGGTAATCCTCTGCCAATGGGTGCGTTGATGAAATCCATAAGATCCGAATCCTTGTAGACAGTAAATCTACTCAAAGGTCAATCTCAACGAAACGTTTGAAGGATGTGGTGCATACAGGTTTGCGGCTTTCGCTGTATCAATGACGCTTCCACCCCCAACTCTAAAGTGTGGTTCTAAAATCAGAGCTGAAAGTCAACTAAGTAATAAAACTTACGCCAGGAAGTGACTAAAGTCATGCTCCCGTGCCCACGAAATGGCCTTTCGCCAGCTATCCTCCGTTGGTTCCGCGACGACCTGGTCAAATACCTCGAAAGGAAGGTCGGTTTGCGCCTCAAGTGCATCTAAAGTCTGTGCGGGCTCCGTCAGATAGAGTAGGCAGCTGGGTAAACTGTTGAATTACGGTCTTCATTGGGAGAAGTTTTGCAACGGTGGGATCGGTGAACACGCCGACCTATAACACCAATGTTAGACGGGGCGAAGGGAGGAACAGAAGAGCACTACCTTGCGGGGGTTCATGTTCTTCAAGTCCATACCGACCTCCGCGGTGACGCCATCCCCAAATCTCAAATTTGATGCCGCAACCTGGCTCCCTCAAAATGAATGACGGAGGTACATACATTGCTTCGGAAATGCGAACCTCAAAGGCGTACTCTTTCTCCACACGCTGAACAGGAGTCGCGAAACTTCTGATGGTCTGTAAGTGGGAGTGAGCTAGTACCGGACTATAGCCATGGCAAGGACAAGCAGTATGCTGAGATGCGTTTATAAGACGAGCAATAGAAGACCTAGAGGCAGCCATGACAGGATGAAAGTTGGCAATACCCCGCTTTTTATTTAAAGAACAAAAGATCCGGACCGATGAATGCCGTGGAAATACTAGATTGCCGTGTTGTGTTGCTGGCAAGGTACTCGATCAATACTAGTGGTGCATTACCGGGAGAGTGAGTACTTATAGGAAAGTACTTACTAGTTTTGATATTCGGGGAGAAGCTGTTATAATTGCCAAGTGGCAATGTAGTGCACTTCAAATGATATTGTGAGAGATGGACAGAATTCATCAAACATTACACAAACAAGGCTCGCTTGACAGTTGACTGCGGCCAGCGGCTCTAGTGCTCGTTCGAGCAACACTCCCCGCCGTCTCTGTTTTCAGCTGCTCTACACTCGTTGATAATACGGTCTTTCGCCATGAAACTTTCTTTCCCACTCTTTGTTGCTGCAGTAGCCGTTACTTCTGAAGCTCATAAACTAACCGTCAAGAAAATATCTCGCACTGGAGGTCCACAACGAAGAACTCCAGGAAACTCTGTTGCCGATAATCAAATCAACGTAGCTTCTGCATCCGCCTCCGGTGCCAATGCCTTCGATCTCAAGTATGTGCTTACTTCACTGCCACATTTCTTACGTCTCATCAGATTCACCTTCAAGTTCTGTGCATGACTTGATTTATATCGCCAATGTAAGTTTAATGACCTCTTGGGACGGTTACAGTTCGTCTCACTGCAGAATGGACACTAGATAACGGTGGGGGGCATTGGTACGCGTTCCGTTCACTGTCCTTGCCGCTTTACTGACTCTCTTCGAGAGTATCCTGTACAGCTCGATACCGGTTCTTCAGACCTTTTTATCAAGGGTGATACCTACCCAATACCCAATACTAACGAAACGGTGAGACCTTCTTTCTGAGAGTCGACGCACCTACTAATAGCTTTCAGTCAACGACAACGAATTTGACTGTGAGCCTAAGAACATCTCCACTACGCGTTTTCATATTTACGGGATTTTCCAAGTATGCCATCGGTTGGGCTTATGGCCATATTGCGCATGCAGCCGTCGAATTTATAGGGTGCGTCCCATAACTGTCACCCTCTCTGACATAAGTTGACCTGGATGAGCCAGAATTCAAGTTCCGTCTCAAGCATTTGTTGATGCAACCGACGTTGTAAATCCTGCTTTAGGGTATGGAGCCAAAGGCATTGCCGGCCTGGGATTCACGTCACTCTCCACAATTGATTTCACGCTTAACGGCACTCAATCATCCTTGGGACGGAGTCTCCTTTATAACCTCTTCGAGGCCAATCCATCTGAGCCAAACTTCATTGCTTTTGCACTGCAGAGGGAGTCTGAACCTGGCGCTGAGGTCATTGGAAGCTTTTCCATAGGTTAGTGCTGTGGTCGAAAGACTTGCTCAATCAACCTCCCTAATATTTCCGCAATCCACCTTAGGAGAATTTGACCCAGCGTACTCCGGGGTTACCGGAAACGCGCCCATCTCAACGTGGCCAGTAAACTCGCCTCATCGGTGGAACGTTCTTCTCGACGCTGTCATCGTGAATCAGACGATCACTCCTGCGACAACGAAAGTCCCGGGTGCGCCCAGCAATAAAGCCGTGGTACTCATGGATAGTGGCTCATCTTACACGTTCGTCAACCATAATATGTTGTGTGTTTTTCCGATCATTCAACCAGTAAACAGATATGCACCAAAGGAGATCTGCAACGCAATATATGGTGATGTTGCAGGCGCATACTTTGACTCCACAATAGGGTATTGGAGAGTCCCCTGTTCGGCTGAGATTGACATGGCGCTGCAGATTGGGTTTGTATTTCCTCCTTCTCAGTCAAATCTTTTTGTTGAGTCGCTTTAGAGGACAGGTTTTCCCAGTCCACCCCCTGGATGTGAATCCAGCGACCCTTGCTGACCCCACTGTCTGCTTAGGTTCATTTGTTCCGCAGACGTTTTCCATTGCGACTGATTTGTACGTTCAACTTAATTTGTTGGGATAAACATTGCTAAGAAACAAATAACAGTGACTGGCTCATTGGCGATAACTTTCTGCGTTCTGTTTACTCGGTCTACGATTTTGGCGACTTCGATTCATCAGGCAATGTGGGTAACCCATACATGAAGCTACTGTCCATTATCGACTCGGACGATGCGTCAGTCGATTTTCACAACGTCCGTGGAGGTACCCCCAGAACCAATATTACGTTTACTGGGTTGAACGGTATCTCGGTGGCTCCTTCGTTTGCCATTTCCAATGACATCTCCACATCTTTGGAAATGATTGGAAAATACCTTCCAGCAATGCTTGCAATTGTTGCGCTGAACGCCCTGGTCGTGGTCATCTGCAGTGTTGTGTGGATCTTCATGCTGTGTCGCAAACGTAGCGCACGACGTGCTATTGCTCGAGCTCGCACTCCAAGAAGTCGGATGAGCCCTATGCCGATGAATCCCGTGCATAGCTACATAGCTGGCGTTGAACCACCTGCAACGCCCCCCGGTATACATGTATATGAACCAGTGTCTATGGCCCTTACAGAGGATACCTTTGTTCCTCCGTCGCCTGCTTTCCACGGATTCGATGGAGGTAAAATACGACCAGGCGATAGACCCAAATCTGTCGCCTAGTTAAGTTGCTTGTTTAAATTTATTATTAGTGTACGCTTGGACGATACGTGCATGTTGTTGTCATCTAATTACGAGGCTATTCAAATATCCAAATCTATACCCGATCAACTAAGATAGCTTGTGATGCATAGATAGCTGTGAATAAGTACTACAGATGCTTCAATTCACTATCAATCCACTAGATCAACAGATTGGCCCAACGCTTTCCTTCCTGTCCTTTCAGGCCGAGGCCTTACTGGCGCCATCCCCACTTCCCTCATTGGTATCAGGGGTGTATGGTTTTTGTCAGCCAGCCTGCGAGCTTCTGCAGCGAGAGCGTTCCACTGTATGGATTCCTTCTCGGATGAAGCATGCTTGTGATTTCCTTTTGAAACATAATCGACCATCTCAACCAAAGCTGTCGACAATTTTGTTAGGTAAAAGGCATGGTGTTTGAGTGATTTCTTGGACTCTACTCCACCCGGATGCCAAAGATCACGAAGTCCAAGGAAGTCGACGATCCGTAAACATTGCCGCATATTCGCACGATTTTTGGAGGTGAACGCCGTTCGGACCATGCTTGACAAGGATTCTGCTGTGGGAGCAAGGTTTCGGCCAGGCGCCCGTTTATCCAGCTTAGGTGGGTCAGCCAATGAACCTTCCATGAAATCGTGACAGTGGTATCCCGTCATTAATTCAAAGGTTCGAGTGGCTGAGTTCCAATCCACACCACGCCAACACGCCGCGAGGACAAGATTGTAAGTGGATATGGCTGGCCGGATCTTCGGACCATTGGGACTTGTAATTTCCTGCCGCAGCATCCACTCGAGAGTGTCGAGAGAACGATATGCTAATCCTGGTTCTTCACTCATTGATAGTGCCCGAAGCACTTCCTCTATGTGCGCCCGATCGAGGATCGATACGCCGCCAGTGTCTTCCGGCCGTCTTTTCACCTGCTTAAAAAAGTCGAGACAAGCAGAATATTGTTGGGTTCGGTTGCATAACCTTAAAATAGCCGCAAGAGACTCCGCACCAAGCGGGAGTCTTCCCGCTGAATGTTTGTCTTCGCCTGTTGCCAGACCAAAATACTCTTTCACGATCTTGAATGCCAGATCTTGATCTGTTTTACTTCCACTCGATAATGCTGTTATCGCCGCTACGGCAGAATAAGAGTCAATAGAGAAGCCTGGCGTTTTGTTAGAGGCTTTCAACATCTGCATCCAGAGTAATCTTGCGTCTCCAGCGGTTTTGGCACCACCTTGGTCCGTTGAGGCAAAAGCTGACGTTGAAAGGGCCTGGAACATGGCGGTGAAGATGTATTCATTGGCAGCGAATGGACCCTCGGCATCAATGGCGTAGTAGACATCAAAGACTTCTTGGTATTGCCCTGCTGCTCCGAGAACTTTGAGATATGATGCTAAGGGATTACTGGATATTTCTGAGCTGGTGGGATCGTGTTTCTTAACAGTAGCTATATGCCGCTGGAAGCCCTCGTACAAGGATCTTGCGTTGGCGAGTTGTTTGGGATGAGTGGCCCAATGCTCAATCTTTGATAGGCCATTGAACATAGTCTGAAAGGTGCGGGTAGTTGGACTGAACCCTCGCCTTTTCATCTGGTAGAAACGCTTGAGAAATGGTGTCAAAGGATATCGAAGAAATGACATTACGTCTACGAAAAGTTGATACCCCAGCTGAAAGCGTTTCACTTTCATGCACTCCCAAATCAAGGTATTCCACACGGGAGTATTCTGAGCATCCAGTGGTGCATTTTTTAGCATTGCAACGGCTTCGTCGACGTTGCCCGCATCACAACACTTCCTCAACCTAGCCGAGAGCACATGTGGCTCCAGCAAACGGACCTCCGACTTTGCTTCTTGTTGCGAAGGATCGTAATGCCGGGATCTGAACTTGCGTACAGTTTGTGATGGCCTTCTGGCGTCAGGTGTGGTTTTGGGAAGATATTTGGTGTCGACAGAGTGTGTCGGTCCGGCCTGCAAGGCCTGTCTTCGCAAGTAGCGCGGAAGTTTTGGTTCTACTGCTGGCTCTGAAACACCATGCTGTCCGGAAGTCCTTGTGGATCCGTGTCGTCTGGTTCCATCTTGGGCAAACCAAGAAAGAACGTTTGTGGAGCCAACAGAAAACGATCGCAAGTATTCTGCTGGATTATGAGTGGCCGTGACATTGCGAATCATTATTGAGAAGTTCAAAATTTTTGATTTATTATTACGGTTCAAACAATGATGTACAGCATGCACATATCCTCACAAATATTTTATCCTTTCATCATGGACGATTGACTTCATCAAATTAGCTTTCAGTAGGAAGGTATGTATCTCTCGCTATGTTACACGGCCTTTTTCTTTTGGTGAAGCGTAACGTTGACACGCCGAGCGAACATCGCAAGGATGAACACACTGAAAAATGCGGCCGCCACAGCGAATGGCTTTTTTAGGTGAGCCGACGTCGCCACCCTGTAGGATACCTGTTTCAAGGTCAGATAGGTCGTGGGCACTAAAGCAGTGGCAAACTTACATATATGTTCTGGGCATGTCTGATTGTCAAATTTTTATATCTAAATGTCAGCGCGGGACGCCCTGTAGTGTCCAGGTAAGTAATATGTGTTCCGATTGTGGTCGAAAGGGCGGGGAATGGCAGAGAAAATTCCACATCCCTGGAAAATGAATAGGTGTACGGAAAATTGATTAGAGTCTAACGACTTACGAGGCACCCTCAGGCAATATAACAACCAACTCTGCATCCGAAACTACTGCGCCAGGAATCGGAGTCAAGATAGGCACTTCAACGATGTATTTGCCATCGTGCCTGTCGTAGCTGGCGGAATCTTCTAGGGGTGCATCCCATCCAAGTGTGAAGCTGTAATTCCACCCTCCTAGAAGGGGATATCGTGGCTTGAGTTCCAAAATGCTAAATTGACTGCCTTGCTGATTTTTTGGAACAGAGGCAGCTGCTCGGAGTTTTGAGGTGGATACGTTTCCAATCAGATCATAATAGTAAGTATTTCGGATGCCCGCGGGGAGGTGAAGTGTAAGGGCTGAGAGAACATGTGGAGCGGGCCTCTTAAAGTACGACTGAGTTTGGTGGTCCAAACGAGAGAAATGGCCTTTCAATCTGTGCAGGGCATCAGACACCAAAATTATATGAGTAAAATGTAAAGATGATCACTGACGCTGGTCCAGCATTGTGTAAGAATATATCATCCTGCGTATTCAAATTAGAACCCCAATGACTGATTTCCACCACTCGTTTTAGCCTTGAAACTTCGAGGACTGGTTGCTCATGATGATAGTGAACAGTGATAGGCTGCTGATGCTCCGAAATGAAGGCATGTGTTGTGGAGGAAGGAATATCGTTATACGGTCCATACACGATGGTTGCACCAGATGTTGTAACGGGAGCGTCGTTCGTAAAAGCTTCGACGTTCTCGGGCGTAGTATGAGACAGAAGGCGAGGGGTGAGGGCTCTTATGTTTTCCGTCGTGAACAAAGCGCGTCCATCAGAAGAGGGGGACTAACCTAAGTTTGGTACGTTGTACAGAAGTCGCGTAAGGACTGATGACGAAGAGATTGGTTGTATATTTGAGAGATTGGTCGTCGCCTTGTGCTGCGGTTTCCGGGTAAGGGTGTGTAACGTGGGTTTGTATGGTCTCAAGAACAAGATTTAGGGTCTTGTTCACAGGAAGGGTTTTTGGTAGTGTGACATCCACCAAGTGATACCCCCTTAATAAAAGATTGAGTCAAAAATTATGGCCATGAGCAAGGAGCACATACTTGGTTGCGTCGAAAGCGCGTTCCTGGGTGGGTAGCGACTGTTGTTGACCCTTCACCTTCGCCTCTAGCCAACTAGTATGCTCTCTCTCATCATGGCTGATTGCAATTGTGTAGACATTCGAGGCTCCTGTGAGTGACTTGATTGCGTAGGTTGTAGTGACGTGGACGACAGAGCCCCCAAGTTCCACTGTCCGGACGATAGCGGTATTTTCAAATGACTGGCTAGAGGCAAGCGCTGAGACAAAGCCAGAAAATAAAAGGATGGTTGGCCAAAATTTTGGCATTGTGGAAGGTGTTGATCTTTGCCGTTCAAAACCAAAACGCAACGTAGCTTATTCAAACGTGGGTACGTGTATTTTTAGCGGGCGCCAAGATCAAATTAGAAAGGCTACAAAACTTGTAATCTACCATCCCCAAGTAGGCGCAGGATTTCGAATGGGCCTGTCTTCCCGCGCAAGCGCCGCTGAAACCACTTTTCTCAGCTGTTTCTTCCGCTTCTCAGCCTTCTGTTGCTCAAGTGTCTTGCCCTCCTTCAAAACCACAGTCATCTTCGAGTTGGGGTGGGTTCGAATGCCATAATGTCCTCGTCCACGGGGTTCCAATTGACCAGGTTGCCGTGGGCCTTTTGTAACCCACGCTTCAGCTGTCCAAATGTTGTAGTGGATTTTTTTGTGAAATGGGGCCGCGGATGCTTACCAACGATCAACTTTGGCTCTTTCAACTGCTTGTAACGACTGGCATGGTCTTTCGCCGTTACCAACATGTTCATGATGCGGGTGCTAGCCCTCTTCTCGCTGAATTGCATTTGTAGGATCGCGTAATCTATCGGTTTCCCGGATATTTGTTGGCCAAGCATGTTGAGTTTTCGATGAGAAATCTTGAAGTTGGCCGTCGAGTATTTGTGCTGAACGAGATAGATTTGTTCAGTTATTCATGTAGAGAGCGTTATAAACGAACAGAGGTTGGCTTGGGTTTGAGTGGTGTGGTGACCCGCTTGAGCGCCTTCTTAGTGGGTACAGGGACGGCCTCAAAGACGTTTGCCGTTCCCTCTCTTTGAGCCTGTAGCTTCCCTGCTTCCAGTTCCTTTTGGGTTGGTTTTTCCCGTAAGCCAGCGCCTAGTTTCTCTTTAACCCATGCGAAGGGGTTCATAAAACTGGCACTAAAGCTCTGTGAGTAAAGTCAATGGAGAGGATCAAAAAACTGGGGTGTACCGTCGACAATGAATGAGCGACGGCGAATGAGGCTGAGAGAGAACAGCACGAAAACGTCGTTCTCCTGTGAACTTTCATTTAGAGAGATATTGTGAAGTGAGATCATGAGCAAACCATTGCGCAGGGATTGCATTATTTTGCTGTCGTTGGGAGACTCACCGCTGTGTCACACAAGTGTTGTAGAGCCACTTACGTAAGTATGCCTGACGCTTGTCAACACTTCACTTCCCCCAACTTCCACAAGTTTCAACGCCTGCGACGATGTTTGGCATGATCTTTCAGGTTTCTTTGCTGATCATAAACGCAATTGCGATATTGAACGAAGACCGCTTTCTTGCAAAAAGTACCATCCCATCCTTCAAATAACAGCAGTGCTGAATGTGACTGTCTTCTAGTCGGATGGCTATCATCTTCGCGACAAGTCCGGGACGCCAATACGGGATTTCAACAGTCCTATGATCAGACAACCTATGGTTCAGGTTCAAGCGAGGTTGGGATGAAGGATAGATTAGTAGATCTCATCGGTGCTGTGAGGACTCTTATGCGAAGTACGGATCTTTTACCATATTGTGCTGTCTTGAAGCTCATAATGTCATGCGCAGTACCGCTCATAGCCATTAATACCTTGGTCATCTTATATGAATTAGTTTGGGGATAATGAACTGTCCTTCCCACTGCGAAATGATGACTATTATCCTCAATTTAGGCAAGAAGTCCGAATGTCCCTGCTCTTGGTCTAATCATTTCCTATTGAGCCTTTCATATTCTTCCTCAATTTGTCTTACAAAATCATTAACTGTGTGTCCTTTCTAGATTTCCCCAATATTTAACATGTGTGCACGAGCGAGGGACATTATTCTCACCTCACACTCCTTCCATGTTCCATCATGGACACAGACCTTCCGGCCACTTATGAGGATTGTGCAACTTTTTCTGAACGACCTTCATAAGTAACACGCAAAGTTAGATGTAACTTGGAGATAACCAACATTATCCCCAACTCTTGACCCAGGGATGCGCTTTCCTTGAGCAGCTGAACTCCCTCTCTTCCCCTTCCACTTCCATCAAGGCCAGCGCAGTATCCTGCCCCTCCGTTCTCCCAATCGATTCTGGCTGTTTTTGCACATTTAAGGGCAACATCCGAATCGCCAATATTTTCGCGGCCTTGATAGTTTTGGCATTGAACGAACTCCCACCAATTTTCCGGGGGCGCATATTTCGCGACACAGAGCTGCTGAACATTTCCAGCGCACTCATCGGGACCATGCATGCACCAAACACCAAAGTCGGGTTGGGAAGAGTCCAACCTGTAAGATAAAGCGATGAGAGTGAACTCGAGATCAGAAGAATATGGATACTTCGCAACATAGACCAGAGAAAGGTCAACTTTGTCGCTGACTTGGTCCAAAACCTGATTGAACCGACTTTCACATAACAAAGCGTCGGGGCAGCGGCTCATAACGCCGAGTTGAACGGGGACTCTGGTGTTCAACAGTAATACCTCTTGAGCATTGCTTTGGGGAGAGAGCTGCGGAATTCGACCTGCTGAGATGACGGCAGAGAGACAGAGCAAGGTGTAGAGTGGAAAGATCATGATGGTCGTGATACAAGTATGATGAAGGCAAGATGAAGGTAGGGTGTGCTATGATTGCGTCATATGCGGCATAAATATGCATCTTTAGTACACAACTTGTGTTAAGTTACTGTCCGCTATCCCACATCGTGCGAGCTTCAACATCGGTTAACGGGGGAACAAAGTATTGGCATCGAGAACGAAATGCTAAAGATGTATAAGATAAACTCAAATGTTGACATTTCGTGACCCACCATCAACCGAACGTTTCCTAATGATATCCTCCACCGTCAACTCGTTGTGGATTTGATTTCGCTGATGATACACCAGTCAGCAGGAGTCAACCATTCCGGCAACGGGAGAACACACTTTTACTTCATTGGCGAATATGGCCGCCTGAGTCTTTCTCCGACTAGTAGGATCGTTGGATTGACCATGGATAACCCTTTGCTTTTCCTTGAGATCTTCGTCAACAACATTCGCACAATACTCCACCAATTGTGTCCTGCGCTTCCAGTTTCCTGCGACAATGTAATAAATCTAATAAGGGACAAGGTCAAGGCAGGTTTGTCGGGATCGACTGACCAACGAGCTCGCGCCAAATATACGCACATGCCTGATTTTGGGCATTCTCGCCCCCCAATCCATCCTGCGCTCGCTCCTGGTCTCGCATCGCCGCGTTGGCTCTGTTAAGTCTCATTGTTATGGTGTCGTCGAGCTTTCTATACTCCCTCAGGATTTCTGATGGTTTTCTCGTCAGCTTTCCAACAAGGGAGCTTCAGGACGGCAAGGAACCTTTGAATAAAGACAGGTCATGGCATGTCGAGGGAGACACATTAACAACTTGCGGCCTCGATGAAGGTGTTTGAACGGCGAGGCTTCCTAATTGTGGTTTGGATGGCATTCAAGTGAGAGTGAACATCCGGCATCATAAACTTATCATTTCCGGGCCGGTTGAAAATCGTTACCAAACCTGTATTGTGACCGCCTTGCAAGTTGGACCGCGCAACCAATGTGCAAAAACTCTGCATTCTAACTTAAACTAAGCAATTGAGCATCGGAGAACCGCAGTCCCAAGTGAGCATCAACCTTGCATTGGAATCCAATAAATTACAGGTGTTAAAGTCAAATTGCAAGGTGCTTGAAACTCGTAAACTGAACAGCAGATACATCTTGGATATCGGGGCAAGAAAGCCAAGTTATCAGCGTAACCTTTGTCATTACTACATTGGACGCCTCGTCTGAAGCCGCTGGCAGTAGTTCAATTTGCTGTGCGTGCCGTACATGCCCATCTTTTCAGCCCACAGCGTTTAGGATTGGGTATGGACAGACAGACTGGGAGCGGCCAAGCCTGACAGATAGCCCTTGTAAAAAAAAGCATATTAGCGCATGCGCAGACACTTTGTCTGTTATCGTCGTACCCTCAACCATTGTTCTCTTTCCTTTGGTAGGTGGTCGAACATGATGAACCGCTTATCGTTCTGTTTAACTTTAGAAAACGCTGATGTGGAGGAACATAATAAGTACTCGCCTTCAAAACCTTTTCCATTTCTCGTATGTCGATGTTTTTAGCGAGTGACTTCATGTCAACTTTACTGGCGCCACTATCGCCTTCACCCTCCCCAATATCCTCGTTCTCAATTTTGACGCTGCCCTCTACCCCATCTCCACCTATTTTACTCAGCCGACCCCAGAACTCAACGAAGGAATTCTCAGACAGCATTTCATCGAATGCTCGACGTGAAATTTGAGTCCGTTCCCTTTGCCATCTGGAAAACTCTTGCTCTAGATGTTTAATGTCGTACCCAAGTTTCACAGCGGGCAGGGAAGAAAGGAGTGTTTGAAGGGGCAGCTCACTGAAAGATGTTGCAAGCGACGGTGCGTGGGATTCCAAGAGGTCTCTGAGGCTGTCAAGGTACTTTGACCGTATGCGACTGATATGGGAATGGAATAAGTGAATTTGTTGATTCAAGGAAAGTGGCGAATTCGTAAAGCGCGGGTCGGTCCGAAGTTGGGGAAGCGCCCCTTCCCAAGTCATCTTTCAAGGCAGCTGTTAGCAGGGGATTGTGGCTGCCAAAGCACCATACCTGAGGATCATGAATTGCATCTGTCATCAACGTCCTGCGAAATGGTTGATGGCGTAAGGGCGTTGTTCAGGACTAGAGGCGGGCAAGGTTGCGCACATGAATATGCTCTCTCCCTCTACTTTGTTGCTAACGATTTTTGACCTTTCTATGTTGGTCTTCAAACGACCCAATTCGGCTTTCACTTGCTCTTCACGTTCCTTTACTGCTCTTTCTTTCCGTCCTTGGTGGTCTTCTTGAGCTTCGCCCTGAGATACCACTGGCACTAGTTCTTCAGACCTTGTTGGCTCTAACGCTGTCCCTTTCATAAATGCGTTGAAGAGCTCTTCTCGCAAAGACGACGATGCGATTGCATCATAGCGACGATCACCAGACAGTAATCTTTTTGTCTGTAATGTGCAACACCATAAGCAATTTGCACTGCAGAAAAATAATTGATCAAACCTCTTTCCAGGTTGAACCTTTCCTAATTTTCGCCTGATGTTCCTTCAACAGGGAAAAGAAATTCGCTTCGGCTTTTCGCGCGGCAACTCGTTTTTCTGAATCGCGGGTTCAACAACGAACAAGTGGGTAAATAAACTCAACATACGTTCACCCAACTCTCTCAAATACTCTTTAAACCGCTTCTCTCGTTCTCTGTCATCCCTTCCCCATCCGTAAAACCTTCTATCCTTCTTCCACGCCCTGCGAAAGTCAGTCCAACTTGCTCTTGTGCTCTTGACTTCCTCTCGAAGGAGCCTGTCGTACTCTCCTGCAGGGTCTGCGTCTCGTTTCTCCTTCTTCAAATTGGACTGTCGTAATTCGCGAGAACGATCACGGCAAAATTCATCAAAGGCCTCCCGACGAACCGCGACTGATGGAAGGAGGGTATACCTCGGGTCTGATATGAATTGTGGCAGACATATATCCCAAGGAAGCAAAGGGTTGATATCCTTCTCCCTCAGGAGGGTCTGTGGTAGGATCTGAGATTGTGACACTGACGCGAAATAGCCAAATCTTTCACCTTGAACAGTGCTTTCCCCTCGTCAAGGGATAAATTCACCTTCTGAGGAATGTCCACCGCGATTGTTCGTTTTGCTTCTGCCTCCGCCTCCTTCGCTCTTCTTTCCTCTTCTTCGACTCGTTTTCGTTCCTCAGCTGCTTCTTCTGCCAGTTGTGCGGCTGCCTCGCGCTGCCAATCCTCCTCCTCGCTTGCATCGCTCTCCTCGCTCTCCTCCTCTTCTTCCTCAACCTTTGCCCTCTTCGAGATTTCAACCTCGTCGAGAGGCACAGAATGATCAATTTTCCTCTTCACAGATTTGCGACCTTCGTGCCCTTGAGAGCTTTCAAGCTTATTTTCGCCGACTGGCTTGTTCCGAGACGACATGTCCTCCCTCTCACGCTCTTGTTGTTCAAAAGCCTTCACGTCACTTTCGATTTCTTCTGGTACGATCCATACACTTTCTTTTCTTATTTTGTGCGAATAGAAGGTATTTCCTTCAGTCGTTCTCACGCGTAGCCAATCGGTGCCAGGTATGGGTGTTTTGACGAGTGGTCTCTCTTTATTCCGTAGTGGTTGGGAAGCATGACTGGACGTGAAGAATGGAGGTAATGGTCGAACATAAGTAGATTCCTGAGTTTGAGAGTTGAAGTAGTAGAAATGACCCCCTGGATCTGTTATGCGGTTTAGCAAAAAACCAACGTATGTGGAATAAAATGTCACACCAGCGTGTTCAGTCCAACCTACTGGTAGTGGGGGCGCAAATGAAGAGGAAGACATAGTGTTATAACCTAAACGGTCGACATATGAGCATTCGGCAAGTACGGCCTCGGACGGCAAAACCGGCCGGGAAGACCAAGGGAAGAACAAAGTTGACACGTCATCATCATCTAACTTATAAATAAACTCAAAGGTTGATTCACCAGGTTTTTGAACGTCCCAACCAAGTCCCAACTGCCAGGTGTCGAACACCCTAGCCGCTCAGCGTTTGTTCCACATGCATTTTCTGCGGTCGGTGGTCCTTTCATTGGGACTTTTGTCCATTCACGTTGCTGCTGAGCATCCCGTCAAACTAAACTATCAGGTCTGTTCCCCAGCATTGTTTTTTTTTACACTCGTTGACGTTCTACGTGTGCCTCTTAGAGTGATGTTGCGCGCCTGCGAAAAATTGTGATTAATAGGTGTGTCCTTCACAACCACCTTCGGTAGACCAGCATCCTAATTTCTTGCTTAGTCTCTACTCGCACAAGTAATCGTTCTGTATTTGTGTTCGGTGATTCTAGATCTTATTTTGGAAATAGGGAAATTTTTCTTCGCGAACTAATTTCGAACGCCAATGATGCACTTGAAAAGCTACGTATCACGGCTTTGACGGAGAAGAGTGTTTGGGATGGCACAGATTCCCTGAACATTACTATCAAAGCCGTGAAGGACGAAGACGGCACAAATGGCCGTATCGTCATCACTGGTGCGTTTGTCAACGGGCCTCTTCACTCAAGTTATCTAAGAACCACTAGACACCGGCATTGGCATGTCGCCACAGGAGCTATCAACAAACTTGGTGAGCCATGGCCTACGATGATTGACCGCATATATTCACTTTGCATAGGGTACATTGGCCAAGTCGGGCACATCTGATTTCCTTTCTTTGGCAGAAGGGCAAGAAGGTGCTGCTACTGGGAACCTTATTGGTGCTTTTGGTCTCGGGTTTTACAGTAGTTTCCTTGTGGCCGATCGGGTCCAAGTTGCTTCCATCCCTCCGAAAACTGACAGGAACCCTAATCCTGTTCAACACGTATTTAGTTCCTCGGCGGATGAAAGCTCCTATGAGATTTTTGAGGACCCGAGGGGCAACACTCTTGGCCGAGGTACCGAAATTACACTTTACTTGAAGCCCGATTCGTTGGAATATCTTGAAACGAATGCGATCTCAGGCCTTGTGTAGGTGACTTGTTTTTTGGCTTGAAACGTAAAGAAACTAACCCCCCCGACACAGCAACAAGCATTCCTCCTTCTCTTCCTCGTTTCCCATTTATCTATTTGAAAGATGGACAGAGGAGGTTGCCGACGAAGAAGGTTTAAATACGCCAGAGGTTCCAGAACCCTCAGAAGCCCTCAACGTCCCGTCAACACCAGACGAAGACGACGAGGCGATTATTGAAGTGGCTTCGGAACATGACGAAGCGAAGGAGTCTGTGCTACCAAAGGTGAAGAATGTGACCAAAGAAGAGTGGAGCCGGCTCAACGCTCAGCCTCCTCTGTGGGCAAGGTTAGCTCCTCGCCTCCATCAGGTCTTTTAGGGTATTTATCTCCTTTCGCAGGGATCCTAAAAACATATCAGATCGTAGGTCATTAGAATGTGATAAATTGGGCATCAACTTACACATACTCAAGAGGAATACAACTTGTTTTATCAAACATTTTTCAAAGATTTCTCGGATCCTCTGGCATGGCATCACTTTTCTGGTGATTCCGGCTCTGGAGTAGCCTTCAAGGCCATCGTATTTTTACCGTCTCGATTGTATGTCCTCCCTCGATTTGTTACTCACGGGCTGACATTACGGTTGCTCCTCAGGGACGCGAAGTTCTGGCAAACACTGCCAGAACAAAAGCCTAAGGACGTGAAATTAATGGTCAAACGCGTTTTCATCACATCCGACCTCGGTGATGATTCTTTACCGAAATGGGCGAGTTGGGTGAAGGTGGTGGTTGATGGTACGTATCAACGGTTGATTCCTTGATGACAACCTAACACACAAATTCCTGTTAGCGGAAGATTTGCCCCTCAACGTTTCTCGTGAAACCCTCCAATCCAACCGTTTTCTCAAGCAATTGAAGCAAATGATTATCAAGCGCATGATACAGCTCTTCACCAAAATTTCGGAGGAAGATCCTGAAAAGTTTGAGAAAATACAAGAAGTCTACGGTTCTATCATCAAGCTAGGAGCTGTGGAAGATTCAAAAAATCAAGCGAAATTGACATCTTTGACGCGATTCTCTACAAATCAACGAAATAAGACGTCGCTTGACCAGGTCCGCTCTCGTCAGCCGCGTAACGACAATTGACTCATCTTGAACCCTGAACAGTACCTTGAAAATAAGAAGCATGGCCAGAAGCAGGTAAGCGAAATCGGAAAATCCCTCAAGTTCATCTGATCCATCTCGAGATAGATATTTTATCTCGCTGAAATAGGGAAAACACCCGAACTTCTCTCTCAGAGCGTCTTTATTGAGAAACTTCACGCTAGAGGATATGAAGTACTTCTCCTCACGGACCCCGTCGATGAAATTCTCGTGAGTAATCTTAGACAATGGAAGTAAGTTATCACTTCAGTGGTCTTGTCGAAAATCACTAAGACCTCGCTGTCCAAGGGGAATCCCATTCCAAGACGTTGCGAAAGCTGGATTACAGTTTGGCGATGAAGGTAAGAAACACAATAATTTTTGTATCGTTTGTTAGTCATAATGTATAGGACTCGATGCTGAAGAAGAGAAGGAGCAACAGAAGGATCTTGATGAAAAGTTCAAACCTTTGCTGGATTGGCTCAAATTGGAAGCCAAAGATATAGTCCGAAATGGTGGCTTAATTTTGATGCCCATCAAGGCAACTTATGCTAAACTTATTGCCAGTTGTTCTCTCCAATCGACTCGTGAAGAGTCCTTGTGCGGTCGTTGCTAACATCGACGGGTATACCGCAAATGTTCAAAAGATATTGAGTGCGCAAAGCCATCCTCATATCTGCAGAGACTGACTTGTAGCAGGTGCGCAGAACTCGAAGGGAGGCCGTGAAGGCTTGATGGGACAGTTGGCAAATGCGAAGACGCTCGAAATTAATCCTCGTTCACCCTTAATTGTGGGCCTTTTGCGTCGAGTCGAGGACCTTGCAACACAAGAAGACGAAAAGAACATCGAAGCTGAAGAACTCCACGAAGTAGCCTCAATATTGATCGATGGCGCTCTGGTTCGTTCTGGCTTTGAAGTTCCTGATAGTCACAGGTGGGACAATGATCTGAAATGAAATGTTCTTCGCCGCCAACTTTTTTTTCTTCTATAGATTCTTCTCCCGGGTTGACCGTGTCTTGAGGCGGTCCCTTGGTGTATCGGAGACAGCTCCAACAGATGAGAGTGTCAAACCTGCGCCGCCTGTCGACTCCAGCGTGCCCGATACCCCTGTAACCGGAGCCAATGACGGCGGTATACCAGACAACGTTTGGGACAAGGTAAGGAATTATTTCAAGTTGCTAATAATCTTGTACTAATGAGATAGGTCTCGCTCGAAATTGAGGAAATGGAGGAAGACGCAGTCTCACATGATGAGCTGTAGTTACGTAATGATACCTATTAAATTGTAGCTGCTTGGTATATTATGAGAGTTATCATAACTTGTTCGCAACGTCGAAGTTTTGGCTGTCTTACCGCCAACCGAAGTATCCGACACTGTCCTCACTACTCGACGGTCACTGTATATATAATACATGCCTGCTGCTTTCTCGCGACTTCAGCTGGCTGCTGCCCTGCTAGGTACTTTCTACAACTCACGACCTACTCTCACTCTCAGTTTATGTTGCAGAGTATGACAACGATCCAGATGACCCACATGCCCCACGTCGTCTAGCTAAGGAGAGCGCAATCTTCGCACACCTTCGCAGAAACCCAGCAGCTCGACCGCATGTCGCCTCTCGCAAGAGTGATTACCTTGTATCGGAGACAGGCAGTATCGCGAAGAAAGAGTCAGCATCAAATACTCGTCGATCCAGAACTTCGCGAACATCCGATGGAATTCTACGAAACCCCTTTGGAGCTGACGATTACTCTGAATATGACGAAGAACGCCGAGACGAAGGGACTGAGTTGGAGGTAGACCTTGCTTCTTGGGGTCTTGACGCTTTCATCCCAAAAGACAAGTCCAAGTCCAAGGGAAAAGCGAAACAACCTACCCCTCCTGCAATTGTGTCTGTGCAATCCCATAAGCCATCCACAAACCATGATCCAACAACCTCGCCCAGGCGTGCTTTGGGTGCATCTAGATCTCTTAGTGTTGGCGGAAATCTTGATTACTTTGGTGGGGACGCCGAACCCTCAGCACGCATGCCCTCCTCTTTGGTGGATGAACATCGACGGAGGTCGTTCAGCACTCCACTTGAGCTAGCTGGCATGCAATCTTCAAATATTTCTTATTCTCCGCAGCGTCGCCGTGCAGCGTCACAATCATCCATATCTGCTCTTCAGCCTCCATCGATCCCCTTTCCATCTGTTGTAGACTCATCCATGCCTCTTGACCCAAGGCCGCTTCGTGACCAGCCAACGGAGGATAATGAATATTCTAGCAGGAGCCGGGTTGTGTCCAACGGCACGCTGGAGACTGCACTGCGTAGCGACAACCCATTTGAACTGGGACTCCCTTCCCGGATGTCTCGCTTTGATCCTAAGGCTGCCGCACATACCCGTACCATGTCGAATGCCACCATAGGATCAAGAATGCTTCTTGACAACGACGGTCTATCTGTATCCTCAGGGGATTTAGAACATGATCGTCCATACTCCACCATGGAGCTTCTCCGGCCCAAAGTCCTTGTCATGCCCAGCCCTCTTCAGCCTATTTCTATGAATACTCCTCAAGATAGCAATAGAGCTCACGACGGATTTGAGTTATCAACTGATGGACCTCCACTACCACCAGGCGCTCGTTCGTCTCGAGCGTCATTATCCTTGTCAGCATTTGAAGCGCCTCCAATCGCTTCTAATTCTTTCACACCCAATCCGGTCGCGGACCTGTCCCTTTCTCAAAAGACCTTCCGCGGTACGTTGATGGTGAACGGGGAAAGAGATATTTTGGATATGGATCGAGAACTTCCTCGAGCAACAGAAGAAGGAGAACAGGCACAACTCAATTCGTTAGGAGTTGATGAGACATTTCAGATGTCCCTCCTCGAGGAAGAGTACTCAAAGCCATCACGTCCAGCTGGTAAGTTATATGGAAAAAGTCTCATCGATGACCTCGAAAATCGAAAAGCCCAGATGCGGAGTAAGCAGAGGTAAAATATCGTTTTTTGAAAGGTACTTCATGTTAATGCCTTTGTCAGGGTTTTTACTGGTGACCAGCGTCCTTCAATGATGGCCAGAAATCTTCAACGTGCCAGTACCCTCATTGACCCTGCTTCTCTACAAGCTCGTCCCACAAACCAGCGTCTCAACTCTTATGGTTCTCAGGAACCTAAACAAACCGTTGTAAATCGAAATTCGGTCAACATTAAACCCCTTTTGAATTTTGAGGATGGAAGTAAGGCTCTTCAGCCTTCAACCTCAGCGAATCGAAACATAGGCGCCCGTTCCGTATTTGGCGTGGATACACTGTGGGAGCGTGAAATGGCTAAGCTGCATGAAATGCAAGCCTCGGAAAAGATTGAAAGCGAGCAACGGATACGCAGAGAAGAGGAGGAAGCGAAGAAGAAAGCTGAAAAAGAACATAGACGGAAACGGAAACGGAAGGGAAAAGGGGGGAATAATGCTAACGAAAAGGAACAATCTGACGCTGAACCACGGTCAGTTACTCTACCATTATTACCCGATGTTCGACAGGTTGTAAGAAAAACTTCACCCCGTCCTTCTGACAACGAATCCACGTCAGAAAGCGATGATGTTGCGGAGATAGCTGGGAGAAACACGGAGGGGGCATCTGTTGGCTGGCACGCGGGGTCTTCTGATGAGGAGGATAATAAAATTCGTCGGACGACGGGAACCGGACCTAGATACCCACTTCATGCACGCAAAGCCTCCGATCCTCAACCTCGGGATAGTGAAGACGAACCACTTGCAACAACGTTGCGGCGGACAACTCGGCTCCGACCCCCACATGAAAGAACCTCAGACGACGAGGACGAGCCATTGGTGTCGGTTCTTCGGAAAACGAAGATCCCAAACTTACCCTCTATGGATATCAACTTTGACGGCCCACCTTCGAACGCACGTGCAGGGGCTGACGACGAAGACGATCAACCTCTCGGTCTGCGCGCATCGAGGCTAGTCGGATCATCAGGAGCAGACGATGACGATCGGCCTTTGGCTTACCATCCAGAACAACAGCGCCGCACCCAATACCAAATGCTTGCGCATCATCATCAGCAGCAGCAGCAGCATATGATACACGCTCAACTGCAGAACAGTCTGTTTTTTAATCAGTCGATGATGGGATCAGGCTTTTTTGTTTCGCCGATGATGAATCCGATGGCTCTAATGCAGCCTCCTGTACCAATACCGTCACCACCTCCAATTCACGATGAAGCCAAGCTTGTGAGGGTCGATAGGTGGCGACGGGACGTGACCGTCGATGGTGAACCTTAGTGTGAAATTCCACATTATTTAACACATTGTTGCGCGTGGCCGTGGACTTTATGGCATTTCATTTGGGAAAGTTTGATCATACCCAATACCCAATAAATGTACGCTCAGCTCTCCATACCACAAAAAGAATTGTAGCCACAAGGCAGAGAAAGAGGTAATAGTGGATTGCGTTCCCGTTAGCTGAGAGCCACATCGTGATTACGTTACCGTGTCGACCAACTGCACACCCACTGAATGAGCTTCAACTTGCCAGAATATCACAAATTCTGAACGATGGCATTGCCGACGAAACGCATCTTGACGCTTGAAGCCCATGCAGCCTTCGCAGCGTCCGACGCACCTCCACCCAGGTGCGCCCACCATTTCTACTTCCTCCATTTCAATTGCCCCACCAACCATTTCACATCAGCACACCCACAGATCTCGCCGCTCAGCTCCGAACCTTGGGGGCACGCATCCGAAGCAGTAAGCTGCTTTTTTCGAACCCAATATACGCGTCGTGAAGCGCCCATCTCATAGATGTCGCCCAAGGATACACAACTCCTGTCTCCAATCGCGCCTTTGTAAAGGCCAACTCCACTGGGATCATTTTTCGGTCCGCCAATGATACTTTGCGAGACGTATACTCAGATTTTGAACGCGAATGCCATCCCTCTACCTCCCAGAATAAACGAGCCCACTCGGACACTGATTCTGTGGATGAAATGTCAGCCGTTGGCGAGCAACTCAGTATGGACCTGGATGATCGTGAAAATAATGATGCCGTGTCTACGTTAAGCACAGGAGGGGAAACATCTCTGAGACCCAAGAAGCCATTGAGACAATCGCGCAGCCTCATATCTCGGACCACCTCCCTACCTGGGAGTTTGATGATCTTGAATTCAAGGGATCAAACCGCCCTCCTAACACTTGATCCCGCGCAAGAAGAAGAGGAAGAGGAAGACTGGACTGTTCCGACTATCTCTTGTCCCTTAGATCAGAAATTCGAGCCTATGCTATTGTGACGATTAGAGAGTACGAAAGGGTATGCAAAACTCCCATATAACTCTCTAATCTATCAATTGATTTTAACGAAAAGGTGCACCACATTATTGCAATTTTTTACACTCTTTTGATATTTTCTTGTACTTTCCATGCAGCAGTTCGCTAAGTGTATGTACGAATGACAGGATCTCGATAAACCCTCGTTAACGATTCGGTGGGTGGTCGATCGGCAGATTGAATCGCCTTTGCTGGACGGCACGGTCGAACCTTGCTTGATACCGACACTTGTGGGTGCACCCGATGGTCTAGTATGTTATCTCCTTACCTGCCACCGAATAACCAAAACGTTTAAGCAAAAGCAATCATGATTCACGTCAGATGATGCCCAAGGCTCTTGCAAGCACATCTTTGTACAATATTGCGGAGCAGTGAGGGGAAAGTGTTCTAAAGTGTGTTTGGGATTCCGGAATCGGTTTACCACTGTTCGGCTACACGGCCAGCTCACGAAGAGGCATGTGGAGGGTTGTCATCTGGAGATAAAGTCAGTTAGGTTTTGCGTTAACTGCTGCTTGACTGATGACAGTAACTGGTACGGATTGATAGGCCATATGCCTGTGAATTTTGTCAAAAACGCTCTTTTCAGTGGTGGGGAATCACAATTCTTCACTCTTCATCTGCTAATCTAGGCAAAATCTAGGGGTACTAGTCGTCGACTTGTGAAATTCATATTGGGACTCAGTACAACCCGTTTTCCTTCAGCTCTTTTGACTCTATCTTTTTGAAGCACTGGCGAAACCACTGTCATGCAACTATATATTGCACTTTTATGTTCCGAAAGCGAGCTAGCAAGGAGGTTCAAGCCTGTACCTGCTCTTCACCAGGCCGACAAGATAGTCAAGCCACCTAGTAGAAAACTTGACTTGACACGAATCAAACCACTGCAAGATAACACCAACTGAGTGTTATAGTCTTATACCCGGACTTTCCTCGATCCACAGGTCGCCGGGCTCGAGGATTTGCGCAACAATTGACTGAAGGCCGGACAATATCAAAGCAAAGAATTTATTACCGGGATTGATGATTTTTTTGTATTACCCGAATCATTCGAAGTCATATTACATGCATCCTCCCCCATGTAGGTAGCTGGGTTATATGTAGACTCAGTGTATAAGTTGAAGGAGCGCACCTATTTCCCACGGTCCCTTTTCCCCTCAAGATCCCCTGCTCGCCATTGATATTCATGGCATACGCGAACTTAAAGGAGGCAGATATAATCGACCTCACCAGTCCTCCACCACCCCTGGAATCTGTTGTTTTTGATTCCGATACTGAGTTTGATCTTGATGTGTCTACTTACGACTTCGAAAAATTTCCAAGAGAAACGCAGAGGAAGAAGTTCAACAAGAGCTTGGGAGGAACCGACGGTGGCGGCCTCAATAAAATGGCGACAACGGATATGAATCCGCCAGAATTGAATACATCTGGGAGACATGGGAAGCGGAAAAGAGAGATTGATACGCACAATCGAGAAATGGATCATGACTTGCAGAGACGCCGTGTAGAAAGTACACAACTCGAATCTCCAAAACCGCCTCACGCGAACATATTTTTCGTCGACGTGCAACCCACACCCTTAGATATTATGCCTCCGTCTACCTTTCCACAGGAGGAACCTGCAAAGAAACTGCTGCTACCCGCTCATGTAACCGTGTTTGGAACAACGCCTGCTGAGATTTTACCCGAATCGATTGCTGAGGAAGACGAAGATGACTTCATAAACTATCTGGATTTAGACGATACCAGGGTTCGTAGTCTTTATAATTGCGCATCTCGACCTCATTTACGCAGTACAGACGCTAGTTCGATACTATGAGAGTCCACCCACTCCTGCCTCAGTGTTAACTAGGTCAGTTTGTAAGAATTGTGGAGCGGAGGGAGAGCACAAGACCTCTGCTTGTCCCGTTCTAATAGTAAGCATGGCTCACACTTTTTCACGGGGGATCGGGTCTCAATCAACTCAAAGTGCTTAACGTGCGGTGTGCGGAATGAACATTCGACCCGTTCCTGTCCAATAAGCAAAGTCTGCTTTACGTGTGGCATGAAAGGCCATATCAACTCGGTTCGTCTCTCAATCTATCTTCCATGCTTATGATTGTGCTCAAATTCGTATCTGTAGTCATGCCCGAATCGACGTTTGGCACGCTCAGCCTCCTCGAGGCAAAGTGAGTACTGCGATCGATGTTCCTCAAGCCTTCACAGAAGCAATGTGCGGCCTTTTCTTCTATGTCTCGTCGTTTACTCACCGGCCGTTAACAGGAATGCCCAACATGGTGGCGCATTTACGAGTATTTGACCGAGGATGAAAGACTCGATTCTCTGGATGCACGGCGGAGAAGAAAAGGCTTAGCTCTAGGTCAGGGCGACGAAGGATACGTAGCCGACGACGAGTGGTGCTATCGTTGTGGAAGTTCTGGCCATTGGGGTGATGTAAGTTGTGCATTTTTGGATGATTATTTTTACAACTCAACCTGGAAAATAATTAGGATTGCTGTGAACAAGAAACTTACGATCAACCAGTGGAGCCGTCGGCGTTTAGTTCATATAACCTTACTTCCGGACCCTTCGACACTTCTCGACAGAAAGAACAAGCCTTTATATCAAGAAATCGCGAGTTTCGAGAGTCTGAACTGGCTTCTGATTGGGGTGCAAATGCTCCTGAACTTGTCGGTCGACGAGCTAAAAAGAAAGCAAAGGCAGCTCTCGAGCAAACAGCTCGGAAGCAGCAAGAGGCCGAAAATGATTCCGACAATTGGTTTGAGACTGCCAAGAAGCATAGCGGCGAAATCCAGCATCCACCTCAAAAGGTTCCCAAGAAATTATCTTTTGGAACTTCATTGCGAGGGCGTTTGTCTGACCCTTCGACCCCGTCTACACCCAGCCTTTTGGATCGCTTGGGGGATGATTACAGCCATCAGCGCCACTCTAGTACTTTGGGTCCGCCCCACAGGTCATCGTCGTCGAGGAGGCGGCTTGGCGGCCGACATCGAGACGATGAGCGCGCTTATCGAGTTTCCAGTCGTGGCAGATCTGAGCGGCGAGACGACTATGGACCTCGTTATAAAGGTGGTTACTCATAGTCCCTTTTGTTGAAGTTCATCAGTGTTCTGTACGTGTATATGGACAACCACAATTTTGAATCTACGAGTCATCGCTACTGACATCAGCCAAAGTTGTTGGGATAGTATCGATAATCTCAAATGGAGTATCTCTCTCCTGTGAACCGTTACATGAGGGTTTGTGACAGGGAGACGAGGAACGCACATCATCAAGTCGATGAAAATGTTTTGACAGCTTTTCAATGACCAAACTGTAGGGCAAATGTTGCGTTAGTTTCCTATGCAACATACCGCCGTTCAGCGGGAGAGACTAGCTCAGACGATAGATCAAAGCAAACCTTCGTGGCTGCACATTTAGCGAGTGACGAGCATCCAAGGTTGAGTCCAAAACATTGGAGGAATGGGCCCCTTCGCTCAAAGAGAGCTTAATGGAATATTCTTTGTCAGACTTGCCACGACCATGATTCCTCTCATACAATTCAAATGTGATGTGTGACTGATTAAGAGTAAGAATCAATTCTCAAGATTGTAGTGTCCACATACTGCGTAGTCCAACTCCGGTATCCGGCGGTTCGCGATGGGGAGACCAGAAAGTAGCACCAGGTTGACAAGTGTATGGATGTGACTTTCTTTGGTGAAGTAAAGCGTTAAGGAGCTCTCCCCATTATTTCTCGCTGCTTCCAGGTCTGATACCACATTGCGAAGGAGCGGAAGGGAGGTTAAAACACCAATCTCCTCCCTACCTCATTTAGTTGGGAGCAGCAATATACATTCCCAACTTACTTTTCATCAGGGTCAATGCCATATTCTTGGGGTGCAACCAGATCGAAAAGGGCTTTAGCACGGCCATAGAGTTCGTGTATTTTCCGGCCCTGGGGTGGCTGATGGGGGCCTATTTCCCCCTGTTCATTGAAGATGGCAAACAGAAAAGTACGGTGATGAAGAGCGCAATATTTTATGGTGTCGTACAATTCCGATACCTGAATTGAGATAAGTGAAGTGTTCACGCTGAGGTGATAGTCTCACGTACTCGAGAGGGGTCGAATTTCTTTTGCTCGACGTCGCAAAAATCCTCAAATAACTTTTCCCATCTCTCTCGGAAGAGCCAGGGTTCATCCCCACAACACCTTAATTTAGTAGGTAAAAAATGGGAGTGACAAAGAAGACCGACGCGCTTGCCATCGTTCCTGAATCTTGTCCACGTCCATCGTCTCAAAATTATGGCGCATGATATCCCTGAAAGAGCTCAGGAGCTCTATAACTTCCTACCAACTGTCGGAAATACGACTATTTTCAAGAGACAGACAGACCTTCACAACTTCCACAGGTTCTTTCTTCATGCTTTTTGGCCACGTTAATTCAGGTCTTTTTTCGGACTCTCCTGGCCTTAGTAATATTTTGAGTCGCTTCTTAACATCGTCCATAAGATCTTTCGCAGCGTTCGAGTCGTCTAGCAAATCTTTGCGGACAATGAGTTTCAAAGGGGGGGGATGAGGTTGTTGTTGTTGTGGTTGGGGCAAATTATTATTCATGAACCTGCTGGACTTCCCATCTGAAGACGAGCTAGATGCATTCGAAGACGGAACTGAGTAGCTCGGGTGCTGGGAGTCAAACAATGCGGCAGCAAAGATTTCCGCAGAGGCAATAACCCGCCTCTCTGATGATGTAAAGATCTAAAAGGCGTGGCGTTAAATTGAGCATGGGATGTGACTGCCTTTCTGTGCTCGCACCTTGACATTATGAAGGACTTCTTTGTCTAGAGGAACTCGTCAATGAAAAGTGGTTAAAGCTACCAATTTTGCGCTTACTCATGATAGTGATATCTTTTTTCAAGTTTTCTCCAAGGTCACGAGACTGGTACCTGGCCGAATGTGTGAACTGAAACTCGCGTTAATTAATGGAAGTCGCGAAGGTGTCTAACAAAAAAGCCCACCTCGCCACCCCATTTGAAAACGAGTGTGAGTTTGATAAGCTTTCTAACTTGCCCCGCCTGTCGTTTTGAGTATACTGGCTTCAACTGCGCCTTGGTGCCAGGCAAATCAATTTTACTGAAAAGGGCATTGCTGAGTTGCGTCAATTTGTTCAACTCCTCTCCATCCGCGCCGAGGCTCCTTGCCTCGTTAATCGCAGCAGCTATCCAACGGAGCTGTTCTTTCTCACGAAGAATTATTTCTTCGGTCTCTCCATTGAGCAGGGCTACGAATGGTTGGGTCCAGAGCTCCCCGATTGGAAAGTTGAATTTGAGCTTTTGCTAGAGTGAAAGGGGGGTTACAAAGTAAACTCAAGATTGCTACCAAGCTCTGTCTTACCTTGGGTGTGCGATCGGCGTGACGAAAGACAGTGACATTAGCCTTTAAAAGCCAAGTGGGCGCTTCTTGAGAAGCGGTCTCCGTTGTCGGCAAGGGTCTTTCCAACGATGATGACACTCGCATGCATAATGCGGCGAGGATGTCAGCAGCTTTATCTGAACAACAATGAATGGTTACGGTGGGACATACGCAAGTGAAGTGGAGAAGTACATGCCATAGTAGCTCTCGTTGCCCTTGACAAAGCTCCAGCCATTGACATCAATGACTTGGCTCTTTGCACCATTGTCGCATCTCAGCATGTCAAAGCCACAAACCCTTTGCCCAAAACCTTCACAAATCTTATCTGCCCAGGACTTTTCCTCCTCGTTTAACCTTGTGATGAAGCTAGTGACGTTACTTAGAGTAGCGGAGAAGAAATTTTGACCTGGCTCACTCACCGAATCTCCTTGCCCTCTGTGTTGCGCCGCACAACACCATCAACGACAGGAGACTTGCGAGTCTCTGCGTGGGTATATTCCTTGCCAACGGTGTAAACTTTGATATCCTCCGAGTTGTCCACATCTATAAACTGTTCGTAGATGTAGGACCCATCAGTCCTAGGATGATTCAGTGTTGGATCCAGTTCGCTCGATTTATTTCCGACCTAGACAAGTATTAGATGCCTTTGACAAAACGTAGCAAGGTTCAGACTTTTCTGAAAAGCCGACGACCCCCGCCGCCTCGGAAATAAATGTATACATTATGATCCTCGCCGCTGACAGGTTTCTCGACAAAAGGCTTTTCCATGACTTTTCCATCTACTACAATCGCATTGCCATCCTCTCGAAGGCAGACTTCGGGCGTAACGAGAAAACCCCCAAGAGTGACGCCGAGTTTTTTTTTCATGAGTTCCACAAGTTCGACGTCGACCTTTGGACCCCCATCCCTTGATACTTCAAGTCGCGTCGGTGTAGGGACCTTGAGATGGTCAAGCACCGCGCCTACCAAACGACGATCCCAGAGCAGAGCTTGTGGAGCAAGGTCGTTGATGCAAAACGGAATCCTTAAATTGACGTACGACATAGCCTTGTCAAGCGGAAAGTCCGTGGAGAAGAAAGATATTAAGATATCACAGCGCGGCCAGTTCTCAACATCTGTAGTGAGACGAAGGTAAAGTGTATGCGAAGCAGTGGAAATCACACAATCGTACCCTCGTCCAGGATAACTTTATCCCCAAAAACTTTGACCTCGATGGCTCCCCTGGACCTTTCTACGAGACGAGTAAGAATTTCCCTCATCGCTTTACTTCTGGCCTTAATGTCCATGGCGCAGACTCCTAGAACAACCAATTTTTCTAGAGGGAGCGCATTCCTGTACAATTTCGTCAGGGGTGGGTTTGTAAGATGTGGGTTTGAGATATCATTACCTGGAATCCATTGAGTCGAGGGTCAAGGCAAGATCGGAGCATGAGCCCGTCGATGAGGGAGAAGAAGACCTCGTAAAAATTGAGCTGGATCGAGGAGAAGATGAATTAAGATAGGCTGAAGTCCGGGAGTGTCGATCCCGCTGATACATGAAGCAGATGCCGCACTGGTGCAGTGCTGGGCCGAGGTTGAGTGATGCGAAGAAGCCTTGAAAAGACTCGCAGCTCAAAGTCAAGGCCTTGTCAAGACCAGAATTGGCCTTGGCGCGTTGAACTCCTGTCAACCTTTGCTTGACGATTTTCCGCCACCACACATTTCATTGACAGCCACCGCGGACTCCGATGGTGACGATGAGATGTTGCACTTGCTCGTCCAATCGTGAAACTTATTTGATGTAAGTTCGTTTCCTCTTACTTACCTGGTGGATAAGTAGGAGACCGACTCGGACATTATGTCCTTATTGAACCGAGCCATCATCCAATTTCCAGTTTGATCCTGAATCCTGATACTCTTGTCTTCAACAGTCACCATTCCTTTCTTCTACCACAAATTTGACCATGTCCTGGAAACCTCAGCGTACCCTACAGGAAGGTAGACCATATTTGCATGTGTGGAATCCAAACCAGATTTGTTCATCATGATGCTTTCAGTGAACGCGATTTTATGTGCCTCTGGCAGTCCACATGAGCTGCAAACGCGTCTTATCGGTGGCCAGCTTCAACGCGTTTACAAGAATTTGTGGCCATCATTACGGATGTTCTGGCTTTCATCTGTCCAACAGCACAAAGATGCTACCTACGTGGTTTTTGAAGACCTTCGGTACACATTTGGCCAGGTGTTTGAACGTGCTTTAAAAGCTGCCGCGATTTATCGGGATGTATATGGTGTCCGTAAAGGTACAATATCACCATTCTTGTTCCCTCGAGAAAACCCTTGTGTCTGACTCCTGTTCAAGGTGACAGGGTAGCCATCTGCTCCAGGAATTATCCAGAATACCTGGTGGCATTTTGGGCATGTCGTAAGTTTCAGGTTTACGATGCACAATTCGAGGCTTTTCCTCAGCCTCCGCTGTTAGACCTTATTGGTGCGGTTTCTGTACTGGCAAATGCGTGAGTAACGCGGGAAACGCGGGATGCATCTGGTCTGACAGCCCTTTTTGGGTTCTTTTAGTTGGTCGCCGCTCAACACCTTAGTTTACTGCTTGACGCATACCCAATGTAAGCTGATTATCGTGGACTCAGAGCGCGCGGATCGACTAGAGCCTATTACATCAAAACTCGCTCGTGAAGCGCAAACCAATGGTTTTCTGGTTATCGAATCAGGCGAAGGTAAAGGAGAATGGGCGGGTATGAAAACGTGGGCTGCTGTATTCGATGCGTACAAAGGCGATACCCAAAGCATCCTCAATGAGGATTTTGAGATTCTGCCGGAAGACAATGCGGCCATCTTGTTTACCTCCGGTTTGGATTTGCCACTAGCCAAATCATTGTGATGCGTTCTGAAAATTTCTCGTCCAGGGACCACCGGTCACCCTAAAGGTGTCCTGAGCACACAAAGGCAATATTTGACCAATGTTTTGAACGTGAGTCTTTCTGTATCTTCCATTTCCATCTCTCTAAGACCTTCCAAAAGGTTCTAGTTGGCAGCCGCAGAGCCACACTTCGACGAGGAGACGATATCACTGTTCCTCCCCCAGGGCCTCAAAAAGGAATTTTGATTTCTGTCCCTCTATTCCATGTCACGGGTTCTACGAGCTTATCGGTTTGCGCTTGCATTCAGCTGGTTTCTCACTTCTGAACATTAAATCAGATGTTGGCCACCTTATCAGGTTTGAAAATTGTCCTCATGCGTAAGTGGGATGTTGAGGAGGGTAAGAAACTTTGGGAGGACCTTCATTCTCTTGCTGACCTTGATTAGCTAACAGGTACATTACACATTGCATCCAAATGTGTTGATCTTGTATGCCCTGCAGGTTGATCCAGAATGAGGATATCGAGATAGCCGGCGGGTATGATATGATCTTATTTTTGTCGTATCTAATTTAATTATTGTACTTCGCGCAGTGTTCCTTCCATGGTAGCAGATCTTACAGGTAGCTCGAAAGCATGCCGTCCTTTGGCATCGCTGATGTTCGGTGGTGCACCTGCACCCGACTCCCTCGCAATGCGAGCGAAACAGGCTTTTCCAACTGCCGTTATGTTTGCATGGCCGCTGTAATGCTACGTGCACTTGCTAACTTTGCTTTCAGGAGTCAGGGTTATGGTCTAACAGAAACCAATAGCGTTGCAGTTGGTTTTGGTAAGCCTCGAATCCTTGGAACCTTTTCAAATGTCACATTATTTGGTAGCTGGTGAGGATTATGACAGTCGGCCGGCAAGTTGGTGAGTTGATCAGCCTGCACACTCAAGTTATCAACTTAAAGGTTAAAGTGGACTACCCACTCCAGTTAATGATATCGTTATTATGAACAACGATACATCCGGCCCTCCGGGCACCGTTGGTGAAGTTTGGTTACGGGGGCCCAATGTTATGAAGGGATATTGGCGTGATGAAGGTGAGATGATCATCAACTAACGATATTGGAATCTTACACCCATCCATAGGCGCGACTGAAAAGGTTTTTTTCCTTTCACGAGCCATGTGATCTCTTGAGTGATATTACTTCAGGCGCTGACTAAAGATGGATGGCTTAAGACGGGGGACCTTGGCGTGGTCGACGAAGAGGGATTCCTCTACATTCGGGATCGGAGTGAGCCAGATCTTTTTATATTTCGAACTACCCTCAACATACGTCATCGTAGTGAAAGATATCATAATTCGCGGGGGCGAGAATATTGTGAGTGGGGTGACCGCATCTGGTCCAACCGTCGCTAAACGTTCTCCAACATAAAGGACTCGGTGTCAGTAGAAAACACCCTGTATGCGGATGATCGTGTATTGGAGGTTGCAGCTGTAGGAGTTCCAGATATAAGGCTTGGGGAACTAGTAGCTGCGGTTGTGTTCATCAAACCAGGACACGGTGGGGAGGTAACTGAAGCATCACTCATTAAACTGGCACAAAAAAGGTCTGTCACCCTCTGACAGGTGGGTTCGAGAAAGACGCTCAATGCATCTGTAGCCTGCCAAGGTTCGCTGTTCCCGTCATTGTTGTCATCCAGAACGAACCATTCGGTATGTATCATATCACAACGTTGCCTGCCATGGTTAACTAGTTATACCTACTAATAGAACGTACGGCGTCTGGAAAGATCGTAAAGGAGAAATTGCGCAAAGTTGCGCGTGATGCATGGGGGAAGAGGGCGAACAATAGCCCTGTGCCCAAGCTCTGAGCCAGCTCTGACATGTTTCCAGTATTTTGCCAGTATTGTAGTTTTGTGGCAGTGATGCATGTGACACAAATTTGGCTTTCTCTGTTGAGCAAGGCCTGAGTGCTTCGAAGTCTTTCAACATTGCCACGGCCTTCACGACCTCGCAGACTATTTCATTCCTCGACGAGTATGACTAGGGCTTAAAATGGATCCCTCAAACTCAACTTCATCCAATGCTTCAACAAGCTCGAAAGGCCCTTTCGCTTACCAGACGCGACTTCTAGAACGCACATCATCGAGAGGTGCAAGCTCGCTGTCGAGGAGTAACTCACAGTCGAGCATAAACAACCTCATCAATTCTACTGGTTCTACCGTCGCCCCTGCCACAACACGTCGCAGGATACCAACCCATCGCGTTGGGAGTAGTTTGGACGTTGTTAGAGGCAAATTCGAGGAACTTGCAAGAGAGTCAGGAGGAGGGGATGATACCCTAATTTCCCCAGCTAGCCTGGTGAAAGATACCTACAGGAATAGAGCGCCCTCCACCCCCAGCGCCTCGGCTCTGGTCTCCTCCAAACCATTGGATCGTGAGCCTCCTACTCCGGTCAGGTCTCCTGTAGATGTCGAACGTCGAAGGACGCCTATCCATCTGAAGCGACGTACTTTACCTGCGCCAATCATCGCGTCTCCACTGTCTCCCAACGTAACTGGCATTTCCGTGGAGGTAGATTCACCATTATCGTCCATGCCCCATCGGATACACCTCCCAGATGCTATATTCAATCACTCCTCATCTAAGCATGGACCTACTAAACCCTCTCCTTCCGGATATTCTCGATTTCAACAGACCGATGTTGCGGAACCACACATGTCGTTTCGGACATCATCGTCGCCCGTTGACGCACAACCTGATTTCAATTTTTCCGCAAGTTTGCAACACGGGGATGAGTTGTTACTCCCGTCATCACCGCGTTCCTCTTCTTCGCCTACCCGACGCCGGCCTGTGTCTGTCCATGGTGCATACCCTCATTCTTTTCCTACAAAGGATATCGAGCCTCGACTCAGCTCAACGTCTAGCATTGTCAGGTCTACGCATTTAAACTCTGGTGCAAAGGCAACTGGAATTCAACAGCTCGGGATGAAGTTGTCGAAACCGACATCCGTGATGTCTCCTGTCCCGTACAGAAGTTCCTACATGTCTAACAAAAAATCAGGGGAATACAGTAGTACTTTGGGTATTGGTCACCACAAGCTTGGCCGCCATCTTCCACGGATAGCCAGTGGAGATGGGGATGACTCATGGGAGGAAAAGCATCAACCTTCCACACTTACGCCCGATGAAGAGCCCGTGCGTACTGACCGGCAGACGAGAGAGAGGCGGATGCAAGCTGATGGAAATGGTGAGACCCCAACACAGAAGTCATCAAAACCAGAGCGCTCTTCTCCCATTGCTCCCATTGCAGATGCTGTGATGGGCTTGCCAAATCGTATACCACTAAAGGCTCCTACGCTATCTCCCTCCCCGCTACCCTCTGCTCGCCTATCAGGTGGCTTGTGGGCTGACAAACAGAGACACCTAATTCAAGCTTACGAGTACCTTTGCCACGTTGGTGAGGCACAACAGTGGATCGAGGGTTGTCTAGGTGAAGAGTTAGAATTCGGCGTCGTCGAGATGGAGGAGGGACTGAGAAATGGCATTGTACTAGCAAAGCTAGTTCGAGTCTTTCGAGGTGACGCAGCTGTGCGAAAGATATACGAGGTCTGTATTTTTTACTGGATGGTGTCCGATTGAGTTGACCTAGAAATAGGCTCCGAAATTAGACTTTCGACATTCGGACAATATTAATTACTTCTTCAATTTTGTTCGTCACGTTGGCCTTCCCGAGGTAAAGGCCAATCTTCGACCCCCGAACTCAGATCTCAAGAGAATTTAGGGTTTTATATTCGAGTTGACCGACCTGTACGAGAAGAAAAACCTGCCGAAGGTCATTTACTGTATCCATGCTTTGAGGTACCTATCTTCCCTTATTCATCTTTCCAGTCATTAACTGCAACATCAGCCATCTTTTGGCTCGTCGTGGCATGGCCGAACGCATCGGAAATTTACTCGGCCAGCTTCAGTTCTCCGATGACCAGCTGCAACGAACGCAAAAGGGCTTGAAAGACGCAGGTGTAGCCATGCCTAATTTTGGGAACGTTGGCAGAGAACTGGCGAAAGAAATAAACGAAGAGCTGGAGATCGAGGCAGAAACCGAGGATGAATGTTGGTGACGGCTTCTCAAAAATAAGTTACCAAGTGGAACTGACATACTTTTAGATCGTGATCGCTTACTTCTAGAGAACGAAGCATCGATTATCGCATTCCAGGCCCATGCACGCAGCTTTCTTACTAGGAAGACGCAGCAGACTTTGCACGGAAGAATCCGACTAGCAGAGCGTCACATTTCGAAACTTCAAACTCACTGCCGCGGCCTATTGCTTCGGAAACGTTTGTTCAGCCAAAGGCGGGCTAGAATCAAATTAACGCCTTGGATTGTTGCCTTGCAGGCCATGTGTCGTGCCATTATCATCAGGAGGCGGTGGCATGCGTCCCTTCATCGCATTAAGACTTCTGTCATGTATGTGATCAAGGTTCAAGCTCAAATTCGTGGTGTTCTGCAGCGTCGTCGTTTCGCTCGTTTGAAGGCTAATCTCAGAAAGTTCAATTTCCCCATCATGCGATTTCAAGCTGTGGCTCGCGCACATCTCACTCGAAGAACGAGGGTCGAACTTTCGAAAACCTTTTTTCGGCCTGATGTCGAGTTGTCTATCATTTCTTTCCAATCGCTTGCACGTGGAGCACTCGTCAGGCGACAAGCCAGCTTGCGTTTCAGGATACTCAAGCGGTTTGGATCGACCTTCACCGCCTTGCAAGCTCATTGTCGCGGTATTCTCGTCAGGAGACGGATGCGGGCTCAAGTGGCGAAGCTGGAGAATGTGTCACACGTGGTGGTTCGGATACAAGCTGCCGTTCGGACGTATCTGGCAAGGAAGCGTCTACTTTTACTAATCCGTGGTCTCAGAAAAGCTACTCCCATAGTCGTGGGCTTGCAAGCTCGCGCCAGAGCGAGCTTAAAACGTCAGCAGCACCAGAGTATCAACAAGGCGCTGGCAGAGGTTCAGTCCGTCATTTCTGTTGGCAACTTGCAAGCACTTGCGAGGGCAAGTCTTGTTCGCAATAAGCACCGTCAAATCAACAAGAAGCTCACGGTGGCATTGCCTGATATCGTGGGTTTTCAGGCGACAGCTCGCGCATGGTTGTTGCGGCGGGACTTTTGCCCTTGGAGGGATCACCTGCTGCGAAGTCAAACGGTGGCCACGAATTTACAGGCCATGCTCCGGGGGACTTTGCAAAGGCGGGCATTCCGCGCGAAGATGGATTACTATTCTGCCAATCTACGTAAGGTTGTAATAATTCAGTCACTATTTCGCGCTAAAGAAACGCGGGAGCAATACCGGCAGTTAACATTGGGGAAAAACGTAACTGTCGGAACGATCAAGAATTTCGTTCACCTTCTTGACGATTCTGAAGCTGATTTCCAAGAGGAAATTAAGGTCGAAAGACTCAGGAAACGTGTTGTGGAACACATTCGGGAAAATCAGGCACTCGAGAATGAGGTCAACGATTTAGAGGTTAAGATTGCGCTCATCGTCCAAAATGTCAAGAGCTTCGACGAGTTGATCAAAGCGAGGAAAAGACATGGGGCGGACAGTGCTGCGGCACACGCTGCCAGAGTTTCTCTCTTGGCGGCGTATGGTGACCCATTTTCTGGCCCTAATACGCTCGATCAAGACGCGCGGCGGAAACTGGAGCTGTATCAACAGCTCTTTTATCTCCTTCAAACTCGTGGCGAATACCTAAGCAAGCTCTTTGTCCGTTCATCTGTGGAGACATGTTCAGAGACAAGCCGTCGTTTTATCGAGAGGGTGGTATTGACCCTATTTGGTTATGGCCAAGATCGCAGGGAAGATTTCTTGTTGCTGAAACTGTTCCAGGCGAGCACTCTTCCTTGTTATCTCTTTCGCAACCTACTCAGTCAACATCCAGCTTGCTATTAGGGATGAGATTGCTGCTGCATCGACTGTGAACGACATCGTGCGCGGTCACCCAATATACATCAACATCGCTGTTCATTATATTCGTCCGAGGCAAGTCACATACGTCAAGGATGCATATCAATCCATCATCCGAGAGGTCATCGATTCCGCTGATCTCGACCTTGAAGTTGACCCTTCTGTAGTAAGCCTTCACATCTACTTGCATTATTAGCGAACCTGCTCAGCATAACATCAGATTCATCGAGCGAGGATAGATGTAGAAGAAATGAGGTCAGGAGTGTTGAGCTCTCAACCAAAAGATATTCCTTTCCGTGAAGCCCTCGCGGATCCGGATACTAGAGGAATATACATTCGTCGTCAGTTCTATCATCCTCTCGTTTGCTGTGTTAGATTTGCATCATCTACTTAGATCTTCAAGTCCTCCAATGGTGGACAGAAGCATTTGTAACCGCCATCACTCAATCGACAAGGAAGATGCCATATGGAATGCGCTATCTAGCCAGGGAGACCCTTCTCAGCCTCCGGGTAAGTCTCTTGAGCATCGAGAATGTACTTCTGGCTCATTGTACTCAGAGCAAGTTCCCCGACGCCTCGGATGAAATATATGCCACATGCATAGGCCGTCTTGTGTACTATCGCTACATCAACCCCGCTATAATGTGAGACTTTTGCCCACTCCATTTGTTTTGTTGTACTCATGGCCACTGTCAGAACACCAGAAACATTTGACATTGTCTCTAAAACCGTCAACATAGCCGCCCGAAAGAACCTTGCGCAAATATCAAAGATCCTCACACAGATTATGAGTGGAGAGGTGTTCGATGATGACAATCCTATCTACGTGCCGATAAATGATTATGTTCGAAAAGCAATACTTCAAATGTCTGCCTGGCTCATAGAAGGTAAAACGTCAACCTCGTCCGCCTCCGTTATTTTTACATATCTTGCTGTTAGTTGCGGATGTACCGGATGCTGAGTCCCAATTTCATGCTCATGAATTCTTGGATGCGACTGTTCAACCAAAACCCATATATATCTCGCCAAATGAGATATATACCGTCCACTCTTTACTGTCTCAGCATCAAGATTATTTGGTGTGTCATCCGTCAGCAGTTTCTTCGATTTTGGTTTACGTTCATTTCAGAATGCAAGCAATGATGATACGCTAAAGGTCATTCTTGCAGAACTGGGCGGTGTCCCACACCTCGACAACGAAGAACTCAAAGATGCCCGAGATTCTGCGATTACACTTGAGCTCACGAATCGATTTGCCGACGTTCGTGGTATGTTGACTTGCGAGTATGGAAAATTTGCCTAGTCCTGAAGCTCGTTTCCTCGTAGACCCCCTTGCCGAAGAGAAAACACTTTGGGTTCAGGCCAAACGCGGCGTCCTCGCAATACTTCGAGTGCAACCGGCCCAGGATCTAATTGAGGCTTTGATGCGTAGGGTGACTGAGGATGATGAATTAATGTGGGAAGAAATTCTTGATGCTGAAATGGAGAACGAGATGCGGCACAATCCACGGCGCCAGCCATCCGCCGTTGCCAACGATTCGGCCTACCGACTTGAAGACATTCGATCGTAAGTGATTCCAGCTTCATGTTAAACCTCTAGCTCAGCGACCACGAAGATTAAAGTTTGCTGCTGTTAAAGCCCTTGCGATCGCCAACTTACTAGAGCTTGAGAAAGGCGGAAAAATTAGCCGTGCCGACGGATTCCAAGGCATTTTGAATGCCATTGCGGGTGATGTGCGCAGCAAGCATAGGAAACGCATCCAGCGTCAGCAAGAGATGACGAATATGAATGAAGCTCTTCGACAATTGGCCGAGCGGAAGAAGTATTTTGAGGAACAAATCGATAGTTATCACAGCTACGCCGAGACAGCAATGAATACTATGCAGAGGGGAAAGGGGTGCGTAGTTCAACCGAACTTGATTCCGATATTGACCCTTTTTTTATCTTTAGCAAAAAGCGCTTCGTCCTCCCATTCACAAAACAGTATTTTCATCTTCGAGATTTACAGAGGTCAGGACAGACTCCACAATTCGGATCATTCCTCTATACTGCCAAATATCTATACGACAAAGGCATCCTCCTTTCTATTGATCAATATTCCCCTCGCCAGTTTGACAAATTACAATTGACAATGTCATCCAATACGGCTGGAATCTTCACCCTGTCGCTGGAATCGACTTTGCTCGGAATTGTGACCCGGATCGCATCCGAAGACGTTCGAATGGAGGATCTTTTGCAAGCCAAATACGAAAAAAGACCGTCCTTGGCCTTGTTCAACGGCAAAGTGAAGGTTAACTTTGAGCTGTTTCTCTATCAGATCAACAAAAAGTATGGTTTACTCTTTTTAATCAGACTTCATACTCATGTACATTGCAGATTCTACGTTTGATGACCCTCCTCTGCCCGTCGTTCTGTCCCCTGATTTTGGCCATTTGTCTCTGTATGCACCATCTGTCTTCCCATACATTATAGCAACTTAGATACATTCTGTAACGATAGGCGACTGATCACGATCATTTGTATTTATCCAAAGCACAGCCTCAGGAGCAAAACGAAAGTCACTATAGTCTAACTTTATAGTCTACGACATGAGTTCCAACTCGAGAGATTGCAGCTTATCGCAGATCACCAGGAAATCGAATGTACCATGACTACAAGACCCAAGAAGTTTTAAATAATTCCGCAGCAATACAGCGCCTCCTGGTAACCTCATAAGATATCATGCTTGTGGCACCTGGCGGATCTATTATTTTGCAACGATAGGTTGCAGCACCTGCCACACGAGTGAGATGTTGTTCTGCTAGAATTTGAATTGCACCCTGACCTTCTTCGTCATCTCGAAGATACGCCGCTGTCCTGCAAACAAAATTGCAGCAGTTAGCACACTTTGTATAATTTTGCTTCCGATTCCCTTATAGAGTCCTTCAATGCCCTCTTCTTTCAAAATGGTCAACAGTCCATCAAAGGACGACTTGTACTTTTGGGCATTCGCCGATCCCGCTTGCAGTCTGCTCTTCACGACACTGAAAATATCGAAAATTAGCCCTCGCGTTACGCACGCATACATACAAAACAAACATATAGGGGTATGTAGCGCTGGTCGCAGCTGTGGAGTGTCAGCGAACAGAATTAAGTTTTCAAAAAGAAATTTACCAAGTTTCGAGAGCGCCCCTAGTAGGAAAAAGTCCCAGTCGGACAGCACCGCTACTGCAGCGGCAGCTCCAGCTGCACGAAGTTTGTTTGTGCGGCGAGCAACTAGAAAATTCTTAAGCTGCTCGAAAGCGGTGTATTGGATGATCGGGTTGATAACCAAAATCAGAGCAGGACCAAGGCCGCGCCAGAAAGCCCTAGGAGATCTTACGTTGATGTTTGCTTTTCAAAGGAATAGCTGGCATACGAAAGACCATCCTTTGCCAGAATGTTTTGTACGGTCTCAATAAAGCCAAGCTTCTTCACAACCACTGGCTGAGCTGAGTCGGAGCTCAACGTTCGAACGGCTTGAGACGTCTGTATGACCCAAATGGGATTGCTGATCACCGTGGTTGCGGAACCTTTCTAACTCAGTCTAGTACATAGGGTACAAGCAAAGAACGTACCTGCAATCAAGCCAATTAACATAGACTCCAGAGTGCTGAGGGCTTTGGTTCCTGATCGAGCACGAAGGATGGACTCCCGTGAACGTTCATAGAAGTAATAATATACGCTAAGTAACCATAAATTGTTGATATCACTCATCACGGTTCAGAATACATACCCATTCGTAATAGCGATGCCCAACAAACTTGAATTGAGACCACCGTACAAGCCTGTGATACCTTCTCGCTTGATAACGTCTAGAACGGCTTGATAGGTCGACTGAGTAAACAGGTTAACTCGGTCATTCTCTGAACGTGATGCGAATTAAAACACGCCTTGGATTCATTCTTCGTCTCTACTGCAGCACGGGTTGAAAGAAAGATAAGCGGGCTAGGAGCTTGTCAGGCTATCGTTCATACGAAGGTAGTAGAAGTTGATTGAACAGACTAAGTGACGGTCATTGCAACAATGCCACCTGCTGCGCCAGCAACGGAGTGAATCGCGGAGTCGCTCATTATTGGGGATAGGTAGGAACTGGAATCTCAAAGCTACGCTTCAAAACATGTATTTAAATAAAATCGACGTTCGACGAGAGCTCGGGATTCGGTTGTAATGGAAATGGAATCACATGTTACGTCCAGCTCCGTCACATGATGATGGTATGACATGCGGTAGACAGGACGAAGAACTGTCGCCGTCGCGCACATACACAGAAGGCAGAAACGAGATTACGTGCAAGGTCCCACGAACCCGATTATTTCTGCAACAGTTTTGGCAATGCCGCTGGGAAGGGTCAAAACCACGTACCTTAAGCCGTCAACGCCCACTGGCAGACACCTCCAATTGTTTAAGCATGCCTTTCAATTCCTCAATATCTTTCTTCAGTCCGTTTGCGCTGCCTCCAGCTTCCGCATTTGAAATGCTGTAGCCACCATCGCCACTGGTGGGTTTACCATCGTCTTGGTTCAACCAATCGTCCAACTGCGCTGAAAGCGATTTTGCTTTCAACCTGAAATGGGTGCGTATTATATCAGAGAAGGGTTCTGGCGGCGTTTTGAGATTTCCAAGCATCTAAATATGTAGTCGCTTCAGATCCAGGAGAATTAATGTTACATGAAATTTACCGCGGATTTAACCACCATTCGCCGAACATTTGCGGAGTCTATGACAGTAATGAGACTTCCTTAGTTGAGAGGACGAAACAAAAGACAAACAAGCCTGAGATTGAGGAGTCCCTCCGCTGGATGCCCACCCTGGTTCGTTCAAATATGGCTCGTCGCAGAGTATCATGGATTGAATAGAAATGAGAACCTGCTCTATCTTTCACGCGATTGCGGCACGCCCAGTTAGCTCTGTTACTCACTTGTAGCAATGTCGACTTTCCAGAAACCCAACCAGGTCCCGACCAAGTCCCAAGCAACGATAGACAAACTTTCCCGTCCTATAATCGTAATGAATATATGTTAGAGTCAGGAGAGGAGAGTCGTACAGCGTAGAGATTAGGGTTGAAGCGGAATTTGCCACCATTCGTCTGGCAGCAAATCAGTTTGAAGAGAGTCGCGTTCATTACAGATATTTACCGTCATATACTTTACATTGGGCGGTGATTGATTGTAGCTCGGCCCCAGAAAAATATCGAACAGGTAGCTATCTTTGAGTTTAACACTGGTTCAAGAGAAGGAGACCGGCGCACCATCCATTGTAGTACCTGTCAGACAAGCTATCAACGTAAGTCTTATGCACGGTGGAGCAAAAACGTACGGTGTTCCTTCAGGCCCGGTTATTAACGCCTTAATTACGTCCACACGGGTCTCATCGACCCTTAAGAAAATGGAAGAATCCCATGCAACTGGCAGATTCGTAGTCAAGATGGCGAGCTAGGTCAGACGATATTGACACGCTGACTCGTCGGTAAGATGAGAAGGTCGCTCACTTCTTTAGCTATAGCAAGGGACCGCTTGGGGATGTCGGAATTTGCAAGCATGCGGGCCTCATTGTCGTAGAAGAATTTGTAGTGGGGGGGCTGATCTTCTTCGTCGCTCGATTGCGCTTGAACAGATAAATCGCAGTATTCAAACCTAACTCGCGTAGCCCACTCCACATATGCCTTCCGAGCGCTTTCCTCTGTTGTCCCTGCTTCGACGTGAATATGTGGCGATGAGGAGGTAATGTTTGGTAAAGAAGAATGGAGGCGGTTCACAAAGGCATCGCCTTTCGTATCTCGCAGTGAACGATCGATAGCATTCACGGTCGCAAGAATGCGTCGACAGAAGTGGAGCAGTTTCTGATTTTCGTCGGACGTATTCTGGCTAACTTGTTGTTCAACCTTGCCCTTGGGATCCACTGTCATACGCTTTTGCTCCTCCGTGAGTTCCTCAGGAGCTGCGTCAGGGGCTTTGGTTCCCTCGAGTCCTTTTAAGGCAGCTTGGGCCTGGATGGCTATGGCTTCCAATAGCTCTCGAGGGCCCGAACTTCCTTCATAAACAATGGTGCGTTCTCGGATGCCAGAAGTGCATTTCTTTGTTGGTTTTTTGGCCGTAACTTTAACAGATGCAACAACCATAATAGGCATGGCCATCATGCTGGCTAGTGCTTCGTGATTGGAGATAGTCTGAAACCCGGAAAGTACATTAAAAAGGACGTATTTAACAATTGGGCAACACACCTCCAGCCATTCCAACAACTCATAGTAGAGAACAGACCTTTCTGACATGTCTGCGAGCGAATCATTTCTCAAGAGGGTACTGCAAACATGGTTGAATCTCCTTCGAAGGTGGGCCAATGTAGTGGGGTGGACAAGATAGTCGCTCGTTCGTCCTCCACCCTCTCGATGAAGGTTGGGAAGATATACACGAATAGCACTGAGAAGCTTTCCAATTTTCTCGTCCTTTTCACGTTGTGCAGCTTGTGCCTCAAGTTGGCCAGTGTTCTAGATGACCGGGTTAGTCATTGAAGCTGAGGAAACCAATTGAACCTACATCCTCTTTCTGATCTCCGGCATATCCAGTCCCACCTTTGGCTTTCTTGCCTTGCGCACTCCCATAGGCATGATGAATATTGTCTTCGTCGGTATCATGTGATACAGAGCCATTCGTCTTTCGACGCTTATTGTTCCTCGTCATTTGTTCTTTGCTGTCGGTTGCATCCTGATTTTTCTCAATAAACATTTGCTCGAGCATAGCGAGCCCAACTCCTAGAATGACCCCTTGCAAATTAGAACAATGGAAAAGGGGATCATTCGATGTTGAAGCGGACATCATCCGCTCCTTTTCCTGAGAAATTGGTTCACCACAGGCCAAACAGAATTCCGAATGACATCGAGGACATTTTTGCTGAACAGCTTTCCCGAGACGTTCAATGTATGTCGAAAAGTCGGCCTTACAAGATATCAGATATCAAGGAACAGCGGGGAGTATGAACTCACAACCAAGGCAAAAAAATCACTTTTCTTCTTGGCTATTGAGGCACCACATTCATGTGGACACGGGCATTGAGGTTCACTCAGATGGGAATAGAGTCCGAACAAGAAGCTTTGTTCTCCGCCTTCTGGACAGCCTTTCATCCATTGTCCTTGGGTCATAAGCTTGACTCTTTCATTAGTTTCGGGGATGAAAATTATTTCAGATTCCTCTTCAACTTCAATGACTTCCTCGCGACGGTCTTTGGAGAAGAAGATACCTGTAACAGTTGTGAATTTGCCTGGTCCTCTCTAGCTTTGTGTAAGTCAGTACCCGAGTACGGATCAACCGCAGGGACGCCATTGCTCGTATCTCTGCTGTCGTCGAAATCGGAGTCATAGTCAATATAGTCTGCGTCTTAAAGGAGATACGTCAGCTTGTAGAAGTCGGGCGATGGGGGTCGAGGGTAAGTACCATCGTCATCGTCGTCCTCTTCCTCGTCAGAGGTCATCTTGTCCTCGGGTTCAGAGATCTGGTAAAGTCATTGGTACGAGAAGCCATAAGGTATAATCAACGTGATTTACCGTTGCTGAGAATCGAGATTTACGAGTAGCTTCACCATCATCAAGCATCACGAAGTCTTCATCCCCTTCCTTGATGTGGTCGAATTTGCCCTCAAAATATCTTTCGGCTGCTTGCATGACATCCTTATACTGTCTCAGCGCTGCCCGCGCCTGTGCGGCAGTCGCTCCCTTGATCAAATCTTCTTAACTACCTAGATATGATTGAAGGCGGGTCACACACCATTTCCATTAGTTGCTGTATCTCATTCTCCATGGGAATTGTGCGGGCACCGGGATTGGGAAATCCCTTGAAGGCGGGTATACTTAACAAGTGAAACTTGCAAGAAACTTGAAGGATGCCAGCTGCCTTTGCGATAAATCATCCAATGCCTTACGTAAGGCTTGATCTTTTGCGAACAGTAAGTATAAAGGTTGAATACAGATAGTAAATCAATGTCCCCGACAATCAGGCTGAGCAGAACTTTAAAGAACGGTACCACAGTGCTGGGCGAGAAGAAATTCGAGTACATATATGATAGGATAACACACGTGGGTACATATTTACATTCCCTCGTCTTGTCAATGGGTTTAAGGGGAGAGAGTTCAGCGTTGACTCGGCATAGAAAGGGTGTCTTGGTCAAAGCCCAAGGGGTATGAGGAAAGGTCGCTGGTGAGGGCGAGGGTGTCTAGACTCGCCCGTTGACGACCGTTGAATGCAGAAGGTGGGTGATTGCTGCTCTCGGCACTGGTACCGGAGTCAATCTGGAAAGGGAATGATCCCAAACCTGACGATGCTGTCGATAGTTGGGATACTGTGGAAAGACCAAGCATCCGTCTGTTAGGCGGGGCGGGAAGGGGATTGGAAGACTCATGAGCTAAAGGTGATGGAGGGGCGACAGTGAATGAATGTTGTGCCAGTGGAGAACTTGGACCGTTGACGAAGGACTGGTCAGCCAGCGGGGAGACTGGAGGGGACCGTATGGGACGGTCAGAAATTGGTGATGGTGGCACGAACGGGAACGATTCCAGGATCGAGTCGGCACGCGTTGACGCCGCTGACATTGCAGAAGAACCAGAGATGGGTCGTCTCTTGTCGAGGCCTTGCGCCTGCGCTTGGGCCTGTGCATGTGCAAGAGCTCTCTGTTGTTGTTCTTGGAGGGTCCCCGAAGCAGCTGACGAAGGACTGATTAGTCTTCCCATGGTTGTCCTGAATGGCGAGCGAGGTGTGGCACCACTCCCCAGTGTTCTGAGACCGACGTTGACTCGAGTGGCACTGCTAATGTTTATGACCGACCCTGCTTGCGTACTCATGCTCGATGGGCGACTGGGCTCCCCAGATTGAGCCCAGGGTAAATTATGATCGCTGGGAGCCCAATCTGGAGAAGAGAGTTCTCGGTCCGGCACAGATGGGGTCTGACCAAATGTTGTTGTAGAAGGAGACGGTGATGCGAAATGTTGGGTGATGAGAGAAGAATGCCTGTCACTAAATGGGTCGTGAACCTCCAGACTTTCGTCTGATTCCTTGGGAACATCTGCAGGACCGAATGAGGTGGATGCCAGAGGGGAACCTACAGACGGCCTAGCGACAAAGGTGGAAGTCGGTACCTTGAGATTGTCCGAAGAAGGGTTAGGGGAAATGGACCCAGCATTGATCACCTCGGCCTTGACAACACCCAGAACCTGACGGACTGCACCTTTGGTCGGCATCATGATCATCGGAGCTTCATTCAGGAAATCGCTTGAGTAGCTTGCATTCGACATGTATGAATTTCTCGAGATGCCTGAGATACCCGAAAGCATGGAGGTTGCATATGGGTTCACCGTGCGAAGGTTATCATTGGAGACATTGACATGATCCAAATTAAGGTTAAGATCAGGTGAGCGAGTGGGTCGAACTGGGTGAATGGAGGTTGCTAAGGGAAGGGTTTGAGCGTCTGACCGAGGTGAACGGTGAGAATCAGCTGGTACGAAAGCAATGGGTATAACATTTGTGCCCTCCGAACCCGCCGTTTGAATGGAATTCGTGTCATCGAAGGGGTTGGCAAGGCCAGCTTGGTGGGCGTAAGTGTATGGTGGGCGGGGTACCGACGATTGTGCTTCTGGACCGACATCGACGGTTGCGTTCGACGTCGCAGAGTAAACTCTGACATTGTTATAATCTGAAAGAGGAGTAGGCTTTTCCGTTGGATCAGGCCGATTGAGCACGGTTTCAGCCGGAACTGGAACGTCTTTCTTAGTTTCGCGGGAAACCAAGGCTTTCCTAACTCGTGCCGTTCGGCGAAATCTGAGGAATAAAAAAATGGCAATGGCGAAAAAGAGGAGAGCGCCAACAATTCCACCAGCTAGTGCACCTTTGCTAACACCGCCCGAAGACTTGCTATTGGACCCTTGCGTTGTTACACATTTAGTTTGACTGCATGTATAACAATCCCTTAAAAGTAAAGTTAAAGAGCAGAATAAATAGAGAGAACGAAGAGGGCCCAACCTGTTGATACGAAAGCACTCCTGGTTGGCGGCACATGCGCAAGGCGCGGGATCTGGGCATTGGATGCAGTCGGACTGCCTTCCAAGAAGGGTATCAACGCGCATAATAAAGGACGGAAAAAAAGAACGTGAAGACGGGGAGAGGCCTTTTGAGCGAAAGGACTGCCTGCGTCGTAGGCTACAATGAGGGAGGGGATTCGGGAAGGACAACGAAGGAGGGTCGTCGATAGGATGTCACAGATCTTATGTAATTTAAATAAACAAAGAATAATAACAGCGCGGTAATGGTAAACCCAAGGCGAACCTCGTACTAGCGACCAATGAAGAGGAATCTTCTCATATAAAACAAAGAAATGGTAAATGCATCTGTGCAACTTGGTCCAGTTGTTCCTCACGCGATGCACGCCATCTCCGTGACTAACCTCTCCTACTCACATAATTCCTTCTCACCCCCGGCCTTGCAAGACATTACCCTCCACCTACCTCCTGGATCCCGCACCATCCTTATTGGAGCCAATGGAGGTGTGATGGATACTAACCCTGTCTGCCCTTCCCTGATCTTCTTCAGCTGGCAAATCCACCTTGCTTCAATTATTGGCGGGCAAAAGACTTGTCACTTCTCTCGGCGCTGACATTAGGATTGAAGGACGAGATGTATTCCGCGATTCACCACCTGGCGTCACATATTTGGGTACTGAATGGTGCGTGGCCGAGAACCTCCTGCCGACCCACCCTTTTTCAATCCAACCTAGGGCGATGAATCCAGTTGTGCGCAGTGATATCGCTGTCTCAGCTTTTTTGGATTCTGTAGGAGGTCATCAGCATAAAGAGAGGCGAGATTGCCTTCTTGACCTCCTGGACATTGATCTCGATTGGCGTCTGCATACAATTTCTGATGGAGAAAGGCGTAGGGTGCAGCTTTGCTTTGGACTCATGGCACCCTGGAAGATTCTTTTGCTCGACGAGGTACTTCTCGCCTCGTATTTCTTCATCTATCTACAGATATCTTCTCTTTTAGGTTACAGTCGATTTGGATGTGCTGGTACGCGATGATCTGCTTAGGTTCCTCAAAGCGGACAGTGAAGAACGGCAGGCAACTATTTTATGCAAGATCACTTCCCTTCATCGTTTGACATCGTCCTTGAACTAAAATTCCTTAGACGCGACTCACATCTTTGACGGACTGAGTGATTTTCCAACACACATCGCACACATGCGTTTCGGCTCGCTCGTAGAAAGTCCAACTCATTGGCCGATTTCCAATTCATCAGTTCCGGCTGCCCAATTTTCCGCGTCTTCATCTCTTCACAGCATTGCTTTATCCTGGCTCAAAGATGACAGAGTCTATCAACAAGGAAACGAAAAACATGGCAAGAAGGCCCGCGGTGCTCGTAAGAATGAGGTATCCTGTTTCTATTATGTCGCAGCCATATGTATCATGACATATCAACAGGTGCCCCAGGCCTTGAGTCCTGAAACATTCTATAAGAAGTTGGTATCCTTATATTTCGAAGAACAATGCTCACCTTCACCACGTAGATACGATTATAGCCATTGAGTGGTACTTACTCTCATAAATTAGAGGTCGCCTGGATTTGGTTGTGATCAGTTTATGTATGTTAGACAATGTGGACCTTTGGGAACACCAACACGAATTCCCCTTGAATTCCCCAGCCTGTAATCGATTTCCAGTTCGGAATGCCACCAAATCTTACGCTTAACGCCGTAGCTTTTATCTCTCCTCAAAACCACCCCATACTTATTCGCACATTCTCGAAACAAAATGAGCATGCGATTAAATACCATTATATTGCTCACACAAGCTTGGACGTTATCGAAGAACGAGGTCAGCACCGTTTTGGCTGCGCGGCGACAGTTTACGAGCGCCATGTCTAGTGAATGCCAGTGGAAAACAGGCTGGTGAATGCTACTTGGGGCTGCTGTATTCGATGGAAGACGTTGTGGTGTATGGATATGTCACCCCCTTGAAGGTAAAAATTGTTCTGGCTTTCGCCCTGTCAGACGCTATCGTGAGGGATATCGAGGTTACTATGGTCAGAGTCATCCTCGTTTCGTCATCGTACATTCACGACAATCTTTTCTTGTAGATCTTCAAAGCTTTGCATATGGCCTACTACTCAGCCACTTCAAACCCTTTTCTCAAGCTTGAGGCCTCCAACGGCGCTGGCAATGAAAAATCTCCATATCCCTCGGTTGCAAGTCAAAAATGGAAGGCTTTCAGAAGCCGGGTAGACGAAATTAGCCGCGTCGTTGGGAGTGCTGCGAATTCACAAGCCTCGTATTCATGATTCTAAATGCGACACACCACAAGGATTAGCTCCGTTCCTTCCTTGCATGCCATGACGCGACATATTCATGGTTTGTGGCTGGACAGATGTCTCGATGTCTGGAGCGCAGATGGACAGTACCCTTCTATTGACTCAGCCATCTGCAGATAACCGAGGTTGAGACAGATACGGGGTAGATATATTGTATCTAGACGTCAGTCAATACCCAGTAGGGCTCTCTGTAGTTGCTCCAGACTCTCTTTCCCTTCCCGTGCCATAACCCTGACAACATCATCCTCGTCTGTTGAAATCAAATACCCGAATGTGATACTGGCTCGCTTCAGCAAAGAGCCGGGCAATAGCAACGCAGAGTGGGCTTCCTGGATTGGTATACCATCAAGTTGGCTTGTTGTTCTCCTTATTAGTAAAACAAGAAACTGCAAGCCAGCCCGCCGAAGTGGTGGAAGCTTCGAATTTGTGGAGAGTGGCTGGTTCTCCATTTCCTGGTTGGATATATCTGCATCCGTACTTGTTGACGTCTTTCTCGGGGATCCGTCCTGCTTGTCAGGTGGCCGCGAGTTTGACATCGATACGGTCTCGACCTGTAAGAGGTCAATCATAGCCTCCGAAAGGCCATTGATGTAAGGAAACACAGCGAGTGGGCAAATGCTGATACAATCCGAGAGAATCGAGAGGGACGAGGTGCGCAGAACTGTTGGAAGGTGATGAGATTGAATAATTGTTTGTAAAGGTGGGATTAAAATGTCGGCTGGTGGGGGAAATTCAATGATAGAAGGTCTTAGATAAATCGGTGCGCACCAAATATGCCGAGTGCTTCCCCGCATCGCTTAATTACAATGCTCAAGGCCTCACCAACGCGTATGCGTACGTCAAGGTCGTCGTTGGTTAGGACATTAAGCCCGTTGAGACCACCGGCGTACTCTCCCAGGAGACCTTTCAAGACGTCCTTACCAAAGGTATCCACCATTACCGCCAATCCTTGTACGGCGTTTAAGAATATGTACGAATCGTCGTCTCGTATGGATTGTAAAAATATCGAAAGGATTGCGGGGACAAGTGCCGGATCTTTGACTGCTGGAGTACCTCGAAGCCCAGGGGACGGAGGACTGACTAATTGTCGAAGGAGAAGGAGTCCATGAGCGCGCACTGGAAGAATGGGATCTTGAAGTAATCTAAGCGCCTTTTGGTAAATGTCTTGTGCTTTCTCCTCCTTCGAATGTGTAGCTATTGACTTGGTGGATTCAGACACAAACCGGGCAGTTATAACCAATCTCGCTTCTTGGGCTAGTGGTCGCACGCCGAGCGAAGAGTCCCTAGCAAGTGGTTCCAGAAGATTGAAGATATCATTGAGTACGGGCGAACTATGAGCACAGAGACTATCATTGGCTGGGAATAATTTGAAAATCCGTTCTGAATCGTCGCCTTGCACTTACCTTCGAGAACCGAGAGGAGCAGGTTGACTGCCGTTTCAATGATATCGTCATCTGGTCCGATACTAGACGGATCCTTCTCGTCATCACTGTCAGAGTCACGATCCAGGTCATCCTCCCAGCTGTTGACGGTTGTCGGAAGCATTAGGTCGACCGTCGGCGAGACTGCAGCTTTGAATGGACGTGAAGGAGCAGGAGCAGCGGTAGGTTCCAAAACATGCTTGATAAAAGTCAACAAATGCGTTGTCTTCTTGAGAATGTTCGAAGTGGTGCCTTCAGAAAGATGCATCTGCATCTGCGTAATTATTTGGAGGTAAAGCAGAGTCCTGACAGAAAGTAGTCGAATTGGTGGCAAAAAAAAAGAAGCGTCGAATGACACCTACTGCATTGGATCGCTGCTGGGATGAAGCCTTTGGTCCCGATATTTTTCCAGTAACGTCACAAACAGATCGGATGAAACGTCCCCGCGGTCGGCCTCCTTGAGAAATTGTACAAAATGAGCTGGGTCAGGGTAGAGATTGAATAAATTGGAGTCCAAGTTAAACTCTTCTTTTTCCTCATTTCGGTCATCAGGCATCATCAAAGAGAACGAGGGCGGTTCTACCCCGGAACTAATGTGTCGTCAACGGGAAGTTAATATTGTGGGACCTATCAAACGTACGGGGCCACTCTCCAAAAATCGCTCTCCAGCCCCACACTCCACATATCGCCGTTGCCATGTTCAACAATACGCCACAGCACTTGAGTGGCTTCTAGACTGTCCGTGATTTTCCCCCACAATACTAGTATCCCTCGCAGAGACTCTTTCACGCGTGGATCTGACGTTTTGTGCCTCTCTAAATGATATGACAGGGAATATAAGGCTGGCAGGATGGGTGATAACAAGCTTGATATCAAGACAGGGGAAGGGTCAGAATTCAAAAGTAAGGTGACGATGACAGACAACGCATCAGGAGGCGATAGGCGCATAGGAGGGGTTGTAGACTCGGACGCCAATGGTATGGCTGGTACCAGAAGAAAAGGATCATGCAAAGCGGCCTTTACAATTGACTCTGCCATATCTTGATGTAGGAAGGATCCGTCAGCAGCCAGCATACGATACAAGGCGAAAGACCCTGCTCGTCTATAGGAAGCAGGTATTGTATCTGAAACCAGATGGATGATGCGGGGAACAATAATGGCGAAGTAGGTCTAAATAGGTATCAGGTGATGTTATGATCAAAGCTACTTGCTCACAGATGGAGCCATCTTGGATGGCACAATGACCAGTGTCCTAGCGAAATGCTCAAGTTTTTCCAGATCCACATCATCTAATTCACCTCCGAAAACAGCCTCACAAAGGCCCAGAACGCCCTCCGGCCTGAGTAATTGCCTTGTCAGAAGAGAAGCACACGTCTTGGAAACGTGGGGGGGCGGTGAAGGTGTGGACACGATGATCGTCCCAAGTGCAACCATCAACTGAGCTGGGGTTGTACTTGAATTATATACAGCGTCAAAAGGCAAGTATTGTAAATTATGTAGAACTTACATGGCAAGAATTCGAATGACTAGTGACCGAATTCCATTTCGAGTCTCTCTCCCATCGAAGGTGAAGTTCCTCGGTAGCCAGCCAAGAGCGATACCTGGCCGGAGAAGGTCCGCAAGGTGACGGTTCAACATAGCCATCGATATAAAAGTCTGTTCCACAGGTCCTTGGTCCCCGTCAGGAAACAGCAGGGACAGACAATGGAGTGTCATGAGGGAGAGCTGCTCCAAATCATCTCCCGACGGGGAAGTTTCCGTGATCATCCCCCGACCATTGCTCTCCAAGAACTGGTTCCAAAACTGGCTTACTTTCGAGAACAAAGGGTTTAGTCCCCAGTTACATACGATTGAAATCAGGGTACGAAGTTGCCCAAGGTCCCTTGCTCCGACTGCAGGAGGCTGGCTAGAAGTTGCTTGGCTGGTTTCCGGTGTCGAATCTTCCAAGCCGAGTATCTTTTGTATCCTTCGCAAAACAGATAATGATTCCTGTGCGGTCAATAATTGTACGTCTTCCAACGTCCTCAACTTTTGGGTTTCAAGTTCGAAGACACGAGGGGAATTGATTTGGCTGAAATATTGTGACAGGCGAGCCTCCAACACCGACTGTAGATTTGAGGGAGATACCGAGGAATGAGCAGTATCTAAGAGACAAGCTCCATCGCGAAAGGCAGTTGCAAGCTGTGACCTGATGATGTCGTCCATTCCGTCAACGTTGAGGGAGGAGGATATGAGCTCCGAGGTACATAAGTGACAACATACAAATATTTCTCATCCCAGCTTTGAAAGGGCTATGTATCTAGAGCTAATTACACGGAGATATACAAATTTGAACGGACAGATTCCTCAAAACATGAAGCTGTCCCTGAGGTTTCCGCTCAAATATTTGCTACTGAGAGGTCGGCAAGACCGTCGGCGACTTCCTCTACGTTACTTTCGATCAGTTTTGTTATCTGTATCGAAAAATAAGCAATCTGGTAAATGCAAGCTAGTTTCGACACACCTTCCCGATAGCGATGGTCCTCCCTTCATTGTACACCATTAGCTTTCAGGTTTCAATATTTTCAAACATCCTACCTTCGTCTCTCAAAGTGAAGCGTCCAAGTTGCGGATAATCTGCGAACCTCTCCACACATACGGGTGCCGTCGTTTCAATTAGAGCTACAATCTTTTGACCTATTTTTCGGTCAGTGCTCTATTCAAATGTATGCCCGTATTTCCTGACCTTTCTTGGCGAACTGTGGAGGCTTCTTCGATTTTCGTCCCGTCGCCTTGTCAAAATAGTGCAGTAAGGCCTAAAGATTGTTGAGTTGTGTGGTTTCTGAACAGGCAGAAGCCATACAGGCAAGGTGACCTCCTCTGCTAGGGTATGAATATGCATTACGGCCGAATATCCTGCGCAGATGATACTCTTGTGCTCCAGAATAGCTAGCTGGGCTTCAAATTGACGAACAGCATGGATAGGCTTTTGGGGATTCGTCAGCACAAACCCAGGACTGATATCCTCGTCATCCACACCCCGCAGCCGAATTCGGATATTGTCACCGCAGAGAGCTTGATTAACCTCCTCTTCCACTTCGTTGTAAATTGCTGAAACTTCCACGGATTCTCTATTCGGCATGAGAAGGAGGGTGTCGCCTTTTCGAAGGTGACCAGATTCAACCTTTCCTACGACGACCGTGCCCATGTCCTTGTATTTCTCAGATATAGGCATCATGAGGGGAAAGTGAATCTTGCGATCCACCATTGGCATCTTGTCGATATGTTCCAGAAAAGATGGGCCACTGGAAAATATTTTGGGACACACGTTAACAGAAAATAACGTTCACCTACTCAAACCATGGGCATGTACTCTTCGAAACTCGCTCTTTGAGATTTAGGCCCGTGTATGCAGACACGGGGATGAAAGTTACATCGGTTTTTGGATTAAATCCGGCCGCTTTGACAAAAGGTGTTAATTTGTCTTTAATCTCGCCGTATCGACCTTTGTCCCACCCAACAGTGGGGTCGTCCATTTTGTTGATCGCAATGACGATTTTAGAAACGCCAGCGGTCTTGACCAGCATGATATGTTCACGAGTTTGCCCTCCTCTTTCAAATCCCGTCTCAAATTCGCCTTTGCGAGCAGATATGACGAGAATAGCCACGTCTGCTTGAGCTGCACCGCTGATCATCGATGGAACGAATGTCTTGTGTCCAGGAGCATCGAGAATCGTGTATCGGCGAGCCTTTGTCTCGAAATAGGCTCGACCAACTTCAACAGTTTTGCCTTTGGATCGTTCTTGTGGTGTTGAGTCCAGTGCCCAACTAAGGTACCATGACTCGCGGCCCGCTTCCTTTGCCTCCCTTTCGTATTTTTCCATGGTACGCTTGTCCACCATGCCTGTCAGATACAGGAGGTTTCCCCCCATTGTACTTTTTCCGGCATCAACATGGCCAATGAATACGATATTTAGATGCTCCTTGACTGAGGAGATTTAGAGTTAGCTTTAGAATAAAGAGGGGAGGACGTACGAGTGCCAAACAGATCTTCGATAACAGTCTGATCAGCGACAGCCCTGACTTCCTGCGCTATCGCTGTAGTGTTTGTTTTCGCCTTTTCGGTTGTGAACGCTTTCGATGACGCTGCCGGTGTGTCGATCTTCACGATTGTGGCCGGAGCAGGTGACTTTGCGACCAGAGCTGGCTCTTGAGCTTTTGTAGCAGAAACGGGGGCGAGAGGAGGAGCCCTTGACCCGCCGATGTTGAGCGATATCGTTGGAGGCGGTGGGGGTGCTTCAGTCTGCTCCGGCCTTTCGACGGGAGGTGGTGGTGCTGTCCGTTGCTGGGGGGCTGTGAAGCCTCGTCCCGGAATGAATTCAAATGCGCCTGCGTTAAGTCTACTCATGGCAGGAGGAGAAGAGAGTTGTTCTACAGTTGTTATCTGAAATTTTAAATAGGCTTTTGTCATGACTCGGACTGATCCTTTGAGCAACCGCATTACTTATTCTCAGTAGGACAATCCAAGGGCATTATATACTCGGGAATATCTTGAATATTGGCGAGGATAATATGTGTGGCATCGTTTTTAGAGTACAGATTTAGGAAAGTGATCACGAGTGACCCCGACCGCTCAATATCCCAACGCCGTAGCCCGCTCCGCATCACTCACCTGCTTGCATGGCCGACGCAGAACCATACCACGCCGTTCTCAAGGCTTCATACGATTATTCTCCTCAGTCTGATGACGACATCGCTCTTACTGCTGACCAGTTACTCTTTCTCATTGAGAAAGTAGATGACGAGTCAGTGCTTCCTCTGATTCTCTAGCAATTACTGATGTTTTGCCTTCAGATGGTGGAAAGTCAAGGTAAAAACTGATTCGCAGGACACAGATAGTCCCATTGGATTGGTCCCTGCAGCATACGTCGAACAGGTTCGTCTATGTGCACAACGCGGCCCTCTTGATTTCTAACCACCAGCACAGGCTCATCACAATTCTGTCGTGAAAGTCGTGTACGATTATGAAGCTAGTGCCCCCGGAGAACTTACTGTCCATGAAGATGAGATATTACTTGTGTTCGAAACCGAGGAGGATTGGATATTAGTTCAAAGCCAGAAAGCTGATGGTGGGGCGGGATACATCCCCGGAACATATGTTGAAGCGGCCAGCTTCGATGACAATGAACCTCTTGCTCCAAATCGAATTGTCGTTCCTGATTCGGTAAGTTCTCGGTTTGAAAGATGCACTTTTGGTCGCTCAAAGTTCGTAGCCTCCTCGACCTGTCAACACTTATGTCGATCCTGCTGATCGAGTTGCTTCCACGAAAGTGGCCGCTGATGATATCAAAACGTGGCCAGTTTCTGAAATTGACAAGAAGGGAAAGAAGAAGAAGGGTACCCTGGGAGTCGGAAATGGGGCTGTCTTTTTTGCTTCTGAAGCTGACAAGGTCTGTTGCCTACTTTCTGACTTTCATAATCTCAAAGTACGTTTTATTAGACGCCCGTTCAAAAGTGGCGAACTCTTGCTATAGATAGCGTCTCCCTCGAGAAATCCAAGCATATTCACATTGAATTAAGCGATCCATACCCTATAACTCTTCACTTTCATGCTGGTTCCAAAGATAACGCGGATGAGATCGTGTTGAAACTAAAGTCATCCAAAGCTCTTTCGGAACCATTGAGAGAGGGCCAATCATCACCGGACGTTTCGCCTTTGGACACAATTTCGAAGGAAAGCAAGAAGGCTTCTGTGCACTTTTCTCCAGCATCTCCAGTCATAATACCAGACAGGACAAGTGAAGACGAGGCGCAAGAGGAGGAAGAGCAGCGGGTCGTATCAGATGTGGCCGACGCAGCGGTTGCTCTCTACGACTTTGCTGCCGATGGCGAGGACGAACTCTCAGTAGCTGAAGGTGAAGAGGTTGTGGTCTTGGAACGGGATAGCGATGAATGGTGGAAATGTCGAAATTCGAAAGGTTTGGAGGGAGTTGTTCCTGCGTCTTACCTCGAGGTACGGTGTGTTTTGTCTTTTGAAACGAGGAATCAAAATAATCCCTTCTCCTCAGTCGTCATCTATTAGTACTTCGCCCCCAGCCCGAATTCGACCGTCCAAGCAAAACGAGGATGATGAACTTGAAAGCACTCGAGCTGTCGTGGCTGCTGAGCGCGAGGAGGCTGAACGCCGCCAGCGAGAGGAGGACGAGCGTGCTGCTAAGGCACGCGAAAAGATGGAAGCTCAGGAAAGGGCGCAAGAAGCTGCGACTGCCGCAGAAGCCGAGTGGAAAAGGCGAAAGGAACAAACCGCTGCTCATGCAACGTCAGCGCCCCAGAAAGCGTGGGTCAATCTTCACAAAGCTCAACCAATTGTTGATCCCCCTCCTAGCCGCTCGACGCCTCAACCTGTAGATTCCAAGAAAGCGAAAGAAGAGCCAGTGGCTGCAAAGTCATCTTTGGATGGCACTCGTATGTTCTCCTAATCGATTATTTTAATAAGTCAGTAACCCATCCACTTTCGCAAGGGCCGCCACCCGAAAAGACTAGAGTGTGGCATGATCGCAGCGGACAGTTCCGCGTGGAAGCAGCATTTCTTGGGTTCAGCAACGGCAAGCTCAGATTACACAAGGTGAATGGCGTCATTGTAGAAGTGCCTTCAGAAAAGATGTCACTGGAGGATATGCGTTTCGTGGAGAAGTTCTTAAACAAAAGACAGAAGGGTTCAGGCATTTCTGACGACGACATTCCTCTCGCTATCTCCCACAAGAGAGAGTCGACGCCACCAACGCGAAATCAACCATCCCGCAAGGCGCCGAAGATTGACTGGTTCGACTTCTTCCTTTCTGCAGGATGCGATCTGGATGACTGCACTCGATACGCCGCATCATTCGAGCGTGATAAGATTGACGAAAACCTGCTGCCTGACATAACTGATGCCACAATGCGTTCATTAGGATTGCGAGAAGGAGACATAATACGGGTCACCAAAGCCATTGAAAAACGAAAGCCTGCCGATAATCTAATCAAGGCCAGTGCATCCATTCAAGGGCAACTGCGTCGTGATGAGGAGCTTGCCAAACAATTGCAGGCACAAGAGAATGGTGCACCTCCCAGGGCTTCGGCCCCTAATCTTTTTGCAGGCCCTGGGGGTGTATTGAAAAATCCTAGGCGTGGACGGCCTCAGCCTAGCAAGAGTTTGCCGCTGTCAAACGTAGATCTCGAAGGGTTAACAACAGCCTCTGATCAGATGCAACGAACCAATTCTCCACAAGCCATTAGCCCGGCCCATAATAGGCCTCCTTCAGTGTCTGCTCAGCCTTCTCGATCCAGCTCTGCACTGGCTACCCCGGGCGGATTCGACGACGATGCATGGACAAATCGACCGAGTTCTACAAAACCTCTCGTTGGAACGCCTCCCCCCACGACACCCCAAGTATCCTCTGTGCCGCCTATGTCTGGACCTTCAACACTCCCGAAACCTACTCCAACTACAACAGCCCCCCCTCCACAAGAAACGCATCCGGTCTCTACACCAGCAACTTTGACTCAAAAGGCTAGTCTCGCTCAAACGACAGAGGATGACATATTCCAACAGCTCGCCCGTGTAGCTGAGTTACGAAGGACGACCCCTTCGCAACCCCCACCTTCAGCAACACCGCCCATCAATGCTCTCCCTACTACGAGCTATTCTGCAGGGTTGGGAATGGGTACTTCCCCCACTCCTTTGGGACAACTTCAGTCTCAACCAACTTATTCCCCACAACCTTACAATGGACCCAGAGGACCTTTTGCCCCCGTTCCGGCCAATCAGAGTTTGCTACAACCCTTGATACCAACTCAAACAGGATTTGCTAGTTTCGTCCCAACAAGGCCTAGCAACAGTGCACCACCTTTCCAAAATGCGATGTCCCCGTCGGCATATCTCCCACCGCAGCAAGCTGCAACTGTTCTGCCCACTTCTCAGCCGATACCATTTCAGCCAACGGGCATGGGCTTTGGTGGTTTCGGAACGGTGTCCCCATTCCAGAATACTTCTGGATTTGGTCAGGTGCAAACTCGTACGTATGGACGATCTCTAAACCAGGCTATGTGTTAATACACCGCTTTTAGACTCGACAGGATACAATCCTAGCGCCATCTCACCTTTTAGCAACGGCGTGTCCGTCCCTCCGCCTGTCCCACCACTTCCGTCCTCCGTATCCAACAACACATCCCCCGCAAATGTTTTCGCTCAAATGAAATCTGGTACTTTCGCGGCAGATGCAGAAAGCTCAGCCCCACGACCATCAGGTACGAGTGTGTTCCATACCATACATATGATTTTAGAGTGACATCTATCACCCAGACATGTATAACGCCCTACGACCCAATGGTATGTATTAATAATTTCAGCTTCTTTCTGACACTCACATTCATAGCAATGGCTGGCCAAGCTGCATGGGGTCAAGTGTACCCGTCTTATACGGGGTACCAACACTAACCATCATGGTTCCCCTATTATTCTGCATTATGCGGGAATATGGATACGATGAATTATTATAATACATTGTTCATACCGAAACGTCTATGATGCCGTGTGCATACCCAACTCGGACAAAATATGTTTTTAATGCCAAACGAACTTCGGCCGCCATTTCTCGTGATAGGAGGTCAATGGCCAAAGGATAAATCGCCGGAAGATATCTTGAGAACTATGGCGTGATCAGTTACGCAGAGAAATCAAAAGTGAGCAATGAGGACTAACTGCTTTGTCGTCAAATCGACAAAAACCGTCCAGGATTTCTGCAACGACAGGCGTCCAAGCAATAATATTTTTGCTTTGGGTATCGGGACGTAATTTATTGTAATCCTGAAGGACTCCAAGTCCAAGCCTATGATCTACTTAGGTGCGAAGCTGCAATATAAACAGGTTACGCACGGGAGTAATCGTTCAGCGATTTGAGGACGAGCGGCTTGATGTTCCGGTCGGGAATCATAATACATCCGCAACAGGACGTGAACCAGTGTCGCAGCACTACTAGATTCTTGTTTCAACAGGTTCGGCAGGTGCTTCATAAATCCTGTAGATTGTTGCATACACCAGAGCTGACGTTTGATCGTGCCACTCACCGACTTTCCACAATCCTGTGCGTAACTCCTTGTCATCGTTGAACATACGCGCAAATTGATAACTGTGATCAAGGACTCCCATCAGACGCAACAGTTGTTCGGGGGGTATAGTGTTGTAGACGTTCTCGTTTCGCAGAAGGTCATTCGTTGTTTCGATGAGAAGCAACTGAAGAACACATTTTACAATAATCTGCTTGAAAGTCCGACGTCGATCGGCGAGCGTTGCTTTTGCGGCTGCTCTAGGTTGCTCGCTGCTAGGAGACAGCGGCGCAGGCAAAATGGCAGCAAGACCGTTAGATTCTGATGGGGATATTAATTCCACAATCTTCGGTAAATTCATTGATAACTGATACCTGCTGTCTCAGTGACTTCTGGCGCGTTTCCGTCAATTTCAACTCGTAGGTTATCATCGAATAGCTGATGTGGAGTGGTTGTCCGGAAAAGCCTCACGAATGTCGTTGTAACTCTTTCCCACCGCGTGGAGCTTAGCTTGGTCATGTTATTTTCAAGTAGCTGTTGCAAGCACGATGTGCCAATCCGAGCTAAAGTATCGTTTTCTAATTTGGAGAAATGCGCTGTTAGAAACGGTTGAAGGACGATCTGCGCTGGGAAACCGTACCTTGGCATATACAGACACACAGTAAATCGAGCAGGCCATCCAAAAAACGTTCCAATATGTCAAAGTAGAAGGTATAAAGATCAATCAGATCGCGAAGGGCTTGGATCATAGTCGTTGAAAGCCAGACGCTCATGTCCTCTTGCGTATTGAAACGTGATAAATCTTGGCTTGACTTGAGCACCGCAAACATAGGGAAAAGCAGTTCCTGGCAGACTGTATCCCAAAACTCTAAAGGATATGTTGAACCATAAGTTTTGAGCGTGGTGAAGAGTGAGTCAAGGGCACTGTGAAGAAATAAGAAATTATGGGTACAGCGAGGACCAAGAACATACAGTCTCCTGACTTCGAGGTCTTCCCCGTTCATAATGATATCATAAAAACCAAAAAGAACGGGAAACCAATATCGAATCATTTCATCATCCATCGGCAGGTCCGGATTTTGATTATCGACCTTGAATGAACACTCGGGACATTCTAACATAACTGGGATTATGCCTCGCAACATCGCAATTGCCAAGAGGCTGATTTTTTGGTACTTGCTGACTTTCGAAAACTCGGTGATGCATACTGTTAAATCGGCGAACGCGCCATATCGTACAATCGCCGGGAAGTGGTCTTTATTGAGCCTAGTCACGATCTCGAAAGCAGAACTAGCTATGTGTTCTTTAAAGAAAACCGAAATTAGTCATGCCGCATGCCCCAGACAGCCACTAACCTGTCAAGACTCTAGACGCTGCGGAAAAGACACCAAACATCGTACGCCATCCAGATCGCATATTCTGAGCTCTAGCTTGGATCATCTGCTGTAGACATTGAAGGACCTAAAGCTGTGTTATTGTTAATTTGGTGGAGAAGAAACGAGGAAAATACCATGTCACGAATCTCTGGATTTTGATTATGGACCATAGTGTACTCAAAGGGTTTTAGAAAATCCTTCTGGAATTTAAAATGTGCTAATTCCTCCTTTTCCAAAAATCGCATTGCAAGTTGGCGAAGAGCGTCCAAAGCGAAAAACCCAACGTGTGGATTGTTGTGACAACAGACCTAACGAAACGGGTAAGTCGGCGCACGTGGCTAAATCAATGCCACTCGCTTACTTGATTAAAATGCTCTCCTAGAATATCCCATAGGTTGGACCACTCAAGCCGGATACGGGTCATATTATAATATGAGATTTCCACCAGCTTTTGAAGGCTAAATAGCCGCGGATGTTGGGAGAGGCCTGATGACTGTATTTCTTCCCATGAGACGTCGCACAAGGCTTGAACAAAATCAACAATGGCAGTCTGCAAGCCCAATTAGTTCGAAATTGCATGCGCATAACTGACTACTTACACCAGACAGGAAATGGCTCAACGAGAATACCATATCAGCTGCGACGGTGATGTGAGTCGATCGACTCTCGTTGGCTAACTCCTCTGTCGGTAGTTTGTGGGTGCGTCTGTCGCAAAGATGTCAGTCCCTGAATCACAGATTGAGTAGAGAAACTACAAGCCCTTTCTTTCCTGGATCTGAAACGTCCAATCCGCTGCTGATCAGTTGCATGTGTTCGAGTTGACTGACGCAGGTCAACACCTCATGCCATGACCCTTTCAAATTATTGCCTTCTGTCACTGCAACATCCAGCAGGGCTTTGATGGCCTCCATGTTTTTAGTTTTCATCTCCCCAAGGTTGTTTAAGAACGTGAACTTGGCAAGCGTTGTGACAAAAGCGTTTCGTTGGAGTTCCAAGTCAAAAAAGCACACAATTCGGATGGCATTCTTGAACCCGTCCAAGCATAATTCTACAACTTCGAGATCGTCGGTCTCCTGCAGTGGACCCGACAAGCCAGCTAAAAAAGGGATCCATGCGACTTCAAACATTGGCCGCACATGAACGAAGTGCGATGCGCTGAAAAATTGGTCGCCGCCTTTGGGACCCTTTCGTTGGGAACGCATCATCGTTCGGAATAAAGCCTGGCAGAACATCAGTTGGCGGGAAACGTGTATTGCCAATGACACACACCTCCGTTTTGTTTGCCATTCCATTCGATTGCATCACGTATGCTTCCTTTTGTAAATCTCTTCCGACGCTGGCAATAAACCCGGGTCCGGTGGATACAACGCTAAGACCAGCTTCAACTTCGTCCTTCATTCTGATCTCATTATTGGCTATATCTTCAAAAATTTCTGATAAGAGCTCCTCAGGAAGATCCGAACCGTCGTTGATGCCACGATTATTCTTGATGAAGTCAGTTTTAGTCATTCGCTTTTTTACTTGAGGATTGTACGCGTCCGTGTTTAGCATGATGACCGAGTAAGCAAGAACGTACGCCGTATCTTCAAATAACTTATCAGTGAAATTACGAAGATAACAGCAGTCACTAATCTCACCAGCGTTGGCGAATGGCGTCTTCGGATTTCCAGCGATATATCGATCCGCAAATTTGAGCATATATCGGTCAATCTTCTGAGCTTCACCAGGTAACCGGAATGACTGCAGGAATATACGCAGTGCATCGATAAATGGATGGTCCTTGAAATCGAGTTGATCCACAAAAGCATGCATGATAGAAATGTTTTCCTCATCACTGAAAACTTAAGTTTCTATCCATCGTCAAGTTGATTTAACGGCTTACCCTTCGCCTAAATATTCCCCAATCATGGATTTACTGAGACCGTCGGTAGTAAGGAGGAACGTTGCGATATCGCGGGGATCCTTGCTCGCAATAAAACCGGCTTCAAGTAAGAATTGAATTCCCTGTTATAAACCCGTCAATGTTTTACCAAATGGGACAGAAACAGATAGACGGACTCGTTTTGGCTTGAAGTTGAACTTCTTGATACCCTCCATTAATGTGGTTTTCTTTTGTTTGGCGCTCTCGAATTTGCTGGGATCATCTGCCAGATCGGGTGTTGATTGCCTTAGTGTTTCAAGGCTGCCGCTGTGGACTGGAAGCTTATCAAGACCGCGTTCTGGGACGGCAGCATCTCTACGCGCATCATCGCCTACTTGGGTTCGGGCCGACGAAAGTGCAACAGTCACTTCGTCAGCCAGCTTGCCTGTTGCTGCAGTTCCCCACACCACAAGAGATCTAAGAACAGCGACAAGACACTCAAGACCCTGTCTCCTGAGTTGGGCGTCGGAGAGCCCCATGGTCGACGTATCCATAGTTCCAGATATTGCTAGACCACTGTTACTCCAAGAGATTGGAGCGCCTGTTTGGTTTTTTGGTGTTGGACTTAATGCAGGGCTGGGCGGTTCGTTCCCTTTCTGTTGATGCGACTGGGTTGACGAAGTTCCAAATTTAGAGATGATGTTCATTAAGCTAAGTTGTAGTAGAGTTAATATTATGTATGCTGACGAAAATGAACAGAAACTTACTGCTCATAAATGTTGTCTGCAGCCTCACTATCACAGTCATAATTAAGATAGATCTCCACCAATGCTTGTGGATCTTGACACAACCTGGAGAGCATTCCGATAATGACAGCCTTTTGTTTGAGTGTAGAAGTCCTCATCTCCAGAATTGGGATGAAAATTTCATGTAATAAGACCTCAATTTCTTTCTAAGAATGAAGAAATCAATGCATATTCGACGCCGTGACTTGAAAACCCACTAACTTTCAACTTGGTGCGCATTCCCGCGAGAACACGCCAGAAAATTTCGACGCTAATTTCGAAGACCTGTGGAACGGGGCTAACTGCATTGCGACTCAAACTGAGGCAAAGGTATTGGTTGATGGCTTGAACGAAATTTGTGGCTTCATTTGTGGAGCTTGAATAAATAATTGCCGTTGGATCCACAAATAATGACATGTGTGAGTTGAGAACCGTGAGGACCAAGTGCAACGACAAAAGTTTCGACCGCATGGGATGCGATTTGGGATCGCGCTCGCTAGAGGGATATTATTAAAATCACACTCTATGTGGCTATCAACATACCTCTCAGTGTTCAGAGGTTTCATCGTCAGTTTGCAGAGGGCTCTGAAAACAAGGAATGCATCTTTGATGAATAAATCGTTTAATGTGGGCCGGTGGGTTTCATGCTCCTGCTCAGGCGACGAATCTGGGGGAATGCTTGTTTCCAAGCTTTGTCTAGGATAAATCAATGGAAATCAGGGCTTAGAGTACTATTCTTCCTACAAAGTTGAATGTGCCTCGTCTCCGTGACGTTCAATTTCCTCACCAATTGGCAAGTCCACGAGAGACGAAGGTTCTTGGGAAGTTCCCGTCTTGGATATATTGTTTAGACCATCTGAACTTCCATTCGACTGAGGCTGTGGGGTGGATTCTGACTGTGAGAGGGCGAATGATTCTGGGTTTGAAACATGAAGATTGTCTTCGTTGTTGAGCGGAACGTTGGAATCACTTGAAGATTTGATGACGCTTTCTTGAGTACACCGAGTGAAAACATGGTGAACCATTTGTGTCAAGCCTCCTTGGGCCACCATTTGATTAACAGGGTCCGAACTTAAAAGAAAAACATTGTACACAGTTCGAACAGCCTTCAAGAGTGAAGAGTGATGCACGATGATTGTGGGGGATAAAACAAGGGATAGCAGAGCTTTGACAATTTGCAAAGATACTGGATCGGGTGTCGTTTCTGTATGACATGACGTAATTGTATGGGCTACGAGGTCCACCAAAGATGGCTGCGGAATTGAGGAATGTGATCCCGTTGTTGAGGTACGCCGACCAGACGGGTGAGGTGAAGGAGGCGGCGATGGAATAGAGTGCGCATAATCCGTGTGGTCCTCAGCAAAGAAAGAATATGAAATGAGCTTCGAAATGCAATCCAAGCTGGCAACGGTAAGTTTCTCATTTTTCGTCTCGCAGGCCAGCCTAAGGGGTTCAAATATTTCGCGCGGTCGATCTCCACCTTGGTTTGATCTAATGAGTTCCAGTGCCCGCTGTGTGCTCTCGCGGAGCGGTGTAGACCTCTTAGCTTCTTTGGAGGCAGCTATGATATCCAGCGCACTCGAGATCAGGACCACGGACACATTCACATTGTGCCCCCTTGAGATCGTCATAGAACGTTTATGTGCGCCAGCCGAAGAGGCACTTGTGCTTGATAGCGCTGGCGACTGCGGTCGGGAGACATGGGGATTATTGGCGGTCTTTCCAGTAGAAGATGAAGGGCGAGACGCCGTGACTTCGCCCGAGGGTTGGGATTTTGGTGGTTCTAGTGTTGGAAGAGCGACCTCAACGGTATCATCCGCAGTGGCTGCATCTTCTACCAACGCAAGCTGAGTGGTGATGCCAGCTTTTCTGTCATCAAGCCCCCGACCACTGTCCACAGCTATATTCTCAGAGTTAATCTCATCTCCCGACAACCCCAGCGCGGACGGCTTCTCTGTCTCCACGTAATGGTTGGACTCCTCGAGGGCGCTTAGAACCAGTTCAACCTCTGGAATTCTCTCAACGGCGTCGAGAGGCGGGGATGGTGAGGAAGCGACATTGTTTTCCTTGTCCATCCAGGCTGGGAGGGTATGAAGTTGGAAGTGTCGTTGCTTATGCAATACTTTACACACAAAATTTATATCCTGAATATTGCCTGAATAACTCAACTTGAGCTCGAAACAATGGCAGGTCCATCAGCCCCGAGTTCAGCTTCTGCCGCCGTTCTACTGCCTTCTGACCCTATTCCTGACACAGCGGTGTCCGTTCAAGGTCCCAATTTTGACAATCATCTCACCATCCAAGAACTCTTGGAAAGTTATGAACGGATCGGGTTCCAAGCAAATAGTCTCGGCCAGGCAATCTCTATCGTGAACAAAATGGTGTGTTTTTTCGTCTTACCTCCCAGTATCTCTTTAGAAAAATTATGAAGCGTAAATGGCGTCTGTCAGATGAACCTATGGCGGAAGATGACTCTGACGATCCCGACGTGCGTGCGCAAACCCGCTGTAACATCTTTCTTGGTTATACCTCCAATTTGATCTCCTCCGGCTTGCGTGAAATTATACTTTATCTCGTCAAACACAAGCATGTTGCTGCCATCGTCACAACAGCTGGTGGGATTGAAGAAGATTTCATCAAATGTCTTGGAAAAACGTATCTGGCCGACTTTAATCTGGATGGGGCCAGTTTACGAAAGAAGGGAATGAATCGCATTGGGAATCTCATCGTCCCGAACGACAATTATTGCAAATTTGAAGATTGGCTCACTCCCATCCTTGACACCATGCTTGCCGAACAAAAAGAGACCGGGAATGTCTGGGCTCCCAGTTCATTTATACGAAGACTAGGGAAAGAAATAAACAACGAAGAGTCTGTCTATTATTGGGCGTATAAAGTGAAGATTTGCATTTTTCGGCTTTGATTTCTCTGAATATATGCCACCTAGAACGACATCCCTGTATTTTGCCCTGCACTTACTGATGGTTCTATTGGGGATATGATCTACTTCCACTCTTTCCGCTCGCCGGGTTTGATTTTGGACATTGTGCAAGATATTCGTAGTCTAAACGAATTGTCTCGGAGATCCCGGAAAGCAGGAATGATTGTGCTTGGAGGTGGCGTTTGCAAACATCAAATTGCGAACGCAATGTTAATAGTAAGAGGCCTAATCGAAACCAATTTCACTTCGCTAAGTTGAACGCCAGCGCAACGGTGCTGATTATTCGGTTTTCATTGTAAGGGCCAGTTGCAAGTTGATAGCAAAAGCAACATTCGACGTTTTCCACACAGAATACAGGTCAAGAATTTGATGGCTCGGACTCTGGTGCTCGTCCTGACGAAGCAATTTCTTGGGGGAAAATACGAGCAGGTGCTGAAGCAGTGAAGGTGCGCAGCCACCTTCTTCCGGAATGCACATTATCTTACATCTGCCTTCCCAGGTTTTTGCTGATGCAACTTTGGTTTTTCCGTTGTTAGTTGCCGCCACTTTCGCGAAAGATGTGACGAGGGAAAGTTGAAGATAAAGAATCAGAAAAACGATTGCCGATGTTGTCGGACACCAGTAATGCTCGCATTTTCCCAAAAAGCTGAACTGCCTTCATTTAGAAAACCATTGGTCTATTGTCTCACTACCTGATAAATTCTCCTCTCGCTGTATTCGCCGACGCTTACTGCCAACTAATCAGAATCGATAGGCCTGATACAAGAGGTTCTCCTCAAGCCGGACAGATTACATGCCGATCGAATTATGGATGTAGTGATGCCAGCACATTTAATCCAATTGATGGAACGCCTTCAGAACTTGAGCAATGATAGAAACTGCTCGTTTCAAATCCTCGAGCTAACCGTCACTACGTCAGAAAGCCCTTATCAAACAAGCAAGCTTGAGCTAGCTACCTTGGCGTTACTAAAGCTCACGCGGAAATGACCAAAACCCTCTTCCTTTTCCGATACCGGAGTTGCGGAAAACATGTTTCCTGAGAGCTAGATGTGAGCATAATCACGATTCTGACATGCACATGTAGAACACACCAGGCCCAAACAGTACTCCAGCCTCCGCCAAAGCTACCCAGAGTTTGTTTTCCAATTCTTCAAGCCCGAGGGTTGACAATGCAGGGTGGTTATCAAAATTTATCTTCAACTAATGAGCATGTCAGAAAAGAATGTGTAAAGTATTATTTGCTAAACCACTCACCCAAACGAACATCCCCGAGGCTGGAGGCACGAAAGAAAACAGTACTACGGGGTGAGACTTTTCAGCCAGATACCCTGATTTATCGACTCTGCTCCTTTGCGAGGCATGGTAAACATCGCAACCCTCATACATGCCGTGAATGGCTGGCTCGGTTTCGAGATGGAATTGCTCAGCCAAACAATCGATGAAAAAATCCCGTCTGTGTTTGTACTGCACTTTGAGACCTGGATAAAAGATTTACGCACTGAAATGCGACAGGTGCAGAAGTAACATGCCTTTAAGCCATCGTATATATCCCGCCGATTGCCAGTTAAGGAGGACAGTTGTGATGAGGGCCTGACATACACGACGCCTTTAGTGAAATATCTAATTCACTTGTCCAATAGACAACACCTGTCCAAAGCCACAAGGAGCTTGAGTCGACGTTTCTGCCTGTCTTTCCAATTTTTCGGCGAATACTGGATTACAGGTGAACCAGCCGAGCCGACATCCTGGTGCGATAGTCTATCATATATGAATCAGTTACTTGTCACTCGCGACCATTGTATTGTTTGGAACCTTGGAGAAAGTATCGAGGCGAATAACACGGCCTTCGTAATCGAACCTCGATTGATTTAAATGTGATGCGTGACATATGACACCTCAGGACGTACCTTAGGTAGCTGGGCACCAGCTGTGACAAGTAATATTCCTCGTTGTCGTTGCCGTTGACGCTGGCGGGGGACCGTTCGGCTCGAGCCATATAAGGGCCGAGTTGGAGAAAATAGTACGGGTCGTCCTCCACAAATATAACATCTTCAAACCGTTGAGAAAAAGCTCTTGCCAGATGAGTTGCGCACCCACCAAAGATGACACATATGTCATAGATCTCTTCCTCGCACCTTGCATTGTCTTCATCAAATGTGAGGGCTTATCAAATATTGAAATGAAGATAACTTACCGCACCAGTCTGACCAACTGGGATCGTGTACATGACGTGTGGCCTGACTGAATATTTGAATGTATTCCTTAGGTTCACAGGGTTCTGCTTACCTGGGCATTTTACGAGCGTCTGCATCCCATTCAGACAGAAGCTTGTGCAACGCATCCGCCCTCATTCCTTGGCCATCCATAGGCACAGGCACAGGCCGAACTCCGTAAGGACGCATCTCCGCTAAAGCAGAAGGATAAGTCCATTCACTGGCCAGGACGCATTCACCAGGATTGCATAGCGTTCCAACTGTTTTGAACCAACCGTCCGTATTACCGGTGTGTACAAAGGTCTTGAAGTCTGTATATGCCGGTTTGTACACTTGAGTCGTGAATGTCTTCACGATTTCTTGAAGCTGGGGGATCCCCGAAGCTAGACTGTATTGCAAAGCTGTCGCCAGATTCAGATCCTCTGGTTTGTTTGGGTACTTCGGGATGGAGACTTGCGTCGTTTTCTCCCTAGTCGCCGAAAAGAGATTCCATATCCATGCAAGAGGAGAACGATTGTCGGGGGTCCAAGAGTACGCGTCTGGCACTAATGCATCCGCGGTGATTGAAGCGAACGGGAAATACTCCGGACTTGGGAGGCCTTGCACAAAAAAGGTGAGCGTAAAGGTCGACTTGATACGAAGATCGCGACTGACCTCCAGCCAACCTGATGATCCCCTCTTTCCCGAAGTATTTTTGAAGATCCTTGAGGGGTGACGATGTCCGGGCCTTGGCGACCCCAGAGAGGTGGTGTGAAAGGTCAATGCTAGCTTGCCGGTTCTTCTCCATGGTCGTGTAGTTTGGCTGGAGAGTTATGAAGCGCTACTAGTACTATTGGATTTGTTACAGCGTGCTTCGTGTCAGGCCAGCAGCCGTTATTATCACAATGTGAGCCGGATTTCCCGGTACCATCGCTTGAAGGGAGTGAGATGAGAGCTAGACGCAAGAAAAACGAAGCCAAGACGAGGCTATGTATTCATTAGCTGTATAGATAGTGGGAGTCGCGAACAGCTCATCCACCATTGACAGATTCAAAATATCTATTTTTATACTGAGATCCTCCTTCCACACATCGAGCCATGCTTCGCTCGCTCGTTACGTCGCTTATTGGGAGGATGAGGAACGGCGTCGCGACAGAAAGAAAAATGCCCATCTAGTAATAGGCCTTCAGTTAGCGAAAGGTACATAGTGAAACAATCTGCACCAACCTAAGGCGAAGTCACTCGGCATCCTAACAAGAAGCGCGATGGACGCGAGCGTCCGAAGGTCGACTGAATGCTGAAAGGTTTGCAGGACCTGGAGGGGCTTTCGTCAATAAGAGTTAGCGAGATATGGGGGAATTTACCTTGAGTGGTAGCGTTGTGGTTGGGTTACCCAAGTGTTACTGAGAAGTACTGGGCTATTTATCTAGAATCCATCGCACCGCCTCTCGCGTGCAATCGATGCACGATGTTGGCTGATATCTGTAAGATCAGTTAGGATCGTCGTGATAGGCTTGGAGCCCACCAGAAGCGTACTATTTCTAGATCTAGAATCTAGAGATCGTGTCAGTTTAGGGCAGGTCAGCTTTCTTCTCATCGGTCATCATCGTCGCAAACGTCCTCTCAGCTTCTTTTACAAGGAGGAGGCAGAGCTGTCTAGTGGTTAGTTGGAAGAGGGTGCAGAGTGGTATGATTTTTGAACATCTCAGAACGTTCTTTTTCTGACTTTTGCACATAGCTAAGAATGGCGTATCAGTTTTCTAGGAAAGGATGCTTCAAGTGTGGTAATCGTAGGTCGATTTCCCACCTTCAAGTCATCCATCTCAGTCGCCTGTGTTATCAGTTGGACATATAGCTGAAAATTGCTCGTCTGAGCAACGCTTGTGTTATAATTGTCGGCAACCAGGGCACGAATCGTCCGCTTGTCCCTCTCCTCGCACTGTTTCTGCGAAACAATGCTATTCCTGTGGTGGGGTTGGCCACATACAAGGTCTAGTTTTCCCTTCCAATTTTTTTTCAATCTGGCTCAATAGTCCACTTTTTCATCAAGCCGAGTGTCCTAGTTTAAGGGTTCAACAAGGTGGCAACCAAAAGTGCTATGTAGGGGATGATCCACTTAATGTCGCATCCCGAATTTATTCCACCTCCTAGAACTGTGGTCGATTTGGGCACTTTGCTCGCACTTGTCCAAACGGCGCTGCGGGGGGGTCTGGAGTAGGTGGCGGGTTTGCCTCGCGTCCCCCTCCTCCAGGTCGTACCCTGAACACATCAACTCTGCCCCCCGTAAAGTGCTATCGCTGCGGCGGCCCTAACCATATGGCAAGGTACAGGATCTTTCTCTTCGAATGTTTTGCGACTCATGATGATTGCCAGGGATTGCCTCGCTGCTCCTGGTACCACCATGAACGATTCCCTTCCCACAGGTCCGGCTGCCGGGAATTTGAACAAGAGTAAGACTTGCTATAAGTGTCAACAAGAAGGCCATGTGAGCAACCTTTCACGCTTTCGCTTTCTCCTCTCGGACCTCAATGCTTCTCCGTGCCGTCATAGATTGCCAGAGATTGCCCAGAAAACCCAATCTCTACCCCAGATGTGTTTTGAGGTCCCGGTGGTCCGGCAGAGTTTAAATGAAGTCGGAGGCCAAAAAAAAAAAGCAAACAACGTTCCAGAAAACTCTGACTTTGTGCGGGCTGCTGTGTGCCCATCTGTACTCGAAATTTAGTTATTGACATCATCGATTTGCTGTGAAGAGAGATCCATTTGCTGCATGCAGCGTATGCACAGAATCTTCATGGAAAAATGCCTTTTCTTTGGTTGACCGCTCTCCCGTTACTTTTTACGGCAGCAACAAATAATTAATAAGCACCGATAAATAAGATTCAACTGGATTCTGTACTAGTACTTGCCTCAATTTTCATGTCTCTCGGTCTCCGTCGGACCTTGTTCACCTTGCCAAATTTTTCCGCATTCTCACCATCTACTCGGCTGGAACCCGAAAGATACCATGAACGCAAAATCCTTCCGTGTGTCTATCTGGTCGATTTTATTCCCCCCCCTCGAGTGCTGAAATATTCCTGGAAGTTACAATCGAAAGCAACTCTACAACGTCGTAGCCGATGTCGGCTCATACCCACAATTTGTACCATTTTGCACCTCTTCACGGATTCTTACCCCCGGCTTTGACAAATACCACAAAGAGAAGACGGTGATAGATGCAGAATTGACTGTCGGATTTCTGTCCTTCCAGGAGAGCTACGTCAGCACAGTAACATGTTCTCCGTACGAGTCAGTTGAGGTATGTGTCTCAATTTCCCCAGTATACAATTTGACCTTGTGTATCAAGGCTGTCTCGTTCTCTTCTGCACTATTCCGCACGCTGTCGACGTCATGGCGATTTTACCCAGCATCTTCAGAATCACTGCCATCTCCATCGCTAAAAAACGAGTTAATCGATTACGACCGTGATAAAACCCTCGTCACTCTTGACTTGGTTTACGCGTTCTCAAACCCGCTGCACGCCAGTGTCACGTCATCTTTCTTCAGTCAAGTCTCCACGCTTATGGTTCAAGCATTCGAGAAACGTTGTTCCGAAGTGTATCGTTCTGGGAGTGGGGATGTTTAATACCCATCGAGCGTGAATGATAGCGTGGTACTCGACAACCATATAATTTAAGTGACAGGCTTTCTTTGGCCAAAAACCATGTTCAGTTTCTGGCGATGTCCACAATTCTAAACACCCAGTCGGAATTTTGGTGGACAACACTGCGTTTCCCCCCAAGTTTCCCCTCAGACCAAGATCCCAAAGCATGACGGTTAGTATACACGAATGGTTACAACAGTCATAATGACCACACCGACGGCGTATCAGAACACAACAGTCATTATCCAGTCTTTTTTCAATGTATAACCGTCCAGAGCATCTCTGGCAATTGTTGCTAAATCAGGAGATTCAAAAAACACGTGAGCCATTTTCACTCTTGTACCAGCAGGGCTTAGTGTTGGTGACCAAGCGACGCGAGTACTTTGGAAACCTTGATATCTACAGGTAAAATAGGGGGGGTAAGACGTGTCAACGAACGGAGAACGCGACGAAGACGTACTGTTGAAATAGAACAGAAAGTACCTCATCTGTTACTTCTTGTGGCAGATTTGTACACAGGAGGCGAGCGGAAGAGTGTTGGACCTGGGGTGGTACAGTTGTCGGGGTGACAGCTTACGAAGGGAGAAATTTGTGAAGCAGATGCATATAAAAAGTACTGAATAATAGGACGTACATGTATCAGTCTTCAGAGGTAACTCGTCGTCATCGTCGATTTCCATCTCCTCCTCATCTTCATTGTCCTCTCCCCTTTCCCGCTTCGCCTGTCGGTCTCCCTCCCCTACATCACCGTCTCTCTGTCTCTTGCCGTTCTGTGAGACGAGAGCACTTGCGTTGGCCGCTGTAGGAGGTACGAAATTGGGGTCCTCCCGTTGAAGCGTCGCGTAAGATTTCGATTTGGCATAGTCGATGTGCTGGATCAGGTGTCGAGCATGAGGAATTCGTGTCCAGACAGTGCCAGGGGACGCACCATCGGCTTATCATAAAACATCATTCCCTCGCAAGCTCGCATGGCTGAAGTCGCGCCGGCAAGGTCTGTGAAGACGAGAAAAGCCTGGCCGCGCATTTTTTGGCTCTTGGAAGCGATGATGTCGATGATCTTGCCATAGGTTGTGAAGAGTGCAAAAAGTTGAGTGCGCAACTCGTCCTTGTTGACCTTGTCATTGAGATTATTGAGATAGAGGGTGGTGTTGGGTTGATTTGATGAAAAGGCCATCGAAAACTAAGTATGAGTCTGGATGAACGTTTGTGGGATATGTAGGACACTTTTTCAAATTCCCACGACAGATTTACACGGTGACAAGTCAAGAACGTACTACTTGGTCCAAATTTAAACTACCATTTCGTTGGCAGCCCTCGGCCTCGTTCAGTCCTCTTCACTCTCCCAGAGTGACTTAGAGAGTCCATTCTTCTCCGCGTTTGTCCATTTCAACTGCCACGATTCTCTCCATTTCACCCCTGGCCATCATCACAATCTTTTATTCTTCAAACGTGGTTTGATAAAATTTCTATATTTGTTGTTGGTGTGCCTCTCAAACGAACCAGCTGTCTCTCTGACTTTTACTCCCAGATGGACACAAAAAATATTGTTCAATGGCTCTCGCCCTACGTTGCACCTTTCTTCGCGCTGCAGTATCCCACACAGACACCAGCGCACCCCGATTCTTTCCCCGAGTCCGGATACTACAACGCCGGGAAGGCTGATATCTGTCTCGTGATTACCTGTATCGCTGTCATGGCCGTGTTGCGCGACGCGTTGAGGTTGGGTGTTTTTGAGCCCTTCGCGCGCTGGAAGCTTTCCAGAGACCTAGACCGCAAACGACACCAACCGTCGCATACCAACGGGAACGGCAAAGCGATAAACGGAAATGGGCACGTCAATGGCAACGGCAACACATACCCAACACGGAAAGACATTCACCACATGAACAGAAGTGTTCTCCGCTTCGCTGAGCAAGGCTGGTCAGTTGTGTATTATACCATCCAGTGGTCATTTGGCCTTGTGCGTCCTACTCTTGCTCGCTCTTAACCTACTCTTATCTGCTTCTCTCAGTATGTACACCGCAATCTCCCTACTGAGATCTTCGACGCCAAAGACCTATGGCTTCAGTATCCCCATATACCACTCGCCGCACCCATCAAATTTTATTATCTTACTCAAACAGCATTCTACATGCACCAGATGCTAATCCTGAATGCTGAGGCCAGAAGAAAGGACCACGTTCAGATGATGGCCCACCACATTATCACCGTTATCCTCATGGTCACAAGCTACTTCACCAATTTTACACGCGTGGGCTGCGTTATCATGGTGCTTATGGACTGGTGTGACATTTTCCTACCGGTACGTTCAAACCCTTCTTGGTATTCTATCCGTGATTTATATGCAGAACATTTGGATTCCAGTTAGCGAAAATGATCCGTTATATTGACATCAGCCAATTGGCGTGTGATCTCACCTTTGCGTGTTTCCTCGTTTCATGGCTTGTTACGCGGCATTTCTTATTCCTTTTTGTCATCTATTCGACGGTAGTCGACCTCCCAAAGCATGTTCCATTCCTCCTGAATACGGAGCAGGGTTATTATTTGACAAAGTCTGCATACCTTGCCTTCTGCATAATGCTTGGGACTCTGCAGGTATGCTTTTCCTCAAACTCTTTCACGCCGTACGCTGGACAAGTTTGAAAACAGGTTCTGCAATGTATTTGGTTCTGGATGATATGTAGAGTTGCGTGGCGCGTGATCACGACGGGCAATGGCGCGTCAGATGATCGTAGTGATGAGGAAGAGTAAGTCGTAAATCTACCTCGTATGTTATCGTGGTTGCTGACGCTGCTCTTTAGTGAAGGGGATATAAAAGATGACTGAAAAGAATATTTATATTGCAACATATATATTGCACACGAGTTGGCTGATACCCTTCCCTTGGATTTTAGGAGAGTACACTAATAATAGAACTGCTGACTTATCTTATCTGGAATGAATTTCGCATCTTATCGCGTTTAAGTCACGTTTTCTTGATTGCCTTATCGAGTCAATCGCTGTGGTCGTCCGTAATTTAGTTGACTCTTCGCTCATAGCTAAACATCTTACCGTTTTCTCAACATTGCCCGCTTTCCCCCTCTTGATTTGATCCTTTCAACTTGTCATGATGGCCAGCTTTATGAGCTACTTTGGGGCCCGCCGTGACCCTAAACAGTCAGCGAGGGACGCCATAGTTGGTCTGCGCCAGCAGCTCCAGATGATCGAGAAGAAGGAAGAGTACCTACAAAAGAAGATTGACGAGGAAATGAAGAAAGCGAGGGCGAACGCCGTTTCGAATAAGCCAGGTCTGCTCCACCCAGTCTTCCCCTTTCATAACGCTTGACAAAGTGGACACACAGCGGCAACCGCTGCACTGAAACGAAAGAAACTGAACGAGACGGAACTGGATCGACTAGCAGGAACGCGATTACAACTGGAGATGCAAGTCAATACCCTAGAATCGGCCAATTTGAACGCGGAGACAATGGCTGCGATGAAGAAAGCTGCGGACGCGCTCAAAGTCATCCATGGAAACTTGTACATCCTTGCTTATGGATCCGTCATGTGTTACTCAATCCCAACCGCCATTTAGAACGATGGACAAGGTGGATGCGACGATGGCTGCTGTGAATGAACAACGAGAATTAGCCAACGAGATTGGAGAGACGATCGCCAACCCTATATATGGTGACACGAGTGTGGACGAGGTTTGCATTGATTTTCTTCGTCCTGTTCTTAACAACTTGATACCTTTTACTCAGGATGAATTGAAGGTGGAGTTGGAGGAGCTTGAGCAGGAGGAGCTGAACAACCGTCTGAGTGAGGCGGATCATGCGCCAGTGCACCTGCCGCCGGGAGCAAGAGTTGAAGAGAGTGAGTCCTTGATGTTTTATGGTTGCGTGGCGGATCTCAATGTTGTTTCTATTTCAGAGAGGACACCTGTTGCGACAGAGGACGATGAGGAAGCGCAGCTCAGAGAATTGCAGGCAGCCCTAGCCATGTAATTGCTCCCTTTTCGCTTTCTATTGTTCTCGTCTTTCTCCCTTCTCTTTGACATAGTAATTATTACCCACTAGCGGCGCAATGTATGATTGATGATAATGATTTAAATTTATAATACCAAGGACCAGGAGTTGACGGAGCGAACTAGATAGACATAAAGCGTAGAAAGTACATCTGGTTAAATTATTAAGACTACTGAACCGTGTAGGTAAAGAATTCTGTGCGAGGTATCATTGAATGATGATGCTGTCGAGATCAAAGTAACGATGAAAAATGCAAGAGTAACTGGTGTGTATGTTTGATCTATGTGGATAGCGCTATGAGTGGTGCACGCCGGCTGAGCGTAAACCAAGAACCCGACGGACGTCGGAGGTGAATCGCAACGAGTCCAGAACAGGTAAGAGGTCAAGTAAAGCTTCATCTGATGGGTCGTGAGTCCAACCTTCAATAGGAATGCCGTTCGCTAGAGAAGATGGTTGGATTACGGTCATGAAGGAAGGCGACCCCCACACGAACCTTCATTAACCCGATAACTGACCGGTGAATTATCAACAAGACAGACCCTAGAAAGGTCAGCTTCCACGATTGAGAGATCTTTTGTGTAAGATCCATTCGGCAATTGGGTACATGACTGGTGATATTTCAGGAACGAAAACTTAAAGAAAGAAGCGCTACGCACGTCTCGGAAGAAGCGGTGGGTCAGAATTCCGCTTCCGGCGTCAAGCCAGTCAATAACTGGGTCTGCATACTCTTGCATTGATGCCGTAAATATGACTAACGTATACCATCCCGAAACCTGTTGCAAAAAATGTAAGGGAAGCACGAACAGTGAGGTTATGGACGCACAGTCCTGAGGAAAAAGTCAACAAAGGGACGCTTGTAAACGTGGTACAACGTGCTCCGACCTCCCAACGCAACTTCAACGACGTGACCTGCACCCTTGTTAGATCGTCCGAAAGAGCCGAGGCTGAGCAGCCCTGATCCATTGCTAGCTTGCGAAAACATAGGACGGGATGTTGAGTGTATTAGCGTTTCGTCGAGGTCAAGAACCAAAGTCTTTGGAAGGTGGAACGGGGTCTTCTTGGCGTTAAGTGTGGGGGTGGAGGAACGAGAGGTTTTAGGTGTGGAGGGTGATTGAACAGATGGTGGGGGACCAGTGAGAGGACTAGAGATCGTCGATTCTGGCTCGGCGGTATGCAAATGAATGTATTGCTCTGTGGCTTGAGCTGCGGACAGAGGAAGAGTCTGTACTACATCCTTCTCTGACGGTAACGGTGGATGTTCTATCGTGATCGGGTTGGGCCAGGTGAAAATGGTGACGTGATGGGTGAGAGACGACCAGACTGCCTTGACATTATCCCATACGACAAGGAACACGCGTATGAAGAATATCTGGTTGATGACGGATTCAATGTGAGTTTTTGAGCGTGTCGGCAAGGGATCGGTCGCTGGTTGAATGACTGGTGGTGGCTGATTGGGAATGGAGACAAAGGAGGGCGAAGAGCGGGTACGCCTCGGGGTGGATGAGGGATGTGAGGAAGTTGGAGGGAAGAGGAAGTTTGTAGACCAGGTGCTGACCCTTTGTAATGGGATATCTGGAGAATGGGGATCAGAGGAGCGTTCTGACCTTCTCCTGCGATGGGCGGTCGCAATGGATGTCGACGACGAGGTTGGGAGAGGCTTTGAGGAAGCAAGGACATCGAACTGGCGGGCGACGTAGCCCAGCGTGTTCATGGTAAATGGAGAAAGAGCAACTCCGAAGAGCAGTCCCCAAATTTATGTAAAGTCCCGTGTCACGGTTGTTCAAATTGCTCTAAAGTGCTCTACAAAGTATTCTAAAGTTCTCTTCAACCTGAGCAAGTCATCTATTGCTCCACCAAAGCCCGCCTTTGACGTTCAACTTGGACATTAGAGCATCACCTTGATGTTCCCCTCATCAGAGCCTATTACAAGCACAGTGCTCACTGTTGATGCCGTTTGGACAGAAAGCGAGGATGATGGCACGATTTCAAAGGGCCGTGTAATATTCTTGGTCAAGTTCGCAATAGCGGAGGAGTCCCGCTCTTTCGTTCGTCAACTATCTCTCCGGAACGACTGGCAGGTCGCAGCACAGGTGTATTCACCAGGAATGAATGCACAGATGTCAAATGGGTGATGAGACGTGGCCCGACTCCACAGCAACTGGTCAAGAGTCCATTCAAGCCCATGCTTCTCGACATAGACCTTACGTCCTTCCATTCTGAACCGAGGGAATCTCACTCAGCGTCATGCCGCGGGGAACTTGGACGTAGCAAGGAGAACGGGTGGCTCGTGAGCGACCAAGAAAGGGTTCGAAAGATCGAGCCGTGTTTCCAGAAGTGCGGGAAGGCGATGTTGGGATGTATACACTGACATCTATGCGCGTTCAGCCCAACTGCAAAAGTAGCACGTACATGATCGTAGCGCCTATCATAACCATCTTGACCAAGGGATACGGTAACGGGCATTCTGAAGTAAAAGCCTTGAGAGCAGCGGCGGACCTGAACGTAATGAACCCAATGCCCTCCGTGTCTCTTCGCTGGCAAAACTTGCCAAATAGTCCCATCGCTCTTGTTGGTGAGTATCCGTGGGCTGTCCACCACCCTCAGGGAATGTATGGTGTCATGGAGAATAATCTCGAGAGAGAGACTGGTGCAAGAACTGTTTTCTTCCCCTTCTTTGAAGCTGGCTGTGATACGGAAGCATTGACAACCGAAATATCCAGATTTTGCGACAGAGGGTCTCCCAGAAGATAGAGATGCTGCAGATGATCGAGAAATGCAAGATGTCTGTAAAGAATATGTAAATAAGAATAAATAAAGACAGCGACCAGCCACCCTTCTTTATTCGCTTCTTATCCGTTTATTTACTTAGTAACTCATGGATATCGAAGAGCTGTTACAACCACTTCTGCCCGGTAATCTTTCCCCGTCAACGCCTTTCCCTTCCTCACCTCCGTTGACTTACAGTTCAGGACAGCCCATGGACGGTATAACATCCAATGATCACTCGGACATGCATTCAAGTGCCGAATTCGGAGGAACGGAAGCCAGGGCAACGCTTGAATCGTCCCTACTCAAGAAACTGGATGCACGCATGTCAATTCTCATATTGATTTACATCCTCAATTGTGCGCATTCGCTTCTCTGGATTTCTCTCCTTTATATGCTGAGGAGATTTGCCACAGATGTTGATAGAAATAATGCCGCGTAAGACCCCTGTCATTTCGATCGACGCATTTCTAAACCACTCTACAGCGCAGCTAGGCTGCGCGGTTTTGAAAAGGACCTTGATCTCAACGATATACAGTTCGCGACCGTGCTGTCGATATTGTACGTTGGCTATATCTTGATGCAGATACCTTCGTAAAACCATTCCTCTTTTCCACCTATGTTTCGCACTGACCTTTATTCGAGAAATATGTGTCTAAACTATATTGGGAAGCCGTCCTTGTATCTTCCAGGGTGCATGGCTATTTGGGGTGCAATTTCTATCTCCACAGGTATGATACACCATTGAGCATGCATTATTATACTTGCTCATATATATACAGGTTTCACGACCAAGTTTGTTATTAGTTGTGTTTTTCGACTGCTACTCACGGGAATATCAAGTTATTATGGCGCTCTCTGGACACGTTTCTTCCTTGGATTTGTAGAGGCAGCTTTTTTTCCCGGCGCATTGGTAGGTCGTGGGTGTTTAGCAAGTCCGCTTGGTTGACGGCCTACTAGTTCCTTATTTCTAAGTGGTACAAACGCAACGAATTATCGCAGCGAATAGCATTTCTTTCATGTGGAGCCCTGATTAGTAACGCATTCGGCTCTCTGATTGCCTCTGGAATTCTCAGTGGTATGGAAGGCAAGTTGGGCTACGCAGCATGGAGGTCAGCATTACTGGGTTTCAACTCATAGGTGCTCATCCATCCATGGAGCAGATGGCTTTTTTTCATTGAAGGCGCCGTCACTGTCGTTGTGGCTATCTCTGCTGTCTTTATACTCCCCGATTTCCCAGAGACCTCACGAGTTTGGCTAACATCCTCTGAGAAAGCTCTTGCTATTAGGCGTATGATCGAGGACTCGGGCTCTGCTTCGACGGAGGAGGGCGATGAACAGAACCACTTCGCTGGTTTGTTGATGACGCTTAGTGATGGGAAAGTGTGGGTCCTTGCACTTGCCCTGACAAGCATTGTCGTTTCACTATCTTTCAACTCCTATTTCCCGACTTTGTGCGCAACTCTAGGGTACTCGCCAACCTTGACTCTACTGCTTTGCGCTCCGCCTTGGATTTTCGCGACTGTCGTGGCTTTGCTCGTTTCAAGGTAATTGGTCACGGAGATAAAAGTATTCGTATTACTAACGTGTCTCCTAGGCATTCCGACTCCACGAATGAAAGTGTCTTCCCACTGTGTTTTGGAATATTCGGCTTTGTGTTGGCTATGTCAACCATGAACATCGCCGTTCGGTACATCTCGCTGTTAATCCCCTTTCACTTCTCTGCCTGATAATTGCTGATCTCATGCGTAGGTTTCTTATGGCTCAATCCTACGCCGGGTTCATATGCTTCCTTGCATGGGCAAGCGGATCGGTGTCGCAGCCACCCGCGAAGCGAGCTTCAGCACTCGCGCTTATCAATTGTGTATCACAATTCGGAAATATCGCGGGATCGTGAGTATTGTTGTGACGCAGTCATGAGTCCGACTTATCCACTGCCTAGGTATGTGTGGCCGTCGTCCTGGGGCCCAACCTACAAGGCATCATACTCAGTCTGCATTGGGACGAGTGCAATTGGCATCTTATTTTGTATTTCGATCCGGTGGCACCTTGCGCGACTAAACAGTGACGCCGATAAGAACGAAGCAGAGACTGAAACGAGGGGACATAGATATACTGTACTAATCCAATCAATTCGTCGGTCACGCGTCACAGGGGGTCCGAAATCGACGAAATTCTAAGGGGTCACAGGTCACAGGGGCCAGCGACGAAACCACCAGGTCAGTCGGAAAATAAGCAAAATTGGGGGTCCTTTTTCATTAGAAATCGATTTTTCCCCCTCTAAGTCTCTCTAGCGAAGTTATCTGAACTATTTAAATTTATCTATGTACAGAGGGCTACTCCAACATTTCGACGAAATTTTCAGGCAGTCACACCTTCCCCGGTGACGCGACGAAACCAAAATTTCGTCGCGTCGGTCACAGGTCACAGGGTGCGACGAATTGATTGGATTAGTACAGTACCCTATAGAGCGTACTACGGTTAGAAGACGTGTTTGTATCGCATTCGCAGGTCATTTAGATGAACGTCTATATTTGGTTTGATCGCGAACGTCACCTGAAGCGTTTTCAAAGCCTTCACCATCTCCCAGCATCTCCCTTCGAAATATGGCCTGCGGCACGCGTTTACTCGACAATTGGTCGTTCACACAGATTGGTGGAGGGCAAGGAACAAGAGATGGAGAGTGGATTCCAGTTTCGTCATTTCCAACAACAGTCCATGTCGAGCTTCTGAAGATAAACAGGATCCCTGACCCAGTAAGTTCTCGTTACTATCTACCCTCGCTAATTGGCACACGATCTCATACAGACAAACCCAGTTTATTGGCCTACACGATTGGGATGTGCAATGTACAACCATCCCGGGTTGAAGTGTGTTCCTAAGCTAAACTCTTCTTTCAAGGGATTGGGGAGAGCGACTGGGCCTTTCGGTCTACATTCGAAGTCACCGATGCAGAATTGGCATGCCGAAACGTGGACTTGGTGATTGATGGTCTTGATACCTACGCCATCGTAAAACTCGTGTGTGATCTTACATTCTTGTTGAGCCGGGCTGAATCAGCTTTCCCTTTCCTTCTCACTCGCAGAATGGCCAAAAAATCTTAGAGTAAATATGGCGATACTTTTCCTCTTTGGAATTTTGATCAAGCATTTTGAGCAGGTCAAGCAATCAGTTCATATCGCACAGGCTATCAGTCAAGAAAAGCCTCCGAGTGGGCTCTAATGAACTGCTCCTGCATTTTGAAAGCACTTTTATGAAGGTGATTATCGATGTAGCCGCCACGCCATATCTTTTAATTCTCAGCCATGAGTAAGGGTAGGGAAATTGAGAAAGAACATGGAAAGTTGAACCTCTGGAATGGCGACAGTAGTCGGCTCCACGTCCGAAAGGCCCAATATAAGTATGCTTTTATCTTAAAGAGAAACTCCATCGCTCACACTCCTCATTCGTAGCTATGGATGGGATTGGGGTATGTGGTTGTCAGTTCAAATTTCGTTGAATTCATGAGAACACATAGGTCCAATTTTGATGACTGTGGGGCCCTGGAAATCTATCAGCCTTCAAACAAGTCAAAAACGGCTTACAGACCTTGATATTCGAACCTATGTATCTGAGTCCTTGGACGTGAAGCTGACGGTTGAATTTTCCCTCTCTGATAAAACACCCGGCCACGCAAATTTCGTTTTGAAGAACCCCGATGGTTCAACGGAGGCTTCAGTTAGCAGAATCCGCACGGATACAGGCAACGCCGAACTCTCCCTTGAATGGGAGCCGGGCAAAGTTCAGCTCTGGTATCCTGTTGGATACGGTGCCCAACCCATTTACACGGTACAAGTAACATTGGTGGATGAGGTTAGTGTTGCTTTTTTTAGAGCGTTGTCATAGGGCGCTCCCTAAGGTTAATGACGACAGGAAGGACACGCGCTTGACAATAAATCAGAAAAAATCGCCTTCCGTCGTGCTTGTGTGATTCAAAACAAACTGATTGATGAGGAAGGCCTTAGCTTTTTCTTCGAAATTAACAACATCAGAATATTCTGTGGTGGTTTGTCTCTTATATTGATATTTGCAAAGCCTCGAGCTTACATTATAACCATCAGGTTCAAACTGGATACCCGCCGACTCGTTCTTGACTACGTCTGTCGCCCATCTCCCGATTTTGCCTCCTTTACTCACCTGCAACCACCAGAATGACTGCAGAGAGATATAGGTCATGGTTGATGCTCCTTAAAAATGGCAACCAAAACATGGTTCGTGTATGGGGAGGTGGTATTTACGAGCACGATGACTTCTACGCAATTTGTGATGGTACGCACAAATATAATGACCGATTTATCCTCTGGCTGATACTCAAATGTTACGCAGAACTTGGAAGTGGGTACTTCAAGTAATCAGGCGACTGACAACTCACTCCCGAAGTAGTTCTCGTTTGGCAAGATTTTATGTTTGGTTGCGGTCAGGTACCATCTCCGCTCTTTCACTGACCAGGAAATCACGGTGTTGTCAGTACCCGGCGTATGACTCCTTTTTAGATTCAGTCCGAGAAGAAGTGACGCAAAACGTTAAGAGACTGCGTCATCACCCTTCAATCGTAATCTTTGGTGCGTGCTTAATTGGGAAGGGAGTTAGGAAGACCTGACCCCTCACTCACACTTAGCTGGCAACAATGAAGGTCGGCTGCTGCTAGCTTTAAAGGCATGCTATCATATTCAACTCCTACCTATAGACTATCAATTGGCGGAATCGCTTAACCTCGAGCTAGATTATGACGATGAGGAGTCTGACTTTCGCAAAACAAACTTCCCAGGGCGATACATCTATGAGCGCCTGCTTCCTGAAATCGTCAGCGCACACTGTGATATTTTCTATCATCGAGGTTCTCCGTATAGCGGAAATGGAAAGCCAACCACTGACAGGACGTTTGGCGATCTACACCAATGTGTGCTATTTCTTGTGTGTATTGGACCATGCTTACCATCGCCGTTGCCCTAGGGAACGTCTGGCACGGGTCCCAGCAGCCCTGGCACAATTGGGACGTATTGTCTGGCCGTTTTGTATCGGAGTTTGGCATGTATGTGATGGGGTTTCTCTCCACTCAGCTTGTCGTTGCATGTGAACTTGCCCAGGCAGGGCTTTCCAAACATCAGAACGGTTGACTACTGGCTCGGTGGGGACAAGACTGAACGCTTCCCCCAATCAAGGTGACGACCAGTTGTTTGGCGGCAAATTTATTTTTATCGTGTGCTAGAACCAACAACAACCATAACAAAGCTGCTGGATTTGAACATCGTCTGGAGGTGGGCATGTTATTCTTACCAGTCAGAGCTTCTTCTTACCCAGGCTCCAATACGCAGTTATATTTGGTCCAAAATTTCAGACATTCTTTTGAAATGGAAAGGTACATTCCTTTGAACATTTGGCAACGGAGCATTTTATTGACCTGCGAAGCTACGTATATTATACGCAGATCATGCAAGCAGAAGCACTTGCGTCGGCATATCGACTGTGGAGGCGTGAATGGCGCGGCGAAGGAAGGGAGTACACTGCAGGCGCCCTCGTTTGGCAGGTATGAAAACGTCTCTTTCACCACACAGACGGAATCTGAATTTGACATACAGATCAATGATTGCTGGCCGGTCACATCCTGGGCGATTGTTGACTATTTTCAACGACCAAAGCCAGCATATTTTGCAATTGCACGTGAACTTCAGTCGTACACCATTGGCATAACTCGGAAAGAATATCAATCGTTCTACGATGATCGCTCGTCCGCAAATTTTGTGATTACAACTGAGTTACAAATCTGGGGGACCAATAGCACATTGTCACCCAAACATGCCACGCTGTCCGTGTCTTGCTTTGATTTGTATTCAGATTGGAGGCACGTTTGGGAAGACGATATTGTCCTTGCGGTCAATTCCAGCACAGAACTTTATAGAGGACCGTTGCCTGGCCAGCCAGATAGAACGAAGTGGAGTGAGTCACCCAAGGCCATTATAGTTTCGGCAAGAATATTGGATAAGAGCAAAGCTGTTCTGGCCAGACATTCAAATTGGTGCGTAGGTCCCATTCAAGCCGATTCTGAGACTGAGTGGACATCCATTGAATTAGGCCAGAGCCGTACAAGTTCATCAAATTTCCTCCCGTTGAAAATTTGGGACTCGCTGCTGTCGTCGAGGACGACGGGGAAACAGTTACACTCAAAACAAGCAAGCCTGTCAAAGGATTGGTGTTAGATGTGGACGGAGATGAGGTCAAGTGGAGTGATCAGGCTATTGACCTGGTTCCAGACGACCCGCAGCGTGTTTGCGCCATAGGGTTGAAGGGGAGGGAAGTGAAACTCAGATTTTTGGGAGACGGGTCGGCTTAAACTCGTATTTTATGTACCAAGAGTACAGGGTCACGTGATTAGATCAAGCCAACGCGTTGCTCGTGGTTGATCTTCCTCTTTCGCATTACTGCCCTACTGCTTACAGAACATAATCGCCATGTCTGGGACACCGACGCCGAACGACTCTCCCGTTGCCACTCCTATCCAACCCCTGCACAATCCTTCGCAAGCAGCGCAAGTTGTCGTACCCCAAGCCCCACTTGGCAACGTTGCAAACCATGGCCCGGGAATGGGTGCTAAAGCTCTTCTTGCAAAGAAACTGGCAAAAACACAGTGATTACGCTGTTCTTCTTCTGCCGAAGACAATTCTTACATCTGTCACTCAGTAATCCAGCCTTTATCTCCCCAACCGATAACCTCTTAACGCCTTGTACACAAAAGTTGACCGCCGCCAAGAAGAAACACTTCACAAAGTGAGCTTTACTTTTTCTAGATTTGTACCCTTTAACCATCTTGGTAGGGGTGCGAAGCCTGTGCAGCTATTCGCTCAACGAGAAAGTGGCGAGTCTAGCGGCGAAGAACAAGGTACCGAGCATTCAGACAAACAAAAAGAGGTGGACGACGAAAATCCGTTCTAAGGCGGCAGATCTAGACCAGCTCTTGGACAGGATCCATACGCTGCTGCTGCTGCTCTTCATGACACGCCATATCATGTAACCCGCATTTCATTCAATCGCTCTCTTGCCTTTTGTATACCGCTCTGTTGTAAACTTGTAATTGTGTTTCCCACGTGTGCTTACCTTGCGTCAATGAACAATCTACACCTGATTTTTGAGCAATTGGAAACATTGCAGCCCGTCAGTCGACTCCTTCCCCTGTATGTCCAGCTCTGTTCGGATGTACTCTTTCATATATTCTTGACAACAGACAAATACAAGGCTTGCTCGAAAATCTGCCTAGATTGACTGAGAAGGAACTTGTTAGCTCGGGACATCGTGGTATCAACCTTCCCCCCCTCTCCAATTGCCAATTTACATTCACACTTGTCAGATTCGCTTTGCCCAATATGCTTGACCCCATATCTCGCTCTTCTAGCAGAAGAGGAGTCTGCATTAGCTATGGAATCGCCCGCTCACCCAGTTGAGGAACTTGGTGTCACAAAGCTCTCTCAGTCCTGGCAGTGCGGCCATCTCTTTTGCCGGCGAGAGTTGCGTTTGATGCCATTATCTCTTTCAAGGACTTTGAATCTGACAGAATTTTACCCAAATTAGCATCTCAAGGTGGATCCAGAATGGGGTAAGTGCGTCGTAGCCGTAACAAGCGTATCACTAATAATCATCATTCAGAAGGATTCGTGTCCCATATGTCGCCGTGTGATGGTGGCAGCGACTCTGACTTCCAGTGATGCAGAGATAGCAGGTACTACATCCGAGGGATTGACTGGCGTTCTGGAATCATTAGAACAGTTTCGAGCGGAATTTGAGCTCCACGAACGAATCCTGACCGATTTGCGTGTTGCACTTCGTCCGCATGAGGATGATAGGCAGGGATTTTCTGGGATGTATTCATAGGCGTAGGATGGGAAGCACGATTGCATTCATAGTGTCTGTTATCCAGCTTACTGGGTTATCCCTATGACAATTCCATAAAGTCCTTAACAATCATACATGGGTATCGCGCAGGGTATGTATGTTGACGAGCGCTCAAATATAATGAAAAGATAGCAATGGAGTAGTTCCGAAAATTAATTCCGGCGGCAAAACCTGAACAAATTGCGCTTCAAAAAGTAAAAGAGACACTGAAAGCAGTCAGATGACAGCGAAAAAAAAATGCTAGCCACATACCCCAATAAATCGAATCGCCGCTAACGCAAATGTGGAGTACAGGATAATCTCGAAATATGTATTTTGTTTCTTTGCCAGTATTGCTTCGTCCGAGGTAGTATGCAGACCGTTTATATTTTCAATAGCGATGGCCAGCGTCGCATTACTCAACATCCACATGGCGACGAGTCGGGTGCGGAATGTCTTGTTCTCATCATCCAGCGTGGGCTTCTCTGGAACCTCTTTGGTTTCGATCTTCGTGATTGCTCGGGTCACTGTCTCTTTGAATGCCGCGTCGACGTCTGCTTGAACTTGAGTTGTGTCCTCCACAACAGCTTCAGCATCTTTGGACTTCGACGATGATACGGAAGGCAGCGCTTCTGCTTTGTCACTTCCTTTGGTTCCCCAAGACACCTGGAGGGAGTTAGGTTCAGAGAAGTAGTGACGAAATACAAAATAATAAACATACGTCGTGCAGATTGCAGAATGCATACACATTGAGGACGTTGGTGAAGCTTGGCGCGAGACAGAGATATTGGAAAAAACTCGAAAACATGTGCCATGGATCACGCTTGTGGTTTGAAGTCAGTTACCGTATGCAGACGACCAGTGCTCTCAGGCTCACATAGAGGAAAGATGCTGTGAAGTAGATACCTTCGGCAGAATGTTAGTATAGAAGCGCCGTTGCCATGATAAGTACTTACCGAAGGTCGAAATCATGGCAGCGATAAGAGCGCCAATTGGAGGCTCAAAGAATGACGCAACGACTTGGCTTGACGTTTTGTCTTTTAGCTGACTCGGAATAGACTTCACAAGGGAGTAAGTAGGCATGTGTTGTAAGGGAAATCATACATACCGCAAATGCCTTCACTGTCAACCAAAAAGAGCAAACTAGCAGGTACACAGCCAAGACTGCATACACCCTTCAAAAGCGTTTGATACTTGACAATTTTGAAGGCTGATAGGAGGCATACCATAGCGTAATTGTGTATGGAAGCCTTTCTCCTTTGGGTCGATTGCCCAATGCCAAGATGAATTGAAGGCCAAGGAAAGACAGATAAATCCACTTCAGTGCAAGATTGACCCAGTGCGTCTATTGAGGAGTGAGCATCCGCAACAGTACTTTTTGACAAATGTTACGCACGACGGTAGCTGTACCAAAAATGAGGATGTTTTGTTGGGGAAGGAGATCGATAATGATGCTAAACGTCAACCAAAGGTTGGCCAGAGCAAACCAAGAAAAGACTAAGGAGACAACGTTGTACTAAAAGGTCGATCAATTGAGGTTGCTGGAAATATCGTCAAAAATGAAATACCAGGGCTTGAATGTGGAGGAAGAACATGCGGATGAATCCATGACCCGACTTGTAGAACATGAAAAAATTTACGAGGGCATACTAAATAAGGACTTGTTTAGATTGAGACATTGATTTCTTGGTATGGGGCACGTACCACCGATGCGGCGAAAGAGCCATTCAACCACCGACGGCGTTGTCCGATTAGTTCGACGGCCGTCTCTGGTACATCTGTTTCTGCCTTACTTGGTTTGACGTAGGTCAAAGTCCATCGATCACCAGCCTTTGCGACTAGTTCAAAGCAAAGAATGCGATCCTCGGCTGGAGCAACGGTTTAACATGAAGAATAGATAAAAAATTTCGATTCACACTCACCAAGGAACATGTTTTTCGTGAATATGTTCATTCCATAGATTCCCTTAGGACCAAGGCGGTCAGCCAAGGAATGATCACCATGGAAGTATTGATCAAGAGGACGCCCAAGAATCGCGCGGAAGCGATAGGCTGAGAACGCGCCAGGCAAGACAGAGACATAACCAAAGCTGCTTTCCAAAGGTTTGTCTGCAAAACAATCGGTTTCGTTTTCAAAATGATTTGAAAAGCATTATTCACCCAAGATGTTTGACATTTTGTACTCAAAATTCTGGGCGGCAACCAAAGGATTGAGTAACTTCCTCCCTCCTTGAATCATGGCGTGGATCTCGCCTGAATGATATGAAGAAGCAATTTTGAGGAGAATCCAGAGATTGACGTACCGCAGCATCCACCAAGGTTAGCATCATTGTAGAAAGCCTCCCAAAGATAAAATATCGACTTGTGTCCTGGTTTTGTTCCAGCGTCAATCAGCACGCAGATCTCTGGCTATTATATATAAATCTTGGTCAGGAAATCGTTGGACGCGTCACACCCAGAAGGACATACATTAAGCTGTTTTCCAATTGCGTTGAACAACCAACGATGAGAATTAATTTTCTTTTGGTTCTTGGCTTTGAGCACAAAAATGATTTGCACAGGCATTAAGTTGTTGGGGTTGTTGGGTTGAGGAAGCACTAATTGCGGGGTAGCGTCAACGGATAGTTGAGTAGTGTACTGAGGGAGTGATGATGTAAGGACTGAGAAATGCAAAGATCGAACAAAGTTTATTCACCTCGAAAATGTGAGCGACTGTTTCCTTCCCATCAACCTCCTTTTTCATGACGCCGTCTTGGTAGACTCCAACGGTTGCGAGGATATCCAGAACGGTCTTGTCCATCGGCTCCAGCCCATCGACAATGAGAGCGACCGTGATCTTTTTCCAACCAGGGTTTCCTTCCTCAGCGTGACGCCTCCAAAACTTGGACTGCTTGGTCTTGCAAATGTCGCGGATATTGAGCATGACACCATGTAGCGTTCGAGCATAAAGCGTTTTATCCTCGTTATATGAGGTAACTGCAATCAGAAGCTCGGTATCTCGGTTGTACATTTTTGTGCGGAGGGACCAGCCGTTCGCCTCTGTGAACTCGTCTGGGTCGCAAGTTGCCGCTGTGTACCTCATGTGACTGATGAAAAGGAATTCAATGGTATGCAAACGAAATAAGAATAAGAACGTACGTGAACTCGGTGGTGTTTGTGCCTGACCACTGGGATTCAATGGCAGAGTATACTGGCGTAGGTACCGGATATTCCGCAATAAAGTTTCCGTGTGTGAGTTTGACCTTGCGAGTCACACCACGCTTGATTGTCTGTCTTCGCCTCCAAGCACTGTCAAGGCCGTTGGTGGATGCGGATACAGCGGACAGAGGCCGCCCATCGGCGTAAGGATCTCCGAATGCGCTGGGGTCGACGGGGCTGATGTCCTCAATGTCAGCAATCCAACCCTCTAAAGCACGTGAAGGCACACTTACGCAGGCGGGTAGAAGCCACCTGTAAAATTCTGGCCATCGGTCAAAGGCTGTTTTTCCACATACTCGTCGTCGTCGTATTCATTGGCACTCGTGTTGAGAGGTAAGGTTGACGCGCTATCATATGGGCTAGGCAGGTTTCTGGCTTGGAAAGAGTTGTCCTGCAAGGTAAAACGAGTCTGGCGCGATGAATGAGCTGAATCGGCGAAAGGATCGCTGTATGGGTCGCTGCCAATATTATCAGCTGGCGGGAAGGAGCCTTGGGGTGGACGGTCAGTCATCGCTTATGTGGACGAAGAGGACGGTTGTAGTGCTGAGAGAGTGGGGTGCAAGTTGGGGACGGTGATGGTGGACCGTGACGAGGCAACATAATTATAACAGCTTCCACGTGGGAAGACCTAGCAGAGGCACAGACTCACTGCCTTGCTCAACCCTTACCACTCCGCCGCAAACGAGTCCCAGTCTGTCCCAGTGGACCTGAAACCGTAACGCATCGTCGCGAAACGGCATGGCAAGCGTGTTATTTTAGTATAACGATTGCATAACCTACCATCAACTATGTATCCTCCAACCCTTCGCTCTGGACAACGGCCATTCATGAGGGCAATTACTTGAGAGTTGTTTCAGCAATTTATCACCGCGTATTGAAATTCCTCTCTTGGCAGTGTTACTTCAATAGCCTTCCACCTCCTTCCCCCACCGATGGCAGTTTTCCTATGCGGAATTCGGCCTCCGTTGCCTGGAACCAATGCAGTTGTGGATCATTCTTCCTCGCAGTAACCCACACGGAGTCGGAAGTCTTTGTCCGGCTCCCCTTTGATGCCCTTCTATCACTGATCCTGTTTTGCAAATTGGGCCAATTTCTGAGACTGATTGAGCCATCACATTTCAGCAACTTATTGAAAAGTACATCCTCAGAAAGGTCGACGTCTCATCGAGGGCTTGCCAGCAGTATGAATTTCAAGTTTCCAAGTTGTGTAGTATGTATTGTCCAAACAACATGAAAGTCACCTAGTTTTGATAAGCCCCTCTTGTGGTCCACAGGCAGAATTTCTTCAAGCAAAAAATCTATTCTTATTCGGAGAAGCTTCGGTATATGTCTACCTATTTTTAAAGAAGTAATGACTTTGCAAAATTAGGTCCGTGATAGTATTCCTTGACAAATGCCTCCGTCGATGCAAGATTTTTCCAGCTACCAATTCCAACCAATTCGCCATATTAATGCTCTGTCGGCCCCGAATGCACTGTGGAACGTAGCAGTTTCTGGATTCTAGGTATACACACTGCTGATGATCGATTTTGTCGTAAAGTTTCAATTGTTGCCGGTTTCCATACTGTAAAGAGAATCTAAGAGATAGTGAGTGCCAAACGATATTTCCTCTCGAACGGCGAAGTTGGTACTTGGTGACGGAGTGACTTTTTTACCCACGCAACTAGCGTATAACGGTGCCTTATCTGATAACTTGTTAGCGATCGGTTGCCCCTGATCTTGTTGTTCAAAGTACCACTCTGTCCAACTCTGTCCTTAGCTCCCAATGTCATCGTTCTTTGGACTGTACGTTTCTACCCTACTAATGGCCAATATCAGAGATGATAATACATCACCAGCGGTAAAACACGAACATTTAAGCCACGAAAGGATGTACCAGAGGGGACGAAACAATATCAGCTCAGAAAGTATGCCGAAGCAACTTTGGTAGGATCTCCGCCGCGCGACCAAAGTATAATGGATTCCGTGCTGATCTCACCGGTGGGATTGTTGCTTTTAGGGATCAGGAAATCTGAGGTTAGCTGTCCAGCTCCCGGAGGGCGAGGACACGAACGAGTGGCTTGCGGTTCACAGTACGACAACGAAACTACCATTGCAACGTCTTCTAACACACCTCGTCCTCACCAGCGGTCGACTTTTTCAATCATCTTAATATGTTGTATGGGACGGTCACGGAGTTCTGCACCCCGCAAGAAGTACGCCTCTCTTGAATGTATAGCCCCTGTTCTATGCTTAACGTTTTCAGTGCCCAATAATGTCAGCGGGACCAAGGTTTGTCGATATTCTCGTTGAATTCCTCTACTTTACTCATGTTATCGCTCCCAGATATGAATATCTGTGGGAAGATGGCGTCAAATACAAGAGACCGACTAAATTACCAGCTCCAGAATATGTTGACGCGCTTATGAACTGGGCGCAAAACATCCTGGATGATGAGAACATTTTCCCGAACAAGATTGGTATGTTATATAGTTGATAATATTCCCTTGACTGAGCGGGATTCTTCAGGTGTACCGTTCCCTAGAAACTTCCGCGACACCGTTCGAACCATTGTGCGCCGCCTATTCCGAGTGTATGCACATATATATAGCAACCATTTTGACCACATATGCGCGTTGGGAATCGAAGGTTGGCTTTTTGTCGTTTTGGAAGATTACTGATCAACACACACCATCTTTGCAGCTCACCTTAACACAAGCTACAGACACTTCTTCCTGTTCGTGAACGAGGTATTTGCCGTGATGTCAGGATGATTTTCAGGCTTACATCTCTCGAAAATGCAGTTCGACTTGGTCGACAAGAAGGAATTGGCACCGTTGGACGAACTCAATGACGCAATCCTCGCAGAGGACAAGACGCGGTAGCCTCCCACAGTCTAGGACGTCTAGAATCGATAGCAGTATACCACCCACACCGTTGGCAATTGATGATTCCATTTTTACACTTCAAATGCAGCGCTCCGTTACCGTGCCCCACTGTGAGCTTCAAGTTGCCGCCTTTACAAGATAGGGCGCGGCCTGATTTGCGACCACATGGTTGGTCGATTTTAGCATCGGCTCGGGTGAAAGCGTAAGTACATTGGCGGAGGCCCTAAACCTGTGAGCATAGCCCTCTCGAAGTAATTTGAATTCTAAGAAAAAGTTGATACTTGCGCATCCACGAGTCAATATCCTCAGTTTTATTGTTACAGTGACAATTTTGTCGTGTGTTCCCAAGAAAGTATAAAGTACAGTATGCCTAAAATTACAGTGTCTCGTTGCATGTATGAGACAGGTATTGCTACATCAAGTGAGGCGTGTATACATACCACTCGGTGTGGCAAAGCGCGAATTGGGGTACGGTAGAGATACCAAGATTTGGGGGTGGGGGTGGGGGGGGATATAAGGTCCGTGTATGGAGTGCGTGTCTGGTGGCACAGGCAATAATAAAAATGCAATGACGTCATGTGGGAAGGGATAATTAAATTGTTCGCTGCTCTTATGATAAATCCAACCGAAGGATTGAAAAAGAGAAAAAAGAAACTAGCTTACCTTGATAACGGACCACTGTATGACCAGATTTTTAATTCGATCTCGCAAGACCGACTGACATTGGTCACATGTCAAATGCTCTGCCAGTGGACGAAGAGCAGACTCCATGGTGCTTGTTGATAAATCTGGTCGTGCATCCCACGCAAGATAAGCCGAGGCCAACGCCCATGCTCTTGTCAGCTTCTTTTGTTCTGTGAAATCGCACCAAGCGGTCGGGGGATGGGGGTGGGGAGGAGGGAGAAGAACACGCTTGAGGGCGTCTAAACGACCGAAATGAAGGAAGAATAGGCGTTTGAGGTAGACTGAGCCTATTCGTTCGGCCATTTCGTCTGAGAGGGTGGAGAGAGGGAAGGAAAGAAGATGAGAGGAGGTTGCGACAGCAAGGTCGTAAAGATCGAGAGAGGCGGCGAGAGCATAGACTTCAAGAGGATCGAGTGGTGCTTGGGAGATGAGCAAAGTATAGAGCGGTGTGGAGGGAGCGATGTGGGTTTTTGGGAGGACGCCATAGATGGGCAGACAGTTCACGGCGGTGGTAATCGTAGGGAGAGAAGGAGAATAATGAATGCATGAGATGTCGTAAATGGTATGCAGAAGGATATTTAATACGGTTGAATGTTCTGGGACTGAGAGAATGGAATCCTGATGCTTTGATGCCGGGGGTAACAAATTATTGAAAGCATTTTCCGAGGCTGCCAAGAGGAGATGGGAGTGAACATAAAAGAAAACGTTGTCAGAAGAGAGAAGAACGATGTCTGTTGGAACTGGATGGAGTTGGGCAGCGGGGTGAAATGTGGTGGAAATGGAGACTAATGTGCTTCCGTCTGTGGCCTCGTCGACGATCGGAGAACCAACATGGGAATTCTAGAACGAGAATCAAGATATAATCAAGAAAAGATAGGTTTTCAAACAAAGCTCACTGGAGGTGTTGGTAACAAATGCTTTTCGACTAGCCAAGAGTCGTCCATGGAAGCAAACACCAACTTAGATACAACGTCATTTCTAATAATTATTTATAAACTCCACTCTCCCACGCTTTGGCAGCTTGTATCTCCTCACGTTGACCAAACTTATCGTCGTGAAGTGACATTTTTGCCAGTCGCTTCGCAGTCGATACAGCATTCAGCTTTTCAAGCACTTTATCTTCAGAAAGTATCATTTCCTCCAGCTTCGTCTCTGCTTTTATCGTCAGCAACACGAATGCCAACCAATCACCACGCAGACTTACTGATACGCTTCTCGATCTTCACCACTCGATCTTCGTCTCGCTCCGTTACAAAGCTGATTGCCACACCTCCGCGCCCGGCTCGAGCTGTTCGTCCTACTCGATGGGTATACTCTTCCGCCTCCTCTGGCATATCCCAATTGATTACCATAGCCACGTCTTCAATATCAAGTCCACGCGAACCAACATCAGTCGACACTAGAACCGGAACAACGCTGGCCCGGAATAATGATAGCGAAGACAATCGTTCTCGTTGCGTTAGTCGTGAATGTAGAGCCGTACTTCGAATTGACAGAGATTTCAACACGAGAGTCAAATAGGCTGCCGTTCGAGGCCGTGCACAGAAGATAATGGTAGGAGGTGGTTGCTCCAGCTCATCATCATCGCTTTCCTCAGTTTTCCTCTTCTTTCCTTTGCTTTTCGGCTTGCCTTTCCTCCGCTCAGAGGCCTCGGGAGGAGCCCGCCGCAGATGGAGTGTTGACTCTGGTGGGTTCCGGAGGAGGTAATAAAGATACGTTTCGCGCACATGCGATGGAACCAAAATGTAATGTTGCTTCAAGGTCGAGACTGTCTCGATGCTGCGTAGAATAAATCAAAATCCCCTCAGCAGATCCAGAACCGTCTAACTTGCCTTTCATTCATTCGATGTACGAACGGCTTTTGTTTGCCAGGCCTAGCTGTCGCATCAGCCAGGGACTCTATCGAAGGCGTAAGTGTCGCCGTGAAAAGACAAGTCTGTCGATCCTGTGGCAGGACATTGAATAGATGAGACAGCTCGGGAGAAAATGTCCGAGTGAGTAATCTATCAGCTTCATCAAGCACCTACACGAATGTTAGATAGTGTTCATACCGCCATTGAAGTGGACTGACCAAAAACCTAACTCGAGAGAGGTCCCATTCGCCACTGCTACTGCGTAAGTGATCAACAAGTCGGCCAGGAGTTGCAATAACAATGTGCGGGCGGTTTCCTAGTTCAAGTGCCTGGGCCATCATGTCCATCCCCCCAACAATTACAGCCGTTCTTAGATTAAGTGACGCTCCCAGCACGACAAATTGTTCGGATATCTGGAAAGCTAGTTCTCTGCAGTAAAAAGTTAATGTTACTTCACAGTTAGCGCAAGATGATCAAACCTTGTTGGCGTTAACACAAGGGCATAAATTCCGTAAGGATCAGCGAGAAGTCTTTGTAGGATGGGCAAGGCAAAGGCAATTGTTTTACCAGAGCCAGTCTTCGCGTTCCCAATGCAATCTCTGCCTTGATCGTGTCAGCAGGGTCATACTATGCAAAGAAAATTGCGCCAAGGCAAACGTACCCGCCAACAGAGGAGGAATGCAGGCAGCTTGAACTTCGGTCGGCGTTTTAATTGACATACTGGTCAATGCAGATTGCAGGGAATCAGAAATTCCCAATGACGCGAACGAGGCAAGAGGTTGCGTTTCAGGCTTGAATTGCACGACAGACGATTCCGTTTTGCGAGTTGAGAAATCAAAACGATCATGGACTACGAGTTTTGAGACGTGGTTCTGTGTTTTAATGTCTCCATTAACGTCGTCCTTGGCCTGGTCGGATCCCTCGCCGCTTTCATCCCCAGTTCTCAGACTCTCGTCGTCCAATTCGCTTGCGGGATCTTCGGAATCTGTCTCCGCTGCATCTTGAAGCTTACGACGTTTCCTGTGAGGTTCTTCTTGACTTCGAAGCAGATCGTCTGTCGTGACGTTTCTCCTGCGCGTCACTCGTGCCTGTTCCATGGCTGAGATGGTGGGATGGGCTCGAGTGTTTGATGGAAAAAAAAACTTGAAACTGAAAATTACAAGAGCAAATAAACGCCTCCCCTCTTTAGCTTTGAGCTTGTCAAAGTATGTGCAGCATCCAAATGCGCTGCTTTTCTTCTCCGTCTGCAACGCCCAAGTCATGGGATTAAGATCCGTCGTCCAGGTGCAAGCACAGCTCGTCCAGTTTGATACGCAACTGTCCTACGATGACGTTATTGCTCGATTACGATCCCAAATGATAAACAAGGATGCTTCCACGCCATTAATTACCCGTTTGAGAGAGGCGGGAACTCAAAAAGATGTTGAGGAAATCGTAGGTGATACCACGCATGGGCTGGATTTTTTGTACGTCCGAATTGATAAATTCGGTTGCCGCCTCTCACCTATGTTTTTATCTGGCAGGTATTTCGGGGAGTTGAAACACCACAGGCTATTGGATATCTACCATGGCGTAGATGATACTCCGAAAGCCGTTGTTTACACCATTGGAAACCCCCTGATCGCGCAAACCATCCTCCGTCATGATATTCGCGCCGCTTTAGAGATTCCACCTCGGCTGTTGATACTTGAAAAGCCAGACCGCAAGGGCACCCAGATTCTCTATCATTTGCCGTCTTCCGTGATGACGTTGGATGGTAACCCGGAACTGATATCTGCTGTTGAAGCTCTGGACGTGAAGCTGGAAAAGCTGGTTTCTACCATTACGGCTTTCGAATGAGACAGTTAAATTACATTGAATGTAAATAGTAGTACAGTGCAATCGTTAATTTCGTTATCGATTCATTGGAAAAGGTACATGTGTTGTGGTCGTGACTTTCATTTCTTTCATGGAGTATATGTTCCAACCGGCATACTACAAAGGAAGTTGGAGCCATCTCCGAGCCCATTCGTAAAGGTCCATTGGGAGGGTTCGAAATTGCTAGGCGGGTTGTATGCTGATAAACCTGCGTTGTCCATGGGAATGTGGAGTTTGCATTGTTCTTCGTGAGAGGGATAGTAATCGAGGAAAGCGTCATTAACGATGGACTGATGATTTATTTGTTGGAAAGGACTTGGGGTAGCCATGAACGGCTCCCCGATTTCTGTTGGTCCCACACTCACGTCAGGTTGCCGCCGATAAGCCCCCTGATTGTTAACGTTGTAAGTTGTCCAAGGGTTGGAAAATTGCCCAACGGGAGAAGATAGTGGGGTAGATGGCAACGAGACGGTTTCAAGGCCGGAAGATGCTGAAGCCTAAGGAAAAGGAAGAGTTATCATAACTGATGGACAGGCGCGAATTTTTTTTCTTACGATATCAAGGTCATAAAGGGCTCCGGATAAAGCGTTGTTAGATGACGCTGCGGACGACGGACGTGTGAGGCTTCGTTTGTGGTGGGTGCCACGGTAAAATTTATCCCGTATGGAAGTGGACGAAGAGAACCCAAGTGAAGTGGACGGCCGGCGTGGAACAATAATATGAGGGTAGGAGACCTGTGGAAAACAAGGGGGTAACGCAGGGGAGTCGTCGGACGCAGAACAGGGGAGAGCGGGTGAAAATTGAGCTTGGGAAGAATGGCCGGTGAGTTGATGTGGGGCGATTCTCGTTGAGAACTCAACACGGTGTTCGCGTTTAACATTCCTTTGTCGTCGGTGCATCTCAGAGACTCCCGGTATACCCATGTACTTGTCTCGAACGTCTCGGTATTCTCCCTTTTCAGAGTCTTCGCATTTGACTCGTATCGTGTTTTTCGCACGACGTGAGCCCCGAGGTGCCGGTGTAAATTTGTAGTTGGGATACTCTTGTTGATGCTTGAGTAACGCCTGCGCAGCCTCTTCGTGCCATTTCGCCTTTTCGTCAGAGGTTAACGAGTTCCAGGCTGTACCAGCAAGACGGCTGAGATTTTGTTGACGACGATCAAGGCAATCCGCGGCATCGAGTTTGAGAAAATGGGAACGGAAGATCATAAACGCATTAGGCGGCCGGGGAATGTGAGGTCGAGATATAGGTTTCGGGGAAGAGGCAACGTGTAAGGATGCTTCTAATAAAGCAGATGAACAAAAAGGCGCGAGGTTTGACGCGCTGGAGGCCGGATCGCCTTGATTTGGAGTCAGCTCAGTTTTCGCCTTTCTACGAGGGGATTTTGCGGGACGAATTTCATTGTAGTGATAGGCGGGAAAGACGAAGGACTGTCCGGGAAGCTTTGCCATACAAAGTGCATCTCTAGATGCGTGACCAAACCTCGGCGAAGGAGTACGCGACTCTAGTGAAGGAGTTCCCAACTCTGGCGAAGGGGTTCGCTGAGATATGGTATAAAGGCCCCAAGCTAGAGTAGGCGAGCACTCCTCCTGCTTGACTTGCGCTGAGGGGTAAATGTGTAAGAAAGGGAAAGAATGCCGTAATAAAAACTCACAAGAAAGATCCATTATGAAAAGAAAATGAGAAACCTTTCAAGTTATCAATGGATGGGGTCGTGAGCGGCGGACGTGAATGAAGAGGGAGATGGAAATTGCTCGCATTAAATAGAGTGTGTCAAGACACAAAGTACCTCTCTCCCCGTTTAGCGAAATATTGCCTCGTTGCGAGTATGAAAGAAAATATGTAGCCTCGAGGCGCTAAAGACGCAATTTACTTTTCCCTTCGACGCGGTAGTCCCGTGAATATCATGTGACGAGAACATAGCATGAGAGCTGATTGCGGCAACTGGCGGCAGCACGTTGTTGGCCGATTCCCTGCGTCATGGCATGGTCCCTGAAGGCGACCTAAAATAAGCGTTGTTTAATTATCACTTCACGAAGTCAAAGTCGCTGGACTCGGGAGGTGGGGAGTAGTGGCACTCACGACTCTTTTTTTTTTTCCCTGTAAAGTTGGAATTGGAAGGCGCAGAAATGACTTCACTGAAAAACTTCCAAGAGATTGTGCATATGGCAATATCAAACTCGTGTACTTTCATCTCAAAATCTTCCGAATTGGAGTAGGGCATGAGGCCACCACGATGTTGTTACAATCGAACATCGTACCCATTTAACGCATCCCTGGCATGACGCCAAAAGCTCCAAATCTTTCTGATTTGCCGTTTTTTTATCCGATCCGCAGGCAGGGACTCGCCACTCGACCATTGCAATGTTGTGAATTCCTCTCACATACATACAACGCGGCACTGGCGGCGTCGACAAGTATGTATCTTGTTAACGAACCTATCAACAGCGCGTGTTTTTGTCAGCAGTTATCCTTCTAAGTCGTTGGGAATATCGGCCCAATTTACGGGGAAGGCTTCACGCAGGTCCACAGAAGGTGCCACTTTCTAATCCTTCGCTCGAGAGTCCATCTGCTGACGTAGGATGAGCCACTATGCGTGTAGGATCACTCGGTATTCATCAAATTTGGCGCAATTTTCATAAAATTTTACCCATGGGTAAGTATAGTGTGCCTCTGAAACCACCATTTAACTAGTCACGAAGATGAAAAAATGGACTCACTGGCATGTCGCAGCATGTCCAGTCCAGTCGTTCAAGGCAGCTGGGACATCGGGTCCAGGGTGAGTTGCCAAGATATTAAACACTATTGGTCATCTGGGGGGAGTGAAACCCATACAGAGTCCCCCGCTGCCTTTCGTACTCGGTTCATAATTGCAAGCCCTTCCCGGTCCTCCTTGACTTCCTCGATGAGTATGAGGTGTACGCCTTCTTTCTCGAGAGTAAGGAGACCATCAAAAAGTCGGTGAGCCGTCACTGAAGGGTCTGAACTGGGTCCCAGATCGTAGCGACGCCAATGCAAACCTTCTTTTGGCACGAGAAAACCCCAGAGTTTCGAGTCGGAAGGGGCCATGACGCCGATCTTGACTTCGTCATGGGTGTTCACAAGCGACTCTAGGAACGCGGAAACGGCGAGAGGGTTGGTGCCCTGCGGCGGAGAGGAACTGGTGCAAATGAGGGTGACAGGAACTGACGGTGAGTAATGACGGTATTTCATCCCTGGCGTAGTCGGCGCGTTCTCAATTGTTTTGTCCTGAAAATCCCGGCGGTGCACCAGAACCTTCGGTATCTGAGCGCAATCATGCATTTCCTGGCGGAGGACGCGTTCGATCTCTTCAACGGTGATTCCTCCTGGTCGCAGAATACGTATATTTCCATCCGCTTGTAGACCATCAACAACCGTGCTCTCCAACCCAATATCACAGGCGCCACCATCGAGGATGATGGGGACTTTGCCATCGAGATCACGCAAAACATGCTCAACACGAGTTGGACTTGGCTTTCCGGAAGAGTTGGCGCTCGGAGCAGCGAGGGGCAAGTTCGAGCTTGCGATCAGCGCTCTGGCTACTGGGTGTGAGGGCATCCTTATGGCTACAGAAGGCTGGTTCGCTGTGACGATGGTCGGGATAATGTCCGCATTTCTTGGGAACAAGAGGGTCAATGGACCTGGCCAAAAGTGCTTTATAAGCACTTCATACGCTCTCGATAGATTATAACCAAGGGGCAGAAGGGTGCGGAGCATTGTCAAGGATGATACATGGACGATGAGAGGGTTGTCCGGAGGGCGACCTTTGGTGGAGAAGATTTTTGAGGTGGCTTGGGTACTCTGAGCAGATGCACCGAGCCCGTAGACAGTTTCTGTTGGGAAAACGACTGTCTGAGATAGGTCGCGCAGATGGTGGGCGGCGATGTCCAAAGCGCGCGAGGTGTCTGGGGATGAAATTATGGGGTAATCTGAAGCAAAGGAGATGGAAGAAGGATCGCATTTCAAAACCTGCGTTGAGAACTCAATTGGAGGGTTCATCGAGTGTGTGTAGTAGGCTTGTTGTAAACGGCGAAGGAAGAACATCGATGTTATGGATGGACTGGCTACTTACGCCGTATTTGCAATTTTATTTACATACGCTAACTCGTATCCTTTTTGTGCAAGACTGGCATATCAAGACCCACTCTCCGAGCCGTCGCGTGGATCCTCTCTTCTGCGGTAAGGTCGAACAATGGATTGTATCTCTCCAGCAATCGCTGTCACCGCGTGCGCTCAAATTAGTGTCGGGAGCATACTGTTCAAGGATATGTGGATCACCTTGTGTTCCCGTTGCGACCGCAAAAGCAAGGTTGCGTTGTCTAAGTCTACAAGAATCTGGGGGTCCTTGGATTCGCGGTAACTCTGTACGACACAACGAAAATGGGAAACAATGGAGGTATTGACCTTGCGAGACGGTTCAATCTGAAGTGGCTGGGTAAAGAGGGATAAAAAGAATGAGGACTACAACACACTGATCTCCTAAGTTCACGTAGAACGCCTCGATATGCGCTGGTGTGTTTTGAGATCATTTCTGGAGGTTACTTAGAGCCAACTTCAAGTTGGAGCAGACCTGGTACAAAATGGCACGTGACGGACTTGATTTCATCTTTCCAGTTCTTGTGGCCTGCCTTGGCCACCTTCAGCGTGGTCCTGCTCTCATTGTTCGACGATTTGGGTGGCCTACATTCGGTAAAAGGACAACGCTACCATCATGGACAACGCGACAGATCACGGCAAAGCCACCGTCCCCGCCTTGACCCTCATCATATAAATTTCAAATTTCGACGCGTCAAACCTTGTCCTCATCCTCAAGAAACCCCCCTCTTCATTGCGATATACCCAAAGATCTCACACAAGTCTTTTCAATATGCTCACTCGATGGCCTAGCAAGAAACTCGCCCCGGAGGCAAGAAAAGTGCGTTTCTTCCAAGAATTTCACGCCCTCCTGTCTTGACGTTTTCAAGCGGCTTTTCGGTAAATTCACACAACCACGCAAGGGAAGAAAGGCCAAGGTAGATCCAGTCGCCAAGGAGGAGGACGCCAAACAATCCAAGAAAGCTCGCACCAAGAAGGAGAGCGCAGAGAAAACACAGTCTAAAAGGCTAACCGATCCGTCTTACATTTATGTCGGAAACGTATTTGCCCTTTTTTGAAATGTTTTTGAGCAAGTTTAACCGTCGTCCCTTCAGCTTCGGTCTGGCATCACCCAAGAACGTCTTCAATTCGCCTTTACCAAGTTTGGCCCCATCAAACAAACTTTGATTCGGGTTAGTATGGGATGTGCAGTCACGAATGTTCCAGCCCAAGTGCGAGGGCCTCGCGATCGTCGGTACGCGACCATAGACTTCTTCAGCCCGATTGCGGCGAGAAAGGCCCTCGTCATGAATGGAACAATCCTAGACGGATGCCAGCTGGTGGTATGTCGCTCTTACTGTTACTTGGACCGCAACTCCACTCTGTTGTTAGGTCACTCTGTCAGCTGCTGACCTTCCAGAAGTACGAGACATGGTGAACCGTACGTTAAAAAAACGCCCTTTAATATTCCCGCTTCATTTTATTTCAGAACGACTGTCAACAATGCGTGCACATTTGACGCCCGAAACTGCGCAAGGTGGCAAATCGTACGCTGCTTTGATTTTCTTGCTAAAGGATTTTCGACTCATTCTCAACAGGACGCCTTTGACCCTGCAACCCACGGAGCGATTTCACGACTTTGGCGAAGCCCAGAGCGATCGCCACAATATTTTTGGCCTCTCCTTTACTAAATGCGTGGCATGAGCCCCATACACACTCATTATTACCATTTTATTGTTCATGTGCACGTATTATATATGAACCCTAGCTACTTGCGAAATTGCAGATCTGTGTCCGCACGCGTGATCCTTTATAAGGGTCGGTTCTCTTTTGATTCATGTAACCCTTTTCCCTCTCCTCCAACCACCGGGCGGCGCTCGACGATTCCAAGTTCCTTTGGCTGTCCTTCCCGCACTATCTACGACCGGCTGCATGGAATCTGCATAACCATCACACATTACGACGAAATTGTAAGAGCCACCCAACCTCAAAGACAGGCCAGCTTACAAACCTGGGGCAGTATTGCCATTCGGCGCTTTGATAGTTCACTGTTCGATCATTGTTGTCATTCACTTAGCTTTCACTTTGCCATGGCGAGGAGCGCCGCGTTGAACCCAGCCTCCATGCCATTCTTCCCTGGAGGTGTTCGTGGCAGCGATGACGAGGGAATGGGTAGTGCTTTCACCTTTGGGCATTCTACTTTCCGAGAGCAAGACAGAGCTTCAACGTCTTCTCTCTCCATTTCGCCCTCGGAGTACCGCTCCGTTAGATCTTCTCCTAGTCCTCCTCAAGACAGTCGCGAGGAAGCACGTCATCATCCGCCGCCTGCCCGTACGACTCAATCCCCAATGTTTCGTCAGGTGAATGTTGGCGGACCTTACACAGTCGTTGAAGGGAGAAACCTTGAATCAAGGAGCGCCAGGGAGGGCAGTATGTTTGGTCCCCTTGACACTTTGCCAGAAGACCTACCAGAAGCTGGACCGCAAAATGGCACTGAGACACAGACACCTAGCTCCTCAATCTCTCCCCCACAGCAACAACGCAGGGAACTTTCAACACCCCCTATCGCACCCAATCAGGACGGATCTCTTGTTGGTTCCAGCCATGGCGGACGATCAATGTCGGGAGGTGCAGTCACCTCATCCTCGCCTGTCTCTTCTCTGGGTTCTGGTGGCCAATTTACACCTTCCCCGGATTCCCTCACCTTCGATGCGCGGCTCAAAGCTTCTCCGCTGTTACATGATCTACTGGATCGCCTTGTTCGAAATGAGTATGCAACCCAAGAAATCCAACGCGACCTCGCTGAAGTGCATCGCAAAGTTAACTTGCTTCTCGACCGTTCTCTCGGAATGAATGCGCAGCCAGAATTCAAAGATCCTTTTGCCCCCCTTGCGAACGGCTCGAGTTTCTCGCCGCCCCTCACTAGTCATCCCCGTCCATCACTCGCAAATATCGCGCCTAATCAGGCTGCTCCCGGCGATGACATAACGTCCATTTCACAGCGCCTGAATACCCTTACGTCTTCTGTGGGCCAACTCCTGGCCATTCAAACGCAACAACTTCACTTAAACGTCTCTGATGTCCGCAAAAACTCCGTCATCAGTTTAAACTCCCCACAAGTAGACATCGCTCCCAACCAGATGATGTCGCCACCTGGAATGACTTCTTCCACAATGCTCGGGCATGGGTTGCCAAACCGTCCTGATCTCAGGCCATCACCTCGCCAACCCCCTATGAGAACGTGGTCTGCGGGAACCCTTGATCTACCCCTGCGTCCAACTGAATCTAATATGAATCGACAAGATTCAATGCTTCGAGATAAGCGTCGTTCAGTATCCGGACTCCTTCGACGCGATTCCTCGGGCGTAAGTGTCGTCCACGGCTCCAAGTGCATTAAACTGATTCGAAGACTGGCTTAGATGCTTGAGTCTCAAGGTGATAACTGGGCAGGAGGATCCCCACGTGAATCCGGACCCGTCATCTCCAAGTGGGAACAACTAGCTTTGTCTCCTGAACTTTTGAGGTCTCTTGGGAAGTTTGGGTATGCTTTTTTTTTTTCGCCTGAGATCTTCGCAATTCATCATTTTTTTTAGGCTTGGTCCCCCGAATAAGATACAGCAGCGGGCTTTACCTTTCTTACTGCGAGGAGCCGATATTATTGCCCAAGCACCACCCACCCAGGAGCGCATCGCAGCATATGTCATACCTGCGATTCAAGTGGCTGTCAACAACATAGCTATTCGACACCGCGGGCCAATCGTTGTGATGATTTCTACTACGGTAGATCAGGCCACTCAAGCACAGCGCATGATCCGAGATCTTGGTGGACCCATCAGCGTTAGGTCTGCCCTCGGAGTTGGAACTACATCTGCGACCAGCGATTTAACCCAGGAACTACGCCTTCTACAACAAAACATGCCTCACATCATTTGTGGTACCCCACAAAAACTTCACGCTCTCTTTACCAGCCCAGGGGGCCTCTCAGGCTCCGACGTTCGTTTCCTTGTTCTCGACGAGGTGGATCAATTGATCGCCCGTAATCTTCATGAATTTGTATTCAATATTGTAAAATTACTTCCTCCCCCCCGGTCTCGTCCTTTAGGCAATAGCACGCCCAACACCAACACGAGCACGAGCACCACCACCCCTGGAACCGCTTCGCAGGCGTCCTTCTCTTCTCCCTTCGACACCAATGCGGCCGCTTCTCCTTTTCAAACACACAGGTTCTCGTCGGTATCTTCACCAGGTTCTGCGGATTCCGCCGTGAGTTCCACCCCGGGCCAAACTATCGAGCGTCAGACCGCATTATTCTCCAATACTGTCCCACAAGATGTTTTAAATCTTGCTTCGGCGATTCAGCTTCGGGAACCTGTCCGTGTGCTTGTTCGTCGCGACGGCAATGTTGCAAATCCCGAAACAACTCAAGGAACACGTGGCTTGCGCCAATTTTATCTTTATCTGGCATTCACGGCCGGGGGTCGATCGGACCCTATGGCTGCGCCTCCTGGAGGCGGCCTAGGTATCATTGGTTCTGGAAGAGGAGCCACGAGCGCTGAAACTGCCCAGGCTAGAGAATGGAAACTCGACGCGCTCGCTGATCTCTTCGACGATGTCGAAATCAGTCATGCCATCGTTCAGGTTGGGGGGATGACGGCCCTTGACTCGGTGGTGTATAAGCTTGCCAGTCGTGGATTAGAAGCTATCCCCCTCGTTAGTACCTTTTTCTAAATAATTTCAGGGAATCTCTGACTTTGCGCATAGCACGGCGATATGAACGCAGGAACCAAACTAGCTGCTTTAAACAAGTTCAGGGGTACAAATAACGTCATCATGAGGCAGCCAACAACAAAAGCACTTGTAGTTTATGATGTCCAGGTGAAAGGCCCAGATGTTTCCCATATTCCCCTTGTCATCAACTATGGTAAGTTGTACCTTCGAATCTCTGGCCTGACACCAAGTTTTTAATGATTACTTCAGATCTCCCGAAAGCAGTCGAGGAATACGCCCACCGGTAAGGAACATGAGGATGTCGACACTCTCTGGTCTGACTAATATCTCTCAGCGTTGCTCCTGCCATTGCCTCTAGTTATTCCCGCGCAGGCGTTGTTGTTAACTTCGTTACAGCGACCGGTGGGGATGTCGAGATGTTAAGATCCATAGAATGTTTCTACAAGTAAAGTCTTTCCCAATTATCCTTGTGGGGCATAGACTAACCTACTCTGTAGAATCAAATGCGTGAGCATCTACATGCCTCTCACCCTCCTAATCCCTTGCTCATCCCATTCGTACAGCCCGAAGTCCCTATGAGCCTCCGTGATATCGTTTAATTGACGACCTAACGCGTTCTTGTATCCCTATAGCACATCATTCCATGTCTACCTGTTTTCTGCTGTTTCATATTATACTGCATCAGATTCGGTGTTTTATACCCCTTATATAACATCCCCTCATCACATCCAACTCTACCCTCAAATTGTTTCCTTACTATGTTTTTCTTTTGTGTAGTCCTTTTCTCATACACACTGTATAGCAGATTTTCATTTCAGTATTTCATTCGGAATAGTCTAATCTGTAGTCAATTGCACTTGAAGTATTCTCAATGTACCATCTTCACTGCAACTAGCAAGCTCCGATGAAGACCCTACCGTGGGTCTCCAGGATAATCTGTGGATGTGATCCACATGTGCTATGCTGAACCAGAAAAGAATGTAAATATGAGGAAAATGGGCGTGAAAAGTGCTAAACCTTGTATCGATTGATAGTTCAGTCCTCCAATCCGACGCAGAAGGGCCGATTTTGTTCGAATAAATAACAATGTCGCCAGTTTCTAGTCCAATTGCCAAATGCCGCCTAAGGTGGTTCTTATCAGCTGCGCCTGACGTGCCAAATAAAAAAGTTTTGCCTCGCGTGAAGATCTCCTGATGCAAAAGCAACGGCGGTAGCAGGTGCTTTGGTTTTGATTGTGGTTGCAGTACCCCAATGCGAGTTATTTTCTTCTTTCCTCCAGATCCTAACCTGGAACACAAAATCAAAATCAAAAGAGATAATACAAAAAGCAACATAGATTGACCGTTTTATCACGTGAGGCCGTCGCGAAAACGTCCCCCTCCATCGCCCAGGCACAATCCCATATGATTCGCCCATGGGTTTTGTCCGCAGCGACAGGCGTGTAACCTTTAATATAGTTTTCAGTGGTGCCATAAGTCATCGTATAGTTCTCCTTGCCTAATCCTTCTTGAATTTGGAAGAGTCGCCATGAACGGTCCCTCGAAACCGACAGTATCAACTTGTCGTCAGGGCTGAAGGCGATCCTCGTTACGGTGAGAATATGGCCCGGCAACGGCTGTCCAAAGGGTCGGTAATTCTTTGTGTCATATACACGAACTACCGCGTGTTCTCCACTCGTTGCTTTGCATGCTGTAGCTATAAGATGACGCGAATTCGAGACAGTGATGGTGACCAACTATAGATAAAGCTGTCAGAAATACCCCAATAATCACTAGTCAAAGAATGGATCACCTCATACCCATGTCCAAAGACCTTTTCAACTTCCGGCCATAGTGTCAAGGAAGCAAGTTCGCCTTCATATGGACGTTGTATCTGCTTCGTCTCAATCGATGTCTGCTCAGAAACTTAACATCAGGTCAGAGACAGGCCCTTGACGAAAGAAGCAAGTAGAACCTTCCCCAGTTGCTTTGTTCGATAATCCAAGAGGGGGAACAATAGCACTTTGAGGCCGATTGTGCTGGACTGAAGATTGGTGAAGATACTGTTGCATACGAAGGAAGACTGACATCATGCTCGGAGAATTGAGCTACGCCGAGAACCTCAAGAACTTCGATAAATCTGCGAGGTGCTTCAAAAATGCGGACAACTTTCTCATCCGCAACGCTGGCAAATTTCAAAGGATCAATGAATACAGCATCAAGCAGATCATATCCATGGATTTGTGGTCGACCGAGTTCATGCCAAAAAGAAGATTGGTTAGCGGCAGTGATGGGACCATGTATACGGCTAGTCTGATCCAATCTAAACAGGAATGAGCATCGCATTGCTTGTGAAAGTCAAAAAAAATGCTACCCAGCTGAGATCAAATATTCTCCTCTCGGACTCCAACTTAAACCTTTTACTGGTCCGTTGTGACCTGAAATAGCACCCACTTCACGCCACGTCTCATCGCCCTGGCTCTGACCTGAGAATGTCGTAGAACAACGCCACCGCCTACAGCCACCTGCCCAACCCCAGGCAAGTGTCTCCCTCCCATGTAGAGTCCACGATCCCCCAACAAAACCACCTAGCCGTTGTCCTCCAATGTCACCAAATCGCTGACGGTTTATCCAAATAGACGCCGAGCCATCTTGTGACACGGTCGATGGGGACCACAAGATCAAAGAGGAGTCTGTGGACGTTGACAACAAAGTGGGAGTGGAGGTGATATTTGCGTCAGGGCGCCAAGCGAGAGACGTGATTCCGCTCTCATGACCGACAAGAAGAGCATCGAAAGTGACAGAAAATTGTTGTCCAGCACTTTATCGTGTCGACTTTAGTTAGATCTGGATGACAGTGCGATAGACTGCTTACTACCTTCCACTCCCCGACTTTGTTGACAGAATATGACGCTTCAGAGAAATCTGCTTTCCACCTTCATCAGCTTCACCAAGCTCACCAAGGGACGCTTCGAAGACATCAAGGAGCTCGTCACTCAGCTCGCCAATGGCTGATGAGGACGGCACTCGTTGCCATGCTTCTATGTTCCACAATCGAATTGTTGCATCTTGAGAACCAGATGCTAAAACGAGAGGCTCCCCATCAGACGCCGGTTTAAAAGCCAAACATCGAATCCAGTCTTCATGTCCCGCCAATATCGCTGAGTGCACGAACTTGAAAAGTGTTGGATTAGGAAATCTCTCAAAAATCAAAGGAACCGACAGTGTCTTCAGATTGGAGCCAAAGTTGTACAGCGGTATCGGTCCCGGCAATAGCGAGGATGGAAACTGAAAGGTCAGTCAAAGGTTAAAGAAGCCAAAATCTGAAACATGGACATTATACCTCGGGTATGAGGCAGATATGTAAGAGCCAAAGCAAGAGGGTACTTCCCCTTGAGAGGAATAACCTGAGATTCAGTGACTTCGTCTATTATTTACGCTTCATCAAATCAATCACACCAAGTTCATTATCGATTCACGTACCAGTCTCACCTTCCACGAAAACCCAGACTTTGACGAGGCCGTCTGACGACCCAGTTACGATACGGTTCTGGTGGATACAAATGGATGAAATGGCCTTTGAATGGGCCTGACACTTGACGGCTATCTTCCACTAAACAAGACGTAGCCGTTTGAATCTCGGCCTCGAGATGTTGGTAGGTTTGCACACCTTAAGTTCGATTTGTTTCCTTAAAATCAATGTCCCCTTGTTGTCGGCAGAAAGCAAGATGTCCTTGGAAAGAAAACGAACGCAGGTAACTAAACCCTCGTGGCCCGGCAAAGTCGCTGATATACCAGAATCGATGTCATCCTTTACAGAGGAAAGTTGGTTGTAGCATTGGAGAATAATTTTATGTCACGACCTACATCAAGGTTCCACAAGCCTACCGAACGAGAAGACCCAAAGGCGAACAATGACTCCGAAGAAACATCTCCAGCCTGGTTGAAGCGGTTGACAGACGCTGCTATGTACGCGATCGAGGCCATGATGAAATGGCGGTGGAGAGTAATTTGTCGGGTTTGTGCAGTAACCTCCGATTTAAACAAAGGCGGGAAACTTCAACTAGTATGGCCATCCTCGGCATAGGCGTCGACCTCGTTAACATTCCTCGTATAACGGCGCTTCTCAGTCGCAGGGACCCTCAAAGATTTGCGTCTCGGATCCTTAGTTCAGATGAGCTTGCTCTCTGGCAATCAATGCCACTAAACCGTCGAGTTCAGTTCTTGGCCGTTCGGTATGTGCCCAGCAACTTTACATGTTTCTCCATCCATTTTATCACATATAGATGGGGGGTAAAGGAGGCAGCGTACAAAGCAATGTTTCCTGTGGCAAGACCGACGTGGAAAGATCTGACCTACCATGGGGCAAAAGTCGCCGACAACGGGCAGTGGCAAAAACCTTCTTTAACATACCGTCCACCGGGCTCTAGCATCCCTGTAATCGACCAAATACACGTCTCCGTTAGCCACGATGGGGACTACGTATATGCTTCTGTGCTAGTCGAGGGCTATTCCTGATGCGCTGTTCAATCATACCGTGGGGGACCCTCCGCAAATCTTCGTTGAGAATTTCTTTCTGCTCATATACCTGCGAAGTTCTTAGGCACAGTCTGTAGCCCCAGCCTGTGCGGCTTGAACTGTGTCGACGAAAGCCCTTGAATATACAGCACACATTTCTTTGAAAACGATGCATGTCTCTCACCAACGCGCCAATTATTTTTTGAATTCAATGCTAATTTGGCGTTCAGTTCTGCTCATGGTGAAACTAACTACTTTGATGTCCGACCTCCTTCACGAATCCCTATCTCAAGGTCGAGGTCGCCCATGTTCAAGACACAAAAGGGCCAAACCAACGCCTTGCGCTGTGCTCAAAAATTTGCCTCTTCCTCGTGGTCGCGAAAAGGCCGTAATATATCACCTCTGCCTTGAACTGAGGGCCGTATATCGATATTTGAGGGGAAAGTATGCGAAGCAAGGGAAGTCATATTTTCACCGAGTCAACGATCTCGTAGTCTCGAAAAACCTTGACTCCAAGAAAAAAATTGTCAATTGTGACAACAGGTTCTGAAAGGATGCATACAGCCTTGGTCAGCCTTCAAGAGATGGCGGCGACCCATCCCAACAGCTCCCCTGCCATGAATGATGTTTTCGTCTGTTCCCCAAGGTGAATAGACAGAATTGTCCCAGACAAGCTCGAGGGCACTGCAGCTCCGTTGCCTCAGCGCCTAGTTTTGCAAATCGGTCTCTACATAACTTTATAACAAGTGCAATCTACGCTTTGAAAATATTTGTGAGAGTATACATTTATCAAACATCTATGTAACAAAGTGCAACTATATTCTTGATTTGGACAAATTGGATGAGAACACAGACTGCAATCATATTTACCAAAATGCATCACTTTCTGGTAGAGCCCGATTCGGTTTGGGGAGGATGCAGCCAAAGCTGCCAAACACAACCACCATAATTTCTAAAACGGGGAACAATGCAGCGTGGAGCTCGTTCGCAACCTTAGAGTCGGGGATGCTAAACTACGATGAACTTCATAGGCAATGTCGAACCCTCGAAAATTTATTCGATGCCAAACTTACCTCATATGCCCAAGTGGCGTCAAATATCGTCCATCCTCCACATGATTTGGAGGCCGCCCATTCGGCTGAACGATGGAATGACCTCGAAGCAGAACTAGATGACCTTTCACTCAAGGCAGGGCGATTTTTTACCTTGAGGTGTTGGTTTAGGCTTTCCTCATCTCATGCGGCTAGCTTCAAGAAATCAACGATCAATTGGCAACACTAGCCGGCAATCCCGAACTCCTCTCCCCCTCAATACTGCGGGCAATTCAGAGGCATCGAGAACTGCAGCAGGATCATCTACGCGAGCTGAGAAGAACAAAGGCATGCTAATTATATGGCTCTGTGTTGCCGTAGTCACCCAATCTGACAGGCAAATGTGCAAACCGCTCTCGACCAAGCGAATCTTCTATCTGGTGTGCGAAATGACATTGAGTGAATTTATTCATCGTCTAATCCGTTTATTTGCCACTCATTTTGCTTTATCAGTGCATACAAGTCTTCTGCAGCAGATTCTTTGCTTGCCGAGCGGGGCAGAATTGACAGCTCCCACCGGATGACGGACGATATGTTACAGTAAAAAATCATGCTCTTGCATATCAATTAGTCATCTAATCACTCATTTGCTAGGCAAGCATACGAAACACGCTCCGAGTTCTCAAGACAGCGGAGCTCTCTAACGAGCATTCAGGGTCGTATGCTGCATGTCATAAGTATGTTTGTTGAGTAGCGTCGATTTTCAACACATGAACCTCACTATGTTACCTTTAGATACCATGCCTGGAATTAATAACCTGGTATCCATGATAAAGTCTAGACGACGGCGGGATTCTATTATCCTAGGTGTTGTCATTGGAGTTGGCTTTATCATTATCCTCTCGTACATTTGGAATTGACATAGTTTCTGAATCCGCGACGTTGTCAATTCTTTACCCCTTTACATACCTAATAGGACAAGATAACAACGGCGGAATGCATATCAATACACTCGAAACCAGTCGCCTCGGAGTAATCGCAATGTAAAATCTGAGGGAGGGGGAGAAGCTATCGGCAAGTAGCACAGCAATATGCCCAGTCATTGCGAACCCGTTACGGGCAGTGGCGAAAACCTTCTTTAACATACCGTCCACCGGTCTCTAGCGTCTCTGTAATGGCCAAATACATGTCTCCGTCAGCCACGATGGGGACTACGTATATGCTTCTATGCTAGTCGAGGGCTATTCCTGATGCGCTGTTCAATCATACCATCAAGGCGCAATTCTTCGTTGGCAAATTCTTCCTGCTCATATGCCTGGGCACAGTCTGTAGCCCCAGCCTCTGCAACTTCAACTGTGTCAGAGGTCAATTAGACGAAAGCCCTGGAATGCATAGCACCCATTTCTTTCAAAACGACGCACGTCTCTCACCAACGCGCCAATTGTTTTTGAATTCAATGCTAATTCGGCGTTCAGTTCTGCTCATTATTACATTTGTTCAATAGAAGAAGCTGGCTCTTGAGGCCACCAACTTGGCCACCATGGTGAAACTGACCACATTGATGTCCGGCCTCCTTCAGGAATCTCTATCTGAAGGTCGAGGTCGCCATTCTGGACGCCAGCAACATGTTCAAGACGCAAAAGAGCCAAACCAACACCTTGCGCTGTGCTCAAAAGTTTGCCTGTTCCTCGAGGTCGCGAAATAGGCCGTGATATATCACCTCTGCTTTTAACCGAGGGCCGTATATCGATATTTGAGGGAAAAGCATGCGAAGTGAGGGAGGTTATATCTTCAGGACTGCAACGCCAAATGTGTCACTAAAAATAAAAAGTTGAAAAAGAAAGAATGGGTACTTTTCATCTGGTTTGTGCAAAAGTACGGGGAAGGTTCGTTTTCGAATAATGCCTGTATGATAAGTCCGCACTGTCAGCTCTTGACCAACGTAGCAGCCTTTTCGAAAGTCCACTACGCAAGAAAGTTGGAGTTAACAATGGAAGTCAATCGCTAAGCACGCACATCCCCCCATAGCGTCAAGATTAGAGTCCATTGGAAATGCTGTCATTGCGGGTATGTCCATGTTGCCTTCCGGAACACCGTGGATGATGCGGTGAAGGAGGTACGCTTCCGAGTCAACGGTCTCGTAGTCTCGTAAAACCTTGGCTGCAAGACAAAATTTGTCAATTGTGACAACTGGTTCTGAAAGTATGCATACAGCCTTGATCAGCCTTCAAGAGATGGCGGCGACCCATCCCAACAGCTCTCCTGTCATGAATGATGTTTTCGTCTGTTCCCCAAGGTGAATAGGTAGGATTGTCCCAAACAGGCTCGAGGGCCCCGCTGCGTGCCCAGCTCCACTGCCTCTGAGTTTCCCAGACCTGATCTTCCGTCGCTCCCCAAGAGGCCCATAGCGTATAATCTTCCGACACGTCCCTCACTTGCACTTTAGATCGCAGGATATGACGTTTCAAGTAAGACAACAGTGGAGGAGCCTCAGACAATCGGTTGTCATATTCCAAGAAGTAGCCAGGTTTTCCGGCAGAATTCGTGGATGGATAGAGGAAGACATCGTAGAGGACTCTTCCCTAAACAAAGGGGCATGTTCAACTAACGATTCGTTAAGTAATTGACAAAAGGGCCTGCCTGTGCATTCAAGACGGCCGAGAACTGCGAGCCGTTGTCTTGGGGGCCTATAGAAGATGACAGTAACCCGTTGAGAAAGCTGAAAGCTTGAGATCCAAAGACTGAGATAATTCCTCGATTGGGTATTGGTGCAAGAAACTTTCCTGGCCGAACGAGACTTTTCACAACTGAAAACATGAGAAGCAAGATGGGTTTACTAAAGCACGTGACGCAGCACAATCTTGACACCAACAGCACCAACGATGGCCTCGTCCTGTCAAAACCTCCTCAGTGCACTCAAAGATTGTCTAATCCATTCGGACTGTGTCGTAAAACAAGGGAACCTTCCTTCAGACTGCCTCAAAAACCATTTCACCGAACTTCCAGAGGAGTGCCAATCTCTTCGCAAGGCAACGTTCGAGTGCAAGAGGGGCATGGTACGTCCGTCATTTTCTTCTTATGGAGCTCTTGCTAAAGACAGCGTAGTTGGATATGAGGAAACGCTTCCGAGGGAACATTATTGGATCACAGTTTGAGTACACTCCAAAGGACCAGACGCCGACAACATCCTCTGCGGCTGAGTCGCCCTCACGATGACTATCTTGATGCCCCTACTCACGCGTAGCTGGCATGCCTCCAAATACTCGAACACGGTTTTTAAACTGCCGTCAACCATGTATGGTTACAACTCGATGATCATTGAAGTCGATTGATAACCCGACTCTTCCGGCCCCTGTAGTGGAAGTGAAGCTTAGCAATGGTTATTGTTGGCGGTAGTTGCATGCGATTAAGCCGGGTTGCTGAGCAATCTGCGCTGTCTTGATAGGTAATCTTCAAACGCGCCATGATGTCACGAGGATGATATGTAGTATATAAGCTGCAACTTGCAATTCATCCTCAAACAAGACTTTCATCCACAATGTCCTCTCCTGCCAAACCACTCGTCCTCTACACGGCTGGGACACCCAATGGTTATCAAGCTACCATCTTCCTTGAGGAGCTGAAAGCTGTGAACCCAAACGTCGACTATGAGTAAGATGTCGCAGTTCCCTAACCACGCGATACATAACGTCAAATTTACAGTGCTGTCAAAATCGACATCGGCAAAAATGTCCAAAAGGTGAAGCGCATTCGTTAGTCAATGTCACATCCTTGGCACTCAACATGCTCGTTCTAGGAGCCATGGTTTTTGAAACTCAATCCAAATGGCCGTATCCCGACCCTCGTGGACAGATCCCGAGGCGACTTTGCGGTTTTTGAGACAGCGGCCATCAACTTGTATCTTGCCCAGCAGTACGACAAGGAGTTCCAATTCTGGTTCAACCCTTTGGAAGATGCAGATGACTACAGTGAAATGCTACAATGGATCTTCTTTGCTGTATGTTCATCATCTGGATCCTGTGGGAATTTGGCCGTCTAATTTTTTGCAGCACGGAGGAGTAGGTCCGATGCAAGGACAGTGTAAGGGACAACAACCACCTACTCTTTGGATTGGCTGACTCGCACTGCATGATAGCGAACCACTTCAATCGTTTTGCTCCTGAATCCATCCCATATGCTAAGAATCGTAAGCTTATACTTTTCTGCAGCAATGAGATCTGACCCGTGTGATGAAGGTTATCTTGAGGAGACCAAACGTCTGTATGGCGTTCTTCAGCTACGGCTCGCTGACCGTGACTGGCTCGCGGGACATGGAAGAGGAAAATACAGCCTTGCGGATATCAAGGCATTCCCGTGGTAAGAAAAATGATAAGTTGTTTGATTGTTCGCCTGAAGAAGTTTTTCGTAGGGTTCGAATTCATGCCTTTGCTGGTGTCGAAAGTTTGGATGAATGGCCTGCGGTGAAGGTAAATATCTATTTTATGATTGATCTGAAAATAATAATGAGGTTGACAATTAGGCTTGGGTGGAGCGAGTAGGAGCAAGACCTGGGGTAGTTGCAGGGTTGAAGGTGGCTGGGCAGTAGAAGGCGATGAGGCTGAAATATAACAAATGTCAATAGCATAACGGGTTCTGCTGTGAAGCGCTGAATGGCCTTTGCTAAATGATTCGTCTTTCTCGCCCTTTTTCAACGAACATTAACGTTCTACGTTGTATTCCTCATCGGAACGTACATTCTGGACCAACAATTGTCGATCCGGCGTCCTCATCTGCACCTCAAACGTCTACCGAAATTTCGCTTTCGCACCCAAGAGATACGACCTCTTCGTCATCTTCCGAGCTAGGTTCAAGTGCCAGTCAAGCCTCGAAAAATGAACCTTATTTCGATGGTGCCGTCCCTCCAATTACAGGTGTTCCGTCAACTCTTCTGGATGGACACTCCATGAAGAGCCCCACCTACACAAGTCCTCCATTTCATACCCATACATTCTTCACTGCTCTGGAAAAGACGTTCCCAGAACCTACAGCTAGAAGTCTCATGCGGGCAACGCGGGCGTTGCTTGTGGACCGCATTGGGAGAGTGCGGAGGGAGGGTTTGACGGTTAAGGATTTGGACAATGTATGTGCACTTTGTAACAGCGGCGTGTTCCGCCTGTTAACGCAATGACAGCAAGCATATCTATTTCGAGCCGCATTATCAGAACTACGTGGGGAGATCACCATGAGCACGAAGAATGATTCGGCTGCTATTCGGGCAGCCACCGCTGCTCTACGCCGAGAGGTGGACCGGTTAGATGTTAAGATGAAGGAGGACATCGGGAATCTCAAGCATGAGTTGGTCATTTTTATCTGTGTCAATCGTCTTGTTTGAATGACGCTGCCGGCCGCAGAATTCAAATGGAGCTTGACAGCAGGAAGAACGAGGCCAAGGCTGATCTCAAGCAACAAGATATATCCATCGAAGTGAACTCTTCCACCCCAACATCCGGTCATTCTGTATCCTCAATATTTTTTTACAGGAGCTTCTCAATAAAGCTGTTGTGAATATCAGCGACCTGCGTACTGACGTCGAGGAAATCAAATGGGACAACATGCGAAAGGCTGTTTGTACGTCGGATTTTTCTCTTTCTATTCCTTCGATATATTGAGCTTTTCAGTGACGCTCTCTGCTTTTGTCTTGGTGATCGTTATCACAATGGAGATCCAACCCAAGAAGAAAGCAAACGCTCCTCCACCTCCTCCTCGTCGTCCAGATGTCAGCATACCTACGGAGGGACTGGAACGGACAGAATGGGTCACCTAACACCTAACGTGTCAAAGCCAAGGTAATTTACAAATGTATTACAGCCTGTATACCACCCCGCGCACAGTCGCATCTAGAGTAGAACGTAGCGTATAGTCAATTATTTGACACTTAATTTCTCTAGTTCACTCGCTAGTCCTGCAGCTCCGGCCTCCCTGCTCCCAGCATTGGTGTCTGGCCCGACCGCTTCACCATCTTTCAAGTCCTTCGACACTGGCGTAGTATTGCTGCTCCCTTCATCCTCGTCGTCCCAGTTATCTGGAACTGCATCCTTGTCTTTCTCCCGCTTCTCTTTCCGCTTCGCGTTCTTCTTGGCACTCTTGCTCAAAGCCTTTGTGCCATTTGATCCCGACGCGGCTGTTGATGTTGGGGGTGGCGCCCATCCAATGATATGACCCTTTGGCAAGGCATTAACGTCCATCTGTGCTTGTTTCGTTCCACGAAAGCGCCTGACATCCTCCTGCGGTGTAAAGCCTGGACGGATTTTTATTTGCTTGCGAAAGCTGTAGTAGTGGCGGGATGAAAGGGGGGTATCAGAGAGATCCGGGTAGTAACATACGTTCCATCTGGCCGTCTAGACTCTGGGATGACGCGTTCGAGGGTTTGGGGATCGAGAGCAATGCCAGCGGTGGTTTGTTCAGGATTAATGGGTGGGCGGGACATGATTGAACAGATAATCCTTCGGACTTTGAAATAACTTGAAATAACTTTGACTTCTCTCCCCGTCTTTTCACTAACTCTCATGCGCTATGCAGTCCTAGTTACGGGTCCAGCGGGTGCTGGAAAATCTACCTTCAGTTCATCTTTTCTCACTCATCTCAAAAATTCGCGACGGACTGCCCATCTCGTCAATCTCGACCCTGCAGCTTCCCCGGCTAGTTTCGAGTATGAGCCAGTGATTGACATTAAGGATCTGGTTAGTCTAGAGGATGTCATGAGTGAATTGGGGTATGGTCCGAATGGAGGTCTGGTGTATTGCTTTGAGTGAGTGAGTGGATTGCTCTCGGTATGTCTCCCAGCATCTAGTGCTGACCTTGTGGGGTTGCGAGATAAGATATCTTTTACAAAATATGGACTGGCTAGAAGAAGAATTGGGTGGTTTTGACGATGATTATCTTGTTTTCGATTGTCCAGGTAAATCTTCAGTCATGCCATAACCCAATTTCATGACCGTGAACCGTTTTAGGCCAGATTGAGTTATACACTCATCATCCGTTCCTCCCCACCCTGGTACAGAATCTGACGAGGCTGGGAATCCGTGTTTGTGCGGTATACTTGATAGAGTCACAGTTTATGGAAGACAAGTACAAGTTTTTCAGGTTGGCATTCCTTCACCATTCCTTTGCAAAAGGTGTAGTCGTTGCTCATGCATCTCACATCGGCAGCGGCGTCCTATCAGCCATGTCGGCAATGGTTAATCTCGAGATCCCTTGGATAAACGTCATGTCCAAGATGGATTTAGTGACCGCTAACCCGGATGATGAGTCGGGCGGCGCAAGAAATGGCCTACGACAACGAAAAGATATTGCTCGGTAAGGCCTTTCGCAAAGTGAATCGGCAGAGTTCTAAGAACTCTCCTGTTCCAATCTTCCGCTCAAACCCGGTCGCGCTAAACCTAATTATTTCTTTATAGGTATCTCGATCCTGATCCATTCCTTCTCGCTTCAAGAAGAGGGCAGGAAGGAAACGAGTCCAATCCCCGTTTTCATGCTCTAAACCAAGCTATAGTACAGTTGGTACGCTTCGCTCTTGTGTCGCGCTCTTCTGAAAATAATATCTTGATATCTCAGATTGAAGATCATCCGCTTGTCTCTTTCCTGCCACTGGATCTTACGAACCCAGATTCTATCGAGACTGTTGTGAGTCACATAGATTACACGATGCAGTACGGAGAAGACGAAGAGCCAAAAGAGGTAAACATGATGCCTTACCGCACTTTACGGAAACTAAATTTTGCTTTACAAGCCCCATGACCTCGACGAGGGGGACTTTCAGGGTCTGGAATGAGTTCCCAACTCTGGATTTTGCAGCTGTCGTAGTTTAATATTCCTCAGTGTAGAGAGAGCACTTATATTCGTCATAGTGCTGACATGGTGCACCAATTGCGCCCATATGGGCGCTAGTGTGTGGCCACCGTGTGATTACTACTCAGCTCCAACTCCACCGCCCAGCCTCCAACCCTTTGTCCTCGACATTTACTACGAACTACCACGAATACTTACCTACTGACTCTTCACGCCCTCCATGACTGCCTACTACCCTTCTCAAGGCTCATACTCTCATCATGGTCATCACCATCACGGTCAACCTGTTGTTTATTCAACTTCGCAAGGATATGGCCAACCAATGGTTGGCTCAACGGAGTACTACCAACCTGGCGGTGTCATGTACGCTCCCTCTAGTAGCAGTCGTCGTCACCACCGACACCACAATGACAGAATGCCCCAGGTCGCATCCGTTGCTGCACCAGTAATCTTGGTACGCTATGCCGCATGCTACTTATGTCCGATCCGTGCTCATTTTGAATTTTTAGCAGCCAAGCAGTCATGGTGGCCACCACTATCACAACCATTATTCGTTCGGAGAACGTCTACGACGATTTTTTGGTTTAGCGCCAAAGACTGGCGTTCGCTACAAGTCAGATAGGGGTAGTTGGGGATTCCTTGGGTATTCACGCAGGCAGCGGTATACGGATGCCAGAACGGGAGCTGAAGTAGATCGGCAAGGACGACCAGTTTACAGAGTGTAAACTATTCAATCGTCACGTGCTGGCTTCAAATTCATATGTAAATCATTAACTCCATGTATATATGTAGTATGGGCGAATCCCCAAGTATAGTACGGATAGGAAAGTAGGGATCAGAAGGAGGAATCGTAGGGATCAGGAATCACCATGTCGCCGTCTGCGTCAATCCCATCGTGTTTCAACTTGGAAGCCAGGTTCCAGAGCTTAACCTGTTCTTGAATGCTACTGACGATTTCCACAACGCGCCTGCGACATTTGGCTTGGGCGGGATCATCGCCGACACCCTCCCAAAGAACTGCTAAACTGACTTCGATCTAATCGGTTGACGGCTCAGCATCAAACCAAAATTAGTGCTTCAGAACGCACCTTTTCGGCCAACTTTCCAAGTGCATCATCCAGAGTTTCTCCTATGGCATCTGCAGCCTTAGTCAAACGTCCCAAAAGGACATCAGCGCCATCATCAAAAATATTGTCCTTGCATTCGTCAATGTAACGGCGGAAATATGCCTATAAACGGCCAGTAGGGATGATGTTCGACGGACAAAGGCGATCAAGACACACCTTTTGACGTGCCACACTTCCTGTACCGCGTTCTTCCATGGCCGTGTTATAACCTTCAATCAATTGTGCTTGCACATGGGGCGCAATGCATCGCGAAACTTCTTTCTGTTCTGTGGCCAAAGTTTGTTTGACAAGTTCCACTGCATTTTTCAAGGCGACTCGGGCCTCTTCTAAACACACTTCTGCCTGTTTGTTGGTTCGATCCTTAAGACCAGGCGCCGCGGAGTCCTCAACATCTTTTAAAAGTTTGTTGATCGAGTCCAAGGTTGCAGTTTCGAAAGGCGCGAAGAGGTTTGATTCAAAGACGGTGCTCCATGAATGGGCGATATTTCGGGTGAAAGGGTTAACGAGCTCGACATTAAAGTCCCGCCTCCAAGATCCATGACGGCGCAAAGCTGATGAAGGGCGTGAGGGGGTACTGATGATAAACATTTACGGCATGAACCTACTAGCACGGTAGGTGGCCCAGTGCATCGAAGCGGCAAATTCATCCGTTGTGGGAACAGCGGCTTCCGCAGCCTGACAAAGGTTAGCAAAAAGTCCTTAACAAGTTTGTGGCACTATTACATTGGCGGCGCCTACTCTACACTTCTCCTCCAAACCACTTTTGAAGTTTTCTTGGAGTTCTTGAACACAATTATCAACTGTTTTAGCAAATTCCTGCGAAGAAGCTGTTAAGGTAATAGAGATACACGAGGGAATGAAGACCGACTGTACAGAGTCGGGGAGCAATGCCGACACGGTTACTCTCGCGATCCACCTTTGATGAATTTAATGAGGCAGGCTGGTTCATTGTAAATAAACCTGCTCCCAGTCCACCCCCTAAGCCTCCTAAAATCGCATCGAAGGCGTCACCAGCCCCATCCCATGCCATAGCCTGGGCGATGCCATGTTGAGCCAGTGGGGTAGATTCCCATTTTTCACGCAGTGCCTCACGATCACCTGTAGTAACGTCTGCGGCGCCCTCAACATAGGTTTGGATGGATTTGGCAAAGGCATTCAAATGGGAAAGAAAGTTTCTCGCAGCTCGTTCACGAGAAGAAACGGTCAGCTGGTGACACCACCTTTGAAGATCAGGAACGCCTGTATCATTGACATTGGTGAAACAAGAAGCTTCCCCATCGCCCTGCACTTGGCCTATCGGGACGATTATTGCTGGGAAGGTTGGAAGCTTTGGGGAGGTACTTACCTTTCAGCCTCACGTAATCCCGACTGGAGCAGGTAAACACCGGCAGATCAATGGCGTCGTAATCTAACCCGGTAGATTAGGAGTGCGTTACTACAATAAACAGATATCCTCTACCTCGAAGGTTCGCATTGGGATTAAAGTTTTCTGGATCGCGCTCTTCGGCAGCAGCGTCTGGAATGTATCAGCCAGGAGTTTCGAAAGGTTGAACATAGTACACGTACCGTCGAGGTCCTTCAAACCAACTCGGAAGTCTTCTTTCAGAACATCCCGGGAAAACTGGAACAATGGTATATCATTGCCTTGCTAAGATAATCGAAGAACTCACCTCCGATCGTTTCAAGGAACAAAATGCATTTTTCTCTCTCTGCACTTTAGCGACATTCTTGGAAAGGATTGAAAGATGGTCTGAAGCATCTTTTTTCTGCTTTCGAGCACTGGAGAGACGTTCCCGGGCGTCCTTGATGGCATTCTTAGATTCTTTTATCTTCTCTTTTAATGAGTCTTCCGTTTCTTGTTCCTCGTCAACTCCAACATCCCCTGTGTCAGATCCGAGATCCTCGTCCTGATCGGATTCACTTTCATCGTCAGAATCGATGCTTTCAGCGGTGCTCGAATCGTCGTCGGAGAAGTCGTCGTCGTCATCACTCAGTCCACTTCGCCGCCGCTTTGGCGATCCTGCCTTACCTTTCCCATGATTCTTGCGCTTTTTGCTAGAAGACCCATTGCCAGAAGCCCCCTTCCCGGTGAGGGTAGGAACGAAGGTGTCTCCGTTCTCCAAAGCTTCTAGATGTGCGTTGTATTCGCGGAGGTGATTTCGAAGGTCTTGAAGCTCAGTATCAATGCCTACAACTTTATTTAAAATCAGTTTGCCACCGAGGGGAGAGAAATAGGACCTTTTGCTAGCTTTTCGGCCGCTTTTTTCTTTTTCTCCCACTCAGCTTTCTCGCCGTTGATACCATCGAGTCGCTCTTCGATTGCTTCCAGCTCTGGATCGTCTTCGAGACGAAGTGCGCGAATCACCTCGGAGCAAGAGATATCATCACATTTGCTCGCTGGAACGAATAAAAACGTTGTATCATTTTTAAGAGGAGGAGACACACCTATGAATGTGATAGTATGGTCATCGTAACTAAAAGGCAGAATATGTCAAAAAAATATTGAAATACTTAGACGTCCCTTACTTTCCGTCTAGAATTTTAAGCATTCATTAATTTCACGATAGAAAGGTGTAGCGAAATTGAACCTACCCACTTCAAACAAGGACAAGCCTGAAGTCAGCAAGTGAATTTCATTTTGTGAAACTTGACGCACTCATTAATTGCATCTTGAATGCGTCCCCAAGAAGGTCTGAACACCAATAACATGAGCACACCTTCGTTGGCGTAGGACGTTAAACTGTACTACCTCTAGCTGTTTTATCATCAACAGCACGCGTAATCGGCGCCAAAATCCAGATGCAATTGCATTTTTTCATGTAATCCTTGGCGATGTTATTTCTAGCCGCATTTGCATCCGCCACACCTACCACACCGTTAGCTCAAGATCCGGGGGGAAAAGAGGGGGGATATACCCGGAAGATCAACCAGAACTGCACCCGTTGACAATGCAGCAGCACGACAACGAACATTAACCTGACGAATCAGAGGCCACAAGGCAGGGGCATCGGACTCCGGTTGCTTTTCTTTGGTTGCTCGGCTACTACCAGCAGCCTCCCTGACCTTGTCCATGAGGCTTTTCTCCGCAGGTTTATCCTTTTTGCTCTTTTTCTCCTTGCGCTTTTGGTCCTTTGAATCAATATATTTTCCTATTTCTTTCGCAAAAGTCTTCGAGTCTTTGGCGCTTATCTTCTTGGTCTCCCCTAAGATTCGCGAAACACCTGAAGAACTTGTTAAACAAGAAAATCGAGCAAAATGGATGGACGAACGAGGATCTTGGTTAATGACCTGATCAACACTCATTTTCACGAGTTGCTCTTGAGTTATGGAAGGGTACACCGCGTGAACCTACCAAGATGTAAGTTGACGAAAGACGATCCCAGTGTAGCGTGGACGCACCTTCTGCCAGGCAATGCCCGCATCACTTTTGAGATCTGTGCTTCGCTTGATGTTCCCATCCTCATCAACCAGATCTTGGAGCAAGATAGTCATCTCTTGTCTCCATTCAAGTTCTGACAAAAAGGAAACATCCGCTTCGATGGTAGGTTTATCGTGGTAGGCCAACTCAGTCACGACCGCCGTACATGCTAACAAAAAAAAAAAGATCAACGGGAGGTGTATTCTCATAGGCGACATTACGTACCACGCATCCCGCTGGTAGGTACGATATTGTCTGTGAAGTGATAAGAATTGGTCAGGAAGCCAGGTATTGCCAATTACCGTCAAGTACAGCATTGAGGATTGAAGATTTTCCTGCTCCAGTCGCTGGAAACATACGATGAGATTGCGTGATCAACACAGACACAGCCGAAGATACATACCTCCGCACACTGCGATTAATGTCCTTGGTGCGCCTTGACTTCGAAGACTGGATATATGCGCGTCAGACACAATTCTACTATCCTTAGGAATATTGCTAACGTTTCAATCTCCCGCATCCAAACCTCTTGCCGCATTTTGCTGCTAAGCTGGATTTTCTTGAGGACCTCCTGGATGCCACTGACCATATCTAGACCTGCTTTCAAAGCTTCTTCGGGGGCATATGCGATGTCAGATGCGGATTGAAAAACTTTGAACAGAATGGGAGCAGGTTCCTCGTCCTGAATGTAAGCATCTTCCATGTGCACATCTTCATGCTTCGGAAGGTGGTTAGAGTGAGCGGCATTATGGTTGGCTGGAAGTCCAAGAAACTACGGAAAAGTTTATTTAATGTTGGGCGCGTTGGCTAAAATGTTACTCACAGCGCGAGCCGCGTCGCCCGCCTCAGTTTTAAAAGGGAACAATGGAACGTTGTTAGACGGGGGGAATGACATTTGGCTCAAAGACGTCAAAGGCACGTCGCGTGGCTCGGGCTTGACGAGAACAGGCTAAAGGTACATTGCTTAGTACCCTTACAAGCGAAGGCAGGGAATGCGTACAAGACCGTTTGACATGTTGCTGTTGTTCTCCTTGTAACTCATACCAGTCAGCCCTGAGAGAGACACTGGAAGGAGCAGTGTATGATTCGCGTGAGAGACGAGACACAAATGAGTCAACGGGACAAGCAACACAAAACAACACGATCGTTAAGTAAATTGTCACACGCTCGCGACTGGCTGTAAGTCTGTGACTGACGCGTCCAACTCAATGTATAGACTTGGTATTTCTAACCCTACAGCTTTTGAGGCAGCCAATGATATTTCAACACCTTGGCTACTTCCGCCTCCGCTTTCGTCATCACAACATCTTGTTGCGGCTCTCTGGTTCGAAGGGGCACCGTGTCATATCCCAATAGTAACGCTCGACCTTCGAAAAATTGATCTGCTTGTTCTCCATCGCCACCTTCTGTTAGAGAATGGGAGTCGAGGGATGTCTTCTCGGTCGAACAAAGATTTATGACTTCCTGTCCATAAGCTTGGTCCGACAAATCCGTAAAGCCGTCTGCATCGTACGAAGTTATCTCTAGAGCCTGGGCTTGAAAATATCGTCCATCGTCGTAATCTAGTTGAGGCCATGCAACAATGTTCTCCTGAAAAACTTCATCTTCGAATAGAGCCACCCGTTCAGTCTCAGAGTCGAGTAGCTTGTCGGGTTCTTCGTATTCTCGCTCGTAGATCCAGTCCGTGCCGTGCAGGCCTGCAGCACATCCAAAGTCGCTATAACCATGTTCCGAGTTATCGAACGTGTAGTCGTAGTTCCAATCCACGTTGGTAGGTTCGAATACTCGAGAAGAGTCGACAAAAAATCCATAACCCTCCATCAGAGAGTCTACACCGGTATCATTGCCACCGCCGTCTTTGCAGTCGTCGAAGTTGTAACTTGTATCCTCCGGGCTTTTTCGAAATGGGGTCGAAATCCGCAAGCTAGAAGGCCATTCCTCATCCAGAGCACACTCCTTTTCATGCAATCCGTGGGACCCAGAAATATTCTCGCCAAGGTTACTAGGAGCAATTACGCCTAAAGCGTGTGAGTCAAGCGGAGTGCCCCCCCGAAGATCTTCGTTTTCGGATGCTGGACGCTGCACGGGCTGCGGCATAGAAGTACGAAAGAATTTGGAACAATGAAGAGGACCACCAGGTATTGCCAGAATGCCAGGATGTGAAACACGACCGAGTTGGGATGCAGACTGAGAAGGGCCTAGAGACGGACTTGAAGTATCGGTTTTGCCTTCATCCGGTTCAGCCTCGTCAGCAACAGAAAGTGGCTTAGAGAGCGTTCCAAGTTTACGACAGTGGCGATTCCCGGTCGTGTCTAAAACAACAGTTTTCGGACGGCTGGACGTAGCATTAGATTTGAACTCCAAACTCGGATCTTTCTCTATATCCCAGATAATCGATTCCGCGCGAGCCCCAAGGTGGTTACTTCTTACTTGACCTGTCAGTTCCGTATTATTCGAAACCTCGCTTGATCCATTGCTACAAACAGAGTTCGATAAAGACGGTAGTCTTTTCTTGTCTTTCGCCTTGTTAATCTTGCTCATCTTTTGGCTCACACCTTTCGGACTGTCACAATCGGCCATAGACTTGTCAGAAGAGGGATCTGAACCCACAACCGATGGTGAACCTCTACGATGTTTGGATTTCGAAAGTAGCCTATCCACCCCGTTGAGAAACTCAGATTCAGAAAAGCCGGCGCCTTATGATGGATTAGATATGGGTGCCAAACAGATAATGATGTGTGAACCTTTTTTCTTTCCATTTCGAGGATCCACCCGAGCCTTAGTCGACGCCTTTCCTTTCCCAAATACACCTGGACGTCCAAGAGGATTTTCCATCTGCCAGACGAGTTAGCCAGACATGCGCCTTTGATGGCAGACAGTAGCTTACCGTCAAGCGATTTTTTCCGACGTTGGTAGCGGAGAACCCATGCATCAAAGCAAATCCTAGAAGATGTTTGACTTTGGTTTTTGGGGCAGCCTTCTGAGGGGAGCCTGGTGAAATCTTTGCCTCTTCGACGACCTGCCTGGATGGTTTCAGTATCTCTCGCCTGGCTTTCTTACGCTGACGACGTTCTTCTAGCCCTGGAACGCGAAGGTATGTTCAAACGTTAAATCAAGCAAAAATACACTCACGGGCTGCTTGCTCGTTGCTTTCCAAGTCCATAGGCTCAGCGTCGTGGGCTTTTTTGCGAGAAACAACGGCTTTTTCCTTCCGTCCGTTCAGTTTTTGTATCTTTTGAGCGCCATTAGTGCTCTTGTTTAGAGAGTTCTTTCGTTTTCGCTGTGGGCGTTGATTTGTTGCGTCGTCGGTAGACTCCAAAAGCCGAGGCGGTCGCGCCACATCTTGAACACGCGCTCTTAATACAGGTGTCCCAAAGCCATAGTCCTCTGTTCGTGGTTGGATCGATACGCTCGGAGGATCAGCCGTCGCTCCAACCACTTTGCTTTCTTGCCACAAAGACAGGACGGCTTTGCCCTCCAAAAGGTATTGCTTGGAAAAAGCCCTTTGAGCCTTTATATAGGAAGCGATGAATTGATCCTTGTTGAGTTTCGGCAGGGAGGAAAGGTGTTTCTCATTCATTGCCATGACGTGGGTGGTTGAAGGAACGCTTAGCTGCCTTCTAAAAATAGACAGGCCTGTTAGGCTGTTACTGCAACGATTGAGTCTCTCAACATTTTGTGTAACTAAATGACAGAAAGTTTGAAAATCCAGATGCATAAACCAATTGCAAGAAGCGAAATGACGGGATACTGGGCTGCATTACTAGTAGTCGTCCTTTGGCGCAAGTAAATATTCACAGCAGAGGCTACCAGAGGACATTGATGAGAACGGGTGTGCCCGTGCGGGTAGGCACTTCGCGTCGTGCGATCTTCAGCGATCATTTCCTGTGGCATCGTGGTGGGTTTGAGTCAAGAGATCTGGCAAGCTACACAGCAATATCGACTATCTTGAGCAGTCACCCCGTGTTCGCAGTCCGAGTGGATTCCATTCCATTACCGAACATGACTGGTAATTTCAATGAATTGGTATTGAGACTTGTACATTAATCCAAGGGTTATGATCACATGTGATAGATTTACAACTTTTGTACGACGATTGCTGATGCGGCTCCACCCTTTGAGATGTTGTCAGAATATACAATTTTTGCACACGAAAATAGTAAACTCACCCCATTGCAAATACCCGCGGCACCGTATTGGCCAGACTTGAGGGCGTGAACGAGCGAAATAACGATACGCGAACCAGAGTTTCCGATGGCATGACCAAGAGCAACAGCTCCACTGATTCGGCGAATTACATCAAGACCAACAACAGCAAGAAAGCAAATGGATCATACCCGTTAACATTGATCTTTGCGGGGTCAAGGTTGAAGGTCTTTTCTGCGATGCGGACAACCACAGAAAAGGCTTCGTTGAGCTCAAACAGTGATATGTCGTCGAGTGTCAGATTAGCTTTTTCTAATGCTTTTGGGAGGGCAACGGTAGGAGCCTCAGGGAAGTCGATCGGATCGACACCGGCGTCCGCCCATGCTGTGAACGTGTCAATAGTAAATCCATAACACAAGCACCAAATACGTACAGATGACCTTGGCCAGAGGTGTTACGCCAAGCTCCTTTGCCTTTTCAGCCGACATCAACACTAATGCCGATGCACCATCGCTGAGAGGAGACGAGTTGGCGGCAGTGATCACACCACCTTGCTTGAAAGCAGATTTGAGAGTAGGAACTTTGTCAAAGATGACTCTGCTGTATTCCTCATCCTCCCTGACGATGGTGTCACCCTTCTTCCCCTTGACGGTGATTGGAACGATTTCAGCATCAAAGGCGCCCTCTTTCCAAGCGCGGGCAGCACGCTTGTACGACTCGATGGCATGTTCATCAAGAGACTGACGCGAAATACCATGCTTCTCGGCAGCCACTTCACCGCAATTACCCATCGCAAAATTGTTGTAGACATCCCAGAGGCCGTCATTTTCAAGTGAATCGCGCGCAGTGAACTTGCCGAATGCAGGGTTTTGTCGGGGCAAGAGGAAGCTGAGTCAATTGGGTTATTGTCAAGACCAAAAAGGAAATAAAGATGAATCCATACGGAGCGTTGCTCATGCTTTCCATTCCACCGGCAGCGACGACGGAATTGTCGCCGAGTTTGATGCTCTGGGCAGCGAGTATGATAGACTTCATACCGCTTGCGCATACCTTGTTGATGGTGGTAGCATCGGAAGTAGACTTCAAGCCTGAAGCGAGAGCGACTTGGCGTGCGGGTGACTGGCCAACACCAGCTTGGACGACATTGCCAAAGTACACCTCCTCGACAAAGGCAGGATCGATGTTCTTGGAACTAAGAGCATGCTTGAGAGCGAATGTTCCGAGCTGAGGCGCGGTAAACGATTTGAGGGAACCATTTAAGGAACCGACAGGGGTACGAGAAGCAGCGACGATGACGACTTGGTTAGACTAGAAGACAAATGTTAGAAGGAGAATGAGAGAAATGGGAGAAAGGTCCAACCATGGAACGAGCAAAGGAAGGGCCGGAGTTTGAGGCGATACGTGAAAGCAGCATGGCTTTATATTATCTGTCGGAGTTGATCTTACGATAGTGATATGCCAGGAATGGTACGACAATAAGCGAAACTCGACTCTGGTCCGTTGTAGAAGCGGATGAGCATTACTTGAGCAATCTGGAGTACTTATACCCCGTCCTCCATGATCCGAAAAGCTGTTTCATATGTTTATTACGTCGGGTATTTAGACATCAAGCACAGTTCCTACGGTCATGAACCACATCTCCATCCATCCCACCAACTTCATTTCTTCACTCCATCCCACCTGCTGAATCTCAGACAGCAGTTCACTAACAGCAGCATCGGACTCGCAGGGATGAAGATACCAACAGGGCGTTCCCAAGATTGGATGCTCACCCTGCGAGAGAAGCGGGAATGTCGCAGCAGGCAATGTCAGAGCAAAGGTGGTTGTTTCGCTATCGGGTGGGAACTTAAAGAGAGAGGAATGAACGATATCGGCCAATGGTAAGGGTGCCCCAGCTTATGCAAGGATCAAAAGAGGATAGCTTGAGATGGAGATGAAAACGGACTTGAATCGTGGATTGTGAAATAGAAAGTTGGGACCCGGAAAGTGGGTGAGTAGACTACATATTGCTGTACAGTAAGAAGGTCATGAAGGGCGGGTGGTGCAGTGGCTGGGTCTTCGTCTCCGTCGTTTAGGGTATGAGAGGAACGATGTAATAAGGAAGTGCGAGACAAATAGCCACTTGACCAGGACCAATGTTTGTGCTGATGCTTTGCTGCATAACCCTTGCAAGCTGATTCAAACTGGGTCCGCAAGAACATTGATCGTGGGAAATATAATTACAGTTGTCGTTACAGTTGTCACAATTAAGGTTTTCAGCCACTCCTCATGCTACTGCATAACACGACCAAAGCTCATAGCCCAAATCTTTGCTCGTCGTCGACCTTGGATTCCAACTAACCATGGCCGTAGGAAAGGTGCTTTTTTTCATTTTGCACACTTTTACGCAATTCTTATGCTTTTCACAGAACAAGCGCCTTTCAAAGGGTAAGAAGGGTATCAAGAAAAAGGTCGTCGACCCCTTCTCGCGCAAAGGTATGTATATACATCTCCACACTCATCTTGTGTCTTATTCATATCGTCAGATTGGTACGACATCAAGGCCCCCTCCATCTTCGAAGTTCGCAATGTAGGGAAAACCCTTGCCAACCGCTCCCAGGGCTTGAGTATGTCCTCCATCTCTTTCCGCCGACTCGCTCAAATTCTGATTTTACTGTCAGAAAACGCCAACGACTCATTGAAAGGTCGTATCATTGAAGTCTCATTAGCCGATCTCAACAAGGATGAGGAGCAGTCCTTCCGCAAGATCAAGCTGCGCATTGACGAGATCCAAGGCAAGAACTGCCTCACAAACTTCCACGGCATGGATTTCACTTCCGACAAACTTCGTTCCCTCGTCCGCAAGTGGCAAACACTCGTCGAGGCTCACGTAGATGTTAAAACCACGGACGGATACCTCCTTCGTCTCTTCGCCATCGGCTTCACAAAGAGGCGTCCATCTCAAGTAAGAAAGACAACGTACGCTCAGTCGAGTCAGGTTCGGGAGATTAGGAAGAAAATGTTTGAGATCATGACCCGTGAGGCGACGAACTGCGACTTGAAGGAGCTGGTCCAGAAGTTTGTGCCAGAGGCAATTGGTCGGGAGATTGAGAAGGCTGCCCGCAGCATTTACCCCCTGCAAAACGTTTACGTCCGCAAAGCTAAAATCCTCAAATCACCCAAATTCGACATGTCCAAACTGCTCGAACTCCATGGTGACTCAACAGACGTACGTCCTTTCTCTTAATTTTATCATCTGTTTGATCATGACGCCTCTTACAGGAGACAGGCACACGAATTGCAAAAGACTTCAAGGAGCCTGAGATCCTCGAGTCGGTTTAAGTTTTTCGTCGTAGTCACATTCACTGTACGCCGCCTATGCCATGTCTATGTAATGGGTAACATCACGATATGCATCATGCTTGCTTTTCCCGGCTTGATAAGAATTTTTCAATTACTTAATAACAAGTATTCAACTGATGGAACCTTCAAGTTCCTCCTTCTTCCGAACGACAAATGGCCGACGTAGACTTCATCAAAGAGCATCTGACCTCCCACCTTGATTTTCCAAAGAAGGTGGGCGGAGGGAGTTCCACAGGATAGCCAAACTCACATTTTGACCTCAGGGCATTGTCTTCCTCGACATCTTCCCCATACTAAGAAATCCGCTCGCTTTCGAGACTCTTATCACCCATCTCCTCCAGCACATCACATCCCACACAATCGGCCTCTCACCTACCAAGAACGTCGATGTTGTTGTCGGCCTTGACGCTCGCGGTTTCCTAATCGGACCAATCCTTGCCCTGAGGCTCGGAGCAGCGTTTGTCCCCGTCAGGAAGGCGGGCAAGCTGCCGGGCACCTGCATCAGCGCAAGCTACCAGAAGGAATATGGAGTCGTCAGTAGTCTGTCCTTCGGAATCTTTTCGCAGATAACGTTTCTCTTAGGATTCATTCGAAATGCAAGCCGATGCCATCAAACCAGGCCAAGCTGTAGTGGTTGTCGACGATCTTCTGGCCACTGGTGCGTCCTCGAATTAGATAGGAGGTCTTCTTTTCTCGCTCAATCCGCGTAACAGGGGGCTCTGCACATGCAGCCGGCGAGCTCGTTGCGAAACAAGGAGGGAAAACCCTCGAGTATCTGTTCATCATCGAACTGATGTTCCTCAAGGGTTCCGCCGCACTTGATGCTCCAGTGTATTCTATTGTACAATCCGATGACTGAAGATAGACGATTAGACCAACAGCCTCGTATTCAGAAGTGGATGTCCATTAATGTACAATATCCGATTTGAATCCTTAACCTTTTCTCCCAACCGTTCTGGCAAATGTCCAGTATCTGCGTTCGCTGTCTCATGCTCTTTGTACAGAGCCATCATGACCCGTGTAGAGCCATGATCATCAGCAGAGGCTATTGCCTCCAACAGTATTGCTCCAACTTTTCGAGGCAGTAGCACGATCGCTGAATCGGATAGGTCGCCTGCCACTTCCAATTCATAGTTGTTGGCTGTGGGGTTGATGGGAACATCTTCATCGCTGATGACAAGAATCCCCGCAGCAGATGCATCTCGGGCTTGTATCAGCTTCTCCAAAAAAGTGCAGCCACCCCTCTCCACAACCATGACGTAGTCAGGGTATGAGTGGTCGTACGGGCTGCATCCGTAGTTGTTGCTGGGCTCACGGAAGACAGGCAATCCTTCCCCGTGGCTAAATCGTGGCAGGTTGTCTTGCGTTGCAGGTGTCAAGTCGGCCCCGAATAAACCAGCATATCCCGTCGTCAAGATGTTGAGCTCCGAGGGTTCAAGCAGGCCTGTTTGTATGGAGAAGGTTGGGTCCATGCTCGTAAAAAAGTGGAGAGACAGCTCTGGCTGACGTCGCCGCAGATCCGTTTGAGCTATTTTGGCATCTTCGCCCACACGATGAAAGATAGACGAATCGTTGATATAAACTGTATGCCCACTTCGCACAGCGTAATGCCCCACTAATGAAATGATAAAAATGTGGGACACGTCCAAGGCCACGAATTTCTTACATTTTCTGATATCGTAACCATTGCCATCCAAACGGCGGACGATTTGAGTCCGAATGCCTGTCACATTGTGTATGATATATCCGTCAGGTAGGACACCCACTTTCAGAAGACTTGGACTCAAATCTTCTGGGACTATTTTCCCATCCGCAGCCAATATAAATTCATAAGACTAAACTCATCTCAGAAACGATCAGCACAAAAAAATATGCGACATACATATAGTTCCGGTTTTGGTTTTTCGCACCAGCCATAGGGAGACCAGTATGCTTTATCCACCTCGCTTGCTATATTGCCAACGAGGTGTCTCGCGTAGTCAACCTCAGGCCGCGCCCGGATGCCTTGGACAAGGCCAGATGTTTTCTTGTAGTTATCATAAACAGTGATAAAAGGCGTGTATGCTGGGCATTGGTGTGCGTCAATCGTGCGCAATTTTTTTCGAGCTGGGGACGGCGGTTTCATTTGATTAAGATTCAAGGTGAGGATGTGCCCCTCCGTTGTGAATACATAGTTGGAGTCGTCACTATGGAGCGGGTTTTCTTCATCGAATAGCAAATAGAGGTACTTCAAAAACAATTGGCAGCCATAGATTTCCTGGAAAAGCCAGGACACACCTTTAAGGTTTCTGAAAGCATAAAAGACTCCATGCGGTCATCACGTTTGTTCGTTCTTAGATCTTGAATTCCGCTGAGCCCACAGTCAACTTTGGATCTGGTAGTAAGATCAAACAACACGCGTTCCCCAACGTCGAGGTAGAAAGGATCACGAGTGGCCTGGATTCCTCTGTCAGTAGAAGGTCGATACTACAAAATTAAACACATGCTCTGTAAAGGTACCATGTGGACTCAATAAACTCTGTGAGGTCAATCAGAACCTGACTTGAGACGGATGAGAGAGGCATACCGGGTCGCAGTGGATACTGATGCGAAGTTGCGACCTTGTAGTTTGTGTCATAGACCTCGGGTAAGCCTGAATGTTGCCTCCATAGATTATAATCTTAAGAGTAGACGTCAGGAAAATATGCCCGACAAAAAAAAACGATTTACAAATTAGATGCAACTTAATTGCATTCTGAACATCTCCAGCAAGCACCTGCAATCCTGGCCAGAAGGCGGAAAGAGAGTCGACTGTGTAATAGGCCGCATCTCCATTCTTCATGTTGACCGTTCTATACTAAATTGACCTAATTGATCAGCAAAACAATGTCCGCCAATAACAGGAAAATTTTACCCAATACCCATCTGTCGCCCTTGAATATCGCATGATCGCAGCATATGCGTCTTCCCATACATCCAAAAACTCGATCTCGCCTGCGAGCTGCATGAATATAACGCGACGTGAATAAAGAAAGTGGAGACATACCACTCATTATATACCACTTTAGCGCATATTCATAGAAAGAATCGATACCAGCCCCGATGCCAGTAACCTCGGGGGATGTCCATGCCTGCAAAGGTCCGTTCAGACAAAGAAGGAGAAGATCGTGAAGAGACTAGACCCCAGTCCAAGTGTTGATGGTATTCCCCACAAGCCCTATATCTGATTTGCGGTTCCAAATACCAAAGAAAGCTTTCTGGGCAGCCTTTTCGAAGCGTTCGTCGCCCGTTAAACGACTCAAGGTAGCAAATTCCAGGATCAGCGATCCAGCACCAGCAGTACCTAGCCCAAGAAACAGACGTTCAACGCAATGATTCCTAGCGCGAGGGAACGTCAACTTACATGTCTCAAGAGTCTCGCCCTTCACCAATCCATGCCGAAGGTTGATCTTCAACAACGACCTCATGTGAATATATTGTTGCATTATAAATGAAATAACAGATACCCTAGCATACGGAAGCCCTGTTGGTGTCGAAAATGCAGGTAACAATCTCTTGCCAAGGTCGTGGGCAAGGGCAAGCAGTTCTCCATTATACCAAGGTAGAAAAAAAGGCTGTCCCGTCTGATTTGCAAAAAGATGTCCAGATAGAAGTCCGCCGAGAACACGAATAGTCGTTTCAAAGACTTGAGGTTTGGTGTCAACGTCGAATGAGACCCATTGGATGACATTCTTGACCGCCATTTCAAAACCCTGACGGTCATCCAGAACTACGAACGTGTCCAAAACGTCAATGAGGGTCATAGAGAAATTTCCCGCAACGTCATTCGTGCCAATATTCGCACTTGTGTGGCCCATCAGCAAAAGCACAGTCAAGGTGTTGGCTTTCACTCACGGGTTGTACCAATCCGGACCCTGACCTGAACATGATAGCGGGGTCAACTTGAAGGAGGGTAAGCGTCGTGTTCTCGAGAGTGATTCAACACCCAACAAACCTCGTCCAATGGAAATGCTGAAATGTAATCGTCAGTAGCAATACGACCTGAGTGTGAGGAATTAAACTGACCAAAGGTCATGTAATTGTCAAATCCATGGTACCAAAGTTCCCTTGTCCTCTCCCTGAAATGACATAAATGCCTAGTTTAATTACAAGGCGGCAGTGAATGCGTACCGTGCGGCGATCTTCCGTTGTGTTGTCCAACTAGTGCCAACGAGGGAATTTGACGCGTCTGCTGGGCGAAAGAGGCGGGAGCCATTAAGAACGAAGGTAAATGCAGCGACAAAGCATTCTGGCCAGTATCTTGCCCACTTCATGAGACAAGGGGCGAAGGTAACTAGCAGTAACTAGCAAGTTCAAAAGTATCGTCGTGGCATTTAGAGTAAGTCATGTGACGGCCCTTACTTTGCTTTCTACAATGACTTCCATTGCCGACGTTTCCTCTATACTGGGCGAATACATGCTCAAAGGATGGGTATTTATTCATTTTTTCTCTACTTATTTCCATCTCTTTACAGCGTTGTTCAGTAGGTCTTGACAGACCAGTCTTGCCCCACCCCAGGTTGTTCAGTCCCCATCATGCGGTCTCCTCAAGGAATATCCCCAGTCATCAAATTTTGTGCAAACTGCCAAGGGGTTCCGAAAATTTCAACATCAACAGCTATCCCACAACTTGCAGACACCAATGATCCCGCCAACTTGTCTCGTAGCACCTCATCGGCCTCGCATCTGTCACGGTCTTCAACCCCTCCAACAGAGATTTCTGAGGAGTTTGTCCCTCAGATCTTCTCTCCGCCACCCGAGACGGAAGAAACCAGACGTCGCCGAGAGCAATCTGATCGTGCTTCATCCGAGATTGGAAACCGTCTTCTGAAAGGTTGGGCGATGCTGGGAGAGGAATGTCCCAACTCTACGTGCTTTGGCGTGCCCCTTGTACGTCCACCAAAAGCTGGCGGTGAAAAAGATCCTAGAAAGGTTCGTATATAACATCCTCCTTTCCCCCCCCCATTTCACTTAACTTTGACCTAGGAATGTGTTATTTGTGGAAATGTTTATATCACCGATGTGGATTACGCGGGCAGAGAATCAATGATTCTGGCTGGCAATGACACGTCTTTAAATGGTAATAACGCAGCTGCACTTAGTCCCTACTTAGCGCCATCGAAAGCTGCAATCGTGGGTTTCCGTCTAATTGAGATGGCGATCACTCTAACGCTCACGCATAGGCATTAACTTCAAATGAAAGTGACCAACAACCCAGGAGAGAAGTGAGTCGTTGTATTCAACACGCAACTTCGCTTGTTGACGATTCGGGTAGCCGATTCAACTCTCGACAAGCCAAACTCTCGAACCTGTGGCAAGTCCACGACTTCCCACACACGTTATCACCGTCCATCTTACCGATATGTTGAATAGACATCAGCACCATCTGCATCGCTCGCATTAGATGAATCTTCTCAAGCACTGCAAGCAACGTTGCAATCATTGTCTTTGCGCTTACGATTCCTCACTTCGGCGCACCCTGGCCTAGATGTTGCATCGATTGGATCGACGGCTGATGCAATCAGCAAAGTCACACAAGCCTTAACGCATGTCAAACAGTTGCAGTGGAGTGAAAGGCAGGCAATCGGTTTTGCGTGATAGACTATAGGTCGATCTTTGCGTTATGACAAGTCAGAGGGAAAGATATTCCACTTTAACTCGATAAACTCTGGAGTGGTATTAGTGGTGCCGCATGTTGGTTTGAGCAAAATTCATTTTGGACAGAGGGGCATGGCTTCCTCGTGTCGTACGTTGACGTATAAATATATGTTGCTCCACCTTGTACGCGCACTACCCCCTTGATTATGCCAAGATTCAACATCTTCAAAGCATTCAACCCCAACGGCGGTCCCAGTCGCAACGGCGTAGAGGCGAAAGGCAAACTTCGAAAACATCCCAGCAAGGCACACTCCACACCCAAAGTCCTCCAGTCAAGTGAAGCAGGGTATCTTGGACCTAGACGTCAATCTCTAAGAGCGATCGATAGAGAAGTTCGTACATTACACTTGTCCTCTGACGAATGCCATGAACATCGTGAACAGAACGGTTTACCGATTGAGACAGCAGATCCATACTTACAACGCCACGAAATATACCCTGAATTTCCAAATAACGAACCGTACGGCAGCACTTGGAGACTCCATGACAGTCTCGGAAGCTCATACCAAATTCCTCCTGAGGAATCATGGAACCCGATCCCGTCTGTCCACAGGCAGTCCACACAAATGACCGAAGCCTACGATCGCTCACCAGTATCAATGTCCGATGAAGAGAAATGGCTCCAGAACTCACAAAGAGGCCAAGTTGGCGATCAATTTGATGAAAATCAGATTAGACGTGAAAAGGTCGCGGCGCTGTTGACACCCGTGGCTACTAGCGTCGACGCGCAACCTCGGTATAGTCAAGAAACCCGTCGTTCGGACAAAACGGGTTCGCACGAAGGAAAATTGCAGGTCAGACGTGTTTAACATCGTATCGACGGCATTTGAATCTCCTTTCAGACATCTTTGCCGATTATGGATCCGTCCAGCGTCGACGCGCGACCTCGGTATAGGCAAGAGACCCGTCGCTCGGACAAAACGGGTGCGCACGAAGGAAAATTGCAGGTCAGACGTGTTTAACATCGTATCGACGGCATTTCAATCCGCTGTCAGACATCTTTGCCGATTATGGATCCGACCAGACGCACAGACGGATCCCATGACTACTCCGGAACCATCGAAGTAATTGTCGTCGCTAGAACGGCAGTATCTTGTACTTACCTTTCCAAAGCCAGCGATTTACGAACGTGAATCCTATGACGGCGGCGAGTCGGAACCAGACGTATACCAGTATATCGTTCCAGTTGGTGTTGATATCATTTTCCAAGACGAAGCCGGAATTGAGATCGCAAGGTATGTGCTTCCAAACGATGTAAAACGAATCATGTTTGATATCTGGATATAGGGTTGGGAATTCAAAGCCCAGTAAGAGAAATGCAGATGATAAACCCCGTAATCATGCCCCCATCGTTGTCGTGGATGAACTTGGGAATGAGCTTTACCGGTATGAGATTCCTGAATGATCAGGCTGCAGAGTATTCTTTCTTACCCTCCGGCGAGGTCAAACCCGGTGGATTGGTATGGCTCTTCCGACCGATTAACAAGAGATGGACACCTTGGTCACAATAGCAGGTTTGTGGTTTCCAGCTGAATTGAAACAAGTAGCTTAGCTATCAGAAGACAACTTGGTCCGAATAGCTCAATCCCTTTGCCGTAAGTGAGCGGTTGATGCTGCACAGATGGATGCATACTTACCGCTTACAGAAGGGGGCGCGGGGTGCCAAACTCGCCAGCGAGCAACACGTCCTCTCAGTCAACAAGAACTATAATAATTGACAAGAAGGGTAATCAAATACCCATGTCAGTTTTTACTCTCGGATGGACGACAATAACTGATTGGTTGCGCAGAAAAGGGACGAATGGAAGTCAGATAGTCCCTCAAACATCTAAACCTCACCATGGTCATTACATGTGATGGGTCGAAACTGTTGTCAAACATACCTGTATGCAGGAATACGTAGCTATTTACCTCCGTTTCCGAGATCGTCCCCGGCCGCGACCTACCCCACCGCCACCCCTCGATGACCCCTCGTGCCGCATACCTTCCGCTTTCCTGATATCATCAGGGCCTAACTGAAGGAAGCCACCTCTGTAATTTCCAACCCCCATCTTAAGGCCCCTCACCCGCGTCCGAGAGGAGGACGTAGACGGTGACGATGATCCGAAGGTCTTCTTGAGCGTAGGATGATAATTCCCAATGTTTTTAGCCTAATATCCGTTGACATCAGCTGCACAATCGCGAAATTTCATTTAGCGGATACCCACCTCCTCCAGTTCTTGTTTTGCCTTTTCTTGTCGTTTCTCAGAAATGCCCTCCCGAACTCGCTTCGATGCTTTATTCCGTTCGGCGTCACGAACTAAGTTTTCGCCCTTTCCGAATTTAGCTTTACCAGCCACTTCTAAAATGCGCCCTTCCAAGGCCTTCCGTCGCTTTGCGGGAGCAAGGTCAAGATTCGGGTCTAGTGATCCAGAGAGAAGTTTTGTGTGAATGAGTTTGTGGAGAATGGCATCATTTTGAGCGTTTGTCCTTGGGAAAACTTAGAAAATATTGGTAGACTGAGGTATAAAAATCCACTTCTCATCCTCCTTTTCGGCTTGGGTCTTGGTAGGGATTACGGCATCTAAATGGTCTGTACGCAGCTTCGAAACCTTGGACGACTGCAAAATAGTCAGAGCTGCTCGAAAAAACCGACAAAATGTATTTCCACCATAAAAGCCTTCTGTTGAGCTCTGAAGGCCGGATCATTTCGAGACTCTCTAGAAGAGGATGGGTCGGAAAAAACGATTGCAGGTTTCTGGGTTGAGGACGTGAGGACCTCTTTGATCGCATGAGAATCTTGGGGGGCATGTTATTGAACAGCATTCATGCGGGAAAAAAATAGTGTGATCACCATTTCCCTCGCTATCAGAATTATTGTCCTGGACAATGCCTCCCCATTCCTCCCCATCATCTTCGATCGGTACCTTGGGGAAATGTTCATTTCTTTTGCGCTTTCTTGACGTGGTGGAAGCGTTCGGTAGAGGAAACGATTCAAGAAACTGTTCTCCGTGAGTTTGCAACAGTTTGAGTAATTCTGAATGTTCGTTGCCCATGTTCGTGGCAAGTTCGAAGTTGATCTAGAAATTTGTGACAAAAGTAACGTGCGCGTCACAATAATGTTTCCTGCCGTCTTCCATGACGCACCAACGGAAAGGCAACTCAAAGCCGACTCAAAGCACCCCTCTCATAAAGCTCTCAGAAGACGAGCAATGGCGCCTCATAAATCAATCTGGCGTTCTGAAGTCACTTTCTCAAGAAGGAGACCTCTCTAGTCCACCAATATCCGCAGACGATGAAGCGACACCCCTGGGAGATGAAGTCTTCAATGCGTTGCTGCTTATAATTCCATTCTCCTTTCTCTTGCTCATGATGGAAATGTAGGTACGCTCCATTGGCTCTTGTACTCAACGATGACAAAACGACAGCCTCATTCTCCATCAATACGGCAAGAACGCTTCCCTCTCCGCCATTATGGACAGGATGATTCCTGGCGTCCCCAGTACGTGCATTGCTGAAACTTTGTACTTTTTGGATCTCCGACGTATTTCTTGCCAGTTATGTCGATATTCATCTTTTACAGTGAGGATGCTTCAACTATTCTGGTGCATATTGACGTCCAATTTCTAGCAACTCGCTACAAGCAGCGCCGGAGGATGCAGTTTTTCTTCTTCCTTCTCTCCGCCTTGGTTGGCAGTAGAATGATCTATATCATAAACCATGCGTCGTGGCTTACCAACTTAAAGCAGGTTTGTCTTTGTCGTGTTGATACTGTGTCCTTGTACCCATCTTTGATCTAGTGCCCACCACTTGCTACAGTCTGGATCTATACGATCGTCCAGCTCGATCTAGGACCGGCAGTGGCAGCCCTCGCTCTGACTGCAGGTTTTGTGTGGTGGAAAGACCTTAAGCTTTCTTTCTGATGTTTTGACCGCCAGCGTAATTATTATTTCAAAAATAGTAAATAGATGTAGCCCCCAAAAGGGCAGCACACAATGCCAGTGGACACCGACATTTCCAAAGTTTTGGTCAAAGGCCGCATGGCCAATGAGTCTCTGAAAATGTAAAGTTATGGCGGCGTGACGAAGATTCATATATGCTCGATGATACGCCAAAAAGCCGGATTTGATCTTGAAACGGCACGGCACCTTATACGAGCAAGAGTTGAAGCTCAGGCAGGCATTCATTAGTCCAATTTCGCCCCCTTCCTCATCACACCCCATCACCTTCGTCCAATTGAGAGACTAACAACTCAACCTTCCGCTGTAACTGTGTCAGCAAAGTCGGAGCAGAATTTAGTCTCGGACTCACGCGAAATGTAATGGTACGCCCTTCCAGGGTATCCCGCAGCACCCTCAGCTGCCATTTCAATCGTCGGCTGCACGAGCTCTGAATTTGCGTTTTGTGCCGATCAATTCGATCCACGAAAGCCTTGTAAACACGATCATCTCTAGCAAAGTAATAAGACTAAGGGCAAGTCAGCATTGGCTGTGTCAAAAGAAACGAAAGAAAGACTGCGTATACAGGGATTTTATCGCCCGCAATTGATTGAAGAACCACAGACCATGCCCCCATCATCAAAAGATCACTTTATCAGAATCAGCTTACATTTTTGAAAAAATCTTCTAGGAGGTCAGATGCTCACGCTGTAGCGTTGGCGATACTGTAATGGAATCAAAGACACGTCCTTGTTAGGCATGAGAGGTCGACGTACTAGTCCTCCAAAGACGCTATCAGGTCGGCTTTTCCAAGTTCTTTCGTAGCAAATCTTCGAACACTGGCACCGGCAAGGTGAACCGGTTTTCCTTCCATGCCAGAATTCAAAGCACGTGAGACGGTGGACACTTGAGCCCATACCCATTTGTCGCCTTCGCTCATGATCAAGGTTTGCATAAAAGAAGCGATGAGATCGGCCTGCGAATTGGCCAAGTCCTCGTTAATGGCTAATTTCAAGCCAACCCCTATGAAAAGGGTTGAACGCATCCATCAAGCGAAACAGATAACCCACGCAGAGCTTTCAGATATGTCTGCGTTTGCGCATTCCGAAGATCTTGGTCTTCTAAGTAATTCACCCAACGCGAAAAGGCACCAAGAAGTACAATCGCAACATCTTTGTTACCGATACGTATGGCATGAACGAGAGGCGTTTCACCGCCAGAGCTTTGTAAAAGAAGCTGGCCATAGGTAAGCGCGGACATACGATTCATGAGAGTAAGAGACCCACATGAAAAGCGTTGTCTCGAACTTGCATCAGAAACATAATATCCCTCTGCTCGACAGCTTTCATGACCTCATACGGCTGGATGGAACATAAGCAGAAGTCCTCAATCACGGAAGAAGACAAGAGTGCTACCTGAAGACCAGACCAAGAAGTAGGTGATTTTGTTGGTTGAGTCGTCATAAAAGATTGGACTAGCGACTTGAGTGATGAGGGTGAGGGCAAAGATTCACTCAGCCGTCGAATGCGTGGAGCAGGAACTTGTTGTATTTCGGCTACCTGCTCAACTGATGGCGGGGATATATGTAATATATGTCTTGAAACCGCCTTCGGTGCAAGATTTTCGGCTTCTCGCTGGATGAAACCTAGAGGTTGGATTAGACGGACTTGACAGAAAAGAAATTGAACTTACTAGTGGTTGGAAGGCGTTCGGGTAAGCACGGTTCCGAAAAAACACGCCTCCTTGAGGTAGGTATCTGTATGGTCCTTGACGAGGGTTCCAGAGCTCCGGCCAGTGCTAGAACAACGGGGGCATTGTTGAACTGCATTGCAGACGAGGTTAGCCAGAAGTGAGCAAGTGAATTGAAGGAAATTCGGTATATATAAACTCGAACGATGAAGTGGCTTTACAACTTTCTGGACATGAAACTGGGGAGGCAGTGAGCAGGCAGTGAGTCAGTAGTCTATCATTGACGACGATGTGAGAGCAGCCAAGTTGGGGCAGTGATTCTGAGATGACCCGTTACGTAATGAACACCTCTTGCAAACTTCGAAATTCAAACGGTATACTGAACAAGTACTCAAGTACTTACTTTACTCTCTATGCTGAAGGTATGGAAACAGACCTGGAAAGAGAAAGAAGCCTCGCGAAGATCACTATACGACCACGACCAGGACAGTGATCAGGATGTCGCATCTGGAAACACTTCTTCCATGAACGCGTCCAAGGCCGGCCCCTCTGACACGGCCCTAGTGCCGGTGTCCCCTCCCTCACGGGCTGGCTCAAAGAGACCGAGAAAAAGCTCTGCATCCCCTCTCGATTTTCCATGTTCTGAAAGACCCGTCAAGTTACCCAGAACCATTCAGGACCCACTCAGAAACCAACCTCCTGAAGTCCTGGATTCTGAATTAGCTGTCAATGACGCTCCCACCTTCTTTTCTTCGCTAAAAGAGCAAATCTTGGATAAAGCAAAGCGCGAAAATAGTAAACTTGATTTTATCTTGGTTCCACAGTTGCCTTACTTGCTTTCCAGTTATTGCCATCATCCCATGTCTCGAATGTCACTTGTTTCATCGTACTCACATACCGTGGACACTAATCGTTTGTCACAGCCGACACCATTTTCACGGAGTACTTGACCTGGGCAATCGAAGTCGAGCGGACGCGGTTCAAGGCACCGCGTCGCATCGCGTTCATCGTTGTGGAGTCAAGACTTTTTTCTCGATCCTTAGGATGAAACTGAAATGGTTTTAGGGATGATTTTGACGGGGAAAGATACCATGATGAGATCAAAGACCAGTTCCCTGGAATTTCTGTTGGATGGTACGAACAAGACGCGCACGAGTTTGAGGCAGATCGCTGGGAAGCGGTATTCATGCACGACGTTGTGATTGCATTCGCCGACGTAAGCATGAAGTCGAAGTCATTCGGAGAGTAAACTAAAACTCCCTTTGGCCAGTTGTTGTTAAATTCCCTCCTCAAAGGTGTCCTTGCAATGCCACAACTCCATACCTTGATGATAGATCACGCCCAAAATATAAAAGATCAAGACTCTCATTCTCCTATGCCCATTGTAAGGGTGATGGGCGAGTTTTATCAAACCACAGTTTCATCCTTCCGGCCTCGAATTTTCGCTCTTGCGGCCCTGCCAAATGACTTGCATTTTGACTCCGAGATGCTAAAATTGGAGCTCATATTGGATGCAAAAGTGTTTGGCATGGCCGAAACTAAGAGAAGTGACATTCTGTCGTTGCCTGACCGCCCAAAGGAGTTGGTGATTATGTATAATACGGCGACAGGGATCGCAGAAACCCGTCTTTCCAAACAATTGCATCAATTCGATCCTGATGAATCCATATTTCCATCTTACTTCCGAGCATCCCGTCATGCTCTTCTTGAGGTGGGACCCTGTGCTCAAGACTTGGTTTGGCGCCGCGCACTCAAGGAGATCGAAACATTGATTCCTTCTTGGTACAACAGCATGGACGACGACGAAGAAACACAGTCCTCGATTCTCAGGGCGAAACAAGGCATTCGCGATACACTAAAAAATTGGCCTTTCACGATGCCCAATTTGGACCCCTCCTCCAAAGGCTTTAATGTCACTCACAAGTTTCGTAGGTTAGTGGATATTCTTATGACTTGTGGGTCGTACGGAAAAGGGTTTAGAGGTATCATCTTTGGTTTGTCATGTTTCCATCCATTTGTGATGTGAATTACTGATATTATGCCTAGTGCAGAAGAGAGCAATCGCTCTAGTCCTTGTTGATCTGTTTCGTAATCTCTATCATGAGCTCAGATTCATTCGACCTTGCGCGCTCTTTGGGCATTCATTTTCGGACTTCAAACGCCATGTCAGTCAGTCTTTGTAAAACATAAAAAGGTTCTGACCCCCCCATAGCAAGAGATTTTTCATGGTTTTGTGACTGGAGAATATAATTTACTAGTTGCGACCAAGTCGACGGAAGATCTCGAAATTCCCAGAGCCTCTATGGTGATTCGGTAGGTTACTTTCTGTGGACCAGTGATCTAAATAACCTTCTGCCAAAGTTACGACCTATTTGACAGTCAAACCTCACACGCTTACGCGAAAGCCCGGACGTGTGGACGGGAAAGCCATTTGATTCATATGGTTGAACGTGGTAATGATATGCATCACCACATTTTGTCGCATATCATGAACGCAGGGGCTGATATCCTACGATGGACTGAAGCTCTCTACGAAATGGCCAATAATTTTGCCCCCGTTCCACCCCGCGACATCCGAGAATCAATAAATCCTTATCATTCAGATAGCGACGACGAGGATTCAACTGAAGAATATATAACGGATCCAACTACCAGCGGTCGAATTTACATTCAGGATGCTACAACCGTCATTTACCGTTTTACTGCAGGCCTGAAATCAACTGGATTCCGTCTTGAGGATGATAAGTCTCTGTTTGATCTCAAAGAGATTCACAGTGGCTTTGGAACGACCAACACACTTGTCTGCTCAGTCACGCTCCCTGGCACAGTGATCGACAACATTTCGGGTTCCCCGTCTTTGTCGAAGTCACAAGCGAGACGGTCTGCATGTTTCGAAGCTTGTCGCGAGCTATCGAATGCTGGCCTCCTCGACTATCGAATGGTTCCTCTTCCCCCTTTCTTGTTGCGACAGCATAATGGTCTCCCGGTGCCATTGACGGATAAAGATGAAAGATCCTCTAGCACTCGGTGCTACCCTCGCAAATACCCAAATTTCTGGGCCAATTCCATCACTGGCCCTATTGTCCGTCTTTGCCCAGTTATTGTTTCCATATGTCCCGACGCAGACAACTTTGCAGATTTCGCTCCCATCTTGATACTCACTCGACGACCGCTACCTCATCTGGAAGGCTTCAAATTGTTTTCATCTGGCATCTCATCCAGTGTTCGGTTTCAAAGGGCTGCTGTGCTGCAGCTGAATGATTCCCAACAACACCTTATTAATCAATACACAAACAGAGTCTTTCGAGCTATTTTAAACAAACCATTGACTTGTTCTTTGGAAGACTCCCTGTATTTTATTGCTCCTTTGACATACCCATGGTCCTTCCCGCTCCAAAAGGGTTTGGACTTTCCAGATGTATCCGACTCTATTTCTTGGGATTTGGTCAACTTAGCTGCTCTTAATTGGGCAATTCCTATTAGGGCTGGTTCGGCCGATGAGCTTGTATTGGACTTGAAAGATGCAGTTGTTCAAGATCGATGGGTTGAATTCACTCGCCGATATAATGTGAACGAGGTGCGACGGGACATGACGCCGCTGAGCAAACCAGATGACAGTCCGGTGCGTTGTTTAAAGCCAAGTTCAGTTACTTTCATCTGACTCACAACAGCGCGAAGCTGACTACGAAAGTTTGCTAGACTTTTGTAAAGCGAGGCGCAAAGGGTTTGAAGGTTTGAAGGATTATCACCAGCCCATTATTCAGGTTGAACGGGTTTCCCCCGTCGAGAACCACTTGGATCCGACGTCAAAACCACTCACACCGCCGTCAAAAGCTCCCGCTAAGTGTATGTACGCAATTCATAATTTTTGAAGTGATTTTACTCGGCATCCAGATCTCATCCCAGAGCTGTGTGCCAAATTCACACTTCCAGCGAGGTACATTTTTCACATGTATGTATGTTAACCTCTTATGTTCTGTTTCAATAGCACCTTGCGCACTGCCCTGCTTCTCCCATCTATCATGAGACGGATAGACGATCTTCTGATCGTAAAAGAATTGAATGCCAGGTTTTTTGATCACGCGATTCGGGAAGACCTTTTACATGTCTCTTTATGTGCGCCCTCTGCCGGTTTGGAATACAACTATGAACGTCTTGAACTTCTCGGTGGGGTTCTCCCATCAATCACACTTTCTCTTCGCTGATGCGTCTCAAGGTGATGCGTTCCTCAAGTATCTCTGCACGATTTATGTTTTCGTGGCCGAGCCTACTCAAAATGAAGGATCGTTACACATCGCCCGTCAAAAGCTTATTAGCAACAAATCGCTTTTGGAGAATTCAAATCTTATAGGATTACCAGTCTATATTCAGGCGAAGCCATTCCCCGCGAAATCGTGGCAACCACCCAACTTTCGCTTAACACCTCGAACCTCAAAAATGATAGTCGACAAATCTGACGAGGAAGCCTTTACTCCTATGATTCTTGGTTCTGAGATGAGCTCCGATGTCGTAGAGGGTGCCTTCACACGGACTTCGACCGCTTGCAACCCTCACGTATCTGGTGTCGATCTGGCGGTAATAAATGAAACATCAGACGTGAACGAACGCGATCCGCCATTCTACGGGAAGAAGAATAAGAAAAAGGCGCGGCAAGATGAGCAAAGCTCACAATGGCTGGGCGATAAGGTAATTCATCAGTTTGAGCTTGGCTGGTATCCGAACGCAATTAATACTCCAACATAGGCAGTTGCTGATGTTGTTGAAGCAATTATCGGCGCAGCATATATATCTGGTGGACGTGAGACCGCTTTGCAAGTTACCAAGGCTTTGGCCATTCCCATCTCTAACATCAATCGGTGGTCGGACTTTGGCCGCAATGTTTCGACACCTCCGCCAGACGCAAGCGCGAAACTGCGCCCAGAGTCCACCTCGGCCATTGAAAGGATAATCGGTCACAATTTCCAACGACCACACTTACTTGCTCAAGCTCTGGTTCTCTCGCAGTTGCCTTACATTATTGGTCAATGGCTGATCCTCTTTACAGACCCATTCATCTATGCAAGGTCATGAAAGTGCGTCTTACGGACGACTCGAGTTCATCGGAGATGCTATTCTGGATTTCAGTGAGTTCATATTTCGTTTTTGTATCTGGAGGTGCCCAAACTTTGATGATAGTGGTGATCCAGCATATTTTCAATCGGGACCAAACATTGTCCCCTGGTGCGTTGACGCTATTAAAGGTAAGCTTGTCGCCAGATCTTGTTGCCCTTACTGTGTGGTTAATTACGGTGAACTGATGATTTTCCAGGGCGCTATGGTCTCGAATTCCGCTTTGGCCGCTGTTTGTGTTTCGTCAGGGTTGCGAAAACACCTTCTCTTCGAATCGTACCAGCTCGCAGGCAGTATAGAAGTCTACGCAAATGAATTAAAAGCACGACAACAAAAGGAGTACCTCGCTGCGGAGCGAGAAGGAAGGTCACCAGGCCAATATTGGCTTGGGATCGAGCCTCCCAAGGTGCCTACGTGCTTTTCTCCATCAACGCGTGGTTACAGCAACTAAACCCCTCCTTTCGTGGAGCAGGCACTTTCCGACGTGGTAGAATCGATCATAGGCGCTATCTACATCTCAGATGACTTTACTCCAATCGGTGCGGAGCGATTGTTCAACAACGTGCTGAAACCATTTTACGACAAGCACATTACTTTGCAAACCCTGTCGCACCATCCAACTAAGATTTTGTTCGAACTATTTCAAGCCCAAGGCTGCCATCTGTTCGAGATCTCGAAAGAAAACAATGCAGAGAAGACACTTTGCCATGGTGAGGCGTTGAAACATTCATTACTTGATTTTGACTGAAGCTATCGTCGTCCATTAGTGCTTGTTCACGAAGTTATCTTAGCGAGTGCCGAGGATGTCATGCCCACACTAGCAGCGCGCCAAGCTTCAATTTTTGCATTAGATGCTCTTCAGGGTGATGCGGAATTTATGAGAAGGATCTGCGATTGCAGGACGCAGTCATCAAACAAGAAACCTCGAAGGAAGAGCGAGTTTGAAGAAGAGCTTTTGACGCTTCAGTGAAGGAGGGACATGATGGGAACCAGATAATGATAGTAGAACCAAATCTATGAAAAAAAAGATTGGCAGAAAACTTCTAAGCTCAGGCCGCGCCGCTGCTTTTCTTCCTGGAGCAGTGTTAGCAAAAGCCCGAGATGAAAGAAAGCTGAGAAAGACAGACAGTTGGAGGTAACTAGCACCGAAAGGAATGGCGAAGCCAACGGCAAGGTACAGCCCCATTTTCAAACCAAAAGTTGCCTTCTTCTTGCTATTATTTCCAGGAAGGTCGAAGGGAAGGTGCTAAACAATGGATGTGATGAGGCCAGGGAGCAACCGGAACACCGTTGGCAATGACATACGTGATAGTGACCATGGTCGGACCGCAATGAGGAGGTGGTGTGAAGGGATCGCGCACGGGCTAAAGCCTGCTGACGCACAATGGAAGAACGAGCAATGATGGACAGAGCCATTTCTTTGGAGCTACTTAGTCTGGAGCAAGTCTGGTGGAGGAAATGTAAGTAACAGTGCGTGACATGCCGCCTGCACCTTATAGTTCAACAAACGTAAATAAAACAGAGCATGCACGCAGGCTTATCAGTGGCTTATCTGCCCGCGAGCACGGATCTTCGTCTGTTGATCAGTTATGGTGAAACTGGAAGGTATGCATGAGAACGTTTGCCGTACTACTACTTTGAATAATCACACCAGCTTTGGAAAGTGGAAAGGATGTGGTTGGGACGTCCATCTGCAAAGGTGTTTTTTCCCGAGTAAGTATCAAAGCCCCTTTCTCACCGGGGACTCCTGTAGCGCCCTCGTTTCTCTGCACACAGACTCCTTGAGTCCCACGAGCTCTCCTGCGTTGACTATATTTCTCCTTAAGAGTGACATTCACGGTCCCGTGACTGTTATGTACTGCGTGACACCTCTAACTTACAGACCTTGTGACCCGAAATCAATGTTCCCATGTTCAAGAACCGCCAGAACCCTTTTCGCAGTTAGATTACGCTCTTCCACCATCTTCACAATGGCCCACTCCGTTACAGTTAGCCTCTACGACAACAAAACCATAAATGTACCCACAGGCTTGTTCATCAACAATGAATTCGTTCCTAGCGTCGACTCCACCGAGCGAATCAAGTGAGCAAGCATCCACAAGAGAGATAAGATAAGACATGGGCTGACATCGTTCAGCGCTATAAACCCAGCAACTGAACAAGTGATCTGCTCAGTTGTAGCTGGTATGCATCGACATACACCTCGGTGGACGGAACTCATACCTTCGTCTAGCCTCTGCGAAAGACATTGACATAGCAGTTGCTGCTGCCCGTGCAGCTTTCAAAACTACGTGGGGGAAAAACGTCACTGGTTTTGAGCGTGCTAGGCTTATCAACAAACTTGCCGACCTCATTGAGCGAGACGCGCAAGAGCTGGGAGACCTCGAGAGCCTGAACAACGGCAAACCCTCCAGGATTGCAAGGTAAATCATGATTGGACCTAATCCACTGCGTTCTACATCTTCGCAGAGATTTCGACATTGGAGATAGTATTCAATGCCTTCGCTATTACGCTGGCTGGGCTGACAAAATTACGGGCCAAGTGCGATCTAATTCCACGACCAGATTCTGAACATTGCTTTAACGAGACCCATAGACTATTGAAGTAGACAACAAGTCAAAACTCGCCTTCACTCGTCATGATCCCATTGGTGTCTGCGGACAGATGTGGGTGAACTCTCGCTCGTAGTAAGTCGTCATTTACCGGGAAACAGCATTCCTTGGAATTATCCCATCAATATGTGGTAAGGTTCATGGTGTTGAATTTGATTTCTCTACTCAGTCAATTGGTAGGGCCTGGAAGGTTGCGCCTGCCCTCGCGGTCGGATGCACCATTGTAATGAAACCGTCCGAATTGACCCCTCTTACCGCACTCGTGTGTCCTCTTTTCTGCGCTGTACCAAAGCCTCTAAATTTCATTTTAGAAATTGTCAGAACTCGTCAAGGAAGCAGGGTGGGCATGCACGTCATTCTTTCAACGAGACTACTCACGAGTCCCGCGGCTAGTTTTCCACCCGGCGTCGTCAACACCGTACCTTCTCTAGGCACAGTCGGGGGAGCCGCTATCTCTTCCCACTTTGATGTTGATAAAGTCGCATTCACTGGTTCCACCGTAACGGGTCGCAAAATTATGGAAGCTGCTGCCAAGAGCAACCTGAAAAAGGTTCGTCCCCGGCACTTCAACAGACTGTGATATTTCACCTCGCGGATTGTATTAAAGGTGTCTTTGGAGCTTGGGGGAAAGTCGCCTCACCTCGTTTTTGAGTCGGCGGACTTGGATCAGGGTTAGTGTGTTCCAAAATCACGTTTCTGGCTTCGATGGTTTTGGCGACTTTGGGAGACTGAAGAGTCATTCTTGCCTTCTTTCTATGAGGGTAGCCACCTCTGGTGGACATACCAGAGGGACGCGTGGGTTTCGATTCGAGTCCTATTATTCTTATAGCCATCTGACCTCAGAAATTCAAGTTTTCCCTAGCTAGCTTGCATTATGGTTGCTAATTTTGGAAATCATTTATAGCTTCCGCTTGGGCAGCTCTGGGGATCTGCTACAATTCAGGTCAAGACTGTACAGCGGGTTCGCGCGTTTACGTACAAGACACGGTTTACGAAAAGTTTCTTGAGCTTTTGATCACAAAAGTTAAAGCCCAAGTTGTCGGTGATGGATTCGATAATAAAAGTGGAGGTGGCCCCATGGTAGGTCTTTCCGCTTACCAGGCTTTTTGTTGGTCTCGACGCCTGTATCAGGTTTCCAAGGGGCAGTACGATCGTGTATGGGGATACATCGAATCCGGGAAACAAGAAGGCGCCCAAGTTGCCTTTGGAGGCGTCAAGAGAAGCACAAAAGGCTACTATGTCGATCCAACTAGTAAGTATGGTCTTTTGAAATTTGAAGCCGCGTGACTTGCGTTCAATACAATCAGTTTTCACCAACATACGCCCGGACATGAGAATCGTCAGTCAGAAGATTTTTGAGATCTAACCCTTCTAATCGATTCTACCTTTTTCAGGTCAAAGAAGAGGTTGGAATCCTCCTTCATCGACAAGACAAAGCAGTTGACCTTTCCCAAATACTTAGATATTCGGTCCTGTACTGTCGGTTGGGTCGTTTAAAACCGAAGATGAGGCGATAGCCCTGGCCAACGACACGAACTACGGCCTTGGTGCTGGTTTACATTCCAGCACGTATCCTTTTCAACTCTTTTGACTTTAGGTGACCATGCTGATTACTTGCAGATGATGCTAACCAATGTATGCGGGTATCCTCCGCCCTGGAGGCTGGCACGGTACGTTTCTCTGCTCTTGAGCTCCGACCATAATTCGATTCTGCACAGGTGTGGGTCAATCAATACAATATCTTGAACAACAATGTTCCTTTTGGTGGCAAGAAACAATCTGGAATCGGTTAGTATTCTGATACTCGTTCCCTCGCTTCAGCGTGCTAACGTCTCGCCTGGTGCAGGCCGGGAGCTCGGAAGCTACGCACTCGAAGAATACACCTCAGTCAAGGCAGTTCATTGGAACTTTGGTGAAAAGCTTGAGTGGCCCCTCTAAGGTTTTCAGGGTCATGTGTGATCAACTGTATATAATGTATCCGTTGTCATTTTCACTTTTGTGATAAAATTTAGATATTTTGGCTCGTTCTCAATTGGGTAGATCTGCACTCTTAAGCACGCACGCGCAAAGCATATGACGTTAGGGCCTAAAGGTACCGCAGACATGTTCAAAATTGCCGTAGGTAAAGTTACAAGTGTTAATCGATGAGGAAATCGAGACAGGTACGAGAAGACGAAGCGTGGCATAGAAGGGTAAACGGGTCCGACTTAGAGGTAGGAGTCAATAGCTAATTGTTACCCTGACGCCACTCATGGTTATAGTAGGACTGCTGGCCACTAGGTTTCAATACAACCCAAGGGTCAGCACAGAAAAAACGCGCGTTTTAAAAAACAACTCACTTTGGCGGCATCTGGTGCGTAGACTGGGCTTGGTGGTAGGTAGAGTCGGTATAGCCATGTGTGCCATAATTCCCAGATGCATCTTGTCTGGAGCGGATCGGTGACGACGGCTGCCCGTAGGGAACAGCCTGACGCGGGGGACCGTGCGAGAAAGCTTGATGTCCAGAGGACATGTTGGACGGCGGGGAAAAACTAACGGACGGCGCGTTCTGATGGTTTGCGGTCTGGAAGGCAGAGGACATGTGGGCCGGCGGGGAAAAGCTAACGGACGGCGCGTTCTGGTTGTTTGCGTTATGGTAGGCAGAGGACATGTTGGACGGCGGGGAAAAACTCATGGGCGTCGCGTTCTGGTGGTTTGTGGTCTGGAAGGCAGAGGACATGTGGGCCGCAACGGATGGCGCGTTCTGGTAGCCTGCGGCCTGGAAGGCAGGGGACATGTTGGACGGCGGGGGAAAACCAACGGACGGCGCGGTCTGGTTGTTTGTGTTTTGGTAGGCAGACATGTTGGACGGCGGGGGAAGACTAACGTGCGGCGCGTTCTGGTTGTTTGAGTTCTGGTAGGCAGAGGTTGAGTATGGTTGATTGGAAAAGGGTTGCTGGGGATAGGAATAGTTTGAGTCCGCCAAAGGGGGTGGTAGAGGGTAAACCGGAGTAGCTGGGGGAGGGCTTGATTCGTAGTATGGGTAGCAATCCGTCTGTGCTGGCGGGGGCAGACTTCCCCTCTGTTCCGACTGTGCGGTGACGGTCATGTATTGGCATGGCTGATTTTTTTCTTTGCACCTAGTGCACCGCCGAGGAGGTTCCTCATCGGGTACAGGAATGCACTTGAGGAAAGAAAAACTGAGTAAGCGATTTAAAGTGAGGACGCAGAGGCGTACCTTTACTTTGCGGTCGCGGCATTTGACGCATGCTATGGACACTCGCTTTTTTAGCCCTTTCGTGTTGGAATTCATGATCGCTTCTGGGGTGAGGTCTGGGGTGAAGAAGAATGTTGGGGTTGTTGAGATGTCCTAGAAACATTCTGATTGATTGCTTTTATAGCGGTCTGTATGTCAATGCAAGCAGGTCAATGAGAAAAAAAAGATTGGATTGCAATAGCGCGTTTGTGATAGATTATACCCAGTCTCGGCAGATCGGAATGCTTCCGAGCGTGAACTGCGGATGGACTCTTGTAAAATGCCGCATTGATAACATCGAGATGTTGAGGTCAGTCGGAGCCTCACCATTTTGTCCTCCACGGAAGTTCAAAATGAGCTCTAAATGAAAAAGGCGCCCAGGGTCGGCGAAGAAAGCCGGAGTAGCACAAAGTGATATCTGGAGACCAATCAGACCGTAGTCAATCGATTAATCCAAGGCATGTTATACGCACGCACCTTGATCCAGGCGCAATTGGAGCCCCACGGACATGAGATCTAGAAATACAGGTGGTTTGAATCACACTCGTCATTCCAACTGTTTTACGGTACAATTGCCAAAAATGACGGTTCTTGAAGCACATCGCTGCGCCATGTGTTATGGAACGCAGCACGGTTTGAGAGATAATGTCGGAGAGTACTCGGAAGCAAAAAGAAAACCGGTAGTTCAATGCACAAATCCGCCAATATCACGTACAAAATGCGTTGCATAAAAAGCAATCTAGAGTGCAAGGTAATCGCGCACTTCTTCTTCTGATAACTTCCGGAACGTGGGCCTGACACGCCCGGTCTCGCCTCCGATCTTGCCCTCCTCGAGTTCGGCTTCAGTAGGCACAGTAACCACGCCGATTTCGATCGTTTTCTCTGTCATTTGACCTTCAAAGCCTTCCTTGAGCGTCAGAAGGGCAGTATGAATAGCGTCTTCCAGACTGATGTCATCATTATAGCTAAAAACAATAAAAGCCATGAGCACGAGCCCGCAAAGCAAGGAGAACGTCCACACCGTTTTTCCAAAAATGTCTTTGCGTTCAACATGTTTTTCCCTATAGCGCTTGCCTTCCATGCCCAATAAGATCCTGAGGGGTCCACCTGATATAGCGTCGGGCCACGATGACTGTCCCAGCCTGCGACTAGTAATGAAACACCATATGGCCTTACTCCTCTAAACTGCACATCAGCATGCGGAAAGTTAATTTTGCCAAGGGTCTCACCCGGATTGCGTTGCTTTCTGCATCACTGTAGCAATTTCCTGGGTCAAGACCCGAGTCGGAGGATATTCACCGTATATCTTCCAGTATGCTTGTGCACTTTTACGGGCTTTCGTTATCAGCACTCTAAAGTCGGGGCCCATGCCTGAGTACACGATGCCTATGTTAGGGCATATCACGGCCACTTTGTCGATTACCGAGTCGTCAATGAGGATGGATGATGTCTTCTTCTCAGTCGCGATAACGATCCCATTTGATGCTGCAGAGGCGTAAGACTGGTGATACCATTCGGAACATATCCAGGGCATACCTTTAATTCCAAGACTCGTTGTACCCTGAGCAACAGCGGCTAAGGCGTGTTCGATCTGAACGAGTTTACCGCTCGGTGAGAAGACTGTAAGTGAGTAACTGTATGTAGGACTGCAAGTCAAGCGTTATTGAAGGAAATCAATGTCTAAAACTCGCCTGTATGCACCACCGTCTGCACTGGCCATGGCTGTTGTTGGATGGCGAAATGAACAGAGGCAAAGCGGACGTGACGTTCGACGCGCGTCCAGTTATTTACTTTTATTATGCAACACCATCAACACGCGAGATAAGATCACGACAAGATCACGGACTCAAATGACATTTAAAGTAGAAGTACAATCAACATTTTAACATTACTACAGTTGCCTCCAGTTCTTAATCCTTTTCAACTTTTAAAGGGGTGGTCCTCAGGTATGGCTATGAATGTCATTAGAAACATTTACGCAACCAGAATGATAAAATACAAACGAGGTGCTGGCTGTAGTCGGGGAACAGGGTCTTTGCTTCATCGTTTGTGACGCCGGGATGAACAATGACATCGTCTCCCTTCTTCCAGTTGACGGGTGTAGTTATACGGTGTTTGTCGCCGAGCTGGAGAGCTAATGGAAGAATATCAGCTTAGCACCGAAGATGTGCTAACGAAGCTTTACAATCAATAACACTGCAAGGGATTGTCAATGGGAGGCTAGTGGAATCACAAAATGCACCCACCGAAGAATCTCGTCGAAATTGCGCCCAGTGGAGGCAGGGTAAGCCAGGGTCAAACGAATAACCTTCTTGGGATCGATGACGAAAACAGTTCGGATCTGCATCCCAATTAAGTCTCTCATTCAAATGTTCTACAGAAAAAGCCTCACTGTGAAAGGAAGACCCTTTGCGTCGCGGTTGGTTGCGTCTTGCTCGTCCAACATATCATACAGCGTCGAGATCTTCCTGTCTGGGTCGGCGATCTAAAATATCCATGCACTTCATTCAAACGAACGATTGCCAACACATCTGTAACATACGATGGGGAACTGAACATCTGTGGGGGCAACCTTTGAGCCATAATCATTGATATCCTTGACCCATTTGTGATGTTCCTCGAGTCCGTTGGCGGAGATACCGATGACTTTTACGTTGCGGTTAGCGAAATCGGGCCCACGTCGGGCGACTTCTCCAAGTTCGGTGGTGCAAACGGGGGTGAAATCACCAGGATGGGAGAAGAGGATAGCCTAAAGAGATATTAGATCATAAGACATGGGACATACTTACATTGTACGTACCCAGGAGTCACCAATCCATTCGTGGAATTTAATGGGCCCAGCCGTTGTAACGGCTTCAAAATCTGGAGCAGTGTTTCCAAGTCGTAGAGATGGCATGGATGTGTATTGAAGATGGACTTTTTTAAAGAACATCTTGGATTATATAGGAGACTATCATGGTCAATGTCATCATCGCGTCTTCCTTTCCCACGCTTGACAAGCTTTAGCAACGTTTTGCGTCGAATTGCGTGCTCTGGTGCCTGTACCAAAACTTACACAACGTCCCTACTTAGTATCTTAATAACAGCCTAGTAGTATGCCACGGCGTGAAGCAAGTTATGTGGATGTTTCTCTTGTTGCGTTTGCAAAATCTCGTCAATGCTTTCATCAATGTCTTCCGCTCCTTCGATCTGACATTGTGCTGCTTAGCTTCGCTCATCTCCAAAATGGGCTTTTAACCTACCGCTGCCGCCAAATCAAGCATAGCCTTCCCAGCGATCAGGGCTTCTTCATGATTATCTTTGATCTCCATATTGATAACGTGCACTGGCTTGTTAAATTCTCCTCCTCGTGTCAGCAGGTCTATCGAAAAATAGTTAGATTGGGTCACAACGTATATTTGACCTTCGCACCATCGCAAACCGCGTCGAAGCACCGTTCTTCACATGTCACCACAATGTCCGCCACTGTTCGGCTATCCTGCCATCGTTCCGGGGCAAGTTTCAAGCGTCTATTTCGGTCAAGCATGGGCAAGAGGCCATTGGCCGTATAGCTACAAGATATCAATGAGTCTTGGCACCAAGGTGAATTCTTGGAATGTTACTGACAGACGAGGGTCCTTCGAATTCAGCTCTTCGTAAATAGTGTTATACGGGGTTCCAAAAGGATATATGTTGGGCTTGTCTATTGATGGCCCAGGCAATCGTACCGCTGAGCCGGTGCCAGAAGAGATAACTTGATAGCCTGCTTTGCTAAGATAAAAGTCCAACATGTTAGGTTAACCCTTAAAATCAGACTCACGACAAGACATGATGTCCTTCCATTGACCGATTCTGGGGAGGAAATCAGTGGTTGAAGGTACGGCATGACGAAACGACTTTACCTGATTACTTGCGCAGACTACGCAAAACAGAGGACGCGACTTGTACGCAGCTGACTGCGATGAGCTTGACTGTCCAGAAGGCTGCGTTTGTGGTTGCTGATTCTCGTGTGGAAATGAACTAGACTGGGCTTGGAGAGCCGGATCAAGGGGAAAGGAGTTTGTGCTTGCATCACCGTCGCCCATAAGAGGTGGGGTTTGAGTTGGCGTCCCAGCATCCACGCGTTGTAGTCGAGGGTCCACACGACCGAAACGAGGGTCACGAGCCTTGCGAGGATCCATGGCAAAAAGGTTCTCTACAAGACAGAAAAAGGAGATATTGAGCACAGGGTTTCTAAAGTCGTCGTGTCACAGAAAAGCCTCAGCAGTATCTCGAACAACACTAGTCGGCAACTCGACCCCAAACACGCCTCGTACAGCCATGGGTCGATAGGCTTCCACTCTGAGTCATCGTCGGCAAAAGAGAGTGCGAAACGTTACACTCACCTCAAATAAGAGTTGGGAGCCGAAGCTAGAGGTGTTTGCTCGCAAGTGTTTGACATTTTCACCTAACTGGCATTAGTTCATAGATTCTCAGAGCAAATGATGTCAGAAACGGTTGGAAATGCCAATGATATTTCATAGATGAACGCCATTACAATACTATTAGTAGTAGTACAATGATGTTGGTCGCAAACTATGGCAAACGGTGGTATTGTGATTCATCATCCGCCTCAAACAAGGACGCTTGACTCTTCCACGACGGACATAGAGCGCTTTGAACAAAACAGTCCAATGCGAAAATTCGGGTAGCCGTCGTGGCTGTAATAAAAGAACAAATGATCGTAAGGTGCGTTTTATACATACCCGGCCCTAAGACACGTGGCCTCGGCCCTCAGCTTGAAGACACAAGGGCACAAGGAAAACCTGAACGACTCACATGCCCTTCTGCGACCGCACAAATGACTTTCAGCAAACTCTACACGATAAAGAGCGCGCCTTGCCCGATGCGAAGCGACGAAAGATAACGAAACCCACGGAGACCAAGCCGCTGGGCAAGGAATATGTCACAGAGGCTTATACCATTGTTCGTACTAGACGAGTGCTTGACACTGAGGGACCAGTACTGAACCTAATGTCCAGCTGAACCACATAAATACCCTTACACGCATGCTCTCCAACGTCCGGAGTCCCTACTTGAACGTGGACTCGCGGAGCTCCCCCCTTGCACGACAAGGCTCCCGTAACATCGATCTAAACCAAGCCGACACGCCCTGGACGTCCATTCGACACCTTACAAACGAGGAGAGGGAGCAGATAGACCTGCAGGCCCGGGTCATCCTCACGCGTTGCTCGAGCAGGATAAAGGAAATGGAGGCTCTGGAAAAGCGTGAGAGCCCCCGTTCTCTTGCTTCGGACGCTAACGATATTCAAACTTGAACACAAGGCCGCGCGGAACTTGTGGCCAGCAGCGTTAATCCTCTGGCGCGCTTTCTCCCCGCGCGATTGAGGCAGGACGAAACGACGTTGACGTCCGATGTCATTGCGGCGCACCACGCAGGGATGACCTGGTATTTAACCCGGCGTCTAACGGAGGCCAGTCAGACGCAGAAGGAGATGCAAGAAGAACGCGTCAAACGTCAATTGGAGAGGACGAGGACGTTGGGGTCGAGCGCTGCGCGCGACATGCCGCCTCCAGAGAGAATTCATAAAAGTGGAAGTTGGCTTGGAGGTAGTTTGCTTGCGGCGACGATTGGCGCATCGTCGTCTTCGTCGTACGAATCGTCGCAGCCCACTAACGCGACCAACTCGACGTACGTCTCGGACGAAGATGAGGACGAGGAGATAGAACTCTCCGCATCTCAAATTCTGCAATTTGAGGCGGAGAATGCCAACATCCTTCGGACAGTGCAAGACACGCTAGAGTCTGTGCAGCAAGCCGAGTCGCGGTTGATGGATATCAGCGCCTTGCAAATGGAACTTGTTTCCCATCTGACGAGACAAACCGAGTTGACTGACCAGCTGTATGAAGACGCGATAGCGACGACATCCACGGTGGAGAAAGGGAACGTGCAGCTGAAGGAAGCCAAAAGGCGGGCAAAGGATGGTCGGCTTTTCATCTTGGTCTTTCTAATTGGGGCCAGTCTAAGTTTACTCTTCCTACATTACTACTAAATGTGTGTGTGGTGTCGATACCCCGGGTCTCATCGAATTAAAGGATAGTACAATACAATAAATGGGTCTTTCTAAGCATGGGAGATCAACGGATCCTCCTCGTCGAAATCTTCAATGGCTTCCGCGGCCAGTTCGTCTACGTCGGGTGAAATGCCTTCTAAATGTCGAATATGATTCTGCACTAGGTTGTATACCAGCCTGGAGAAAAAATTAGGGCCGTGCCGATATACAGAGGTTGAGGACAAACCAGCTAGTGAAGATGGCAATTAGGATGCCGCCGCCAACAAGGAGGCCATTGATGACTTTTGTATCTGTAAGAGGATTATGAGTGATGAACGACGGCTATGGCGGTTCAGTTTACGTGTGTCCATGCGACCTCGTTGGTCGCCGTCCGAAAGTTGAGCAATCTTTGAACCAATAAAGGTATGAAGGAGGAGCTTTGGAATGATGCAGAACGTAGCGATTACAAACTGCCAAAGTTTGACGGCTTCAATGGACTGGGATTGGTGAGTTAGCTGCCTTTGAAGGAGAGGGTATACTAACTGCAAACAAAGAGTTGGAGTAGACCCAAGGAGGAAAGGGAGATATGCGGATGAGGACGACGAGGGGTAGACCTTTTGCTCTCTAGAATTGACAAAATTATTTGAGATGTAGGGAATAGATGAGGAGAAGCGTACGACAACGGACTCCAAAGCCTGCCACTTTTGATTGTGACCTGACCATGCGCGTAGTCGAGCACTGAATAGGAATCGGAGGACAACAAAGACAAGAGCAGAGCCGACTATAGAGACACCTGCGGCGATGTAGATACCATTGAGGCCGTAGGCGAAACCGCACAATGTTACGAGGGTGGTATGACCAATGAGAGGAGGAAAGGATATGCACACTATTGAATGGATGTGAGTTGCAGTTATAAGACGTAGGTACGTATACAGACCAATGGCAAGAGCGAGAGCTAGGGAGCCAAAGGGAGCTTCAGCGAGAATGTGAGCCTGGTCATAGAGGTATTGTGCAATACGAGCTGGCGAGATAATAATGACCAAGACACCCAGTGATAGATAGAACACAACTAGAAGACATAGAAAGAGCTTTGTAGCAAGGTTGAGAGACTTGAGCTTTCGAATGATGAGAGTGCTAATAGAGAGAATCATTGTTTCACGTCTCATCATGGAGAAATTCAGTGCCTATCGAGTATTTATAAAACTCATCTTCTTTCCTCCTCTTGTACTTATACAATTCTTTCTAGGACCCAGGGACTGGAATTCAAGTGCGTCTAAAATTCAAAAGTCATTCTCAACTGACGTCTTTTACAGCCATTCTTAACCCCCGTCTCCCCGCACTCCCTGTCAAATGCATTCCTTCCAGTCCGCGTTATCATTGGCATCCTCAGGTCAACTCTTATCCTCGGCCTTTTCTTGCTTTTCTTGCTTTTGGTTCCTCCACTTTCCTTCCTTCTCGCAAGTATTTCCCGCTTTTTCTACACATCCATTCACTGAGTGCAATAGGCCCCAATACCTTTACTGTCTAATGTCATCGAACACCTCCTCACCTTTGTCATTGGCCGTACCATTCTATGCATAATTGGCCTATTCCGCATTCCCGTCCTCCCCGCTACAAGAAAACGAACGTCCGTTCTTCCCTCTCTGTTCTTCAATCAAACAACTTACACCCCATATCAAGCCGGCTGTCGAATTCTCCTGAAAAATGGAACCCTCGCGCTGGAGATATCATCGTCTCCAATTGGGTTTCTTGGATAGAACTCGTGTGGCTTGCCGTACGGTACGTCCACTACTCTGCACTCCATTCAGCACCCATCACACTTTGCATAGATTCAATCCACTCTTCGTCCTTCCCGTCCCAGAGGCAACACCTGCCCCGTCTCTCCCATCCACGCCCATCTCCCACTCACCCGGCCGAAGAACAGGCACAGGTTCCGCTAACATCCAACAGCCCACCAATACGCCTAGCCTTCGCATACCCATTCGCGCTTTCCGAAAAGTGTCATTGTTACAAATGATACGCTTCACAGGTCATGTACCTTCTCCAGACTCTGATTCCTCCCGTCTTCATTCCCTCGAGGACATCAGAAAGTCCGCCTCGAAACCAATCGTCGTCTTTCCCGAGTGCACAACCAGCAATGGCAGGGGCTTGCTGCGTTTTGCGGATGTATTCCGACAAAATGTCCCTGTGAACGCATTTCGTGTTTTCGTCATGTGTGTGAGGTCCGTTACCTTTCCTCTTCCTCTTCCAGATTTCTCTCTTATCCTGAATAGATACGATCCACCAACTACCCTTGCCCCGACTCTGGCTCATTCAATACCTTCAAACATCATGAACCCTCTACCTCATTTGTTCTCATTGACTACTTCCCTATCACCTCTAGCCATCTCCATTCGCCTCCTAGCGCCTTCCGAATCCCCAAGCTCCCCATTTTTCATTGCAAGTGAGGTCGTGACAGGTGCCCCTCAGCAAGACCAGCTCACAGAATGCTGTGCTTCCTTGATAGCTCATATTGGCAAAATAAAGCAAACTGGGATGGGTTGGGAGGACAAAGTCAAGTTGCTGCAACTCCATCGGGCTAAAATGAGATCGTAGACTTTTGATTATATGCTATGCGACGCAGTTTATGGAAAGGGTTCGACTGAAATATGCTGTAATGCGATGAGTGCAATGAGAACAAATGGCGAAAGTGTCCGAAAGATTCACTCGTAGGCCGCCATCCCATAAGAATGGTCTGCCCTAGTATCCTCCCCGTATTGACCAGAGTTGTAGTAATCGTAGTAGTGCAGAGAATCCCATCCATAACCCGTCTCGCGATACGGGCTAGCCTCCTCCGGGCAAAAATAAGGGCGGCTCGGTTTATCCAGTGTGTGATATGGGTATGGTGGTGGTGGTGGCGGCGGCGGAGGTGGATAGTAATAACGAGGCTCGTATACGGTCGTCATCGAATCACCGTTGGAGCAGTATACATGATCCCTTGGAGAATCTCTTGTGGACCTCCGAGGGCTACACGAACGCCGAGATCGTTCATAATACTCGGGTACCGATCTTGAACGCGAACGCCCTCGCGAGCGCAATCTCTTCAAGTAAAAACATCAGCAATATAGGATACGCTCGACGCGCATATACCCACTTCCCAACCCACAACCCGCACTTCCTTTCCGAGTAGACGCCTACCATCCAGCGTCCGAATCGCCTTTTCCGCGTCTTTTCTAGTGAAATACTCGATGAACCTTTAAAAAAGTTGCGACTCGTGAGCAGAAGCTAAGCGGAATACTACGAGTCGGTTTTACTCACCCTCGTCCATTGCGACCTCGGTCTAAATCGCAGTATGCTACAAGACATCCCGTAAGTCTTCCAAAATCCTTCAGTTCCTAGAGAAGAAATTTTAGAAGGAAGCGGGGAAGATGAGTTGCCTTGATTGAACAGACCTGCCAGCGGACGTCACGGTGCAAATTCATTATAATAACTGGATATCGAGCGGGGTTCCGCGGGTTAGCTGGTCTGAGGATATACATCAGCTCATGCAAGGATATTCAAAGGGACGCCGCAAACCTTTCTTCTGGCACAGAATCAGGTACGAGAGTGTCAGAGCTTGTGTTACTACTGACAAACGATGGCGTGTCTTTCCGCAAGGGGCGAGCGAATTGAATGGTGATTTCTAGGAGCCAAGTAACAATTAAATCGCAGAAAAGAAGAGAGAAAAAGGGAGAAGGCCGGACTTTTTCCAAGCAGAGGCTCATTTCGATAAGTATCGTGCACCACCTGGGCATCCTGGACACAATTCAGAACGCTTCTAGAAGCAAGCGAGTAAACTTTGCCTTTGATGATTCGAATTGTACGAATGCGTAATCTGATGTTGTACAAAGGGAGCGTAAGTGATGATCACCAAAGGCAAGAATTTGATGAATACCGCGTATAAACTTTACTTCACTGATTTTCCCGTAACACGAGAGATACTGGAATACGCTCGTGTAAGAATGCAAAGCGCAAGATTACGCGTTCTGCTCGTCACTCGTCATTCATACTCGCCTTCAACAGTATTTGAGGCGTGACATCTCGAAGTAGTCCTGAAAGCGAGCAGCTGAGCGAAAAAAGCAGCAAATCGAAAGACAGTCTACTGACCTCTCAAGTAAAGTCGTTTAGATGTAAACGTCGAGGACATGAGCCAAGAGGGAGCGAGAGGGAGGAAACGAGAGAAGATGGCGCGCTTTCATGTGCGGCTTTCGAGCTCCGCTAAGGTCTTCGAAGGAAGTTCGTTGAATGTCATTATTTTTGATAGCGTCCAGTCACGCCCAGACATTCAATATGTTTCCGATTGATGGTTATATACTACATTGGATGGTATTTCTATCACCATGTCGTTTGTACGACGTTCATAGCTTTGATTTGACCTATAATGCTTCGCTCAATCATCTACGCATTGTGAATACGATTGCACGCTTACCTGTTGAAGCTTTTGCAAAGCTTGGCGGAGGTCCGCTTTCAAGTCTTCCACCTCTTCCACGCCAATACTGAGTCGAATGAGACGTGGGTCTGCTCCCGGGTCACTTTGCAGGCGATGTTCTACCAGTGATTCAACGCCACCCAGACTCGTCGCAGGCTAAGGACTTGTCAACCCGCATACGTGCCAGTTTCAGGTAAGAGAAACTCACCACAAAATACTGCAAGAGATGGGGAAACTGTGTGGCATGTTCAGGCTTGGAGAGCTACGCATTAGTAGATCAGCTACCAAGCCACGAAGATAAGTCGGATTGACTAACGAGGATCGCGAATGTTGCGTTCCACCCTCCCTCCATCTGTTGCCGAGGTTCGAAGCCAGAGGCGTCTCTCGGCTGGAGGGACGAGTGCCAGACTTTACTGACAACACCCCCTGGCACACCATCAAAGGTGTGGCCGATAGGAGTCTTAGCAACTGCATCCAACCATTGTGCAAGGGTTGTTGCTGAAGCCGATTGGCGTGGGACTCTGAGATGCAAAGTCCTCAAAGAGCGCAGAAGAAGCCATGATTCGAGTGAGCCCATCACACTTCCGAGAAATGTGCGATCGTGATATAGCTGTCGACGCTCATTGTAAGCCTGATAACTGATACAAAGATCAACAACGCGCCTTAGTCCAGTCGTCGAGGGCCTTGACTACAAGAACACCGCAAAGTAGGTCAGAATGGCCACCAAAGTACTTCGTACCTGCGGTACTTGATTTGTCAGAAAAATAAAAGTTGGAGAACACGCAGTCTACCAGAGTGAAGGATGCTGCCATGGAAAGAGGTTCAGTCATTCGAGCGGATGCGGATGCGAGCACCGGCGCTCACCAGTCAGCGCCAAACTTGAATGGGTATTGCAGAGGCGGGGGAGCAAAAGTTGAGTCAATCAGCAGTTTGCCTCCCGCTTTATGCACCTTTCATGGAATCTTATCTTCTAGAATTCCAAACAATCAAGGCACCAACCTTGTCCGCGTAATGCTGGATATTCCTGCCGTTAGAACGGAATTAGTTCTGAAGAACCGTAGGCAACTGCACGGCACTTGCCTCGCTTCGCCAGTTGGGTTAAGCGGGGTTTCCAGCCAACAGAGATCGCCCGGTTTGTACGCCGCGTCCAAATCAATTACTTCCAAGTCGACACCTCGGCTCTTCCTGTACACCTCGATGGTCGCATGACATCCATGATAGCCGCCGGTTATAGCGATACGCTTCGGTTGATAAAATACCAAGGCCTTTCGTAAAAATGAGCGACGGTTTGGTTTGAGAACTCGGAAGCACGGACCGCATAAGAGGCGGCCAAGCCAGAAGAGTAAGTTAGAGCATATCCATCCTAGAGGTAAGGTAGGTCAGAGCAGGTTGTCTAGGTCATGATAAGGGCTCATAAAGCATCAAACGTCCACCTACGTTGATGCGGCTGAGAATGTGTTCTGTCCTAGTTCTAACCGGCTGTGTGTACCTGGAGTAAACGTGTGTTGTTGGGTTTCGCAGGTCGCCGTTAGCGATGGCCCCTGTTACAATGTCCTCGGGGTTTGGTGCTCGAAATGCTGTAGATACGTCGATTGAGAGTAGGCGAGAGATGGACGGCACCGAGTAAGCCGCAGGTAGGCGAGGAAGCAACAACACGCACTGGTAGACACTGAAATAGATGGCGCGACGTCTCCTCCTCCAGACGATTTCGTGAGATTGCCATCTCCATGAATGAGAACCGTTCCACTCAATTTGTTCGACATAGACGGAGAGACGAAGAGATTACTGATACAACTCGTAACTCGTTTACAATAGTCGTACATATTACAAGACACTAATATACATAACCCGGGTAAATTATTCAATGCTGGTAGCCCTCGTTGATCATAGGAGCACCGTATGAAGTTCCATCTAAAAAACCTGACTCACGGATAAACGACATCCACTGCTCGTCCATCCCCGACTCCCCTGTTATCATCATCCCAAGGTCTCCCACCTCAGACGGATCTGTTTTAAAATCCAGGCCGTTGTAATTCGGATTCGGGATTGGGTCAGGCCCAGCGTAGGAAGGGACAGACGTAGAGAATCTTGATGATATGTGTTGGTATGTGCCAGGGGATAGCGGTGTAAAAATCGACGGTGAAGGTTGCCAGGTTTGCCAGGCTTTCTGTTGGTCTTGTTCCATCACTGGTTCCAGCTGAGCCTGACATGTGTCCCCTGCGTTGTGCATTGGCTGGTTGATCAACTCGGGGGAAGCGTGTAGATTGGGAGTTCCTGCGCTTCCGTCTGAAGGGGTTGATACGGACATGTTCTGGGGCGGAAAGAGAGACAGATACTCCACAAGAGACGGATGTACATCTGGCGTAGTTTCATGTACTCCTTTGAAATCATCAGACGAGGGGGAGCTGGGACCCAGAGATTTCTTCTTGTGACCAGATCTGCTGGTGAGGAGTTTACTGACTAGCACCCGCGTTTGTCCCCCAAATAAAGCCAGCTCGTCATCTCCATAGTCCGGCTTTCCGACCGACAAGATACCAGGGACGGGTGTGCTACCACTCCGGAACTGAGAGTAGACGTGAAAAGCTTTTTCTCGCATCTTGTACAATATTGCCTGGTATTGCTCGTCAACAGACCGTTCCACCGAATCACAATCCTGAACATACCAGGCCACTACGCGCGCGCCGGGAATGCATTGCGCCCTTTTCAAAGAGATCGCATGCAAGGCCCAATTCAATAAATGCACTGGGTGCCATGCTCGAGGAAGGTGACCGTGTAACAATGCAGCCAACGATGATCTAAAAGTGGCAGCATGAGCATTGAGGTGGGAAAGTAACATCGCCGATCTTACAGCAGCCGAAAATACTAGAGGTGCGTTAGTTTGAATTGATGTGTGTTTTATTAAATGTTTGCTCACGATGTGTCCAGATTCCCCACCACCTTCCGCATAATTCTGGGAATCTATCGTAATGATTTAGACTGGATTTTATCACGCCCGAAGCACAACGGTAAGCTGCCAGAAATGAGGGCGCATAGGGACTTCGGAGAGGGTTGGTGGGGTGATCTAACATCGCTTGGGCGAAAAAACTCCTGTGAAGGTATAATAACGCTTTTCGTTTCTTCAGCGTTGAATGCTTAACCAGTTCGTTTGGGGCACACTTACTGATAGAGCGGTACTGGCCTAAAAGACACTTCTTCATGTAGATGGAAGGTGTGCAGTGTTCGTCCTCAGGACTTATGAACACATTGAGGTGCTGTGGTAGAGTTTTTTCGCGAACTTTTCGATCAAGTTCTAGGATAGTTTGATATTGAGGAGCCTCCGCGGTAAGAGTAAGTTCTATAACCGAGGCAAATATATCTTTTGTAAATTCGTATTTCCATTGATAATCTGTCCAAAATTTGTCAAAAAACGTTGATTGAAGATGAAGCTTTCGTACAGCCTTTCAGAGAATTGCCTTCCGCATCAAGAGTGGCTTCTTCGTCCAACGGGAATTCGCAATCGATGTACGACAGCCGCACTGAGGGAGGTCGACCTAAAGCAAGATTCTGTTGCGGTTAAGTTCTTGTACAACACAGGCCAGGTCGGACGCAACGCACATAAAACTGTTCTCCCGAAAAGAGTTCCCAGAAAAGTCCTCTCCGACGTTCCACAGTCTTCGAATCCATATTCCATCTCGCGCTGTCACGATCTACGAGGTTAACCCCATTAGAGACGAACAGAGTACAAACAGGGAGAACACACGAAGACCGAGCTGGTTATGAAATCCGACGACGTCAGCCATTCGAAGAAGCTGGATGAAATGATGAAACTGGCTCACGCTTTGCGCCAATTTGGCCCCCAGAGATATAAGCGACCACTTTACCGAGTTATTATGTCAGTGGCATGAATAAAAGAAAACATGCTCGAGACTCACAGAACTGTCCATGGTATACCTCTTCCCTGCCATACCATGGTACGCTGCCATCAACAAAACAGCCTGGACGGTGGCTATTTCTGGGGAGTCGAAGACGGAGCGTAAAGATAGGCAAGCACAACTCAGATGGTAATAATTCTCAGCCTCATTGCTCTCTGTTGACTTTGTGTCAAAATACGCATCTTACGAAACATAGTGCGCTTACGTGGTTCCAAGGTTAGATCGACCAAGGCGCCCAAGGCGAAAACAAGAAAGAGAACTGCCAGGCGATGCGGTGAGATCGCGCCGTCATTAGTTGAACCCAGAAACTGCTTTTCCTTGACAATTTTGTAGACAGGGGAAAGGATGTCATCAATGATCTCATCTCTTTTGATGGGTCGAAACGACCAGGCAGCTTGCTCCATGTATGTTTCGCACAGCGACCAAGCCCGAGGTTGACTGGGTAGATACTCAAAAAGCAGGTCTAACCCCTTTTCCATATTTCCGTCCGCCCCGAATGGGAATGCTGCCGAGAGCCTAGCAATCTCCATTGAAACGGGCGAATAGTAGTCCTCTTCTGTGGATTCTTCCAGCTCGGCGCCTGCCTGTGAAGGGTTATCAAGTGTCTGGCAAATCTAAACGGAACTTTATACCAAGAACAAAGTCTGAATGATGATCAGCGAAAGTCTAACACGTGGCCAGTAGATTCAATTCCTACCTCTGATCCTGCTGAAGGCCCAAAATATTTGGCGTCTCCTTGATCGCCAATGGTCATCGTACCAAGGGCATCAATTGTCGACTCAACAGATGGCTTCCTCATGGACTGCTGTTCTCTCTCCGGAACGTATCCTTTTTCAGGTCCGAACTTTATGGACAGCAACTCTTCCCGCAGAAGTGGGTGGCATTCGTTGGAGACGCCGGATTGGAATATGGTCAAAGCGTCCTCGAGCTGCCGGATACGCTGACCCATTTCAGCAATTTTAGCATGAAGTTGAGTCGTATCTGCCAGAACAAATCTTTTCCCGTGACTTCAGAAAATTTTCGTGGCACTCAGGAGGCGAACATCAGACGGACCTAGTTCCTTGGCCCGTCGACAAACTTCCGTTCGGACATATTGAGGGGCAGCCGCGACGAACTAAAATTTTGAATTTGAGTAAGGTCAGACATTGACAGATAAAGGGGATGCCAACCGCATGAACTGCAAGGAAGCTTTTTATCGCACTTTAGTTTTAATCTTGAAGCCAGCCAAGAACTAAGCATCGGAGACTTATGCCAATATGGGATTCAAATACCGTCGGCATTCAGCACAGGAAATCTGGACAGGAACAATGAGGTAGATCGAGGAGGAGAAAGCAGAGAAGGATATACCTCGCCTCTTGCCCTTCGGATGTCAATCTCCTCGTCGGTTGTGAGTTTTCTTGATGCTCTGCGCGCGTGTGTGTGATGAGAAGACTCTGCGGGCATCTCTCGAGAGATGTAGCTAGGAAACCTTGACTAGAAGATCAAGTTAAGGAATGGCGCTCGTTTTTGTGACTTGCAAGTTGACTGCTCGACCGGGCGGAATATCCCTTTCGCCGTAACCTAAAGAGGAAATTGCCGATCTCGATCATAATATAAGCGTCATCGTTGTCTAAATATAACTCTCGTCTGTTTCTTGTACACATACCACTCACTACGATACCCGCACATTCAATTATGCTTCACGCCAGGGCTATTTTCCTCGCCGTTTTCTTTTTGACTTTACGCGTTCTCGCCAAACAATCTACTCCAGTACGTGCTATATCCGAAAGCAAGTACACCACCGCACATTCGCTGGGGGACAGCTACAAGTTCGACCCACGCGATGGCTGGCAGACCGTCAATGTCACAAATCTCCAGTACAAGTATCCTCGGGATGCCAGTGTTTCCAAGCCAAAAAGCAGCAAGGCGATTGCTCCATCGAATGGTCTCAGCGTTGCCGTCGACAGCGTTAAGAATGTTCTCAAGGGTCTCAAGCTTATCGGTGAACCCAAACCAGTCACCGTCACCTGGTATGCCCACAGTCGGGGTGATTCATTGCTGCGTATTAATGATATGTTCATCCAAGGTACACGGGCCAAGACTTGCAAAATCCAAGCTGCTGGGCGAACGGAAAATGGGCACCAACGGTTTGTTCCTTCACAAAATAAACCATTAGGGTTTCAACTTCAATTCGATTTAGGACGATTCTTTCGCATGTGCACTGACGATGCAAGGGTGGACCGGCCGACCAAAGTGCTTCGAGTTTTTGGAACGTAGGTGAAACCTCCTCGAATCGAAGCGAGTAACTAACAAAACGCCCAGTGTGCAATTCGCCGACCAAGTGTGTATACGTACGCGTTGTGGATACATGCGCGGGTTGTCAAGCAGGCTCAAAGCACGTCGATCTTACGCAAGCAGCGTTTAAGCAACTCGCGACCTTGGACGAGGGACTTCTCAAGAATGTTCAACTAAGAACAGCAGCATCAGAGCCAGATGACTGGTAAGCGTGCATGAAAATACGTTCAGGCCCGCGCACTAAACTTCCGTGGAAAGGTATGAAGATCTCTGGGGCCCAAAAGCCAACGCGAAGCAATGATATAACACACGACAGTCAGACGCTGGACGTCGAGCCTATACCGCCAAATGACTATACTTGTACATCATCAGTATTTGTATTATTATTGTAATATCCACCTACTAGCATGTCAGATCGAAAATTACGCCTTGAGATGAACCCTCTTTCGTTTCTTGCCTTCCGCAATTTTCTCTTTCACCTTTTCCTCGTCCATTCCTTCTTCGTAGAACTGAGCTGTTCGCTCGGACTCGTTCTTTCTTCGAATGTACTGCAAAGCTGCGAGGTTGTAACTGATTACATCTTTCTGCCGTTGCAACGCTGCACGAAGATGTTTGCGCAAAGGAATCAGCGTGGTGCGCATAACTCGATTTGCGACGATTTGATGGTGGTGGATCTTGAGTAAGAAAAAGGTGATGCGCGAGACAAGGGGAATATTCCACTCCTAGTGATGGCACATTGAAGAATTTCAGTAGTTTACAAGGGCATGGGATCTGACCTTTTGTGCCCATATGTTGAGATATGCCATCAACGACACGACTTTTCCAAAAGGCAGGACGAGAAGAGCGTCCTGCAAAGCGGTACTTTGAACCTTTTCGACTACCCTTAGAACATAGGCATCAGGTGTCAGGTCATAGGCAGCCAAAATGGGGTTTCTTGGAGGCGGCTGCAACCTCATTGCGTCGTCTTCGGCAAGCCGCGACGTCACTTCTTCATATTCCTGAAACGTTCGTAGCTCAGCGTCAGCGAGGTCAAGAGCTTCCATGATACGCTCTCCAGCCATTAACGTTTCAGTTGTTTGCTTCGTCACTGCGGAGACTTCAACTTCTGCAGCAGCGTCTGGCCTTGCATCGCCGATGGGAGCCTCGACACGATTGAGATTATCCACTATACCGCTTTCATAGAGTTGCTCGAGTTCCCGCTCCCGTTCCTCTTCCAAGAAAAGCTGAAGTGAAGGGGTGAGATACCTGGATTTCAGAGGTTTAAGAATGACATACAGGTTCATCTAGTTTCTCCCAAACACGGATTGATTTATCATGGGAACCGGTGACGACAAAATTACCATGGTGGCTTAGCGCTAGGGCCCAGACTTCGCTATGGTGGCCATCTAGTTTTTGAATGCCTTCAAACTGGAAAAGGTCAGAAAGGACGACGGCGAGATAGCGTTTGCCTTTCACCTTGTCACCATCCCAGTACTTCACCATTTTGTCCTTTCCGACGGTCCAAAAATAATGAGACTTGGCCTCGAAGGCAACTTGCATGACACTCTCCTCATGGGCGAATATAGACTTGTGGCAATCACCAAAGTCAAGGCCCCAAATTTTGACATTTTTGTCTGCGGAACAAGTGACAATAAGTTGAGAGTCGCTGGAGATATCCATTGATAGAACGGGAAGCTGATATCGGCGTTACTCACGACACACAACAAGAGATGTGAAATGAATTGCACCTTGTGGCCATATAGCGATAAGAAAAACTTGAGAGTGTCCTCGTAAAACACCTTCACGGTCGAGTCGAGCAATGCCACTGCGAGGAGTTTTCCATTGGGGCTATATTTTACTGATAAAACGTCATCGGTCATTTTGAGCGTTCGAGTATGCACGAGTGTTAACAATTTCCCGCTTTGGACCTAATGGGGTATCAGGTCGAAAGGCCTCACAAAAATAGAACAGACATACATTCTCGCCAGTTGCATCCTTTTGTTCGAATTCCCAAAACTTAACATTCTTGTCCTCGCTTCCGCTAACAAGAGCACGTTGATCGGCCCGGACGTGAAGCGACCACACGGTACTGGAATGTGCTTTGACTGTTTCTATCAAAGAGGAGGATGAGATGTCGTAGATGAGAATTTCCCCCGATTTCGTTCCGATGGCAATCTGGAATAAAAGTTTGGGACGGGCTGCACTGCAAAAGGTAAGCGACTGACGTGGCGATCCCCTGGCAAGAATGTGCTGCAGATTGCGTATCCGCAATCCATGGTTCGAATACATGCAGTAGTTTTCATGTTCCAGATTTTCAGTGATCCTAACGAGTGTCAGACAGACAATAAAAGGATCACGAAAGATGCCTACCGCTGGACGCGGAAGCGAGGATTTGGTCATCAGCACTGAGAGACAATGTCCGTATATCTGTTCGGTGACCTGGCAAGTCCACCGAAAAACTGCGAACGGCCTCAAGGGGTTCCTCTTTGTTTTTCGATGGAGGGGGGATATTATATACCTCCAAAGCATTGGAGGCCAGTGCTAAAAAGAGCTGAGCCAGCCGACAATAAGTAAAACTTGATGGGCGAACCAAAAATGACATACCTGACTGCTCCCTTTCAGCGCCGGAGGTTCGAGATCAAAATCGAACGAACGGATTTTCCCACTAGCGCGGACGACAAGGTGAGGGGTGAACATGTCTACCAGTTGAAGCTCATGGAGAATTTCGACTTCATCTGCTACGTCTAAAACCATTCCGTCGTTCTTACTTTTTTGTTCCTTTTCTTTTGCTCGCTTTTTTCGCCTCGCCTGTTTCTTCTTAACCTCTTCCTCTGTCCGTATTCGGAATATCTCAACAGACCGTTCATGGGACTGGACGGCCATATATGGTTGAGTCGAGTGAAATTTGATCTGAGCTATACGGTGTCGTGAAGAAAGAGGCAGAGTGGAGATGGGGTGAATTATTTTTTGCACCTACGCATCCTCGTCAACTGGTTCAGTGAAAGGCGGGATTTACGGCTTACTTCTCCCGTTTCCGTTTCCTTCAAGCCTTCTGCTACAGCTTCATGGTCAAGTTTCCAGGCTTTGAGTTCTCCTTCGCCACTGCCAGTAAAGATGAGATCCTGGTCATTATTGAGGTCAAGGGACCATATTTCTGAGCGATGGGCCACAATGGTTTGGATACAGTGTTTATTAGAGAGATCCCAGAGCTTCATAAAGGTGTCTTTAGAAGACGTGAGCAAAAGACCAGCCGCAGTCGCGCTTGAAGTTGAAGGTTGGTCGTCATTCGTGGAGATAAATCGAATGGCGGTAATCTGGTCTCGATGCCCACGAAGTCTGATATCCGTTTATTTGATTTAAGTCAATTTGCAGCGCCATCGGTACATACCGATACAAGCCAGTCTCCCCAATGACATCCCAAACAATTAGGTCTGTGTCTTGTGAGCCTGAAGCAAGGCGTGTGCCTTGCTCATCAAAAGCAAGAGCCGTCACAGCTTTTTTGTGCCCATTAAAGGTTGTCAACACAGAGCCTGATGAGGCGCTCCACAGCCGTATAGATCCATCAGCATATCCAACTGCAAAAGAATCCGGGTGTGGCGATTGTTTGATACAGGTAACCTCAGCTCGATGGCCAGTATCATGCCACATTGCAAGCTGCATGAGATTATAAGCAAATAGTAGCAAAGGGTGAATGTAAGCCATTACCATTTGACCTTTTTTGACGTCCCAGACCAACACATCCTCGAGAGCAGGTACATAAGCCAATTTGCCGTCGAAAACCGAATTCGAGGACGAGCTGCAAATCAAACCAAAGGCCTACAGGACGATGAGTATGACGCTAGGCTGTATAAATTGCTATCCTTGCCTGAGTTGGCCCATGCCTTAGATAACTCTGCACCATCGTAGTGGAAGCCGACAAAAAGTTTTGTTCGTCACGTGGCTCCAATTACTTGAATTTGAATTTCAGAATATTTCTGTCTCCTGGCCGCCATGATGCTTTACCCATCGAGCCCAGAAGCGGCTACGCGCTTTATAAAGTTTGTCAACGCATCTCCCACTCCTTTTCACGCTGTTCACAACGCTGCCCTCCGTCTCGAGAAAGCTGGTTTCCAGAAGGTAACCATCCCCCTTCTGGTTGCATAAGCTCGTTTTTGCCATTAAAATCGGCCAACAGATCAGGGAGAAGGATAGTTGGGAGAACGAAGTACAACCAGGTGGCAAATATTTCTTTACGAGGTACATAGGGGAAACCTTTGTTGAAACCCAACATCGTGTTCTAATCAATTTCAGAAACCAATCTGCGTTGGTTGCATTTACCCTTCCACAGAAATGGAAACAAGGTACAGGACTCAGTGTCGTCGCGACTCACGTCGATAGCCCCAACCTCAAAGTACGTATCAAGTGTACCCCCGCTCTCGTGGCCAATCAACTAGGTGTTCTAGATTCGACCCATCTCCAAGCGCAGCAAATCAGCGTATTTGCAAGTGGGAGTAGAGACCTACGGGGGAGGTATCTGGCATTCGTGGTTAGACCGCGATCTATCTATCGCGGGCAGGGTTGTGATCGCAGAGAAAACTGGTGGCTTCACTTCGAAGCTTCTCAAACTGGATAGGCCGATTCTTCGAATTCCAACGCTCGCCATTCACCGTAGGTTGATGAATGATTTTGAGAGAGACTGTCACAAAATCCTCCCATACAGTGGACAGAAATATTAACGAGTCGTTCAAGTTCAATCAAGAAACTGAATTTGTTCCTATCCTTGGGCTTATCGAGGATCAGTTCAACGCGAAACTTTCCGATTCTGACGACGAAAAGGACGAAAAGGCGCCAAATACTGGAGCCAAGGTGGCATCGAGCATCCAGGATAATCACCATCCAGCCCTGTTGTCACTCCTTGCTGGAGAATTATCCATCGCGCCCGAGGAGATTCACGACTTTGAATTGTATGTGAATCAACTCCTTTTAGGACCAAATTGACAAGATAAGTAGGTCCTTATATGACACTCAACCAGCCTGCCTCGGCGGTTTAAACAACGAATTCATCTTCAGCCCTAGGATGGACAACCTTGTTTCTTCGTGAGTTTGAGCGACGGTCTCATGTACGCTACATTACTTATTATGTCCAGGTTTTGCGCAGTCGAAGCCATCGCAGAAGCTGTCCAAGCTACGAGCCTGGAAGGAAACGTGAACTGCATTGCCCTTTTCAACCACGAAGAAATTGGCAGTGTTTCCTCCTCAGGAGCTGAATCCAGCCTTGTTCCTTCTCTTCTCAATCGCCTCTCTCCTACTCCATCTACTCTTGCTCAGTCGATTGCCAACTCTTTTCTGATTTCGGCGGACATGGGGCACGCCCTGCACCCCAATTACTCATCCAAGCACGAAGAGAAGCATAAACCAATCATGAATAGAGGAATTGTTATCAAGACCAATGCCAAGCAAAGATACGCAAGCGATGCCATCTCGACTTTCATTGTGAAGCAGTTGGTCGAGCGCAAAGGCGGAAGAGTACAAGAGTTCGAAGTGCGAAACGACATGTGAGTGGCGTGTTGCCCTAAAGTTGATGGACTATCTCATAAGTCCTTGCTTGTCAGGGCATGTGGATCTACGGTGGGGCCTATGTTATCCAAAATAGGCATTCGCACCGTCGATGTTGGCAACGCAATGTTGTCCATGCACTCGATCCGCGAGACGGCAGGATCGCATGACGTCCAGAATGCCATCGACTTATTTAGCTCTCTCTTTGAAGGATTTTCAGCTCTCGATAAGGAGTTGTCTGTCGATTGATGGCCTATGTTATCATACTTGACAAATTATGGTATATTTGTATTGATGAATACTCATTCGAAGGATGAAACAGATGCCCCGAGGGTTTGTATCGCACCTGACTGACAGGATGCGCAGATTCTTCGTTGGGCCCTCGAGGGAGGTGGCGCATTCCTCCTGTCCATCCCTCCTGTCGAGTAGGCGTGACTATGGACCTTCAAGATTCACTATCTGTGCTTGGTGCGCTTGGTAGGAGGTTCTGATGAACGTGGGCCTGAGAGAACACTCCGCTTCTTCGCAGTGCGTGTATAGTGAGTAAGGACCCATTCCCGCTCAGCTTCCGTTTGTTCTATAGTTCCTTGTCTAATTTCATAGGCTAAGTGTTGCCTTCAGTTTAACTCTTTTGAAAATGGAAAAACAATTACTTGTAATTACTCACGTTTCATCTCAAATCGAGGTCCAACTTCGGCCAATTGCACCTGACGACCTGTTTTCACAAAGACGTGATGCCTACAAAAAATTAGATACAAGGGGAGGTCAGTCTCGGAAGGCTCACCTGAATGAAATAAAATCATCGTCATTCGCAAACGTCATTACACGTTTGCTGTCCTCCTTCGGCACTGGGAACAAGTATTTCAGCACGTCTCGCACGCGTTCACCGAGGCGTGAAGAGAAATTTTCGAATATCAGGTGTGGGTATTGCTCGGAAACGGTTGAATTTTTGTATGTCCCGATGTCATGCCGAAGAGCGACGTTGTTCAACGTAAAATAAACAGTGGGTCCATGGGGAAAGTGGGAAACGATCATGGCATCTGAGGGCTGTTAGAAAGACTGAGATAGTGATGCATAGACATGAACCTGGTATTCCGCGATGTTCATGAAGAACAATTAAATCTGTCACCTCATTCGCTCTGCAAGCCTCTGCCAGCTCTTTCACAACATAATTTCCACGATTTATTCTGTGAGAGCCCGGGAAAACAAGTCTCAGTTCCTGAGGCGGGTGAGATGAGGTTGGCTATCCAAGGCAAAGAATGGCACCTTGGTAAATTGTAAAAGTTTGGAGCTTGGATCCCTCGATGTTGTAATCACTATTTTTGGGTCCTGAAAGCCCGCACGAGAATACTCATTGTCGATATGTGTGGTCGGATCTGCCAAGGCGTTCGTTAGCAAATGAACTAAGAAATGGATGCACGACAACGCACCTGCTTGCGCTTCATCAAATGCCAAGTCCTTCCCAAGATCCTTTGCATCTTTCTTCAACTCTGTGGGTAATTTTTTGCCCGTCGCCAGAACATCTTTCAGCTGTTGCTTTCTCTCGTATGTTTGTCTCTCTTGCGCTTCGAGGGATTTCGCATACACATACTGTCTGCGCTCTCGCACTTGTCGACGCAGCTAGGTTCAGTTAGTTGGATCTCAAGGGGGCTCCAAAAACAACGACGGCGCACCATTTTTGATTGCTATCAGGTAGTGGCGGTCAACTAAAGACTATACTAAAATAATTGTGACATGTCACGAGCCAATTACCATGTCACACCGCAAAGGCAACTGCCCTCGTCAACCTCATTCCAAGTCCCCGAATGCAAGAACTAAACTCACGCCGCACTTGCTTATATTGCCAGTATGAAGTTTCCTGAGGCGTACGGGGGATGGAGTGAATAATGAGTCATTCAGAAATGGAAGCTTTACCCACAGAGATGGGGGTAGCTATCAAATCTCCGTCGGCTGGGCGAATGAGAACGTGAACATCCGTCAATTCCTTAATGTCGAGCTCCTGGTCCTCTAACAAAAAATGAAAAGGGTGGTTTTTATATACTTATCTTGCCGTACCTGGAGGTGAATCCGAAGCTTCGCTATCAATACAATGTTCCGGTTTTGAGAAACAGGCATATCTAAAATTTTGCAGAAGTTGGACACACTCCTCAAGATGGAACCATTCATATGTTTCCTAATATGCATCAGAAAGTATATGTGCAAGTATTGAAAATGCAATTACTGGATCAGCCAGGTATGAAGGTGAGTACTCTCCCTTGTACCGCATCTTCTGACAGGAATATATGTAGAATCCTACGGACGTTAGGCTTCATAAGAGATCAAAGCCAAAGACGAACCCATGTATAATGATTGCATTTCATGAATTCCCAACTCATTAATCTCCCTAGCTAAAGAGACCTCCCGTAGGGCGCTGAGCTTTTGTCTCGTCAGTGTACAATAAGCGATGGGTTCACCCTTTCATCCCACCTTTCCGAGTGAAAACCTTTCCCATGATTTATCATACATGAAATAGACACTTGATACACAACTCGGAAGAATGTCGAGCACCGCCATTGCAACAAGTTCTCCGTCAATCTTGTAAAGCTGGTGGTAAGACCCGTAATTCAAAGGCAGATGCTTTGGTGGTGGTTTGAGATAAGGAATAGGTTCACTCTACAGAAGATATGATGTCAATATATTTGAAGCATATGTCGCAACTTTGCACCTACAATAAGAGGCGAGTCAACAAGAAACCGCTTGAAGCCCTTAGGAGAGTTCTTGGTGTCATTGTGAATGTCGTTTTGATATTTCTCATAGAGTGCGAATTTCTCAGGCGTGTAAGACGAGTCCTCTAACGTGACCTAATTGAAGGTTAAACCGGCGTAAGGCAATAAATGGAGGAAAAGGCGAGCGACCTCGAAAGTATGTGAAGGTGATTCTCCCGAGCAAAATTCGAGCTCTGACGCATGGACCAACGCACTCAACGACAAGGGCGGTTGGTGCATTGCTTTTGGGACGTGTGATTTTCTAGGCATACCCAAGATGGGCATCTTAGCTCGCAAACCCAGAGGACGGAAAGTATGATGCCAACTTCGTGCCAGCAGATCCCATCTCCGAGTCCTCATTCGTGCCGTCGTCGATGATAAATCGGTTCCAACTTAAGTGATAGTTTTGATCAAGTTGTTTTGGTGCCAACAAAAAGCTACAAACTCACCGATAAATCAACTTCCGATGGCTTCTCGAAGGGCTAAAGGCGAGGGCATCGAGCCTGCACTATGTTCGCTCAAAATGTTCCAATAATATGGGCGGGAATCAAGTATACTTTATTGTATACTGCGGGCAGCATGAACGTCGAAGATCAGGTTTATAACAGTAGGTCCCTAGATATAATCTTTTGTTATTACGATCAGCCATCGCGGCAAGCAAGGTTGAAAACTTGCCAGAGCGACGCCAGCCACGATCAATCATGCCCTGGTATACCTGCTCAGAGAAGGTCTAGGTGCTCACCGCCTAGTCTTACGATATCGACTATTAGTGCATACCGTGCATGAAATCCTGATGGCTTCCAGTGCAGTAGAACGAAAATTCGTAGACTCTGTGGACCGTTGACCAGGCGGTGAGCAATACCCACAGGTGGAAGCACTCGTGCCAACAGGGATGGCAATTGATTTGAATTCGTCCAAGTCCATCTAAGTAGTGTGAGTTTAGGATTGCAAAGTCAAAGTGATGGTATAGGTGAACGTCGATCGCGTGTGATCAAGTTTGGATCAGGTTCATCAGATACGTTATTCGACATTCAATTGTCCAGCTTTGGAGCATCTTTTCTTACCCAACGTTTCTTTTTTTACACCTCGCTTTCTCTCAATTTATTCTTTGAATTCACTTTTTATAAATAACCAAAGGGAAATGGATACTCTTTCGAAGAAAGAGCTAGCTGAGCTTCTCCCACGTGATGACAGCAATGAGCAGCACTAGTACGATGATGATACCAGCAGTCACCGCACGCTGTTGGTACATCCTGCAAGATAAAACGTGTGTCAGAGAAATCTATCGACAAGTTGACCTTGTTCAGAGCGAGAACATGAAAGCCTTCATACCGTCTGACCATCTTCTTCAGAGTTCCAGAAGCGCGGTCGATTGCCAAGTCCGCCCCGTATAGCTGGATGTATCTAAGTGAAACTATCAGGGATCATAAGCCACGGGTGCAACTCACAGTATTCCTCGAATTTTCTATTTGTTCTCGTTGTTGTCTGAGGTTTGAGAGAATCTCGGCACCTTGGTCCTCAGTCTCCAATGCAATACGTTGAGATTGCTGCAGCCGTTTGGTCCCGTCTTCCAATATCGAAGTACCCGCCAACAGTCGTGTCCGGTCACTTGACGGTCCATATGGATCGTCAGAAGCAGGATAATTGCCAGGTTGTGAAGCTGTTGAGAGAAGGTCTGAGCGCGCAAGTTGCCCTCGAACGTCCGCAGCGAGTTTCTTGTAACGCGCAAGATCCGCCTTGGCCGCTCGCAGGCGGGTGTGGTATTGGGCGCGAACGGATTGCGGAATGCCTTGTATTTCAATGTCCATCTGCGAGACCTGTTCGTTGGTGATTGTAAGCTGGTGCGTAGGATATAGCAATGCAACGAATCACACCATTTCGTCAGCTTCATCGAGCTCCATTTCTACCTGTCGTAAAGTAGCACTTCGTTGTTGTTGTTCTGCATCGGACACAGATAAGTTGCGCAGGTGTTGAATACAGAAGCAGTACAACTCACCGCCCCGTTCTTCCTTAGCATCTCCTTCTAGTTTTACCCGAATGGCTTCGATGAATTGTTGAAAGTCCTGCTCGTAAGAATCGAATAGAGCGGTTGGTGAAGTGTCCATTGAGAGTATTCCTGGTTCCACCAGGGAACACGTAAAGTCACGGTGAGTAAAGTTGTGTGTGATATATTTGGTGGACGTGACAAGTTGTTCAGCAACCATGTTAAGCAATAATGCGTACGTTCATCACTCAGATAGCTTCACTACTTGCGCTTACCATTATGTGAAGGGTTTCGTTATATCTCGACCCCCAGATACGGGACTGGGTTCTATTCCCTATCACCCTCGTCATGGTACGTGGCGATCTCAACACCCATTATGCCTCTCAAAAGTAAACCAGATTTTAGTCGGTATCCTACGGCACTACGTCGTTCTATTATTGCAATCTACTCCAAAAAAACAATCAAGGGCTGCAATTCGTGAGCAGTATGTCCTTTCTTGTTCCGCCTCTACACGAGTAAATTCTGCTTCCAGAAGAGCGCTAGCGCGTGCGCAGATCCTTCGGGCTACGTCAGCCAATTCACCATTGCCCCCAACATTCTACGCACCTATCTCCAGACATTTGTCGGAAGCCTTCACGAATGGAACGTATCTTAAAGACGGACCACCGAAGAGCGACGCTCCCACCACTCCTCCCAGTCCTCTCACAGATCCTGCTGCAATGGAAGGAATGATGGCTGGCATGAAAACCCAAATGGTGATGATGGTGCCGCAGATGATCATCATGGGTTGGATCAACTTTTTCTTCCAAGGTTTCGTTCTCAGTACGTCCCCAGCTCTAGGAAACATATACCAACATAACGTTTGAGGAGCAGTCAAACTTCCGTTTCCTTTGACCTTGGGATTCAAATCTATGCTTCAGCGTGGCATAGAGACCCCAGATATGGATGTTCGCTGGGTCTCCTCCCTATCCTGGTACTTCCTCAACTTCTTTGGCCTGAATGGCCTTTACCGTCTAATTTTGGGCAACGACAATTGTGAGTTTTACCTTTGTTTTCGTCCATCCCGGCAGTTTAAGCCTTTTCCCCGCAGCGGCCGATTCTTCACGGGATATGACTGCATCTCCGTTCGCGAATGCTGCAGCGGCACCTGCTGGCCCACAAGACTTCAATAAGCTCTTCAAAGCAGAAAAAGACAATCTCGAGTTTGCCGAAAGCCTATACACGTGGGTTGGAAAGAATGTAGAAGACAGAGTTTTGCAGAAATATGGTAAACTGGCAAAATAAACTGATGGTATTGAGTGCGTCTCATCTTCAACCGCTACCTCTCGCGAAGTATACATCAAATTTCGACGGAGTAGATAAGCCTGATATTACTAGGCTCTGCTTGTCCCATCTAGGTGTGGTACGTTGTCGACGGAGCAAAGACGATGAGATAAGAAGGAGAAATACATAGCTGACAAAGGATCAGCGTAGAACAGCACGAGACGCCCCCCTGATGTGCACGAGACTTACACAGCGACGCGAAATCTTATCACTACACCAATCCATCATACAAGGAAAGCGCCTACAAATTGTAATTAAGCGCTGAACCTCTTGTGAGGCGAAAAAACGCACCTGCACAATCGTGGGGTCCTGCTTGCTTCCCTCTACGAACTCTTCATAGGTGAGTTTAGCATCCTTATCTCTATCCATATTTCTAAAGATCTTGTCGACGCGCTGATCGAAGCCTCAGGGCGACAAATCATCACAAGGCTGTGCGATATACCTTTTCAGGTGTATCCTCGTCGGAAGGCAGCTTGACCATCTCGCCAGTCATCTTGTATATGGATTGCACGATTTGCAACATCTCGTCGTAGGTGATGGTGCCGTCCTTGTCTATATCATATAGTTGGAAGGCCCCTACACACACGAAGGCGTCAGCGGTATGCGGTCACAAAAGCTGGACGACGAGCATTTGAGCTTTTCATCTAATCGGCCTCTGCTTGTGATGCTGAGAGCACAGATGAACTCTTTAAAATCGATGGTGCCGTTCTTATTCTCGTCGAAAACATTAAAGACATAATCGGCGAATTCCGACGGGTCGCCAAAGGGGAAGAACTGTTTATATATTCGACTGAATTCAGTCTTGTCGAGATGGCCTGATGGGCAATCTTTCCGGAAGCCCTTATACCTAGGCGTGGTGAATGAGGAGCCTGGTTGAATAATGGAGCCGGGCCAACCATTGCTGTAACTCTTTCTTGTCAACTGATTAAAATTTTAGTATGGGGCGTTGTTGGGGGCAGACCGACTGACAGTATGTATTCTTTTGGAGGTCAGCGAGTTGCTCTGGGGAGAGTTTGCTTTGAGATTTACCCATGGATGAAGGAGGGGAGAGATGAAGCTGAAATGCCGGGGCACAGCCTTGAGGAGAACATAATCTAATCACGCTTGTAGGGGATCTAGTCCATATATACTATGTACTTATAAACTAGTACATAATACACTTTATGCTGATCTAGTTAACTTATACGAATATACCGTTTAGTAAAAGAAATGCCTCGTGGTGGTTATGTGCAACGATGGCTAACGCCTTGAGGACATTGATAGCCATGAGGCAACCCGCGACGTCGCTCTTCCTCTCTCTTTCATGTCGCGGAAACTGCAGGATGCCGCATGCTGCTGCGTTGAAATGGACAATGATTTTCTTTTCGCAGTACAAATACGACTATACCCTGCGATACCCCCTTATTCGGACTTTCATCACCGGCCTCTACGTCGTTTCATTGCCCTTGACGCTAGCTCATTGCCTTCTGCGTCGCCCCTCTCTTTCTAGCTTGTACAATGTGCTACGCAGAAGGCTCTATAAATCAGGCTGTCGGTGTGTGTCCAATGTGCACAGTCTTCGTTCCTCACGCAAGGTCAACCGCTTCACCATCCCTCTCCTCTCTTGACGCCCTCTGAAGCGCCCACAGATGCCCTCACATACGCGAAACTTGTCGAAACAGAGCTTTGCATCCACGCATGGACGTCCTTTATCTAAAGAATGCTGAAGGTGATCATTTTGCCCTTCAGTTACCCAGGTATCTGGCCGCGTTGGCTCAATTACCCTCACCTAGTTGACAGCTTCAACGGCTGCGGATATTGCAAGGTCCATCGATCTTATTATCTGCCAGATCGCGTCTCTGACATCCTCCTCTCGCAAACAGTGGGCTCGTACAGATCCTCCACCCCCACCCAAGCAATCGGGTTATAACAATCCTGGTTGGCCCGGCTGTTGTCGACCACCCTCTCCCAGTGAATACAAATTCATCCCAGCTGCGGATTGGCGATCTGTCAGCATCATCCACCACGTATCTATTCCTCCAGATATTAGGGTTGTCTTGGACGGCTTGTCCAACAGGGGCAGCCCCCTTCCTTCAGCGTCTCCAAACCCCGGACGTAGTAATGGAATCGGCAAGCCGTCTTTTGATCGCAAGAATAGCGGTACTTCGAGCCCCTCCACTAAGTCCGGGCATTTGGCTGCAAAATCACTCACCATGTCAAGCCCTGGAAGGCGTGCCGGAGGAAGCCCGCAACCACCAACCAATTTCCTTTCTGCGAACCTTTCTAGAACCTCAAGCGGAACCGCAATCTCAGCGTCTGTTCCCAACTCTTCTGCTATAAATCAACACCTCAACCAGCTCCGTCCGCCCACCGCGGATCTTTCGGATAGGGTCCAAGGGACCCAATCGTCTCGTTCTTCTCCTAGCCGTAAACATATTGATCTAGAAAACCAAGTTACTCCGCGACGTATGTCGAGCATGCGTCGGCCAACTGTCTCACCAGCGACGACCTCCGTGTCTGTTTCAGCCATTATCGCGGACAATCGTAACCAGGGCTCCGTTCGGCGTCGCGCATCGCTTTCAAACTCGAACTCCCCTGTCACACCGCCATCTCGCAACGCTGACCATCCCATATCTTTCGTCGTTCCACGATCATCCAAAAAAGGCGACGACAGCTCATCTAGTGCGTCTAGCAGCAGTGGGAGTAGTGATGGAAATGGATCAATGTCGGACTGCACAGTTACGTCGGACGGAGGATTCACTGATTATCTATCGGACGAGTCTGAGGCAGAGTTACAGAGGCAGGCCGAGGCGAGAGCTGCCCTCGTTGCGCAAAACCAAGCTGAAGAACTCGAGTTTAAAGCTGCTCGTCAGCAGCTTGCCCATGTTGATTTGCGACCCCCAAAGTCATGGAATGCAACGAATATCATGAATAATAATTCTGGAAGAATACCTGCGTCCACGTGTGCTCCGTAGCTGTTGGGCTGAGGGAGGGAGGAGTATGATATCTATATGATTCCGTTATTTTGTTGAATTGTACCAATAAAAGCTTCCTGTTGCTCAATTTGGCCTTGACATGAGGCTTGTCCTTGTCCACTTCCATGAATCTTGCAAGACACTCCATCTCGTCTACGAACCCCATCCATATCCTCGACACTCACTTTGACCCAGATTGTAAGATCTTCACAGCTTCAACACCTGAAGGATTCGCGATATATCGCACTTGGCCTCTCAAACTCCTTCAGAAACATGGCAGGTCCATTACTCCAGTCCTAGTCGCTTTCTAACTTGTACGAGCCAGAGTTAACCGGTGGGACACTCGCTGCTGCCTTTCCTTTGCATACGACCAATCTGCTCTTCCTCTTGGGTGGTGGTAGGAGTCCACTCTATCCTCCAAACAAAGTGATCGTGTGGGACGATGCGCTTGGCAAGGAAGTCGCAGAACTGGAGTTCAGGGAGCGAGTTCGGGGGCTCACATGTAGACGTGGTTGGCTTGCCGTTGCATTGCGACGAAGAGTCGTTGTCTTTCAAGTCGGTGAACAGTTTAAGCGACACGCGGAATGGGATACTTGCGATAACCCACGAGGTGAACATCTAATATCGATCCTTCAAAAACAACCAGATTCAATGTGCATCGTCTAGGTCTTCTTGCAATTGCAACGGCCCCTTTCTCGACACTGCTGGCGATTGCTGGGCGTCAAACAGGCCACGTCCAACTAATCCATCTACCCCCATGTCCTCCGCCTGTCACGAAGGGTCCGCCGTCTTCATCGCCACCACGGAGACCACCACCACCACCCACGAAACATCCAGTATCCATTATTGTCGCTCATACAACGGCGTTGACAACGTTGACGTTACCTCCATCAGGCCGTCTTCTTGCTACGACGTCTTCCCGTGGGACCCTTGTACGAATATGGGATTCATACACTGGCAAGCTTGTCCGGGAATTACGCAGGGGAACGGATAAGGCTGAAATTTACGGTGTTGCATTTCGACCTGATGAGGAAGAACTCTGTGTTTGGAGCGACAAAGGAACCGTGCATATTTTTACTCTTGTGGTATCGGGTGCCTCGTACGTGCGTTTGTGTAGCGATATGTTTACGATACTCATTCATCTCTAGGAACCGACAATCAACGTTCTCACCGCTGACACCGTTTCTACCCCTCCCTAAATACTTCGAGTCCGAGTGGTCGTACGCACAGTACCGAATACCCGTGCAATCGTCACACATATCATTATCGTCAGCGTCGCGATCATCCGCAGCTGATCTTCCAGACGAGGAACGATGCGTTGTTGGTTGGATTGATGTTTCCACCGAAGACAAACCCACTCCGACCCGTGCACCTGAATATCAACTCATTGCTTTGACCTACACAGGCGGATGGTATCGTTTGTCCCTCCCGCCGGCTAAGAAGTCATCATCTTCTACTGGGGCCAGCCCACTCGCCGGCAGCTCGCCTCCAAGGTCCGCACCCTTGGTACGACCGCGAACATCTAGCGCCTCGTCGACAATCAGCCGTTTGGACAAAGGGAAGGAGAAGGAGCGAGACAAGAAGGAGAAGGACACTACGAATTGCATTTTGGAGGAATATCGCAAGTTTGGTAGGTGGGATGGCTGGGGCTAGGGGATGATTAACGAACGCCGGTACTTTTGGTTCATTACGATTTTTGTCTTCTCATGCTTTCACTTGTATACTTACTACATATGCATTTGTACAAACATACCCTGTATCATAGAGGTAATTCATGTGTGACAGTGTGACCTTCCAACGTTCAACAGTGAGGATGGAGAACCCTCATGCAGAGCGACAAGCAGTCCTTCTTGAGCGCATCGTAAAGAACACCGTCAGTATTCGTCTCCCTATCCATGTTACAATCTCTGATTTTTTTTGTCAATGATAGTCGAAGTGCACAGAGATGATTCTTGAGCTCAATCATTGTCTCGAGGTGCCACATTCTCCCCGACATGAAGTCCCCGTCGCCTGTCTTGATCTTTGTTATCCGTAGGAAATTTTACGCGCAAATGCATCCGTCAAGACTGCGGCAGATCTGGCTACCAAGTATCGAAAGAATGTTCAATACAATTTAGAAGCAACGAAAGGGAATTGAATATATACTCAAAGGTTACCAGCGAGGCCCGCTTAGCCGATACCCACATCTCACTTGAGGCAATGCCTAATAAATAATCAGGACAAATGTACCTCCTTAATTGTGGCCACTTGTCAAATAATGAAGCGAATGTGCATTCCGAAAACATTAATTCTCAAAATTAGAAAATGAAGAACAATAAGAACTTCAACCACATTTAATTTGCATATTCAAACAATGTCTTTGAGAAACTAGAGGCTGACACTTAGCAGCGGCAGCAGGCACCTTGCTTGCTGACAAATACACTGCTTTGCACCAATACGATGCGACTTTTTTTTCATAACAAAGGAAACAGTGTTCAAGAGCTATAGCGCTACATAGTTATGTATATAAACATTGGAGCTGGCGCTAAGAAAGAGACGACAATATCATGTTTTGAAAAGACCAGTTGTTTGCACCGGTTTGCTCGCTCGCGTGCACCATATGCAAGAAAAGAGCCCCATGGCCTGTAGAAAGTTTGTTTGTTCATGCTTGCCCGCTCGCGTGCGCGATATGCAAGAAAAGACCCCCATGGCCCCTGGGTAGTTTGTTTGTACCTGTTTGGTATTTATGACGTTGGGAGACCTTGACAAGCAAGGTGATAGTCTTGGTAGCCATGGCAACACCACTCAGCTGAAGAATATGTTAAAGAATAAAATAATGGAATTGGTTTGTCAATATGGCTGACATTCTTATTGTTCAACAGTTTAAATTTTTGTTAATCAATGTTTTTGGCATACACAACAGCTTTATTATTCTAGGAGTGTCGACAATTATGGAGGTACCTTTGCCTAGATCAAACATTGCACCCTGTCTCAAGTGTCTATATCTTTCATACTCAACAATGCTACTCTATCTCTTCTTATCTTTTTTTTTTTTTTTTTGTGTGCAAAGCCTCTCATTTGAAAGATTATCAACGCGATATACTCTAGGTGCGTTTAGCGATTATTCAATAATGTACACAGCACCCCCTCTAGGAAATCGCTAGGTAAAATGGGCTTGAAGAGCAGAATCGAACTGCGTAGGGTAACGGATGCAAAGAAAACCAACAAAGCAAAAAAAAGATGTTACACGACTCGCGATTGTCCATGTGCCGGACCACCTCCATTATAATCACGACCACCAATTTGAGGCTGCTGAGGTGTCCCAGGATTGCTTGAATACCCGCTGTAAGGGTCGTCACTACGATTCTGCAATGACTGGGCCGAGGGATAATGCGACGGATCTGGTGAATCGTCGTATGCTAATCCACTCGATATTGATGCTTGAGGTGACCACCGACGTGCAGGAGGTTGCACTGGGTCCACACGTCCTTCATAAACATCATGGGGGTCGTAACTGTGGCCAACGCCGTGCGATTGGCCATATGGACTTTGCCCAACATGTTGATACGGATCCGCAGGTTGATTTGAGAATGGTGCAGCGGATGTGGTTAGGCGTGCGAGGCTTTCGGCATCATCGTCATATATCGGTTGTTGGTCGTCGTACCCGAAGGTCGCTGTGGATGGATTGAAGTGGGCATAACTTCCAGGTGCTTGATGGGTGGAATAGGGATTGTATGCGGGCATAGGCGGGGGGTAATCTGCGGGGCCTTTGTCCGCTTGGTAATGGTAATAGTCCTGGGTATAGGTGCTCGGTGCAGGCGCACGAGTGTTCATCGATGAAGTATCGTCGTCATCGTCGACCGAAAGATTTGGTAGAGTAGGTTGAGGAAGAGGTTGAGCGATAAGTTCTCCTTTCTTATTCTTCAAGTGCGAAAAGTCGCCCCTGGCTTCTTTCTGTGCCAATCTGACAGCATCGGCCAATCGCTGCTTCTGTCTACGTTTGATGACATCGCCGATGCGCTATGACAAAGCAAACATCTATCAGAACTCAACAAGCCGTCGTATTGTAAAATCGCACCTTATCAACCTTGTGACAACAGTATTCCTAATGAAGTAGGCAGTTAGTAAATATTAACACTTTCAAGATTTTAGCTTGGCTTGCCTTGAGGTTGCCCCGAATGTGGCAGAGGAGGGGAATGTAACAAATGGCTGCAATGGTGAGAAGCAGGAGGGAACCAGCAAAAACGACGACCGTAAAGAAAGATGTCACCGTCAGAGCAGATGTCGACAAACTGTTCCCTTGGAAGTACTTGGAAACGTCGTACCACGATCCCTCGTTATCCTTTCTTGAGAGCCAAACAGCATACAAGGTGAGAGCGTTTATCGTTTGGCGTGGACCATCTGCTAGAAGAAGGCGTTTCCAACCTAGACCAATATGAGTCGGCGTACTGGTAGATCAAAATGACCTACTCTTGAAGACAAAGAACACGAAGAAGGCGAAATCGTCGCTGACCTTGGTGGAGTTGCTGATATGGTCGAAGAAGCAAAAATGATCATATGAGCCTGCAGAAAGGCATCAAGTTGAGGGGGATATGTGGCCGCAGACGACATCAGACATACGGAGAGAGTAGTAATTGTTGGCCATGACATTGGTAAACGCATAGGATATATCTCGACTAGCAATAATTTTCTTTGCTTTCCGCGACTCGTACGCCAACTATTCGGAGGTGAGCTCAGGGGTGGAGTGAAGGCGGTGTTAACATACCAGAAGGAAGGAGAAGATGATGCAGCCTACGAAAAGCCATTTTCCAGTATCGAATGGAATGAAAAAACATCCGTCAATGTTCTGGCATTGCTTAAAAATTTCGTTGGACCAATTATTCGTCGACAACATGGTGATGGCTGAAAATATATCGGAAACATAAACCATAAATGACTTGAGGACAATGATGTATAGCCACATGTACCTAATGAGTTGTTCGGTGAGTGCAAGCGAAGGAACTGAGAGAAAGGATGAACTTCATGCGCATCATAAATCCATTGTCGCAAAACTCGCGTGTGTCAACGAAATCGAACTGGAGTGACTAGTTAGCCATAGCGAGCAGGGATGGTGATATAGCGAACCTTGTGGTCTGGGACGACTTCACGCTTCCATTTAGGACCACTACACATGACTGGTGTTGACGAGAAGAGAATGCAAGTGAGCGGGGGGGGCGGTTATTGTGTAGTGACCAGAACCAGCTAGTCGCATGCGGATTCAGGGGCGTGGTGAGAAATCAAAAGAGTGGGCTGCTGTTCGTGGCGAGCAGACGCAGACGACGGCGTAAGGAGGGAGGTAAGGAGACGGAGGAAGATGGCGACACGGATTGGCACAAGTGAGTACTGGGAACAGCAACAATGAACAGGGGAAAAAGGTTAATGCTCGGCGATTGCCGTAGAACACTTCTTGCACAATGACCACCGTACAAAAGATCAAGGTAGCCCACCGTTCTCAACATCCTGCTCTCTCTCACTCCCCATTGTCATAGGAAATCGAAGATGAGATGGTCCGTATCTCTTCTTATCCCTTCCATTCTAGCTCACACTCCGCCATAGGCTAAAAGTATGTCTAATCTCTCTTCCAGTCGCTTTCAAATAATACTCTCCTCTTTAGCCCAAAAAAATAAGGCCACGAGCTACCATCTTGGCCAGCTCAAAGCCAAACTTGCAAAATTAAGACGCGAGCTCATTAATCCAACAGGCGGAAGTGGTGGGGGTGGGGGTGGTCTGGGCTTCGATGTTGCAAGGTATCTATCTCATTACTCACTCCATATATCGGTTCCACCAACATGGTTTTCTTAGGACGGGGATAGCCTCTGTTGGATTTGTTGGCTTTCCTTCCGTGGGCAAAGTCAGCACTTTTTTCTTCTTCTTTTGAAATGACGTCGTGACCTTTCCTCAGTCAACACTCATGTCAAAACTCACTGGCACGCATTCCGAAGTATCCGAAATCGACTTTACAACTTTAACTACCGTTCCGGGCACCTTGAAGGTTCACGGCGCTCCAATTCAAATATTGGATCTCCGTACGTCCCCCACAACTCCATGGCACACCACTTCTCTGATCTTCCCATTTTCAGCTGGTATCATTGAGGGTGCAAACGATGGCAGGGGAAGAGGTCGTCAAGGTGCGTCCAACGTCTGTGGAAAACTCGAAACACTTTCTAATAGGACACCACAGTCATCGCTGGTACGGACGTCTGTCACTCGACTTCCGGGTCAGGTCAAAGCTAAACGCTATCCGCCTTTCCCACCAGTTGCTCGCACATGCAACCTTATTTTTATCGTCCTTGACGTGCTTAAACCTCTGGGCGATAAGAAGATCATCGAGACGGAGCTGGAAGGGTTTGGTATTAGGCTTAACAAACGACCGCCAGCAATCCTCGTCCGAAGAAAGGAGAAGGGCGGAATTGCTATAACGAATACAGTCCCGTTAACCAATATTGATCAGGACGAGATCAAAGCTATTTTGAGCGAGTATAAAATCAATAACGCCGACATCGCCATTCGAGAGCCAGGGGCAACTGCGGATGATTTAGTAGATGTAATTGAAGGGAACAGGTTAGTTGAAGTGTGTGCTATTGAATCGCTACTGATGAATTTTTTTAAGAGTCTATATTCCAGCAGTATATGTACGCTTTCCGTACCTCTGTGATGCTTTGTGTAACCTCTTGAACAATTTTGCTTTTCAAGGTTCTCAACAAGGCATGTTGCAGCTATGACGCCCTAACTCTTTTTATAACATTTTACAGATCGACGCCATCTCTATAGAGGAATTGGACCTTTTGTCCGTTTTTGTTACTTACAACACCCGCGAGTCCAGAACTTACTTGCGCTTTTCAGATACAAAATCCCAATGTCGGTTCCAATATCGTCACGCGAATGGCTAAATATCGACGAACTGATTGAGAAGATGTGGGAGACCCTCAACCTTGTCCGCGTTTACACCAAACCACGGGGATTAGCTCCCGACTACAGTTCCCCCGTCGTTCTTCGTCGCGGCCGCTGTACCGTGGAAGATTTTTGTGCCTCTATCCACAAGGAGATCGCGAAGCAAATGAAATAGTTCGTTTTTCAATTGCAACTTTGCGTTTTTTGATTAATGTGCGGATAGTGCTGTGGTATGGGGTGCCAGTGCGAAACATTCGCGCGGCCAAAAGGTGGGCTTGGATCACATACTGGAGGATGAAGACGGTATGAGTCGTCGTGTCCCCGTTTCATCATCTGTCTAACAGGACGTCCGTCAGTCGTGCACATTTCAAAGAAATAACGTCCTTGTGGCTTCTACGTTTAGTGTGCTTGGTCATAGCAGTACATACATCGAGATCTACCGAATCTCGTTTAACTGTCCTTGATACGTTGTTTCCTCGTAGTGGTAGATAAATATCAATCTGCAGAACCCCCAGATGAGCCCTATGGAACAATAAACACTCGTTGCCATTAGAGGTAAAAACTCCAATTTCGAGTATCCGGCGTCTGGCTCGCCGTTATCTTGTCGACGTCGTGAAGCCCATCCAGGAAAGAGCGTCACAAACAAGAGTAAAAACGGGAATCCAGCTAGGTATACCTTCTCCAAAACATCCATGATCACGTAGGCTATTGACTTGGGGTACCTGGACCAGGATATGAGTAATTTCTACAGAATGCGCTAGTTCAAACTCACTCGTAAACTCGGCGGCTCAGAGGTGCATATACAAATGCTATCCACAGCGTCGAATACGCTACTTCGATAATTGATTCTGTCATTTCCAGTGAGGCAAGCAATTGGCTTGGATGGGAAGAAACAAACCGGTTGGGGTGAAGAGAAGGGGGAAGAGTGAAAATATTCCAGCAACGCTAGCGATGACGAAAGTCCGGAAATAAGCCTGCCTCTCCGCAGCCAACAGACTATCATGTCGTTCAGGCCACGTTTCCGTCCTTACTTGATTAGACGCACCTGAGGGGTATCAGGACGAGTAGCACTGCCTTTTCATGCACATGCCATCCAAACAAAAAGGAGCTCCAGCCGCAGAGTGTTAGAGCTGTTACAAACGATTTGTATGTGGGATTTCTCCATAGTTTAATCAAACAAATCTGCCATTCGTTGAAAATTTGTCGTCTGGTCTGTTGAGAGGACGCACCGATTGCCAGGCCACGGTAATGACCAGGGCATGAATGGGTTTGAGGTCGGGTAATACGGAAAAAACAGTATCGCCAACGAGCCCACGGGAGGTGGAGGACACCCCAAACTTGTTGATCGGAATGTCTGCTCCAGTTTGCTTGATATCTGAAATAAGTCAACGGCTGTTAGTTCATCATGCTTTCATGACATACATCGCAAGAGGACCCTGTCTACAGTGGTCAACAGTGCCCAAAAATTCGGGGCCCAATATGCGTGGTTGAGGCCGCGAGTGAATGGAAAGAGTCGGGAGAGCAATTGAGGTATTTGACCCATCAAGACAAATGGCCCTAAGGAAACAACAAAAACTGCTATCACAGCGTTCGCCAACGAGAGAAAATTCTTGGTTTGGATTCGACCTGCTGGTGATAGGCAGAAGGAGCGCAGTAAATAGATAAAATATGCCGGCTAAGAAACAAAAGCAAACATGTAAGTTTTGAAAGACAACGCTGAGAGGTTTACTTGCCGCTAAATATATATATATGTGCTTGAAGTTCAAGAGAACCGCGAAGAGGATACCGCTGACAAGTTTATTTCCCTACCATGTTCACGTCAGCACGGAACTGGCCCCTGCCAGGAGACTTACGTTACGAGCCATAAGGATCGACCATAGCAGGATGCCGAACATGAATCCATTGTACTGAAAGTGAATGTGGTCAACGATCAGAAACCCAGGGTGGAGGAACAGGGCAGCCGATATAATTCTTTGAACTGGCGGTTCCACTGAGCCCCGTATAAATCTGAAAAGGGAGGCTCAGTATGGGTGAAATGAAGCAATATATTCACTCGCCCGAGAACCGCGGTCCCAAGTACAAGTTCTGTCAGGATGACTGTTGCTCGCTGATATGCGACAACGGTCCAGCTGTCGTAGTTCAGATTGTTCAGGTCGACAATCTTGGGGTCAACGAGTAGGGCGAATATTGACAGGAATTTCTCAAAATAGGCGAAGAACGGAGGGTAGTCAAGTGCTACAATCTCGTGAGCCTCTTGTCGATCTCTCAATTAGACGAACCCACTCCATTCAGACGTAGTCTACGATTTGTCGTCAGACTAATGGCATGAAAAAGGAATTTGCACTTACATCGAAATACCATTTTGATATAGGAAGCGTATGAGTAATAGCAAGCCAATTTCTGTGCACCTCGAAGTCGGTCGAGCGGCTTGATCTCTCGTCAGCTGAATTTCGTTCCGCTTGATACATTCGAAGTGAGGGCTCACTAGGACGGGAAGAGGAGAAGCTTGAGTGCAGTGGAGGCCCAAAATATGTCCCATTCAGAAGCCTCAATATTCCACGAAAACCAGTGTCTTATAGCAGAGCTGAACCCCGTACTTGGAGAGTTTGCTATTTCCGGTTGATCTTTGGTCATGACGGGTAGTATGATCGGCTCTATTGGCGTTTGAGTGTAGGTAAAGATGAAGAGTTGAGCTGTCGCCTAGGATTGGGAATGAGCAGGCATAAGTTATGTGCAAGTACTGTCCTGGTCACGAGGACGCGATAACACTGAACTTTCACCGTGCAATTCTTAGACATGAGCGAACACACTGCTATCGGGAAACTGAACGCAGACGCGGCGTCAGGGTGCGTTATTTCATGCAACTCAATTCGCTATTTATCTGAGAGTGAATATCTAGCGGGGTGCTCCTCAAGCTCATCATCTTCAGTCTGTCTCTTGGCATATTGCCGTTGACCTCATACTTTGCCTCGCTTAAATATGTATGGGACGGTCTGTTTATCTTCCTTCTCCACCCGTTATCAATAACCTCATTGGATAATATTCAGGGAATGCTACCTTTGCCGCAATTACAGCAGTGGTAGCCGCCAACATAGTTCTCGTCACATATATCGTCATGTCTTTATTGGAGGACAAGCGCTCCAGTGTCCAGCAACAACACACTGAGACGAGGAAAGAGAAATGACCTTGAGGTGAAGCCTGGCAACATAGACTCCAATACAGCTTGCATGCCAGAAGGAAACTCCGAATTTACGACTCTGGTCCGGATGGTATGGTGAAGATCCCTACAACGTTTGACTCAATTTCTCTGACGCTCTTTTGCATTTATTGCTAATGTAGAGTCATGTAGAGTTCACCTAAGGGCCATTCGAAAATTTATGCTTTACCGCCTAATACAAATTTCGTGCTCCAAACCAACTCCAAACTATGCGGAAGGTATTTACAGAGCATATCCCCATTGAACCTGGGCACCCAAAGAGGACCGTCTTCTCTCCGCTGACTCCTAATAAGAATAAATTAAGACCAACCAATATATGCAAGTAATGGTAGAGCTTACTGAATAGGTTCGTGACGCCAAACTCGTTGGTTTGGTCAAATTGAGGGTGTTGTGGTCCAATTCCGAAATGGGCTCACTGAAGGAAAGACGATGCGAGGCGGGGAACGGCACAGGGGGTTGGCGCAAGATATCGGATGATCGTGCGACTCGAAGACTTCGACTCGAGTCGATAGTTGCTGGGCCGCGTTTTGGTGATGTAGGTGGCATCGGCAATGGACTGTCGGGCGGGGCATATTGCGGAGGTAAGATGCTGGATGCAGAACGCGCATATGTCCTCTTTCCCAAAGAAATTGGACTAGACGAGGATGGAGATAACGGCGGTAGCAGCGATTGGGGTGACGCTGGAGTAGCAAGCGGTGTGGAATCAATCGAGCTGCCCCCAGGCGAAGGTGAGAACTGGATAGATGTACAGTGTGGCACGGAGGAAGGGTGCAGGATAAGCGGTTTGGGAACCCTCTTCTTCCTCCTTACTACTAATGGAGGGGGTGTTGGGAAGAGAGAGAGTGGGAAGGAATCAACATCAGCATGGGATCTTGCACGATCACCCAAATGCAATTCTGGGTTGGAGGAACACGCTTCCACAAAAGGAAGGTAGGGAGTAGACCCAGTCGCGGCGTAAAGACTACGCGGCTTCGAAAAGGACGATAAATCCAAAATGGCATCTACTGTTCTTCTAGATACCTTCTCGTTTAGTGAGGTAGTGGTGTCGACCTTGGGTCGATAAATGACAGGTTGAACGTCATCCACCAGTTGAAAACATGTCATGAACGGAGGTGCAGAGAAAGGCTCCCTCTGCAGCTCGTAACGTGGGATATCGCGCACGATGGCCCCTTGAGACTTGGAAACCTTCCCCAGATCGCCATCCTTCCGAAAATTAGGAAGAGCAGAACGCAATGATGAAGGCCGTGGGGCCGCGGAAGCGACGGCGAACGTTACGCAGGTGGGAGAACGTGCTGGTACGGTAGCTGAACCCGCTCGTTGCCTCTGGGGTGACGAGTTTGTCTTTCGGGTCGGATAGCCCAGCGAATTCTGACCAGTGAGGGAAGTAGGGACAGAATTCTTAGTGACAATTGGAGGGCCACGAACTACATTCCGCTGTCCGCAGGTATCATTGAGCGGGAGTCTGTTTCCATTATATCTGGCATTCAGAGGAGATTCATAATGACCTGTCTGCGCGAACGGATGGTCGGAACGACCCTCGTTCTCCAGGTCATCCGTCTTCAGTGTGGAGATTCCATATACTGATCGCCTCAACCACGCCTCCTCTATGGAGGTGCTCAGGTCCTTTTGAAGGGTAGGGTTGTTCATGGCGAGAGTGATAACGGGTAACTCGGATTGCGTCGAGAAAGGCAGGTGAGGAGTCGAGAATTCAGGTCCTTCTGCGGTGCCAATCGACCCGTCGCGCCTACTCTCCGTCTTGCGTTCCTTCCTCCGCCAAGCATTGCGCAAAAAAGTTACGGGCTTCATGTTCGGTGGGTTGAAAGGGCGCGATGGAGACAATATTCTTTGAAGTCGTCTTTTGAGGAGGGAGAAGCCCTTACAAGCTTTTTCGATAAGCCAAATTAAATAGGGTGGCATCGAGGTCACTCACAGCTTTCGCACAAGCCCAAATCCATGCATCGTTGACTATGAGGTTCATCAGGGAATTTGTCCTGTGTCAAAGCCAGTAGCGAAGCGTAAAGCTTACTTTCTGTAAATTCGGCCTCTTTCTGTCGACGACCAATCTTGACAGACTTCCTCCTTGAAGTCTGGATGATAGATTCATGTCCTGGGCATTGATGATACATTCGTAGGTGTCGAGGGGTTTGGCGTAACATGCATACTGCTCTTGAACAAGCGGAATTGAACGTGTCCGACGAGATTTCAGGAACGTTAAAACGTAAATTTGGACCGCCTGGCCTGCAAGTTGTGCAAGTATTATGTATACCCTGGAAGACCTTGAATGCATGAACGTTTACTTGCAGGAGTTAATGCTGAGCTCGTAGTGGCCCAGGTAGGAGCTGGCTCGGGGCACGGCCTATGCTGGTTCCCGAGTCGTTGTAGACTAAGATAGGGGTATGGAGCAACATCGCTCATCAATGAAGCACGGAGATTTCCGAACTTGACAATGTTCAATCACTTCTGGACATGGAAGAATCCTCTCTATTGGCTACCCACAGGTTTCGTCCTCTCTCATTATTTTTATAATGTCAATGTCATTTCTGGCAGGAGCATGCAGGTTGCCGCCTATTTTCTATCATCGTTGGCCATTACCTGACGCTCGTTAGCCGACGTTGAATCCGGATACTTCGTCTTCCCGAGACGTTGCCATTTTTCACCGCCATGCTCTGTTCACCCGAGATGCTTATCAGAGAGACGACATAATTACTCTACGGTACATCACTTTGCTTGTTTGCGGGTCCCAGCCCTGACTTTGATTTACAGGTCTCCAGAGGACCCACGACGCACTCTGATAAAACGAATCATAGCCTTGGAAGGTGATGTCGTTCGGACTTTGCCACCGTATCCCGCCCGCGACGTTCGCGTGCCAATAGGCCATATCTGGGTCGAAGGTACTTGTCCCTCGTAATACTCGGGTTTTACAAACCATCTCAACGTTCTACCTAGGAGATGAGCCATTTTACAGTGATGATAGCAATATCTTTGGACCTGTGCGCAGTGGTCTCTGCCTTCAATCTCCTTCCATTTTTCATGCTTAACAACAGGTACCGATGGCTCTTGTTGAATCCAAGCTGGTTTGCATTATTTGGCCATTGCATCGATTTGGCCGAGTATCAAAGGCAGAGCTCCCACTATCGCGAAATGGACCATCTTTTCGAAGAGCAATGGCTCAGTTCGATAGGGAGAGAGCGCGTGAATCCAGAGTCACAAAAGTCTGAAGAAGCTCATTGCATGAAAGTCGACAGAAGGATATAACCACTACAGGATTACCCGTTATCAGTTGATGCGGTTGGCCTTCCACCAGCCTGTCGACCATCATGGATCTTGTTGTTACAATTGTACGCAAGCGCGAAATCACTCTGCGTCCCGGTAATCACAGGAATTTGTCGAAGGGCAACGGATCCCGAAGGTACTTTTTTTTTTTTTTACAGTACAAGGACTTCTGTGCACCCCCACGGGAATATATGTACAAGTGTACACCAACGAATAATTACAAAATATAATAAGTGTATGAATCAAAGCTGGTGTGTACGTCTAACCCCATTCATCAGGCACAAACGGAGTGACCAGCTCATACGTGTCTTCGTTGTTTGCTCTGTTCTTCTTGTTGGTTTTGTTGCCTCGACCAATAACACGCTTGAAAAGGCCGCTTACGCTGCCCCTCTCTGAGCTCTCTGTAGGGCCGTCATCAGAATTCGGGTAGCAGAGCTGGACCATCTTTCCCAGCTTCTTGCCACCGGTGCTTTCATGGGTGTGTCGCCTTGAATCATCCAGTGCAGCTTGCAGATACATGGCTAGGTTCGGAAAGGTAATGGGTAACGTCGGGTATGGAATTATGTCTGTGGCTGGGATGGTATAGGTTTTTGATCTCGGCGTATCCACGGCATCATGCAGTAATGTCGGTATGGGAGCTAATGTATAAGACCACGGTAACATATTAGGGTTGAAGGCACTGTACTTGGCTGCGCCAGGCGTGTTGGGTGGAACAAGCTGGTCGATGCTAAACCAAAGGATGGTTCTCCAGTCTTGGGCTGCTTGATGTGGCTATCAAGCGCATGAGAGACCAAACACAACATATGTCTTTCGCTTACCTTGACGAACTGAATGACAGTACGGAGCTTCAGATCTGTCTTCGACACCGCCATAGCTGCCACTGTTGGTTCCAGCCTTGACCCACTTAACCTGGCCAGTAGCCTGAGGAGGTGTCGCCAACTCGGAGCCTGAAAATGCAGAGGAGGGCAGCGCCCGTAAGGCAAGGAAACAATGTTCGGTAATGCATCTGTCATTGGAAGTAACCGAGTGGATAGTGTTGGAGGGGTGAAGCCGATTGCTGTGGAGGTAAAGTTAGGCGCCCACAAACTATAGCAAGGGCTGAACACCTACACACGCCAAGAAGAAGTTCTGCATCAATGAAGTGATTAGGGTTTATGACAGGCGGAGGAGAAGGGGGAGCAAAGCTTGAGACGGCATTTCGGTTGCTGTTGTCCCCTGCCTCGGGGATGGGTGGTTGACTTATCTGTGGGGAAATACTAGAAGTCAGGAGGTCTGGTCTAGGTTGCGCACCGCTGAAGTCGCTGGATACGAAAGAAGGAATAGATTGACTATCCTCCGCAGGTAAATTGGAAGCAGGCGATGTATGGGCGGGAAGGGAAGGATATGTGCGTGGGGTGACTGTTAGGCTTGGTTCCACTACAAGTGGGTGGGGAGTAGCATCTACAGTAGTTGTGTCTGAGTAACTTCTAGATGAAGTATTGTCTGCATAGTAATACGGCAGTTCCGTCGGCGATTCTGGCTCGATGTTTGTTCCTGTGACGGCTGGAGCCAGACTGCCCAAAGCAACAGGATGCAATGAAATACTTTGGGCGGCGGCTTCCTCTTCCGCGGCAAGCCTGCGAGCAAAAGCTTCATCGTCCGAGATGTTGATGGATTCGCCAGACGCATTGTATGAGTAAATTTCGTTTTGCCCCCCTGAAGCTGAGTAGGGATTTGGCATAACAACATTGGAACTATGCCTGAATTCTCCATCTGTCGTCAAGTACTCTTCCGTCTGTCGGTGCTGACTGGTAGAGCCGCGATCATTCGGGGGGCTTTTTTCTGGAAATGAACTGATCTCATGTCCGCCCTTGTGATAGTCTGGGAGGATATCGATCCCACCTGGAGTTGGAGATGGGTTTTGCGGTAGTCGCTTGCCTGGTTCGACCTCCGTTTCTATTGATGACCTCCGTGACATGCCAGGCGTGCCCCAGTTCTCGTATCTCCCCAATTCTGTCGAACCGCCATTCGAAAAAGAAAAAGATTCTACATGCGATACAAATGAAGGCGATACAGTCGAAGACTCAAAATAATTTGAATGCACTTGGGTTTGAGGGGGGGACTGATTTTCATAGATTCTGGACATGGACGAAGCCGCTTCCGAAAAGAAGGGGTTGTGGTCGTCCGTTAAATTACCGCCTGTGGAAAGCATGGACTCTGCAAGAGCTCGAGCCAGCTCCTCTTCCTCTTGAGTGGCCAACGCTTCCTCTCTGAGCTTTCGTTGAATTGATTCCGACTGAGACAAAGCAAGCGCAACGGCAAGCTCATCTTCATCCGTGGGTGATGAAGGCCTTCCATTGGATGATTGAACGACAAGAGGGGGCTTGTCAACCTCCGCGGGATTCGTTAAATTGAACTCTGGAATCGACTGCGGGTGGAAAGGCTTGGGTGGGATAGGGGGCGGTAGAGGCTCCGTCACCGAGCGGTGAAAGTTGGTTGGCTGAGGGTGCGAATTAGGTGGGAGCAAAGGGGGTGGACGAGGTTGTGGAAGAGCATAGTGTTGTTGGTGATATGGATACAACTGGGCCGGTGAAAAGTCCGCGCCTGGTTGGGATCTGCTCATATGAGTGCCTTGGTTGATGAAGAATAAATCAGATCTGTGGATTGTCTGTGGCCCGTAGTTAGAATCAAGGACTTGAGGATAGCTTGAAGAATAATCCTGCGATGGCCGCAACAAACTGGGATCAGACACTGGCGTCGTTGCCGCTCGATTCGGTGGTATGCGGATGTTGATTGGAGGCATATATGTCCCTGCCACAAGATATCAATGCGCGGTCGATAGAATAGTCATTGAACTCACTTGGATATGCCATTGGACGATTGAGAGAGTAGATGAGGAACGTTTTCCCACTGGGACCTTATCGACGGACACCATCACAGGTAACAGCAGCCTGGCACCAGCGAATAAACGCCGACAAGCGCTCTTCTGTCAAGAACGAGGCACGATGCGTTTCGTTGGGCTCGACGCAAGAGAACCGAGGAACCTTTGGCTTATCATATTTAATGGCACAGTGTATCTAGTAGTTATAGGTTACAATGCAGGTGGAAATGCTCGTGAATCGGGGATCATGATGGTGTGTGTGTTGGATGTGGGGGGAAAATGCTTGCAGAATGTACATCAAAGCGACAAGATGATGGGGCATGGGTAAAAACGAGAACGAAAAGCAAGTGCACAATGAAACAATAGAACGCGAATGTGGAGCGTGAACAAAAGTGAGAATGTCATGATACTTGATGAGAAGCGGTGACTTTGTGATTGACAGCTCCACCTCGCATCGCAGAAGTTTTGAATCCAAGTTGACGCATCACGGCTGCCATAAATCAGCTATCAAATATTTCAAATAGCTCGGGAACGAACCTAGAAGATCTGCCTTTTGCAAAGGTTTTGAGAGAGAGGCAGAGAAAACGTTGCTAGTTTCGTTGGGGTCGGTGCCGCTATAGGCACTCACAGCAATTATGGGAGTGTTGGTATTCTTGCTGTTGGTGCTTTTGATATAGCGTGCTGCACCTTCGCCGTCCACTACACCAAAATTAACAACCAAATACGAGCCAATAGATAAATGACCTACAAACTGGCATGTGGAGGTCCATTAAGATGCAATCAAATTCTATTTATTACAGTAAGTTCAAGACTCAGTAGGAAAGCAACACAGAGACTCACTGATATCACCCATAGCAACACTAATCGCCTCAGATCCATCAGCAACCACGACACATCGACAACCGAGTCGAATGAGAAGAGTCTCAATAATCTTGGCTGTAATGGGGTTATCTTCAGCGAGTAGACAAGTTACGGCCCTGTCACCAGGATCAGGCCCTTTCCTCAGATCAATAGAATGAACAGAGGAAGGGGGAGTATTGGAGTCAGGCTGACTGCCGTGGCCAGCGGAAGAGTTCCAATTCTCAGAACCAGAACCATCTCCAGTGCTGGAAACGGACGCAGTCCGTAACCGGCTGGGCATCGAATTTCTCCGATCGACGCCTTCGAGCTGACTGAGCTTAAAACGTTCAACAGCGCCGTACTCTGATGGCTTGCGCGAATGTGATCCTGAAATACCAGGTGTGGAAGGAGGTATGCTCGTACGTGAGGGTGAGGAGGCAATGGACGAAGTTGATGTTGCAGGTGACGGAGGGTTGGTGGACATGATTTTTGGATCCATATTAGTTACTACGCTGGGAGGCTTTTTAATACGTTGGGAAACGCTCCGCTTTCTTTGGTGATAACTTGCAGGCTCGGTGAGCGTGTGTGCTATAGGGACCATTTGATCAGTCTTGAGTTTGCGAATGACATCGTCGTTGGCCTGTTTCAAAATAGGAAAATTTTTATAACTAAAAGACCCAAAATCATCGCTTGCAGGAGAGCCGCCTTCTCGCTGACCAGCAATCGGTAGTGGCAATGCAGGTGGTGGCATGTTGGAAGTTCCTGTGGGGCTGTCATTACGGGAATTACTTGGCAAGGCGACGTGATCGTCATCATGGAACAGTTGGGGGATTGCCCCACGGGGGTCGAAGTAGTCAGTGGACTCTGGGTCAGACACTTGGGGTATGAATGCAGCTTCCGTAGTCGTGACCTTATCCCAATCGATGCCGGCGAAGAACGGATGCTCCTTGACTTCATCAGCTCCGCCAGATCCCAGGCGCTCATTCGGGTCGAGAGTCATCAGACCTTGCATAAAATCCCTCGTCTCTTGCGAAAAATCGATCCAGTCCTCATGCCACTCAATGTGTCCAGAGAGAATATTCTCGAAGACCTTCTCAGGGGAATCGGCATGGAAGGGAGGAATCCCGTATAAGAACTCATAAGTGATGACACCGAGAGCCCACTGTCTGATTATCAGCAAAAAATACAGTTCTAGACAACTCTGAAACGAACCCAGTCAACAGCAGCATCGTCTCCACGAAGACCGAGAATGGTTTCTGGAGCCAAGTAGTCGGGAGTACCGACAAATTTCTGTTCCCCAGGCGGTGTGTTGCCGCTACCGGAGTTGGAGTGAGAACGAAGATCGTTCGTAAGCTCTGTTGCGAAGGATTGTAGGGGACTTTCCGATAGCTTGCCAGATCGTCGCACGTGGAGCCCCGAAAGAGACTCTGAACCGCTCGACTCACTCACATCATCTGTGGGAGGCAAATAAGGGCTGTTTCCAGCAACACGAGGGGCTGCATTCCTCATTGTGAAATACGAACCTCCACCCAAGGAATCGGGGTGAATCAGTGGCGATGCTAAGTATGCGGAATCCATGGAAGGCGGTCTTGATCTCGAGTTGTATCTTGTCAGAGGGCGGCCCAAGGTGCTTTCGCGAGTTTGGCGGCCAAGGAGACCAATCCTACTAAGACCAAAGTCTGTAAGCTTTAAGTGACCATGCTGATCAATTAGTAAATTGTCAGGTTTGAGATCACTGTTGAGAACGGGATAAGGAAGGTTAAGGCAACACAATAAGAAGGACTTGCCGATGAACAACCCCTCGCTGATGGAGGTACTCTAGGCCGAGAACTACTTCCGCGATATAGTTTTTCGTCCATTCCTCAGGTAGGCATCCTAAAGATTTGATGAGCGCGGCACAATCTCCACCATTGAGGTATTCCATGACCAGGTAAAGATTATCCTTGCTCTGGAATGTGAAGTAAAGTTTTGCAACGAACGGGGATTCAGCCTGTTTCATTAGGATCATTCGTTCGGCCTTGACATTTGTTATCTGATTCTTTGCTATCATGTCAGCTTTTTTCAAAACTTTGATTGCATAGTAATCGCCAGTGATCTTCTTCTTGGCAAGAAACACAGACCCGAATGCACCCTTACTAATGGGCTTGATGATGTCGAAATCTTTGATCGAGGTTGGTGTTGTGCGGGATAGTGGAACTGCTGACGCTTGCCTAGGGGAGAGCGGACCGGGAGGGGGACTGGTAAGCAGATTCGCGGTGGAATGACGACGACTTGAACGTTTTACGGATGCTTCGCGAGTCAAGCCAGAAACGTTGTGGGCTGTGACAAGTGGTGATGTAGGTGGAGTGACGATGAACTTGGGTTCCAACAAACTCTGGTTAGACTTACGAGTCTTTATGGTCAACGGGTCATCAAGAGACATGGGTGGCATAGATTCTTCAGGGGAAGAGGATGCTACAATAGGTGCCGCAAGCGCGAGAGGAGAAGAGACAGAGGACGGGGTAGACGATCTCGTGGCCTGCAGAGGTTGACGGGGGATAAAGGAAGCTGCCGAAGCTACCAGGGGTATGGGTATCGACATGGGCCGGATATCGGGAGAAATAAAAGGAATGGGAGACGAGGATGCCATTGGCGTGGGCTCTGAAGAGGGCGCTCCACTGTATGCATATTCCGACCTTGTGCTGGAGTAATCGTCGAGAGCAGATTCCTCGATTTCCTCATCCCCATCACTACCTCCGCTGTCGGAGTCCTCGATCGTCGCCAAGAAGTTTTCCACTCGGTCTTCCCATTCGTGCCAGATTTTTTCCGCATAACGGATGGTATTCTGCATGCGTACGACATTGTCGATTTTTTGCCGCATGACACGCTCGGCATCTTGCAGGAGTTGCCCCAGGGCTGCGTCCTCAGTGGTAGGCTTTGACCATTGCCGAATTTGTGAGATTTTGCGCTCAGAACCGGGAGACAGCAGGCGCTGGCGCTCAATAGGTTCTTTGGATTCCTCATCCTTAAGGGACGGCATGGAGACCTCAGAAGCGACTTGTAGAATCTCTTCCAGTTGATCTAGGAGACGCTTCTGCATTTTCTTCACACCGTAGCGCTGCATTCTGTTCGCACGAAATAATTGAAGGGGCGAGGATATAATGGGTGAACTTGACGGCGTAAAAATCGGCATGCCTCGGTATTCAGCAACCGATGAAGGGGAAGATCGGTCTACAGCCACACAGAGGTCACGGATAGTACTTCGAAGCTCAGCTATAGATTCGTTGCATTCGATGATTTCAGCCTCCAGGCGGTGCGTTTCGGCGCATGTTTCGCTATGTTTCTCGAAATACCACTGTGGAATTTGACATTCGCAGATACGACACAAGATTGGGTCGGTGCTGATGGGCTGACTGAAAGGAAAGGGTGTCGCGGGTTCCGCGTCGCTTCTTTCCACGAAGGTAGAGCGGATGGTGGAGGCAGGTTCAGGTGCGAGGTCATCGACTTCCAGAGTGATGGAAGGTGCATCGTGCTCAAACCGAGCTGGTGCAATAGGTTTAACAACCCACATGGTATGTGATGGTTGCCCATCTTCACGATCAATCATAAGCATTCCTTTTCCCTCCATTTGTTGGTAGAGAGTTCCTGCAGCAGGATCATGCTCCACGTTTGGTTCAATTTGAAGCTTGAACCTGACTTCGACAGTGTGAGAGTCATCTTCTTGTAAGCGTTGAGTAGCTTCTTTGAAGACACCCCAGTCTGAAGGGGAGAGCAGGGCTGAAATTCGAGTACCGGATAGAATGTCGGGGTCCGTCCTGAGGGGGTGAAAGGATAAGAGTAAAAATCAGCCGAAAAGCGGAGAAACTTACCCGACGACCACCCTCCATGCATGATTCACCCATATAAAGTGATCACCGTCAAGGCTAAGCTCCATGACGATGTTCTGATTCTGAGCTGTCTCTGCTTGCAGACGTAATCGTTCAGTGGCAAGGACACGCGCAGATTCTGCGTTCTCAATGGCTTTGCTGGGAGAAGCCCTGGACGGCGTAGATGCCGAGTCTCGCAATGCAGAGACAGCGGGCGGGACCAGTTCCTTAGGCAGCTCTTCCTTAGGTTTACGGGTCAGGGGGTGCTTCGCCACATGAAATTTGCTGTCGTCGTCTTCATTGAGTCTAAAGCCCTCCAGCTCTGCATCTGGATGCCTGCTTGAGACGAGAGGGATGGTATCGTCGGCTGGCTTCGTGACAAACATAAGCGGTTCATCTTGTTCATCATCATTGTCATCAAAGTTCCAGAATTGCTTCTCGGCCTCCCACCACTCGACTACACGACTGAGGCTTGCAACAGCAAGTAGGACCTGAACGTACCAGTTCCTACCATGCCAATCGGGATGATCATCCCATGCTTTGCCTATGTTTTGAACCCGCTGAACTATGGATTCGCAGATTTTGGGTTGGGCGGTGAGCTGTGCAATGGACATATCGGCAACGTCTGTAGCAACACTGATGATATCATATAGTGCGGACATGATCGGATCCACGGGGTCATCAACAAGGATTCGAGAAGAACGACGATTAATCGTGGAGATTGGAGAAGAGCCATATTCAGAGAAACTTGCATGAGATGAAAGAGGAGGTAATGGGGACCTTGACCGAGACGTAGACCGTGAACTTTGCCCAGATGGAGTGGGCCGAGTGGGAATATGGATGGTGCGCGAAAGACGACGAGATGATGCGCCTCCAGTACCCCAGGAGGTGGGCGCAGGCGCCGGAATGGGTTGTTTCCGAGTTATGGGTGCCTCTGGCAACATGATTGTAGATGACGCAGGACTGGATGTGACAGCGCTAGAGGACACGGAAGAACTGAGAGGTCGATCCCATGGGGCTGTACTTTGCCGCCGAAAGGATGAAGGACTCATCTGCGAAGATGCTGTATGAGGAAAGGGTTAGATTAGACATGACAAAATAATCTAAATGCCTACGCACGTTGACGACTATGGCGATTGTACTCGACCTCTGCCTCGTAACCACCATCTGAGTTGTAATCATCAGCCTGCAGAGCCAGCCCAAGCTCTGCGGGGTGAAAGATGAATGGTTCACGAAGATGCTCAGTGTCGCCAAGTTGAGAATCGTGATCTCTGCCCCTTCCTCTATCCCGGTGCTCCCGTTCGGTCTCATGATCGCCCTCTCTCAGCCGCTCCTCGAAGAAAGAAGTGATGTTGTTGGTGATACGTTGAAGCTCTTTATCACACTCTGCCTTGGCAGCCTTGAGACGACGGGTTACATGCCGTCTAACGAAAGGCATGGACACGGTGTTGGAACCTGATCCATGGGTGCTTGAATTGCTGGTCTGTGGTTGAATGGGCATAGGAGATAGGACGGCATCAGGTGAAAAAACGAGGGGACTTGGGGGTTGTCGCCGCTGGTAGCCAGTATCTGACATGGAGATGAGGATGGTGGACAACGAGGAGGTTGAACTGCGATGGCAGTGCCACGACAGGGAGGTGGGATGAGCGACGTGGTGGTCGTAAAGCTTGGGGGGACGAGGATGATCACCACGACATGAGGAATAACACGAATAATTTTCAAATAATTTTCTTTTCTAAATAGTACAGCATACGACTGGACAAGATAGTCCATCATATTTCTCAATGGTTGGGCTTGCCCTCACATTGTTCGCATCGCTGACATCGCTCGCACCGTCGTTGTCGCTGCCGATGACATTGAGAATCATTTTAGAGTGAGACATAAATTAACAGTGGTCACAAGCATTGTTACTTGTCGTCGTCACACACATACACACTTGTCACACATTTTTAACTGGTCCCTCCTCATGATGTTGGGTCGACTGCGTCCGTCTTCGTTGAGCCTGTTAGGCAACTCTCACTTTTCTCCACTCTCCTCATCTTCCACCGCAGTTTTCTCAACATCCTCATGGGGTACCGACATCGCTGACATCTTGAATGACGCCGACACACAGGCCAAAGGTCACTACGCGTTGCCCTATCACTTTCCCTCTGCTCATCGACGAAACTAGCTCAATCCTCAAAAAATGTGGCGATAGGGGAAGGCTGGAAACCATTCAAAACTCATAGCGTACGGCATCACCACGGCTCAACTCTAACCAACTCCCTCACTTTAATCTCACAGGTTGTGAGACCACATGAGCTCACATACAAAGCTCGCAGCAAAGATTCTCAATCTTATAGAAAACAGCCCGCTGTTGGGCCTTCCACTGCTCAAGCCCGATACAACGATCCCTTCTACCAGCTCAACCTCGATCCCTTGTCCTTCGCCACGAACCCCCTCGTTCTCTCCAACTTCATTTCAGAAATGGGAAAAATTTATGGTCGTTCTGCTACTGGTTTGACTATCAAAAGTCAGAGAAAGTTAGGGAAGGCCATCCGAAGGGCGAAGATGATGGGCATTATCCCTAATCTCAGCAAACCCACTGATTCCTGGATGTTTGACACCCGCAAACCGAGAGCGTAGCCTAGGACAACCCTTTGATGTCTTGTCAGCCACAATTCACCAGGAGGATGAGAAGTCGTGGATGGATTGTTCGCTGTATTAGATCCGGTAACTTCATCAGTCATATGTTCCCCTATGCAGGCGCCACAGGGCTTTATCGATAAGGCGTGGCGACAGGTGACCAGGGGTAGATAGTAGCTTTGGTGTGTAAAGATCCCATGGGCATAGGCTGGCATCCAACTATTCTAGAGCCGGAAATTACGAGATCTCAATTATAGGTCTCGAAAATGAGGGGACACAGTTCCGACTTGAATGAACGGTACGATACTTAGAGGTTCGAGATACGTTCCCTGATGATGTTTCGCTTTGGACCTTGGTAGCTTGGTCCCTCTCAAGTTCATCTCTAGCGATGCGAAGAGCAGGCCCCATATTATACACTCACAACTCCGCCAATAACATTGTCCCAAGGTTCTGCACTATTTGATCCCCCATAGCTTTCTCAACAGCATCCTCCAGATGTCGTTTTGGATCCTGCTTTCCCACATGCCTTGTTTTGAGCTGCTCAGGGGTCAACGTCGTTTCTTCTTGGACAGATTTGTTATATGCTGCCGAGAGCGCTAACATGGACTTTAAGAGATTGATGATGCATCAGAATTAGTTTATTTAGGGAAGAACGTCGTCACCTTGATCGCCTGTTCGTTCCCCTCTTTGTGAAGATTGAAGTCACGCAATTTCAGCCCTTCCGTCCAATTTCTCTTGTGTAAATTCATAAGCATCGACTGTTCGAGCTCTGTCTTGCGGTAGTTTACGGCGATGGAGTAGTAGTGGCGATTTAGGCCATGAATGAGTGCCTGTATTGAAGGTTTATTGATATGTCCAATATTTGAGGTCGTCTGTCGAGGCTCTTTGCCCGAGATGACGGAATGCGGATTGATGAGACGAAAAGCATCAATAACCACCTTTCCTTTCACAGATTGAATCGGGTCAATGACAACTGCAACAGATCTTGAATTGAGCGATTCAAAGGACTAAAAGGCGGCGAATATCAGGACAACCATTTGGAATAATTTTATGAGAGACATTCCTGCTGGGTGTTGATATCGACACTTGACAACCAACATCCAAAACCTGGATGTGAGTGATACCATCCTACGACCATTTCCGGCCTGAAAAAGGATTAGGTCCGGTCATTCTTGAGTTGAGAGCGCGTACCGCCCCGTCTGTTTCAACATTTCGACCATTTTTGTTTGAAAGACATGATCAACAGATTCGACGGTAACGGTAGTGCCAGACTGGGGCATCGCAAAGACATCAATCACTTGGACAGTGTATTCGTCGACAAATTCTCCAAGCATAAGACCCATGACCTCCATGGGCACACCCGCGCGCCCGTGTTTGAGCATCTAAATGCAGGTGTCAAAAAAATTTGTTGCGAAAAGTAACGGAGCAAAAGAACCTTGAGCAGAGCCAAGGAGGAGATGTGTATGACTTCACCACTGTTGGAACGATTAGACATTGGAATAAAAGGGTTAAAAAACCTACTTGTCGGGAGTTGTCCCGTCACCGCGAGGCATTGCTGGTCCTCTTCCTTGCTGAGCCATCATTAATTGCTCGAATTCGGGATCCATGATAGTAGTTAATGAGGACGGTGTTGCTCAATGCTGACGCGTCGAGAGCGTGCGCTTTGTTTTGTTTTGCTTTCCTGTAGCCTCTGAGTGACACAAGTTTTTAGCTATTCTTGGCTACTGTACATAATGCCACTATGACCACCAGCGAATTGTCCGATGCTCTCAATCCGTATGCTGCACAACGGCCACGGCCAATACCTGAATATTTAACTCCTACAATTCAATACCCAACCCATCTTCAGTCTCCAATTCAATCATATTCACCCCAACAACATCCATTTCACAGTGCAGTTCAACCTGCTCATTTCCCCCAGACCTTCGTTCCACATAGAAGCGAACTAGAGCTTGCCGTTTCTGAGCCTGTAATAAATCCTCCTCAGCCTTTGTGAGCATCTCATCGTTGGAGCCAGGTATTTTTATTGATCCCTTTGTAAAAGACAGCCATTTTCTTCTAGGTCTGGGCCAGGAGAAGGTGGGCATGTGATCCAAGAATTATTCAGAATGGTCTCCTCCACGCGGGAAGCTCAAGAGATCGAACGCAAGCGGAGGTTGGCCTGGGAGCAAGAGCAAGAGGCCAAATACGCTCAGCGACAAGCTCAGACGGAACGAGAGCTCTTTGACATGCGGCAGGAGATGGAATTATTTCGTTCCAATATCAAGGACCTCCGGAATTCTCAGAGATCTGGCGTTCTTACATCTCACTGCACGTCACCCGTTTCATCTGAGCAACGATCTCATCAACCAGTGTCGCCAGTGTCCCCTGTTCTGCAAACCGCGACGCACGCAAACCAAGTATTCGTTCAAGGATCGTCAAGCGATCCCCTGTCTGCCCAACCAAGTTATTATCACGCTCATCAGTTTGAAACGACCCAGGATCGCCACCCACAAGAATTTGTTCCTTCGTCACAATCCATCACTCCGACACCATCGCCCCAGTTAACACTTGTGGAGGCTTCCCGCCAATTTCCTGAGAATAACACCTCGCGTCGTAAAAGCAGAAAACGTCAAAATTCTGAGTTATCCGGCTCTACCGATAGTAGCAGTTCAGAATCTTCGGGACAAAGTCAGAGCCGACCACAGAGGCGCATCAACCACCATGACAAGCGATGTCTTACCATCAATGTAAGGACATCCCTCTCGACTTTCCTGTATCTTGAGGTTAACTTTAACAGCATGCAATGCGGGCACATTTTCTAAGGTTGATGCAACTGGAGACCGACAAGGATCTACCAGACTCCCACACAGAGGGCGTCGTTCTCGTCGATTCCGATCCTGTACGGTTTGTATGGGATAAGACGACGAAGCAATCCGTTCACAACGCGCGCATGAAAGCCCGTATAATTGCTGACATCAAGGACGAACGCGGTCGTTATAAACACGTTTCTACCAAAGATTTTAACAAAAAGACATTGGAAACAGTGTTTGAGCAATGTTTTACAACGTTCAGGCAGAAGTTCAGGGCGCAAAGAGATACATTAACTGCTTTAAACCAGAAGAACCGCGAGGATGCTAAGGCTCGAAAATCAAGACATGTGTCTCGGCGGAAAGTCGTGCGTGTTGCGAATGTCAGGTTGTGTACTCGAAGCACTTATCTGTCGAAAACCAACAGAAATTGAATAATCGTGCAGAAGCTCGTATGAAGCTCCCGACCCTCGAGCATGTGACGTTCGATGGTGCTCTTCAGATAGAATGCATGTCGTCGGAGGAATCAGATGTCGAACAAGATCCTTCGGGGACACCTTCTCTCTTGTTACGGACGCATGGATATGCCTGGCGGAGCACACGACTATTGCGGTTTTACCATATTCTCGATGAAGAGGAACAAAATGACAAAAGTTCAAAACCCAAGCGAGGGGTTGGCAAGAAGGAGCGTTTCGTTGGACCAACAAAAGAGGGATTTCACCTTCCACCAAAGGGTGTAGCGACTTGGATGATCAGTCGGCGTTGGATTCATTCCGCTCAGGTCAAGCACCCCGACTTGCATGAAGCGTTGAAGAACCTTGTCATTGACCCTGAGGGCTTTGACTGGAATCGATTTGATTTGCTTGGCCATGAAAGTGAGGTTGAGGGAGACATGCAGACCTTCGGCTCACACGTCCATAACCTCGCCATGCATCAACAGCTTTACACGAGTAGTAGTTCTTCACTTAATTTTGCACTGGCGTAAGAGATGATACATACAATTTTGATTGCCGGACTCTGTTCTTCGGAACTGACCTCAAACTTCTGCTTCAGTTGCCTGGTGGCTGCTCATTTCGTGCCCCTTTGGATGCCATTGTAATCTCTTTCTGAATTGCGCTCGTTCTATGATGAGTTCAGAATCAGCCAGTGAGCATTCAAATGTCTATCTTTCCCAATGCCAACCTCCACAGTCAAAACGCAGGCAAGGGACTTTTGTTCGTTCCTCACATCCTTTCCTTCCCCTCATATGTTTACAATTCAACTTCATAAGATCGAGGGCGGGCTAAAGAATTTGTTGAGCTTCACGACCAAGTAGAGGCATGTTGTCTTCCACCCATATCACTCTGGGCGGCAGTATTCACAACTACAACTCTTCAGACGAGTGTAACATTGCTCGACTCCCTGGAATCGTTCCTCTCTACCTTTCAGAAGGATCTCACCGCTGTCGCTGGTCAAATTTCTGAGTTGCAAGACCGGAGTAAGGATATTGACGGTAGGCTGAAGAGCAGACGGGTATGTACTTTTAACGACCTTCTTGAATCATTCTACTCACCCTCGGCAGAAAATCGAGAAACCTCTTTCAAACCTTCTGTCTGACATCACGGTCTCTCCCTCACTTGCCACCCTAATTCTTGACTCAAATGTGGGAGAACCCTGGATCGAAGCTATCGACGAACTTGAGAGACGATTGAACTCGTCGAAGGCTAGAGCGCGCGTTAAGGCTGCGCGCGATCTTGGAGAGGTTACTGAGGGTCTGAGAATCGTCGTACGCTTACTTTCATGGAGCCGAACGAAGTTCACCAACACCTTGCTTGTTTTTAGGCTGCCACAAAAATACGAGCTTTCTTCCATACCCTTTTCCAGCCCATCAGAAGCAGCGTTACCACCAATATGCAGGTCATTCAGACGTCGATTCTTCTCAAGTACCAGCCGCTCTTTGCATTCCTGCAACGTCAAGCGCCTAACGTTGCGCATGAGCTCCAGCGTGCGTATGTGGGCGCAGCTCGCACATATTATGAGACAGGTTTTCGACGATATGTTCGAAGTCTGGGTTGGATCAAGGTACATGCTGTCGTCCAAATTTATCTATTTACATGTTAATCGGTGTATAGGCTCGCTCTCTTGAAAAGTTCGAAACCATCGTTACTAGTGAGAATGAAAAGGATATTTCGACCGACCTTGGAAGACTACAGCATGCGAAGATTGATGGACCGGGCGCGACACTGGCGTATATGGCAGACGACAAGGCTCATGTGAGTCCTTTGAATTGTTAAACACACTTACTCATGCATAGAGCAGAAAGAGCCTGTCGAAGCGCTACTTCGATCTCTTCTTCTCGTATTCATGGACAATGCAACTGCGGAATACACGTTTGTTTCTACGTTTTTTGCTGTAGAACCGTTATTCCCGCCCTCCCCTCATACGGCCGAGTTGAACAATTCCACGCTGACACCGGCATCTCCGGACAGAGGCACATTTACCGATACAAGATCCAACTATGGGTCTGAGTACGGGAGTAAGCGTCAATCCCTCACCCCTGGCTTGGGCGGCTTTGTTACACCAATGATATCGACCAAGGAAGAGCAGGCTGACATGGACGCAATTTGGAAACAGGTAGTGGACCCAGTTTTGGAGTATTGTCAAGTAAGTCTACGTACTTCTATTCTACGCCTTGAACTCAAGTCTAGCCGAAGGCATTTATCCGCTCCATTCTGGAGCCCTTGCCACCAGCCACCCCCCTCCTGACTATGATTCGACTGACTGAGGATGTGGGTACAGAAGTGCAAAAGCGTCGCTGCGCTCCAGCAGAGACCTTTATCTTCGGTTTACGATTGCAGATGTGGCCTGTCTTTCAGAAAGCCATGACAGAACACATTGAGGCCCTCAAAAAGTTGGCGGAAGGCACCAACTACGGATATTTCGGTCGAACCTCAACAACGACGGATGTTGTTATTGCAAAGGCGAGCTCCAAAAGCCCAAATCAATCGTTTGACTAACTGATGTCTTGAAAGATCTGCAAGCGATATGTCGTGTTCTTCAACTCTTTCGTGTTCTTGACAATTCACGAGGAGGAGACCATGATCTTCTCCAAGTAAGTATGGTAACTTGGGTACTTGTCTTGTTCAATATAATATTCTCCCCACAGTTTGCTTCGACTGCGACAAGAACTCGTGAAACTCGTTACGCGACACACCGACCGTATCAGCGATACGGTCGCAAAAGCCACAGCGCAAACAGCGATTTACGAGATTCTTTTACAGGGCTTGAGTGTATGTTTTCTACAACATGGCTGTAATATTCATTGACTGAGTTCGGATGGTTTGTAGGAAGGCACGCAACACACAGCACATCTAAAATTACAGCAAGAGATTGCGTACTGGTCTTACTTGGGGGAGGAAGCGCGAAGGAAGGTCGTCTCCGTGGGTCAGTCGCGACAGAGGCGATAAGTGATAGTACATCGATACTTATATACCCTCCAATTAAATACCACTGTAAAAGTGACAGTCCGAATTAGGTTATCGCAGAGTCACAATAGTAGTCGACAAACATTCCTCTACCTTACAACATGGCCGTGCCCGGGGTTCCCACCGCCTCTCAAAATGCAAAGGCGCCAACAGTCCAGACGGTTCCAATACCACCTCTTGGTGCAGAGGAAGAAGGTAACCGTCCTCTTGTCTTCACCATCTGTGTCGTAGCTGAACTGAGACTAATAGAACACTCTTTACAGACCATATCATTCTCGCTCGCATAACGAACGACGAACGGCCCCTTCGTCGTGTGATCAAGAAGTTTCACAACTACATCTCCCTTTCCCATCCACCAATAGTCCCTGGTTCCAATGGATTCCCTACTGCCAGCTCTGTAGACGATGCACGAGAGGCTTTCCTCGTAGAACTAGCGACGTTCCAATTGTCTCTCAAAAAAAGTGCCATGATTTGTGAGGCGGAAGCTAGGCAGGTCGATGAGTACCAGAGAGAACGGGAAAGAATTGGTGTGTCCACCTCCACTGAGGCCTCGTCCCTCCTACATCATTAATCTCATAGATAACGAACACGAAACACTGAAAGGGCAGATAGAGGAGTTGAAGATTGCACTGGAGCATGCTCAAATGGCCAGACGGCGGAAAATAGAATACGACTCTGTAACGGAAAAGGTGAACACCATACCGAGTAGAGAAGAATTGGAACAGTAAGTTTGTTAAGTGCTTTGGCTGATAAAAACAAGTACTGACTACTTGATGAAGAACGATACAATCTCTGGAGAACGACATGGCAGCCATTCGTGCAGAGCATGAAACACAAAACCGGACCCTACAAGGGCACAAATCTGCTTTGGATGGGATCATTGCTGAATTATCATCACTACGATTTATGGGGAAAGAGCAAGCTACCACAGAATCCCTACCTGCAACTCCTGCACCAGAAGGCCTAGACGCAATCGTTACGGATGGTTTCGTTGAAGAGGTGGAGATTTCAAACTCGGCCGGTAAGGTCGAAGAGAGTAGGGAGGGAGATGAGAAACAGTCCCTTGAGTCGGTGTCAGATCCAGCAGTCGGGGAAGGGATCGTGGAGGACGACATTGAAATGGGAGAAGTAGAAGAGGATCCGCGGGAGAAAGGTAGAAAAAAGTTGAGGGAGGAACTGGAAGAGGGTGAAGCGAGTGATGCCAGCAGCGAATTATCCGAGCCGCCCGATGACTGAGAACAAGGTCTATACTGGTCCGTATTACATCTCGGTTTTTAATCACCTATCTAGCCTTTAATCATTGGATACGACATCGACGCTCATGAAATCTTTGGCGCACGTCACGCTGCTGCCAAACTCTTTGGCTGCAAGTTCTACGATCGCGTCCATTATTTTATTGGCCTCCTCTGTTTCATCCCCAGGGTACCGTGCAGAAAAATGATTTAGAACCAGTTTTCGTGCCCGTACGCGTTTGGCGAAAGCGCCAGCCATCTGAGGCGTCGAGTGTCCTCTTGACTTTGCTCGTTCTTCGACGGATGCATATGTATCTATTTCCTTCGTGTTTGGATCAATCCCAGGTAGATGCGCATTAGTTGCTTCGTGAATAAGCAAATCCGCATCCTCGGCAAGGGGTATGATGGGAGACGGATCGTAAGTATCACCCAAGATGACAACTTTTCTTCCTTTTCTTCGTGGTGGTCCGTGTAAGATTGTACCGTCTCCAAGCTGGACACTTTCGCCTTGCTGGAGCTGACGCATCACAGAAATGGGCGTGTTGGTGCGTTTGATGTCAGGAATGTATTTCTTTGGATCGATCTTCCCGGGTATTGGAGCCTCTGTCACCACAAAGCCAACACAAGAAACAGAATGCTTAATGGGCGCTGCAGATACTGAGATCGTACTGTCCGTAAAGATATTTCTCCAGCAGCCATCAACTTGGGGAATGTCTTGGCCGTGAGGGGATTCTGCGTTCCCGAGTGGAAAGACTTCCTCCTCTTGTGGATCTGACGGGAAACGCAGCTCATGTACGACGTAGCGCTTTCCAAGGAGGCTGTGCGTATACTTGAGACCGCTACGTACATAGCCGCGAGTCCCAGCGGGTCCGTAAATTTCCAAGGGCTGATACACCAGTTAGAAGGATCGCCAGAGACTGAGTGAAAAGACGAACCGGGATAGTCGTGTCTGCTTGGGCTCTGGCGTCCTCAGCTCCGTCCGCGGCGCCTCCTGCGCCGTTTAAGCAGCTTGCAAGCAATGGAATCAATCCAAAAATGTGATCGCCTAAGTGGTTAGGGGGGTGAGCTGAATACTTACGATCGCGTCCTTGGATATTTTACCATGCGTGTGTGTGACGAATATCTTCTCGATCTTGCCCATTTTTACATTGCTCTTTTGTATCTGGTGCTGAGTGGCTTCGCCACAGTCGAATAACCACACATCCCCACCAACCCGGAGGGCAAGGGCTGAGTGATTTCTGGTGGAAGAAGGTTGAGCGGAGGCCGTTCCAAGAAAGGTTGCACTTAGGGAGCCGATGGGAGACTGTCGAGATGCACTTGAGGAGGACATGGTTCTGCGCCGACCAAAGACGTTTGCAATCTGAATGAGTCGACGGTAGCAAGTCATATACAAATGCGGTGATAAAAAGTGTCGGTAGCTGGAATCGAACCAGCGGCTCTTCGGAGTTTTGACAGCTACGTTCTTCCACAACGAAGTGATTTAACCCCTAATCGATACCGACCTTTCAACATCATCCTCTTATGTCAATCAATCGTGGAAGCCAGATTCCCTAATTGATTGCTATACTACTCAACTAATATTCTGCGATGTAGGTCTGGGAATAGATGGCATAAACGACCGCCTATCCTTGAATGAGTTTTATGGAACTGTATAGAGGCGGCTGCAACATACCTATTAAGTACTAAGCCTTTGAGTGCACGAATCTCTCTTCTAAGGTCCTCTTCCGCAGGGCTCAAATTCCCGCTATTGTGGAGACCCATACCTGGTGGTGGACGATACGGAAGATATACTTGAGTGCTGAGGTATCCTGTCAAGTCAGAAACAGACTCGAGGGTGTGCTGGAACGCGCTCGTTCGCAACTTGACGCCTCCGGGTAGGGAGGATGCCAATCCGTCAAGAGACTTGAGGAGAGGGGACGGGTCTGTGGGTTTCGGGGGCGTGTACGTCCACCGAATCGTTGCTTCGACACCCTCATTCTCCTGCGGGGAAACTGAGCGTGACGATTGAACAGGAATTCTGCTAAATAGCGGGCAAGTGGAGAGAGTTTCCCAAAGTTCCCGCTGCTTCGACATAAGGCAAGGAACAGAATGGTTGGTGGGATCCGTACCTCGAACCCTAAACGCTCTTCCGCGAACAACTGAGGAGTCCGTTCCTGTAGATATCGGAAAATTGCCTCTGTCGTCGTTTCGTCAATCCTTCCGTCATTATTTAAGTCTTCAATAGCACAACGTAAAAGAGTCACAGAGGGAATATCTCTGAAACTAGGACTTTTTTCTCCCATTGTCGCCAAGACTTCGGTAACTGAGTGACATGCAGCAAAGCTTGCCGGTTCCCGGTATAGTGAAAGCCGAGGGAGGACGGACAAGGACTCGGACTGGGTTTCCTTGAGACCAGCGAGGGATGTTGTCAGATTTCTAAGTAGCGAAAGATGATGTGCCTTGAGAGATTGCCGAGCCATGAAGGATTGTGTGATACGGGGTAGTAGGAAGCGCTATAAGGTTTTGCGTATGAGCCAGATGTGAGCGTTATTCTGCCAAAACGGACGGACGTAGTAGATGAAGATGAGCGCAGCGGAGCCTCCCGCTAACCAGGAGAAGAGGCGGCAGATGCCAAGCAAGAGATTAGGCAAATTAGACGGAGGGGGCTGCGGGTATGTTCGAGGAGGAATTACGGGTGCTTGTTGGGGCTGCGGCAGCAGGTTAGTTTGAGCACTTACAGGGTTTACAGACATACAAGTTCGCGCAAAAGAACATCTATCTCGGAGTCCGTCAAGCCCTTCTCAGCAAGAAATCTATGCTTCGAATTGGCATCCTCGTGTTGTATTTGAGGAGAATGAAGGAAAGAACGGGCTCTAGACATCAACTCTTCTCGATTGATTGAAGGTGGAGAGCTCGGCGTCGTCTCGGGAGGTTCTGTCGAGCTTGCTTTGGGAGAGTCTGCGTCTGACATGAGGTTGGTGAAGTCAAAGAGGTAAAGTTCTTGAATAAAGTTCTTGGGTAAAGTCACTTAGAATTCATTACTCATCTTGTTTTCATGGATCCTCAGGAGCAATCCCAAGTAACAAGACGCCTTCTCTCTGTGAAAAACATTATCCTTGTGCTCTCTGGCAAAGGTGGCGTTGGTAAATCATCCGTTACAACACAGCTCGCACTAAGCCTCTACGATTCATCTCCAACCACAAGAGTGGGCATCCTAGATGTCGATCTGACAGGGCCCTCCATACCTCGCATGCTGGGAGTCAATGACCATGGAGTACACCAGAGCACCTCAGGATGGGTCCCTGTCTACGCTGATGGTGCTACCACCAGACTTGCATCTATGAGCGTTGGCTTTCTTCTAAAAAACAAAGGCGACTCTGTTGTGTGGAGAGGGCCCAAAAAGAATGGCATGATCAGGCAATTCCTCAGCGATGTCCGCTGGGGAGACCTCGATTATCTCATTATCGACACACCCCCAGGTGTGTCAATCACTTTCTTTCTACGTTCCCTCCAATTGATGGATTTCTAGGTACTTCTGATGAACATTTGTCCCTCATGGAACATCTAGCTGGACTACATTCACGGTTATCTGCAGTAGTCGTGACAACACCGCAAGCAGTTGCCCTCATGGACGCAATCAAATGTGTTTCCTTTACCCGTGCAGTCAATCTCCCTGTGCTTGGCCTTATTGAAAACATGAGCGGATACGTATGCCCTTGCTGTGGCGAAATTAGCAACGTCTTTTCGGTTGGAGGGGGGGAAGAAATGGCTCGTAAAGAGAATCTTCGATTCCTTGGAAGCCTGCCCGTCGATACAGAGCTTGTTGGTCTGTTAGATGCTGAGAGTGACGTCCCCGACGTATTGAGTGACAATCAGGAGTCATTCCCCCTCTTGAGACGGTACAATGCGACCCCATCCGCAAAGATATTCAAGGGGATCGTAAAAAACATATTGGACGCACTCGCAAACGTGACTGGTAAGTTTTTCTTTGCCTTACGCAATCACCACAACTCACTGAACGTTCTAAATATGAAGCGGGACCGTGATGCATGTAAATCGACAGAAAATTTGGCATTCTCCCGCTCAACATATGAATCTGGAGTACTTCACAAATTGAGCGGCAATAGGACGTGTAAATCACTGGTAGACAACTATTTAGTAGGGACTTCCACCTCGGTATCGTATTCACAGGGATCATGATATTGAGTGATGCATATATTGGCAGGATAGTCAGGGGTATTTAGCTCAAAACATATTCGCCAATTTGCTAGCTGCCTCACGTGGATCTAATCGTGGTCTTGTGGGTTGCACTCGCACAGAACTTGCCATCTGGTGTGGCTTGATCTGAGCCAAAGGATCAGTGTCCTGATGAAGAGTTGGGTGGCTGTTAAGGCCTCTCGGCGCCGAATCATGCAATGGGGAAGGCACAGACTGCCCGTTGTAGGCATCGCTTCGAAGGGGATCGAGCTGCGGCCTCGAAGGTGAACCTGAAAGGCCTGCAGTTGACGATGACGCAGGGGAAGAGGATGCAAGAGTCGAAAACGTGGGCTTGATGAACATTGACTTTGTACCATCAACAAACCGACCCCCCAGTGGTGGCTCAACCACAGCTGACGTGGAGGATGAAAATTGGCTAGATGTTGGGGTCGATGGGCCAGCACCTGGGGATTGAGGTGGGAGACCCCTGAAGTGTGATAGGTGGGGAGTGAATGGCTGATCAGAAGACGCTGGTAATGGCTGATTTTTCTGATACGCGACCTGCGGCGGAGGGAGGTGGGGCGTAAAGCCCTGCGATGACGGTGCAGCGGTATGCGGTGGTGTCCGAAGATGAGGTTGATGTCGATGAAATCCGTTTACCAAGGGTGCAGATGGGGCAGGTTGAGAAGCAGGATGGTCCGAAAAATCTTCGAGAGGTGGAACGATGGAGGGCTTGGGCACCGCGTCTACAGCAACAACGTTTTTCTTTGCGGCATTGCTAATATCTCCTCTAAGGGATTCCAACTCGCGAAGCAACTGCCTCTCGTACATGATCGATGACCGAGTATGTTCGATCAACGCCGTCGTAATATCGTCGTTAGCGTATCGATTATGTATTTGAAGCGCTTGATGCAGATTCTGAGAGATTCCCTCCGCGCGTTTAGCGAGGACCTGTTCATACTTGTTTGCCTGCCAGAATGATACTTGAGGGGGAAAAACGGGCAGAAAATGTAAACGAACAGACCTCTTCCATGTCTTCCAGCGCTTCGTCTACCCGGTCAGGTCGGATATTAGAACTGGCCTTCAAGCGCTCAATTTGTCTTCTCTTAGAGATAGTTGTCTTTACAGCCGCCTGATACTCTTCGAGAACACCCGTGCGCATTTGCAACGTTTCCTTGGCAGAACGGGCATTCATTCCCTGGTAACCGAGAGAGTCACCAAGGATGACGCATTCACTTATGGATTGGGCGTGATCCAAATCTGCAAGACTATGCCATGTCCGGCCAATTTTACGCAAAGCGTTCCCGAGCGGAGGGTGAGCCTCAGTCGTAGCAACATTGATGAGTTTATTTCCCATTTCGGCGTGGGCAGTAGCCAATGCTGTAGAGTCATTAATGAGGCATTATAACGAGAAGAGTCAAAAGGCGGTCTTACTTTTCCGTGTTAGCGCTAGCTTGTCAACAGCTTTGGCTGTTTCGAAGAACTGACCCTCTAACTTTGTCAGCTCAAACCGCGCCCGTTGAAGTTCTTCATCTTCATCAGGAACTCCGCGGCGCATGAGACCAAAGCTTGATATGGTTTTTTTTCGGGTACGAGGGGTAGGTTGATAGCCGAAATCACTCTCAATGAACGAGCGAAGATCTTCGTCTTGAATGAGGATAGAATCTTCGGATACTCTGGTGATCCATCGTTGCAGCATAATCTTTACCAGTCTATCATCTTCCTCGTCAGTTGGAGCGGAGGTCTGGGCCAAGGGTAGGGCTGGAATTATGGTCTGTGGATTGCTCTGCACAAGAGTCTCATAGAATTGTTGGAATTCGAGATACGAGCGCGACACGTTCCGGTACGTAGTTCCAGTGAAGTTGGATAAATTGGTCTATCAGTATTTTAATGGGATATCGACAACATGAGACACTAAATATGAGATACCTGAGCATCTAGCTTGACTAGAATGTCCCTCCGGTTCCTGTCCAACCCAGTAATCCTCACGCGAAGATAGGGTCCTGGCTTCTCGTACCCCACCCCATTAGATCCGACAAGCTCTCGCGGAGATATAAGACCTGCTTCTGGTTGACCATATATCTGCGGTTCCTTTCCGTAGAGACCAGGGGAAGGACCCACGTCAGGAGTTTTGGGACGTGGGGATACTGCCCGTCGGAGATTGGGAATTGGAGAACCAGGAGGATGGGGAGTAGAGGGCCAAGGAAGGGTATCAGCGACGTCCTGGCCACCAAAGGCAGCAGCAGTGGAACTGAGAGGATCAAACATAAGTAACAGTCACTTTTTCGGTTCAAGAGATGGCACCAGTGATACCGAGGTTTATGTAATGCCATCACCTACTAAAGTATCAAAAGGAATGAATGATAAGTAATATGATATACGACTGGTGTATGATACTAAAGAGTGTCCGAGGATATAGATAAAACAAGTTCGTAAAAGTTCGTGCAAGGAACTGAGGAGGAAACGAGTTTCGTCACAGAGGGCAGTTGGGAATTTTCAAGTCTTTGAGGGTTCGGCTGGACAACATATAAGTACACATATGCTTTTCATGAAATTCCACTCACTCCTTGTTGAACAAACCCCACCAGCCTTCGACACCTCCGAACTTGATATCCTTTAATTGATCCTCGTTAGTCATAAGATTTGAAGAGCAGCGCATTAAATCATACCTTCCACTCCTCATCAAAACCCTGATGTAAAAGAGTGAGTTGAAACATATCTCGCTATACACAGAAACATACCTCAAAGAAGAAGTAACCAATGTTAGCTTTGTTTGCCTGGCACACAAATGTATCAAGGAAGGTCTTATCTCTCATATCAGTATTAATAAACTAGAACGACAGGAAGCCGACATTACCTGCAAGTTCTTAATGGAAGCAGTTGCGGCGCCGTTACTTGCATTTCCTGCGTCTGAAGATTTCTAAAAACACAGATGAGCATATTAGTAACACCCAGTAGAATGTAGGGATTAACATACCGTAGGCCACCCGGTTTCGGCAATGTACATTTTGGGCTGTTACAACAAAGTTAGCGTTGAATGTAGCCACAAAGAAGTGGTTTCCAACCTTGTTGGGCAAAAGTGATGCAGGTTGGACATTTGTCTCATCGAAAAACGTCATCACCCAGGCCGCAGCTGCCTCTGCGGTAGTATTCGCGAACCAGGCGTGCACGTTCGACATCTGTCCAAGGATGAGTCACCTCAACGAACAAGAAAAGTGCAGCGTACCCCATAATCAACCGCAGATAAGACTTGATTATTGAAGTAGCTTCCCGCGTCCGAATTACCAATGGCAACGGTTTTGGAAAGTTTCATCGAACTCAACCCACTCTTGGTATCGTTGATGTCCGCAATAAGGATGGCGGCCCCTAAGATCAGTAAGTTACTGATGGTTGGTGGCGGGAGACAGGAATTTAAGAACCTTCATTGCCCACGGAGCTGTTGGGGTCTTGCGATCCATGGTCCGTGAGATAGCTGGGAAATAAATTGAATGAATCCATAATAAACAAGGGTATTGCCTACTTAAGCATGAATTCATTGCCAACCGTAATCCCTGCGACGTGGTCTGTCCCGTATGTCGCGATTGCATCATGTATCGCGTCCCGTTGCCTTTGGTATCCAGGCGTGTCCGAAGGTACGACGTAGTTGCCAACAAATACTTCCATGTCAACTTTTGTTTGCTTTATAGCTTCTAGCTAAAACAGGGAGGGGTTGTCACACAATGCAATCATCGAAGGGGTCATTAGGTGGAAACTCACCACTTGCGCAGTTTGGTTGCAGTCAGCGCCGTAAAGACGGATGCGTGTTGTGAGTTGAGAGAGAAGCTATTCAAAAGGGTGTGTCAGTTTCCGCGGATGCATACAAACGCATGATGGGAGGTACTTGAATATCTTTAATGACGCCCGCTAAAAATGCGTCAATAAAGCTTGTGGAAGGTATAAGCATAAAAAACTACCTAGTGTATTGGTGCACCCAAACTCCACAAGAGCGCCTTCTGGAGTGTACGCCATGCCATAGAACGATTTATGAAGGTTTGGATCCTTGGTAAAATTGCTCGGATCGTTGCCTTTAGTAGTTGAGGTGCCGCCAGAGGTACTGCTACCGCCAGAAGTACTATTGCCGCCAGCGCTTGAGGACGATTTCGTACCCCCAGCGTTGTTGCTGCTGTTGTTCTTGGTTACGACTACCCCAACAACCACACCTATAGCGATCAACACGATTAGGCCGACAACAGCCCCAATTACCTATAGCAAGCTTTGAATAGTCCGGGAAATGAACAAGGACGAGAAGAAACGCACAATCAATTTGGATCGCTTTGACCTGGCTCTTTGCTTCTCCAAAGCGTTGGACATACCCAACGACTGATAATGAGTGTCGGACATTATACAGGGAGGGTAAGAAAACGGGAATATAAAGAAAACACACAGGCAAAGAGAAGATTAATGGGGGGGGTTGAGGTTGTTAGGTACCTTAATAAGGGTAGCACGGCGATCCAACAACAGCGTCTTGGCCGCAATGCAGTGTGCACAAGACATGGAAGGCTTGGCAAAGCTTTTCGCTTGGCGTTGCAACTTGCCGTCAAATTGGCACCATCACAGTGGTATAGCCTTGGTACCGGTATGGCCACTAAGAGGACATCATAAGTATCGTTGGTGACTGGAAAGTTTTTTTGATACCATGGGGGCTCAGCCTTCACTTCCAACCAAGGTCTTGGTGTATAAATTCCTAGTAACGATAACCGCCCAAGCTTCAGAAGACACCTCGGGAAGCACAGGCACGTTCCTGTGTTTGAAGATCTGGTGACGTTAACGTTGCACTATGCCACTATATCGTGTTGTAAATGATCATAAATGAGAAGCATAAATCTCTGAAAATCCATACACGGCTGCGCGAGAAGAGCTCTGCGAGAAGCAATCGACGGTTTTTGTCGCTCGCTAAGAGTCTGGGCCTTTAGAAAATAAACAACCCATACTTAAACGCCGACATAAAGCGGCAAGCCAAAAATAACGCCCCTGACCTCTAAACAACATACATTTGAAAACAATAATTCCTCCAGAGACCCACTGTATTATACTTCGCATAAAGCGAAGGCGGCCACCCTACTAACCGCTCTAGATCTCCTAACATTTAAATTGTATTTATAGTTTAATAAAGAGGTGTTTCGGGACTCTCCATCCAAAGCGGCAACATATGGCCCATCCGTAAAACCTTTGTCCGCAAATATTTATCGAGGTCTTCGCCATATACAGCGCCGCCGCCTATCAGCGTGGCCCCAGATACTATTGACATCTCCTTCTGCTTGCGTGGGGCATAAAGAAGTGGGTCACCTGGCAAACTTTTAGCGTCTGCTTTTGGCTTTCGATTCTGCCAACTTCGAGGGATCATGGGCACTCGCTCGACGACTCGAATGTTTTCCCTCAGAAGGGCTTCCACTTTGTCTGGATTATTCGTCAAAACGCGCACTCCCTCTACACCAGCGTGGTCGGACCCGAGTCCAAGATCCCGTAATATAGCGCCCGCAAGTTCGTAACCTCGCTCGTCAGCTTTATGACCAAGCATAAGATTGGCGGTAACGGTATCATGACCCATATCTTGCAAATTGTAGGCACGTATTTTGGAAAGAAGGCCAATTCCTCGGCCTTCCTGGCGGAGATAAATAATGGCGCCACGGCCAGGGATAATGGTGGGCATGCGAGATGATGTGGCAGGAAGAGTGATAGGTTGCGAAATCTGCCTAATAGCTTCGTCTAGTTGTTCACCACAATCGCAACGCATACTCCCCACAGTTTCTCCGGTAAAGCATTCGGAATGAATGCGGATAAGAGGAGAAGGGACACCGGTCATTACAGAGATGGATGCGGAATGATGACATGTCGGATTAGAGGGGCGTTGTAATGTTGGTGACAGACGCCCGACGTACGCGCCCCGAATGATGCGTTCAGCTTCTGTCTCCGTTTCACTCCAAACAGCGTCCAAAGAACGCGATCGAATCGGGGGCGCGGCAAGTGCGTCGTCGGACGTCTGTGCGGGGTCAATGACAATAGCGAGATGTTCCTTAGCATCGCGGTTGTTATGGTATAGATGGAGGAAAGCAGGCCCATGTGGTGTGGGGATACGCGTGCGCGCCATGCACTTGACCTGCACAAGCGTTGCACCCGGCTTAGGAGGAGACTCGGGGTTTGATAATGCCTTTGACCAGATCCTCCCTTCGGAGTTGATCGGACTAGCCAAAGATGGTCTGCGTTTCTTGAGAACGGGTGGGAGATTCTCCGCCGGCTTCAACGGATCCAGTTCACGAGGACAGTCATTCTCCTTCCCCTCCTCACTGACAGAAGGTTGCAGCCGTTGTCGACGAGGAGCTTGCCTACTAACATACGCAAAATGCCTGCGCTCCGGACGACTAGATGAATCACCAGTCCACTTTGACCAGTCCCATGAACCCTCCGCTTTTGGAAGCATTACGCCCGGGAAAAAATCATGGTGGTAGTGATTGCGAGTGACATGCGGCCCAGAAGCTGCAGCTGCAGCGATGAGAAGAGGATCCAATGCAGCATCCCGACGCGCAAAAGACTTAGCGGCCGCCTGTGGAGTAGGACCGGTAAGAATGTCGAGGAGGGCAGCGTCTGCGTCGGGATCTATGGATTGGTGGTGTCGCATGAGGAGGAATACTTGAATGTGAGCGAAGTAAAGGGTGGTTATAATAGTACCATAACCTGTATTATATATCATTATGATCTGACAAATGTCAATGAGAAAAAGTCGCTTAATCCACGTGCCGGAGCACCGATTCACGTGACTTCATATCTATCACAGGGGTGCGTCGACCTGTGCATCGTCAATTTCAAATCTACTTTGGTTTTTCTCCAAATACCCCCTTGTCTTGTCGCTGGCGAAAAAATGGGATTATAGCAGTATACCAAAGTATACCAATCTGTATCTTTCTCAAAAGATGCGTTTCTCGCTTCTTCATCTCCTCTGTCTTCTCCCAAGGTGCGTTGCTCAGTCAACTTAGCCGCTCACAGTGTTCACACACCCACAGGTTGCTAGCGGAACCCACTTCATCTACCGGGGCTGCTACTCGATCTGTTCCTCACATTCCTCACTCTTCCTCCTCTCGCCGCCCACACTCGTCGTTTAGTACATCTTTTCGCACACCCATTCACACGCGCCCAACCTCGGCCGTTCATTCATTCAGACCAACTCAACCACCAATACCCATCCACACGGAAGATCCCCTTCACGCTGTGCACCCTCACCGTTCTTCCCCAGCATCTATTGCCATCATCTTTGAAGTTCTTGGTGGAATCATTGCGTTCGGTGTCATCGTATCACTCACTCGATGTTTCTACATATACAAGAGAACGCCGAAGCGGGATCGAATAGCTGAGGTTCTTAACAGGCATCATCTTCAACGAGAATTGGCAGAACTGGGGCGTAATCCAGTTATTATCCGCCACCCGTCGCTTCGTGAACCTGCACCACCTTATTGTCCCCGTCCTCCTTCCTACGACGCAGCTCTCACAGCCCCGGTGTCTCCTCCACAACAAGCAGAATACGAGGAACTGGGTACCAGTAGCCCCCCTCACTCACCTCATTTGCTCAGGAGGAGTTTGGAGAGCACACCACCAGCCCACGCAGGGCCTTTGGTGTCCTTTTCAGAATTTAAGAAATAACTAGACATAAGTTAAACTGTGTTTCTCGATCCAGTCCTTCACATATGTTGCATTGAACATTCTTGCAGTCGTCCTACAACTCTACTACTGGTGAATGGTAAGTATTGCACAACATGTAGACAGCATGAAAGAAACCCACAGTCAGGCAATGCAGTTTGCGCCTTGCGCATTCCCAGCATCAAAGAGGTTCAGCGAGTCCCGAGGAAAGAACAGCACAGGCAGGAGGAATCACATTCTCGAAAAGGAAATTCGTGGGACATTGCAGAACGGATGCGCGTAGGATGATAGTGGGATTGTGAGATGTGCGAATTAGGAGGCACTTAAAGTATCGTTGTTGATGTTAATTGGTGCCCGTCAGCTACAATTGTGCAATGTCACGAAGATCGGAACTGCAGGGTGTCGAAGAGGAGGTCCTCGTGCGCTTATGCAATCATTATTTGAGGAAGTGTCCGTCGAATCAATGAAGGAGGGAAGGCGACAGATGCCTGGGCGAAAATCAAGCAAGGTCTTCTTTATGTAATTTGTAATCTAGAATGGAAATAAAAGGAAGGGATCAACCCAAGGTCGTCCCAAAGCATTGCCTTTGTCGCGAAGAGAAGTCGCAAAGCTAAGCCCTTTCGGACACCTTGAGAAGAAGAACTGGTCAAAGAGCAGGATTATTATGTAGGTGAGCTCGACTAGTCGAGGTCGCTTGCGTAATCCGGTCACAACTTATGTAAATATCCGCGTCATGATAAGGATTTAGCGCCGCCGTTCACTGGTTGCAGACCATCCTCTTCAAGGTAATCTTGTTATTCTCCCTGTCTATATTCAAGCTAATGCCTGTTATTAGGGCTTAATCGAAGCTTACTTCCGCAGATTAGTCCCTTCCTTGGCCCTCGAAACTCGCTCAGATTGTACATAATGCAAACCATCCTCCACAAGATCTGCAAAGCGGTGTCCAAGAACAGTCTGAAGGGCAGCGATGGACCTCACAGCGAGTCTCCTGGCGTAACGTCAACGCACATTCCTCCTCCTGGCGTAACGGAAACAGTCATCCCTCCAAATTTTCTCAAATTCAGGACAATCACTATGCTACTCGCCCAGATTCCACGCACCAGGCCACTCGAGAGTAACGATTACTTGAAGGATGTAATAATGGACGAGAACGAGCGCCGAGTACTCAAGATATCCGACGCCTTTGCTCATATAGCGGGCGGTACAAACGACGTCATTGCAGTGACAACCAATCATACCGTGCCTGGCACGGACTTGCAGGTCCTGGTCACCACTCCATCTCCTCCTGTCAGCTTACCTAGCACGCAGTCACCTAGTCGATGGACCTTCCTGTGGACGAGGAATGATCAAAAGAAAGAACTCCCCTTTGCAACGCTTTCGCCCGACGGGAATCCAACAGGGCCGCGTGATCTCAAAAACAAACGACCTACTGAATATCTATCTGCGCTTCACGAAACATGGTGAATGCAGTGAAATATCTCATCGCGATGCACGCTCACATACTATAAAACAGGATTGAGCCATCATTAGCAGACCATCTTTGGTTATTGTCCAAGGTGCTTGAAGAGAGACCTGAGGATCTAACCAGAAAGCTCTCAAAATACATAGCTGCGCAATCCCGCAAAAATATTGCACGTCGGTTCAGAAACAAAGCCTTGTCGCAGCCGTATTACGAAGGGTTGAAGGGAGTGGGCGTAATTCCGCCCTTGTCTCTGGACAGGAAGCACGAACCTCTTCAGAAAAAGGAGTTTGAAAACGATCGACTTTTCCTGCTGGAGTTCCTGGATCCTCATTGCAAAGCCAAAAAGGGGATCAGCACCCCGATTGACCAGATACTCAAGAAGGTTGAAGAAAGTCGGACGTCATTCACCATTAATCTCTACACCGACGACACACGTGACGAGTTTCACAAACTATTACTTTTTCTCCTCAAAGAGTTCGAGGACAGTTTAGATCAACTAGTTCCCGACCCCGACAGTGATCTCAACGCAGAGGTGTTCAGGCAGTCAGTGGAAAAACTCGATTACTACGCCTATGGACTTCTGAGGCTAGCCAGAGGCGGTGCTTTAAGAATGCATTTGGAACACATTAAAGACCTGCTTATTGAGCCCTCTTGTGCGTGGGCCGACAAGCGGGCAAAAGATTTGGCTGAGCAGGCACCCACGCACGACGAGCGGGCAGAAGATTTGGCTGAGCGGGCAAAAGATTCGGCTGAGCGGGCAAAAGATTTGGCTGAGCGGGCAGAAGATTTGGCTCAGCAGGCAGAGGAGTTTTCTGGGGTAACAGGACCCCAGCAAAAGTCTTACATTGCCTGGTTGCAGCTCATACTCGGTCATTTTGATGCGGTTGAAATTCTCAGTGACTTTGTCAAGTCGGGTTATTTCGCCCAGTACAAGTCCATCTCCATCCAGATCCTAAATCCTGTACCAACAAGCGCAGCCAACCTCGATTGGAAAACCCTCTTCTCCAACGAGAGTAATTTTGCGACCCCAGCCATGAACGATTTCCTCAAGTTAGGTGTCAAGGCCGTCAAAGATAGAAACCAGAAGGCGGGGAAAGTTAAGCCAGGCGTCGACGATGAAAAAATAATGGCTCTGAGAAAAAAGCTGGAAGACCACCGTAGTGCTTACCAGTTTTTCGTAGCTTTGGGCCGTAATCAGGACTTCACGGGCGCCATCCATTGCGAAGCTTATCTTGCCAGTGTCATTAACGCCGAAAAATCGCTGGTGAGTTATTTTTCTTGCCATTTCTATCTGGTCCTCATTTGCTTTTCTTGTGATAGCAGCATTTTGGACCGGTGATTGGAGTATCGAAACGTTGCTGCCCGATATGTAACCAATATCTCAGCATCTTACGACAAGGCTCTGATAGCCCACCATTTTTGGTACGAGGCAACCACGGTAGAATCTCAGCGTGCACCCTACCACCATCGACTCCCGACCATGTTGTGGACCTGATGAATCGCATTTACGGCGGATATTTATTGACCGATATGAACACCTTCATGAACAAGGTCAACGGTATACAAGGTCACGCCTTGGAGTGTTCTAGATCCACAGGCTCGGGGATACTTGCACGTGACAGCGATGATGGGCACAGTGTCGAGCGTTCGGCCCCTCCGGTCCCCGATTTTCTACTATAGATCCACAGACACGGGGACACTTTCACTCGACAGCGATGAAGGCCATGGTGGGGGATCTATGATCCAGGGGGGGACTACGCGCTCAGGCCATGCCCGCAAAGACTGATTCATCGGTACACACGTCTCTGTTTCTCTCGGTTTGACTCCTGCACAGACATTGTTGTTCTTTCAGACCTTCTCGATAGCTGCTCTCTATGAATCATCACTCGTATACTGTATATTACGTATCCGCAGAATGCGGGGGCTCGCTTCGCCATCCGAGTTGTGTACATCACAGTTTACAAGGATTCAACCTATTCCATAGTTACATAGTGCACAATACCAGCATTTACGTGGATATTCGTCGACGCGATGTTCAAGCGATGTTGCATCATGTGTTCACCACCCAGTTTCTGTACTCTAAGATAATCGTAGAAAGTCAGGACAAAACCCCCAATTTTTGCTCATATTATTGTAAACGCTATCAGTCCCTACCTAGATCTAGAATTTTGAGGGTAGGGAGTAAATCCTTGCTGAGATACAAGCCATCCAACCTATTTACTGATGCACAATTACGTTCACCAGTTTGTACGGGCCTTTCACCCTTAGTCAATGATTGCTCGCTGCGCTCGCAACTAATGCAATCTCAATGACGGGAGGTGTCATTATCGTTCACTTGTTGTTCCTATCCATTGACTCTGAGACGTCTACCGTATTGACGGCGATCTTCCGACAGTAAGAGTGGACGAGGTCGAAATTGGTCGAAAATGGAGGTAGCTATTTATAGATAATTAAGGTTGGTGCAGTCAACATGGTTCTCCATCGTCTTAATCTACAGTTTTTGCGCGTCTCGGCTTTGCCGAACGGGCTATCCCCCGTACAGGCCTCATTATTTCTTCCCACAAGTACCTTTTCTTAGACTCTGCACCTCTCGGCCTTGCCGAACGCGTGCGAAGTGGCTATCCTCACCTTCCGCCACACTTGCCATTCTGTTTTGTGCCGGCTTGACCTTCTCAGAACGCTGCCTCTCTTGCGTCTCGGCTTTGCCGAACGTGAACTCTCAATATCTCAACGCACACTATCTTTCAAGATTCACCTCACACCGTCGTTACGCGATGCAAGGATATATTAAGTCACGCCGACTTATGCCGCTCCGATTGGCTTCTCCCATTGGTTAAATCAGCCTCGCAGATGGTGGAACTTCGACTCGCAAAACGCGTATTTGATCCCAGAATGTGCGGAGAACTTCCGGGCAACTCTTTCCTGTATCACAATCATCGACACCTTCCCCTCCAGTGGTCAAGTCAGGATGAACAGTATGATACTGTTGTGGCAATCGTCTGCGACGTCCTACGGGTTTGGCTTCAATTTCCTGATGACAACACAAGGTACCAAGCATGGTTCGTTCGATCTATAGTGGATTGTTGGGGCGATGGCGCTCTGTATCTTCACGCCACTTGGAATGTCTTTCGTGTTGTCACTCGGGGTTCCTTGGTGAAAACAACGCGACGGGTTTTACGGCCTAATCATATGGACCCTTTCGTTGACCTTCTTCTCGATCATCCTTTGTCCCTCAAACAACCTGTGACTTTGGAGTCGAGAACATTGCAATGTATTGCTTCAACCTTGGATGCTGTCAGCAAAAGCGTCTTGCACCCCCAAGATACAAACGTCACCTTGCCACGTCAGTTGGCAGACACCGCCTCTAATCACGTTCAACAATATATCTGGTTTATGGGACAAGCCTGCGATATCTTGTTGAATAAAGTTGACTCCAACTCTGCGGTACTTCCCCTTCAGGGAACATGCTCCCTCGAGGTTAAATGTACTTCAAGAGAATGGTCCCTTCTCTCCCCATCTGGTGCAAACACGCGCCGGAATCTTTAGCTCAGCTGTCTTTCGAGGAATAACATTCGGCAGTGACTTTTCCCGAGCTGGCCCTGTCACCTTCAACTCCTTCAACGATTGGAAGAGCGCTACACAAGGCTTGTTGGCAGAAAGTTTCTGTTGTCAGTCTGCTTATGGTCAGTGCAATCCTGGTAGACTCCCCGGCTTAGCAGAATCATATTGGGCAACCGCAATGGAGGGGGAGTGGGAGGCGCTGTTCCAATCTACCGCTCAAGTGTCTTTCTTGATTGGGTATGACTTCTTTCTATCAAATCGTTTTCCCACAACTAGGTGCCCTTGGTGCCTACTTGCTTGCTGCAGATTACGCATATGCAGGCGCTTTCACGTGGCCCTCTTCCAATGACATCTCAGCTGTCATTCGATCCATCAACAAAGGTGCCGCTTCGGGTCTTCAGCGAATGGGTTTTGTTACTCGCACCAGGACAAAGAAACCTGGAATGGACGGTATTCGAAAGGGCGTCGACTGCGCGCGGGAATGGATCTCCGTAGAGCTAATACTCCGTGAAGGAGATCCTGCAATTGTGAACGATATAGTAGTGGAGCATTCTCTCTGCAAGCTCATGCATGATGCGGGCAATTAAGGACCATCTCATCGAAGATTGACGTAGCTAGTTATGCACTTAAAATCAACTTGTCTCGAAATTCAAATATATATATTTGAAACTATGTCTTGATGATCCTTTGACGATACTATGCCCTATCAGAAACATCTCTCCTTCATACGAGTCCTGGAGTTTACATAAGGATAAGGAATCGTTCTTATACACCCGTTTTTTTGTCACACTTAAAATTTGTAGATGCTTGGTTGATCTTGTCGATACCGCACAAGTTGAAGTGGGCCTGGCGCGCCCAAAGCTCTAGAAACGAAACTCGGGTCTTACTCAGGGCTCTGGATTGCGAATTTAGTAGCGTGTGCATACAACTGAAGTTGAAAGTTGGTTGAAAGGGTGCGCCATGATGTAGGCGATCAACTTTTTCTAATGATTTTTCTAATGACTTATCCCCTAGTGCCACCTCACGTTCTTTACTATCGTCTCGTGCATCCCTATTGCCCTCGGGTACCCGCAGGAATTAATTAAAACCTGAAGCCTAGAATAAATCTAGATACTACTGGATCTCGTGGATACCGGACATTTGTCAGGTTGAGAAATTGTGACCACTGTTTTTCACCATTTCAAAACAAGCTTAAGAGTTGTCGGAGCATAGTTGGCGACAGAATAACCCATTCAACAAATTCAAACTCACCAAAAAACGCAACAAAAAATGAATGGAGTATGATTCCATACAAGCATAAAGTGTCCGTGAAGCAGCGTGACGCGTGGTACAACGTACTCGATTGCGAGAACTCCAACTCGATGTGCTTGTTGACGCCTGATAATTTCCTGCAGTAGCGGCGAGGTTAGATTGGGTGTTCTGATAAAAGTTATCAGGATAAGACCTCGTGTAAAGCGAGAGACGTACTGTTGAAGGGCCTTCTGTATGTTTCAACCGATCGTCTGGGTGATTGACGAGCAAGCCTGGTTGAACGAAAGTAGGATAGTACGGCTAGCGCAATCAATGTCAGATTGCGTGGAAAGCGTACGATAAACGCGACACTGCTGACATACCTGTTGCTGGGGGAGATAAGGGTCAGAAATCATAGATGTCTGTTCCACAAGTTGGTCGAAGTCAGGTTGGGTCATCTGCGGGTATGTGTAGTTGTAGGATCCGGTATGTGATACCGATGATGCATCGCAGTTTGGGTTGAGGTGAATTATGTGAAGCGTCAATGGTGGTACGGAAGATGGGACCGAGGTCCTAGTCACCGTGAAATATATGTAATTTCGTTGAACAAGGCAGTCATTACGGATGGGCGGGCCCCTGTAGTTTGCCGATCCAGACAAGACACATGTTCCTGGCATAGCGTGGTCAGTCACATTGTAAGTGTTAATGGGATGACTAAGTTCGGAGCATACCTAAAGCCGCGCGAGAACCCTGGAGTTCTCGTTCACCGGCACCTGAAAGTCAAAACCTGTTCGGCTGAAGCAGGTTCCTTCAATGTCAACCTCACGAAGACTGGTGAGCACAAAATACTGAAGTAAGTGCTCCTGTTTTTTGGGCTCACTGTTAGGAGCGTTGCGTTCCCCAAAAAGTGGTGGATAAACCGCAAAGTTCACAGAAAGGATGGTAAACAGAGATGACGGAAGTAAGAGGTGGCCCTGGGAAAGGTATGTAGGACGACTAGCCTCTCCTCCGCTATCCACAAGCATCTACATTGCATTGAGATATTGCACCTTTTGTCGTCCTCTCCGACTCCAAATTCATGTGTCTCTCAGCCGCTCGTAGAGGAGCTTGAAAATGAACGGGTTGGAAGAGTTGGGAAGGTGCGTGACAAACGACGAGTCTAACAAATTCGCATCCTTCTCCACAAACTGCTCGACGTCATACGGCGCCTGCCCCACACAGTGGGTGATCCCAAACAACGTCCTGTCCATCGCTGACCCAGACGCAGACGCAACATATGAATTATGTACCCCAAACCGCGAGTTGAGCTCTTGCAGAAGATCATCATCGCGCTGTTCCCCGCCTTGCCAGACTTGTACGACGAACAAGCCTTGTTCAAGACATCCAACAGTCCCAGGCTTCCTCTGCACCCGTTCACTCAACTGCGCACCCCTGATCAGCTCAACGCACGCCCCGTTATCCATGGTGGCAATAACCGGCAACGTCATGCCGTCATTCACCATCTGCCTGTTCGGTCCAACGGTATCCTCAAAGTACCACTGGACGTACAAATGGAGCAGCTCATCGGTAAAGTTGATGCAAAACTCGTCAAACCCGTTTTGTCCCTACGCAGATATGAGGGGCGTGGCTCCCGTGAGAGAGATGCATGTCGTCCCTGCCGGACCGCGGGTTTGGTACCCCGCCTGGTCGAGGAGGATGATTTGTGTAGAGGGGAGGGGGTCCTTTGAGCTAGGTGCTAGTCTGTGATTGAACGTTTCGACTATGTATTAGAAGAGGTCGGCATAGAGGTCTCAGACGAGGTGGTCTTCTCGCTGTGCTAAGCTCTGCTGAGCGTTGAGGATGACGGTGTAGAGCTCCTTGCGTACGTAACTTGGTGTTGGAGACGTAGGCGGACACATCGGATGCATCGCCATCTGCAAACTGGAGATTCCCAAGTTGGAGAATGACTACGAGGAGGCTAAAAATAGAGGTCATGTGTTTGAAGCACATGGCAGCGCGTAGGTCGCTCATGCCGATGGCATCGTTGCTGAAAGGACTGGAGGGAAGGCGCTAAGTGCCTGAAGATGCTAGGAGGGCGTAATCCAATGGGTCTTCCAAGATAAAGTGGTCCCGCTCAGCCACAGTAGCCCCAGCGAGTAACTGGTGAAATAGGTGGTACGAGCACTCTTCGAAAGTTAGGTAATTCAAGCAGGTGTTGTCCAAGCCATACGTCAACGCTTTTGCGGAGCTTATTCTGCCACGCTCGTTGAAGTAGAGTTCGAGGTAACGACCGTGGCGTCATACATCCCACCCATTCCGGATGGATAATTTTCATGCTACATCGTTGAACGGCGACGATAGCACGGCAAATCTTTATCAGATGGTATATACCTACCATCCACGCTTTTGGCATCCATGTGAGCCCGCCTATTAGGGCTGTGTACTTGACCTCCGTAGACTCTTGCGAGGTTGTGCATGACAACAGCAGGAAGTAGACAAATTGTATTACTATATCCAGAGTGGAACATTGCAACATTATTTTCATTTAGACGATCTCTACCGAAACTGAATATTTGAATAACCACCCATGGCCACTTTCTGACGTCGACTTATAGAGGGAAATGTGTGACGCGCCATTTACGTCTGTTTACTTTGCTTATTTCTTCGACGTCTATTTTTGTCTCCAACATGAGCATTTCAACTGTGGCACAAGGGAAACGCAAAGCAACGTATGTCGTTTTGCCTATCATCTCGGGTGTCATTCATCTTTGTCTTTGTAGAAGTAATGCCGAGACTAAAGACCGAGCCCTTGCCACGCGGAATCGAGTGATCGAGGTTCTGGCTGGAACCGCTAATGGCTGTCTCTCCGAACTTGGATATTTCCCCGGAATGCCCCAAAGGATGGCAGAGATGGAGCAACAGAATCGTCAATGGCAAACAGAAAACGTGAAACTTTTTGAAGACAATCGACGTCTTGTGGAAGTTATCCGCTCACAGAACGAACGACTAGATTGGTCAAGGCTACCGGACGCAAACAGGATCGCTAAGATCATTGAGCTTCAGGAAGAAAACCGGTTCCTAAAGTCGCAAAGGGACGAACTACTCAAGTTGGCTGCGATGCCAGGGGGCGCGCAAACACGTCAACCAAGTTACGAACAGCTCTACGCGGAATACTGTAAACTCGCAGAAGCGCATCGTGGCGTATTGAGTGAGGTAAATCGCCTCAAGCAAAAAAATAGCGCTCAGTCTCAGCAGAACGCTGGTGCGGGTCAACTGTCACTGTCCAAGCCCAACTCTCGTACTCAAACTCCACGTATCCCCTCAAATACGCCATCCATGCATCAAACACACTCGCAAATGCAGCCGCCTTCTCACAATATCCTGACTTCAACTTCTGCTCAAGGCACAAATGTTAAAGCTTACCAGCAACACCCCATGCAGTTGACGCAAACCCAACGCGCGTTCTACCAGCAGAAACCTCAAAAAACTCCCGGATCTTCCATCTCACCAGCCTCGCAAGTTTCTGGAAAAGAAACAGGTGCGTGAAGTTTGCCACTGGTTGGGCCATTGCTCAACCTTACTTCCCACAGCTCCAGCTCAAGCCCAAGTAATCTCTGCTACCCCATGTATTTCTTTTTCACCAACTAACTCCCCATGTTTAAGCAAAATCTGATCTCTGCAACGCTTTCAACGATGGTGAACGTCGTTTTAAGTTTGCCCTTACATGTTCCTGATAGAAGCCTCTAGCCTCATAGTCAAAATCAATACCTGGTTAACTTCCAGGAAGCAATGCCAGCTGTCTCCCCACGGAGTAGTGAAATGGAAATAGCTGGGGCGAGCAACCGTCTTGCACAGCCAAAATCTTGGCCTCCAGAAAACTCAAGAACTGTGTATTCGCCGATCGATGTGTATGGCATACCTTCGATGGAACTCCAGCCTTCTCTGCAAACATCGATAGTGGGTGGGGCTATCGTCATACTATATCCACAGTCATAATTAACAGAATGTCAAGGACCAACGCTTTCCGAGCAGCTCCCCACCCCAACCTCTGGCGCTGTTGGATACACGGAAACACCAACGATATCTACGGTAGCCCTGCAGGATACTATTTTGCAACATCAAGGACCTGATCTGCGCCATGTTTCTACGACACAGTCGCCGATAAACGTCCTACAACCAAGCGAGAGCACCGCGCCGACGGATTTACATTCGGGGAGCGAGGGGGTATCTCCAGTGGGCTTGAAACGCTCGGTAGATGAGGTATCACACGATGTCCTTGACCACATCGAAGGTTTCCTGAAGAAGCCACGGTTGGAGATTATAGAAGATGAAACTGGCAATGACCTGGTATCAACGACGATGGAAGAAGCCGTGGAGAGTGACGATGATGAAATCATAGAAGTTGGCCCAGATGGGCTTCGTGTGGTGTCGGATTGCCTCGAATCTTTGCTGATTCAAAATGGGGAGAACGATGCCGTTCGAACCTGCCGTCTCTGCGAGTTAGTTTTTCCCCATTCCTCTCCGAGTTTTGTAGATCTGACGACTGTTTTCAGTGCGCGATTCCGCATGGGTTATGTCACTGTGGCTCGAGAACCGTTTGTCAATGCCACGGAGGACGAGCTAGTACTCCATTTTACTTCAGAACATGCTGAAGCGTGGCATGCCTTGCGCACCGAAGTATGACGAGAGATGATATGTTTTCGTGAGCCTTCGCTACACTTTCTGTGATGTATCTTTGCGTCATTGCGGCGTCGATATGTTCGTCTATTTTAGGTCTCGTTACTTTCCATTCTGTTTTGATCGAGCCTAATATATTATTGACAAACCGCTGGTTTTAAGAACCTGTTTTAGTACCCCATTCTGGAGGCCGTCAGCCTCCGTCCAAGATCTTTCCTAGGAGGTTTTTGTCTTGGTCGACGCCCCCTTGTATTTTTCTGATGAGGGATACAATTTCGGGAGAGCCTGTGGAAGATCTTCCTGGCGCCTTACTTCTCGATGGCCTTCTACAAGCCTTCCTACTTGGGACCCTCGTTTCGCAAGTCGTTAAGTATTGGTCGGATTATCGTGACGATTCATGGCGGAAGCGTGCCTTCGTCGCAGTCGTCATTGTCCTATCGATGTATTCCTGCCCTTCCGCCCTTTGACGCCTTGTGTTGACTTCAGTCCTCCTTCAAGCTTGCAGACTGCACTCGAAGACTATAAAGTATGGAGAACCACCGTCTCGGATAAGCGATGGGTATGTTCGCTCATTTCTTTGACTATTCAAGTTGATTACTTGGCCTAGTCGACAAGCCCCATCGAATGGTCCGACCTGTTTCTCAATGGTTGCATCTGTTCGTTGTGTGAAGGATTCTACATTCGTCGTTGCTGGAAGGTCAGATGACCGTCGCACAGACCTTGCTCGTAGTAACGCACGCGCAGTTGACAAACAAAAATCCTTGGGTCATCTTTCCGCTGTCCACGCTGTCGGCATTGACAATGGCTGCAAATATCTACCTCGTGAGTCACTCAAATATGGTCTAGTAGTTTGTCGTCAACTATTCCTCATAGGCTGTGGCGACGGGGATCGCCTTTCGTTCCCTGGAAGCTACGGACAATGTATGTGACTTGAAGTCATCATGGCAAGCAATGAAGCAATGTTTTACAGATTCTTGCAGCAAGTCATTTCCTTCTTCCATCGGTGGGTTAGTCTATCTTCGGGTCACCACTGATTCGCTTAATACCCTTCTAAGACGATTGTCACCTTTTCCATTTGGATATTTGGATCTCTAGGTGAGCTGAGCCCTAGCTGTCTCTATACAAAACATCGACACAACTTAAGCCCTGGACATCATTGTCACCTCAATATGTATTGTCTTTTCCTGGCTGCAGCAGTAAACTCCACTTATTTTCCCTCCGCCGACAGTGATATCATCACTTTGGCGCTCTCGGACTGGTATTCGTGAAACTGACAAGATAGTTCTTCACGTCATCCTTCTGACCTGGGAATCAGCCGCATTACCTTCCATTTGCATGTTCATCGCGGCTTGCCTCTATCATGGAGCTCCAGTAAGACTTTACATCTATCCCCCAATAACACACATCTTATGTTTAACACGAAAACAGAGGGTTCACGATCATCTAGTGTTATTCTTTGTTCTTTTAACAGGGAAACTGTACGTGTTCGGTATGTTGCGCACCCTCAACTCTCGAGTGAAGCTACGTGAGCGAATGAAGTCACACGACCTGGGCCGGACATCCTTGGAGAACTGGAGCTGGGAGCAATCCATGTCGGGGGGAAGGGTACCATCTTTGTTACGCGAGGTATCTAAATTTCATTTTAAGTCACGATCCCATATCTGAGGTGCATCGAGCGGCCAAACAGCCCTCAAAACTCAAAGCTTGTCAGGCGATAGAACTACTACCAATATTTTTTAAACTCAACATCGAAAAAATTGCACCGCAGAACACCTTGCTTTGCCGCACCGTAAATATTCACACCTCGAAAAGCTTTTTAAATTCAAACCGTTGTCTCTTTCTACAAACTGCCACATTTACATACTCTGTTATCATTCTCGCTTGTCCTCAAGGTCTTGTCTGTCTTGCCAAAGTATTGAAGAGTTCAACCAGTCGATCAGCTTCATACTGCGCCAGGGTCACGTTCTTATCAATCGTCAACGACTCAGTCAAGGCAGGCAATGTCGTAGCTCCATATCCTTGAAGAGAGTTAGTGTAATCTGTCGCCAACGGACGCAAATGGTTCGCACCAAGCCATTTCCCGGGCGCCACACCGAGATGTTTGTACCATTCCCTGTCCTTAATGCCTCCCTCAGAGATAAACCCCCGCTCGAAGGCCTTTAATTTGTTGTTGGCCCTGGATACACGCTTTGCAGCCTTGATGAGTTTGGAAATGGGGAAAGGACGATGACCGATTTCTTCAATAGAGTGACCAGCGAATTCATTGGCAGCATCCGTGTAATGGATGTCAATATCGAGATAACGTGTCCAGAACGCCCCTTCCGGGGGCTGAACTCCAAAGACGCCCTTGATCCAGTCTCGTACACGCCACCAAAGTTGATTTTGGTTCTTGCATTGGTAGCCAGGTGGGGCGAGACTCGCAAGAATTTTCCTAAATTTCGCTTCTGCTTTGAGCTTCTCTTTGTCCAGCTTGAAGCTAGCAATTTGCAATTTTTTGATTGAATGTCTTAGGGGCGCGAAATCCACAGCCTTCTTGGAAATCGACGACTGAGGAAGGACATTTTCAACCCTGTCATAAATGTAAATTCGACGTGACAAGAATCTAGAAACAAATACTGACTGGTCAAGGTATTCATCGAGCTCAAGGGCGTATTGAGTTGTGTTGAGCGGAACAATGATAGAATCGATCAAACGTAGCCCGACAAGGCCCAAATGTCTGGCAACGGCAACCTGTGGCGGGTCAGCGACACCAATCACCAGATTGGTGAGCCACGCACATGACGGTGGAAACCTGGATCGCCATAGACTTCCTGCCATCTCTGAGAGTCGTAAATGGAATGGTAGTGGTAGATTGCATCAGAAGGTGTGAATGCGAAGCCTTCATCAGAGCTTGCAACCTATCCAGATATAAGGCCCTGTAAGAGGAAGGAAATAACAAGCGCACCCCAAGTCGCTGCAAAAACACTGTAAAGTCACTTCCGCTCCCCAGAGGTAGAATGCCTGTGTCCGACGCCCGCTTCTTCTTCTCTGTCAGTTCGTAGGTCGCCAAATACTCTGCATCGATGGCGGGAAGGGGTGACAAGCCGTCAATGCTACCCCTGTATGGACCGTCATCCTCTCGTGCATCCCATAAAGTCTTACCAGGAATAGTGGGGTGTGGGATATCAAGAGCAGCCTTTTTGAAAAGATGTGCAAGTGATGGCGAAGCGCTAGCAGTCCAGCGCGAGCCTGCCACAGACACATCAACGTTCAAATAGGCCACAACATGCTCTGCGATCCAGGATGGGAAATCTTCTCCCCATTCGGTGCTACCAATCAGCCCGTACTGAAGGCATGAAGTCAAAAAAAGAAACGAAATGAACGGGAAGCCAAGTGCTCACCTCCTCAGCATCCCAGCTGGCAAAGACAACTACGACAGCTAGATCAGTTATTCGAAGCGGTGCGAATATTGAAAAAGATCACTTGTTCTCAATGGCTTCCAGCCTTTTCTTAAGAGAGAACCAAACCCTCGGATTATTTCATGGAGAGAGACAGTGCCACTCGTCGGGTCAGCTGCTCCCATAACCCAAGCATCACGGTGACAACCGATGACGACAACCTCGTTCTTGATGTGACCGGGAATAGAAGCCATAGTGTTCCAGATAGGAGTAATCTTCGTATCAACTGATCAAAAACGGCAGAGTCGTCAGAAAAACTTCTGCGTGACCCTTACATCTCTTACCATGGTTGACTAGTCTAACATGAGTGTCACTAACTTTCCCACTGACTCGCTTCCTGCCGTAAGAATCTGAGCCCAAGTATATGTCCCCAATCTCTTCAAGAAGACGTTCTGCATTCGCCCAGGATATGGGTAAACTGGGAATTTTCGGGATATTGCCACCTTCAGTGCGGTCGGAGTTCTCGTAGGCTGGATATCCTGGAGTGGTTGGATCACCAGGATAAAATGAGAGATATTGGACGCTTCCACGTTGAACAGCTGTTGGGTTCCTTGCTGGTCCTGCAGGATAAGGCGCATAACCATTCTTCACTGTAACGAAGCCATCATCGCGAGGGTCGGAGTAAATCAAGACGCCTGCTGCTCCTAGATCTTCTGCACCTTTCACCTACAAAATTCAGGTATCTGTAATGTAGATGGAATGACACCATAACTTACCTTCAGACCCCTGAAAATGCCACCGTATCGCGTAATGACTATCTTCCCAGTGAAGTTAACCCCTTGAGAAACAAGCTCTTCGTAGTCCTGCATAAAAGAAATAAGCTGCCAAGCTGCACGATTCCTAATGGGCGCTTACTTCCTTCAAGCCATAATTTGCATATACGAGCTGTCCAGTGACATCTCCATCGCAGCTAAAGCCGTGCCAGGTGGGAACAGCGTCCTTATATTTATGCGCTTCTTCGTCGCGAGGGTCGCCATCCTCCACAAGGTCGGCAGTCCAGATAGTCTCACCCTGAGATCCAAGAATCTGTAAACTACGATCCAGCGGCGTGTTCATTACTGGGTAATAGATGTCAATCCAAGCGGTCGGCTTGGATGGTGCATCAGACGTCGTGAGCAGAAGCGTCGAATTCCTCGACTCCGAAGAGCCAGCGGGAAAGATGGGAATTGACGAAGGTGCAGATATGCCGAATTCAGTCTGAAAAAGCTGAAGGAGTACTTTTGCGTCTTCGAAATCTTCAATTGAACCTGCAAGATGAGGGTGGGTCGCATATGCTCGTGATGCTGCGAGGGCACTTTCTGGGTTAGGTATGGAGCTAAACAACAGAGTCAGTTGCTGAAAGCTTCCCCTGTACTAATTGAACTCACAGAAAGAGTTTCTCGCGTTCTGCAGTCGTTAGGCGGTGAGATATATGGTTGTCATCCTGATGACCAGGTTCAGAAACATGGTATCTCCAGCCCGGGACGACGGCTTTAGCGAGGAGGAGCAAGACCAAAATCAACGTATATCGGAACAAAGGAGTGAATCTATGAGGGCGAGTTTGGCGTGAAGTCGAGTCTGTGACAGGACGAGGTATGTCGTTGGGCACGCGCTTGAGGACGTCCTCCGGCATATCAGTGTTCATCTGTGGGAGGGTCGAACGTAAGTCGTCGAACTCGCCATTAAAGTTGCTAATTGGGTGATCATGAGGATGCACATGGTGCTCGGCTCCGCAGCCTCGGCTATTATTTACTATGTACATGCTGGATCCACCATGCCTCTCCTCAATTTCAACTTCATCAGCAAATCAGCATTTACCTTACATTACAATGTAAGGTGCTACAATGCAACCAATCAGCACTAATGTACCAGAATTCTAAGCCGACCTTGCATTATCATCCACTGGTGTCAACAAATGTGGAATGCAGAGCAAGAATTTGACAAGTATGTAAGGTTGTGCTAACATTGGAAGGATATCACGAACCTTCCACCACTTTGTTTGCCATGGAAGGTCACGCAATCATTGGTCCCCCATAGAAAGTGCTCCCAGATATATAAACCTCAGAATAGCTCAAATGAAGTGAAAATCAATTTGTATTGAAAATAATAGACATGAAGTACATAAAGTGAGGAACAGCGTGACCAACAATGAAAATGGAAGTCGAATAGGTGGCAGAAGATTTTGAAGCAGAGTGGAAGGCTGACCAATTGAGAAACGGAAACAGGGGTACGAGATCCACAGATTAAAAGAGCTAAGCAATGGCGCACGAACCCGAAGTTCGCCACTATCTGTTGAGTAACGCCCGACCTTAGAATTTCCGGAGTGAGTTAAATTCAGTACGCACTCAACTTACCATCGTACGCGTCGAGTTTTTCTCTTCCCATCCTCGTTTGATTATCGTGACGCTGCCTTCGTCATTCGTGGGTGGTGTGGGGCCGTCATCGATGTGGGGTACTGGTGCCCGCACTCGTCACTGTAGCTCGGGTGGTGAGGTGAGGCGCCCGTCCCCGTAGCTGGGAGTGGTGGGGGCTGTCATCGCCCTTGGTGGGGTGGTGGTGGGTCGTGGGCAGTTTGTGGCCGTCCGTGCACCGTCATGGGCGGCCATCATCGTGGGCATTCGTTTCCATAGGCAGTTTGGTGGAGTGGTGGTGAGGGCAAGACAGGCGCTCAGCCTTCGGCCACGGGTGAGCGACAAGGTGAGATATTCCTAAAGTATAGATAGAAAAGGAAGGAGAATGGGAACTCGACTGACTGGGAGCATTCGCGGCCGACAAGCACGTCCCATCGCATATATGCGCCTGAATACCTGTAATTTGCAACAGTCAACGCATGTAGAACTTGGCATAGAAAGAAGCACATACCGTACGGCCAACGACAGACCTAGTTGTAGTGTGAATGCGTAAGTAAAAGATGGCTGTGGATTCTCGCTATGAGAACCTACCTCAGAGTCAGTACCTCCCCAACTTAACTTCCACAACTTTGCTTCTCCATTCCCGCCGACGGTTCGCCATAACTATTGCTAAGTGAGCGAGTCGGCTCCAGGTCGCTAGGACGCGCAGTTGGCACTGGGGATAGTCGCGCACAAGAATGGGAAAGTAAGCACACTGTAAGAGTGAGGGGGTGGATGGGGGCAGAGAGGAAGGTACTTGAAATAGTTTTTAAGTCGGACTTTGTCCTTTATGTATGATGTCACAGTTCGCGAACTATTAAAACTCCGCTTGAACTCGGAGTTACATAGAAGAGAGAAGTTGCCGCTGGTAAGTACGAGAGGGTGCATACTACAAGCGCTGGAGTTTGAGTCCACAATGCTCTGTAAAGATGACAGCTTCATGGGCTTGTACTTAATCGTGTTTTTCATCGAGCGCTGAGATTCAAATTGTATCCTTGCATGACCATAGAATATGCAAAATAATTTAGCCCTAGCTTCCAATGTCGTTGCAAAAATGCCATTGACCTTGAATCCCTTCAACAACTTTCCCCAATATTGGATGATGCCAAATAGTTTTAGTGTACATTCTATACTTTATACTATGATTATACTACATTGAGAGGTGAAGCAAAACCTCGTAAGGTTTTGCGAACCTTACAAAGACTACAAAGTGAACCAATGTTATTGTTGTTTTGCTGATGTTATTGTTACGCGTAGCGACTGTTGTATTGCCTCTTTCTCTTATCGTATTTCTGTACGAACGCGCCCTTGTTCCTTTGTATGGCACCGGGCCTACTACGCTTCTACTCAACAAGGTCATCCTCTGCGCCATCCTAGTCTCGGCTCTACAACCATGTAGAATTTCTACGTCGAACACTTGGCTTTTCACTGCTGTCGCACTCACCCTTGCGCCCAATGCCACCTATTGGACTGCAGTTTGGACCTCAAGATTCTTGAAGGATCCCGTCCTCGGTCCAGCTATGACGCATGCTTTAGTCTTGGGCCCACTGGTGTTTGTGCTGGCCACTTTCAGCATACACAATGTGACTTATCTGCTGGGGTTTTTATTCCTATCTCACACTTTTAACAGGACAGGATACCGCCGGCTCCCATCACACTGCGTCTTATAAAATGCGCGAGTATCTATGTGTCTGTCATTGGGCTTGCTCAGCGTTTATGGCCACGACTATCAGCCCTAAACATTATTTCCGAGAGCCAGATAGTGAGTCGGACTTTTTTTCGTGTCTCATAGTTGTTGACCGTTATCGTAGTTTTTGGCTTTCGCAGGCACATCGTATGCCGTGTGGATTATGAAGTTGCCACTAGCACTGAACAAAGACACCGTCAAATCGAGGAGACACATTCCCCGGCACAAGGCTTCATCCGCGTTGCAAGTAAAATATATTCTATTGATTGTCTTTGGCGCTGTATGGTGGTCCATATCGCCTCTTCTTGCTAACCCTGTCTTGCCTCACCCTCTACCCCAACCATTTACACACCCGACCTACCCTCTCCAGATCCTCTCTGCAGTGCAATCTGTGACTGGCCTAATTACAGTAGCAGAATGGCTACCACTTCCGTCTCAGATTGGAAACGATCAAGAAATGCATTCAGTACGCTATCTTCGCGCATCCCATTCGCTTTTAGGCGGTGTTTGGACGCGAAGCAAAGTTCAGACATTGGATGGCGTCCTTCCAGTCAGCGATTCATCTGGGACTCCGCTGGGTGATTCTATCTACAGCACTTTTGTGCTACAAGAAGCTGTACGCCTTGTAAATAGCACGGAGGTGGGAAAATCGGGAAAATGGTCAAATGTTCTTATAATGTGGGTTTATGCCGACTTCCTCTGCTACATATTTCAACAGGCTGTAGTGGCCTCGGCGCAGGTATCTCGGCGACATCTTTCATTCGGCATGATATCTCAGCGACTATTGTTGAAATCGATCCAGCTGTCTATGTGGCTGCACGAACATACTTCAGCCTGCCAGATCCCGGACCTGGAAATGTTTTTCTAGAAGATGCCCGATCATGGGTGAATCGGAGACGAGCTGACATTAGTACTGGCGTCGATGTCCCCCTTTTCGACATCGTTGTACACGATTGCTTCTCTGGGGGAGGTGTGCCTGAACACCTTTTTACTACAGTGTTCTGGGAAGACCTGAAGGCAACCATGCAGACGGAGGGTATTGTTGTTGTGGTCAGTGAGAGTCCTCACCCAAGAAGCTCTTAATGTTAATGTGGTCATACTTAGAACTTTGCGGGCATCATTCATTCCAAGTCCTCCAAATTGATCACAAATACGCTTGAAAGAAGCTTCCCTCAATGTCGAGCATTCCATGATATGTCCGAAGATTTGCCAGAGGAGAAATATGACACAGAATTTGTTAACTTGGTAAACCTCCCTTATCTTTCCGAGTCACCAACTTACTTCGCATGTATCGTTTGCAGGTTTTATTCTGCACGCTGTCGTCTTCACCTTTGACCTTCCGCCAACCGAAAAGTTCCGATTATCTCGGGTCGTACTTGCGGAAGTATGTTTTCGAAAGTCTTGTTGAGCGCGAAGTCAATCTGGCTTCGATACGAGAGCCCAATGAAAAATATATCTTAACGGACAAAAACAATTCCTTGGGAAAGCTACAAGAACAGCAAGGAGCACACCACTGGGAAGGTATGTCTTGTATCTTCAGTTTCCTGTGCACCTCTAAACGGCACTAGTTATGCGCCAAGTTCTCCCCGACGTCCATTGGGAAACTTACTAGACCCTGCCTTGGACTCCTGTTGGTAGTAGGATATATTGATGTCATGACAAGAAATATGGTGTGGCACATAAGTAAAGGTACCAACTCACAATGTGTGGGGAGAACACACACAAGGGGTCAAGATTATGGTGGTGCATCTCGCGATTGTGTAGGAGGAGCGTTTACTTTGTTTTCAAGCTCTAGCATCTGACAAAATGCCTCCGTCTGAGGATTGGTATACCATGGTGCTGGTAGGACGTTAAGACAGAAAAGCACGGCGGGCGCTTAAAAACTCACGTTGCTGATTCTTCGCCGCGCCCTCGTTCCCTGGTCCTGGAGCTGTCGGAATGAAACGTTGGTGCTCTGAGACAAGTAGAGCATCGCCAGTGACATTTTTTGAAACCCATTCAAACTCTTTTGAGACCATATCCCTTGCTTCTGCCTCTGGTGGGAAAGGCCGCTGGTGTCGTGTCGTCGACAGCCATGGGTGAAACGCACGCGTGATAGCGAGCCATTCTGGATCGAATGTTAGAAGTGGTGGTTGGCGAGATTCTTCGGTTGGCAGGGTAATTATCTGGCTCCAAGTGAGTAGCCAGCAGGAAGGACAAGAACGAAAGCTACCTCGAGAAATTGTCGATTCGGCAAACATTTGTCGAGTGCAAGAAATTTGGTGGTCGCACATGGAGGTGGAGGGAGTAGAGGAACTTCTACATCTTCCTCTTCATCGTCCAGCAAGATTTCATCAGGATTCCGAGGAATGTAATTTTTTCCTTCCTGGACTTGATCATCTTCAATAGATATCTCATCAGGATTTTGAACAGCCGCGGGGGGAAGGGGTCGATCCTGGTGAAATACCGTTGCCTCGTATCGGGCGTGTAGATGTGCCGAGAACCACCACTCCGGTTGCAAGGTCCTCAGAAGACCCATCAGAGGGGGTGACCCAAGTTTTCCAGAATTAATATCCTCTCTGAGGAAGCTTTTGCGACGTAACAGGCCCGCAAGATCACCATATTGTTCAACTGACTGCGGCCAGTCGTGAGAGAGGAAAATCCGGGGGGTTGATAACTACGAGGCAAATTCAGACAGGCGACAGAAAAAATGAAGATAAACAAACCAGAGACAACCGCCTGACATTGTATTCTCGGATGTGGTATATGCTTCTGATGGAACTCGCGTCGTATGGCACCTTTTCGTGATTACCTACCACGCTCTGAGTGATAGAAGGGTCGTTTGAATATGGCTCACCCAATTTAAAATCGTGCATTTTGTAAATCCCAGAAGCACCTGCAATGCGAATTCCGTTGACCTGTACACATCCTGCATGACCCAGAAAGTATATATTGGGTGCTAGCCACCCTCCATGATATCTTGGAGCTATCAGAGGAGCCAGGTAAATCGGAAGAAAATCACATACAATTCCCACATATAATTGGATGCTTCATGGTTCCCTCCAATTACGATAGTCAAGATGGGGGCCTCTTTTTCGCAAGTGTAGTATCTACGAGGATCAAGTTGTGAGAGCCAGAGGAGATCGATCTATTTGACCAGCTACTTGTGAAAAGTTTGAAGAGCCTTGTACTTATTGGGGACAGCCATGCATTGCAGGTCTTTATAGTTGCGTACGGCTTGAAAATCTCCACAAATTAAGAGAAGATCGACGGTGTATCCATTTTTAAATTCGAGATTCTTAATGTGCTGATAGATGGCATCCAATTCTCCATGGCAGCAGCCTTCTATTGCTATCTGGTGCCCCACGTAAGTAGCAAGGTATCTGGTAGGACTGTGATATACCTTCATGTTGTGGTTGAGGTGATTGCAAGGTGATTGAATTACTGTAACGGGCCGAGGAGCTTATTGACAACAGCCGTATACAGAGCGCCTACATATCAACTTGGCAAGCCATAACGTCGATACGTATGTCTGAGAGCTTGCGTTTGTCCTCCACCTCCACGTCTGGGACATCCCCTGGTAGGGTTTCATCAATATCTAGGCCAGATTGGCCCTGGGCTGCAACCACATTCAGTCCACGCACATCCCAGTCTTCTTTGCATCCTCACAGCTCGAGTTTACAAAGTGGCTGGGATCCTAGGTCTGTCTCATCTCCAAACAGCATCAGCAGTTCCTCTGCGAGTCATTTGTGGCGTTCTACTGCCACACCCAACATGGTTACCACAGGTTTTGTGCAAGGAGAGTCAACGCGTCATTGGACCTTCATGGTCAGTGCTCCTATACTTGATCTGATATCTGTGACGGCTCAATAATCTAATTTAGGGCTTTGAATGGGCCGTTCGTGATGTTCATAAACTACGAGACTTCGTTGAAGGCATAGAACAACCGTCTTCCTCAGCGGGGCAATCCCAGGTTATTGCTGATGATTTCGAAATTCTTAGACAATCCCCAGTGATGGGTGACAGCAAATTCAAGTTGGAAATAGGTGAGCCTCCAGCCATACGGATAATAACACCCACTAACAAGTTGTATAGCTCCTATCATGCGTGAAGGAAATTCCACGCCCTCTTCACAGTCCTTCCTGTCTCTCTACGTCACCTCATTAATGATGGACTACGCTCAAGGAGATTATGAAACGTCGGCTTCGATGATGGCGGGCATAAAATGCCAGGACGACAGAATTGGGGAGAGGGGCGCTCGACCAGACTGGGTGTGGGAGTTCTGGCAGAACAATTGGGTGTTCCGACAAGAAAGCGAAGTTTGGGGTAAGCAACAATGTTTTTTCACTTCCTTCTCCAATATTTACTTTCACATCAAGAATGTCCACTTCCTTCCCTCTCCAGTTTGTTGGAAAATCAAAGAATCCGTGAGACAGACTCCTTGGTGATCTGTGTGCAAATTCACAGTCCTATCGGCCCTTCAATTCCCCAGCAACCATCTGTATATTACGTTCCGCGAGATCTTCTCGATGGCCTTGAAGCTTCCCTGGATAATCCTAGTAGGTTTTGCGTAATTTGTCTGCAACATTTATTTACGCAACATCAATCTGTAGACACTGGTGATGTCCGTTTCGTATGTTTGGAGCGATTGGCGGTTGAGGCGTCATCAAGCCCGACGGATGCTACATCTCACCGCTCCGCATCTTCTGTGTCATCGCAATCCTTATTTCCCTCTCAAATGACAGCTCGCAGACGCATAATTTATGCTCATTCTGATATTCTTACACGGAGATCAGAATATTTTGCCTCAATGCTTTCGTCTTCATTTTCAGAGAATTCTGCCCCGACATCAGGGGAAAGGAAACTTTACACTGTTATTGTTGAAGAAGCCGATTACGAGACCATATACTGGCTTCTCAAGTTTTGCTACGCAAATTGGCTTTTATTCAAACAAAATGACGATCCTAGAGCTGCAGTTGATGGGGTAGGTGCTGGTCGAAGTGCAAAATGGCTCAACTCTGGCGACAACGATTGGGATTGGAAAACCTTTCATAGAGGTGGCAATGATATCGGCGATACACGAAGCATTGAAAGCGGCGATAGTCTCTCCCCAGGTGGCGGTATGAGTCGGTCTACAAGTGCTAAATCAGAGGCGTATCAGGCTGGCAGCACTCCAACAACTCCATCCCACATATCTAGCTCTGGCCCACGGACCGCACCATCCAAATCTATTACAAGTGCTTCTATCAGCGTCCGGCCTGTCCAGCCACCGTCATCCCGCCGTACTGGGCCATCCGGATTATCGTCCACGGGTGGTCCCAGCAGCCCCTCCTCGATACCTAGATCTAAAGCTGTTCCAGTCCCACCATCGACAAATTTCCCGCCATCATCACGCTATCCCGTTTCACCTAGCTCAACGAGGCAGTGTCACTCGAAGGTATCGTCGACACCAGACCCTCATCCTCATCCAACACCAGCACCAGCACCTGCTTCTGCTCTATCGATGTACCAAGTAGCTCATCGATACGCAATGCCAGGTCTTGCCACTCTCGCTCTGGAGCACATAATGTCCACGATAACACCACAGTCATGTTTTGCAATGCTTCTTGCGACCACAGTATGGGACGAGTTGCACTCCCTTGTGGAGGTGGGTTGTTTCCGCAAATCTTGATTTGATTGGCTCATTTCACAAAAGGATTACGTCATTGATAAATGGGATGAAGTATCATTATCAGCAGAATTTGAACAATGCTGCGAAGAGGTCGCAGCTGGAGAGTGAGTTGGCCGCCCAACTTTAGCGAAACGTTGCTCATCGGCTTTCATTCATAGATGGGGACAAGACGGTGGAAAGAATCTCATGGCCGTGTTCAGGCGCCTGCGCTCACCTGCCACAACGGCGGCATAGTCTTTGGCTGGAAAGGACCGTATATCCATTGACCACGCTATGATTGTCTATGGCATCATACGCAGACAATCTTATATCCGTTGGATATTAATGAATGACACATCAGTTGTCCATTGTTAACATGTCGAATCATCAACATCCCATTTCCCGTAGATGCCCCAGACGGCCTGATATCCTAAATGTCAATTCGTATGCCCATCACGAACCAGCTTACTTACCTGGTCGTCACAGGACTGTGGAAATTTTATATATCGACCGTGGATTGTTGCAGGCGCAGTCGAACAAAGTATCATCCAGTCTTCGCCCTTCTTAATGCCCCAAAGACGTGATTTGAGTCGCTACATTGGGCAAAGTCAGATAAAGTATGCAAGTCAGCGGCACAAAGCTTGTACTTACTCGGAGACCTGATCCTTTGGCAGCGCATCCCTGTACACGAGCCATAAGCAACGATGCAAGTCTTCCCTGCCATGTATTGCACTCGCCATGTCTACGAAACTCCCCCAGTATGGCAAACAGTCAGGTTCGCCGACATTGACAACCCAATATCCCGTCACGGCACCGAAAAGCCACTATAGAAGTGCGAACACGTCAGGACTGCAACCGTACTTGTACCCGAGACAGACCTTTTTTTCGCAACGCGTGGGTGATTCAAACAGAGTGTTGTGGATCATCGCTTGTGTGTTCTGGCAAGCGTCTCTCCAGTTGGTGAAAAATGGTATCTTCTGCAACTTGGCACTGTATTCTCGAGTTCCATGTGCCAAGCAGTGTTCGCTTCCCTGAGGCACGTCCCAATACACGCCCCGCTGTCTCCAGCCTTTCTTGGTCTTCGTGGCGTTTTCCTTGATGTATGGGTTTTTCCAAGATCCCCTCTCGTCCATTCCCTTGAAGAATTGGATCGTAAGACCTACGAAGCTTTTCAAACCCTATACTTAGCCACCTTTTCGTGAATCACCGGTATCTTGATAGACTTGGTGACGTTCAACACCAGCAGAAGTACCGGGATGGCGAAAAAGAGCAGGAACAAGAGTACGATCGTCACGATCGCTCGTTTCGTCCCTTTGTCTTCATCTAGGGTTACCGATATAAGTCTCGAATTTTCATTTGCGTAACTAATCAGTGCTTCAGTTGAGCTTGAACGCGACAATAGAATCCCTTACCTTGTCGCGTAGTTGGGAATGTGGTAAGTTCGACCACCCGATCTACAGAAGCATAACTTGTAGTGAGCATATTTCTATATACCTCCAGGACTACAGACCCATTATCTTTGGAGTTGCTCGAGTTTGAACCATGAAACGAGTATGATGGGTTGGGACTATCAAAAATACAAACGTTAGTTGAGAAGTTGTGGAAGTCCACAAAGAATATCATTTGCCTGGTGGAAATTTTCCTAGACTGCATTTCTGAACAAGTTTGGAATGTTTTTCTGGAGAATGAAGAATGGTTCTACAGGACCCAAGAGGTCGTGTTTGGAGTACCGTTTATATGACATACGCGTCGAGAGTGCGTCGCGCGCATGTTACGGGCTCACTCCGCGAACGTCGATCGGGCGATCATTTTCGGATACAATGTGCGGAATCAAACCATGCTTTGCCTTAGACCGCTCCACCTCGCTGCCCGAACGGCATTGAAGACGCGCTGCCTTGTCACCGTCGCCCAAGACTTGTCGTCCTTCAATATACCTGTCATAAACTTTGCAAAGTTCCGTGAAGCCTCGTCGAGTTCTGAGAAACAGAAAACTGCCAATGAGATTGTTTCAGCTTTTAGGGAGACTGGATTCATATACCTCTCAGATCATGGCATACCACAAGGTATGTTTACGCCTTCCATTGGACGACTGTTTCGTCTCACCGATCGTAGAAACGGTGAAGAACACGTTTAGGAAGGTGAGAGGCCTTACTGGGAGGGGTGCAAATTAAGGGCGCTCACAGTGTGGTCAAGAGTGCAGAGTTTTTCAAGATGCCAATGGAAACTAAGGTACGTCACCTATCGCAATGCTCGAGAGTGGCGTTTCAGAAGGAGTTTGCCAGTCGAAACTTGCATGGGAAGACCCACGTTCAAATCGTGGATATGTTAAGATCGGACGCGAACGTGTAACTCAGTCGGCGGATCCAGCAGAGATTGCCTCTCTCCGTGCTAAAGCTCCTGACTACAAAGAAACTATGGAAATAGGCAGGGATTGGGATTCGGAATGGAAGAATCAATGGCCAGAGGAGCGAGACGCTCCTCTATTTAAACGCACCATGTTGGACTTCTATCAGGTAGGTCCAGTGCCAAAATGGGAGGCCTAACCGTTGACCATCTTGCAGATTTGCCACGATCTTCACGCGGATGTCATGCGTGCCATCGCCTTAGGACTTGAGCTCAACCCAGACTTTTTCGACCAGAAGATCAACGAGCAATGCCACAATCTGAGACTTCTGTCATATCCTCCCATCAAGCGATCTATGTTGGAGGTTGAAGGACAAGCACGTGCTGGCGCTCACAGCGGTAATCCCGTCATATTATTGCCTTGCATTTGTTGACGTAGCAGCGCACAAGCAGATTATGGGACATTGACCCTTCTGTTCCAAGACTCCGTAAGAAAGATATTTAAACTAATTGTTGTTGCTCCATTGATTATTGCTAGGTCGGAGGACTTGAGGTACAAAATCCGCACACAGGTGCGTTTATTCCCGCCACCCCGATTGTAAGTCATGTCGTTCTCCACCTGGCCTGTAATCAACTGACACTTTTTAGCCTGAGACCATCGTTGTGAACGTTGGAGACTTACTCGCGCGGTGGAGCAATGATCTCTTGCGATCAACTGTGCATCGTGTCGTCGCACCTCCCTCTCGCTTGACCGAGAGTGACGATCAACTCGTGACCCCAGCTCGACAATCAATTGCATTTTTCTGCAATCCAAACTTCAGTACAGAAGTTTCTTGCCTACCCAATTGTGGAAAGGAGATGAAATACCCGCCCGTGAATGCGGGAGCGTACATTGTGGGCCGCCTGGCGGTGACATATACGTGATTATTCTGGCGAATTTATTATTTACAACGATGCGGAACTTCAGCTTCAGGATTGACATGTTCGTTCAATGTGGAATAAACGGAAGACTCTGTACTCGCATTGCTAAAACTCATCTTCAGAACCATGCTTTTCAAATTCAAATGGCTTCTTCTGAGCGGCGGACCACTTGTTGATGTCCCAAGATCCAGGTCCACGCATGGGCCCACTCGGCACGGAGGAGAGATGGGACTTGTACTCCTTCCACACCCGAGACAGAACCCAGTCAGGATCTTTCTCGTCTTCATCACAAATTTCGCCTTTTCTGAACCAGAACTTTTCGCTCTCGTCATCATCCTCTTCCTCCTTTTCCTTCAAGTCCGCCTTGACTTCGTCCCTTTCCTCCTTGTCCTCAATACTTTCGATGAATTCATTCAAACGCGCCTTCTCTAGAGCGAGGTCCTCTTCGGTTTTATCCTTGAATAAACGTCTAGCGATCGCCCTCGCCAACTTCGCGTAGTCAGAGTTGCAGCTACAGCTCTCCATCATCTCCCCAAACGAGGCAATAGTTTTGAGAAGATTTTCCAAGCTCGGGAATTCAGCGGGGTTGAGTCGTCCAGCTTTCTGGAGGCCACGTAGGACTGCGACGGCAGAAGCGCCATAAACCTTGTTCGTAACCTGCACGCGCTCCCCGTCGTCACACTCTGCAAAGAAAGAAAAACACATTATCATCGTATATGCGCTTTTGATTCAATGTGAAGAGAACTAACGCGTCCATGTGCCCTCCATTTCCGCAAAAACGGAAAGTCCTTCAAGAATGCTGTAGGCCTCATCCCAGTCTTTCTTGATGATCTTGGCGTGCAATGTTGCAAGGTTTTTGTCGACCAGGTCCAGAATTGCGTACGCATAAAAATCTAACGGAAAAACGCGTCAAAGACGCGTTCAAATTGTGAACAAACCATTGTAGATGTACATGTTGGCTTTTGTCGTCATAAAGCTTCCAACATTGAGGAAGGTATGGCCTTTAGGAATGACCTTGAGTTACGGTAGTATGTCACCATGAGCCTCCCGTTATGATTTTTTTCGTTCAAACTAACCTTTGTAAGTGTCATTGCAGAATACAGATGAAGTTGTTAGTCCCGGCGGTGCGCACTGAGCAGGAGATTGGGGTTGATGACAAACTCAATTAGGAGCTAATAATATGTATGGGTTTGGTTACTCCATGCCACGTCAATAAATTGATGTTCTACGACGCAGTATCAGTAGTAAAAAATGCTCGGGATACGTCGGAACGACCTGATAGCCAAGCTCGAGAAAACAGATCGAGATACAAAAAAATTGTCCAACAATAAATCTAAGTATGTAGTGCGAACCAGATGATATGTCGTGAATGTGATGTGCTGATTTAGAGAGACGTGCAATTATTTTTTCCGGAAGAGGCCAAGGGTATGCTGCCCTCCACATGCAACGGCTGCGGCAAACCAGGTGCCACCCTCCTTGCGCACAATGACACGTGGGGTGCGCACTTCTTCTTCCTGAACGCCCAGCTCTCCTTGGATGCCCTGGCCCCATGAATACAGGGCACCACCTTTTGTGACTGCAGAGTTGTTATGGCTTCCAGCAGAAATTTGAACGACGGGGTCGTCAGGGTCCGGGAAAGTGATTCGGGTTGGTACCGGGATAAAGTCCTGATCAGGATAGTTCTGGAAGGCAGAATCATCTTCTGCAAGGCCAAGTTGACCAGCGTTGCAACGACCACAGGCAAACACTTGGCCAGTGGAGGTGAGGAAGAGGGTGTGATGTTCGCCACCGACAATTTCAACAACGACGTCGCCGGCGAGTGATTCTTTGCTCAATCGTTCGACCTTTTGGGGAAGCTGAACTAGGGAGTCATCTGAGGACTCATATCCCGTTCCAGTTTGACCCATGCTGTTTAATCCCCAGCCCCAGACATCACCCTTGTCATCAACAGCAAATGAATGGTATGCCCCGGCCCCAACAGTCACCGCCTTTCGAGCACGGTTTCCAAGGGTGATTTTTTCGGGCACCGTACCGTGAATCTTTCGTCGTTCGAGAACTTTTCGGCCAAGCTGAGCTTGCTCGCTGGCACCCCACGTGTAAATGCTACCGTGAGTAGTCAAAACAAGGAGGTGATTGTTCCCAGCAGCGATGGAAGACACCTTTTCAGTGTCACCAGGTTTATGGCTGAGTTCAAGGATCGGTACAGGTTTAAATTGATGTTTTAGGCCATTGGAGAAGCCAAGAGAGCCTTCATTGACCTAAATTAAACAATCGTGTGAGTAATTGTGGTCAGAATGTTACTGAAGCGATGTGACTCACACGGAACGAGCCCCATACACGGAGTTCCCCATCTGTGCTAAGTGCAGCGCATATACTATCGCCTGTGACAACTTTTACGGCCCGGAAATTGTCGTCGGCTAGCGATTGAAGCGGGTGAGGGATGCTTGTCAGTTCGTCAATACTCAGGAAAGACCCGGGATTATTAGGATCGGGAACATTTTGTGTAATACGACCAAGGGCAGCATCGTCGTTAACACCGCATGTCCAAATCTACAAAGGATCAGTGACATGCTGAATACGGGGAGTAAAAGTACCCACCGTGCCTTTCTCATCAACAAGGACACTATGAAGGCCACCTGCAGCAATAGATTCAAGGCCAGCACCATCTTCGCCAAAAGCGCCATCTTCTATCTTCTCTTCAACCCAAACATTGCGTTTAGGTTTTGAGAGTTCGTGGATAATGTCGGGACCCATTCCGAATTGACCAAAGTTTCCCGCGCCCCATGCGAAAAGGATTGCTCCTGGTCTCTGTTTTTGGGGTGGCACAGGCAAAGGGTTGAAGTACGGTTTAAGCTGTGGAGGTGGTGCTGGCCGGGCTTCAGGAACTGGCGAGAGCTTCTTGGGGGGTTTCTTTGTTTGAGACTGGGGTTTGGTGGTGACACTCTTTGAGCGTGGTTTGCGAGAAGGCGGCGGCGCAGCCGGGGGCACGTTCTCTGATTTGGATGGCTCGGTACGAGAGCGCTTGAGTGGTGGGGAAGCAGCTCGTTCTGGAGAGTGGGCGCGCTTGTTGGAGGTTGCTTTATCGCGCGATCTCGGGGCTGGTTTCTCCTCTGTCTTTGTTTTCGACGGGGGTTTCGCTGAAGCAGCACGAGAAGAACGTCGAGGAGGCATGAGGAAAGAAAGAACCAGAGTACAACCAAAAAGGTCAACCAAAGTTAAGAAAAATTAGAGCACGTGACATGGCTTGCAGAGCTCACCTGAGTCGCCACATTCATGGAGCCTTGCGTAAAGAAAAATACTATTTGCCGAATTTCAATGGGGAAGAGTAAGTACTATAAACTGAACTTGCATTCTTACTCCATCCTTTTAGATTCTTGGTCAACGATCCGTCCACAGGGGAAATACTCTCCACGTATGAAATCACACTTTACAACGACTGAAGTGCACCTGAAAGACCTCTAACAACAGGGTAAAATCTGCTTCGACAGAGGACGTCAACTTCGCCATTGCCGATGCGGACACCGCATTTAGATCGGGGGTATGGTCAAGATTGCCACCCATTGCTCGTTCCAAGGTTCTCTCAAACCTTGCGCGAATCCTCGAGGAACGCATTCCCGATCTTGCGGTGATTGAGACCCGCCAGACAGGTAGGACCATTCATGAGATGAAAGCTCAACTTGGACGATTGCCTGAATGGTTGTAAGTTACGGATTTCAATGTAAGTGGGTCGCTAAAAGCGCTCTCCTAGAGATTACTTTGCGGCTTTACTACGTACTACTCAAGCCTTCGTCGCTCCAACACAGGGAAGTCTCCTCAATTATGTCCAACGTGTACCACTTGGTGTTGTGGCCCAAATTACAGTATGTTACTTTTTCCGTATGATGCACAGGCTGACACCTTACTGGAAAGCCCTTCAACCATCCTTTGTTGATTGCAGTGAAAAAAATGGCGCCGGCTCTTGCGGCTGGTAACAGTGTCATTGTCAAACCATCTGAGGTACTCCAACCAAACGCTTCCCATCATTGCGAAACCCTCACGCCCTGCTATCAAGTTGGCTCCATTGACTGTCCTTGAATTTGCAGGGATGGCCAAAGAGGCTGGAGGTAAGCTATTTGAACAAGTACCGATTCCAATTGATTTGAGGCTTTCTAGTTCCCCCTGGCGTACTACATATCTTACCTGGATATGGACCGGGTACAGGTATAGAGATTGTAAAGCATCCTTTGATTCGAAAAGTCGACGTCACCGTGAGTTACAAAACAGGATACGAGCAAGAATTATCTAAATTCGAATCGATAGGCAAGCACGCAAACCGGACGTGCAATAGGAAGCGTTGTCGGGTCCAACATTGTGGCTTACACTGCTGAATTAGGCGGAAAGGCAATTGAGCGAGAATGATCTAAACTACATTTTTACTGATTATGTGGATCCTCAGGCACCCATCATCATATTCAGCGATGCTGATCTGGTCGCTGCAGTCAACGGGACAGCTTTTGCCTCGTTCATAGCATCTGGTCAAACATGCGTATCAGGTGCACGGATACTCATTCAAGACAGGATATACGACAAGTTCCTAGCCCGTTTCCTTGAAAAAGTAGATACCATCCGACGTGGAATGGGCAATCGTTTGTATCTTTCCATTTTGCCAACTGCAACAATTTACAAATTCGATCTCGTCAGCATTGAACCCAAAATCTTCGATGGGAACGGTCATTTCGTCCCACCATTTGCAGCGTATGGAAGGAATGGTGAAGCGCACAAACGGTACAATTCTCAGAGGTGGCGAACCCATGTCTGGAACTTCCGATTTAGATGGCTTTGATTTCTCGAAAGGAAGCTTCTTCCCGCCCACGGTCATCACGAACATTTCCGTGGAAGATGAATTGTGGAAGGAAGAAATTTTTGGGCCTGTGGTCGTAATAAAGCGCTTTTCGGTGAGGAAATTCTTAGGTTGGAGGTCTATAACCAAGCCATCTATCCCTTTCTCGGCAGGACGAGGCTGAAGGTATTTGTTTGGCAAATCATTGCAAGTATGGCCTTGGGGCCGGTATCTGGACTTCGGATCTGTCCCGAGCCCATCGTGTCGCTGCTGAGATAGAAGCGGGCATTTGCTGGGTAAATACGCACCATCGCAACGACCCAAGTTCACCCTGGTATGTGATTGCGACAAAATTGTCTGTCTCGATCTGTCAATATAATCCTCATTTAGGGGTGGGATGAAAGGGAGTGGCATTGGTCGCGAGAATGGCATTGAATCGTTAGAATCCTGTACGTGCCATTTTGCTCACCGCTAGGGCACAGCTCAACCACTTTCGTAGATTCGCAAAGCAAGTCCATCATTATTAATACAGCCCGTGCAGAGGTATCAAGAGAAATGGACGATTGGTTCGGAAGTACAGAGGGGCGGAGATATGGTTGATTTATCTGGGTTACAGGTTACTTGGTATCTTACAATTCTATGACGCTGTCGTCCGGATGGCTTCTTGCCGAGCTGGGGTCTTTGATGAAGCACATATGAGTGTCTGACAAAATAGATTGTAAGAGGAGGTTACAGACCTCTCCGACTTCCACAGGTGGCTCGTCTATAAAGTCAGGGACTTTGTTAAGATCTGCCAGATAGGAAGTACCCTCCTCTTCCTCTTCCAGAGCCAACGCATCCAGCTCTGCATATATTGTAAGAAATTGAATGGGCTAAAACGGCATTGGCGCACCTGCTTCAAGATCTGCCTCGTCGATTTCATCAGGGACGGCGTAAGACCGACCAAGAGTCTCCTGAATCTCATTCGCCTGCTCCAGCAAGTCTTCCATGTCGTAATGAATATTCTAAGAACAAAGTCAATATCCACCAGCCACCCAAGGCAAGAACAGCTCACCTCGATCTTGTCAATGTCAATCTTCCCATATTGCTTCCTCATTTCTTTGTTCGCTATTTGCATGGCATCGACCGTGGCCATTGTATTTCGTAGGTTGTCAGTTGCGAGGGCAGCCGACTCCATATTGAAGGTTTGTTGTGTGAGCTGCGCAATCTGCGCCTCGTACATACGCTTCTGCTTCAACGTCCTGAGTGCCCTTTCCTGTATCGCGTTCTGTGTGATAGAACATGAGCGATGCTCAATTGATACGCATTGAAACAGCACCTTCCCCGGACCTGGTCTCAGCTTGCTCATCTGTTCCTTGTACCGCGCAAGCTCAGCATCGAGCTTCCGGACTTTGACTTCAATGGAAGCCATTCGTGCGTCTGTCTGTGGCAATCGAGTTCACGTCGGGCACAGGCGATAAGTCGGGCGAACTAACCGATGCGATTGCATCTTGAAGTGAAGGTTTTGGTTTTTTACTGGCAGCGTTTCCAAAAAACCGATTCATGGCAATGAGCAGTAGTTGTGACGTCACGGGTCCGAGCATGCCTTCCTCTTGCACAACCAACCAAATCCCATCTGAAAACTTGCTAAACTCTCTATGGGCTACTATGTCCAGCGTCGATAACGATCCACTCTTCTGTCAGCCTGGCGAGCCAACGGAGTTGCAAGGAACTTCGCAGTCATATCCCGTAGAAAGCCAAGAAATTCCTATCGTTTCCCCCGTTCCGCTTCCGTATAGCGCTCAAAGCACCGCCGTTCTGAGAAGGATGATTTCGGCCACCCAAGGTACCTTTTCGCTATCTCGCTACTCCTCAACAAAACCCGACTTCATCCAGACACCAATTCATCCGCGCGTGCTCCGCAAAGCGATGACCTTGGAGAAATCTGGACTGACGATTACCCAGCATCTTCTTATACTCCGCCGTCTTTGGTATACCCCGAGGATGCGCAAGAAAGCTCACTTCTGCCTTCCAGTCCTTTCCAGCCTTCTGACGCGACCAGCGACGGTTTACGCATGATAAACATTCGACCTATCACACCTGGGACACTTATGGCTCTTACTGAACCCTGCCTTATGGCTTGGTGTGGCGCTCTCGATTGTGCTCCAATTGATGGTTTCAAGTCTCAGACTCTCTGTCTACCAACATCTAGTTTCACGAACTCATGGGGCTATTAATTGATTACGCCTCAATTGTCGTATCTCATCTTTGTGCCATTCGACTTCCCGACTTTGCCTTCAACACCTCTGCTTTTTTGGATGGATGGAAAGTCTCCCATAATTGTCTGTTCACCTCTGTTTATGTATTCACCGAGTCCATCTTCCAATTCACCTGTAAAATAAAGATAAAACGCCGAATATCTCAACGCTCAGAACGGTGACTGGCACAACGACGTGATCATACCCTCATACGCTCTCAGTGCCATGTCGAACTACTGCGTAGTCTCATAAACAGTGTGTTTTGTGAGAGCAGGAGCTGGCCAGGTGAACTCCAACCGACTTTAGCAAAGGTTTAAAGATCACGGCTGCGGTATGGACTGTGCAGGGGACCATATTTCGCAGTGTGGGTCTCAGTGGTATGATGAGACCGAAAACAGAGCTGAGGTCAAGACTTGACCGTCTTTTTTCCGTATTACACAATCCATGAAACTGAAGAAATCATGACAAGAACCCGCGTATCGCACCGCCGACATTCAAGACATCAATTCTGATGATAATCATAAACCCTAAGGTTTTTTTTAATGATATGACGACTCACAAGAACGTGTCGTGCCCCCACACACCTCCGAGCTCATAGTAGCTCACATTTTCGTTGCCCGACATCCGCAACGCGTCAGCCAACTCACGCTGCTGTTCCACCGTGAAAAGAATATCGCTTTGCACACCGAGTACCAGGGTGGGTATATGTGCCAGAGGAGCCATGCCTGCTGCGAGGTCAGAAAGGTGAGGGGGGGGATTGACCGGTGGAGGATGGGATTTGGAGTGCGATGTTTTGTGTTGCTGCGCGTCTGGGTTAACACCATTTTGCGTGGAAGAAGGGGATGAAGTTTTGAGGTTCAGAGATTTGAGTGTAGGGAGTGTCATGTCGAACAAGTCCATCGCTTTGGATATGTAGATCAGGGAATTAGCATCGTATTTCAGACAAAATTGTTCGCCCTGCGCCAGGCTAAGTAAATAGTAGATGTATTTCAATTTAAAATTGACGGACCTGATGGTCGAGATAAGTTTCGATAAGAAAGTCTGGGCAAAGCGCAGGCGTGCGAGGAAAGCCAGGGGCAGGGAGGTCAGTTTCAGGCAAAGGTCGGAGTTTCCGACTAAAACGTTGGTCCCACTCTGGGCCAGACCGATATGTAATTGTTGCGATTTCTGGCAACAGAGTGAGGAGGAAACAAATATGACCAATGTCAATACCTACGTCTAGCCAGTTTCATGCCAGTATGAGGGGGTAGTCCGTCATAGTAGAAACCATGATTCCAGTTTGGATCTGCCATAAGAACTGCACACAAAGCTTGTGCAGACATCACTTTAAAATTGCACAACACAACGTACCGCTTCGCTGGGCAAATCGCATGGCTACAGCAGAAGGACTGCTACGGGCGGTTCCGCTGATGCTCACTATCTTCCCCACGCGTTCAGGATGTAACCAGCCCGCAGCAAGACTTTGCATTGCCCCCATGGAACAGCCTACACTAGCGTATAGTTTTTTGATACCGAGGTGATCCAGTAAACAGAATTGAGCGTTGATCATGTCAAAGATTGATAAGATTGGAAAGCGCGTAGCCCAAGGCTTTCCTGTGGCAGGCTCGATGGACGAAGGCCCTGTCGAACCGTAGCAGCCTCCCAGGACATTGGTACAGATGATAAAGAACTGGTTCGTATCAAGTGCCTTTCCAGGACCAATAAACTTCTCCCACCAACCGTCAGCGGGATTAAGAGGCGTAGAGGCAGCATGAGAGGATGCTGAAAGGCCTGTATGTAAAAGAATGACATTGTCTTTCGATGGCGATAGAGTCCCCCATGATTCGTATGCAATATTGAAGGAAGGCAGAGGAGTTGGATAATATGCTAGGGGTAAGGGAGATGGGTGGTGGTAAGTGTGGTATGAAGCAGGATTGGGTCGAGCGTATGGGGGCTCTGGTCCTGACTGGGATTGATCTGGTGATGAAGATGAGATGGAGGCTGCGAGCCTCGACTCTCTTGCTGCGTGTGCGTCTACACAGGGAAAGTGTGGTTGTTTAGAATGCTTGGGATCGTTGCAGGTCGACGAAGAGCGTATGGCGCCCACTACAATACGACGAGATGGCCTAGCAATTGACCTTGTAATGGCGGTGAGCAACCTGTGGGACATGGGACGGGATCAAAAGGTCTTTGTAACCCTATCAGTTTGAATTTCTACTCCTAATAGTAATATAATTGTGCCTGCTTTTTTTTTTTCAGGCTGTCGATCCATGTCGTTGCCGTTACCGTCGCAGCCGTTGTCGTCGCTGCTCCCCGGTCTCGAACACACAGACAGCATATCATCAATTACACCATCACTTCCATCCACAACCGACGCTCCTTGGTCTCAGGGTCATAATCGCAGGTTCAGTCTCTGGGGCAAATTTCCGAACAATGTAAGGCCGACCTCCCACTTGATTCATCGTGCCTAACACGTGTATACCGCCCTCCTTCAAGTTTACCTCTCTCATTCGTTCTCCCCGCTCAGCATCGCCTTTCGAGGTCTGCTATGCCTTTATTCTCTCATCGAGGATGCCTAACGGCCTTGTTCCAGGGAGACGAGCCTGAAATCGAGCATCAAGTTGGCGTTTCGGGTTATGCCGACTCGTTCTTTCAACAACCTTTATTAGCCATGTCCCTGGGTTCACCTCCAGAAGAAGAACGGCTATCGAGAAAGTCGAAATCAGAAAATCGTGTATGTTGTTGCTCTTGACTTGCCTTGTTTACTCACGTGCATACCCCATCCTCAGTTCTACAATTTCCTCACTAGGTCCCGATCCCGCTCACGATCAAAACAAGAAGAAAATTCAACAGCTTCAACTCTCCAGACTATACCCCACAACAACCAACGATCCATGCGCCATTCCAGTGATACTCAGTCTAAACATACCCAAGGCTCAAAACCTGCATCCCGAATACCATCTCGCCCCCTCTCTTCTACAACCACAGCAACGAATACGACGGTTACTCCCGGAGCACCTAGGGCTTCAAAACGTTCCGCTATCCCGGTATCACCTTCCAACGCTCACGAAAATACTCACCCATCACGACCGACGACGCCGAAGCCCTCTGCCGCACGGAAGACTTTGCAAACCCTGTTTGGAATCCCATTGGCGTTAGCTTCTCGGACCTCATCACGATCAAGATCCAGATCACGACCCAACAGCCCGCGACCATCACTCGATGTTCCTCCTCTCCCCACCTCTCGCATTGAGGACGACTCAACTCCGAAGCCACGAAAGCCCTTGTCGCCCCATCCAATATCCCCACCTAATAGCCCCACACCGGCCTCCAAACACAAAAATATAGATTCCAATCTGAACAACGTGTCCACAGGTTCAACGTCGGGTTCAATGAGACTCCCCAGATTTTTCTCAGGTAGATTCTCTTGTTCCTTCAAGACGCAAATATTAACTTCATTCAGGCCGTAGCACACAACCTGACGCCAATGGTCTTCAACGACCCAAAGACTCTGCCATTGCGACGGTAGTATCCGCGCCCCTGAGGAGACCTTCAAATCACCGACGCAGCCTTAAATCGGGTGCAGAACACGAGACGTTGGCTGACCCTCCCTCTAACGCCCGACCACACGCTTCTGCAGCCCCACCGCCTAAAATCATTCATACGCCCGCTACGCCCCTCAAGGGCGGGGGCCCCGCTAGCCCATCAGAACCCGCGACAGGGCGCTTGACGCACAACTGGAAAAATTCTTCGTTGGATTCAGGTTATAGGTATCGGGGAGCCACGATGGGTGTCGTTGATGAGGAAAGCAAGACAGGGCCAGAGCTAGCGAAAAGCACCAGTGTAAAAGGCAAAGAAAAGATGACAGAGCTTTTACCAAGGACGGGACTTAAAAAGATGAGTAACACCACAAGAGCTACCAAGCATGGTAGCTTTGATTTTGAACGCCCAGGATGGGGTGCACTTATGATGCAGAGAACAGGAAGTGGTGGGACAACTGGCACGACGACGAGCGGGTGGAGCAGAGAGAATACGCAGAAGGAGCGGGAAAGCGCATTTGGACCTGGTCTCGCGGGAGTCGGAACGCTTCAGCGAGACGCTTCGGTGAAGAGGGGGCGTGACAGGGAGGAGCAGGTGAAAGCGCGAGAAAGGGGAAAAAGGCTGGAGCAATACATTGAGAAGGACAAAATTGCGTCCGCACAAAAGACGCCCCAAGGTTCTTCTTCGGCACACTCCGACCACCCTGGTGCATCAACTTCAACCAACGGCACTGGGCATACTGGGAAATCGTCCAGTATGAGCAAGGCTACAGGCAAGAAAAGCTTTTTTGGCAACAGCACAAGTGGAGCAGCGAGACTTGGGACCCAACATGGCTTATTTTCTTTTGAACACCCAGTCCTCTCTACGCGGAGTACTGGTAGTACGGGAACGAACCCTGAGGTGGCTGCCTCAGGAGGTGGAAGGGCGGAACAAGAGAAGGAGCGCTTGAGGGAGGAACGAGAGCGACAGAGAGACAGAGAAAGGAAAGCACCGCAGCGCGGTGATCGACCACCCGTTCCAGTACCCAGTGTGGGCCATCGATCGGGAACAAAAGGCCGCTCTCTGGATCTTGGCCTTGGCCTTGCGTGGGCGCCCACAAAAATGAGAGAGGACGCCCTGATGCCTTCGTCTGCTTTCTTCAATCGTTCATTAAGCAATACTTCCAGCGGTAGGACTGCCTCTGCATCTACTGGGAGATCGGCTTCTTCCTCAACAACTGGAAACGGGAGTGGTCGATCCAGACGCATCCGTCTTCAAGACTCAGAACCTGACGTGGAGAGATCGAAACTGGGGAGAGATGTCGCAGAGGTATTTCGCAGTGCACTTGACGCAGATGGTTATACGTCCTTCAAAACGTGTAAGTGTCAATTTTCGTTCCCTTTTTTCTTGACACCCCCACGTTTTACCTTTGATTTTAAATGTGTGGCGCTAACTGTGACATTCCAGATGTCCACCAATTTGACGCCCATGAAATCCCTTTCGATGGCCCCACTGGCATTATACCACGGGTAGAACGGCTTCTATCTACCGCCCCAGGCCTCAGTGAGGAAGGAAAAAGGCAACTTTTAGACAATTTCGTTCGCGTCATCCTCCAACACGCATGAAGCTGTTTCCACGGATTCCCACATACCTTCATATTCGGTTTCAAGCACATTCAATTTCAATTTTGGTCGTTTATCAACATACACCCATGCATCATGCTAACATTTACCCAAACCCTTCATTGCATACCACTGTATTACCCTGGCAAGCATTTACTTCTTCCACAACGTTGTGACCTATTACTTACCATACTAGCCTTATGATTTTCATTTATCCTTGGATAAATCTTCATCCCAAGTAATACATGTTTTCGTTCGTCCTCTATCTCCATGTTGTTTCTTTTCTTTCGATATGCTTTCTATAGACATACGTATGCTCGACCTGTAGCCTCGATTTGCAACGCCGCCGCTCTTGTGCAGACTTCGCTCGCTAAGTTCCATTCACAGCCCGTTTGGCACTAGCTTCGATGTGGCGAACAGAGCTATCTTCCTTGACAATGTTTTCTTATCGCCTAAGCACCCTTTATCAATAGGGAGTGGTGCCCTTATGAAATTTGCGGATACATGTATGCACGGGCCAGCCATATTATATTGGTCCATAAGAATCGTAAAATATAAAGGTACAAATTGTTACATTCCGGTTCGCGTCCTATAATCTCCCAATTGCTTGTTTCTATCATGTGGCTGGTCGCAAGGCTCTCAGCCGCTCCGCGAGCTTGTCGTCCTCCTCTCTAACCTTATTCGGAGAATTCAAGTCTGCCACGGCGTTGAGGTCCTTCGAGGCCAGGTCGTGCTGTAACTCGATGTTGGCCTCCTCGGCCGTTTGCCGCAACAGCTGATCAATTTGATCTTGAGGTGTGGAAATGGCAGTCGTGGCGGACATGGTGTCCTCCATTATTGACGTTTGGACGTCCAGATCCGTGAACTGGTTCTCAAATTTATCCATAACCATAGAAATCTATGACAATGTCAGAAAGAATGACCAAAGGATCTGCGATGTAACACACCCGTTCGAGGTTCATGCTCTCCATCGCTTTATCCATTCCCTTCACGACCGATGTCATGTTCCCCGTTACTTGACGCATGGTAACGGCGGTCTCTACTCTGCTGGCTACAGCATCTATGCGACTGGATAGGCGCAATAGATTCAACGCCTCGCTCTTCTTTCGAATGGCATTTGAGGCGTATATCCGAGCGCCATCGTTATTTCCTTGCTGCAATGCCTGTGATTGGAGTTGGTCACTTGGGATAAATGATATGACGAGGAATCGTTACCTTCTTTAATCGCGTCTTCTCTGAGTTTTCGTCCTTCTGAGCCTTCTTTGCCTGACGATTCAATGACTTTGCAGTGAACTTGCAGGGGGGGGGTTAGGTCAAAAGATTAACAGTCGTGGTGAGCGGCTACCTTGAGTTGGAACAGGGTCTCTGTCAAGATTTAATGAATATGGCGGGGAAATGCTAGTAAAAACCCACTTTCGAGGTTGCTCATGATGGAGGAGGATGTGCTGCGTTTAGTCACGTGTGCTGCTTTCAGCATTCCCATCCCTACCATCGACTCAGACTCCTGTTGGATACCCTTTTTCTTTACCAACTCAACGACTTGAGTTTGTGGTGAAAGGGCGGGACCCACGCGTTGATTTTATATCATGGGCTTGTTGTACTATGTCAGGTGTGTAAACCCCAACTATGTTCCTTATCTTGTACCTGCCAGCTAAATCGTTCGTTAGCTATTTCGCTGTTCTGGCAGCGTTTGCTTTTGTTACACTTTCGCTAGGTTGGTATTCAGTTTTCTTTGTCAATCTTCCTAACACGTGCGTATTGCAGCCAGTGGTCTTCTCTACGTCTCAGAATTGATAGAAGAACATTCGCGACTCGCCAAATTGGTCGGTCAGCGGGGAATATACGTGCGGTTTTTCTCTCAAACCCTTTTGCTTCGCTGTCAACTGGTTTTTTTTTCAGGTCGTCATTTCCCTCCACGTTCTGCTTTACTTTACCGATTCTTTGCCCCCCCTCCAAACTATATTCTCCATCGCCTGCCATGTTGTCTACCTCCAAAACTTCTCTCACACCTGGCCCTTAATCTCCCTCACTTCGCCCTCCTTTCTGGCCTCTTGTGTTCTCGTGATTGCGGATCATTTTATATGGTTCTTTCACTTTGCACGCATTACGAACGAAGCACGACATCTCAGAACATACCGCGGCCTGACCGTTGACGTCCCAAGCTTCATTGAAATTGCATCGTTTTTTGGGTTATGCGTTTGGCTCGCGCCTCTGTTTCTTTTTCTTAGTCTTAGTGCGAACGACAATGCACTTCCTATGTCTGCCTGTAAGTGATCATCCTTTTTGAACCCGGCAATCCTACTTAATTTGGTTTGATCTCCAGTGGAACCCTCGTCCCCTTCAGTGGGAGGCTTTTCTTCCCAACAGGTACCTCAGCGACAGCAGCACCATGTTTCTCTCATCCGCTCCATTTTTTATTTCTTTTCATTCGATAGTATACCCAGGATGAGGCCAAGACCGTCACGAAAAAATACCTCCGAGGGTATCATTGCACCCCGCTCTCCAGCCCCGATTCCGTCACCCCTTCCCAATAGGCCCTCGTCACCACTGATACGATCGAGTTACAGCGGTCCTCCCCGCTCACCCGGCCCCAGGGCACAGGAGCTTGATGTGCACTTATCACCCAACACGAACTTTAGATTGGACACACCACCGAGACGTCCTGCGCCACCAATACGTCGTACAACTACTGGAGAGGGTCTCGGTTTGGGCATTGGGATGAGAAGATCCAAGGGCCCTAGCGTAGACGATTAATGACGATCTCCGAAACTGCTATGTTAATGATATTTCTGTTTGTAAATGACGATGGTGGCAAATAAAAGGAATTTCGCTTTTTGACAAGGTCCCCGTCTCACTCATATTCGGAGACTTGTCCTTATGTACCTATATCTTTCCAATGCCCCACGAGCCCTCTACTTAGTCACGAGCTTTCATGATGAAAAGCTTGGCCGACCTCATCGTGCACTGGTATTTCGCGCAGGTGAGGGAGAAGCTCAAGCTGTCGTTGAATTTGTTTCCAAGGATGATATCGATCTTTACAACATGGTACGGCTCACGAATAGGGTCGTAAAGGGCTGCCTTGGCTTAATATCAGTTGAAAATGGTGCGTGTGTCACCTTTCCATTGTTAACCTCTTTTCTTACCCTTCTTCCTTAGATGTATTTGTTGCACTGGTTACCAGTTCGACTGAGATAGGAAATACAAGGCCGTCTGGTTCTCATCCCGAGTCTGTCGCAAAAATACACGAAGTCAGCTTTTATAGCTTAACTTCGGCGGCTTGGGACGATATTTCAGCTGCCACAGATTCACTGATTGGTCCAGATGTTGTCGACAGCAGTGTGAGGGACAATTACACACAGACCACGATGTCACCCCAAGTTTTCGAACATCCATGTTTGCCGTTGACCAAGATTCTATCGTCTGGTTCCTTCTACTACGCAATTGAATCTCATTGGGATTTGTCATCGAGATTAGCCACGCGCCTTTCAAGAGATCCTGCTAGTGCAAGAGATGTTGCGAAGTTTGACGAACGATTTATTTGGAATGAGTACATCATTCGCAGTTTACTTGATTTTCGAGAGCGATTGGACGAAGTGGAGCGGGAGGATTTAGATCGTTGCCAGTTCATCGTGTGTAAAGTCCTCCTGGCCAGTAAACTCAAAGTCGATCACATCACTACCAGATCTTGGCCATCCAAGGTTATGTTGGCGTTTTCACCATGGCCTTGCCCGCCCCACCGACGGATGGAGCACCTGCAGTTGCCACCCTTTCTTTGATCTCAAGGCTTGGTTGGAAAAGAGCAGGGACTAGATTTAATACGCGCGGTGTTGATGATGACGGGAATACAGCAAATTTTGTGGAGGTATGTATTACGCCTCCTGCACCTTTTCGGCTATTAAGTTGCAGCAGACGGAGACAGTTTTTAGCACGGATCAGCATTGTGTTAGCTACGTACAAGTCCGAGGAAGTGTCCCATGTGCGCCGTCTCTTTGAATTCCAGTCTTTGGCGATTAATCCGTTCTTGCAGTGTTCTGGGAACAACAGGGATTACAAACGTTTGGGCAGCATATACAAATTACACGGCCTCACGCATCCCAACCTGCTTTTGAAAGGCATCTTGTCCAACTTACAGAAGAATACGGCTCAATTCACGCCATTAACTTGATGGGCCAAAAGGAAAACGAGGCGTTATTGACAAATGCATATGCTCGTCATTTGCAGATCGCTCGGAGTGCTCTCGGCGACGAACTCGGAATCACACACTTCGATTTCCATAATGCTGTCAAAATTGGAGGACATGATAGCGTCATCAGGGAACTAATGTATTGTGTTCTCTAACCTCCCGCAAATTTGCTCAGATTTATTTGTAGTCGAATCGAGAGTGTGACGGACCACCTCGACAGATTTGGGTTCTCTATGTGCGACGCCTCGTCTGATGAGGTAATTACCGACCAAAAGGGCGTTTTCAGGACGAACTGCCTCGACTGGTACGCCTTGAATAATCTGCTCATCAGGACATCATACTTATCGTGTTAGATTAGCCTAGACCGCACTAATTTTGTTCAGGATATTCTTTCTCGAAATACATTGGAGCAGTACCTGATTCTTGTGCACCGCGAATGGATTCATTCCAATATCCTTTGGTCCCAACACCGCGAGCTGTGGGCTGAGAACGGAGATGCTTTATCGCGCATATATGCAGGCACAGGCGCATTGAATACCAGCTACACACGGAGTGGGAAGCGAACTTTAGCGGGTACATGTTGTGTCTACTGCTCCCCTTTTTTTACCCTTAACTTTTTTGAAAAGGTGTCTTGTCTGATGCGACGAAGAGTGTATCACGCGCATATATCAATAATTTTCAAGATAAGGGCAAACAGGTCGCGATTGATATGTTTTTAGTAAGCCCCATTTTCTATCATCGATCACAGATAATGAGAATGCAAGGATTGCAGGGGAATCTAAGTAGTCAGCGCCCTGTTACCATATTTGATCCCATCCATGACTCCGTTCGTGCGGCTTTGGCGTCGAGGTTCGCAGTTAAAAATGTCGATTCTTCGCAAAATGCTCATTTTGTCCTGGCGTTAGGTCCTTAGAGTACTCAACCGCAAAAAAATGCGCTATTTTCGTAGGAACTTGGAATCTTAACGGCAGGGTGATCCAACAATCATCTCGACTGAGCGACCTTTTTCACTCATCGCATTTTTCCAGCCCCCGTCAGAGTCACTGTTACCATGGCTGTTCCCTCCTGAGAGTAAACATCCCGATTTCTGTTGCACACATCTTGTGCTAACAGTTTTTTAATAGGTAGTAACGAGTGCGTTAGCTTGTTTACGGTAAACGGTGCCGCCCCTGACGGAGATGTGCAGACCAGATATGTTTGTACTCGGATTTCAAGAAATCGTGCCTCTAACTGCGCAGCAAATTTTACAAACCGACCCAGAAAAACGGTATGATACGAACTCCTGTCAGATTTGGACTCATCGTTGTATAGCCTTGTCTGGGAACGGAAGATTCTCGATACCCTCAAAAAACGTCCAAACATTAAAAACAACTATGTAATTCTCAGGAGTGAGCAGGTACATCATTATTCGGCAACTCTCTCTTCTCTCGTTTGAAGCATTCGCGTCGTAGCTGGTTGGCACTGCGTTGATGGTCCTCGTCAAAGAGGAGCTAACATCTGTGATAAGAAATGTGGAAGGGACGTCACGCAAGGTATTGTAATTGTTGAGCTCATTTGAATTTAACTTCCTGACTCAGTGGTGTAGACAGGTCTTCGTGGCATGTCAGGGAACAAGGGTGCTGTCGGGATAAGACTGGATTATCATGACACTAGCTTCTGTTTCCTAACGGCTCACCTTGCCGCTGGCCATTCGAATGTTGAGGAGCGCAATGCTGATTATCGAACAATTGCGCATGGCTTGCACTTTCAAAAAGGCAAAACCATTGGCACTCATGAGTAAGATTTCTATTTGATGCTACGATCATTGATGAACAAAGCAATTTGCAGGAACGTTATCTGGCTTGCGGATACAAATTACCGCATTGACCTAGATAACTTCAGTGTCAGATCGCTTGCCGAGGCCAGCGACTTCGATACACTTCTTGCTGCTGACCAGGTCTTTTCACCTCAATTTTAAATCAGTTGATGACTTATTATCTCCTATTCGCTTATAGTTGAAGCAGGTTATAGACTCAGGCGCTGCATTCACTGGTTACGAAGAAGGGCCGATCTTGTTTGCACCCACATACCGATATGACGTTGGAACGGACAATTACGATACAAGTGAGAAAATGCGTATACCAGCATGGACGGGTGAGCATGGTATAAAGAATGCTTTCTCGCACTTATTTCAATAACTCTTAGATCGCATATTGTACCGAGGAAGTCAACTCGATCTAGCAGTTTACTCTCGATCAGATTTGAAAAGCTCCGACCACCGGCCAGGTCCGTTGCCCCACATTTCTGCACGTATATGGGGGTGAACCTTTCTGCAGTGTTCGCTATCTTTAGGTCTGAAGTCCGGATAATCGATGTCGTGAAAAGGGCAACGCTTTCTAGGTTGCTCCTCGAAGGTGTCATGTCTGCGGAGCCAGGAGAGAAGCTCGAGGAAAAGCTTGCAGCGGTCATCTTGCCGAAAGATATGAGACAACGTTGGTGACATTGATACCCACTGGATGATCCCTCTTTTTGACTAGACGCGCTCCTAGTTCCACCTCCAAGCTCAGACGAGGTAGCATGGTGGGATACGCCTGGTACCTTTTCCTTTGGGTGTTCGCCAACAGAACCTGAGAGAACTTTTCAGATTGCCCTGCTGGCATCATTGCACTATCCGAGCTTCGAAGAATTGAAAGCATTGGGCGGAATAATCCGTTTGACCCCGAGTCGTCGCTATCCTGCTCCCCCTCCTCTTCTGATGACGAGTTATACACGCACGCCCTAGCACTGCAGACACCGATGGCACCCGTCCCAGCCACACGGAGACCCGCTCCACCACCTCCAAATTTACAAAACCTTTCAAACCCAATAGAGAACCGGAAGCCCTGAAAACCAAGGCCCCTTCTTCTGCACATGTACGTATAGGCTCTGATGTAGATTATAACTGCAAGAATTAATTGACTGTCAAAAAGACAACAATGAGACGAGAACACCTTGGACTGTTAGATAATAAATGTAATGTACAAAAAATGGCATACACGGACTAAAAGGCTACTAGGGGTAATAGCCACTAGATCAAACCTTGCTTCTTGAGGTCGTCGTACGTCTTTCGGTTGTAAACGTTGCCTTCGTCATCCTCAAGCTCTTCCATTGTTTCTTGCTCGAAAATCTCATGTCGACCTTCTTGTTTCAACCTTTCAGCGACTGCATGTGATGCTGTTTTAGCAAAGAATGACCGATCTTAAAAAAAGCTAACGCACGGGAAAGAGCATCATCTATACGGGTGATTTCGTGGAAATGTTTCGTGTTTGGAAGCCCGAGAGCACGCATGCCAAAGGCGTGTCGCGATTCCTAATTAAATGGGTTAGACAAGGTAGATAGATGGATAGCAATGAGCTATACCTGAAAATGTCGATCAAAGTTTTTCCTTGCAGATTTGTCAGATGACTGTTCCAAAAAGCAAGCCAAGGGACCTACCTGCCCATATAAACATGATCTGAACAGATTTCACATCGATACTCCACTCCCAGTCCATGAAGTTTGTACAACCAGTAAGGAATAGGTTTACCGTCCCACCCAAGCGGCAACTTGAGGGGATTGTAAATTCTCTCTTCTTCCTCTTCCTCTTCGGCAACGCCATCGGCTGTGCCAGTTGCTGGAGCGGGAGTTGTATTTGATTGCTCAAGAAGCTCTTGCTCACGTTCCCGAGCTGTGAGGGAAAATCGTCGCTCCACGTTTGATTTCGTCTCATTTAGCGTTGGAACAAGGGATATAAGAAGAGCAGTAGCCATGTGAACACAGTAGGCTGAATTTCGTAATCGAGATTTCGCCGAGGACTGTTGCGCCGTGACAGGGGTGGGCCCAGGAGGTGGTGCGCCATTGGGGTTTGCTTGAGGCTCCCCTGAAGACGCTTGCCTCGCAATGGCCTTGACGTGCTTCTTCGACGTCAAGTGAGCGTCGTAAACCGTTTGCTTTGAGTAATTTTTTTGACCTGACGGAGAAAGAGGCAGTAGCATGAAGCAAAGTAAGTGACCTTGTACGGTAGGACTTACATGCAGCACACCATATACCCGCTGAACCATCACCATTTGCTTTAGACTTCGGGTCGACTTGTTCCTCCCACCCAGAAATATCTCCAGCCTCCCACTTACTGTCAAATTCCGTGGCCGCCTGGTGTTGCTGAGATTCAACGTCATCCAAAGGTCGGGTCTTTTTAACAAAGGATAGGAGATAACTGTGCAAGTTCTTTATGTATCTGGAAAAGGAGTGTCAGGGAACGAAAAAACCCATTGACGGCGCGACGTACGTTTCGAAATCTTTCGTAAAACGTGTTTCTCTCGATAAATCAGAATGTACGGGGGCGTTCTGGGCAGCAAGCAGCAAATCAAGATATTGAAGATATCCAGGCCGCTTCCCAATGTTTTTCAAGTTGTTATATGCCGTGTGGTTAGCGTATAGGTCAAGATATTTCCCATACCCTTCTTCACCAGAGAACAACAAAGCTACCGCTGTAGGACGTATCAGAAAGGGTTAAGCAGATATACAACACAGCACGCACGATCCTCTTGCTCGTAGTCGTCGTCTCCGTCTTGATTCGGATCGTCGAGGAAGGATGCAATCTCGAGGTCGAATCCGTCTGGGATAGCATCAGGGTATTTGCTGTGGTGCTCTTGAATTCTGACCAACCGCGCGTAAAATTGAGACAAATCATTTTGTTGAGAAGGGGCCGAAAGTAAGTCAAGTTCTGCCTTTCTGGCATCTTCGTCCTGGTACAGGTTGTTTAGAGCGTCGACTCTGGAAGTGATGCGGTCGAGTATCTGGGATGCCTTGTGCTCATTTTGCAGAGTTTTTTCGTGAGTGAGTTGTGGTCGAGAGAGAAGGGTGTAGAGAGCGACTTCAAAGCGCTCAATTTCTTCGTGCGACTGCCGTTGTAATTCGATGATAGAGTCCATTTTGAAGCGCACTGAAGTTGTAAACGGGAACTGGTGTAAAATGTTATTTCACACTCCGCTCTCTTTCCAACCACCACTCAAAAATGGCTGGCATTAACACAGGTGACGAGGTATGCCCCATTTCTTCTCATTCTCTGCCACGTTTAACCATTTATACGCAAAGAAACTTGTATTTGAATCGTCGGAAGCCGTCTCCGTTGTTTCGACGTTCGACGACCTCGGTTTGAAGGAAGATCTTCTTCGGGGAATCTACGCATACAGTACGTACCGCTTCACTTTCTCTCCACCTTGTCTGTTCATCTGTTGTAGACTTTGAGAAGCCTTCAGCTATCCAACAGCGCGCAATTTTACCCATTACGCAAGGCCGGGATGTCATCGCACAAGCCCAGTCAGGAACTGGTAAAACTGCCACATTCTCTATCTCCATCCTCCAATCCATCGACGTCACCGTTCGCGAAACCCAAGCCCTCGTTCTGTCGCCCACGCGTGAACTTGCCACGCAAATTCAATCCGTTGTTCTTGCCCTCGGCGACTACATGAATGTCCAATGTCATGCCTGCATTGGCGGTACGTCTATCGGAGAGGACATCAGGAAGCTGGAATATGGCCAACATGTCGTTTCTGGCACTCCCGGGCGCGTGTTTGATATGATTCGGAGAAGGAGTTTGCGAACGCGAAACATCAAAATGCTTGTTCTGGACGAAGCCGATGAACTACTCAACAAGGGTTTCAAAGACCAGATTTACGACGTCTATCGGTACCTTCCCCCCGCCACCCAAGTTATCCTTCTCAGCGCTACCCTCCCCTATGACGTTCTAGAAATGACGACAAAATTCATGACAGACCCCATTCGCATCCTCGTTAAGCGTGACGAATTGACGCTGGAGGGAATCAAGCAGTTTTTCGTAGCTGTTGAAAAGGAAGATTGGAAATTCGACACACTGTGCGACTTGTATGATACCCTCACCATCACTCAGGCGGTTATCTTTTGCAATACAAGACGCAAGGTTGCCATCATTTCCTCTCGTTTCGCTCTCGCCTAATCATTTTAACTTTTAGGTTGACTGGTTGACGGAAAAAATGCGAGCTTCAAATTTCACTGTATCATCAATGCACGGTGAAATGGTACAAAAAGAGCGTGACGCCATTATGGCCGAATTCCGTGGTGGAACTTCGTTCGTCGCGAGCTCCCTTTTGACGTTTCGTGAATAATGACGTTTTCTTTCTTAGACGCGTTTTGATCACGACGGATGTGTGGGCCCGAGGTATCGATGTTCAGCAGGTTTCATTGGTCATCAATTACGATCTTCCTGCGTAAGTCTCTCAGATTATTTTCATCTTTCAATATTTATGTATTACCTTTGCAGCAATCGCGAGAACTACATCCATCGCATTGGTAGATCAGGTCGCTTTGGAAGGAAGGGTGTTGCCATCAACGTTCGTTTTTTACTGCGGTCCTAGGTGCTCTTTCTGATATCTTCTTGGCTGCAGTTTGTCACTGTTGATGATGTTCGAATCTTGCGGGACATCGGTATGTGCTCATCCCTCATTCAGATTGCTTTGCCTCTCAATACACTTTCTCTAGAACAATTCTACAGCACGCAGATAGTTTGTTTCATTCTTCTTTCCACAGTGACTATGTTCTAATTCCCTTTCAGGACGAAATGCCTGTCAATGCTGCTGAGCTTATCTGAGTCATTGGTTTGTACCACAGGGGTGCCATATGTAATCGCTTTTCGTAGAGCTTGGGACCCTCATTCTATTTCCTTGAGTCCCTTGTATAGTATACTGGTCAATATTTGCCCAGATGGGCGGTTAAATACACCGCTCGCGCCTGTCCCCGACGCTCATTACGTGAGGGACAATGTGTAGCGGCAGCTTGATTGATGTCAGCATTCCAGCAGCATTCTCACAAATCTGAGAAACCACGGCTGAGTCAACGAATTTCTCTGAAAATAACTTGAGCAGCTCGACAGAAGCGGGCATCTCAGAGGCTACCCATTGCAAACAATTACATGGATGCGCTACGCTATATAGAAGAAAGTAGGAGTGTGTCCCTTTGGATCGAAATGTAGACACTCTCTCATTGTTCCATGGACGCGAGGAGAGTTTTGCGTCGGGCGGTCATCACGTTATAACTATACAAGTAACTTTGGGCAGGTGAAGCACATGCATCGGTGCAGTTGATCCAGACGTACCTCGTGCGGCAGGCATAACACGTCTTAGGGATCACCTATGCCGTTTTCCCTCTTCAGTTTCTCAAGCTCGGCCTCACGTTTCGCGAGTTCGGCCTTTGCAGCGGCAGCATCTTGTTTCGCGGGCATGTGGTACAGAACGACGATGTAACGCTCTTGGAGATGAAAGCCATTTAAATGATCCAAGGCGTTTTTGGCCTGCAAAAACAAAACTCGAATGAGTGCTCATTTGCAGTGGTGCGATTCTGTCACGAACGTCCATAACGTCGTCGTACACAACGAACGCAGTCCCTTTTGTCTTTGCCTCATTCCCTATTCGTATCTGACGGATGCTGCCATAGCGTCCAAAGAGGTCGTACAAGTCTTCTCCAGTTATCTGGTAGTTTAGGTTTTTGACAAAGAGGATTCGGTTGGCCCCTGGAGGTAGTTTTGTCTGGACATCCCAAATAATCAGCCGTTGAAGTCGTTACGTTGTTCAGAGCTCACCGTTGGTCTCGCGAGTGCCATGTCGTTGAAGTTGCACTCAGAGGTTCGTTGGTCGTGTTTGTGAAAGGCATTGATGGTAAACAAGTAAGGTAATAATCTACGGTCGCAAAGTCACCTCGTCCTCATAGTTTTCTATTGCGCATCAGCTTCTCCACCTCAACACAGTCATTCTGCCCTCGTGTGCAAACAACCGTCGCGTCCTCCACATCGCCTTCCATATCCGGGATGATACACTTTACGTCCTGAATGTCGGGACAAGGGCAGTCGACAGGCCGGCGAACGCAATCTAGAGTTGTGGGACAGAGGTAGTGCGAGCAGGAAACTGAATATATGTTGTGTTATCTCTCAAAGTCTAATGCAAAGAGCCGAAAAGTAGGCACCACTGTCAGAAAATGCAGCCCATTGAGACGCTCCTGACCGCTGTTGCTGCTGCTGCTGCTGTTGTTGTTGCCCATGCCCAAACATATTTTCAAAGAAATTGAACTGGGCTGAAACGGTCCCGAAGAAAAGGAGGAGAACGAGAGACAAAGAGACGCGAAACATGTGCATTGAGGAGATCAGACAGAGCAACTGAAGGAGTTGATCAACGTGTTCAACCACGTGACTGTGTTGGAATAAACATTTAAAATTACAGCAAAGGGGGACAAAACTACTAGATAGTAAATTGATACATTGGCACAATTCAAGAAATGTACAAGCACTGCCCACAAATCAAGAGGGTGGCCGAAGGGGGGATACGAATATGAACAGGTAGAACAGATGAGATGTCAAAATAAAATAGATGTCGGGATAGATGTCGTTGTGTGCGCCAGAATAACGATTTTTGACGATAGGGTGCAGGTGACCTTCTCCCCTTCCACTTCGCGTTGGAGCAATCAACGCAATTCCTTCCCGTGGTCATCCCTTTGCTTTCTAGCAGCAGCTCTCGTCATGCGAGGTGAATCCCCCACATCTACGCGCCGCGTAGGTGTAATATCCATATCTGCGACAACGCCAAAGGCACGCTTGGGGGTACCTGGAGTACCTGGGATTGTCTTGACCTTCCCCATACCCCAAAGTTCCCGTGTGCTTGACTCTGGCGAGAAAAGGTGTCCCTTTGACTTGGAGCTCGGCGAGGCGGTGGCGGCCTTGCGGGTCTTCCGTCGAGGTGGCACATTTTCCTTGGGCACATCCAGATTTGGACCTGTTGTAGACTCGTTATCAAGGGGAGGCAGGACGGCGAAATGTGTGTCCTGGAACACGAAGAAACCAGGGAAATGTATTGATTGGGAATCGGGCGGAGGGGGCATCTCGCGGGGTATCAGTGTGGGAACACGAGCTGAAAGTGTTGGTGAAGGGATGGAGATGTCGTGGCTGGGAGAGGAAGTCAAGCGAGTGGATCGGGTGCGAGGCTTGAGCTCGGGAGACGGTGAAAGACTTGGAGAGCGCATTGCCACGTCAGCGCGTAGGGGAGTGTTTCTGGTTGAAGGAGAGGACTTGGGAACGCCAAAGTCGAGCTTCTTTGCAGGACTTGGAGAGGAAACAGGCCAGGCATGGTTGTGCAAAGCATGGGTGGCGCTCTTGCCAAAACGAACCAAACCCTCTTCGCTCAGGATACGACGCTTAGCAGGGCTGTAGAGGGAGCTTGGACTAGGAGAACGAGGGCGTTTCGTAGGAAGATTATGATTAAAGAGGTCAATCGGTAATTCTTGGAGAGGTCCACGTCGTGGCATGACTAAAAGTACTATAACAGCCTTTTCTTTTCTTCTCTTCACATCACTGTCGCGTTATGTCACGCGTCTGTCACGCTATTCCCATGACCACATCAAACACCCCTGTACCCGTACAATTAGGTCGACCCAAAACAATGTTGCCAGACGGTGTGCTCAAATCATCAAAGTCCCCGTACAGAGTTGCATCTGACAAGAATGCACCCGTCGTTTCGTAAGAGGCTTTCAGAAGCGGAGATGGATTCGTCGAGATTCCCTTGCGGTTAAACGGCTTGTAACCACCATCAAAAGTCTACAACCACCGTCAATAAATAAACAATGGTCCCGTTCATTTCCAATACTACGCACCATGTAGTCAGCAATGAGCTCAAGATGCCGTCTGTCCACTTGGATGTTGTACGCTCCAAAGATTCCTCCCATTTCACGCAAGATAGCTGCACGGGCCATTTCCACCCCATATGTCTTGAGGATCGCGTAGATGTCGTTGGAATAGATTTCGTCGTCTTCCAGAATGCTCTCATCAGAGCTCACAGCAAACTCCCACATCCCACGGAAGTTGGACCCGTTGGTGGTGAGCTGTTCGTTTAGTCCGCTTAGCTAGAGGCAGACCGGAAAAAAAACTTGCACAGCGTACCGTGATGTCCCCTTTCTTCTCATCCTTCGCCTGGAAACATTCTGTGATCCCTGGAATTTCGCGGACGATCGTCGCCCGACACGTTCGCTCAACAATGCCAACAAACAACAATTTTGGCATGTCAAGCCGGAACTACATCACAAACATCCATCAGGCCAAACAGCCCAATCACGATAATATCACTCACCTCTAGCTGAAAGACGCATCTCGACTCATCGAATTCAAAAGACGTCGCGTGAGGCAGGTGGCCTTGGAAGAGGTCCGACATGCGACTGATCAACGCTTTGAGCGATTGTGCACGATCTTTCTTTGCGGGTTTCGCATCCAATTCCATTGCTTCAGTTTCAGGAGCGTATGCAGCTTCGATATCTTCATCATTGAACGCCTCAGCATCCTCAACGTCCGAGTCATCGCTCTCATACGTCGCCTGTTGCTTCTTTTGTCGCGCACGCTTCTCATCATCCGCCCCACCGTCACCGGCTTCGCTTTCCTCATCATCGTCCTTCCTCTTTGTCGGGGCCTCATCATCATCACCGTCATTCCCGTCGTCGCCCTCTCGGGACTTGGCTTTCTTCCCTTTGCCTAGCTCGGCTATTTGACTTTTCAAGTCTGCATCCAGCTTCTTCATCTCATTCTGCATTTCCCTCTTGAGGGTTAGAGGGAATTTGGTGGCGAATACAGCAAGAATTTCTGAAGGTTCCACGTCGTACTCGGCTTGATATTCTACCTTGGGGAAAAACTTGATTTCAATCGTGAACTGTGTCCTTCGAGTTTCTCCTTCCACTCGGAGTTGTTCTTTGACTTCAACATTCTCCACGATCTGAGCTAGGGTGACTCTACTAGCTCTCTTGCAGAACAAGGTAATATCTTCTGCCGTTATGTCGGGGCGGACTTTCATTGTCATCGAGGGTGTCTTTGGTTTTTGAGAGGCTGTCATGACGATTTCACGGAGACGAGGGATACCAAGCGTAACGTTGGCGGCACCGTGACCTTCAAAAATGTCAAGTATTGAGAAGTCAAAAAGCAGGCAACACGCACCAGCAAAGTGAAAAGTATTCAGCGTCATCTGGGTGGATGGTTCGCCAACACTAGTAAAAAATTGTGATCAAAAGCCAGAGATGAGGAGAATTCTGTCAACGAACCCTTGGGATGCCAATAGACCCACTGCTTCTCCGGGATCGACCAAACTCTTCATATATTTGACGTTCATGAGGAGTCGGAAGTTTCTGGGATGAAGTGGCGGTGTTCGACTCTTAAAACGAACTTCATCCTCCTTTTCTGCTAGAAGATTGTGAGGATTCGTTTTCACATAATTATCGACTGCTATGGCAAATTGTTCTGAAGTGCTTCCAAGGTATCGGCTAGGGCTGTACAGTGACAACGCCGGATCGTACTTGTCACGTTTCGCTGGTTTGTTTTTATCCGGGCGATCTGGCGACCGTTTGAGCACTTTCTTCATGTACGAGATGGCGGTGGATTCGTCAACAACGTTTTGGATGTCAGCTGGTCTAATGTGGCGGGCGAGGGAGATTTGGTTTTGTACGATGAAACCAAATTGGTACAGGTGCTTTTGCCTGGTCACGTCAAGACCATCCCCTCCATAGGCAAATTGATAAATGGAGTTGTCACTGCCTCTGACTGTGTGGTCATAATGCACACGAATTCCTTCAAGATGCTTGATGAGACATCGCTGAAGGTAGCCTGAGCGAGAAGTCTTGACGGCTGTATCGATCAACCCTTCTCGGCCAGCCATGCAATGGAAGTAGAACTCCTGAGGCTTTATACCGGTTAGGAAACGACTAACGACGTATCCACCAGCAATGGCCTTGGTCTCAAAAGCTTTGAACGAAGGAAGCGTCTTCCCACTGACCATGACAGGTACACGCCGACCCTCCAATTCCTGCTGACCCAGAGCGCAAGAAATTTGTCGTGCATTGACGGCTGAGCCTTTCGCACCCGACAGTGTCATTGTCTGCATGTGGTTAAAGGGGAATTTCCGAAGGAGGCCGTTGGGCAAACATATGTCCGATATCGACGACGTGAGCTTGGACAGTTTCGTCTTGACGGTAACATCCAGCCCGGCCATCTTGTTGTCGTCCCTCAAGACATCCTCAAGCAGCGTTGTTAACTCTGCAGCAATTTCGAGCTTGGGCGTGCTGCTGAGTGAAGGGAAATTTTCGATAGCCCCTTCCGTTCCAAGGTTTTCCCCGCGTTTGATCAAGTCGTTCCGCTTCCCATCACCTTCCGGAGTGAGGATAAGATCATCCATCCGGCAAGTGAACGCGCGGTGCTGTAGGAATTTAGTAAACAGACGGCTCAAGACTCCCAACAACCTTCCAGCAACGTCGGCGCCGTAGAGCTCATACACAGAGTGGACAAGGCCATAATCCGTAGCACCGAATGCCGCTTTGTCCAGCACCCCACATAAAAGTTCTCCATCCATGAAAACGACCTGATCCTCTTTTGAATCGGCACCCCAAAGATAACCAGGTACTTTCGTCTTTGCGTTAAGAGAAAGGCCCTCGAATGGCTTGGGGGTGATATTCTTGAGGACGGTGGAGATCTATGTGACAACAATAAAGGAACTGCAAGCACCTAATGTGTATCAACTCACGATTTGCTTTCCTGTCCACATTGGCTTTGGCTTCCAGATGGTAGGGGGTAATGTAACCAAACGAGCGCCCCGACTTTCTTCTTCAGGACGAAGAGCACCATAAAGTAGCTGACAGTACTCCTCGCGGGTAAAGAAAGCGTCTTGGCATGTCATCCACACGCCAGCGACTACGTGATCTTGAATGAGACCACGAAGTGGATTTCCAGATGTTGGCACTAGATATTGATTGTCCGTATTCGCAATCATCATTGCCTCAGCCCGCGCCACATGGTTCTCTAGACAAGCGTTAATATCTATCCTAAATCGACAAGGAGGACTTACGAGGAAAATGAATATTCATCTCTTATAGAGGCAAAAGGATTAGTAGGACGAATAAAGCGACACCCTGAACTCGCACCGTCACCGTCAAAATCGGCTAGAAATCAAATCTGTTAAATCAACATAAATATACGTAAGATTGCCATAAACTCGCCATTGTAAGAATTGCTGAGAGAGTCAGAGTTGACATTTCAGTTTTTTCTCTCGCAAGCGTGTACCACTCACCAATTTGCATAGTGCATCCTGATGGTCTTCTCTCCTGTCAGTACACGAGCTTTGTGCGCCATCATACTAGGCTTATGCAAAGTCGGTTGTCTATTCAGAATAAGGATGTCCCCATCTCGAAGATGTCTATAAACTTTCTTGTTCATGGCAGTGGTTCGGGTGTATAGACCTCGGCGTCCACTTCCACGGTCACCCTCTTGTGGAGTTAGAAGTTGATTTGCAATGGCTGTCCGTTGTTCAACGGTGAGTTTATCCTTCCATGAACGAATCAGCAGAAGAACAACGGCGAGAGACGAAGGCACATACAAGTGATTGCTGATGGCCGTCTTCATATTCTACCAAAGTAGCTCCAGGATAACCATGCGGACCAGTTATTACCCGTTGTCGTAGTTCGTGGAAGTTGGCAGGTGTAACGGGTTCTGGGAATGTCAATTTTCTTGCAAAAACTGGTGGAATTCCAATTTCGTTTGGCTCGATATTTACATCAGGCGAAATGACTGATCTAGCAGCATAGTTGACTCGTTTTCCCTGAAAAATAACCAATTGAAGTCACAGAATCATACCGCAGAAGGTGGGACGGACCATCATATGCTTTCGGAAAAGACCCTCCTTTTTTTCAAGCCCTTGTTTTACACCAGCTGGGGGAAGCTTGCTTTGCCTTACAGGAGCAGGGTTCTTACTGCTATCCATAAAACTGTTGACGTCAACCTGTAGCTGGACCAATCTATCGAGTAGCGCACTCATCAGAGTCTTCCGCGCCCCTTCATCAACGTTTCCGGTCTTCTGTGAAGCAGCCCGTAGATCTAAACTCAGGTCCCGCATTCGGTATGATGTATTGAGAACTTTAGAGAGAAGCTCGTTCTGAGGATGTTCAAAAAGGACCTCGCCCAATTTCGCTGGAGGCCGAAAACGAGTTGGGGCGACGGGAATGACTTCCAGAAAGAACATATCAGCAGAGGCGAACGATAGCTGGTCCTTCGATATTGGTGCAAATGGACCATGACGCCCAAAGAGGAGGGAGCACATCATGGCCTCATTGTGGAAGAGTCGACGTAGATGTGCACGGCATTCCTCTGGCGCAACCACCCTCTCATTGCGACCCCGAGAGGTTTTTATTTTCCCATTTGCTGCTCTTGGGAGCTGAGGCTCCTTCGGCTTAGTGGGTCCTGCTATCTCGTCACCGGAACCTTCATCTTCATCCTCCTCTTCCTCCTCTTCATCCTCCTCTCCGTCCTCCTTTTCCTCACCTTCTGACGCATCCATATCTATGTCTTCATTCCGTTGTCGGACCACGTTTCCTGCTTTCTCAGCAAGCAAAACATCCGGTCGTCTCCGCGCCAACTGAGCCTTCTGCTTTACAGACAAATCGTATTCTATGACCTTGGTATGGCCTTCCTTTCGATACGTATACGCATGACTACAGAGTAACGCGTTAGTACGCGTGGAGGCAGGAGAGAGGTGTCAACAGGAACGTACGAGCCACAGTCGCCATTTTGACACTTTTTCAAGATACAAGACTTCAAGAAATCGTTGATGACGTCCTTCCGTGTTTGATAGACCAATCCATCCTTATAGTTGTCGCGTTTACTGCTCGAGGCACGGTGAAGGTGAATAGCAACATATAAGTTAATCCTCGTCATGAATCCTTGGGGAGTTTCGTCCGGAACCTCGGGGTCATTCGCGTCTTCTTCGTCGTCGTCTTGGTCTTCCTCCCCGTCATCTCCTTTTTTCGATTTCCGCTTCTTTTCCTTCTCCTGCTTCCGTCCGACGCGTAATGTGATATCATCAACACCTTGTGCGGCATCCAGCAGTCCGCGTTCCAGAAGCCTGAGTTTCGCCATGAATTTCCAAAGCTAACACCTAATCAGTAGTGGAGGGTATCTTCGAAGCATCACTTACCACAGTTCTAGTCATTTTAAATCTGTGGCAGAACATGCAGGTCCCGCGCAACAAATTATACATATTGGTCATGAAGAGTGGGTGAAAAACTGGGGCTGGAAGCTCGATGTGCCCGAAATGACCTGGACAGGTAAAATACGTGAGGTGACATGTTGCGCATCTAGAATCGGTAGGTAAAATTTGTGAACCAGATGCAATAAAATGACGAACGCACATGTCTGAGCGGTCGCTTGGACCGAGGGATGGATCATAGAGACCTCCAATGTTTGGTCGATTCAGATCATCCAGTAGAACGGGATTGACAATTTGTTTAACGGATATTCTCCTGATATCCTGGGAGGTGAGAAATGAAAAGGAAACTCCTGCAACGGTCGAAGGCAACGAATGTGCGATATTCATGATAAACACTCAAGCTTTCTCAGGATTGAGTCACGAAAGCCGTATCTTGGTTGTGGAGGATCAATCATCCAGGCAATTTCTGCAATCCAGTCGCGTTCAACTTTTTTTTCATCACATGACAGCAGGAGCACTGCCACATGACATTCAGACCCAAAATGCAAAAATGAATAATATCCTGCTCAAGGTATATACGTGGTTGGACATCCTCGGCATTGTAACTACTGAATAGATAAAAATTACGATGTTCCTCGTTTGCTCATTGTCCGCTTAGGCTTCCCTGATTTAATTTTCTGTGCCTCCCCAACAAGCTCTGCGATAAGACCATTGTATGTCTCCGAGTCTTGCTGCAGCGCATCTCGAGATTGCAAAAGATATGTCAAAAGACTGGATGTGTTTGCAGTCTGCATTCGAAGATCAGCAAGGTGTCTTTCAAGTGCGGCAAGAGGTTGCATGGTCAACGATTCTGAATCGTTTATTCAGTAGAACGGATGTGGCGTACGGCCAGAAACTGACCTCGGTCTACGTCAAGCAATTTCGACATCCTAGCCCTGTCAAGTTCAGGTTTAGGTCCAAACTGCGCAAGCATGTTTTGCTGGCCCGGTTGAGGCGTTCCCGCTCTCGAACTTGGCCGTGAGACAGGACCCGTGCTGTTTGAATGTGGCACATTCCGTTGTCCAGGAGGTGCCGACATGGGTCGAGTGTGAATTTCGAGAGGAGGTAACGGCTTGCCATTGAGTCGCGGTAAGACTTCATCAAGATTCACAGGAATTCCAAGAGCAATTAGATGTTGGCGACGAATTCGTGAACGCGTCCAATTTGGTGGCTTTACTGGTGGTGGGGTATTCAAGAGCATTTTATACAACTGGCGGCTAATAAAGGTACATCGTTAAGAGACGGACGATCAACCTTAAGAAAACGCTCGCCTTTCTGGCGTCAACAAGATTTGACCAATACCTTCGACTTCTCTAATTCCCTCATTTGTAGTGATGTAGGATATTTCCTCGTTCTCCCATTCCAGTGCGAGTATTTCATAGATTTCTTCCTCTATCTGCTGGCGACCGGGGAATGGGTTTAATCGGAGTGGTCTCCATTGACGCAACGACGAAGGTCCAGCCATCTGGGTCTGCTCCTCAAAATCAATAGATTCACCAAACCCTTCCTGTGCTGAGTACTCGGCGTCTCCAAAATCACCAAAGTCGTCATCTCTTGCGTCGTTCGCAGCCTCTGCTGATGGACCGAAATCATCAAAGTCATCAAAGGTGGTTTCCTGGGTGGTAAGAGCGATGGAGGGTGACGCTTTCTGAAGGTCGACAGGCTCGCTAGCGCCCCATACTGAAGCTCCAAATGTGATATCGTCGTCCATACTAGGTCGACCAGAAGGTTTGTGGTTGTTTGTCGGGCTCATTCATGATGTCCTCTGGTTCTGTCCATGTCTTTCTGTTCTCGTCGTTGGACTCTAAAAATCCTTTGACAGCTCGCAAGGTCCACATTCGCCGTCTCTACGACATCCTTCAGCTAAGCTTACAGAGGAATGACTTTCTTCGCGCTAAAAGGGCATGGGCGGTCCTTGCTCGCTGCAAGGAAATGAATTGGAAGTCCATGTGGACGACAGGACTGGCGCTTCTCGGGGAAGGTGTCGATAGCGCTTGCACTCCTCGGCGACTCGATTATTTGCGCAGTATGATGCTACAACACCCAGACGAAGTCGGTACCTCACACTCGTTTCCCACTTATCCTTACCTTGGTTTTTTTTTAGCGTGAAGCGATCTTACAAGAGCTCATATTTTACCTCGTTCTTTCCGGAAAGTGTAGGGATGCTCTAGATGAGCTTGAACTGTAAGTAGTGGGGAGCTTTCATTGGTTTGTAGGCTCATTACACACCAGTTATCTTCCATGCTTCCCATATCAAGACAACCCGGTATTTCACACATACGCTGGACTGATATCCTTATACCTGGCCCAACCTACTGCGGATTCCACCGACTTCAATACCGCCTTGCTTCGAGACGCTCAATCTCATCTTCGGAACGCCCATACCTTGAATCCTGATAATATTGTTGCCCCAGCATTTCTGCAAAAGGTCTTACCAATCATTCATGCTCATTGTTTCTCATTCATTGTTTTAAACGCAGATACATGATTATGCCAAAGTTGAGATGCCCGGGCAAGATTCCGAAGACGAAAGCGCCGCGGGAACTCACACCACCTCCCTAAGGAAGCGCCCACGAGTCTGAGAAAAGACTTGTGATCTGCACACTAAAACCGCGGCTACTCGTCTTCCTCAGAATCGGAGTTCATGTCAATGACAGGCATTGGCTCGTCCTCGTCGTCAGGGATCAGGTTTCCCAGCACTGGGGCCATCGAACCCGAAGCCTCACTGGTTACGAGCATGTTTGGATGAATATTCTGTTCAAGAGCGGGGATGATGGAATGCTGCTCTTCGGGTATTGGATGGTTGAGTTCAACGTCCTGCATGTCAGAGTCAGGCTCTAGGAAAGCTGGTAACGAAGGTGGGGTTGGCGCGACAGCGACCGAGGATTTTGGCTGGGCGATAGCAGTACGTGGTAACTGTGGACTTTTCTCATGAACCAATTCTTCAACCATTGCCATGTCCTGTGTCATTGATCGTACGCCTGTATGGACCGCTTCCATTTGAAATGCGTCGTAATCCTCCCTTTCGTCCTCTGACCCCTCTGAAGGAAAGAGGGAGATGGACTCGATATGTGGCATTGAACGAATGAGAGGAGGGACGCGAGGGTGCAGAAGGAGATTGAACAAACATTGTATCTGAAACGTTTTTTGAGGAACGGAAATGTAAATAAGTAAAACCCACGCACCTCGCTATCGTTTACTCTGAGTCCCGTTTGAAGGAGCAGGGGAAGGCTTCTGCTCATTGCGCTGGAAGACCATGTGCCAATCTCAACGCTTAGGCTTCGAACTTGTTTGTATACCCGCTCGAACAAAGAAGGATCAGGGGAGAGAAGAGCTGGTGGTATTTGCGGGAGGGCCAAGGCAATTGATAGGATAAGGCGAGAGACGGTGGAGTGAACCGCTGGTGAGAGGCTGGGATTCCGCACGCAATCCCGGATTACTATGATCAATCACATTAGCAAACCAAATATGAAGTAATCAACCAACAAACCATCCAGAGCAACCAGCAAAACTCTTCCGTGCAAGAACGTTGGGCATATGACGTTCCGAGACGCCTTGAAGACCTCTTCACCCTCAAAATTTCGGGCTCTTTTCTTACTTCTTTTACTCCTACTCGACAGCGTACCATCGTCTTCCCTGCTCGACGTTGTGAAAAGGACTGTAGTGATGGAAGGTAAGACAGCCCTTGTCAACCGGTTTGCGATAATTTGGGATTCCAAGTAATGACAGCTTGTCAAAAGGAGGTTTAAGCTCTCTAGGAAAGCCGTCCGCTGTGGCCTATGGGTACTTAATCACAACCTTTTCACAAGATGAAAAAACGCACAGAGAAATGTTCTGCTCAAGATGGTATGTAACAACAGTAATCAGGTTTGTCATGTAGGGCGTCAATCTTTGTTGAGCGCTGATTTATAGTGTATGAGCACCACGATAGATTGAAATGTAAATAAAAAAACATACCATTTTGTTAAATATGAAAGCAATTTACAGCCAAGTCCCCAAATTTGAGGAGTCGCCGCCACTTCCATAGCGTGCACTGTAGGATCCATGTACCCATCCGCCTGGAAAATGTGATACAATGGGTGAGATCTTCCCAAAAGATATGGAACCCCCCACCTTCTCTTCCGTCGTACATGTGAGCAGCTTAATTATGAATTTTATCAGGTGGCCAAGAGGTATTTGTACAGGCCGTTGGGTGGTCGTGCTAGTGGGCAAGTGAATAAAACGGCGACAACTGGGGGAAATCCAACTCACCTCAGAAGATTGCCAGTAACAACCACACATGACCTTAGACGGTCGAGATTAAGGAGAGCGAGAGAATCGTCAGCATTCCTCCGATTCATGCTGCTGGAAGCTAAAAGGTTTGAGAGGCTGTTAAGGCAAGAATCCTGAATAAACGAACCTCCATCACGGAAAGTGGTTCGAAGAGCGAAGAACGCATCCCATCCAAATGCCAGAGTCTCATCCAGTGATTTTCTCCATAAATTTGTAGCTCCCACTTTCCCACCTGTTTGGTGCAAAACTGCATAAAGTTGGGAGGCAGACTCAAGTAGAGTAATATTCGTGGGGCTCAAGGCGCTGCCGTTTAAAAATTGCAGTGCTAGACTAGACAATGCAGGGTAGGAAGCTCTGCTCGTCGTAGGATAGAGCGGAATAAGGTGTGCCAATGTGCGTAGGGCACAAACCTTCAGCAGGATTATAATGAGACAGTAGGACCCGAAGACACTAACATACCTGGAGTTGGACTTCACTTTGAGTCCCAGCAGTGGCGATCAAAGCAGCAATAAATTTTGGTATGTTGGGAGTCGACACCTGCCGTTGAAACTCTGCGACATCTGTGGCGGTCGAAAAGATTGTAACAATTAATCGGATAGCAGCTTTCAATGTCGGTGGAGGTTCATTTTTCTTCATTCATGGAGGGTGAGATAGAATACACCGATAACCAGAACAGAATACAGACTGAAAGTAACGGTAGCGCAACACCTATCCAGCTCTGCGCTGATTCAATCATTAGATTTTGAGAGAGCAGGGATGTTTTATGTGCCAAACAAAGGCCAGCCCATCGAGCTCCAGGGTCCTTGGAGTGCAGGAGGGAGTGAATTCGTGTTGACCATTTGGAGGTGTGTGTTGAAGGCAAGAAGCTTTCTCGTGTCAACGAAGAGAGAATGTACGGAAGGAATGAAACGGAAGACGCTTCAGACGCTAGCTGAGACTGTAGCAAATTTTTAAGGTGATGTCCAGTTTCCATAATCGTATGGCAGCTTCAACAACTTGAAGAAACTATCTCCGATTCAGAAAGTAACACGAACAAATAATTCTGATTGCCCTTGCCAATAACACATACGTACTTACTTGCTCACCACGCGTCATGTCGGCGCCAGTGATATACGATTCAGATATTTCGGAACACCTCCAGCTTTCAAATTTCAAGGTACGTACGGCATCTTCAAAAGCTGAAGCATTGCCTAATTGAGTTGCGAAAGGGCAAGTTCGATGTCACTGACTTTGTGGGCGTTGTATCCGAGAAACTGATAGTACAATCGAAGGCCGACAACGGACGTGTGTGAGAATGGAGCTCGCGTATATTTCCCGAACTTATCTTGACACCTGTAGCTTTCGATCCACGACCATTCATCCAATCATTTGAAGCAGCCGTGGACAGGCTCATCGCTGTTCGTAAAGATGTGCAGACTAAGACGGAACAGATGGAGAAGAGTGTGCGGGTTGCAGAGCGAGAGTATTCAAAGAAGATGGCGGAATTGACGCAAGGGTTTGAGGTAGGTTAGCACCCAACGAGCTTGGGCGACGCGGCGCTAACAACGGGCTTGTTAGACCGTCGCGAACTCATTCTCTGGAATGGAAAGTCGAATGAACGAAGTCAGCAGTACAGCTGTTCGCATTGGTAAGTCCTTGTCACGTCCCTTGATAGTGGGCTGATCGTCTGACAGGCGACCAACTTGAAACTGTGCACCTCGAGCGCCAAAGAGCTCAAGCAGCATGCGACCTCATCGATTTCTACAATCAATTCATGAAAAATGACACCTCCAAGCTAGATGCTATGCGAAAGGAAGGCCGATCAGGAAGGCGTCAAGTTGCTGTGATCCTGCGGCGTCTCAATACAGTGGGGAAGGAGGTTGATCTCCCAACTGCGGATAAGGTTAGTGCTGGGTAAGATTCAAATTTCAAACATTGATAATTTCCCAGACCCGGGAAAATATCGAGAAATATTGCGAAAAATTTGAAAAAGAAATGTTGAACCTATTCGATCGTTGTTATCGCAAAGGTGACCCAAAGATGATGCACGTGCGTAGTCAAGTTTTCTTTCACAGAAAATGAGTGAGTCTGCTCCTTAGCATTGTGCCCAAACACTTCTCGAATTCAACGGTGGCGCATCTTGCGTTCAAGTTTATGTTAACCAACACGACTTCTTTATCAACAATGTTCGCGATGCTCGACCGATTGACGACACACTATTGTGCGTTTCAAGTCATCCACCTATTTTTCGTTTCATTGAAGGTTTTGCTAGATGGGATGTTATTGCTGACCCAACTACAAGTCCGCCCAAGAGTGAGGCAGGCCTCACAGAATTATTCGGTGAAATTCGTTCGACAGTGGATACAGAAACCCAGATCGTGAAGGCGGTATTCCCAAATCCTTCGGTAGTGATGCAAGTATTCTTGCAGCGTGTTTTTGCTCAGTCCGTGAGTGACACCCATCCTCTTCAACCTTTGTGCTGATGCTATCCAGATCCAACAACATATGGAACAGCTCCTTCATAAAGGCTCGGACATTTCAGACCTCGCTTATCTACGTCTTTTGCAGATGGTTCACATCCAAGCATCTTCTCTTGTGGAAGATTTGAAAGCACATGAACTTCCCCATGTTCTGCCCAGAACACCATACGAAGCGACGGAATTTCGTCGATCGATAACGGGATCTATGCCCACCACAGCTTCGACGTCTGCTGCTATAAGCACCATGCTTGAAACTGCAATGGAAGAACTATTCATTCCCTACACGGAAGGTCAAAGATATCTGGAGCGTGAAAGCAAGAGTCTTGCGTCTCTTTACATCAATCTTCTGGCTAATTTCACTCGATATCATGTCCGTCACCCCATTACATTGCAGTTTGACCCCATTAATGTAGTTCAAACAGAGAGCACAAAAAGCCAAGTCTTCTATGTTCGATCGGATGGTCAACCAAATTAGCGCAGCTACAGCTACAACGGCCAATAGCGGGGGTTCGACTTCAGCGCAGGCCGCTAGTGCACTTATGAGGTTGGGGGTCATTAACTCTGACAGAGGTCCGGATAAAGCTGGGGAGGATCCAGCACGGGAGGAAGATGGTATTTTGACGGTAGAAACGGCTGAGACGATGCTGAAATGGCACGCTGAAGCCATTGGCCGATGTGTAGAACTGAGTCCTGCCAATGACGTGTAAGTCCTAATCTCTCAAAACGCATACCCTCGTCACCGACTCTCTGAGCAGCCCAAAGAGTACCTTTGCCCTGTTCCGCGTCCTGGCAGAAGCTATTGGAACGTCATATGTGGAAGCCGCCCTTGACACGTTAGTCTTCCTTTCCCTATTTCTATTTCCCCCATCTGATCTTTTTATAGTACACAAGTTCGTCTGGACGCGGCTGATAGTAAAAGTGAACCGACATTGCAGCCATTAACTATCATCAGATCAATTGACCTAATTTGCCATCTTTGGCAGCAATATGTCAATATTGCATTACTACCGCTGGCCAGTTCCTCGGTAACCATTAGACGAGAACTGGTCGTTTTCAACAATCAAACCATCAACCGCCTTGAAAGCGGAGCCAACAGTCTTCTTCAGCGTGTCACAGACAGTGAGAATTTGGTCCCCCACGACTAACAGCAAATTGGTTCATCTTTTTTTTCTCTCTCTCCCCAGCTATAGTGTCGTGGCTGTCATTACAGCTCACAAAGCAAAAGAAGAACGATTTCAAACCTCGCAACGATGATTTGTCCTTTGCCAGGGTAAACACGGAGCCTTGTATTGCATGTTGTGAAACATTGGAGAAGGTCCGCGATGCTGCAAATCAGAACCTGAGTGGAAAGAATTTGGAAGTTTTCCTCACCGAAGTCGGGGTGGCTTTCCATAGGTCCGTTTACCTAATTTTCTGCCCTGATTTGTCCTATCCAGGTTTATTTGTAGCCTGCTGCTAGAGCATTTGCGAAAGTTTCCCGTAAGCGCGACAGGTGGACTCATGCTTGCAAAGTTCGTTTTCTTCTATTATCTCAACGTATCTGACGTGAGCCTTGTTTCAGAGACATCAAATCATATCAAGACATAATCGGCACCTTTGGCATTCCGGTTCTTCAAGAACGATTTGAATTTGTCAGGCAACTGGGCAACATCTTTCTGGTCCGCCCAGAAATTCTCAAATCCTACATAACCGAAAATTATCTGGGGAGGATAGATTCCTCTCTTTTGAAACCGTATCTAGCCCTGCGAAGCGACTGGGGCCAGTTTGAAAAAGGGTTCAATGATTTAGACGCTGCCCCCAGTGACATCGGCAGTGCTGGGACAGCATTGAAGGATCGATTTGGTCGACTAAGTGTGATGATGAAGGAGTTGGAGAGTTTGAAAATGGAGGGTATTTCAATACCATCCAGCTTCACAGGGGGTTTCTCCATGTCCATGTCAACAAGAGCATTTGGAGGTTCTTCATGATGTGTTTATTGTTTAAACATAAATTATTTGCTTTCTTCTCTTGGATGTATTATTTATTCCCCTCTAAATACAGGCTTGCGTTTCTCTCTAAAAGCTTGAAGCGCTTCCATCCTGTCAAGGCTTGTTAGAAGCGTCTCGTAAGAAGCGCGTTCGAAGTCCAGTCCTGCCACAATTATAACAGAAGTGATAAGTGCAAACCTTGAGAGAACGTACCTACTTCCAATGCCAAGTCTGCAGAGCGAGATACCGCTTGCTTTGCAGCGCGAAGCGCCAGGGGTGCTTGAGAAATGCATGTTTCAAGCAAACGAAAACAACCAAAGGAAAGTCATACCATTTTTCGCAATGCTTTCTGCCAGAGTGAGGGAACGGTCAAATGCAGTTGTTTCGGGTGTGGAGATATAGTTGACCAGCCCTGCGAAAATAATTCAAAATAAATAACCACTCCTATAACGTGAACATTATTTGCACCCCACTCCAAGGCCTCCGAAGCCGATAATGTGCGCGCCGTGAATATTAGATCTTTAGCTCTTGAGGGGCCAAGAAGTTTCGTGACTCTTTGAGTTCCACCGGCACCAGGAATTATTCCGAGGCTCGTCTCCGGAAGACCTATCTTTGTAACATCGCGACCTGGAGTGACAGTGAGATAAGCCGAGCAACAATTATGACTTTATTACCTGCAACTCGCAGATCACAAGCAAGGCTTAGTTCGAGACCTCCGCCAAGTGCTGGGCCATCAATGGCAGCAATAGTAGGCATCGGAAGCGATTCCAATTTACCCAAAGTGTCCCGGAGGTCTGCAAGAAATTTGGCAACCTGAAGTTGCGACATTGCACGGCGCTCCGCGAGATCCGCACCCGCGCAAAAAGATCCAGTCGTCGTCGAGCGGAGTATCAGAACCCGGACGCTATTCCCTGCACGTAAAGGAGAGGAGAAATTATAGTAATGATCCACCCTCACCTTTTATCAAAGCGTACTGTTTCTATGCTTTCTCGAAGTTGCTGTGGACAAGCGCTTCAACGGTATACACTTGGTCAATCGGAAGGTATTTACTTGCAAAAGAGTCAAAGAAATCGCGTTCTTGGTTTGAGGCCGGTTGAGCGACAAACAAGTTATTCCAGGGTGTGATGTTATAGGCTCCAGAAAGGCTTGGGCATCATGTGCAGCATGTTGCAAAAACCGCCTTGTCGAGGCTGATGAACGAAATGACTGACAAGAATAGCCATAGCGCAGTCCTGTGCATAAGATCATATTGAGCTGACTTCTAGAAATCGTTGAGCGGTTGAAGTAGAATTTGGTGATACTAATAATAGTTCCGGACCATGACTACGTAAACATGGCCATACATTCGGCCCCATCAGAATATACACACAGCTCTGTAAGTAGACAAAAACAATTACATTCTGGTGTAAATAAAATTCAAGGCTGAGTTCAGTGATGATATAAGTACTAGTCGCAGGGGCACGGACGAGGAAAACCAACCAATCAATGCCCGAAGGCCTCCTCTCGCCGTGCAGATGATGGCGAGGCAGCTCCGTAGAAAGAATCGATCGAAGTTGGATAAGATTCCCGACCAATATGACTTCGGGGCACCACCTTGGTTGATTCACCAGAATTCAGTGAGGTGGGCGACGCATAAAAACTCATTTCCCGTGGCTGCTCGTGTACGCGGGTAGGGTCGTAATCTATTTCCCGGGTTGTGAAGGGGTCAATGGGAGCGGCGTTAATGCTGAGACCTGGGGAACTATTCCGAGTCCCTTCCGATTCGAGGTCTTTGTCGAAGAGCTGATCTTGAAGGCGAGAATGCATTCGTGCATTTCGTTTTTTGTAGTAGGAGAATGTCACGCCAGCCGCCGCCCCTAATATGATGAGCGCTAAAACCACGAAAGTCCCCGCGACAGCAGCTTTATTCTGCCAGAAACTTTTGAAAAAAATCAAATGATGTAGATAGTCTTGAGGCACAGGAAAACATACCCAGAGTTTACGGTGGCCAAAATTGCAGTTTGACTCGGGGATGTGGATGGATCAATGCCGTAAGTTACAGCCGAAGTGAGGTGAATGCCTGTGATGACAGTGGAAAATAGTTCTGTGTTGAAATCAGGCGTTGCAGTCGGGGAAGGCGGTGAAGGCGGTGAAGGCGGTGAATCGGTCGTTAGGACTACCGCAGGGATTGAGGAGGTCGATGGAGGTCTAATGGATATTAATGTATGTTGAGCGCAACTCTAACAGCACTTACTGGGGGAAGGGAGGACCTGACGATGTGTTGAACTTGGTGGTATGGGAACCCAAAGGTGTTATGGCGGCGGGTTTGAATACCGCTTGGGACGAGCTCTCTGAAGTAGTAGAAGAGGATTCAGTGGTAGATGATTCAGTAGTGGCTTGCGACCCTGTCATCGAATGGAGTGAGGATGGATCCTCAGAAGTTGCGTTCAATTGACGCGCTAGGAGATTTTCATGACGCCTCTGTAATTGCACGAATGAGTGGTTCTCCATGCTGAACGAAAGTATGACAACGAAAGGAATGCTCGCAAGAATGGCGAACGCAATGAAAGTAGGAGTACGACGTGACGACCAGCGAGGTGTTGCACACATTTGCGATCAAATACTCCTTGAAGCAGTGGTGCGCTGAACTCGGCAGCAAAGATGATAATGGTGATAAGACTCAGAGTGCTCTCATAGGTAGGTAGATTGATATTGGCCATAGGTTGATCATGATGGGTTGCAATTATTGTCCGATCGGCGTAACTAAGTCAAAACTAAGTATCCCGATTTGATTTGAGCTGGGAGCTCATTAGAACTGCCAACAAACTGAGACTGCCACTCACTATCACGACTATCAAGGAGTCAATACGTGGGCCAGTTTCCAAAGCATTCTGCTGAAAAATTGCCACTCAGCGACTTTGTTGGCTTGCAAACTCTACTAGGTTTAATTTGGGAGTGGATACATACGGTCCGTTGGCCGTCAGCGGGCCGGGAGCCCACGAACCGGCGTGACTGGGTTGTAATGTAACAGATCCGCCCTTCCCGCAAACTTCGTGGATTCTCTCAACGAACCGCTGTTGATCTCAACACACAACTGAGTTAAATCCTTGTCGTCCAAACCCTTCGCAATTTCTGGTTCGCTGACTTGGCCACGGGTTCGCTGTTGAAGCTTCGCAATTATGTCATCCCGGTCCTGCAATAACAATTAGAGGTTCTGAAAGCCGCTAAGCTGCAAAAAACTTACATCAATGGGCCACAAGCTATCCAGTTTTGCAACCTGCCATTGCTGGGCGCCGATATAAAACCAACCTCTCTTGCATTGGAAGGTGAACACCACAGCTGAGGAAAGACGGAACTGAAACACACCTGATCTCCCATGCAGGTGAATGTGTGCACTACTGTGTCTGGTCGGGAGGCGGTGACATACTTTCTGATCTTCCGATTGACTGTTTTTGGAGCCCAGTCGAGGAGATAGGTAGTTGTGGGGGTTTCAAAGAATATGGGATCATAAATGAAGCCGAGAGAATAAGTCTCATCTTGAATGTGACATGTGGTGATTTGGACCCTCATTCCCAGCTGGGGTGAATTTTGGAGACTTTGAAGGTTCAGAATTAAATCATGGCCTGCGCTGATATCGCTAAAGGCTCAAACTTGCCTCTCAAGTGAGCTCATCTGTCCAGGGAACTTTATTGATTATAAGAAAATTAATATCAATCGCACACACCTCATCTTCGGTCAAGCCAAAATGGTCAACGAGCTTTGTCCAGGGAATCGGCCCAAGAATCAAATTACTACATCCTGGGGGCATTGAGTGGAAATGGAGATACCATTCAGAACTTTGTGGTGCCAGGTCCCGCAACGTTTTTGGAAAAGGGGATTCAAAGGTATCTGATCCCCCCTTCCATGAAGCACACAAAGACGTTGGTGATGGCGCTCGAAATTCATCAGTATTAGATGTTTGCGACAATACTTGAGATGCCGCTCGGTATGATTGGACGGTTGCTGTTGTGGGTGAATCCTCGGCGTATAAATCGTCATGGAGAGCTTCGTCAAGAATTTTCTGTTTGGGAGGACTTGTAACCTGTTCAACTATATTATCAAAAACGAGCTCCAACGAAGGGATTCTGCACTACCCTTTCATCCAGAAGGTCTCTCGCCACCTTCCGGATGTGTTTCAACTTACGAAACGCAGACTCACGAGCTTCCAGTGCATGGTCCAGCTCCGCTTTGTGATTTGCCTCCTTTCTCTCCAGCTCTTCATTGAGGTGACGAAGCCATTTGACGCTTATGAAAAGCTCCGAGTTTTTTGCCTCAAGTTCTGCTATCCTAGACTCTTGCTCAGCAAGCCTAGCCTCAAATTTGTTCTGTTCCTTTTCTACGAGGAAGGCCAGACGTTTCAGACGCTCGGTTGTTTGGATATTACAATCAGTGAATAGCTTGGTCAGGGCAGATATCTGATGAGGAGATGGTAAGTTTACGGAAAATTATCTCAAAATGGATTTACCTCATCCTGCAACGCAGTAGATTGGATATTTCTCGCTGACGACATGAATGAATGCAAGCCAAATGCCTCCGCGACGGAACCAAAATGAGGGCTTTGTACCTGCTTGGCTGCGGCTTGCTTTACTTCCATAATATTGACCGACTCAATGTCTGCCACAGCAAAGAAACTGTTAGTGGACATACACACTCATGTCTACCTCCCCCGATACGCCTCATTGTTGAGATCGCGCTCTTCTGTTCCCAAAATTTGTTCTGTGACTACCTCAGACGGAACCCCACAGGAACGCCTCCTTATCTTGAACCATGAGCCCAGTGGTGGTCGCCCAGTAGGACCTCAGTACTGGGATCGTGAAGGTTTTCTGCTCTCTTCTGTCCCTGGCGTACGGAATCAGAGGCTTACACGACATCGCAGAGAAACTGAAGTTCATGGATAGGCATGGGATAGATGTCTCTATCGTCAGTACAGCAAATCCGTGGTTGGACTTCCTTTCTGCACCTGATGCGCAAACACTAGCCTCAGAGCTCAACAATGACCTTGAGCAGTATTGCTCAACGTCCCCACGTACGTCGAGCGGCAATTATAGCATTAAGCGGTTGTATGGGTTCGGATTGTTGCCCCTCGTCCCAGAGATTACGACATCCGCTGTTCTCGACACCGTCAACCAAATTGCTCAACTTCCACATCTGCGTGGTTTGATCATGGGGACCAAAGGCATTGGAAAGGGTCTTGATGACGCTGCACTTGATCCTGTGTGGGATGCGATCGAAAAAGCCCAACTCGTGGTTTTCTTGCATCCCCATTATGGTGTCAACGCGGAGGTTTGGGGAGAGGTAAATAATGGGCATGTTTTGCCACTTGCGTTGGGCTTCCCTTTTGAAACCACAATTGTGAGCTCCAGCCCAATTCAATCTTCTTCGAGGTTGTTGAACGTGGCGTATAGGCAGCAACTCGTGTCATCTTGTCGGGTGTGTTGGACCGGTTCCCTTCGCTTCGACTTCTTCTGGCTCACTCGGGTGGAGCCCTGCCCGCACTTTCTTCTCGATTGGCGTCGTGTATTGATCACGATCCAATCGTAGCATCGAGACTGAAACATGACGCTCGATACTATCTTGGAAAGTTGTATCTCGATGCAGTTGCCTACGGACCTGAGGAGCTTGGCTTCGCAAGTGACGTGATAGCTCGCGCAGATCGATACAATTCACAATCTTCCTCGACGCCAGTCCTCAACCGAAGCATTGGGAGTAAAAGGATGCTCTTCGGGACTGATCATCCATTCTTTCCTCCTCTCACATCGACCGAGAAATGGAAAAGCGTTGTGGAGAATCTCGAGGCCATTGATCGTGTTCAGGGGTGGAGTCGAGAAGACATAGACGGCGTTTGTGGAGCCAATGCTCTTGCTTTGTTTAATCTGACTCAATAAAAATCATGGTCTACGGTCTTCTATATCTTTACACCAACTCATGGTCTACGGTCTTCTATATCTTTACACCAACTATTCCAAAGGCATTTGGATCTTCAGGCTGAAGTCAATATGTTGCACCGATTGGTGCACTGCACTCGTGCTGAGGATGTCGATTCCTACCGGGATGCATACAGCAATCAGCGGGAAAATAACAAAGTCATGGTGAGCTCACCGTTAATGGCCCGCTCTTGCAGATTTGCCTCTGTGATATTTCCACTTGTCTCAAAAAGAAACTTTCTTTGGCCTTGCCACTTTGCCTTTAGGCTGCTCGCGACGTTAACCAGTTCACTCCCTTCCATGTTGTCCAACATAATGATATCAGCACCAGCTTCGATTGCTTCATCTGCCTCAGCCTCTGAACCGACCTCAACGTCTAGCAACAAGCTAAAGCCACCAACAGAGCGAGCCTGTTGTATTGCTGCAGTTATGGAGCCTATAATATTCATTAATACGCCAAAACATGATGACAAGAAGGAAATGTTCACCAGATGACCAAATGTGGTTATCCTTGAGCATGATCATGCTCGATAAGTCATGGCGATGGGGGTCGATTCCACCGACCAGCATCCCGTATTTTTCCACAAGCCTAAATCCTATCGCCTCTTCAATGTGGAAAGCTCATGCTAAGGTAAAATGCGTACCAGGGGTTGTCTTTCTCGTCCCGGCGATGATGCCCTTGTAACCGTAACTTTTCGCCAGATCCCTGATCTTCTTTGATCTTCAAGGATGAACGCATTTTATCAGTCGTCAACAACAATGACACGGAGAATACAGAAGACCTACTGAGTAGCGATACCACTGCACCTGGCGAGTAAGTTGAGCGCTATCCTCTCCCCCAACAGGAGGAACCTTGCCTTGCCGTTCACGGTTGCGATGTGCCGTACTGGCTCAAATATGTCGCCTTCCTGCACATGCCATTCCACCCTGTAAATTAAATGGTAATATGTTTGAAGGGTATTCAGACGCTAGGAACTGACGTGCAGCCCAGTTGAGCAAATATTTCCGTCACGAACGGCGACCCAGCGAGAACAGCGGCATTCTTCCCCTTCCCAAGGAGAAACGCCTCACGCTCAACCTCTCCAACCACATATCCGCCGTAATCGAAGGAAGGCGTGTCTTCTGTCAGCCAGGCTGTGACCTGGACCTTCCAACTTGGAGGGAGGAGATGTTCGAAGGACTTTGACATGCCACTGGTGGTTCAACGTTGAGATTAGATTAGATTTGCACGTGTTGCACGTAAGGTCTGTTTTTGGACAATTGTCGATATTACAGTATAAGTCTAGAATGTACATCGGATTTCACGCAACCAGCAAATACGAGTGAATCACGCTATACTAGGAAGAAAATAGCCAATAAAGTCACTGCCAGGACTTCAACATGTATCCTTATAGCCCCGCCGTCATTGCTTTGCGTAGTAGGCGTCGCTTCGTCTGTTTCGTCAGTCGGCTGCGCTGTCGGGAAGCTGCTCGTAGCTCCATTGTCACTGTCCAAGCGCGTCAAATTCAACCCTATTCATAATTAAAACGTACTCACACTTGCTTAGAAGACGTCGTGGAGGTGGCTGACGCTACTGTCGCTAATTTCGCTCCTTGCTTAATCGTGAACTTTGGAGACTGGGCGAGAATGCTATCGTCTTCTTGCACCATGTTGATCCGATACCCGTCCCCTACGGCCGGCCAGCCACCGTCTGGAGCGTTGATGGTAGTTTTGCCCTGCGTGCCGTCAACATTGGTGGCAATGACTTTGGGAGTGGGCATGGATTCCGCATCCTACGAAGCGAGTTGTCAGGATATATGCGCGTAATTGTGAATAGAACGTTACATCGTTGACTAGAACAAGGTTGAACTTGGCGGGGTCCGTTTTAACACGCTGCCAGGTCACGCTGCAAAGGCGAATTAGCTGCTGTTGAAGGTTGTGCAAAAAAAACGCATAATACGTTTGTGGCCCTGTGCTCGTCCAACCGTTGGTATCGCCTGGCGTAAGTAGCTTGTATGAGAAGGCCGACGCGGCGAAGGAAACAAGGAGTGCTGTGATGACGCGCATATTTGATAGAAGGACAGATTAAAGGTGGGTATAGTTTGGGTGTATAAGGTAGTATGTGGGGTATTCGAAGCCAAGAAGCGATGTAGGGAAAAGCAGAGAAACCCTACCCTTTATACATCCCACTCGACTCTATTTTTATCTTGAGCATACATAGTGAGACATTGATTGACGCGATATTATTCAAAACAACAGGCGTACAAATATGGCGCACGAATTGGCGATAGCGCAGGGGAACGCGTAAACTGAGTGTGGTATACGTATTGAGGTAATCGAAAAGGTCCAGGAGGTAGGTCCATAAGATAGTCCACGAAGCTCGAGAACATATTCTCTTCATCAAGCCAAGAAGAAAGCGAGGATCGAGAATAGCGGGATGAGAGCAAGCTGTCCTTCAAATGCGGGCGTTCCAGCATTCTGAGGGGTCGAAACCGTGCCCGCCGTTGGGTCAGCGCTAGTTGTTGCAGGAATAACGAGGGTGGTGGCAGTGCTGAATGCAGTTGAGAAAAATATTACCAGTGTGGGAGCAAATAAACGTACGATTGCCCTGTGGCAGTGGAAGAGCTTTTTGAAGTCGGCTGGGTGATATTAAATTCTGGGGACTGCGCTAAGATGGTGTTCAAGTCATTAGCGTCTTGAACGAGGTTAACACGGTAACCGCCTCCAGGGGTGGGCCATCCACCGCTGGGTGGATTCACGGTGGTATTACCAAGCGTTCCATCAACGAGTGCGGCGAGCACTTGATCTGTGGGCAATAATTGGCGGTTCTATGTTGAAGATTAGGGTTAAGCATAGCAGTAACCGATATCTACGCACCTGGTTCGTGAGGACAGCAGTGAAGTTCAGTCTGTCCGTGTTCACACGCTGCCAGGCGAGGCTACAAAATAGTTCAAGTCAAGACGAAGGGTTGACAGGACAATGCTTACGGTTGAGCACCCTGGTTGGTCCAACCTTGGCTCCCATTAGGGCTAGTTACGCTGTACGCCAGAGTCGAAGCAGCGGCGGATAAAAGGAAGGTGATACTGAGCCGCATATTGAGAGAAGGATTGGAAGTTCCTGAATGGAGGAAGGAGTCGATAAGGACCGTGAGGGTTTCTGAGCGAACGCTTGGAACGTGGCGAGAAGCAAAAACTAGCTTTTCTATAAAGGACCTGCCGAAATGGAGACACCGTCCAACAATCCGGTTCAAATACCTGTCAACAAACAATTTCCTCTTTCAGCAGAACAGTTTTTTTTTGGTTTTCCGTGCAACAAGTGATCTAAGTACTAAGACACGCGGAGCAGAACAAAAATTGCGTGCCGTAGAATCTACATCGAAAGGGTGCAGTTTGAGCAGTTGAAGACAATGATTCTTAATTAAGTCTCAACGTATTCAGATTGAACCCTCTTCAAGCCTTCGAATGCCTCTGTCAATTTATGGTGATTTCCGGCGCGTGTCCTCTAGGTGTTTGTCATGAATCCTGGGGACGACATAGTCGTTTGATGAGAAGGTTGTTTGCGGAACAACCCCATGGCTAGTCCGGTTAACAAGCTTACGCATGTTATAGGTCAAGTCAGCGATTGGCTGTAATCGGCACGTTGAACGTAACAAGTTCAATTTTATGAATCTCATGGCTTTGAGGCAGAGTGGGGAAAGCGGCGGCTCATTCTTAGAGAACGACAACATGACATGATCCGCCTGTCATAGCATAATGGTGGGTTCAACAATCAAAAGCTTTCGAATCAACCTCACATATGTTATTCCTGTACGTGATACGTCTTGATGACCACATTAAACTTGGGCACAAACGGAGTCCTGTACGAATTTGTTGTGAGCTGGCTAGGATTTAGTGGAAGGGTAGTTTCTCACTGTGGGATACAAACTCTATGCAACAGTTTGCGGAATCTCACAGGCCATCTCTTTGAGCATGTCTTCGGCGTCCATCCAGAGATCGCGTTGTTTCCAATTTCCGATAATGGTCGATACAATGATCCAGCAGGAACGTTCATTCAGACCGTTGGTTGGCGAAAGACCCTGTACAGTAGATGTGATACGACCTTTGATCAAGAATTTCAAAAATGCCAAGCAAGCCCGAGCTACATTTCGTAAAAGGTTCATATCATCCGCTGAAATATGATCATCAACTCGAGCTAGGAGAGCAAATATCCATCGAGCATGGGATTCTTCAGGATAGTGCGCTTGATCACGTTGTTGGAGGTAAAGGTTAATCCAGTGGGTAAAATACATGAGAAGATGCAAGGCCATGCGCTGCTCGCAACCGTTAACAAAAAAGCGAGAACATACAGAAATAGACACATGCCTCGTCGATAAGCTTCAAAAGTGTTGTAGATGGTTCGCGAGGCGGGTGCCCTGGAAGTTTGGACCAAACATTTGGAGAGACAAGTTCATCGGGGCACTCGAGGTCTCCAGTTGTTCCCTTTGGTGAAGGCGGGGTTTCTGTGGGTTCACCACTCGGAAGTTGCCTGACCTCATCATCGTCGTTCCCGTGCAAAACGACACTTTGTTGCATCTCCGGCGGGCCAACCATCGAGTGGCTCTCCCAAGCACGGAGACCTTGTCCATATTGTTTTCGGGTGGAAGGATGCTGGGGTTTCGCTTTCTTTGGAGGATTCCAATAAGTTTCTGGCTTTCCTGCCAGAAAGTCCCACCAGTGGTCTCGTTCTTTCTTATCCGGCATTAGCTTTTGGTGAGCAGCGTGCGCAGGCCCGACATGGATGGTTGGTTGATTTAGATTCTGAAGGATTGGTATGTAATAAGCGGGAGAAAAACGACGAGAATGAGCAGCGTGCCTTGCGAAAATTGCTCAATCGTGTTTCAAGAAGTCTGCACCATTCTCTAGATGGCAACGACGGATGAGGAGCGATGGTATCCTGTATCGTAGTCTTCGCGACTTCAGGGATCTCGTAAGGGTTGACCGCTCGAACGACATGCGGAAGGTAACGTGCATCTCGTCTGTGAGGTTGTCCGTAAGATTAGTTAAGGAAAAAAAAGGACATCCTTACCTCACAGTGAAAAGATACTGCATACCGTCAAGTGGTTCTTCGTCGAAGTCGTCTGGGAGGTTGGCTACTGGAAGAATTTGTTTCCCATAAGCCAAGTCATCCTCGTCATCCTCGTCATCTTCGCCTCTTTTCCGCTTGAACGGTGCCATGTAAAACGGGGCTAGTTCAATGGAAACGAACCAGTAATCGCAGTAGACAGTAAGTTTGTTGCTACTTGTGTGTGCATGTTCTGAGTACATAGGGGAACTAACTTCAAGTTCCCCATCTAGGATCCCTCATAGGCCCTTCGAACAACCCAAAAATATTCTGTACCTCTCACTATGAAAGGTCTTGAAATGGTCGATGAGGATAAGATCGACACAGAGGCTTTGCAGGCTCAAATTGATCTTTCCATGTCTTTTACTCAGACTCTTGTGTCGTCTTGGCTCAAACCCCAAAAGGCATCGACGTCTTCGCGCAAGAGAAATTTTGAGGCGGAACTCAGAGACTATATGCACCGTCCCCCTAGGTAAGATGGCGCAATAGTTTTTTGTTGAGGATTAACGGATTACAGGCTGGGTGTTGGTGCACCAATACCGGATACACAAGCCGGTTCCCGAGAGATTGCTCGTCTCAGAGGCCAGTTGGCCGGAAAAAAACGCGGGAGGGATGGGGACGTAGATCATTCAAGCCCGCAGGGTTCCGATGTTGAGGAGGAGAGTAGAACGGGAGCGATCAAGCACAAGATCAGGGAAGACCCATTCGACGTTGTACACGGGAAAAAGAAAAAGAAAACAAATGGCAAGGTGAATGGCGTAATGACGCCTTCACCAGCTCCTGTTGTTACCTTAGAATCTTCGCAGCCAGAAACAGAGGAAACGATCCCAAATCAAGCCAATGAAATAGCTGGCGAACCCGAACCAATACATGATGTCACTCCACCGAAATCCGGCGCAAAAAAACCACAGCACAGCACCCCCCAGGAGGGGGGCTTCAACCTTAAAATGATTTCCTCGTCCACCACCCCACCAAGCTCAAGCTCAAATCTTTCCAACCAATTGAAACCGTCTAGCACTCCAATTTCACGGCTGGGTGAGTCTATTTTTACTTGTGGCACTTCCTTCGCACAGTTGACGTCGAATCTGCTAGCCATAACTGAACCCGTGCTTTCCAAGTTCTCAACAATACCAGCCCCCACGTCCCGTGTGGACCTTCCCCCACAGCTTCTCAACGAATCGTTGTTAAATCTAAAACCTCTGCTCAGCGAAGCCGAGTCAGACGACGCCTTACCCGCAACATCTTCTACGAGTCCGAGAAAAAAAAGAAAAAGGAGAAAAAAGAAGAACCCTTTGCACGATAATTCTCCTTCTGTCACAAATACTGTATCCTGAGCTTGGATTTTGGTGATCCAGGTGAATGTCGAAGACCTATTGGCAAACAGATGACCAACATCCAGTTCACCATGACCACATCTAATACCCCATATTGCAAATGCGTACGCTACGTTTTGTGTAGTCCATAGAATTTCCGACGCTCATAACGTTGATCTAGCCTTTTTCTTCTGGCGTTGCCTCTCAAAATATTGATGAGATGGGTCTAGGATCCATATCAACATTGAAGCAACTATAATAATGATACACCTCAAAATCAGCAACGACTATCTTACAAAACCAAAACCCAACAGGTGTCCATCCATCCACAGTAAAAAACAAAAAACACGAGGTGACAGGAATTTATTTATTTATGACCACCGGATCTGCGGCCGCTCGGTCTGGGGCGAGGGCGTGGCTGAGTAATTCGAGTGGGGCGTTGGGTGGTATTTGAACTCCTTGAGGTCTTATATGACGGTCTGGATTGGTGGCTAGATTGGTGGTTACGTGTCAATTGTCGGGGCTTTGTCGAGGTGCTCCCCCGACTGCCTCTTGTGAGCTGTCGAGCTGGGTGTGTTCGTCGAGAGCTGCCAACGGTGAAGAACGACATGAGGCCCTGGCCAGTTCTCGCTTGCTGCCTCTTCCTCCTGGCCGCCTTGTACGCTCGAGCGTCTCGCATTTCCTTCATCCCCTAGCAGAAGCATTAAACATCACCCTATGTCAGTGATCAGGAACCAACCTTGCTCCTCAAATCCTCATCCCCAAGAAGAGTTCCTCTCATTTTTGCTAGCCATCCGTGCATGGTAGATGGCGGCGGCTTGCATCGAGTGCCATCGGATCTAAACTGGAACGGAGCAAGAAGTCAGATGTGCTAGATCTTCGTCATAAAGCAACCAAATTACAGATGATGCCCATTCAATCTTCATTGTATCGCGGAATAATAGTCAAGGGTATGTCGGCGGGGGATGTGGGTCGTAAATCGGATTTTGACATATGCTTTGAACCTGGTTATAACAGCAGTTGGACGTGATTACGTAAGCTCACCTCATTGCTTCCACCTGGGTATCTAAATGGTATGTTGTTCATCAGCTGTCCATCGGAACATGCATTTATCATGCCTCTAACGGAAAGCCGTGCGTTCATGAAACGGACAACTTTGCTAGACGTTTCAAAAATTACCCGAAGAAAGCGAGTTGCTGCCCAGCAATTTGGCCATGTACTTACAAGTCATCCATCCTTGTATTATTTGCCAGGTTCGGACGATCCTTAGGCAACATTTTTTCCTGAGGGCAAGAAGCAAGTCAAAATAATGCTAAAGATTTTGGTCGCAAAGTTTCCCTCAGGCCGCGAACCACTCCACATTATATCTATCTATCTATCTAAGACCAGATTTTGTAAGCGCCCTCAATTATCGTGAAGTTGCACGGAAGCTGTCAGGCCAATGAAATCGTTTCATTACAGCTTATAAAATCGAGACAGCTGCAAAGCAAGGCGGAGTGAAGACCTTTGGTCAGAACACGATCAGACAGATGAACTGCTGCGCAGCGCATTTCTTTACCAAGTAATTTATTCTCGTCGAATGATGTGTCGACCTTCTTGTTCGTCAACTATGCTCAAAACCTTACAACAATTTTACAGCATGAAACGGTGTAGTTGTTCGTTCTTGGATACGCTCAAGAAATGCTAAGTGTGAGCGTCAGACTCTGGCGACTGGTTCCAAAGTTATTTCTGGTCCCCATAGCCCAGCCGATGAGGAACGAGGGGTAAATGCATTGTAATTTCGGACCCAAGGGAGATACGTCGTGGTATGCCGTTAGATATCAAATTTTGGGGAGTGACTGCTCAACGTGTAGCACCGCCATAGAGATGAAAGGCTTTCCGGCGCCTCGCCAGAAGGAGAACAGCACGTGTGCCTGATCTGAAATGTTTGGTGGTGTTAGATTCAGATCCTTCACGCCTTCTTTGACATCGCCTCTAGTTACCGGTTCGCGTACCTGCAACGTACCTGACACTGGTTTAGCGACTCAACTTTCTTGCTCCCCAATGTACAATGTCAAAGGCGCAAGGATACACGGGAGCTCGACAATCCCGCTATATTCCGGGAATGCTACTTGCCGTCCGGGGAGAGACTACAAGTACTGGCCACTATGACTGTGTTCATACAGACCTTCGCGTCAAGTTTTCGCGTCATAAAAATGGTCCAGTGGAAAAATATCGACACCGTCATCGAGAACAGGCTTTTCCTGGGAAAGTCAGTGGCTCTGCAGGTTTTTTTTTTCCATGCTGATCCTATATTGACCCCTCCAGTATCATGGCGGCGCGGTCCACCAGATCCTTGACGGAACGCCGAATCACCCATATACTCTCTGTTTGTACAGAAGAGATTCCTGCGGAATCCCCGCAATCAGGGATCTGTCATATGCGTATCCCGGTAGAAGACGTTGATTATGAAGATATTCTAATCCACTTGCCGTCGGCATGTCGCTTCATTGACCAGGCTCTGAGGGGAGGTGGGGTGGTCCTTGTGCACTGCGTTCAGGGCATCTCAAGAAGTGCCACCGTGGTAGCCGCTTATAGTGAGTGGAAATTCCGTTAGAGGTAATACAATATGACAACCTATCTTGTCTAGTGATGTGGTCGCGACGAATCAGTGTTACGGACGCCCTTTACCATCTTAGGGCAGGTATGTACATTTGACTCCATTGCACGTTTTACTACTAACGGTTAATACTAGCACGGGACCAGATCTGGCCAAATCCCGGCTTCCATGAGCAACTCTTGCTCTTTGAAGTTTGTGGATATCAACCTTCCCCCGCAAACGGCCATTATGCCGCGTGGCGCTACAAACTAGATCGTAAATTGCGCGCAGCTGGACTGCGCTAAAAGTAACATTGTCCTAATTTCTTTACAGTTACACGCTTTCTATTATCCTGACTTCGTTCTGCTTGCTCTTCACTTGTATCCATAGAACCCTTGTAGCCCTTTGCATAGATTATTCGATGTATCCTGATCGTTTTGTATTTACAATGTAGCCTTTCTTGCTTGAATTCAATCATGTTACTCTAACATGGTCACACGAGCTCATCAATAGAAAAGTAATGAACTGCTGAATCTGACACGTCACTAGCATCGGTCCCGACGTGACTGTAAGGGTGAAAGTTGACTGCGCTGGTGGGGGTCGTCAGGAATAACGTGTCCTGCCGTAGACCGCTGGCGGTATATAAGCAGAAGCATGGCACAAGCAACCACAAACAGCTGTTGCAAACAGACAGCAATCTTTCCTTTGGTCAACAAGTCGTCAACAACTCTCTCAGCTTTCTCTTCCTACCTCCTACCCAACTCACCTCAATTCAACTGCAACAATGGGTCTCTCCGTCTCTCGTCTGCTTTCTGGCTTGTTCGGGAAGAAGGAGATGCGTTCGTCGCTTTCCTTATCCGGCGCTTGCCTATGAATCACTGACCATTCACAACAACAACAGGCATATTGATGGTACTCACAATTTTTGTCACTCATCTGTCCTTAATAAACGCTTTTTAGGTTGGTCTTGACGCAGCTGGTAAGACCACCATCTTGTACAAGTTGAAGCTTGGAGAGATCGTCACCACCATCCCCACCATCGGTAACAAACCACCTACAATTTCATTCTCCCACTGAATCTCACACGCCTTTCAGGATTCAATGTCGAGACCGTTGAATACAAGAACATCTCATTTACCGTGTGGGATGTCGGAGGTCAAGACAAAATCCGCCCCCTGTGGAGGCATTGTACGTGGCTCGACGATTTCCAGCAAAGCATCGCTCATTTGTTTGCCACTTATAGACTTCCAAAACACCCAGGGTATCATCTTCGTCGTTGACTCAAATGATCGGGAGCGTGTGTCTGAGGCTAGGGAAGAACTGCAACGGATGTTGAACGAAGATGAGCTTCGCGACGCCCTGCTCCTTGTCTTCGCCAATAAGCAGGACTTGCCAAATGCCATGAACGCCGCTGAGATTACTGATAAGCTCGGTCTCCACGGGTTGAGACAGCGAACCTGGTATATTCAGGTGCGAGCGTTTCTCTTACATTTTCAATTTCAAACATTAACATGTATGTAATTAGGCTGCGTGTGCCACATCTGGAGATGGTCTGTATGAAGGTCTGGAGTGGTTGAGTGCCAACATCAAGCGTCGGGTATAATTGTTTTCTGTCCTCTTTGGGTATCCCATCAGCGTTGCTACACGTGTCACGATTCCCTTCACCTCAACGAAAACGTATGCACCGCTGTCCGAGTCGCTCTCTAGTCAATTCATTTTTTCACACCTCTTTCCCGATTCTTCTCGGTTTCTAGTATCCGCCAAGGCTTGAGCAGAGTCATTTCCCTCTTATAGATCATGAACCTATTATACATGCTATAACTTACAATCCCACATGAAAAGCAATTAGCGGCCTTCTCCAGGGAAGAGCCTCCCCACAGTGTCTGCTTCTTTCCTTCGTCTTTCTGCCAACTCTCTCAACGCAGGTTCACGTTGTTGAGATCCATAGCGTGCAAGCTTATCCAAGAGGGCTTGTAGTCGCTTGGGCTTTACGGCAGCATAAGATGCTTGTCTGTTGGCAGGCACAAGGTATTCTTGAACAGTGCCGCTCAATGGAATGGAAGTTGTCTGGGAGGAATGGGCTCATGTACTGATCAACGGTCACTAAAACGACTTACAAGTCGGAGTTCAGCAAAAACCAGAGTCAGATGTGGTCGTCCAATCCGCTTCAGCTCGTCTTCCAAGAAATCGACGTCAATGAGAATGTTGGAGATCGCGTTCTCATTCATCATTGGAACGTCACGGCCTGTCAAAAAATTCTGCAGTTATTCTTGATGAGCGCTAGAAGCGATGAAAACAAACAAAAAAAGAGTATTACCATCAAGCACTCTGCGATATAACCAAGGGCCCCTTTATATGCTTCGTCTTTGTAGGATTCTTTGATTATCAACGAGTCTACGACGGTTGTGAGCCAGTTGACAAGCTCGTAAAGATACATGCTTGGAGCCGTTTCGCGTGATCTTGGCGTCCACTCGTATTCTGACAACTCGAAGAATTGATCGAGTTTCGATGTGATGAGACTTGTGATTCGCTCGAGAGACCGGGAGATTGTAGCTTCAAAGGAGCTGGAGGCCGTCAGTTTTATGGTTCCGCCTCGGTGAGCAGAGCTGTGAATGCGATTGTTAGGACCCGAACAACGCTGCTAATAACTCCACAGACCGAAGGTTCGTTAGTGAGCGCTCGAGCTCACTGCAAGCAACTTGGAAGTGTTCCAGGTTCGTGATGATTTGTCCAATTTGATTCAATGTTGGTGTTCCTCCGAGCCGGTGGCCTATGCTTTCACTAATGCTCTTGATTAACAGGTTGTTTAAAGACTGCGGACAGAAATATTGGATGAGAAACTAGTGCAAGTTTGGAATAGCTGCACCTTGCTCAGTAATTCATCAATGTCACGGTGATGTTGTGAGACGCCGTCAACGAAAGCGTAAAACTTTTGTATGAAGGTGCGGATCTAAAACAAGGTTAGTTTGCTGCGTGAAACGGCCATACTTGGACTTGCATCCTGACAGCACAAATAGAAAGTCTGAGACCAAGGAAGAAGATGTGGTACTGGTGTTCTACAAGCTTCTTCAACAGTGAGATTTGGGCAATATTTGTTGGACTTACTGTTTGATTTCATCTTTTTCCGCGCCGTCTAGCCAAACCATGTCTAGGACCATATCAAGATCTTTTTCCTCTTCAACTTCCATCGGAACGTGATCATCCTGAGATACGATCTGCAAAAGGAATGAGCGATGGACAATTTCAAACCCAAAATCACAAACCATTTCAAATTGCTTGGAGAATTTTGTTTCCAACATTTTAACATAATTTTCAAACAAAACGAGGATGAAAGTATGGAGCGAGGTGGTCGAGTACGAAGCAGCCTAGAGCGTTGTTACTAAAACGCTCAGATGAAGACAGATCACCCACCTCCAGCGTCATGATAAATGTGAGAAGACATTCTTTCACTCGGAGATATGCTTCAGGATCGGTTTCTGTGCGTAGTGCGCTTTCCGTTGCTGTTCCGAGGCGCGCAACCAAGGCATCCCAAAGCTCTTCGACATCTCGCAGAGAGCGAAATGTCCCTGTGGTTTCTAGAACGTGAGACTCAATAATAAAGAATCCTGAAATTTCTTGCGTGAGTGCCGGAAGAGAGGCCAACGGAAGCGGTGTAGGAAGAATAAGGTCAGATTGCGCCTGTGTTGGCATCAGAGCTCTGGGCGATATGAAATGCATAAATGATGGACCTTCCTATCAGCTTGATATGATTTCTGCAACTCGTTCAAAGAGTCTAACGACGTGTAGATGTGAATGCACTCGAAAAGTGGCTTGAAGTCGACATGTAGTTTTTCATTGTCCAACACATCGACTGGTGAACAAGTTAGACGACGGTACGCGAAACACGGCACCTGCCTTACATTCTGTCTTCTCGTATGTAACGAGTTCCACGGCACTTCCTACTTTGCTGTTACGCAACAGTGGATCCTTTTCGCGCCGGTTCCTCCAACGACGCGTCCTGGACTCCATGGACTCGACGGCCAGCCTTCCTACCTCTGTGCTCACATTTCTGATCTCGAGAAGCCATTGCTTCACGGAAGCAGTAACGGAATCCTTAATCTGACTTCGTAGAGAAGGCAATGACGAGAGAAGGTGCTGGAAAAAGGGAGTCTGTGAGAGTGATGTTGGAGGCATATTTCGAATGTCTTCAAGTGACTGCAAAGCCAGCGTATGTTGATTGAGGTGAAGTATTGAACACAGTGACATAGACGACAGACCCTCAACGCGCTCCAATATTTCCCTTCCCTTACCATCTCAGCGACGCGGTCTACGACATCGAGGACGCGTAAACAGGCTTGCAGGGTGTCAATAGCCTCATCGAGGTTTGCAGCGGTCTTCTTTGTTTGAAGCAACGCGCGCTTTTTCTCAACTAAGCCCCCTCCGAGATGGGAGACGTTGGTGTCCAATGATGATATGTTTTCCTTCATCATGTCTGTGTATGACTTGACGGTGAACAGGGTAGACACGGATGAAATGAAATCTTGGTAGTTGTCACTGCAAATCTTCTCGATCTCGGCATCTTTAGAGTCTATAAGAGCCTGTACAGTGCGAAGATAAGCGTCCTGTTGCCGATTGGCGTGAATTTGCTTGATAATTGGACCGAGTTGCTCCAAGTTCTCTGAGGAGGAGGAAGGATCAAGAAGATGGATCTGCTGAAGCTGTTGGTCAATGTGATCCTGTGTAAACTGGGGGCGTCTGCGCGGAGGCATAATAACACCGAAGTTTACCAACAGGAAAGAGGAAAGCTGAAGATTGCAACGAGATTGAAAGGGACTGAATGACTCAAATTCAGTTCCAACGGACCAGATGAATGACCGATGTCATGTTTGGCTTCATCCTCAGAACCAAACACAATTGATATGAAATTATGAGCTGGACCCTCTCTTCTTTGTACTCATGCCTGACACCATCGTCCATGTCGATGCCATGTGCGTGAGACCCCGATCGCTTGTCACCGATTAGCTTCCATTTCTCATTTGTTTTCTCAAGTCTCTTCGATATGGATGGTACCCTAGTTGATTCCACTCAAGGCGTTGTGGGTGCCTGGCAAACTTTCAGGGAAACATACCCTGACATTGACGTACACCACATATTGAGCTGTGAGTCTCCGTGCAGAGCCTTTTTATCTTTTACTACCATGTTGTTTTGATAGCCGCGCATGGTGTTCGTACTGTCGATAATCTTAGCAAGTACTGCGGGATTGATGACCCGGATCTGCTTCAGGCATGCCTTCTTTTCCTCCGTCAATGCTACCTGTCTTGACTTATGGCTGTTCTACAGAGCGAGGCAGAGCGTTTTGAACGCGCAATCGTGACTTCATCTTCAGAAGCAGGCCGGCAAGGTATTACCCTTTTGCCCGGAGTCGCGTCGGTAATGGAGGAGGTACCATACCTACCCCATCTTTCAATTGTACCACATCCAACGCTATCTCGCAGCTTGCCCCGGGGCGTTTTTTACTCAAACCCTGCTGGGCCATCTGCACATCCGCAACGCGCCCTTACGCTACCTCTGCGCTCAAGATCGCAGACGTTCCCATACCTGACGTATTCATTACAGCAGAGGACGTCACACAGGGCAAGCCATTTCCAGATCCTTACCTGCTAGGCGCAGAGAAATGCGGGGTCAAGCCCGAAAATTGTCAGTGGACTCTCCACCCCTCTGATCACTTACCTCTTCATCTATATTTTCAATGATAGGCCTCGTTTTCGAAGATGCACCTAATGGCATTCGTAGCGGCCGGACCGCTGGTTGCAAGACTGTTGCTTTTCTTACCAGTCACAGCAGGGAACAAGTTCAGGCTGCTGAGCCGGATTTTATCGTGAAGGACATGTCATGGTACATTGTTACTCCTCTGTACTTGGAATTCAATTTACAGACTTTATCAACAGTATATCCATGAAACGGACTTCCAACGGCGTGGAGGTGATAATCAAGTCTCACTAGATGCATAGCTAAATCACCAATAGAAAGAAGCGAGGAGTTTATTTAGATATCGCACTTAGAGCACCATTTTAGATCATGTTGGATTGACTGGCACAATCAAATTTACATAACTACTCCGCACAGATGAATTATTATTGTAAAAACACTTTAATGATTGATAAGTGAGTATGCAAACGATATTCACGGAGAGATACTAGGAAACGTGAAACGATGAAAGGAAAGTCGGCCGGGAATTCATACTGAAGGGGTATTTTAGGAAGGGAAACGGCGACAAAAAGAAATCCACATTATATCCCTTAGTATTCACCATCCTCCTCGGCGTCGGCAGAGTCAGTACCAACCTCCTCATAGTCTTTCTCAAGCGCGGCAAGATCTTCGCGAGCCTCAGAAAATTCACCCTGAAAAAAAAGGTGTTGAAGACCAATAGTCACTTTGTCCAGTTGACATCAAAACATACCTCTTCCATACCTTCTCCGACATACCAGTGCACGAAGGCGCGCTTGGAGTACATAAGGTCAAACTTGTAATCTGTAACGCAATCAACTATTAGGAATCAGTGGCGCACACGTGGTTAAAACGCACCGAGGCGGCCCCATGCTGCAGAGATGGCGGTGGTGCTAAAATAATAGTAATTCAGACCAGCTGCAAAGTTATGACGTATGAAACCCTACTTTGACAGCATGCAGAGACTGCGTGAGGTCTTGGCGAGGTCACCACCAGGTACACAGGCGGAAGGCTCGTTGCAAACACCCAGCTGTCAAATAAATTTGTTTGAGAATAAAGTCCGTGTGCAATAGCAGTGCTCAGTACCTTGAAACCGGTAGGACACCAGTCGACGAACTGTATAGTTCGCTTGGTTTTAATGGTAGCAACCGCCGCTTGCACGTCTTTGGGAACAACATCACCACGATACAACAGGCAGCAAGCCACTAAACGCAAGTCAGATGCGCACGAAGACGAAGAGGAGAGTGAACATACTATATTTCCCCTCCTTGGGGTCGCACTTTACCATCTGGTTGCCATTTTCGAAGCAAGAGAAAGTCATTTCGGCGACAGAGTTTTGTTCGTGATTTGCCTTGTCTGCAGACAAAAGAGGGGCATATGTCGCGAGGGGGAAATGGATACGGGGGAAGCTTCCTGAATGTCAGATTTAAAGTGCGGTGTCGAGGGTTGCGACTTACGGAACCAAGTTGGTCTGGAACTCATTTAGATCGACGTTCAGGGATCCGTCAAATCGGAGAGAGGCCGTGATTGAAGATACAACTTGAGCAATCAAACGATTCAGGTTAGAGAAACTAGGCGAAACGACTCCGAGTTTCTTCTTGCAAATGTCGTAAATAGCTTCGTTGTCGACCTGAAATGGGCAGTTTAAAAAGGCGAAATGAAGCGTTAAAGGTATTAGCATACCATGAAAGAACAGTCAGAATGCTCGAGGGTCGTATGAGTGGTGAGTACAGAGTTGTAGGGTTCGACAACAGAGCTGGAGAGTTGAGGCGCAGGGTATACACAGAACTCCAGCTTGGACTTTTTGCCATAATCTGTCGACAGCTTCTCTAGTAAGAGCGCACCGAAACCGGAACCAGTTCCACCACCAAAGGAGTGGAACACGAAAAATCCTTGGAGACCCGAGCAGTTGTCAGCGAGTCTTCGTAATTTATCCATGACGGGGTCGATGAGTTCTTTCCCGACAGTATAATGACCACGAGCGTCTAGCGGAATCGCGTTAATAAACGCGTCGCGGCAATCAGCAAATGACACGTACAGTTGTTCGCGGCATCCTCCTTGCCCGTGATCATAGTCTCTGGATGGAAGAGTGACCTGTAGGGGCCAGTCTTCACATCGTCGATGCATCCCGGTTCGAGATCAATATATAATGAGCGAGGAACGTGTTTTCCTGAACCAGTCTCAGAGAAGAACGTGGAGAAGCCACTGTCCGTCGAAGAAGGGGATCCTTCCATGAGACGACCATCAGGCTACGAGAACAAATGAACATGACGTTTACAAAAAGAGAAGGTAGTATACACACGCTCAAACCATGTTCGAGAGTGTACAATTCCCCTGAATGACGGGTAACCAAATTTAGTGGTACGACTGAAATACACTTGAGTGCAACTCACAGCAGGCATTACCGATCTGAACACCAGCCTGACCAACGTGGAGAGAGATAACCTCACGCATTTTTACGTTGAATAAGAAGGACGGGAACGGGATGAAGAGAGGATTAGGCAAGGAACGAACTTGGTTCTAGTCAAGTTCTGGTGGTCAGAGGGCAACAGGCGACTCCTACAAATTTTGGCAGGTTTGCAGAAATTTCACTTTTTCGGTCCCGAATGGACCAAATTGAGCGAAAATTAGTCACATTTAAATATTGTACACCAAACTAAGTGGCAACAAGTGCGTGGAGACTATAGATTTCTCTCCGTACCATATAATACACCTCTGATACGTTCCCCTCAAGCTCTACCGTGCCCCTCGCCAGTTTCCGGACAGAAACAGATTCACCAAGCGTGTCAGAAGACGCGTTGCGCTTCGCGCCAGCTCCACAGATGAGAACACCCTCTCCGATGAGTTCAGCCTGCACACCAATGCTCGCAAGTCGTGCTTTCAGTGCCGTCAGTTTGAGTTCGCCAATCATCGTTGAATGGGGTAATGCAACTTGTTGTCGTGAACCGAGCGTTCTCCGTTTCACGGTTACCTTACTATCTACAGGATCCTCGGAAAGTGTGGATGAAGACACTGGCTCCAATGTGGGTATTGTCGAGGTAGCATGGGCCACAATTCGGCCTCTGACGTATGCAATTTGGTTATCTTCAAACTAGGCTGACTGGTAAATCCAAAAGTTGGGGGTGAAATTTCGGAAACATACACTTGACATTTTGAGGGAAGCCAAAAGCTCATCGCTGATTGATATAGAAAAACTGTTGGTCTGCTGTCCGATTTGTATGCTCTCGCCGACTGTTGGGGCGTATATATCCTTGGTCATCGCACGAATATTGCCACAGCTCTCGATCAACGCTTCCGTCGCATTTGGCGGGGCGTGAACGATGATCTAATGGAATGGTAAGTTGGTGTTACACAATGTAGGTCAATTGTCAAACCTACCATCTTGCGGGGGTTGACTTGAGGAACGATGGTTTTCACGGCACGGCCATCGTTCAAGCCCTCCATATCGACAAACAATAAGCGACAAGCCAGTTGAATTTCGATTTCAGTCGTCACGTATTTTGAAGGGGGTTCCCGAATCGCTTTCTGAAGAAAGGTTGAGAATAATTAGGTTGAGCTATAATTGGACACATGCCTTTGCTTCCTCCTCTGCTTGTGTTCGACGTTTGTAGTCCTTGACCTCGTCGCTCTCAGCTTCTTCTTCAAGAACCTTGCCTTTTCTCAGCCACATCCCAACGTCGATAGTCTCCCCGTATTCATCTACCCTCCTCTTCTTCTCAACATATGGGAACATCCTAAAGCGTTGTGTCTGACTACCAGAAATTTTGAAGAAAGATGTGGCTTTGGAAACGTTGCCTTTGATGTAGATGTCAAATGACAATAGTTGTTTCGTCAAGCCTTCATCTCCATCTAACGCCCAGTCTGCTCCGTCAATTCCCTTGTCCATCTGCCTCACTCTTCCAACTCCACCTTCGCCGTCGTCCGTGTCCATCATATCTCCACCCAATGCTTGCCTGACTTCAGCCTCTTCGTCAGCATCTGAGTCCAAGTCCGAATCGCTATCATCCTCATCTGCCTCCAACATACGCTGGTTGCGGGCAAGAGCGGCCTGATGCGCAGCTTCTTTCTCCTTTGCGACACGTTCCTCTTGAAGATGGGCTTCCAATTCTGCGCCTTGGAGGGGGACTTTGTGGTTCATCTGAAGCAAATACCTAAGCATTAAATTGATTTCGGAGAAGCGATGGCCAACCTTTATTGTGATCGCCCCATCCATCATGACATTGCTTCCTATTTTGCCTTTGTCCCACTTGTCATCGGGCCTTTGGGAGTTGTTCCACTTGTCGAACAGGGCGCGTCCCAGCGTTCCTTCCTCACTACGTCCGGTTAGCAACACGACGTTGTCGGGGACGGCTGCAAAGTCAGAAAACATATTGCGCGAGGGACCGTGTGATAAAGACGCCGGAACTGCAAGAATTAGCTTGGGGTCCTTGGAGGAATATGTTTGCAAAAGTGCTTGAGGATTTGGGAAGAATTCCAAGTGCCTAAAAAAAGTGAGGCTCAAGCTCAACAAAACATACTCAAGAAGCTCACTTAAAGCGTAAAGCAAACGCCCCCAATGCGTCCTCATCTCCCTCCTCATCCCTCCGTCGCTTGTTTTGATTCTGACGTCCTGTCCCCTCTTCTCCGACGTCTTCTTTGCTAATCGTTCCCCCGAGCCATTCCATCATACTTCGTACGAAGGTTAGCATCTCCCGACCTGTCCTCGAAAGTAGGCAGATGGGGTAACGGAGCCGAGAGTAATTCCAATGCTGATCCAGCAGAACAAGAAGCTCAAGCACTCGAGTGCTGGAATCACAGGGGAGGAGGAGAGAAGATCTAGAACCCAGTGTCGCGCTTATGGTATCTACAGATTATTAGCATCGCTCAGATGAGAAACTTCCGTGAACATACCGATGAGGGCAGCATCTCGGTCTTTACGTCGGCTTGTCGTTACGGATGCGCGTTCCGCATCAGTAATTAGCAGATCTGGCCTGGCAAGGGGATCAAAAATGCCTCCGGCAGCCTGACGAATGAGAACAGTCCCATCCAAATGCCGTTCACGCATGTGGTTGACGTTGACAGCGTAGACAATAGTTCCGGAGGACGGCGACCGTATTTTCCAGATAGTTCCACCAAGAGTATGGCCTGCATTAAACGGTGTTATAGTTAATCCCTGACATTTGCCTAGTACCGATTAAAAAGAGAAAAATTTAGGAAGAGGCGGAGTAAGTAACCTTGAAGATGCGTTGGTTGCGAATAACGAAGCGTGTTTATGGACTCGAAGGCGTCCTGAACTTCAGCGGTAGTGGAGACAAATTTCCTCTTGGGGTTGAATATGAATGAAGGTGACTCTGCAGAGATTTCTTCAGTGCCGTCCGTGTCTTGCTTTTGTTTGTCTGGTTCGGCTTCGCGCTCGCCATCAACATTTTCCTCGTCTCTAATGCCTTCAATGTCTTCCGTAACCGCGATACGACCCATTGCTTGCACAGGTAGCGTCGTGTAAGCTGGGGCTTTCAAGCCCCAATTCGTGTATGCCCACGGATACAGACCGCAATGGGCAAGATCACCATGTGAGAGCAAAACAAGGTCGACCGTAGGTGCACATCTGGATGGTAAATTCAAGACGCAACATACAATACGGTGAATTATTGACACACTTTTGTAGAGCTTCGCAGTATTTAGTCCATGGGACGTCGCCGCTGTCGTGCTCTGGATGTTCTTCGAATGGTGAGGGCTCTGGAGACCAGTCTGGTGAACCACAGTCTAGAAGGATACGGACGTCGTCTACTTGGAGCAAATACGCGAGAGGGGTCGCATTGGAGGAGTGTGCAGCACCAGACAACGGCGTAAACGTGATCATCGCATTACCTGGAACGCTGAAACGGTATGTATTTGTTTACATCTGCTGAAGCACTTTATTTGGGGACCGCCTCGGGACCGCCCAATGGGCTTGCTTCGCATTCCTAGTCTACCGTGCTCGTAGTTCAATAGAACCAAATTCCTGGTATACTGTAGACAAGGGAATGACTATGGTATAATAAAATGTTTGTAGTATATGCCACTCCACCAATGCCACCAATGCCATTAATACCTTTGAGAATATGTCATACGACGCACAACATTTTTTAAGCCGAGAATTGTGGATGCCGGTGGATTGAGGGTCTTCAACAGTGGTACGCACAGACCATGTGACAGGGTCGGATCGTGGGAAAGCGTGAGTTGTATAATGTCCCCCTGGCATCATCCTCACCTTTGTCCTCTGTCATCCCAGTGTCCTTTCTCTCCATTCTGTTTCTGTAAGTTTTATTCTACGCGCCGCTCGTCGTCCACAATATTGATTTTCTGCCTTTTCAACTTGAAGCTTTAATTCTCTCTGAAAATGCGTGAAGTCATCTCTGTGCACGTCGGTCAGGCTGGTGTCCAGATCGGCAATGCTTGCTGTGAGTTTCTGCCTTTCAAACATTTCCAGTTAACATCGTCGCGAGCCGCTTGCCCCAAAACGCGTCATTTAACATTTGTCTGTCTTGAACAAAAAGTGGCGTGATGCTGATCCGATTATCATAGGGGAGCTTTATACCGTCGAGCATGGTCTTAGCGTGAGCATACCTCGACATGGTCACTAATAAACGTTCTAACCGCATCTATAGCCTGATGGTCGCCTGCTGGAAGGCTCGCCCTCCGCTAACGATGGAGGCTTCAGCACGTTTTTCTCCGAAACCTCGTCTGGCAAACACGTGCCTAGGTCCCTTTACATCGACCTAGAACCTAATGTCATCGATGAAGTACGAAACGGCCCTTACAGGAGTCTCTTCCACCCTGAGACTCTTGTGACCGGGAAGGAAGATGCTGCCAGCAACTGTATGCGCCCTGTATGCTTTGGCGAGAGAACCGTCTGACCCTCTTATTCATAGATGCTCGTGGCCATTATACCATTGGTAAGGAGCAAATTGATACCGTGATGGACAAGGTTCGCCGTCTCGCGGACAACTGCTCTGGGCTCCAGGGCTTCTTTGTCTTCCACTCTTTCGGTGGTGGAACTGGTTCAGGTTTTGGTGCCCTCATCCTTGAACGTCTTTCGACCGACTACGGGAAGAAGTCCAAGCTAGAATTCAGTGTATACCCCGCACCTACCTTGGCCAACTCTGTTGTGGAACCATATAACTCAGTCCTGACTACACATACCACCCTGGAACACTCCGATTGCTCTTTCATGGTAAGTTTATTTATTTCATGGCTTTCAAATACTTGAATTGAGGCGGTATCTACGGATAGGTCGATAATGAGGCAATCTATGACATCTGCAAGAAGAATCTGAACATCGCTTCGCCAAGTCTCACAAACTTGAACAGGCTCATCGCGCAAGTCGTGTCTTCCATCACCGCCTCTTTGCGTTTCGATGGTTCTCTTAATGTTGATCTGAACGAATTCCAAACTAACTTGGTTCCGTAAGTCTTGTCCCTACTGATTGTCCCTTTGGTTGACATCTCGGCAGTTTCCCTCGAATCCATTTCCCTCTTGCTACATTTGCGCCCATTATTTCGGCCGAGAAGGCTCACCATGAGCAAAATTCCGTCGCCGACATGACCTTTTCCTGCTTTGAGACCGGTAACCAGATGGTAAAGTGTGACCCCAGAGAAGGAAAATATAGTGCGTCTGCCCATTTTTATTCCGCACGACTCGGTATAACATTAAGTTTAAGTGGCCTGTGCTTTGCTCTACCGTGGTGACGTCGTTCCCAAAGATGTCAACGCTGCAGTGGCGATCATCAAGACTAAACGCACAATCCAGTTCGTTGATTGGTGTCCCACGGGCTTCAAGCTTGGCATTTGCAATGAACCACCTGCTCACGTCCCGGGAGGTGATCTTGCCAAAGTGTCCCGCAGCATGTGCATGCTGTCCAACACCACCGCCATTTCGACCGCTTGGAGCCGTCTTGACCACAAATTTGATCTCCTCTACTCAAAGCGAGCCTTTGTCCACTGGTATGTGGGTGAAGGTATGGAGGAAGGTGAATTCTCGGAAGCTCGCGAAGATCTTGCAGCACTGGAAAAGGATTACGAAGAGGTTGGCATCGACTCGGCGGATGTTGAGGAGGCTGAATATTAGATTCTCTATTACGACTTGACCTTACCTTCCTCTTTACGATCCTTGCACGTCTACTACCCTTGGTCACGCTTTCATATCACTGCGGAATTTTATGACTTTGATTCGAGTATGAAAGAATGGCCGAACGTTATGGAAGCTATTACTTTGACAAAAAAAACCGACTAAGGTGTTTTTCCAGCGTCTTCCTTCAAACTGACAATCCGGTTTAGAACAATATAATCGCCCTGTTCTCGGCCTGTAGTTTTGGTTCCCTCATTGATACAAGCGATGCGAGCATCCTTGTCCAGAGCGAAGTACCCCACCCTCAATCCCTGAAATCGGAGGCATTCGTTGCCGACGAGCTGTTCGTTGGTCGCATGTGGTGTTTCGTCGTCCTGAGATCGATTAAACGCAGCAGCCTTGTCTGTTCTAGCCTTTGCTTCCTGACGTGCCTCGTCCATTGCCCGTTTCGCCAATGGCCAAAAGCCAACCTCGATGATTGCACCTTTTACGACCTCCAATGAGTTCGATGCGATGTCACTCCGGAAGTCGCTGGGCGGACGATCACTCTTGAAGAGACGATGGAAAATCCGTGTTTCGTCGATCCTTACTGGACTACTTGAGGCAGCATGATCGGCCACCCACTGGATGTATGCCTTGGGCTTCTTGGGACGACCCTCGTTCTCTGCCTTACAAACCAACTCTACAACTTCCCCAGACACGGGGTCGGCCTTAAAGGAGGTGCAGGTGATTGGGAACGGTGCTTGGAACAACCCAACTGTTTTTCCTGGAGCTAGGCGGAAATAGTCCTCCGAATCTTCCAGGCGGAAGTCGTCAGTCTCGATATAGATTGTGCGAGTGAAAGGTATGGAAGTCGTGCCGAGCTCTGGCACCTTCGGGTGAAGTGGCTTCTCAATCATCAGTAAAAAGTCCTCTGGTAGGTTCTCGATTGTGACTTTCAATGGGCGCATTACCATCAGCAGACGAGGTACAGTGCCCTCCAAGTACTGCCTAACTGTCTGTTCAAACCGAGAAATCTCGATGTTGGACGCTGCTGTGGATACCCCCAGGGTGCTCACGAACGAGATGATGGCGCCTGGAGGCACACCACGCCGCCGTAGGGCAATCAGAGTATAAAGACGAGGGTCATCCCAACCAGTCACAAATCCTTCGTTGACAAGCGCAAGGATTTTGCGCTTGGACATGAGGGTACCCTCCAGATTGAGTCGACCATATTCCGACTGTCTGGGTTTGTATACCTCCAATGCATCACAAAGCCAGTCGTATGACTGACGTGAGGCAATAAACTCCACAGTACATAACGAATGTCTAGTGTTGAACCCGTGAGCGGAGATTGAGAAAACGGGCTGGGGATACTGACGATATATTTTCCATGCTATCTACCAAGCAATGCGTAAAGTCGTAAGTTGGGTAAATCTTCCACTTGTCGTGAGTACGATGATGGGGTGTCTCCAGCACGCGATATGCTGTCAGATCCCACATCTGAGGGTTCCCATCCTCAAGGTCCTGTTTCATGCGTAAATTTGCCTCTTTGGGGCGATACTTGCCGTTCTTCATATTCTCGAATTCAAAAAGAGATTCCGACACAGGCCTGTCCCGATGAATACAAGGTCTGGGCTGACCCCGCTTCTCTCCTCTGTCGACCTTGATCTCCTCCTCTGCATTCAAGTCATGTAAGACGGGCCTGGACTAGAGAAGGGTAGAACGCACGGGTACAATGACACACATATGCTTTATCACGCTTGATTAACTCCACGGCAAGTTCGTATAGTTCTTCGAAATAATCGCTCGAGTACGTGATTTTCCAGGGTTCGAATCCAAGCCACCGTACCATTTCCAAGATGCTTTCAAAGTATCTGGCTTCCTCCTTCTCGGGATTGGTATCGTCGTATCGAAGGTAGCATTTTCCCCCATGGTGCGCTGCGTATCCAAAATTGACGAAAATGGCCTTTGAATGACCAATGTGGAGATAACCGTTTGGTTCGGGGGGGAAACGTGTCCATACATTCCCGCCAGTGGCAGCCAGATGGGCTTCACGGAGGCGATCATGCAGTTGAGGATTTCCGCCAGGTTTATGAAGTTGTCCCAAAAAACCTTCCTCAAACACCGTTCTTCGAATTGTTGTTGAATCATCCGTCGGAGACTCTGAAACCGGGGCTGGCGTTGCAGGTTTTGTATCTTTCTTGGGTTCCGAGAGAAGGGTCAACTACTTTTCCTCGATTCATTTATTTCTATCTTACCTTCTCTTTGCGCTTTGCTGCCTCTTTTGGTCCAAAAGTATCTAAGAAGACATTCTCCACGGCATTTTTCACCTCCAGGGGATTAGCCCAGCGAAGGCCTGGGGTCGTTTTGAGGGCACTAATGACAGTTCCAAAATTCGCCCATCCAGGAATACGATTTGTTGCGATATACGTCTTCACCTGGTCATGAAGATCCGCGGGGCTGATGCTAAAGCCTGATGGTAGAACCGTTCAATAGATACATACCATGGACCAAAGCATCATTCATACCAACTCCGCACTCTTGATCGAATTCGGCATCTTCAATGGGTATTTTGTGTGACTCGACGTACTTAACAGCGACTAGGGGGGCGTGAGCCTTGTAAAACCTGCAGACAGAAGTCAACACATACCCGAAACCTGGTCGACCGACTTCAACTTTCCGTCTAAGATTTTGTTGACAACATAGTCTCTTTCTGGTAGGTCAACTCCGTCCGTCTTCGCAAGGGACCCGGCTAGTGCAACAATCAATCCTGATCGTTTTTCGTCAAGACCTGCTGCTACAGTATGATTGTCGTTGATGATAGCCTCCAGAACAGCTGCGGTCTTAGGAGACTTGGCCGCTTCTGCAGCTTTCGCTTGGTTGAGCCCGATGGATTTGAAGAGAGGGATCAGGTCTGACCCTAGATTAGCTTTGGACATGGTGAACCTCAATGACAAGTAGAGACGTCGATATGAAGACTATATACATCAAATATACACCAAAAGTTGCTTATCAGCCTATTAGTGACTCATCGATCACTATTCCAGATAAGATAGCTGATACAATTTTCTCTACAGTTTACACGAGACTTGAAATCGGGTTGAGCTCTCAGGTCACAGAATACCCCCCAAGAGGGGGTATTCATGCTAACTAGATATCTCCATTTCTTCGACAAGCGACACGGGCTAAGCTCCGACATCTGTATCACCCATCCGACTCTCTACCTCAGAAGAAGGATCCGTGCCGGAGAGTCGTGGAGGCTGAAGGCCACATTTCGCAAGGGCACTCAATAGAGCATCATGTAATGTATGCATGTCGCGACCGTGGGTGCCTAGGCCGTAGATCCTTGGAGGATGTTCCGAAAGGGTATCGAGCAGGACTCGGACATCACGCTGCTGCGAAAAATCTGGGCAAGGGACACGGAGTGAAGGAGGTATTGAATTTTTGGAGGAGCAGATGGTTTCGAACGAAGTAGGGTTAACATCAGCTTTATCGAGCTGCTTTTTGAGGGTCTCGATCTGAACCTTAAGAATCGATTCGAAAGAGGGCTTATCACCTTCCAAGCCAGCTAACGTGACGAGGGTGGAGACACTGAAATGTTGAGTGAGCAAGACAGGAAATGCAGGCTTCCAATGTAAACACACAATGCCTCTTTCAAATACGCGAAGCTGAACTTATTGGTGAGGTCAGCAACTTCTTTTACCAGTCGGTCAGGATAGTCGATGGCTTTGTTGGGAAACAACTTTTTCTGCCAGTATCGTGCATAGAGAATCCGTTCATCCCAGTCTGGATCATCAAATTTACTGCGTTGATGACAAGTTAATTCTTATAGAGGGGAAAAAACCCAGTTGTTCAAACTCACAACTTTCTATCGAAACGGCTGGGTCTGGTGCTCAGACCAGGATCGAGACGATCAAAGTGATTAGTTGTTCCGATGACGAGAAGACCATCAATCCCTCCAATACCATCGAGCTGGTTAAGAAAAAAAGACCGGTTCTTGTCATTGATCAGGCTGTCAAGATCCTCGAGTATTATAACACAGGGAGACGACTGTCGGGCCTTGTCGAATACTGCTGCCATAGCTGCTTCTTCGCCTTGCCAGCCTTTGCAAGTGTAAGACTGCTGAAAAGCTAAGGAAGTGACCACATACTCTGGAAGGATTTGACGTAGAGAGGCGCATATCCTTGTTCACCGCAAGTTTTCATAATGGCCTTGATACTAATAGTCTTTCCGTTGCCTATTTATTCTTCAGCAAGGGCGATCACAGTAGTTGAAACTTGAGACAAACCTGGAGGTCCATAAAAGATTAGGCCTCTCTGAGTATTCTTGTGGGTACTTTTGATCACGACCAAGTGAGATGAGAACATACCTTCCAGGGAATCGCAAGTTCCTTATATATCGCCCCAGAGGAAAAGAACCCATAAACATCCTTTTTCAAAGCGTTCTTGAACTCTTCTTTGAGAATAATGTCCTTCCAGTCGGCCTTCTGGATGTCAACCCACAGCCCATGGTCCTTCTGCCATGATCCTTGATTGTAAACCCAAATTTCATCGTGGAGGTGATCGCTCCAACCCCCGACAGCAATGAGCAAGGTGCGTATCGCGTCCTCGGGTCCTTTGTAAAAGAATCTGATTACATAAAGTCTGCCGAATGAATTACTCAAACATTTACCCTGATGCAGTATGTACGTTTGCGTCGAAGTACCGAATCCAAGGGGAAACTGTGAATGCCAATAAACACTTTTGCACAAGCATAACTGGCCGATTCTGAACTTGCCTCGGCGACGAAAGCCAAAAATTGATGTTGCTATTGCATTGGTCAGATGTAATGGCCTCAAGATGCTGCTTTGATAGCTTACATTGAAGCTCAGTTGGAACGCTCCAAATTGGATTTGGTCCACCAATATCCCTGGAAGACCGCCCAAGCTGCGGGCTAATGGGACAAAAACAAGGTTCGAAACCATGGGGGTCTTCTCCAAAGGAGAAACGTTGACTCCAGGGAAACGAAGAACATTCAATTGCAAATCCCTTGTCATAACTAGGGAGTGCTCGGGGTATATGCGACGCAGAGCATCAGCACTGAAGATAGCAGTAGTCAGTCGGTAGGATGGCACATGACGTGGGATACAAACCCCGAGAGGGTTGCATTGGTATATGTAGCGGATGCTACAAAAGCAATGAGTGCTGACAATGAAGATTGAAGTCGATAATATACCTTGGTCAGTCCATTGGGTATAGAAGTCCTTGCGGTGATGAGGGGGTGTATGTTCATGGCTGCCCTTGCCAAACCAAACGTTCACAAACTCGTCCTCGCCACTGGCCTCTTTGGAAGTCATGGTGGTGGTGGATAGTACAAGAAGTTAGTGCAAGGTTACGAGTCAATTACGAGTACTGATACTATTAGTATTAGTATTAGTACCAATAATGATGTAACCACGTGACTATCAGCTCTCTGTTCATGGCTGCTTCAGCTGCAGACGTTCGTAGCGCACTCTCTATTCCAGATGCAACCCTTGCGGCGGGCCCCTCACAACAGAAGAAGCCGGCAGCAACGCCTGCGGCACGAAAGCCTGAAGGAATATCGCGAGAACTTTACTCACTCATTGGGCCCTCTGCACCTTCAATTGCTGCACAGCTCGCCAAACCGCGCTTGAAGCAGAAACCTAATCTTACTGGTGGAGGAAAAGTTAAATGGTAGTGCCCAAAAACTTCTGACTCCAGAATCAGCTTTCAATATTGCTTGATGATGCCAGGGAAGAACGGCCTTTCAAGAACGCAGCGCGGAAAGACGGACTGGAACTTAGGCATTGGGTAAAAGCATCGACCGATCCTGCTGCGGGTGCGCGTCTATCTATTTCCATTGTTTTTGGACTCATCTCCTGCTAGAATATCCATTTGCAAAGTATAATGTACCACCCGTGTCTTACACTTATTCCCAGGATGAATTCACGCGTTTCTTGGAAGGTGAGTCTGCTGTTGTTGATGATGCCAGCGGATACCAGAAACTTCTCAGACAAGGAATGGACCAAAGAGGAAACTGACTACCTTTTCAATGTTGTCCAAGAGTACGACACACGGTGGTATATCATTCACGATCGCTACAGCTATCCTGAAGGTACCCCTCGCACTCTCGAAGTAAGACATCTTTCTTTAGCAGCGCTTTGTCTTTTGAACCATTTCATAGGATCTGAAAGACAGATACTACAGCGTTTGCCGAAAACTTGTTCGTAACCGACCTTGGGCTGGGGATGAGGCGAGCAGGGGGCAGTTAATATCAACCTTCCAATTCGACAAAGGTTTCTTTTTTCTCTTTCAAGTTTCTAATTGTTTTGAATTTGCTTTATAGAACGAGAGTTAACGCGAAAGAAATATCTTTTGAGCCTTGAAAACCGCACGCCGGAGCAAATAGCAGAGGAAGAAGCACTTTACATTGAAATTAAGAGGCTGGAGCAAAACGAAAGAAAATTCAAGAGAGACCGGGAAGACCTCTTGAGGACGATTGCTGGCATAGATTCTGGCCTTCCAGATATCGTGGAAGACGATGGAGGACCTTTGGGGATCACGGTGGATACGAAGAAGCTGAGGAAAAAAGGTTCCATAATGGACATGGATAGTCCCGCTACTCCATCTGCTCTGTCTATCAGCACGCCACTCATCAAGCGTCCGCCGACTGCCAAGAACACTGCATATGGTACTGGCCAGAACCTAGTTGAATTGTTGATGTGTTTAACACTGTACACCAGATGCGCAACATTGTATCATACGAACGGACCTCTCTGCAAACGCGCCTGCGACCAAAGCCGCCCATCAGGCCGCCTACATTCGATCTTTCAAACTCCCCGTTCCGAAAGCTGCCATCGCTCCAAAAATTGCGCAAGCTTTCTCTGAGCTTGGTTTGTCGCATAGTCGCCTTGTCATGCCTACTCGAGAGAATTGTGCCCAATTTGAAGCATTGTTGGAAGCTACTACGGCTCTGGTGGAGACCAAGAGAGTGGTAGATAAAGTGGAGTACGACATACAGGTGTTGAAAGGGCAACTTGGCATGAGGACCAGTCAACCTGCAGAAGGTGAAGATGGTGGAGAAGGTGAAGATGCAGGAGGCGGTGACAGTAAAACGAACGGCGACTCCATGGAGGTTGACGATGCTCCTGAAAATGAGGACGAAAGAGCACAAAGCGTGGTCAGTACGCGGAGTGGTCGAAGTAGAAAACATGTGAGCTCTTGCGATGTTTGAAGGTGATTGCTATTTTGACCCTTAAAACACATTTAGTCACGGCGGTCCATGTCGATATCTTCGGTGGATACAACCAACACAAGCCTCTCGACCCGGGCAGGGTTGAAGCGACAAAAACACAGCTAGGGATATACCTGAATAAATATGTTCACCAATATCAGTGTGCTATGCAACAAAGGGTAGAAGTCGTTGAGGTCGTGTCGATAGATATGTACTACCCAGTCGTGCCCAAGAGCCTGCGAACTTGGAGCACCAACTAACTTCAGTTTTGCGCAAAGCGTAAGACGAAATTGATAACGACGGCAACTGGAAACGTCGTTTGATACTCCGGAAAATCCGCTACGGGAATACCACGCACCCAAGAGGGAAATGCACAAGACAGTCTTGTTGAAACGTTGAGACGGGGCGTTGCGGAAAGACGAAGTAAGCACTCACAGGTCCAAATCTGTCATCATAAGGACCACGTCCTCCACGGCGAATAGAATTCGCTCTCCAGTGATAGGTATACAAGGCGTAGATCATGATCGCCATGGCTGGGAGCGCGTTGGAACCGACCAAGGTAAAGATTGAATAGATGGGACTGACCGACCAAGGAAAACATGGCTGCGCTAATTTTTCCAACCTGAAAATGACTTGATACTAGGATCGCAAAGGGAAGATTAAGCGCGCACCTTATCGCCAAAGTTCAACAAGCCAACAGCGAGACCGCCGAGAACGACAGTGAAATGTAACCATGATAAGAACGTGCGTTCATTGGCGAAAGAAACTTTCGGCTCGACTCGAACGGGGAGGGCGATGCGCTTCGTCGCTGTCCGCTGAAGGAGAGGCTGGGTGGACATGGTTTAGCGAGAGTTGAAGCTAAGAGCTTCTTCGATGCACGTTCGCCAAAAACAAACAGACTAAAACAGCTAAATCTAATCTACTACGCATTTCGACACTATCCACCGAAGATCTCGAGCTCCTCAATCACACCTTCGTCCTCAAGTTGCCTCAGTGCACAGATATCGAAGCTGCGACCAAACCTCAAGATAACGCTCTTCAGTGCCGTGATCCCATGTTGCTCCACGCCAAACCGAGAGGACACCATTTTGGCAAACAGGCCGTCTCGAGCTGTTACTGCGCGGTAGTCAAGATCAACGCTTTCGAGTTTAGGACAAAGAATCACGGGTGATCTCGAATGCGAATCGTCTCTTGTGAGTCGGTGCAAGACGGATTCTGACATGTATTTCACCGGAATGCGGTTTGATCCTGCAGCACCATGCCAGATGCACAATCTGACTAGTGTTGGTGAAACTAATCCAAGAAACAGTAAAAGACAAGCTTCGTTTATGATGACACCACAGAGGGTGAGATCCTCGATGTGACAGGAAGATCGGGGAATAAAAGCCGCAAATGGGTGAAGCGAGAAAAGTTGCAAGGCGTAAAGGGTAAGTCGACGGAGAGCGGGAATTGTCGTGTTTGTGAAAAGAAGATCTGTAATAAAATCGGAGGCGGGCCCGGAATAGCGTAAGGAGAGTGATCTTAAACTAGTGCAGCGGATGGTTGAGGGGTATAGGGCGGAAAAAATATCATTATCGTCGTCGTCGTCTGCGTAGATAGAATGGAAAACGCAATCCACGAGGTTGGGACATTCTTTGAGGAACTCTAGGCATTGAGCGATAGTTCGTGAAGCAGTGATTGTGAGGGTTGTGAGCTGGCCCCATTGTATATGAAGCAATCTACACAGCGAGTCCTCGTCACCATCAAGGTAGAGATCATGTGCGAAGAGGGAGAATGTGTCCAAGAGTGCGGAATCGCGCCAGATATTGCAAAGACTCCGGTCTGCAGAGTTTAAAAGTACGTAGTCCTCGTATTTTATAGACTGGGGAAGGAACAAACAGAGCTTTTGGAGAAGCGGTGCCCCAGATTGTGGGATGGCTGGTAAGACAGCATCAACCATTTCCCTGGGACACAGCCTGAGTGACTTCCATCGCGCGATGCGGCCGAAAAGGATACGAAAAAAATTAGTCAACTCCTCTTCAGCCAAACCATGGCCAACCGAGGATGCTGGGAGCTCACTCTCAACACCGTATTGGCCATACGAAATCGATAGCGGGCGATTCTTTGCACGCTCAAGCCACAGCTCAAGCAGTTCCACTCGAGGAAAACGCCCGAGCCTGTCAAAGTGCGAACCGACGGAGATGGAGGCCCATAGTTCGGGCGTGGCTATCGCGGAGGCTCTCCAGGCGCAACAAACCTGACATAAAAGGAGTGGAGCGGATGTGCGGCTGGGACGAATGAATTCAACGGTCGGAAGACAGTGGAGAAAGATTTCGCGTAATAATTCTTCTGGAAGAGTGGCGAGGGGATGTGGCGGTGAGGGGGTTGGATCCCGACCAGGGCTCGGGCTTGAGCTATTCTCCCATCGAGAGACGGTTCGAATCGCGTCGGACATTGTATGGGTGTGTAGGTTGTTGAAGTTAGGCGCTTGGAGTACATGACTCGTTGTGGATCAATTGCAGTCCATTCTTGCGATCGTATGTGGATCGTCTGTGGCACATACTGGTGCTGACTACAGAAACCTTTACATAAATAAAATTAAAAAAACTATCGCGCTATGTATGTCATTTGACTCTTGTTAACCAAAATCAGGTATCATATATCAGCTCTAATTAGCGCTCTGCCATTTGCGATTTTGCCTGGGTGTGTGTGTACATGTAATACAGTAAGTAGTCTTAAATATGAAAAGGTTTGTCAAATTATCTGGCCCCCGCCATCATTCGCAATCGGTCAGGATGAATTGTTGGAGGAACACCTTGAGCCGGAGGCCCATTGGGATCAGAGTCAGAAGGGCCCCCTTGTGAGGGCGTTAAAACCAAGTGGAGGGAGGCCACCCGGCCCACCTGGCGGGAATGGAGGAATGCCAACTGGAGGTCCACCGCCGGGAGAAAAGGGAGGGGGACCTAACCTCACAATTTCAACAGCAGTCTCCTCAAACCTAGGAGACAGAACATACCGTTCGGGAACCCCCCTGGCGGTCCCATGCCATTTGGAGGGAAAGGAGGAGCGCCTGGAGGCATCATCGGAGAAAATCCTGGCCCAGGGGGGAAGGGAGGTCGCGCTTGGTAGAAAAGAAATAGTGAGAGGGAGGTTGGGGTACGAAAGGCAGTCAGACATATGTCCACCGAACCCTGGTGGGGGCATGAGTCCATCAAAACCCATGGGCGGGCCACCGTATCCGGAAGGTGAGCCGCCTAAATGTTGAGGTCCAAAGCCGAACCGTCCTGGAGGCGGGCCACCACCCGTCTCATACGCCGATGTAATCTGGTCAATGATGCTCTGGGCTTTATCGTGACCCAGCGCTGTATATTATTGTGTTGCTCAGCATTTAGCCTACAATGTAAGGTTATGAGAACGCAGATGCATAATAATCTCTGACGTTTGAAAGATGATTTCTTCCGCTGTTATGGGCTTTTCGTACTGTAAACCAGTGAGTTTCGTTGAGGCAAAGAAGGACCCGTTACAACTCACCAGAAGCAGAATCGTGAGTCAGAAAGACATCACAATAGTCGCAGTAATGTTTCTATTGCAAAAAAGTTAGAATCTGCCAAGTGGAAGATTAGAGAAACTTACCCGGGTACTATGCCCTATCAGTACTTCGGCAGACCCTCTCAGTCGGCACTTTCCTGATCTCAGACTTTCCACAAAACATCTTGCCACGAAATTTGATACAGGGCCTCCTGGGTATAATCCAATCTAACTCCGCTTTTTTTCGTCAAAAAAAAACGAAGAATTGGCGAAGTTCTGTTTTTTGACCAGTCACGGTCTGTCACGTTCATCCGCCAAAAAATGTGACATTTGTGACCGCCGACTGAGAGGGTCTGCCGAAGTACTGATATAGCATAGTAGTGTGGCGGGAATTAGGCTCTTGTAATTTGCAGCTGCAAATTTGCCCTGCAAATTTGCGCTAATTTGCTGATCAAAGCTACAAGCCCGAAACCAGCATGCAAATTAGGGCAAATTAGCGAGGTCTTGAGTGAGAGAACAACGGCAGGTTTCGGCGTCATTTTCTGTTAATGGGCATGCTAATGGCTTCGTCGAGGTCGATTTTGAGCGACGTCTGTGAATTCGAGGAGTAGCTCGGGATTTTGCTCACAAACTCAATCACGTAAAACCTACTTTGAAAGTCGTTCCATACGCCCGCCGTCAAATGTGCACCTAAAGAAATTCTTTAGACTCAAACAGCACGCAAGTAGTCATCAGTAAATAAGTTCCCTCCTCGCCATCGTTGATCCCCCCGTGCAGTTACTTGTGCACATAACAAAAAAGTTGGTCAAGCAGACCCTAATTTGCGTGAATTAGCTAATTTGCCCTATTTTGCGGGGCTAATTTGCGCAAATTAGCCGGGCTCCCGGGGGCTGCGCCCCCGGACCCCTACCTGCAAATTTGCCGAAATTTAGGGTGCAAATTAGGGCCTCTTTGAGGCCCAAGCAAATTTGCTTGGGAGAATTAGGGTATGGGGCTATTTCCCGCCACACTAACTTACCGGCATGGAACAAGCATGACACTGACAGGATGTGAAAGATCACGTGTTAGATCGAGTGTTCAGGCCCTTCAACGTTCAACGTTCAGCACTCAGCAAGGACTTCCACCAGTCACCAGACATAATGGACCTTTCATCTTCGGGAATCCAGGAGCCTTTTGACCTGATCAGACTTTCACTCAGTGAGCGGGTGTTTGTAAAGTTGAGAGGAGATCGGGAATTGACTGGGATCCTGCATGTGTGTAGATTCCTTGCCTCATTCGTCGCGTTTCCTTTTGGAATAACTCGAAGTTGGTGCAGGCTTACGATGGCCACATGAATTTGATAATGAGCGACGTTGAGGAGACGATCTTGATCGTGGATACGGACAGCGTGCCAACTGGCCAGGGCGTTGTAAATGTAGGGTTTGATCTCTCCTTTTTTTCTGCAAAGAAGCTGATAGCTACAGGTTGCAAAACGGAAGATGGAAATGCTCTTCGTAAGAGGGGATGGTGTCATCTTGGTGTGTTTTGGCTTTATTTTGGCTTTTTATTTCTTATGAAACGTGGTCTATCCAGGTATCACCACCAGCGCGAACATAGCGCTTCCCAGTGGTAGTCTCTTTGGATTGGTTGCCTCTATCGACGCGATGATGCTCAACATGTTTCGCATGTTTTATGGCGTGGCATTGTTATCAGAGCTATGGTCTCCACATTGCAGAAGCAGCTCAGCCCTTTAGCTCGCCAGCACGGAGGAAGATGTAGGCCAATCTATGAGATATTTTTTATTCATCTTTTGGATATTGGGTAGCAATGGAGTATTAAGACGCCTGCACTGTGCAGCAATATTTTGGTATCTTGACGGAATTGTAAGACAAAGTCACGTTTTCGTCGTCGGGGTTGTTTCCGTCACGTTCAAGTTGTCTCCGTTACCTCGTTGCTCTTGCCTTCCAACCATCATGACCATCTACCGACACTTTATCCCCTCAAACACATCTCTCTCCGATGATTATGACGAAGAAGATCCTATCCAGTCCGGCTTCTTCAATGTATACCAGCCTGTGCTTGTTGAACCAGTCCCCGCCCAGTGGTCGTCCAAGCGTCGCCCAGGACCAAGAAAACCACCGATGTACTCCCCGATTTCAACATTGCCACCAGAAATTCTCATTCAGATTCTCAAGTATCTTCATTCATCTCGAGATCTTCTCAGCACTCTTCGTGTTTCACGCACTTGGTGCGAGTGTGCCGTAGAACTCCTATGGCACAAGCCCGCCTTTCCCAAGTACGCTACACTCGAGAAGATGGCGAAACTGCTCAATAAACCCAATCAGACCTTTACCTACGCGCGCTTCATCCGTCGCCTCAACTTTCTTTCCCTTGGATCCGACCTCCGTGATGACATATTCTCCCTATTTATTCGCTGCGACCGCCTCGAACGCTTAACCCTCGTCGGTTGCGCACACATATCAGGCAACATCCTTTTCAGAGTTCTCCCCGCTTTCGTAAACGTTGTTGCCATTGATCTCACTGGAGTCGCACAGGCTTCAACGGAAGCCATTGTCGGGTTTGCCTCTGCAGCTAAGCGGTTGCAAGGCATCAATATTTCAGGATGTAGTCTTGTTTCGGATGATGGAGTTCTCGCACTAGCAGCCAACTGTCCCCTGTTGCGAAGAGTCAAATTAAGTGGTCTAAATCTACTCACCGACACGCCCATCATTGCCCTGGCAGAAAACTGTCCATTCCTTCTCGAGATAGATCTCAATGAATGCGAACTCATCACGGACATCTCAATTCGCACCATATGGACTCACTCTGTCCACATGCGTGAGATGCGACTTTCCAATTGCCCAGCCCTGACGGATGCTGGGTTTCCTGCGCTTCACCGTCCAGATATGCCAATGGATGCTCCAAACCCCTTCCCGCTCTCTAACAAAAAGCAAGATGACCTTCCACCCCTCTTTCTGTCGTCCTCCTTTGAGCATTTACGCATGCTAGATTTGACCGCTTGCGCTCAGCTGACGGATGATGCTGTGGAAGGTATCATATCTCATGCGCCCAAGATTCGAAATTTGGTGCTATCAAAATGCAGTCTCCTCACCGATAGGGCTGTTGAGGCTATATGTAAACTTGGGAGGCACCTTCACTACCTTCACCTTGGCCATGCTAGTAAGATCAATGACCGTGCAGTTCGCACGCTGGCTCGATCTTGCACGCGAATACGATATGTTGACTTTGCCAGTTAGCTTTAATTTCTTCGCTCCAAAAAAATGTTAAACTAATAAATGTTTGCACAGACTGCGCATTGCTAACGGACATGTCGGTTTTTGAGCTTTCAGCGCTACCTAAATTACGCCGCATTGGCCTCGTCCGAGTAAATAATCTAACAGACGAGGCTATTTATGCCCTAGCAGAACGACATGCCACACTGGAACGGATTCACTTGTCATATTGTGATCAAATATCTGTCATGGCCGTTCACTTCTTGCTCCAGAAGCTGCACAAGCTTACTCACCTCAGTCTCACTGGCGTGCCTGCGTTTCGTCAGCCAGAGCTGCAACGATTCTGTCGAGACGCACCCAGAGTAGGCATCAGTATTTCTATCATTTCTATAATTTGCTTATCGATTAATACCTGCAGGACTTCAACTCCGCACAGCGCCTCGCTTTTTGCGTGTTTTCTGGAAAAGGCGTGTCACAACTCAGAGCCTACCTGACAGAGTTGTTCGATCGCATCACCGAACTGAATGGCACCGATGATACAGACTACGACGAGGACGACTATGATCTGGATGGGTACCACGAGGACGATATTCCAGAGCCAGAAATAGGAGGAGAATTTGAAGACGATGACTATGCGCGCCAACGCGTCTTCACAAACCCCTATGTAACAACATCTCGTGGTTCGCGCCGCACCCAACCTGAACCTGAACCTATGCATCCAGTCCAGTCCCACGAGTTCGTTTTTCAACGAGAACGCCCCGCTCGAACGGTTACGGTACCCAACCCTACACTGGCTGTCGAAGGGCGCGGTATACCAGAGATATCACCATCGACCAATCTACGGGGGGCAACGTCCATCTTAAATGCTCAGATCCAAGCAGCTACACCTGGCCCTTCGCGCCCACGTGGATACCCTCGGGGGAATCGTTCACTTGCAGATATGTTGCCCATTGTGGAGTCGTCGCAGTCACCCCCGCCGAGTGAAGTGGCATCTGAACGCAGCGTTGCAACAGACAATTCCAATGGTGCGGGCTTCTTTCGTAATTATCAGCAGGGTGGTTCAAGGGGGGTTCTTGCTGGAAGCAATCGTGTTTTAACTCCGGATCTGAACTTCGCAGAAATAGGACATGGTCGTGGTGCCCAGGGGTCGTCTGCGTCAGCATCACGGACTGTCGCGCAAGATCAGACTCCACGCCAGCCATTTGTTGAGTTCAACTATCAAGAACGATCCACTCAAGGACCGTCGCAAGCGGCCTCTATAGAACTGCCGAGCTTTCCGACCGTAGGGGCTTTAAGCCTTAGGGACGAATCATCCACAGGAAATGCTTGGCAATTGCGTACAGGAAGAACTTCAGCACCCCTCGCGGGACGGGAGCTGGCAGAGCCCGTACAATCATCATCGAGTAGGGATGGTAGGGGAAGACAAGAACAGCGTGAAGCAGCTCCCCAGGTTGGGGAAAATCGGGGAAGAAGTGTTAAACGGAGTCTCCGAAACACTCTCTATGCAGCGGAGCACTACGCTACCTCCTTTTTATTTGGCCGTTCGCCAGCAGATGTACGAGAGGACGAAAACGGGGCTGGGTCGCAGTCACGCTGAATGTACCAAAAGGCGGGTTAGAGTGTTTGACATGTTATTATACAGGGCTGTTGTACTATTCTATTCATGTGTATTTTCCCTCCTTTCTCTTCTTGGTCCTACCTTCCTGCATGACAATAATACTAGATAAACCACGCAACACATTTCACGGCTATTGCACAGACACATCTTCCCTTTACGCTGGTTCTGTAAACTCATCTAGACTACAACAAATATTTATCTTTTCGAAAGTGGCATCGCTCAAAGTACAGGTGTAACTAATACAAAGACTATACCCTGACCAAATACCACTCAAATGTACTCACAAATACGCAGAATGTTTCAAACATTTGGGCAGGATAAGTAGCGCTCAAATGAAGAAGAACGAGAGGGCTGCTGCACAAAGAGGAACGAGGCTCTTTGCCATCGGTACTATAGACAGAGCGAGTACTGTGCTGGTTGCGTCGCTCGACGGTTTGGCAGCACCAGTGGTAGTGTTGGTGTTGGTTGCGTTATTCTGGACTGGTGCCGCACCGGCAAACACGACCGCCATCCCAGGTGCAGGGACGTTGACAGTGCATCCCTTGGTACAGTCGATCTGCACATTAGCGGCGGCCCACGAATCCGCAGCTTTGACAAGCTTTCCATCCCCCACACCTCTGAGCGTTTGACCACCGCAAGAAATGTTCATGGTTTCTGCCATGCTGACAGCAGTCAGGTATTTCACGGTGATAGCATTGCTTGAGCCCGACTTGAACGACGAGGAAGGAAGGGAGAACGAAGCGGAGGGCGCAGAGGTCGAAGTTGCGTTGTAATAGTTGAAGAGAACGAATTGTTGGACACTCGAGTCGATGGCATCGTATACGGCGTATCCGCTGACGGTGGCATTCAAGTCGGTCCTCGATCCCATTATATCAAGGTCCACCACTTTGCTGCCATTTTTGGATTGTAGCGCTTCAGCCACTGCCAGCAGGGCGTAGTAGGGAGGATTGGTAGTCCAAGATCCAGGGCTTGGGTCAAACAGGTTGTATGAAATCCCTTGTTCCCTTGTATGGATGTAGGCTGCACTGTACCCCACTGATGCCAGTTGGAGTGCATAATCTACTGTCCAGAGAGAACCGACAGCGAATGTGTTGGAAATTCCTGGGATGCCTCCACACGACGCCGAGTTAAATTCCGTCATAATGAGTTGTGGTCGTCGCGACGAAGTATTCGCGTTAACGATGTCGATACCCGGCTGCTCCCAAGCAGAAAGATTGACCACTATAAGTCTTTTACCAAAACATTCAACGAAGTCAAATGTAAAACTTACCATTTGGATGTTGCACGTAGTAAGGGATCTCGTACTGGTAGCTGCCAAAACAGTTGTTTTGAGGGTAGTGCTGAAGACTAACGGATCTCAGATCTCTTTAGAAATCGTGGCGCCATGCAGGACACTTACGAGATATACTTCAGGACATCATCAAATGCGGTAGAATATCCTCCCGTTAACAAAGCATCAAGATTCTTCGTAGACGGGAATTAAGGGTTAATGCATTCAAATATTTTAAGTCGTCGACTCACCCATGCACAGCATATAGTGGGACCTCCCAAGAGAGGCCGTGCTAAAATGTCACCTGCCGAGGTGTTAGTCAAGTGGCTTGCGGCAGTTCGAAAATCCTTCAAAAAGGTTTTAGCCAACAGTCCAAATTTCGCTTGCTCATAACTTCCTCACGTCGATATAATTATCCGTCGTGTAGTTTTGGATGTTTGGCCGATCCCCGTGAGAAGTGTAAAGATCTGGTTCCTGTCGAATACAGCACAATCACGGTGAACGAGGTTCGTTGAAACAAACAAACAGCATACATTTCCTAAAAGAAACCCATCCAAATTATTGCCCAATGTCTCCTGCACTGCGGCTGTGACCATCCATCAGATTGCCGTACAACGGATGGCACAACCTTTGTTTATAAATACACACCTGCCTCGACCGGGACATTTGGATTGTTAGGATCAAGGAGAGACAGGCCTTTTGAGACAAACGTGTAAGTTATTACCGCCACTTGGCCAGACATGGGGATGTACCAATCAGATAGTTGGCGCCTCCAACCTCTCCAGCAATTTTATTGAGGACATCCCAAAGAACTGGACCGTAGTTGACTGACTGGTCATTTGCATTCAAAGCTCCTTGGATGTGTTGAACCATGGGGGAAGTCTGAGTTGATACATAAACCGAACTATCCATCGAGTTTCCGCCTATCCTGATGCGCAAAGGCACAGCGCCAGTGCGCAAACGCAGAGCGGAAAGGTAATTAATGACTGTAGCAGGGATGGTCGACGTGTCATTTCCAACTGCGGTTCAGGACTTTCAGCGTTCAGAATCTACTGATCACAAGAATGGTTCTCACAATAATCATTCACAAAACTGAGCTCGAAGCTGATCCCCAGGAAGTTGGGATACACCACATTTTGCGAGGACGGCGCTGCGGGTACGTTGACTTGAATGACACTGGTGGCAGAGCATAGAGGTATCAGAAGGGACAGACAGGCGAACTTAAAGAGGCCAGATATGTTTGAAGGAGTGGTAGTGTTAAGCATTAAGCACGTACGTTGGAGTAGATGAAGAGATCGATGGGAACGCTCGACGGGTCTTATTCGACCATCAAGCGCCGAAAATCAGTTGATATACGTTCGGAATGAAGTAGAGCCGTAACGGCATCGAACATTGCTCAACAAACTCCAATGAAGTTGTTCAACCAATCTTGAGCGCGCTGGCAGCGTCGTCTAGCACGTTCCAGCATGAAGCTGATTTCAAATGGGCAAGAGTACTAACTTTGAGCCGAAAAATGGCGCTCAGCGCTCACTGGGAGTTCGCCAAACTTGAGGGGTGCAGTCTGTCAAGAGGCCTCAGATCCACCGATGCTGGACGTCCGATCGGTCACGTGCCACTGACAGCGGCTATTTCCGAGCTTCGGAAACGCAAGTCGACGCTTGGTCGACGCCGACCTCAATCCAATGCTCGACCACTATTTTATTACATCTAGTAGCGGAATATGATTTAATTCAATAGAACATGCTTGTTTTTGAATGGGAGGGGCAAATGTATCTGTTGTGCTTTGGCAATGTGACTGGCATTGGGCTCAGACTGGTCTTGGTGATGTGTAACTGGACTCGAGGCTAGAGGTTTCTCAAAGCAAATATAAGTACCAACTTAATTGAATTACTATTTATTCATTTAGCAATGCTCGAGGCCATAAAGTATATGTTGGGAGGTGCCTGGTATGGTTGGAGAAGATTGGGCCTGTTTTCTCTTCTTTTCAGCTGGAACTGGCAAAGGGTATCGTAGTGTGTTATATCAAGTTATTATACAAGGGTTTGGTACACCAGCAGAGACCTCAGAATGTAAGTTATGTGGAAGGCAAAGGAGGACACGCTTCGGAGAACCTTCTAGCCGAGTAGCCGGTGGTGGCTGTACCTCCCCCCCGACTCGACGTACTGGATCGGTGGATCTAGGGCCAAGTACTTCGCTTAGGGTTCTTTGAAGTAGTGTTGCCGCAAAGTTCAAAGCAAAGTTCAAAGTGCTTTAAAGTCGGCTATTTCCGACTTCAAAGGACTTTAAACCTAAAGTTGCTTTAAAGCGATTTCTGCTTTCGGTCGACGGTCCACAGCCTTCTAGTCGCGACGGAGGCTCGCCGCTCCCTCAGCAGATGAGCAAAAACTGTTTACTTATGGTAGAACATAATAACATTAAGTGGATGCAAGTTCTGGCTAAGTAAAACAGGAATAAGTAGGCTGGTCAAGGTCAGAATTCTCTGGTCAGAGATCATCCTCTCATAACGGAGATCTAGGTCCCCCTCTGAAACTACCCAAAATATCAAGCCTGCTCTCGCGCTTGTTTTCACCTTCTTCAGAAAGATCGGGTCATTGGACTACTTTTCGCGAAGACAACCTTTGTCTGCTTCACGATGTTAGAACTGGTGAGGGGAGCCATTGTTGGGACCTTGCGCGACCGACTCATTCCGCTGAGAGGTTTCATACGAGCTGATTTACGCGCCTCAGCCCCGAGGTTTGCGCTTGCACGTCGCGTGAATCAGATGAGGGAGAAACGTAAACGGTCGTGCGCGCGACGGACGTTGGTGAGCTCGCGCATATCGTGCATGCTGATATCCGGCGAAGATTTGACCATGCCGGCGTGACTTTGCGGCAACACTATTTCCAATTCCCAGATTCTTTGGGGGCTTTTCGTCGCTTTCTTGTCAGTCTAGCATCCCTCTGATGGTCCTTGTCAACTCCAAACGCATCCTGTAGAGTGTATTCAACAAATCGAGCCTTTTCGGTACAATTTGAAGCTGAATCGATAAGTACAAAGGAGTCGACAACATCACCAGGACCCGAGAAGCACCAGGGGGTACTTGGAAGAGAGGAGAACACAGAATATGAACCAAATTTGGTGGGGGTGTTGTCGTTTTAGCGCTGAACCCGGGGAATGATCCCAGAAGTGTTCCAATCGATTTTGCAGCATCGGCGTATTTAGTTGCGCTGTTTTTGACAACGAAAGGATGTAAACCGTAGTACTACAACACTATTCAGTTTGATAGTAGAAATGCAGGTAGATGAATTTACGGGTGTGTCAAATGCAATGCACGCAATGATCTTCGGCCATAAGGGAGCTTGAGCATCTGGCCGTGAGTTGACAAACTCACGAAGGGTGTCAGCAGCAAGTAGGCCGCCCATACTGAAGGCACTCAATTAGATCGAGTGCGCGCGTTGAATATTTGGCAGGCAACGTACCTGTGCCCGCACAAGACGATCTTGGCATTACCTGCTTCTCCACCAGAAGCAACCTCACGCTCGACGGTCAAGGTGGTAAGCCAGTCTGCGAAACGGACTACCGCTTTGTCCTATCGTAGAGAACGAGGTCAGTCTTAGGAATCAAGAAACCTCAGCCATACGTACCAACTCCCCTTTAGTCTAGGTATCAAGATAGCCGTTCTTTAGCTGGAAATGGGCTGCAATTGCATCGGTACACGTCACCTCGTACGCAGGGAACACCAAACATTCCACCTTAACATTCGATATGGTCTCCGAGAGGATGTGCTCCAGTCTCTTGGGGAATTCTCGAAATGTTTGGTCGGTCCCTTTGAACCCGTGGATGAAGACGACAAGAAGTGAGTCTGGAACCGATTTCGTCAGAGCCAGTTCATTCGCCGCATCTCGCTGTTCAGATTTCGTCGGTTCAGTGGTCATGGGTTTATCCGACGTCGACGGGCCATGAATGAGTCTGACTCTGTTTACAGATGTTGAATGGCTACATTTGCAGCGCGTAAGGATTACTGGTGATGCTGCAGCTGATTTTAACGGGTATGTATGTATGCTACTTAACAAATAATTCATGTTATATCCCCCAGCTCTGGCTCCGGTAAGGTGCCTGGGTCTGAAGCATATCTGGGAATTCTTGAGACGAAGGAGAAATAGACCGAGACAATTGAGCCGATGCTTGGCTATCGTGCAGAGCTGAGTACACAGTCCGTGTCATCCGGGATGTAGTGTGATCCTCTTGATGATGATGGTGCAACAGGACATTGTTCACCACTTGAGGTGCTGCATACCTGCGTGAATCAGAGGAGACTAACTGTGGTGCCGCCGGATTAATTTGGAGTGTCCCAGAGCGAAACATATTCACGGGGGGGACATGATGAGTTAATTGACCCCTGTTCGATGATAAGGATGCCTCAGAATTCTTGCGTGCAAAAAAACCAGGTCGCGATCCATCACCTTTCAGGGCTTTGTCAGTATTGCCAGTGGCGGGCTGGAGAAGCGCTGCAGGGTTTTGATTATACCAGGACTGTTGTCCCTGTGCTGCCGGTGTGCTGCTATTGATAGAAGAAGGAAAAATCGAAGGAGGGCTGGTACCGAACTTGGCCTGGCTAGGGCCCTGCAGAGGAGGGGGTTGAGATTGTGGGGTAGACACAAGGTAACGCTGCGAGGGTGGCTGCAAAAGTGCTTGCGATGAAGATGTCATGCCTGTGGACAAACTTGACTGTGAAGACTCAGAGGTTTTAGCTAGAGCGCGTTTAGGGGGATTCCATTCTATTTCTCCTGCATACAGGTCATTGGATGCGAGGTGAGGTTCAGATCTATGCCCCGTTGGGACATCGGAATCTTCCTCTCCAGTGTATTCATTGCTTGACTCGAGCCCGATCTCCAAACTTTGTGTCAATTGCTGTTCGACACAGTCCCTCGATTCTTGTGATGATTTTGAAGATTCCAACCCTGGTGGAAGTTGGGACAATGCTTCTGCTGGATCTGGTGAGGTATGTGATAGCGAGGGCGGACTCGAAGCAGGCGGGGATGGTAGAGAAGATGCTGCTATGATATGGAGCAATTTCTATAAGTTTGGTGGTCCCAGTTATGGCAAATCTTGATACATACGGTCATTCGAGGAGTTTGAAGCATATTGATCTGGATTAGATAACACTCCAGTCATCATGCCAGAGAGCGATAGGCTGTCCCCTACACCTTCCTCTGCACGCTGCAGCATGGGAAGGTCAGCGCGCTTGACAGGGACAGCATTCCGGATATGTTGATTAAGGATGTGGTGGATGAGATCCTGGCTGGAGGGAAAGGTGGAGGAACACCAAGACCATCGACAACTATTGAGGTGAAAAGGTGACAATTGCGGCAACGACGACGACGATGATGCTGCTAACGACATGGGTGCTTGACGGCAGCTTGACGCGACGTCACTGTCACGTTCACGTTGCATAACGAATGTGTCACGCGTTTTATCTTATCTCGTCACACTCATGTTCCAAGAGAAACCATCACTCGACTACCTTGGGCTGAGCGCAGAGTATCATCCTTCTCCAAGGACAGATCCAATTTCATTTCTGACAATAAATATCACAAAGTTGCCCCCACATTTGCTGCTTCATTACAGTACCATTACCACTCCAAAACAACGAGCTGCCATTCCCACTGTGAGGAACAGACGGTTGAGATTCACCAACCAAAACCCTCCAGAACTACAGTTTAATTCTGCGCGGAACACATGGCCGCTGCTCTGGAAGGGGCGTGAACGCCGAGGAATAGAAGAAGGTGCAGAGGAACGAGATTGGGCCGAGAACAATTTCCTGCAAGGGGCCAAGAAGCATGTTGGGAAGTTGGCATCCCTTCTTGGTGGTTATGAAGAGGAGAGAGAGGCGGAGCGCATACGGGTGCTGTACAGAGAAAAGCCTGGGGGCGAATTTGTGGCAGAGGAAGACAGTGAAAGCGATGAGGAAACGGAAGAAGGAGAGCAAGAAGAAGGGCAAGAGGAGGCCAAAGAAACGTTTGAACGTCTTATTCGAGAACACTTCATTTACGGATTATTGGAGGCAAGTAATAAATTGAAGCCGCCTGCTACAGCTACTGAATTTTATGAATCCTAGGACATGGACTACGACAGAGTTGATTGGGATGATACATTGGATGATGACAGGGATGCAGAAGACAAATGGTTTGACGAGGACTAGTGTGACATCGTGACATGTCGTGACTCGTTCCCTACTTACATCTCCCGTCTTTGAGCCCGCCCTAATGCTGTCAACGACAAGTCCAATTCCATTTGACCTCCATCAAGGTGTCGTCAATCCAGAGAACTTGTCGCTTCCAGACCCTTCCCTGAAAAAAAAAAAGAAGAAAAAGCGCCAAAGTGAAGAGAATGATCAAGACTCTCATAATAGGAAAAAACGCAAACATTATGATGATTCACCGCAAGACCAAGACTCATCGTCTGCGGACCCCACCGTGAAGAAGAAGAAAAGGAAGAAAGACAAAGGAAAAGATCTGCCTCAAGCAGAGCCGTCCATCGACGATGTAAATGCGCAAGCAACCGCTTTACTTTCTGCTATTGTTGCTGCTGCAGCTGGGAATCCGGTGTCAGACCCTCCTCCTCAGATGGCCTTTCCGCCGCCTTACCACCCTCATATGCCTCCACCGGAGCATCAACATTTCGGGCAATATCAAGCCGTGCAGGATGGTTTCAACCCTTATGCCCAGCCTTTATTCCCGACACCTACAGATGCTGCAGGTGCCTTCTCAGACATTAACTTTGGGTCCAATGAGGACGTCCTTCGTGCTCTTCAAGATCTGGATATTTCCAAATCGCCAATGTACTCAGGACTCTCGGAGAGGCTGCGGCAGCAGCGAATTTCCCATCATATCCACCCCAACCTGGCTTTGTGGCACCCCCCATGCCAGAACCGGTTCCACCCACTCCATTGGGGCAGCTTCCCGTTGCATCAAACGCCATTTTGGGGCTGCCGCCCAAGGCGCCTGCGCCACCTAATGTACCTCTAAGAAAGTCTGAGAGAAGCTTTGGGGCGACTGATTCGCATACAAGTCCTGACCACGCATACTTGCTCGCAAACAAATGGTTGAACGCCAGCAAATTATCTGAGCTTGTCGCAAATCAAGGTGTGGGTGTTAGTTTTCAGGCTGCATCTCACTACTTATCTGTCATCAGGTCTTGTATACAAAAAGGGGAAGTTTTCAACTATCGAGGATCGACAGCTAGAAGCCGCCATAGAACACTACAAAGTCGTGAGTATCGGAGACGCCTTTACTGCCTTTTATATTTATTAAGACACGCGATTAGTCTAAACAAGTAACGGATGAACAAATACAAGAACTCGTCTTCCCACAGAATGAGAAAAACAAGGATAATGCGTTCTGGTCGGAACTAAGTGAGCATCTACATCATGGTTTTGTTCTCCATCCCTGACCTCTTACTTTCAGCATCGGCTGTTGCACAGCGCCCCATCATTGCCGTATATCATCATGTTCGCAGGATGCGACATCCAAACAGATTGCAAGGACCTTGGAAAAGGGATGAGAATGATCGACTTAAACAGTCTGTCAAAACGCCCTTCTAGTTTGTTGCGCGGTTCATGACGCGTACTACAGAGCTGTGGCAGATCTTGGCCAACAATGGGAGAAGGTAGCTGACCGCGTTGGAAGGCCATCTTCAGATTGCCGCGATCGTTACAGAAACCATATTCTCAATCGAGACATTCGCGTTTCTGGTGTGTTATTGGATCACATTATGGTTAGAATAACAGCTTATCTGATCATAGGGCATTGGTCCAAGGAGGAGGAGGATAAACTCACACGCATAGTCACGGACATGACCATTAACCAAGGAAAAGATGCCGACAATGATGTGTTTTGGGGGCGCGTTAGTGAGCTCATGGGTGGGACACGGGGCCGGCAACAATGTAGGATTAAATGGTAAGGTTTACTTTTTAAGGTTGGGACAATTCTTCTGACACCCCTTCACGTAGGACGGATGCCTTGAACAAAACCATCAAGAATCGAGGGCAAAAACCGAGATGGAGCCAACAAGACGCCTTCATCCTCGTTCACAAGTAAGCCTTTGCCACGTTAGTGCCGTAAAATATACTCAATAGTCATGTTCCAGAGTTGACTCTCTCAATGTTCGAGATGACACTGAAATTGACTGGAAAACGATTCCAGACCCAGATTGGAATCTTTGGAGTGCACACACGTTGCAACGCAGGTGGATGACAATGAAAAAAGCGATCAAAGGATGGTACGACATGAGGCATGAAGGTTGTTATTCTTCACTCTTTGTCTTCAGCGTATGTGTTGCTGACCTTGCCGCAATAGAAATCATGGATATCTTGCGAGAGAAGAAGGCCCAGTTACCACCCGTTGCGCCTGCCCCAGTTACCCGAAAACGGAAAGAGCGGAAAGTGACAAGCGCTGCAGATATTATTGAGACTGATGTCAGAACGGCTGGGTCAAGCACGGGTCCTGGGACATTGGCTGCCAATGAGGACTCTGAATCTTCCTCAGATGAGTCGACCGACTCGGAATGAGATGTAATGTTCTTTATAGGCATACCTAATGAGCACATACTATAATTTCGAAACAAAACAAATCATTTTACGCTCGCTTTGAGCAGTCCAACAATTCAGGGTGACAAAAGCATGGGACAGTGGATGTCAGTGGAAAAAGTTTGATTACCGTTTATAGGCGCCGGCAACGCTGGAACCAAGAGTCATCCAGCACTGTCACCAACCACGCTGTCTTCATTACTTCCTGTAAGTATTGCATGTGGAAGACGCGTTTTGAGCTTCCTTCCTCGAGGTGACTCTTTCAAGCTGTCAAGTCAAGTCCCGAAGCTCCTTCTCATTGACCGCCATGTCGAGGAAACTCTCTTCGACCTCACAGGAGGGAACACCAATTCAACGTTCGAATCGACTCTCGACCTTTACTTTCTTAATCTCTGTCGCAGCTCTCCTCTCAGTTCTTACGACCCCGTTCATCTCAACTTTCTTTGGTCCCGTCGTACCTCCGTTGGCTGAGCCTCCGGAGTCTGTCATAGACAAACAAAGCGTGCTTGCTCGATGTGCGGCACTCAAAGCCGTCCCAGGTCTTGCGCAGAATTCCTCCCCGAGGGACGAGTCGGACAGGTTCGAAGCTGGGACGAACGCCACCTGGATTCGCAACGCTGTTATTTTCACTGGGGAGAACAACGGAACGACGGTCATTCGCGGGGACCTTTTTCTGGACAAAGGGATTGTCAAAGGGATTGGCAAGGTTTCAAGACGGATGATCGACAACGCTCCCAATCTGACTGTTATCGAAGCTCACGGTGCTTGGGTCACTCCTGGGCTTGGTGAGCCTCTTGACCGTCTCTAATGTGTGACCCTAGCTAACGACTCCTCGAAGTGGACTTGCACTCCCATCTGGGAATCTTCAGCTCTCCGATTTTATCAGGTCGGTTTCCAATGATATGATTTTTCTCACCTTCTACGATGCAAATGATATTTTCACTTCAGGAGCAGTCGATTTCGATTCCACGAAGGGTCCTATTTTGCCCTGGCTAAGGGCTATCGACAGTCTCAATACGCATGATGAAGGATACCGGCTGGCAGTTGCGGGAGGAGTTACGACTGTGCAAGTAGTCCCTGGGGATAATAATCCAATCGGTTTGTGGGTCCTTTCAACGATGCGGTGAGACTTAGAAGTCGGCTCTGCAGGTGGACAGGCCTTTATGGTGAAGCTTCGCAAAACATTGGACGGGTCTTCCTCATCGATGATAGTGGAGCCACCGCTTAATCTAAATTCGGTCAAAGCCGATCGTCTTAAACCAGTTCCTTGGCGACACTTGAAGTAAGTTATCTTTGTCCTTGCTTGAGCAAACTTAATAGATCTACTTCCTTTTTTCTACAGGCAGGCGTGCGGAGAAAAGCCCAGGCGCTATGGAAATCGAATGGACATCATGTGGGCATTACGCTCGGCCTACGGAGAAGCGCGCAATCTCATGCAATCACAAGATGCCTACTGCGCGAAAGCCGAGGCAGGTTTGTGGGGATCGGTGAGCGGTGGGTTCCCAGAAAATCAGAAATGGGAGCTGTTGGTAGACGTGCTTCGCGGAAAGGTCAAAGTGCGTTATAACCCAAATGAATGTTGGGACTAGATCTAAAAATGTTGACAGGTTTCAAGCCATTGTCAAGAAGCCGTTGATTTAGATGCAATGGTCCGGGTGCGCCATTTTTACCTGACTGTGCGCTGAGAGGGGTGATAGTCTGAATGACGGTTCTAGCTGACCAACGAGTTCCAATTCCCGATCGCGTCATTTCACCATGCATCGGAGGGGTGGCTTGTTCCAGAGTTATTGAAGCGAACGTGAGGATCTGCAGAGGAATAATTGAAATGTTATTCACAATATCTCAGCTGGGGAGGTATCCCCACACTCGCAATATTCGCGACTAACCACCGGTATGTCACCTCCCCCAAAAAAAGACTCTTCTAAAGCTGCCAACATAGGTACAAACGGGAGTCATTCCGCGGCTCGGAGTACGCCAGTCGCGTTCTAGCAGACAACGAGATCTCCGTGGCGATGACGGTAATTTGGAATCAGCGATTTCTTGTTTTCGCAATTGAGACCAGTCAATACAGAGTGACCATCCCGTCTTGAATCCTCGTTATCTCGCATATGAAGCCCAACAAGCGCATTATTTCGGTCTTCCTCCACATCTAGCACTTGCTTCTATAACCTCCGTTCCAGCTGCAGCTGTAGGGTTGGACCATCGTATTGGTATTTTGACAGAGGGGGCTGACGCTGATGTTGTGTTATGGGACTCTCATCCACTTCAGCTAGGTGCGACGCCTGTGAACGTGTGGATTGACGGGATAATGCAAATCCCGGTGCCATCCAAGACAGGCGAGAACAATCATATCGAAGTAGGAAAGGGGAAAGAAAGCGATGAGTGGAGGAGAGTGCCCACCGTTCCCAGTTGGGACAGGGAGCGCAAGGATGCTATTCTATGGGACGGCCTTCCCCCTCTGGATGGAAATAAACAAAGCCGGGTTGTTTTCACTAATGTCAAGAAAGTCTGGAACAAGGAATCTGATGGCAACATCCGAGAAACGCTCGTTCCGGGAGCAAGTGGAGGCACCGTCCTTGTTGAGAAAGGCAACATAATCTGCACAGGCGAAAACTGTGTTGATGTGGCAGCAGAGTCGAATCTAGTAGATCTTCACGGCGGCTCTATCTCTCCTGGCCTGATGTCGTATGGATCTCAACTCGGGTTAGAAGAGATCGCCAGTGAACCTTCCACCGGCGATAGCGAGCTACTTGATGCTTTCAATGGCAATCTGCCGAGGATACTAGATGACGTTGGCGGCGTTGTACGGGCTGTCGATGCTCTGATGTTTGGAACACGAAACGCATTGTGAGTTTTCAGCTACTCATCTAAACACTGCTAACATTTTTTAAGAACTGCTTACCGCTCAGGTGTAACGCTGGCGACGACAGCACTTGCCAAACCAATTTTTCTCTCCCGCGGCCATTTTGTATCGGGGTTGTCCACGACCTTTGGGACAGGCTCTAAGCACGCGATGGAAAGGGGGGCCATTGTGCAAGACGTGGTTGCTCTGCATGTGGTCCTTGGCAGATCCAGTCCACTTTTACCAAAGAGCGTTAGCGTTAGCACACAGATAGCGGCCTTGAGAAGGTTGTTATATGGTTGGGTGAGTACAGATAAGGAGACGGGCATATGGTTTAGGAAAGCTGCGGAGGGCGTTGTACCGCTGGTGATAGAAGTCGACAACGCGGATATAATGGCATCGCTTCTGATTTTGAAGGCAGACGTCGAGGACAAAATTGGATCCCGGATGAGGATGGTTTTCTCTGGCGCCACAGAAGCCCACCTCCTGGCCAATGAAATTAGTGGGTCGTGATTGAAGCGAGTCTGGCCTACCATTTACTTACCTTGCTGTGTTTACAGGCAAAGCAGATGTAGGCGTGCTTCTCAATCCCGCCAGACCTTTCCCTACTGTTTGGGACCAGCGTAAAATGTAAGTTTAATACCCGATTTTTTCCCATCACCTCTAAATCGGTGTGTCTAGTCTGCCTGGACCTCCCCTGACGAATGATACGGCACTAGTGATTCTGCTTGAACACGATATTACCGTAGGTTTGGGCGTTAGGAGCGCATGGGACGCTCGAAATTCAGGATTTGACATCCAATGGGTAAGTTTGCAGCTATTACATTGGGCGGCTCTTACAAACAGTTTTCAGGCTATCCTTGAATCCAACGGCAGAATTAACGAGCGCAAGGCATACGCGTTGGTCTCTTCAGACCTCGAAAAGCTTTTGGGAGTTCGAAATATCGGGGAGGATGCGGATCTAGTGGTGTATGAAGGTGGTGGCCTCTTCGATCTCTCCAGCAAGGTAGTTGGCATAATCTCTCCCCAGCGTGAAGTGGTAGATCTTTTCTGATATGTATTCGGACGACGCATCGATTATTATTTCTTGGGTACGTAGAGGACTTGAGTAAGAACCTAAGATACAACACCAAGTAGAGCGGCACTGTTCCTGATGCCCCGATTCCTCGCAGCGACCATGCTTATTGCAATGCAGCTGAGAAGAAATCCCGCGAACCTATATTCATGGCACCGGTTTTACAACGGCGAAGGGGATAGCGCGGTGGCATGCTCACCGGAAAAATGCGACGCGAGAGATTGACCGCTCTTCGTGTGGTGACCGTGAAGAGGCAAAGATTGAGCGCAAAACGGCGGGCGTCACGGGAATGCGACTGGCAGAGTCAGACGGTGGCTGCTGAAGAACTTTATGGGATGGTCTCGCGGTCGGGGTTGACGACGTTGATGTTGTAGAAGACATGTTAGAGACGGCTCAAGCCGGAGTTCGAATCACAGCCCAATCACACTTTTCGCGCCGACATTTGTCCTGGCGCACACAGTTTTTTCCAGGACAAGAGAGGACAAGTCACAAAGCGAAGGCGCCAAATCACAGTCTGTACCTCACTTATCGGCGGGTGGAACGACTTCTCGCGTCCTGGACCCTGGGTGTTTTTGTGCAATACCCTCTCCTTCAACTCGATTTGGTTAGCTTGTTTCCTACTGACCGCCTTCGCGTATGTCAACTCAGTGTCAACTCTCCCTCTCTTATAATGGACCTCACCGCGTCTTTAGTTATACCCAAGTTATACAGATACCCTTGGAATAATTCAAGTCTAAGTTATCCAGGATTTCATCTGCTTCCAATCATGCTGCTGGATGGCGATTCCGAGTCATCATCCTTTCACGAGGACATGGTTAGGATCGCGGACCGTTTGCCCTTGCATGATGAATATCGTCGTGTGCGCCACCTCACGCTCCAAAGGACCCAAGAAATACCTATAACTGACGACGAACTAAACAAAGTCCTCTCTGCATGCCCTCACCTCGAAACCGTCGTTCTTACAGGCGTTCCTGAAACCACCAACAGATCTATTGTCTCCCTCGCGCACAACGCGATGAATCTTCAAGGGTTAAATATATCTGGCTGTTCTTCCATCACCGACGTTGGGGTCCTCGAGATAACCAATAAATCCCCTCCTCTACAGTGGATAGTGCTGAATGGAGTTGTGGGGCTTACAGATCCATCCATCTCTGCTATTGCCAAAACGTGCTCGCGTCTCGTAGAACTCGAATTATGCGGCCTACCTTTGATTTCTGCGTTATCTATAAGAGACATATGGTCATTTTCGAGGTTTGTTTGGAGTGGGGTAACCGATTGATTGTGGTTTGATTTTATTATCGCACAGAAAATTGCGAACATTGCGACTGGCAAACTCTCCGCGTATCTCAGACAAGGCATTCCCGTCATCACTCCCCTCCAACATTGGATCTGATTCGGATGATGAAAAACCTCTTCCTCACAGGCCCATTACTTGGCTTGAAGAATTACCTCCTCTGATTTTGCAGCATACCGCAGAAAACCTACGAATGTTGGACTTGACATCCTGTAATGTAACCGATGAAGCTGTCGAAGGCATCGTAAGGCACGCACCAAGAATTCAAACTTTTATCCTCTCCGGATGTTCTTCACTCACCGATAAGTCCGTGGAAAGCATTTGCAAACTTGGCGACCACCTTGATGTAATCATGCTCTCTCATGTTGGCAACATCACTGACGCAGCGGTGGTCAAGCTGGCTCGGTCTTGTGTCAACCTTAGATGCATCGACGTAGGATGTAAGTTGTGAACCTCCTATTCTTTCATGCCGGGTTTTTTGCTTTTCCGACTAACACCATCAAGTTTGTCGCAATCTTACAGATATGTCTGTCTTTGAACTTGCCGGGCTCCCCAGCCTCCGACGTCTAAGTCTGGTGCGAATTCATAAGCTTACAGACATCGCCATATTCGCACTGGCAGAACATGCTGTCGGGCTGGAGCGACTTCATCTATCATACTGTGACCGCCTATCTCTCGAAGCCGTGCACCTACTTCTCCGGAAACTGGGTCGGCTGCAGCATCTCACCGCGACTGGGATACCGTCCTTCCGCAGAAAAGGCATTCATCGGTTCACAGAACCTCCTCCTGCTGTACGTCAAGCATGCTAGAACGCCCCTATGAATCTCATTAATACCTTCAGCATTGTAATGCGGATCAACAAGCCGCCTTCCGTGTCTTCGACGGTGATAACGTGGCTGGCCTTCGAAAATTTTTGGACAAGGAAGATAAGAGACGGCGCGAAGCTGAAGCTCGAAATATCCCCTTCATGCCTCGTTCCGACGATAAGCTTGAGCTCTATTAGGTGTGATCAGGGAATTGAAAGCAGGTCTAGGAGTCTTTGAGAGTGCTCGAATCCTTGTGAGTTGATACCCGTCGGCAGTGCAGTAGGTTCTCTGAATAGAGGATACTCGTGACCCGCCAACGAGGCAAATGCTGGCAAACGGCGTTGAATGTTCAAATAATGTCGTGGTATGACGTCACGGGCGCCAGTAATAGTATCCGACATGGATCGGAGCGATTAAGCAGACTTGGCCTGAGTGTCGCTCTCCTCAACGTCCACGTCGTAACTATCGCCAACGGTGCCAATGTCAGCGAGAGCATAACACCAGTTCAGAGTTCATAGATATTGTTGGCCAAAGTGGAAGGAAGCAAATCGGAGCGAATCTCGAGCAAGTAGTAAGACGCTCGTGAACGTGGTTCAGATCTCTCTGTCACTCGCTACTTTCTTTGAAACTGGCTTGGCTATTCCTATACCCTCACCACGAGACGACCGGTCTCCTACACACTCTCCTTTTTCTCCTTCCCTGGTGCCTTTCATTATAAAACCACCCTTCGAATTCAAGTAGTGCCCACCACGACCTCAGGGTTTGGCGAGCTGCACTTGTCACCACCCAAACTACCACACACGTTGTTTCCAAAGTAGTTTGCGGTCGAAATCTTTTAACTTCTCGCGTTTCATGCAAGTTGGCCAAGTAGAACAGGAGCTGCGGTTGGTCTTGCCTGTATGTCTTTCCCTTGCCTCATGAATTTTCTCCTTTCCATTATGAGGTCTTTCGAAACGTGTAAAACTAAATCTGCTTTTCAGGTTCAGCGCCCCTTCCATGGAGGTGCTGTCCCCTCCCGAGCCGCCTTGTCGCCCATCGGCTGCATCCTTGTGTGCGCGTAGACTCAAACCACTGGATCACCCGCAATACAACGATATACACGAAAACAACCCTACGCATGCACAATGGCCCTTCCAACCAAATAACAACCAACCTCCCCCGACCCGGGTGACTGTATGCGGGTTTTTACCTTTGCCATCGATCGTTGCTTCACCCATATGCACCCCAACTGAGAGTCTGTCATCTCCTTTTCCTGTTGACGGCACACCCATCTCGGAAATTGAAGGTTATCGGTCTTCAGCGACCTCCGACTCTTTGGAACGTGTATCATTTTCTCCGCCAACATGGATATCAACGCCCCCTACCCCTCCATTAAAGCTCATTCGACGTTCAACTGCTTCCTCGTTACGATCTCGCCCTAAGTCTCCGTTTTCTCCGTCCGCCTCATTTCCGGCCTCATTACAACATCGCGGGTCACACCAATTGAAGCGCTGTACTTCCTCACCAACCATATCAGGACGTTTCCAAGCAATTTCCGTACCACTTCTAGGCACGATGGAGGCAAAATCGACTGAGCAAGACGACTTCTTTTCATTGCCGCCTCATAATGATGCTGTGCCTCGTTCAAAATCCATATTTCATCTTTCCGGAACTGATAACGAGGAAGAAGTTGGTCAACCCTCGCTCGGTTTCAACGAGAGCCCGGACGGTAGTTGGAGCGACCATAGTCCATTCGATGCTTGGGAGAAAGAGACAAACAAAGACGCTTTGCGCAAGTTTCATGCATTGAAGGAGCTTCTGACAACCGAAGTAGGATACCTGATGGACCTGAAAGCTTTTGTGATGGTAAACACTTGGTTCAAAGGCTTTGTCGTGACCTGAACGTTTTTGGGCAGATTTACTTATGCAACCTTCCAACTTTGGGCTTACGTTCCAGTTCAAATCCGACTTTTGGCCGCACGCCATCATCATTTTCAAGTGGACCTTGGATAAATTCTTACACGCAAGTTCAGACTGTGCCGCTGATATCATCATTGTACCAGCCCGATGCAACTGGTGCATCTTCCTTGGTTTCTGCCAAGGATGTCACTAAGTTTAATAATCCGCGATATCTGTTTACCGACACTGAAATCGAATGCTTGAGCAGGAATGCCGAGGAAATTCTCCAACTTCATCAGCACTTTGTCAGAGAGTTATCAGAAATTTTGGAGCCTCTTGGATTTTTCCTGGAGCAGGGTGTTGTGGAACGGAAACAAGAGGGGCCGGGAGACGTGTCCAATCTTAACGCTGCCATACGCGCTGTCTCAGCCAAGTTTGCGACCGAGGTTGGTTTGGTCTGTTTGCCTGTCCTTCCGCTCTAAGCTCATGTGCCCAGGCTTCCCGTTTCAAGGCTTATCAGTCTTTTTGTGCAGGACATCCCGAGGCAGTGGACGCGGTCAGAAAAGTATCTCAACAGCATTCTTTGGAGTGGGATGCGTTTGAGCAACAGTGTGCAACCATGGTGGCCGAGTTGTTCGAAGAGGCTGATCCCACCGCTCTCGAACCCTCATCTTTGCTAGACTCTTCACCAGGGTCGGCAGAGGATCGCAAGCGAACAATGTCCCTCACGTCGTTGGACGGCGCTGTCCGATCTTTGCGTCCACGAGGCGGTATCCTTACGAGGGACTCCCTTCCGTTTCCCACTTCAGCCGAAAGTCGCAGGTACAAACCGATGCGACGGATTGCTTTTATGGACTACCTCATTAAGCCAGTCCAGAGAATTTGTAAGTATCCAATGCTTCTTGACCAACTACGGTCTGGAAAGGCTGTTCAGTCTTTGTCCCTTAAACACCCTGAAGGCACATCCGATGTCGATGTAGTTGTGGAGAGCGCGGCTCAAGCAATGAGACATGTTGCAACTTCCGTCGACGAAGCCCGCCATCGACAAGGTGTCGCAATCCAGTCATCCCTCATTTTATCCCGTCTTGTCCTCAACACCTCTGCCACACCTTCATCCAATCAGAGTTCTCTCCAATCATTAACCCCAGGCTTCCTATCTTCTCTTGGAAATTGCCTTCTGGCGGGTTCCCTTGATGTCATGCATCACCACCCGTCCAAACCGCTCGGGGACACGTCGAACATCAAAGCGAAGTACTTAGGGGCGTTTTTATACCCAGGTGGATTTATGATCCTCGTCAAAGTTTCGAAGGGAAGGAAGTATGAACCCAGGCATTGGTTTTCTTTGACTCCTTTCGACCTTGATGAGGCTGATGGTTAGTTCACTCATTGGTCTGTATACGCCTGTCTTCGACGCTTACCCTTCTGTAGCGATGCTCCCCTGCTCATTTCGTCTCACAAGCGACGAGCAACATTTTGTACTGGCGGCAGCCTGCCGGCGAGAGAAGGATGCCTGGCTCAGCGGTATCCGAGAGGCTCTGACTCACTCGCCCGCTTGGGTCGACGAACCTACTCCGAGTTACAAGGTCGATGACAAGGGTGGACTCATTGCTTTAGAGTCTGAAGACGGACTCAATCAGGCATTCCCCGGCCTGCCGACCATCCCATCGATGGTAGAAGTTTCTAACAATAATTCTGATACAGAGTTATCAGAGCCTTTCTTTGCTTCCCTTCGTGGTAATCCTAAGCGAAAGAAGAAGCTTCGCAGACCCGACACAGCTCAGAAAGCAGATTCGCAGCCCCCACCCAGTCGCCGTTCCTCATCGACGTCCGTAAAGGCTATTTTTTCGCCTATGGTCTCCGATTCAGAAACTATCCTCATTCGACGTTCTTCTGCTGTGGCTCGCCTCCAAGTTGATCAAGGCCTTCAGGACGTCATCTCACAGACTTGTTTAAGTGCTCGTACCTATGCGTTTAGCCACGAAGAAGAACTCTTTCAAGTTCCACTTCGGTCCGGCCTTCCTAGATCCTCATCTGGCATGAGTGTGGCAGGAATGGCTAAGAATAGACTCTATAAGCACGAAAGTGTTCGCGTCCCTCGAAGAAGGACGACGGATGGATTGGAAAGTCTGGTTTTGAAGAGTGGGCCGCCCATCAAGGGTGATATAAACTGCCAAAGGAACCCGAAATCTTTGAAAATCGCCACTATAACAGCGAAAGAATGTGACAGCTCTTCATATCCTTCACCTCCATCACAGTTGTCCGAGAGTAGTTCCGCTGCTTCTGCTGCTACGTCGGCGAGTCTTCTCACGCCATCAACTCCCGGCGCTGCGGAGGGTTCTCCTCTTAAGTCTTCGCGATTTCTCGTTCGTGGCGTTAAGGATTTATTCAACTTCCGTCCAATCCCTTCTACCACGACAAACCACTCAAGCCAGTCTTTGGCTCACACAGAATCAAATTATTCACCCGGCATGATACAACGCTGGACGAAGGACTCTCGCAAACGAGCTCGAAGTACATCTGACGTAGTGGATCAACAAACCGTCCACATCATTCCTTGCTCGACTAGTGACGTTTGATAGACAACAAAAGTATCCCGATAGCAGCATGCAAACATTCTAATGGGTGCGGGACCCTCCAAGTTTACCAGAAGACGACTAATAGGTTTGTGTACAATTAGCAAGGAAAGTCAGCACCGTCTGTATATCTGTAGAATAAATTAATACCCCCACCACTTCACTTACTACATTCAAATTTTTACAAAAAATTACGAATGTACGTGATGACTAGTAACGCAATATCACATTCTTTTCTTGGACACCATGTCAATATGGACTTTGCGCCTATGATCAAATTGCTGACAGCTTGACAATCAACCGCTTTCGGAGGTTCAGCTTTCCTTGGGCTGTCCGTAACTCCCACTTCGCCGTTTACTACCTTTGGGAAAATGAGTCGGAGAGTGATCTTGACAAAGACGCAAATTACAATAGGACACGGTTTGTAGTCAACTTGCGAAGATTGAGAATCCAGTTTGTGTGGCCACCCGGGAAAGGAATACGTAGGAAATTTTATGACGGTGGACAGACTAGGAAATCAGTCCGTGAGACCGCAATAAATCGCCCCACCTAAAAAAAAGAGAGGCTAAGCTCAATTGAAAAGAAACGAAGGTAATGCATACTCTTCTCGCTGGAGTTCTGCTTCTGCAAGTTGCCGCTTCAGTTGCCTGAATATTTTTCTTAATAATAATAGTCGGGATGGGAGCAATCAACATACGAGTTTTCCCTTGTAAGGGCATTTCGAGTCTCTTTAGTTTGTCTAAGATCTCGAGACATGGCCTGCCATGCCTCATCATCCGGTAAATTTGCATCATTATACATTCCATCGAGCTCCTCATTGAAGGCCTGGAAACCCATTAGCAACACAATTGGTACCCAAAATTTCCGCTCCTCCTTACCTCGTACATAATTTCCTTCTCAGCAGTAGCGTCAGCGAGAAGACTTTTGACCAGCTCACATTGTCTTTTCGCGTTTTGCAGCTCTAGGCGGCTTTTCTCAAAATCGGCAGCTCTCTAGGTTGACCGATTAGGCCAAGGTAGCCAGATAACGTAGTGGGCATACCTCTGCGAGTTCTGCCGCCATTTCCTTCAGCCGAGTCTGAAGGTCGTCTTGATTTGACATCGCACGCGCCAACCCTTGGTCTGCCTCTAATGCCATTATCTGCACAGACCGAACAAGTTCGTCGTCGTTTGGCCTTATTGTATCCAAAGTTCCTGACCGTGGTCGACCTTTGGGTGTGCTTTCGCCTTGTCGACGTCCAATCATATTTCGCATTTCTTCCATACGCTCCAGCGCCGCTTTGGTCTATGAAGAAATATAATTTGTCAGTGTGACGGCAACAGCCAAACAACGACGCTACCATTGCGGGTGAAGGTTGAGGCATCCGCAAGCCTTTGTCAGGTGATACGGGTCGAGAATTTTGAGGTTCAAAGCGGAAGGCATCAACTTCAAGTTTGATACGTTTAATTGATCGCCGTGACGAATCAATCTATTGGAAATTGGTTAAGTTGTAATCGACAGCTTCGAAGGTGTTAACATGTCAACTTACATCATCCTTGGTTGAAACCGCTAATTGTTGCATGTCTTTGATTCTATCACTGTTATATGACCCTTGGGTCGGCGCGGAGGGTTTCGGTCTCCGCACTTGAGGTGATACTCGTCGAGGCGATACAATATGAGGAGAATTTCGATTCAAAGGAGAATTTCGAGCGTAAAACTTGCGGGTGGGTAACGGCGATCCCATGGAAGTGGCTGATATCCGTCCTGGAGCTTTTTTCTTGATCGACAATGGTTCGATGTTGCTTGTGGAGACCGTGCCATTTGTAGCAGGTTTGGGGGTTACTTCCGTGTTGCCGGCGGGAAATAAGAGCTGACGCTTACTACGGGGTATGGCTGATGATGGCCCAGCATAGCGTGAGGGTGTCGCCAAAGGGTCTCTCGGTGGTGTAGAGGGCTCCAATGCATTATCAGCATCGACCGAGGGGAGGTCAGTTGACGGTGAAACTTTGGGACTGGGAAAAGGTAAAGGAGACGGACTTCGGGGACCGAATGGACGGCGTTCAAATGAATGACGAGAATCTGTTCTTGATGTTTGAGGGGGGGAGTCCGCAAGTTTTACAGGCGATGCTGGGCGAGGAGTCATCGATCGATGACTGGTTGCATCTCCCATGGCTCGGGAAGTGGATTGCACGGGTTGCGGTGGTTCCTCTAAGTCCAGTTTAGCAGGCGTTATCAGAACTCTAGGATGAGAAATAATATACCTTCGTATATTGTGTCTTCAACTGGCATGTCTAATGGTATCGAAGACACCAGTTTTCCATGCTGATTCATGCTATTCTGTCGGGCAAGTTCCAATTGCATTGCGAGATTATAATCCGACGAGTCAACATCCTTTGCTTGCGCTAAGACCGTGCTCCTTTCGTCTTCTACGTCGCTATAGTCTGCGTCTGATTGCCATGGGTGAGATCTTGAAATGGAATGGGAGCGAGACCGTGATAAATTGCGACTCGGAGAGCCTCTATCTGAATCAGATGCTGTACCGCTGGGGGACTTGGCCCGGTTCCAGAAGTTCTTTCCCTTCGAAGATCTAGAAGCAAAAAACGAGGAGTCATCATCCATCGTCGAAATTGTGGTCGCCGCGGTGGTTGTCGAGTTTGAGCGGTGAGAAGATTTTGTCATGCTACTGTCTTCAGTGGTTGTTGTATGAGCATACGTGGATGATCGGCTTGTCGCGGATTTGGTACGTCTCCGGCCACTGATTGATCCTCCAAAAAAGTCGCCCATCGAGGAGCCAGGTCTCGTGTTAAATAGGTTGCGTGAGATGGCGTCTAGACCGAAAATTGCTGCTTTCGAGCGAGCAGTTGGCGTTCCTGGGAGTGAGCTCCTCCCAGTCTTGAACTCGAATAAACCAAATTGGTGGACTACAAAATTAAATGTTATGGATCAACCATTCAAGCAATTATCACGCACTCGTCTGAACAATTCGTGATGGCACTCGTTCAGTTTGAACGATATCTTCTTCACTTTCGTCCCTTGGGTCACTTGATGACACAGAGTACCGACACAGGCCGCCGGCCATGGGCTGAACACGAATTCTGGCGAACGGTGGTGCTCCGATACCAAAGGGCACTGGGTCAGCGGACCCTAAAGAGTCGATATGAACAAGGACTTTGGTCTAAATAGATATTAGCACCCAAGCGAGTACGAAAAAGGATCATTCATACCTTCTTAGGCTCTTGAAGGAAAGCACTGCGTTGGTATACATTGTAATACGTCCTGGCCCTCGTGATCCTACCACTTCTAGACTCAACTTCTTGCTCATCCGAACAAAGAACGACCGATTGACCAGATCTTGATCGATAGGTGGCTTGTGCATTCCAAAGATTTTCCAGAAAACGGCGTTTGTCAGCCTCTGTCTGGGTTGGATCGAGGTTGACAGGCATGGGTGGGTTCACAACGGACAGGGAGCGAAATGATCGTCCCGACCATCGGTCGGTTTGGTCTTGCGGCGGATTTTCCAAGTACAAGTTGATATCTGCTATTCCAGTCAGCACGTACGCTAGTGGGGAGAGAAACAAAGGGCCCACCTGCACCGCCAATATCAGTAACGACCACATCAGTAATGTCAATAACACCCTTGCACGACATCCCACTCTTCTTCTTCCCAGTCGGTATCCCACCTGCTTTTGTTACTTTATCAAGACTGTCAAGTCCTGACAATGATCTGCCACCCTTCTCTCCGTTTCCTGGCCTCTTCACGATGACGAGCTTGTCGTCAAACAGAAACAACGTACAATGAAGGGAAGTGACAGCAGAATTCGACGATGAGGAGGAAGAGACCGGGCCTTCGGTTAATATATCCTCCACGTCAACACAGTCAATAAAACGACGTGAATTGGAAAACAAATCCGGCGGAAAGCCGTCAATGGTAGCGATCAGACAATAGAACACGGCTGCGCGTTTTGTTTGCTCGTCCGTTTCCGCTAAGGCAATCTTGCTTGCGATTTCATCGGCTTCGATGACTTTGGCTCTTTGTGGATCATCTGGAGCCATGTGCTTCAGAATTGTACGGAAGAGAAGTGTATATCGAGGAATTCGCTGCACTGGCTCCATCAGCAGTTCTCGTAAGCCAACCCGATTCTTTGGGTCCGTAGATTGATATTTGATGTGCTATAGAAATTGAAGTCATGATAAGAGCCGCAATCGTGTGATAAACGGGATGCCCTTACATCGATGTAAGCAGCAAACCGTGACGACCTCTTTGCCACCTCTTTTTCAAATATAAGTTGAGCATCTTCTCGCTTAACGTAGTATTGCCTATATTGCTCGAAGCCTTTCAAATCCTTGAAGTGGCGCAATGCCACGTCGCCCACTCCTCCGACATTTTTAGTCCCATTTCCTCCGAGCATCCTCTCGAGATCCACCAGAAAAGCTTCATTTACAGGGAGGAGGTTGTCAATATTGCCAAAAAGAGTTTTGGCTTCATAGGGCGGTATAATAGCTGTGTCTTTACTTCTGGCGAAGTTGCGCAAGGGATCAGCATAATCGTGTTTAAGGATTTGTAAACGTTTGACATAGGATCGTTCGCTCGTGACAAGTTCATGAATAACAGATGATAGCGCAGATGTGTCCGTCAAAGCCCGCTGGCGCTGAGCTGCGTGGTTCTAAAACAAGATGTGAGTACAAAGTCCAAGACGAAACGGTGCTGAGCTGACAAGTTCGTCAAGTGATGAATTTGATGGAGATGATAAAAGATTTGAGGAGCTGGAAAATAACGGGTTGCCTAGAGAAAGAACGAGATCCTGTATGTCTGCTCAAACCTGGTTTCAGAGGGCCAGCAAAGAATAATTTGTCAAGTCACCTTCCGGAAGCCTCCTTCCGTTTTCAGATCCTTCAACTACGACGCCGCAATAGAAGACGCGGTTGGTGACACTGGGGGTTGACGATGAATTTCTAGGCCTGATATCATCTCCAGTTGCGAGGGGCACGACTTTGCGGGGAGAGGTGCTGAGTGCCATTAGAGTAAAGCAGATGGAGAGAAAGAGAGAAAGGAAGAGAAAGGAAGAGAAAGAGATATGTGAAATGGAGAAGCAAGGAGGAGCAAGCTTGAAAGCAGTGCTGAGCTGGTTGAACTATCGCGGTCACGTGTTAGACGCGATCGAGTGCGTGACGGGAACGTGATGCCAGTGACGGTGCCATTATCCGGGCCGGCATGTCTTTTTGTGCTGTATGGGGCTCAGGCTGCAGTATCCCGGAGATTCAATGCTGTATCCAAGCTGTTATCCTTATTGTCCTTATAATCCTTGTGTTTTGTCCTCTCAAAAGCCACCCAAACTTCTCATTCTAACTTTATCTTGTTCTCCTCTATCCCTGAAATTCATAGCGCTAATATGTTTACCTTCAAACTCTTGCCAAAGGTGGCTCCAGGTAGCCGCTCCGATCAAGAAGAACCACTACTACCCGCGGAACTGCTGGCAGAAATCGCCAAGTTTCTTTTTCAGCCCAGTGACCTTGTCAATTTCTGTCTAGCTGTAAGCTCACTGATCGTTTCAGCTTTTCCATTGATTTAGTTCCTCCAGTCGAGAATCGCTTACACTGCTGCCCTGCCTGTCTTGTGGACAAGTCTTTCGTTCAACGGTGGAAAATGTCAAATGAGCCTCGAGTCTCTACTTCATCGACCGGAACGAACAATGGGTGTCAAGAAATTGTTTCTTCGGCCAGGCTATCTGAGGGAACCAACTCCTGAAACACTCGCCCAGGAGTCTCTTATCTCAAACAATCTTGACGCGCTCCTGCCGAATTTCCACAGCCTCCAAACCTTCGTATGGGATGGATTAGAAGCACCTGATGAAAAGGTCTGGAAAGCACTGTTGGAAAGGTAAGCTTTACAGCGTCGTAGAGCCATGTTACTTTGCTCACTTCAACACTACAGTTGCAAACAGATCCGGCACATCAACACCACCATTACAGAGCATCAATTAAGTGAAGACAGCGCGGTGATTTCGATTTTGTTTCGCATCATCTTCCAAGCCTAATCTGGATTCCAGTTGTTTTCGTTCAGCGACCTTGTTGCCTTCTCGCTCGCAACAAAATATAAATGGAGGGGCCACCAAGGATTCAGAGGTAAGAAGAATGACTTTACTTTGCTTAACTTCCGTATCTCAAAGGTTTTACGGATCCATAGACGTGGTAGCCGAAAATTTCCCCGCAGCCATGTGGGATATGCTGATTGATCGCTGCCCACATCTTCAAGAACTTGCTTTAGGTGGCCCAGGGACGTCTCTTACAACCCGACTGTTTAATGCTCGCAGGCTTTGCAAAGGAAGGTGGCCTCAGCTCCAGAGCGTGTCTTTAGGCCATGTGCTTCTATACGATCGAGAACTTCCAGCTTTCGATCAGGATGAGGACATCAACTCATTCAAAAATTTTATCCGTTATCATAGAAAAACCCTCAAAAGACTTCAGCTTCCATATTCCACCAAAATTCCACAATTAACCTCAGAAAATCTAGAATTGGAATCCTTCAGCGGCAATATACCCTACTTGATCGACCTCCTTCCTTTGGATAGTCTCAGAGAGCTGATTCTTTGCTCAGAGGAGCATGCCGCGTGGTATATCCCTTATCTGAGGAGAGTTCTACTCCGGTTTCCGGCTCTCACCACTCTCGTAATATGGATCAACCTCTCAAGTCGGATTGAGGACCCCACCGTCGAGCAAGATACAGACCATATCAGAATTTTTTATTCTATTTTGCAAACCTGTCCAAATCTCCATCACTTCAAGGTATTATGTTCTACGAAAACGAAACGCGGTTTCCAAATGGTGAGACTTATCTACACACTGCCGGGAATTTGAATTGACGCCGCCTCCGACCACCTACAGAAAGACTTCCATAAAGCATTGAAAGATGGGCCAAATCTCAGAACGTTGGAAGTTTACAAGGTTTACACTCTTGGAGAAGAGGACATGGTGCAAAGCGCTGCAAACATCGTTCGCCAACTTCCCAGCCTCGAGCAAATTATTCTTAGGTATACCACCGACCCCTGGTCCTTTTACGAGCGCATGGTGTTGCGGCAAACGGGGATATATCAAACTGTCTACGGCAAGAAATCCAAGGAACCTGTGCGTTTGTCGGCGCGTGAGGAAGGTGCTGGTCTCTTCAAACGGTTTAGCCGCAAGTATGAGCATAACCTCGTACCTCTGCGGACAAGAATGTTCTCTGGGTTCAATAATGACGACGATTGACTCGTATCGTCAGTTGAAGATCATTTGTTCATCGTTTGACTTGTAAATTATTGTCCAACCTCTCCTACCGCGGATCATTGAAAGTGATAACGTCCATGTATATGCCATATATTCATTTCATTTTCTCTTTTTACGTGCAGCAAGCTCCTCCATTCGTTTACGTTTTTCCTTGACGGGTGATTGGAGGTAAGGTTGTCGTTCCACTGTTTGAGGCTTGAAGGGCCCTGAATCTGAAGACTCGCTGTCTTCGTCGGCACTATTCGCACGTAGCGAAGAAGTATAACTGGATCCATTGGATTAGCGATCTCTCTCCTCTCTTGATCCGATCGTTACCTCTTAGTCTCATCATCAACAAAATTCTCTTCAGCTTCTTCTTCGCTCGTCGCAGCTTCTCTTCTGCGATCCCCTGCTCCCCAAGCTTCCGCTACCTTCAGCAGCGCATCCCATCTGTCTTGTTCCGTGTATGTTATTAGTTCAATAACTTCTCTGGGGCAAACTTCCCGGCACGTTGGGCAACGCACAGTCTCATCCGCTCCCTTGCACATTTTTGGTAAGCAAGTATCACAGATCATGTGCTCGCAAGGGAGGCTGACATTCGTGAGCAGCAAATATTGGCAAGGGTCTCCAAAATGACTTACCCGTAACACTTTTTCAATCTCATCTTCTCCAGACAAATAACGCAATCCTCCGACTGGCCATCTTCTTCCAATGTTGTAACCATCATCAAATCATGAAATTTGCGTAAGAGCTACAATGAATGTCAAGGAGGATAAGTGGCAGATGAGAAGAAGTAAACCTACTTTCGTCATGCGGTGGATTGGATCGCTCCCTGCTCCTGCGTCCAGTTGCTTTTCAGTAAGTAGAGCTTCCGCTTCTTCCCTCAATTCCTTGTCACGAAACTGGTTGAATGGAAGTTCTGTTATATTAATCCTGCAAAGCGACTTAGTCACTTTACCAACTTGATCTCATTTTCTTTTTTCTTGTTATCCTGTCATGCACAGGGTGAGCACAAATTGTTTTGTCAAGCAACCAAGTGCACCAGCTTTTTTCAAACGATCAATCTTGTCGAGTAAAGCCTCTCGCTGAGACTTTGGCGCCCTGTCAGGAGTTTGATTATCTGCCTTTTCCGATGCCAGCTCTTGCTTCAATTTCTTGTTCTTCTTGCGTAAATTCTTCAGCCCTTGCTTCGTTTTCTTTACCTCATTGTGCAGCGAAGCCAGAAGGCTCTGCGTAAGCGAAAGTCAAGCCCTAGATTTTGGAATGCGTGAGAGCCCTCACCTCAATATTCTCGATACCCGTTGTGCCGTCATCGGAGTCGGATAACTCGTCCGCAGTATCCGAATTAGCTTTCTGTGGCTTCTTTCTTCGAGAGATCGCCTTTGCAACCATCTTTGAAGTTGGGTTATAACGTCGGACCGAGAGTCGGCGCCAATACCAACATGCACGCGGTGCTATCTGTGGCTGTGCTATTTCCGTGACGTCACTGGTGCAAATCTGGAATTATGTTCCAATCTGGAATTGTGGTCGGATTCAAAGGTTTGCAGGCGAATGCCCCCTTATCCACTCTTTCTCTTCCCACCACCACGGACAACTCTTTTCTTCTCATATCATGCCAACTGATGCTCTCGATCCCAACGTTGTCCTTGAGATAGATGGCTATCTCAAGCCAAACATTCCAGCCATAATACAGAGGCACAATCTGTATAGACAGTGGAAGGACAGTATTGAAAAACATGAAAACGGTTTCGACAACTTCACAAAGGGTTATCTCAAGTTCGGTCTTCATGTCGGCTCCCAGAACGAAGTTGTATACAGAGAATGGGCCCCTAACGCTAAGGAGGCATCTCTGATTGGCGACTTCAGTAAGTTTTCACTCTCTCAATACCAACACGATATTTATTGTCAAAGACGAGTGGAATAGGCAATCCCATCCGATGAAGAGGGATGACTTCGGTGTTTGGGAAGTAACCGTTCCGCCCCTGCCTTCAGGTGTCTGTGCTATTCCCCATGACACCAAAGTCAAGGTGGGATTCATCGTCGCCGCTTTTTTCCCTCCTGCCAGATCTAACAGTAGAACATGAAAATTAGATTTCTATGGTCCTTCCTTCTGGGCAGCGCATTGAACGCCTCCCGGCTTGGATAAGCCGCGTTACCCAGGATTTGAGCGTTTCTCCAGTGTATGACGCACGTTTCTGGAATCCCCCTGTTTCGGAAAAATATACCTTCAAAAATCCTCGCCCTCCCAAGCCCACGAACATCAGGATCTATGAGGCTCACGTTGGTATCTCGACCTCTGAGCCAAGAGTAGGGACCTACAAAGAGTTCACGAAGAATACTCTTCCTAGAATCAAAGATTTGGGCTACAATACAATCCAGTTAATGGCTATCATGGAACATGCATACTACGCATGTACGTCGTTATTTCGTTCGATATTGCGGAAGGCTAACAAAATACAGCTTTTGGGTACCAGGTTACCAGCTTTTTCGCAGCCAGCTCCCGGTATGGAACACCTGAAGACTTGAAAGAGCTTATTGATACAGCCCACGGCTTGGGTTTGACTGTTCTTCTTGACATTGTCCATTCTCATGCCTGCAAGAACGTGTTGGATGGCATAAATGAGTTTGATGGCACTGATCATCTCTATTTCCACGAAGGAGGCAAAGGACGTCATCAGCTATGGGACAGCAGGCTTTTTAACTATGGGTCCCACGAAGTTCTTAGGTTCTTGTTGAGCAACCTTCGTTTCTGGGTCGAAGAATACCAGTTCGACGGCTTCAGGTTTGATGGTGTCACAAGTATGATGTATAAACATCATGGTATCGGGACGGGCTTCTCTGGGGGGTACCACGAGTACTTTGGAGACGGTGCCGACGACGAAGGCGTTGTGTATCTCATGCTTGCAAGTTTTTTGTGCTTCACTTGTGACGTTTTCATACTGACTATGCTCCTGTATTTCAAGGCCAATGACGTGATGCATGCGCTGTATCCATTCGTGATCACAATCGCAGAAGATGTATCTGGCATGCCACTTCTTAGTTTGCCCGTTGCCGTCGGGGGCGTTGGATTTGACTATCGACTCTCTATGGCAGTTCCCGACATGTGGATTAAACTATTAAAGCACAAGCAAGATGATGAATGGGATCTTGGTAACATTGTGCATACGTTGATCAACAGACGCCACGGCGAAAAGAGTATAGCATATTGCGAGAGTCATGATCAAGCTCTCGTTGGCGACAAAACACTCGCATTTTGGCTCATGGATAAAGAAATGTGTAAGCGCATATCTTAAAAGGCTGCTTGATTTCTGCTAACGCTTTCAAAGACACGCATATGTCTGACCTTACACCCATGACGCCTATCATCGCTCGGGGGCTTGCTTTGCACAAGATGATACGGTGAATACATTCTCCTCCCTTCGCTACAAATCTCTGAAATTACCTTTTGTAGTCTGCTTACGCATTCTTTGGGAGGCGAAGGTTACTTGAACTTTGAAGGCAATGAGTTTGGTCACCCAGAGGTTATTCAAATCCGATAAAATATAAACTCATTCCGCCAACGCTTATTCTTTTAGTGGCTGGATTTCCCTCGGGAAGGGAATAACAACTCATTCCACTATGCGCGCCGCCAATGGAATGTCGTCGACGACAAAATTCTGCGTTACAGGTATCTGAACAACTTCGATCGCGAAATGAATCATCTCGCTGGTCAGTACGGTTGGCTTGACGCACCACAGGTGAGGTGCAAGGATTTATTCACCGAGTCACCCCACCTGATTTAAACTGTACCCTCATGGATTCAGGCGTATGTGTCACTGAAGAACGAAACCGACAAAGTTCTCGTCTACGAACGCGCTGGACTTCTTTTCATCTTTAACTTCCACCCATCCAATAGTTACACAGACTACCGCGTGGGAGTTGAGGAAGCTGGGGAGTATAAAATTTGCTTGAGTAGTGACGAGGGTCGATTCGGCGGCTTCGATAACATTGCGCTTGATAGTAAGTTCTGGACAACTCCGATGGAGTGGAATGGGAGGAAGAACTGGTTACAGGTCCGTTCTAAGGTACTTTTCCTTTCCCACCCTAACTACCCCCCAGGTTTATATTCCGTCGAGGACATGCATCGTTTTGACGAAGTAACAGGGAACACAAAGGGGCGCACTTTAGAGAGGGTTTACTTGCATTTCACACTTTTTTTGTATCGTTCGAAGCTATAGAATGTGATCCGGTTCACCATCGTGGTTGGATTGACCACACTGGCAAGGCTGATTGAGGCCAAAAAATATATACTTTATATACATACCCTCAACGTAACGTTTTTAAGATGTCTACAATGCGGTTTCCCAGCTCTTTGGTACCGACGTTGCCTCCAAGGTCAGCCGTGCGTAATCCAAAACCTCCAGCTTCTGGAAGATCAAGTACCTTGCGCACAGCATTCTCGATAGCTTTCGCCGGCTTTTCTAGCCCAAGCGAGTAGCGAAGAAGCATCGCCGCGCTAAGGATCGTCCCTATAGGATTCGCGATACCTTGACCTGCAATATCGGGAGCAGAACCGTGGATTGGTTCGTAAATCCCGGATGTTGGTTTGAAATCTGCGGACGGCGCAGAGGGCGCTCCCGCTAGTGATGCGGATGGGAGAAGACCAAGGGACCCTGGGATGACACTTGACTGATCCGAAAGGCTGGGATCTATTATCAACTTTCATTTCGGGAGGGCAATCGACCGACGCACATATCACCAAACAAATTTTCAGTCAAAATCACGCCGTTCAATTTCTTAGGGTTTGAGACGATAAACATCGCTGCGGAATCGACAAGTTGATGGTCCAGCTTCAGTTGTGGGAACTCATTTTTCAAGGTCTCAGTCACAACTTTCCTCCATAGCCTTGAGCTGGCGAGGACGTTGGCCTTGTCGACCGAGTGGATATCGAGGGGAGGGTCCGCAGCAAGGGCTATTTGAGCAGCCACACGCGTTATCCGTTGAACCTCCTGAACACTGTAGATCATGGTGTCCCAGGCGACTTCCTCATCCGGCGCGACACCTTGTTCTTTACGAGTTCCGAAGTAGACTCCGCCGATGAGTTCACGAACAACGATCATGTCCACCCCCTTGGCTATCTCTGGTCGAAGAGGTGAGTATTCAAGAAGAGAGTCCGATGCGAGGTTCGCTGGACGAATGTTGGCATAGAGGCCAAGGGTCTTGCGGAGAGCCAGAAGGCCAGGTTCAGGTCGAACTTTGGCGTTCACGCCCCACTTTGGGCCTCCGATGGAACCTAATGGGCATTGATGTTGGAATTACGGCAGGACACGCATGTGTGGTACATACCCATGAGGATCGCGTCCGCCTCTTGACATGCTTTGAGTGTAGAAGGAGGCAATGGCTCTCCGGTGGAATCGATAGCACAACCACCAAATTCGTGCGACTCGAGCTTTAGCTCAAAATCTGAGGATAGTTCAGACACCGTTTGAAGCACTCGAACGGCCTCAGCAACAACCTCAGGTCCTGCGTCTACTGTAAGGTTTTTTCCCTGTTCTAAAATTTGGACTCGCACCGATACCATCACCAGGCAGGACAACAATTCGAAAAGTGAGCATCGATGAGAAGGGCGATTATCAAACAAGATGTTATACGTACGTTTTGTGAACATAAGCAGGAATTCCGCTCGTCTGATCGGCCGAAGCGCTCATGCGATCAATCTTATCTTAATAATCACGTGCTACCAATGCCAAATTTAATTCAAGCAATAACTTACTTATAATCTCTTCAACTGCTTGCTCCATGTCACCTCCACAATGCAAAAACTTGGTCCTCGACGCGGGCCCACTTCTCTCGTTGTCGCCCTTGCGGGGGCTTGCGGAAACATATTTCACCGTCCCTCAAGTCCTTTCTGAATTGAAGGATCATCGTGCAAGGGAACATTTTGAAAGACTGGGTTTAATGTCCGGCGTGAAAGTAGAAGTCAGATCTCCTAGCGCCGCTAGCCTGGCCTATGGTGCGATCAAATTTTTTTTTGTCATGGTCTTGCGCTGACCACAATTTTTCAATAATCAGTCATCCAATGGGCGAAGAAAACTGGAGACTATTCTGTCCTTTCACACCCAGATCTCTGCGTTCTGGCGCTCACGCATGCATTGGACGAAGAAGACAAACGGGCACAGGAAATTTCCGTCGTTTCTGATGTCAACGGTATCTCTTCAGGCTTAAACACGGAGCCATCGCATGAAACTTCGCCTTCCGGCGAAGCAGAGCCATTGATTGAAGCAGATCTTGCAACACCACCGGAGGGATTGTCTGTGGGCGACATTTTGAGCGGTGTGAATGGCATTCAATTAGGAAGTCAGGTTGCAGAAGACGAAGAGGAAAGCCTCGAGAAGGAACAAAATCTAGAGGGCGTGGATACCAACTTAGATATCTCACCTACGCAAGAAGGGAGAAATGCCCCCTCGCCAATTTACGACGATCCGTCCGATTCCGATGATGGGGAAGGGGAGTGGATCACCCCATCCAATGCTGCTCTCCATAAATCTCGCGCCCTCGAGCTTCTACCTGCCGATGATGTTGTCTCTAAGAAGAAAGGCAAAGGCAAAGAAAGAGAGCCTCTGAGGACTGGTTGTATGACAGCCGATTTTGCAATGCAGAACGTTCTGCTTCAAATGGGCTTGAATCTGGTTGGTCTCGAAGGTAAGCGAATCGAGAAGGTTAAAAGCTGGGTCCTGCGGTGTCATGCTTGTTTCAAGTGCGCCTTCTCTCTTTCTTCTTGGATGCAAACATTTCACACGCCTTACAGAATATGCAAAGACAATTCTAAAAAGTTCTGTCCATCGTGCGGCAATGCAACGTTATTAAGGGCATCAGTCACAGTAGCTTCCCCCACCGCTTACGCTGACGCCCCTGCCATGCAAGTTCATCTTAAACCAAACTTTCAATACAAAATTCGGGGAACCAAGTATCCGATTCCGGCGCCCAAACAAGGCTCTGCGAAATTTGGTGCAGGGACTGGTCTCGTTCTCCGGGAAGATCAAGTGGAGTATCTGAGAGCGAAGAAAAAGGCCGATGGAAAACGTGAGCGAGAAGAGGTGAAATTATTGAAAGGGATCTTGGCGAAAGGCGTGGACAGCAATGGCGCCAGTGCCACTGTAGGGAGTTGGATGGACCCTGACTGGGTACCGGAAATTATGAGTGTTGGATCGGGGGGTAAAGGGAGATCTGTGAGGAATTCTAGAATGGATGGTGACCTGCCTCAAATCGGATACGGTAGAAAGAATCCAAACGAGAAAAGGAGAAATAAATGAGCTTGGACACCTTTTATGCAGGAGGATATTATACAATTCATGGTGAGTATGATACATGGTCAAGTCCCAAGACTTCTGTTCATGAAGCGTCGTTTTTGGAATGACATCCACCACTTGCTAGGTTTGCCAGTTCCGTCTGCATACAGCTTTTCAATCAAACGGGCTGCCAACTCTTGGCGAACTTGGGTCAAATATTGGCGTAAATAGTCTAAGAATGGATCATTAATTCGTACGTACCAAGACGAGCAAGTTGCTTACCAGCATCGGCACGACTAGGTGGTGAAGCGTAATGGGCATTCAGGGGGAATTGAGCGTCGCCTGGAATGGGAAAGCTGTCTACGGAGAGTGTATTGAGGGATTTTGAAGCCTCAATTTGTGTAGGGACCGTCCGTGCACTGCCTAGCTTCGCGAGGCAGTCAGATATGAAAAGGATAAGGACGATGAGGGTGCGGTCTGCGGGGCCCTTGATCTCGAAATTGCGAAATAAAGAATTGGCACGGAATAGGTCAAGAGTTTCGTCAATTATGTCTGCTTGTGAAGGATCGGCTGGTGAAGATGTTACATGTTGACGTTATTTAACGTTGTGCTCGCTGCGCACCGATTGGAGCTGGCCCACGGATTCTCGTCCTGATTGGCAAGATGGCCATGTTCCCGACCTGTCGGACATCGCCATCCTCGTTGAACGATGAGTGATAAGCCTGCAGCGGGTAAGAATCGCAGCAACACCAGTCAATGCTGGACTCACAGGCATGGCTGTTGATCTTGAAAAGTATGTGCGCGTATTTGCCAACAGCAGGTTCCTCCTCTCAGTGATTTGAATTTACTTGGAATTTACGATGGCTGGCTTCCTCATCCCACACCAGCTGCCCCACACAGATGAGCATGTTTCTATCATTCCCATTAAACCAGTAAAGCCTGGGCCAGATACGCTCTCAAGTCAGTTGTGCTCCGTTAATTTACTTTCTTCAATAACAAGGCGTAGAGCTTGTGAAACGCCTTCGCGCCTTGACTCTCGAGCTACTTCCCGTCGAAGTCGATCCCAAAAGTATCAATGATCCAACCAGTCGCGTCATTACCCCTCAAGTTATCTCTGCGTACAGAGGCGCTGCCGGGGACTTCACCGAAGCGGTAGGTCTCGTCAGGGAATACTATATGACAGGGCAGGACAAGTGACCTTCCTCCCTCCCCAAGCTTCCATACTGCTTGCTGCGAGCCAGGGCGGAGTTCATGTGGGACGCCAACCATAATCCCGCTGACCATGGAGAAAATCTTGGTCGAGGTAGGCGCTTGAACGTACAGGTCCACGTCATTGTTAAACCTCATGTTAGCTATCGCTTGCGAGGTCCTCGCACGACGTATCGTTTATCTGGCTGAACCAGATAGACTGTGCGCTATAATGTCTACCCGCTATCGCCATAGACAAGTAGATGGGGATGTAAGCGAAATGTCAAGTGCGCTTGAAATGGCCATCGATCAACACTGGTGGGTCGAGAATCTCCGGACTACAAAAATCTTCACTCAATTCGCCATTTTAGTATCATCTTTTTGTCTTCGACAGAGGCTCAAACAGGTGGAATGATCCTCTCTCTCCCCTGCGAATCCTTTTTCTAACAGCCAAACAACAGTGATCGACGACCTTTGGACGGGCGAACTCGTTCAAAAGAATAACGAACACGATGAAATTGAATGTAAGGACGTAATCTTCGCTGCGGTTTGATTGCTTGTTCACCACCAGTCAGACATTCCGTTCAATGAAACTCGTAGGCATGACTTTTATGGTCACTTGGATATTTCTCGCCTGTCGGTTCCCAGGTCAGCATAAAGATTCGTAACTGATCCTTCTCCTTTGACCTTCCTTTCCAGATACCAGAACATTTTTCGCATTGTCGTTTGGTTGTTTTTCCTAGTGGTTTACTCTCAAGCGGGTCAGTAATTTGTTTTGCAAAGCGTCGACAAGCTCATAACTTGTGAATCCCAGTTCGGGAGCCGCTTGAGCGGTTGGATGAGGCACACAGATCTCTGGATTCGTGGGAGATTGTCCTATACGTAATGTCTTTATCGTTTATCGTCGAAAGTAGGTCAACAGGCTTTGTACTGATCCCTTTTGATTTGACTTGATATGTTTTCAGACGTGCATAAGGTGAGCTCGATCGTCGACGATTATTTTTGGACTCCTTACTAAAGTATATAGTCCTACGTCCTGCTTCGTTTTGTGACTTGGCGTGCTTTTACATTTTGGAGCGCAATTGCATTTATCACGGATTCCATTCTTTTAGCTGCCTTTACTCTGCGTGTCATTGGTCTACAAGCGCCACAAGACCAAGAGGCTATTTATCGTTTGCGAAGTTTCCAGGTCCTTAGTTTTGTTTCGCCGTTTATTTGGTTCGTCGTCCACACATAGATGTCAGAATAACACTGAAGCTTCTGGTGTAGGATGAGTGAGTGAACTTCTATCACACTGGGATGAAGCTGATAATTATGCAACACACAGAACTCGTTACAATCTTCGACGGCTACAAGTGCGTGCAAACCTTTCCCTTTTTCTCTTCTCTAATTTCGCGCCAGATACATTGGCACTATGCAGATATGCGTTTCCCGCATGTTGAAAGAATCCGGCATTTTTTTTGCGGTATGAACGTGCTCCCTTTCCAGTTTACTATGCCTCATGAGATCTTATCTGCAGCTTCTGTCCGTCCTGGCAATCGGCTTCGCTCAAGGCTTGTATGCAGTTGATGCCTCTGATGGGTCAACAGAACCACCTTCAACAGTGAAGATGTTCAATTCCTGGTGTTTGAATGCTAGTTGACTAGCGCATGATGTGACAGGTGGTCAATGTTTTGGTTCAAGCTTTACTGGGGTTAGTTTCTTTTTTCTCTCTGTTGGTTTCAAATTGAAAAGACGTATCTATAGATCTCCCGATTTTGGGAAGTTTGACGCAAGGTATTAAACTTTTTTGGTGATGGGTTACACTACCTCAACGATGCCAAATCTATAGCACGGCTGGCCTCCTTCTGTACTACCTGTGAGTCTTATTACCTGAATTTTAGTCGGTGTTTTAAGCCCCTTGGACAGATGGAACACTGTTACTGCCATTGTGCTCCTCAACGTCCTCATTTCCCTGTTCTCGTCTGCTTATTCGGATGTAAATACCCACATTTTCCACTTCTTTTCTCAATCAGATCGCAATATGCTGCTAGGTTGTTGACGATGCAGAAGCGCAATACCTTGCTTTCTTTGCTAGCAAGACAGTGGAGATGATTAGGGCCCCCGATTCTTATGTCTACCCTGCACCATTCAACCTTATTGAGGCGATCTTCGTGGCACCTTTTGAGTGTGTTACCTCTCAGAACGGGTTCATTTGATACTAAGATGCCCATAACAGATTTGTACCTTTAGCCAAATTAAGCCCAGCGCACTATGCACGAGTGAGTCGATCATTGTGTCCGTATAGCTGACCTCACCCAGCTCACCTCAGCTTAACCGAGTTGTGATGGGGGGGATTTTTTTAATTCCCTTAGCGACGATCGCCTTCTATGAGTCGACGTTTGATAGACGCAAGCACAAATGGATGAATGCCTGGTTTCGCGGGAACGATGAAGGCGAAGAAGACCGTCCTGAATACAGAGATCCCAGTGTCGACGACCCAGCATGCGATGGTTTGGTCATCAGTAAGATCCCTTTCGAGGAGCTTATCAAGGTCTTCCCAAAGACTTCGCAAGTGGGTAGTCCGTTTTTTGTATGTGGAGATACTAAAATTTTATTCTACATATTTTTTCAGTCAAGTGAGGCTACCATTCTGAAGGAGCTCAACGAAATCAAGCAGCAGCTAAGTGACATTCAAAGAGCGCTTGGACACCGCTGATTGAAAGGTCATTTGGATATTTTTTTTATCTGCTACCATCTCGGACAGATCATGTACATATACGACTATTTTAATTTGATGGATATTCTTTTTTAAAGCAGCAATGATCCATTGAGCCGAGTTGTTTGTCTCTCGCCGCTCAAGCAGGGCATGAAGATGTGATCCTTCTTTTGCTGAAACACGGAGCTTCTCGTATGCCAAATACGAACGGAGAATATCTCGCAGCACAGGAAGGTCACACTGATGTTTGCAAGCTGCTCGACCTGGTATCACCGATCCACTATTGGATTGCGAACCAATCGAGTCAGGACACTCATAGATTCGATAAAGAATGGGCGAATCTCGTTGATCTCCATTGAACATAGGTTGGGAAGCTATTGGCCAATCAGTAATCGGGTTGGTCTTGTCCTTGAACAAAGTGGACATACACTGAGTTCACTGTGATCAATCTGCCGAAGACCTTCTCTACATTTAGCTTGTCGGGCCTCCCGGAGGTCTTTCAAAAGGGATCTTAACTTATCGGGGTTCTCGAGATCATCCGATGCACTTTGACATGATATTAGGTCAGGGAAAGGGGAAGAGAGTCCAAGATACTCACACATCGAGGAGAACCTTTGAGATCTCCGCAAACCGAAAAGGTAAATCACTGAAAACGGGTTCCGAGGTCTCGCGCGCCAACCGCGTTTGTAGATAATCTGCAGTCAAAGTTATCGATGAATATGGCTTCGGTGGTGAAAGCGACGCAACTACTGACCAACGTTGAACCAATCCGGAGCCACTATGTGACATTTCTTCTTCAATTTAAGGTTGACGGCCATCCATAAGGGTATTCTGGCTTTGTTTGGGGGCCGTAAAGGACCATATGCTCCCTGCGTGTAGGTTCATGTATGCTTCATGTGGGGTGGGCGGTAGGAATGTGTACCGAGATGAAGGCTGTCCTCTCCATTGAAATAAGGGGTACAACATCGATAAGCTCCTGGCTGGCAATGAGCTCGAGCTCTGGAGGTGTTACAGATTGTCGGAGAGATTGAGGAAGAGCCATATTGGCACGATCAGGTGACCTAGATGTTCAACGTTCAACGTTCACTATTCATTTCTGACATTTCACTCCACACTCAGTAACTTCACTCAACATTCTACAATTTGTAGTCCCGTCATTCCTGTTCGTCGCCGCCGCTATCGTAGTAATGCTCGGCGCACGTACAAAACAGATCAATGCCTACGGAAAACGCAACCGCCGTGTTGTTGACGCGTCCACGGAACGATCCCGGCCTATTGGCACTGAGATCATCAGTATTTTCGATGATTTACCACCAGCACCCCCATTAGCTTCACTCGCTTCTAAAATGAAGAAGCGAGAGAACGCCGCGCCCTCCAAACATAAAGCTTTATCTCCCAAGTGTGTTGGGAAAGGGAAACCAAGGCGGCTTTCACCTGTTCTCTCGCCCCCGAGGAAGAAAACAACACGTGTTGCGCAAATAATTGATGCTGCTCGTAGAGCAGATGATAGTGGTGCGCCTATACTCAGACCGAAGCCCAAACCATTGCCATCAGGACTTCAAGGAGATCCTATCATTCTTTCCGCGTCACCTCCTCGAGCGCCTCTCTCGGCAGTCTCTCTCAATGTACCAGGTTCCCCAGCTGTCTCGACAAAACCCCAAACGAGACAGAAGCTAGGTCTAACGAAAGTTAACCCTAAATTGAATAAACCTTTCTCGCCATTCGTGAACATGGATATCATCGTTCTGGATGATGGTGGTCAGATTGTTAAAAAAGAGCACAGAGTTTCAAGGAAGAAACCAGAACACGATCCCAAAGGCCGTAGATCTGCCACTCGAACCACTGTTCCCTCGCGCCTTCAAGCAATGCCCATACCGATCAGCATCGATTCGACTGATACCGAGTCTGAGGCCAGCCAGGTCCGCAGGCCCAAACGATCAGTAAAGCGTGCACCGCCAATAATATTAACTGACACGGAATCTGAAGAGGAAGATACACTCCAACCTTCCGCGCCATCTCAACAGATGGCAGAGTCATCAGCTCATACCCGCCCGAACAACGCTATAGTCGAAGTCGTCATTCCACCAGCTCCATACCCAATCCATGTTGCAAAAATTACGCACCCTTCAGAACCTCCACTGCGCAACGAGTCGGCATCTTCACCATCATCGCAACCTCCATCACATCCTGTCATACAGCCGCCCGCCCCAAGATTTCAGCTTCCCACCTCGCCTCTCGTCAAAGCTCGGCAACTCACTCCAATCCGAGGACGACATGGCAAGAGACTTTTCGAACCACCATCCCCTCCTTCTCCGTCTACTCCAACAGACCTTGAGCTTTCTCTCGATTTTTCCGATTTCAACCTCGGTTCGCCTTCACAAAGAAACGCCTTTTACTCCCAAATTTCAATACCCGAACACCTTCAGGCGTTGCTTGAAGAGTGTGGCCAAGAACAATGTGGCCCTCATGAATTCTCTGCCTTCATTGAATCCTTCCCTTACGACCCGATCATTCAGTCAAGTGACAACACAGATACAAGGTTTAGGAAGATCGGAGAGGCGAGTTATTCGGAGGTCTTCGGCATTGGAGATGTCGTGCTTAAAGTAATTCCACTAAGGGATGAATCGGAAGCGAATGTCAGTCAAAGTCGGTTGAAGATGACAACGAAGTATAGCGAAGAAAGACCCGCGGAAGAGGTCGATGGGCCAGCTCCTAGCGATGCGAAGGACGTGCGCAAGGAAATTATTGTTACCCGAGCTATGGGTGAGGTGTACGGTGGCTTCATTAAGCTCCTTAAAACTTATGTTGTGAGAGGGAGGTATCCCGAGGTCTTGTTGAACCTTTGGGATTATTACAATGAGAAGAAAGGTTCAGAAAGCGTACGCCCAGGTAAGTTATATTGCATTCCGTTAGAAAAATAAACTCATTTGCGAAGACTCTTTCAACGTTTCCCAGGTATACGCAATCATTGTGTTGCCCAATGGAGGATCAGATCTTGAAGCATATACATTCCTCAATGCTGGAAAGTCGGGATGGAAACAAGCTTGCAGCATTTTCTGGCAAGTGACCAAAGCCCTTGGACACGCTGAACAGCTGGTATCCTTCGAGGTGTGTGTCAATCCACTCGACCATAACGTGTAAGGGAGCTTCATTGATTCCTCAGCATCGTGATCTTCATTGGGGCCAAATTCTTGTCAAAAATGTTGTGAGGCACGCTCCACTCAAAGCCCTGAGCGTGAACCAGAAGGCGAAAGCAAAGCGGCAGTTGCACATGGACGATCTGGCCCATGGTGTTCAAGCCACCGTGATTGATCTTGGACTTTCGCGGATGGACGCTGGTGATGGGCATGATGGAGACGAAGTGCAATGGACCCCATTCGACGACGAAGTATTCATGGGCGAGGGTGAGTTGTGTTTCTTGAGTTGTGACGGGATTGATTCGACAAAATTTGTAGGTGATTACCAGTTTGACGTGTATCGCATGATGAAGGACGTTACTGGAGGTACATGGGAAGCTTTTCATCCAATAACCAATGTAATGGTGGGTCATTTTTTCCACCCAAAATTATCTGCGAAATGTTTGAATTTGGGTCATTTTGAAGTGGCTTCACTATCTAGCCCTGAAGCTGCTACAAGGCAAAGGTCTCAAGCCGCCGACAGCGTTGCGGAAAGGCAAGGGTCCCCCGGAATCACAACCTGTTACGACGAATGCATCGTTCACGGAAAGGGACTGCTATGATTGCCTTGTAGATATTGAGAATTGGCTGGGAAGTTGTCTCGTCAAGAAAGGCAAAGGCCGACGGAAAGTGGATAAGGCGGCGACAGGCCCTATCTGTGCTGGTGAGATCGTCGGCTATGGCGTTAAGAGGGGTTGGATCAATCCCAGCGTTATGTTTTAACTCCTTTCTACTTCTCTTCCGCCATGTAAATCCAGTCGTTTGCATCGTAACTCCTTTCAGAGGGAGGATCTTATCCATCATTTATTTAAACGGCATGTTATACACAGCGACGCATGCATTTCTCGCATTATGAGCCCATCGCCTCATCATGTTCAAAGCTCATGGCAGAGCTCTTTTCCCTAGGCAACGATCCCTTTTTGCAGGAGAACCTGGCGCTCTACATAGCATGGGCTATGTATCAATCTCAATTGGACTCCTCCGCCGTCCTTTCAGCGATGACGCTGTTAGCGAGGTATACAGTTTGTCAACCAATCAAGGCTCCTCTCTACACTAGCGATCTCTACAGCCTCTTCATCACCTCTTACATGCTCGCGTCCAAAATCCTTTACGACAAACCCAGCAGGCTGTCATTCTGGCAAGTAGTTGGGCGTCGCAGGTACTCCTGTCGGCACCTGGTTCGAATGGAAAGGGACTTTTGCACAGTGGTCAACTGGGATTTGAGGATTGATCTGGTGAACTACAGATCCTTTCAGGTGCTCGTCGACCATGATCTGAAGCAGCGCAGACGACGGCCACGCCCAATGGAGCATGGGCACTACCATTGTCTGCCCCGTGCCCCTCGTGGTCCTAAGCGTCAATGGTTCCGCCTCTCTAGTTCTGCACCCAAGCCGTCGTATTCAGAAGTAGGCTTGGAAACTTTGAATCAGGCGAGCGCGAAACAATGTAGCAAGCTTCACCCAAACCGCTTTGATGTTGACCATCATGACTCTATACTTCCTCCCCTTCATGATTATAAATCGACGTGGAAGGATGTGGTTTTTGGCTTCTTCCGTACACCTACAACAGCTGTGCAACGAGATGTCGACCCTTGGTCCTAATAACCCGGTTCTAACAGTATTTTATGGTGTTTGCAAAGATACCATGGAGCAAGTTGTATGGCATTGTCTATGCTACAGAGATTTCACAACGTAAGATAGGCATGTCAAGGTAAAAGTATGATAGTAATAGTAAGTGAAACCCGGGCAATAAATAAAGCGCTCTGGACAGAAGGTGAAACTAGCAGGTCTCGACTAAAGAGTTTTTTGGGAAGGGCTGTCCGTAGTCACCTCTCCAGGTCGTCAAGTTTGGGTTTGTATACGCCTGAATGTGTCTGTGAGGTGTTCAGCACAATGGGTTTGGGTGTTTGACGCAACCTACTGGATGATGTAGTCCGTCGTTGGGAATCCCTTGGGGTTGCATCCAACGTTGACGGCATTGACTGGCTGATAGACGCGCACGTGATCAACGCGTAAATGATTTGGAAATGTCAAGTGTTCGAAGTCGACGGCGCCGAAATTCTTCGACATTCCCAAATTGATAATCATATACTGCCAGAGCGCATTAGGTCCGGAACTGGTGTGTAATATGGGGTCAAGAGACCCACCATAGGTTCCAGTGGCACAGGTCGCGCGGAAATTTCCACAGTGGGGTCGGGACCTAACCCAGCGGCGTTGAGAGTCCAAGACACTTTACTGTCTGATATCCAGGTAATGTACTATGTTCAAAACGGAGCTAGCGCGTCAGCTGCGAAAGGCTGTCAAGAGAAACAGAAGACCTTACCGCATCGTCCCACCCTGCCAAATTGAGTAAAAAAATCTTAAGAGAACTTGTCAACCAAAAAACTTGTTGGCTCGCCTGGCTTGTACTGGAGAGAAGTTTGCAGGTAAATAGTGCTAAACATTACAGGATAAAAAAACACACCTCTACACCGTACGTCGAAAAACAACCATCCACCGACTCGTAGCACCGTTGGTTCGTTTTCGTCACAACAGAGGTCGCTTGTTGAATGACATTTCCAACAAATGTGTTCATCCTCGAAATGGATGGATCACCAAGGATCATGTTTTCAGACGAGTTGTCCCATGTATATCCGTGATTGAATGGCTGTAGAACATATAAAGATCAAATGCACAAAACACCAAAAAATTGCTGACCGCCCATTGCGACGATTGCGAGGCTTCACCTGTCAAAGGCACACCACCCATTTGGGCCTCGAACATATCAATTTCAGGAGCGGAACGACCCACAAACGTCCCATCCGAGTGTTTGGGCCCCGGATGGTTTTCACCGCTACACGTGCATCTCGACAGCCTTTGCCCTGGGAGATACGATAGGGCGAAGTTATATGCATGATCTCCATCAACAACAGCGGCTAACGGCAGACCGTTCAAGGTCTGGTTTGGCACCGTTCCTACATCGCAGGAGTCGTATGTGTATGGCCACTGTATACAATTCGGGACATTGGGAGCGGAATCACGGAGTACGATAGAGACATACCATCCCTTCCAAGGTAGCACCGTAACCAGCGCGTCCAAGGTTACCCATGGCCCATATCGCGGGCCACATTCCAATGACGTTGTTCGTGCCGGGCAATTGTACCGACGCTTCATAATAGCCACCGGTGAAACAAAATTTATTCCTACGACACAATTAACGCGGTAGAAAGTGAAAATTTGTCAAACGTACCACGATGTTATGAGGCCTAACAAAATAACTTCCATGAGGTCCAAAAATGGTAGTCGTCGGGTAATACGCACCACCTTGATAATTTAACCCGTGGTTGGGAGTCTCAGAAAATGTGATGACGAGAGCTCCGTTATCAGTCGTAACTGCGGAGGGATCGTACCACTCTAGATTGTTCGTTGACTGTATGATTTGTTACTGGTGCTCTTTCCCGTTTGTAAAATTATAGGGGAAAAATACCCAATAATGAAGATCAGCCGCCTCCCAGTAGGGGTCGTCGCCTGGATAAAATGTCCTTCCAGGCGTATTGAACTCGTCGGAAAAAACCAATAGCATGGGAGATCCATCTTTCAGAGATGGCTTCATGTACGCGTCTTTTGGAGTGTCGAGATCAATCAGGCCAAAATTACCCATCGAGGGTACCTGAAATGAAGAGATGTCATAATTATGCATAAACGCCATATATATAAAATCAAGACTTGGCCGGTTGAGTTGATTCCCCCCAAGTTGAATCCGGGCAACAAGGGTCCTTTGCTTCTAGCAAACATGATGAGGGGATAACCAATACTTTTTTTTGTTTGATTTTTTGTTAAGTTCAGAAAGGAAGGAGAAAATGTTAGATAAACAGCTCACAAAAGAACCAAAAGTGCTGTGCACAAAAAGGATAGGCAACCAAGATTTGCCAGACCCCTGGAGGTAAGAGTCACTTTGCTGCCAACCAAAGCGTGGTCAGGCTCGGCCTCCGGATTGTGAAGAGCATCGTCCGCCTCCACAAGGTCGGGTGACAAGTCAGAGCCCCACAGTCTTGGGTCTGGAGAGAGTGAGAACTACCTGGCGTCATTTCGAGGCCTATAATTTTTTTTGGAGGACCAACCTTGTCCGAAAGGGTACTCAGGCGTGAGGCTGCACCCAGCGAGTAGGGCGACTCGGAGTCAGTTTGCTAATTCACGAATATTATAGAAATGGCTGGCTGGTAAGAAATTAAATTTACCCAGCTGTCCCTGCGGAGTACGCCAAAGCTGGAGGCTCTTAAAAGAGTGAGATCTGAGTCGTCAGTTGCGAAACTGAGGTGGGGGTAGCTCTTGGAGGACATGAGGTAGATAATGGAAAAGGAAGAGAGGGAGGCGGTGAGCAAACAGAAGAGTAATAGATGGCATGGCAAGCTGAGCAAGAAAAAAGCTTATAGCGTTGGATGGCAGCCTAGACGTGAAAGAAGTCTGGAGGAAAGGTCAATTATGGATTACGTCACTTTATAACCGAGGAGTTGAGTAACTTGCCCCATTTGGCCTGATTGGTCCTTCATCATGCTCAGCTTCGAATCGCTTCCCGTTGAACTCATTGCCGAGATACTAGGCGAGCTCGACCTTCAATACCTCATAATAATGTCACATCTATCAAAGAGGTTTTACCTTGTTGCTTCAGATTCCTCTTTGAATCCATGGAGGAGGCCAATACTTACTAATTTACGATCAAATACTTACGAGCAAGCCCTCAAGCATCTGAGTGTTCGTTTAACTGTTCCTCGGCAGAATTGGATTGAGGTGCTCAGCCTTGCCCGACCTTCCTTCATCTTGTTTGAAGCGACCTTGCCTAATCTGACGTCAAGTGAATGGGAGGAGTGCTTTAGCAGGCGTTTTCTTCCGGGGTGGAGGAGATGGAAGAAAGACAGTTCATGGAAAGAGGCGTTTCTCAAGTTCGTCCGCCATTTCTCATCGCTGTCTGCTCTTCTCATTCTCTGCCTCAGACTGTTACATAGAGTGTGGCATCGCAGTGTCTCCTCCTGTACTACTGATGAATCTTGGACCAAGTCAGCTCATTTGCTGCCGTACATAACTCTGGTCTGATTTGCCAGGTATATCGTGCTTAATCGCAATGGCTCTGCCAATGAACTTGAGGTGTCATCTCGAAACTTCAATCCTGTTACGCTTTTCAACGAAATGAAGTACGAATCTCTCAACCTTTTTTTGTCCCTCCTCTCATCATTTTTACCATTTAGGTTGCAAAGTAACTTGGCCCACCTCGAGACACGTATCAGGGTTTGTATAATTCAATTCTGACCATCCAGCAACTCCTCCATGATCAGTATTGTTCAGCTCGTCGTTGAACTTGCGGATGTGAGAATCCTTGCCTTTGGTACCTTGGGTAGACCTCGAAGTACTCTTACGGTTAACCCCAATGCCCATATCCTTTTGCACCCTCCGGGCATCGAATCGGGCGGTGGTGGGCCTGCTCCAAAAATCGACCGTCGTATTGAAGATCATGGAGTCTACCCTATTGGGGCAACATCCACAACATCTCAATGTAGGTTGATATATTTCCTACCATTGCGGCTTTTATAGCTCAATTGGTGGCAGTGTCACATGAGTATCTGACAGCACCTTCGACATATACGCGTATGATGCACCCGCTCCCTGCGCTAACGCACTCAAAGTACCCTTTTTATACGCCCGGTGGAGGTGACAGGCGTTGGAAGAACTTGGGAGAAGCGGACAGTGAAGGTCTTGAATGGGTGGGCGGCTTAATGTCAGTGGCATCCTATTTTTTTTCTTTTGGCTGGCGTTTAACCCTCCATAGGGTTATTGCCCAGATTATTGGAGCTTCATCTCACACGGATAGTACAGCGCCCGTCCGTCAGCAGTATGCTTCCTTTTCCTGGTGCGATCTCTGGGCGATTGCGCCTTGGTTAGAGGAGAGGATCACAAAAAGAATAGATGGAGCTGGATTGGGTCACTGACTCAGCGACTACTGTTTGTCTGTTCTCTTACACATTTATCTCGCCCTGGCTTCTTCCTCTCCTTTCGACTTGCGTCCTCGACATTTATCTGGTTGTGATTACTTACCCTTCATTAGTATTAGTAATATCGGCAATTAGTCACCATCTCACTGCCTCGGCGAATCAAAAAGGATAGCTAGACTTGGCTATATGGGTGCATGAAAATCATCTACGGTTCTCAGTATCGCTTTCCAACTGCAAGGAAGGACACCGCAAATTGAAATCAATTGTTGTCCTTCAAGTTATCTGGATGCTCCGATTCGATCCCATCCAATTTTAATCTCGACAACACTTATCGAGTGGCGAGTGCTTTCGGAAGTTTTGCCATCGACATTACCCTTTACCCACTCGTAACCACGTGGGCCAACAAGATCGGTCAGGCACCCAGAATTTCTATCTTTTTTGTTAACTCGATCGTGGTGAGACCAAAGAAGAAACGATTGGAAATTCAATATTCTGGAAACAATATCTTTGTCGAAGCCCCTAACGCTTGCTTGTTGCCTTTGTTGGACTCGTAACCCTCAAAAGAGGTTTGTGTTTTTGAAAATGCGCTTCTATGTCCGAAATAAAGACAATAAGGCTAACAAAGGACGATATTCTCCGCCAGTTTCTTTGTGTCGGGATCAGAAACGAACGTCCTGATACACAGGATCTTAAAAGACGGAATATGGTCTGTATTTTCTGCTGTCTCTTTTGCTCCTCCCGTCCACCGCCTCCTTTAACTAACCGCTATATTTTATTGAACGACGCCGCTGGTCAGCGTCTTTGTCTATCTATTTATCTAACGTCGAAACAAAGCTCTGCACAATGAATCAGAAGAAGCCCGTTGGTCTAGTAAGAACCCATAGTTCTCTGGCTGTGGTCAGCACTTATATCTCTTTCCCGCAGTTTGTGTGTCCTACTTGCTCCAAGAGATTTGGGCGAAAGGGAGACCTAGGTCGTCATGAGAAGCTGCATACCGGTGCAAGGTCAGTATTTAGTTTTGATCTCATGTTGCAATACGTAAACTTAAACATTTCAGGCCGCATGTCTGCTCGGATTGTGGCAAGGCATTTGCCCAATTCTCAGGACTAAAGACACATTTAAACGTACAGTGCGTGATTTATTTAAATTTTCTCTTAAATAGCATTGCTCATAACATGAATTAACAGCACTCGTGTTCGGCCATTTGCTTGTAATTTTGAAGGGTGCGGCAAGTGCTTCGGAGATCCCTCTTCTCGTGCACGCCACCGGAAGGAGACTCATGAACGCGTTGGCGCTTTCAAGTGTCCATTTCCGAAATGCAAGTCTAGGTAATTATATTTCAAAGCACCGAGATGACCTTGCTCATTCTCTCTCTTTATTCGTAGTATCAAGCGGCGTTCCGCCTTCACGTCTCACTTGAGGAAGCACAACCTTGACCCCCTCACTGTCGACGTCGATGATTTCGCCCCTACTCAATCCCTCATGTCTGTTAAATCCACCAGCCCGAAGTCCATTCGCGGAACAACGGCCGAATCCCTGCCAGTACAACCTCATAACACGGTAGTCAAGCACCAATTCAGGGAGGAGTTTTATAACCGTATGTCTCCATGTTTTCATCCATCGTTTTTTCAAAACGAACCACGCTCTAGACGTCCTTCCAATTCCCCAATATCCACATTTTACCCATACGCCTCCGTCGCTACAAGCCCATGGGTATCACAGCATATTCCCAAATGATTGGCTACAAACGCCAAGTCAGGATCCGCGGTACGGCATATATACTCTAAACGGGTCGCCGTCCGACTCCGATTTTACTCCCAATTTGACCTTCTCTTCTTCGCCTTCCCGATCACCTTCGCCTCCCGTTGTGGAGCGGCGTACTCCAAGTCCAGAGTTTGGTGTGTACACTCCACAGACGAGCGCTCCAAGAGCGTTTGCACCTTCGCCCCATCTTTCCCCACTTCCGAGAGATTTTCCTACATTGTACTTTCCTGAACCAGTCAAGGCAGCTCATAGCCGTGGGCTTTTTTTCGATTCGATGTCAGGTTATTGACGACACTCCTGCCAGCCTGGAGCGCCGTGTCACGCCTTCATTTTGTATATTATATGGATCGTTTGCTCTTCGCCTTCTACTGTATCGATACACTCTCTTATTTTCACTTTCACGCTTCTGTAATATTGTACTATATACCCACCTAATTTCAGACCTAAGTATGAGGCGCCAAATTGTGACAAACAAGCCGGCGAATTCACGAAAAAAAAGTGGCTTGAGCCGCGCTTGGCAAGTCAACGATCATTCAACAGCTGTTCAATCACTGCCCGTCCTCTCCTTTCTCGACACTCTGTACGCTCTTCTCCATTCGACTTGTAAATTATCGCAACGACTTTCTCTGTTTCATTGCTCTGGCTCGCGAAGAATGCTAGCAACACCTCTCCTGCCCGCGCCTACCTTCTCTTCCCAGCATGACCCCGACGATTCCATGCGTTATCGACCTTCGAGGGACCTAGAGACTTTCAATAGCCTCCTTCCACCTCCTATCGAATTTCTAGAGGGCTCATCTTCAGGAGCACTGGCAGTACCAGAAGGCAAATATGAGCCGATCAACTCTGCGAGCTCTCAACCTCCCTCAAAAACAGATGTACGTTTTCATTCTCGCATATTGCCTATTCTTGCTTAAGTATACTCTAGAGACACGGGCCTTCGCCACCCACTCCTTCGACGTCTAAATCTCTTGCGCCACCAACAGGCGCCAAAACCACTTCCTTATACTCTGATGCTATCGACATGACATGGCCTGCATCTTGCAACTCTGCAGCTGGACTGTTCAACAGCGGAAATACCTGCTTTCTTAACAGTGCCCTTCAGTGTCTCCTGCACACGCCGCCGCTACTCAGAATAATAATTTCACACAAGACATGTAATATTCAACACTTGTTACCTTTTACTCAAACTAACCTCTTCATCTTAGGCCGTATGGATAAAGGGTTTTGCATGTCGTGCAATCTCCGAGAAGTGATAGTCAAGGCCTATGGATCGAAGGGTCCTGTTGTACCTTCCTCCATAACCAACCGGCTACAAAGTATGCCTCGCCGTCTCTCACCGTGAAAGAATCCTCATGCCTCGGCGCAGCCATTGCCAAGCACATGCGTAAAGGCAGACAAGAGGACACCCATGAATTTTTGCGCTATGCGATTGACGCTCTCCAGAAGTCTTGTCTAGCTGGTCATTCGCCGTTCGTCTCGTTTTCAATCTCGTTCTATATACGCACACTCATTTTTTTTGCAGTAAGATAGACCCCAAAATTGCTGAAACAACTTGGGTACACAAAGTTTTTGGCGGGCGGTTGCGCTCTCGGGTGACCTGTCGCGATTGCGGTCATAACAGCGACACCTTTGACAGCATATTGGATCTCAGTCTAGACATCCACAAGTCTGAATCACTCAGGGATGCACTGCGAACTTTTGTGGCAATCGACTATCTGAGAGGTGCTGACAAGTACAAGTGTGAAAAGTAAGTACATCCATTCCGCCACAATCTTGATATCAACAAGTCTTCAGGTGCAAGAAACACGTTGTAGCGGAGAAACGATTCACTATTCATGAAGCACCCTTGGTCTTAACAGTTCATTTCAAACGATTTTCGCCAATGGGGCGGAAGATCGGTCATCACATCAATTTTGAAGAACATCTCTCACTCAAGCCTTTTATGAGTGAAGGTCAACATGGCCCCTCATACTCGTTATATGGTATTATCTGCCACGCTGGCGGTGGGCCTAATTCAGGGCATTATTATGCTTTCGTAAAGGCGAAAGATGGACAGTGGTGGGAGATGAACGATGAAATGCGGTCGCGCGTTGGAAGTGCACCGACCAACAAAAAGACGGCGTACATGCTCTTCTACATCCGAAACAGGGGGCAAGGTTTGGATGTTGCTGTCAAAGCGCCGCCTCTTGACCAGACGTCATCTGCGCCCCAACGAAGCGGTCTTGCAGCTGGGATGAAAAAGCGGAAAGAGAGAGACGGTGAAGTGGAAGACATGGGTGTGAAGGTGTCGAAACCGTTTGGACCCCTAGAGCGACCTTCAACGCCTGTCGTGCCTGACACGGTCAATGCTGACGCAAAACGGCCAGTGAAGAATGGTATCGACCCTCAAGCCGCATTGATCAAATCTAAAATTGAGGCGGCGTCAGCCGAGCAAGCTCGTCGCGCGCTAGCAATTATAGGGAATTACGACTCTGACAGCGATGTAGAGGACAAGGGGAAAGTACAAGAAGAGAGAGGAGAGGATTTAGGATCACCTACGAAAGAATCTGAGAGACCGTCATCTCCAGCTCATGGGCCACCCATGTCATCGTCGCCTGCCATCCCAACGAGCAGCTTCTACGGCACGAGCAACGCGAGTAAGAAGAGGAAGTCACCAGACACTACAGCAGACAAAGATCATCTGCAGAGCAATACACGCACACGACCAAACGAATTAACAAATCGTGGCACTGCGGGTTATAGAAATCCTTACAATATTACGCCAGCGCCAGCGAAAACGTACTTGCAGAAGAAATCTTTCAATCGGAGGCCCAGGGGGATTTGATAGAGGAAGAGTATATACATTGTATCAGCGAGCCTTTTGGACTCTGGTGAGAGTCACGCATAGTAATATTAATCTTGCACGCACCCAAACTTGTAAATTTTGCTGCGAAGCGGCAAAGCACACTCGAGAGCGGGCAATAAGAACGAATGAATTATAGCTTCGATTTGACCTTTTCGGTAACTACCCTGGCCGCCTCTTCCTTTCCATCTTCCCACCAAACCACAGTTACCGTAACATCGTCGCGATGTCGCCTGGCATATGGAGCGGTAATGCTCAAAAGATTTCGAAGATAATTTTCATTGCCTCCACCAAATGCGTTTCGGATGAGATGGGCGCTGACATTCTCGTCAAGGAATGCCCATGACCCTTGCTGTTGTTTGTCCGTCTTGTCTTTGCCTTGCACCCCCATTGAACCTGATGATGTGGGAAACAGCGTTTGAAGGTCGGGCTCGGAAATCTTCCCCTTGTAGCCTGCAAGATGACCTCCAACTAGACTGACCACTTCGTCGTTGCTGTTTGCGAATCAGAACATATCCATTACTTTCCGAGAGAGAGAGAAGTCGGCATACCTCAGTCGATCCCATAAGCCATCTGTTGCGAGAACAAGAAAGCGGATAGGGTTGGCAGTGGATTCATCAGATGGGAACGAAAGCTTGCGATGGGTCACAACTGGGCGTGCAATCACATAAGGTGGGGTCTTGAAAAGGGCAGGGGCGGTACGAATTGGTGTTCCATTTCCGGCAAGGAAAGCCTGGTTCAATCTTCATCGCATCGTTAGATACAAAAATCAGTGTGTAAATTTTGAATTTGTTTGGGAAACTCACGTCTCTTGAATTTTACGGGACCACTTGTACCGCGCGTCGCCAAATGCTCGGGAAGGCTCTAGACCTCCGAGGACGCGACCTCTGCGAATAACATCATTTTCCTCATCTTTAGGGTGTTCAAATTGCATTCTGATAAAGGAAATCAAGTCATGATACTCTCTTTGAAATGACTGACGTACCGAGCAAGCTCAGATGGATTACGGCCTGTTTGATCCTCACTCAACACTTCAACACGCCAGCGTCCTTCACCATCAGGTGTAGTTTCCCAAACTCCAGCGACGGCCCTGCTATCGCCGGTGCATGCTACATAAAGATCCCGGTGAGCTGTGTCGAAGACCGCCATTAAGGCACAGCTACCTGTGAATAGATTAGATATGAAAGGAATGTCATTGAAAGCTTCAGACCAGAGATTGCTGGAAGCATAGTTGCCAATGCTAATGGATGCTGGCTGAGATCAGGAATGACATTCTTTTTCCGTGACTCTTCGTCGACATTGTTTGCAAGCACGTGGAGCGGGGCAGCGAGAAGCTCATCATCAAGTTTCGTAAACGCATGTTGAATAGCAAGTGAAACTTTTTGAGGGTCTGCATCGAGGGGGGTTTGCGACGTCAGAGCTCTAGCACTCCCAAAATAGCCTGGTTTCGCTAGCGGTGGTTGATTGGTGAGGTGGGATAGTTCAAGTGCGACGGCCTTTATTATGACACGTGAAAGGAGTCTTGAAGTTTCATAGCCGCCGTGGCCGTCCATGACCGCGAAGAAAAGGTAATCGCCAGGGTATGACGGGTCTGTAGGATCGCGTTCCACAATTTGGCTAGCATGCGCGTCTTCGATGGGATCATTTGAAGCTAAATCTGCTGTTGTGTGCTTCCATACAATTCCTCCGGGACGAGAATGAGATTGAAAGGTGGCATGTTGTCGAATCCGAGCTTCGAGAACGTCAAGGGGGAGGCGGCGGAAAGTCTTGGTGACCATTTCTGGTTTACCGTCAGGACCCTGGACTTTTACTGGGAGTTCAAAGAAGTTATCCAAGACATAGTGACGATAATAAAAGTATGCGGGAGGCGTTCCAACGACAGCAACGGCTGCCAATGGTTTCCATACACGTCTCCACATACGGAGTGAAAGATGAAAAGAGCTAAATCACGTGAACAAGAGGACCGCAACGAGGACTCTGCAGCCTGAGCGCTGCCAGTGTACTTGCGCTCGATAGTCCTCAAGGTAAATGTCATGGTTCTTTCAATATGTGGCCCTTCCGCATACAGATGCAGCTTTATCCTACTCATGTACCGAGTACCTACGGCATCACCCAATGTGCAACACATCCAGATAAATTCAATGTAGTCTTTCAATTCTTCCATCTACACGCAAACACTCATCAGCTCCACGCAAGAAGAACAAAACAACGAAAAACATGCACATTTTAACAGTCCGGTCCCGTCCCCCACTAACAACTTTATCAGCCACAAAGTCCACACAATACACCTCATCCGTATGTCCCGGAAGGTCGGTCTTGATCTTGTACGTCTTCAGATCCCATATCTACCCACCCATCATCAGAAAACTTCACTCATGAAAGGGAAACAACAAACCTTGAGCGTATTATCCTTACTAGCACTAATCAACAACCGACTGTCAGCACTCCACGCAAGCCTGTACACAGCGCCTACATGGCCTCGAAGCGTAGCGACGAACTTGCCCGTCCGGCCCTCCCACACGCGTACGCTATTATCCCAAGCAGCCGACGCTGCCCACCGACCGTCCGGGGAAAACGCGACGTGGGAGACCTGGCGCTGGTGGCCTGTTAGTCGGGCAATGGGTTTGGTGGAGGAGAGGGGGGACCAGAGGAAGAGGGTGTGGTCGTCTGAGCCGGAGATGAGCAGCTCAGTGGGGGAGGTGCGGAGGAGGGCGGTGTACCGCGTTTGTGCGAGTTTTTGAGCTGTATGGGAAGGATGGGGTTAGTGAGCTTGTTTTGCTTGGTAAGAGAGAGGGAGACTGACCGTCTCCGTCAGAGGCGGGTTTCTTGCCTGTGTGGTCATACGGACCCGTACGCAGGACGAAATCTGTATTCAGAGCAAGGGTGGTCACCCAATGCGCGTGGTCTTTGAGCGTGTGCAGGGGTCTTCCTTGTTTCGTATCCCATACTCTGACCGTCCGATCGCTGCTGGCTGTATAGAGCACGTCAGCCCCACCCCATTTAACGACGTTCACGCTGGCGGTGTGTCCGCCCAGAGTGAACTCTACGCGTCGAGTTAGGAGGGACCATACGCGGACGGTGCCGTCTTTGGAGGACGACGCGAGGCGGGGGGAAGTAGCGTTACTTTTATCCAACTCAGCTAGTGTTTGACTAGGAAGATAAGAAGGCGACTCACAGGTGAATGGGTTCCCAGGAGAGGGACGTTATCCATTTCGTATGGCCCTTCAACGCGTCTCCGATCGGTTTACCCGTTTTCGGATCCCATATCCTCACCTGAGACGTGTGTTAATTAGCGGGTCCAACGACGCGTCGGGAAAGAGACCCAACATGTCCATCATGTCCCCCACTAGCCAACTTCCGCTCCATGGCTTCCCACTCAACACATAGAACCCACCCTTTATGGCCTGGCAGAACATGTGAGGGAGTCTCCGTGTTGAGGTCCCACAAACGCACGTTGGTGTCTCCTGAGCCTGTTGCGAGGAGGTTACCGGTGGGTGAGAATGAAGCACATAATATGGGAGAGGTGTGTCCTGTTATAGTTATAATGATGAATGGTGAGTTCAGAAAGAGAAAAATGCACGCATACCGGAGAGGGTGGAGGAACATCTTGAGGCTGGTCGGACGCGAAACACGCTTTGTGGTGAACAGTGTACGACGAGGATGTCTTCGGATGTGAAGGTGCCTGATGGATGCTCGAGCACGTCAGTTTCGAGGGATTTAGAGACGACGATGCGTGTAGGTGCTCCTGGGGGAGCATTCTTGTCTTCAGGCAGGTTAACGTGGAATGAAAATGGAACGGGGTCTTCATCCTACATGTGGATGAGTTAAATAAGTTAATACGCAGTACAATCAGACGCACCTGGACTGAAATTTTGTTTAAGAGCGCTTCAAGAGATTCCCTCGGCAAATTTGCTGGGATATTGACCGCAGGCGCCAGCGATCTACCATCTTCCTCTGAGATAAATTGAACAACGATGTTTGGCGATTGGTGAGGAGCTTCAGGTTCTGGCTCTGGTACGCCATGGTACACCTTTTGTCGTTTTGGGGGAGGAAGTAAGGTTGCCATCGCGTTAAAGAGCAAAGAACAAACTTGTTTTTTTTTTTCCTTAGATAAATCACGTGAATTGCTTTCAGCTTCATCTAGTACTACAAATATTGTAACAAAACCCATTACTAACGGACGTCGGAATCCCCTCCGCACTACGACCTGCGCGTCGTCAGGTACTTTGTGGGCATCGCCCACCTCAGACCTGTGCGATCCAAGGCTCGAGTGAGAGCGATGGACAAAGCGAAGCAATTAGCGCCCCAACCAGATCAAAATGTATCCGCCGTCTTCCTAGCATTGGCAGCTTCCTTGGAGTCTCATGTGAGCTCATCACTCTCTACTTTATGATCCTTTTGAGCATCGATGTCATAGTCAGCCGAGATTCCAGAGCCATCCTCTGCAGCGACTCCGAAGAGACCCACAAATTTAAAGTCATCACGAATCTCAGAAAAGCCTACAGCTTCCAAACTAGCTGCCATGGGGATTAAAGTCAGAGATTTTGCTTATGAGAGCAAGTTACCCCCCGTCAAGCCCGTCTATCGCCACCAGCGGCAGGTGCAACCAGGCTTGAAGCGCCAAAGAACAGAGGTTGACGATGAAAACCCCTTTGTCGTGAATAGTGATACGACTTTGCAAGAATCGAATGCAAAGAAGTCGAAGCTTGAGCGCAAGTCGACAGAGCCGGTCGTTGCGCCTATTGCACCACCAGGCCGGGAAAGAGGTTTCAGCAACATTCAAGAGTATGAACTCAATATTATCTACTCGCAGCAAGCATACGATGACCCTCCGCGTTCTTCCCCGACGCCATCCGCCATTTGTGAATCACAAGGCTCAGATCATTCGATCGACACGCCGCTCGTTACTCCCAACGGCTCTCTTCAATGGAGAGTTGCAACTGCTCCGTCTGAGCCTGCGGAGTCGCAAGCCATAGCGCCCCTCTTGTCGCCATGCTCACAGTTAGATTTTTCGAAAATGATAGAGACGGCTCCTCGGGGAGAAGCAACAGCACCCGCAGTGACGGATTCCCTGTCATCGTTATCCTCGTTATCTTCATTGTCATCTGACCGAACTAGTTCTTCTGCTCCCGCCTCTCCTCCACGGCCAGCACCACCAGTTCTACGATCATCAAATTCTCGGGTCGAGTTCCAAGCCCTTCTTGTCCCAACAGTGTCTCCTCGCTACCACCTGCGTACTCGCAGCGTAATAATACAGCCCCCCGCAAAGACGCCGACTCATACGCGGGCCCGTCGCGGTCACATGCCGCCGCACCCAACGCTTCGAACCACCGCGATATCCATACAGTCATCACATGGGCGATCGAAAAGTACCACTTCCACAAACGCCATCACCTCTCGTATCATGCGCAAGCACACCGCCACAAAGGAACCACGAATATGAAATACCCGTACCGCGGGAAGCCTCTACACAGTAGAGCACAGTAGTTGGCTAGAAGCCATACAAGTTCTCTTTGTTGGATACGCTGGGGCGTATCCCGTGCCTGTTCACATGGCGGCCATCTGCCTTCTCTTTCTCTTGTAATAAAGTTTCCTTCCACGATCCTTATTCACCTTTGCCTTCACTTGCATATATACGTTTAGTTCCCTCTCGTGTACGAGTTCTCGTCATCGGATAACACCATCACCTGGCTACATTAGATATTGGCTCGATATCCCCTTCATATCCCGTGTACCTCCGTTTGTACTGTTTGATAGGTGTACTTTTTAATTATGATCCTTATCAAGTAACCAACGTAGCATCAGATAAGAAAACAAAGCTGCTGATACAAAGTGGTTTCGACTTGGAACGCATCATAGAAAGTCATTAGACAACTGCATGGCCAACGCAAGGCCAACTTGTGCTTGACTTGAGCTAAGTAGCTGCTTGAGCTTGCTTATCGGCGATCGGACAGGGACGACCGAAAGCAGAATTGAGTCAAATCTAGATTTAATTTGTAAGATAATTTCTTGCTCCCTACTTGCACGATTCCTGGCATAGGCCTGGCATGCAGGACACGATTTCCCTTCTCCCAGTCTCCCTTTCTCTCGTCCATGTCCCTCGTTCCCGTCTACCTCATCTCTCACACCAAATCCTTCGCCAGATACTCTACCCTTCTCCCAGCTTTCTTAATATCACTTGTAACGAAATCGAG